CTGCTCGATTCGTTCTCTTCCACAGCTGGTAGTTGCTGTGGAGCTGTCGGGCCGGGCCAATTTTCCTACCCGTAATAGAAAACCCAAAGATCACCCCGGTCGCACGATCAATTTCCAACTTTTCCACTTCCACGTGCTCTTCGAGAAATACTCTGGCGTGTTTTAAGCAAGATTGGAACTTGTTGTAATTGCGGAAGTGCTCGAAGTCTAACGTTGCTTTGGTGAATGTGCGTGTTTTGCCCTTGTGTTGTCCTTTTCTTGGCGCGACGGTCGTGTACTCTTCCGTGTGAAAGCGAAACGGCTCGATGGCTGCCTTCAAAATCGTAGCCTGCACGACCCCATCGGCGTCGGCGCAGTCGCAACGGTCGATCATGATTTTGCTGTCAAGGCCTTCAACGAAAACTGTGGGGAATGCTGGTCCACAGTTCTTTTTCTTTTTCTTTTCATTTTGTTGTAATGGCTCCGCAGCAGGAGGGTCTTCTTCTTCTTTTTGGTCGATCTGTGCCTGCTTCTTTGTTTCTTGCTTTTTTGCACCACTTTTTACCACTGCTTTCGCAGCCTGCTTCTTACTGCTACTCATCTTTTTTGCAGCGGCAGCCCTTTTTGAACTAGAAGTAGACGAAGAGTTAGAGTTTTGCTTCGCAATTTTTCCTAGAGCCAGGCTGTCGAGCTTTGCGCTGATAACTTTCTTGCCCATGATCTTCGTAGGACAACCTGCTGGTGCTTTATTTCCGCCCTTCTTGCCCGCCTGATTCTGTACCTCGTCTGGCGCGAGAGCCGTGGCGTGGTCCGCACCCGTTGTTTCATTCTTTTCTCCGACGTCATGGTCTTGCTCCCTATGGTCATCTAGATCCTGCTCCACTTCTTGCACGTCCATCATATTCGTGAGATGATCGGCTTCGCGATGATCTTCTGCGCCATCGTTTTCTCCTCCAGTTGCGGCGGGCTTCCCCTTCTGCATCTCCACCTGCTTATTCTTCGCAGTACTTCTTCGTGTAGTTTCACCCTTCTTCGTAGGGCAGGGCGCCAGAGCAGCCGCCAGCTGCGTCAGGCTGGCGCAGCTCTTGTCCTTCGTATGTCCTTCCTGTTCCTCCTTTTCGTCGTCGCTCTCCGTCGGCAATAGCGTCTCTGGTTTTATTTTGAGATCGCTTTTTTGGTTGTCCTCATCTGAGTGATCTACTACATCAGCCTTTCCAGAAGATGAACACGCTTTGTTCATCTTCTTTTTCTGCTGGCTGGTTGTATTTCTATTTTTGGATGTACTTCTGGTGGATCCAGCTGGTGCTGTGGAAGCTCCTACTGCAGTTGCTGCAACGGAAGAAGTAGGCGGAACTTGATTCAAAGCATCTGTATTTTCGTCGCGCCCGACCTCCGGAGCAGCGGGCACAGCCATATCATGCTCTTTCTCTTTGTCTTTCCGTTCATCTTCGATTTGTGCATGTTCTTCCAACTTCTCACCGTTGATTTTTTCTACAGGAGATTCTGTCCTCGCCGTACTTTTCTTCTTCGCGGCACTGCTCCCCCGCTTCGCACTCGTAGTACCCCGCTTCGCGCTGGTCCCCCGCACGGGGGCCACGATAAGCGCTGGGGCAGGCCCTTCTTCTACAGCTTCTACTCCTGCTGCAACGCCAGCAGGTGGATTGCTCCCGCTTTTTGCTTTCGGTTTGGCTTTCGCCCTCATTTTCGTAGGGGCAGGTGGTGACGAGCTTGACGCCTTCATCGCTTTTGTCGTCTTTGGCTGGTGGAGAAGTTCCGGCGCAGCAGCAGGAGCAGCAGCTTCCGGCGCGATCGCGTCGTCTTCGTGAACCTGCATCGGAGCGACTGCTGTAGCAGGATTTTGCTCGCCGCCCGCGCCCTCGTTTAGTTCTTTGTCTTGATGCAGCTTGTCTTTCTTCTGCTGCGCTTTCGCCTTTGCTTCGGTCTTTGCCTTCGCTTTTGGCTTCGCCACAGGAGCAGCTGGAGCAGCTTTCATTTTCATCGCCTTCGCCACCGGCTTTAGAATTGCTTTGTCTTCGGCGACATCTTTTGCGGCATCATGTTCTGGTTTCGCTGGACCAGCCTTCTTTACGTTTATTTGCTTCGCTTTTTTGTTTTCGTCCGGCGCACGCTCACTTTCCTGCATCACCGCATCGTCCTCGCCAACAGCAAGAACAGCTAGCCCTGTAATATCATCCGCCATGTTGTTCTTCGTAGAAGTTTCCAATGGTGCCGATTTATTCTCTTCGTTATCTACTTTCTTTTTTCTCACTTTCGCCCTTTTCAACGGTGGAGAATGATCAGCATCGGGTGGAACTTCGTCGTTCTCGTGCTCCTGGTCAGCATTATTTTTTCCACTATCCAAATTCCCCTTGTTCACTTTCCCATTTACTGTGCGCGGTTCCGCCTTCCTTCTCATCTTCGCAGGCGCCTTTGCCGCAGCTTTCCCATGTTGATTGGCCAGTTGTAGTTTCGCAGCAGGGGCAGGTTCTTGGTCCGAAGCCTGTCGTACTTGACCACCCGGGGCAGGGACCACAAGGGCCTGGTGATAATCCTGTGCAGCCTGTGGCTCCTCGATGGAGTTGTATTTCATGTTCATCTGCTGCTCGTCCTCGTTGACAACATTATTTCCCTCAACATCTTCTTCAGCAGCAAGTGGCACAACTTGTTCTACTGGCGCACCAGCTGGCTCTGGAAGCTGTTCCTTCGCGGCTTTGGGCTTCTTTGCAGACCTTGGCTTGCGCGCTGGCTTCTTTATTGCTGCAGTGCCTACAACGGGCGACGAAGGACGAGACGATGCAGCTGCAGGAGCAATTTTGTTTCCTTCTTGTGCACGATTTTTTTGTTCATCTGCTGGCTCCATAACTTCTCGTCCTGCTTCGCGGTCGTCGTCGAGAGGTGGCACGGGGGCAGGAGGTGGCGGCGCACGCCGCCCTACCTTGACCTTGTCGTGTGGCGCAGCTGCATTTCTCTTAACTCCAGAAGACGACACAACAGCAACTGGTCCTGTTCCATCAGTCCCAGCACTCACTGGTCGTGGTCCTCCAGCTGCACAATTTTCGGAAGTTGCATCTTCTGCAGCATCTCCCCGCACCAAAGGTCGTCCCCTCTTGCTCTCCGTGACGGAGCGCAGCCTGCTTCGAGAGACGAGATTCATCTGGTCCTCGTAAAGACCGCCTACTTCGCCAGAAGACACAGCCAGACTGGGCGGTATAATTTCCGTCATGATCGTGTCTTTGCTTCCGTTTCTTTTTTGAATACTCTTGGTCGATTGGTGCGGCGCGTTGTCCACCTCGGGATCAAGTTCATCCTGCCCACGAGAAGGGTCTTTAATATCATCATCCTCGTCATTCTTCTCATTGTCATTGCCCACGACGAACGCGGCTTTATTCTTTGGCTCCTTTCCTACTTTTTGTTTTTTATGACCCGGCTCTGCTAGCACCAGTGACTGCATGGCAGAAAAACCAGCTCCTGCACGAACGTGGGAAGGCGCGGAGGCGGACTTGGACCGACTTTGATGAAAAAACTCTTCCTCATTCTTCTTGTTCTTCACGCTCAATCCGCCCAGCATCGCACCCAGCTTCAACATAGACGCGGTGCGCTGGACTGAGCTGGTGCCTCCTGGTGTGGGCCCGCCGACTGATTTGAAGGATGCGGGCGCTGGCGTGGAAGGAAGCGGATTGATCTTAGTTTTCAACTCAGACTCACCACCGCCAGTAGCGGCCGCTCCTGCGTTCTTCTTAGGCGAAGAGGAAGATGACGCCTTCATGGATGGCGCACCCCGAGCAGGAAGAATCTGGTTTTCTGGTGCAACATCATCCTCGTCCGAAACCACTGGCGTCCCTTCCGCACTGTTGATAACAAGGCTGCCAGACTCCATCATGCTGCCAGAGGTCTTGGCGCCGACGAGGATAAACAGCAGGGGAAATGATCAGATAGCGGAAGGAGCGTCCTCAGGATTCCCCTGGTGGTGCTCGCTACAACGTCGACCTTGTTGCACTACATTCTTTCCCGTCCTCCAGGTCTGTGGCATGACGCCCCTGCACATCATCTTTACAACGTCTTGGTTCTTCCTCATGATAAACTCCTGAAGTCGAAGTAGGTTGTTTTCTTTTTGCTAGACTGCTTTTCTTTCTGCATAATTGCCCGCTGAGATAGTACATAGAAGAGCTACACCCCGCTAGAGCTCTTGCGACAGCTTAAAGTTCTTCTTCTTTATACGTTGCTTGTGTTGCTTCTATTGGACGAGCCTGGTAAGATTGGTCTGTCACACACAGTCAGGCAAAAGCTATACAAATTCTACAGGATGGATCCACCGCCGTGTATGCGTCGTAGTACTAGAGAATAGAGCTCTAGAACTTACTCCTACTCGTCTAGTACGTTTTTTCCCGCGCTTGAGAAGTCTTACCGCCGCGCTCATTACTACTTCTACTCATCGTGCTCGTGACCACAACCCACCGCTTTTATGTTTTGAATCGTCTTTCATCTGCATCCTACTTTCCTATGTGCTTTCTATCAATCTGACAGCAAACGACATGAAGAAGTTGCCGACAGAGAACTAGCACGGTTTGTGTTTCTTCGCAGGCAACTACACGGCCTTTCACTTTTTCTCCACGCACGACCAGCAGCTCAGTAAGTTACACTTTGAACGTTGATACTTGATACTCTACACTTAATCTAGTATCACCCCGATTCCACAAACCGCCTGACAAAACCAAAAAACACGCTGCTAGATCGTGATGAAAAAAGGCGACAGATAATAAAGACCTGCGGCCTCCTCAATCCGTCGAGACCACAACAGACGGACCGAATCTGACAGAGTTTCAGTTACGGTTCGTTTGACATTGACCTTGATAAAATACGTTAAACCGAACAACAGAACAAAACGGACAGGAAATCATGGACATTTTCAAGGACGACCGAAGAGGCACACACACAGCACGACTCCGCACGGATGATAAACCACCCAAGAACTGCACACGCAGGAATTCCTGGGTCAGCCCCAGCTCGGCCGGCTAGCAAAAATTTTAACAAGTCGTCGCTTGTGTTGAAAAAGAAGTTTGCTCTTCAAGACGAAGAGTTTTCTTGCGATCCAAATGTCAAAACGAAATTATAGAAACTTCAAGTTGTACAAAGTCGGTCTGTGTTCTTGCGCTTGCGGTGTTCGCGTTGCTTCTGATCTCATCATCATTCAGGTGAATAGGGTTCAAAATTATACTAGGGAGTCTTACTTTTTCTTGTTGTCTTCATTTTGGATGTTCATGTTGATGTTGTTTCATAACTCGTTTAACCATCGACGGCAGGCCATTAAGTTCTTATCGGTTTAAAAATCTTCTGCATCTCATGAAGATCTCATTCTGACAATCATTGCTGCGAAGATTCCTCGTTCCCGGTTGTATTTTCAAGGGCCCCCGCACTCTGCTGCTGCATTTGCACTCTCACCCTGGCCAGGGCCATGTCCCTTTCTGCGTTCTTCATGTAGTCTTCGCTCATCTCTGACAGAGGTGCGTAGACACACCGCCCCTCCGTGTTCTTCCATCGATCGACCGCCGTGGTTGAAAAATCACTCACATTCCCGTGGCACAAGCCCCAAGAACCCCGCGCAATCTCGCCAAGAAGCTGCGTGCGGGACCACCGCGCGTCTCCCCAAATGCAGAAAATAACGGGCTTGAAACTCGGTTGTTGCGACAGCTGTTTTGCAGCTGCCTGTTGTAGATCTACTTCTTCTGAGGGCGATGTTGGCGATAGCAATTTGTCGACAGTTCCTGTTGTACCTACCTTTGTCATCTTCGTGGATGTCGATGCGACAGATTCTGTGACTGTTGAAGTCGTTGTAGTTGAAAGCATCGTGGATGCGGTTGCTGAAGTACAATCTGCTGGCGTCATAGTGACATCAGCGTCATCTGCGTTTACCTCCGGAGCCGCGTCTTTGGCTGCGGGGGCATCAGCAGGAACCACCGCATCGGCGCCGTCCTGTCCTTTTTCATTAGTTGCGCTAGCGGCAGCGCCAGCGGCAACAGCACCAACTACAGCATGTGCAACTGCTCCTGCTTGCGCAGCTGTAGCTCCTACAGCTGCTTCTACAGCACAATTCGAAGAGGAACTACTAGAAGACGACGTGGCCGAGGCCGACCTGGTTGTCACCGCCGACCCACTGCTCTCGGCGCATACCAGGTTTTCTGGCTTCAAAGACTTGCCTTCGCCATTCGCAAGGCGGACGAGCCAGCGACCGGAGGAACTGTGGAAGCGAAGCGCGATTCCAGACTCACCGTTGAGCTCCGGACACGATTTTAAGCCTTGGAGGCGGACGACCTGAGGTGTGCTTTCCTTTGTAGACGTCGTGGCTTGTATGAGATTTCCTCGTGTTTCTTCAAGAGAAAATCATTGGAAAAATGAAAGCCGAGGGAGCGTGTGACAAACAACGTTTCTTTTTGGCGCGCCGGACGCGACAAAAGTACAACTCAAACACATGAAATAATCCATACCTGTCCTCCCCGGATCTCGCCCTCCGCCTCACTTCTCTTCACCGCCCTAGTATACGCTGTTTCCACGGCAGCAGAGAGCGCGTTTTCCCCGGAAAACACCGTCCAGCCGCACCCGACCCCGCCGAGGATTATACACGCCCGGATTTCGTCCTCATCGCAAGGCCCGCCGATGTAGTGCTGAATCGTGACCTTGTCAATTGCCTTCTTGAACTGCACTTTACTCAGTTCCCTTTCGAAAACTCGCGGAATCATGGGCCGCGGAAGTTTCCGGGAGAGGTTCACCGCAACCACGTGGTCCTCCCCACAAGTCACGTCTTCATCAAGGAGCAACTTGATCACCTGCGGCTTGAACGGGGCGCCTGTCGGAAACGCGGTGAGGGAAGATGCGGCGGAGGAGGAAGAGGAGGACGAGGAGTTGAGGACGGCCGCTTTGCTACTTTCTGATACTGATGCTGCTCCTGCCGCTCTTTTCGTATTCATGTGGTCAACATCCTTCTCATCTCCAGCAACGCCGTAAATGAGTTCCTTGAAATCCACTTGATGTGTCGGTATGTTATTGATCGACTCCACTCGGTGACGGAAGTTCCCCGCGTGTCTTTTTACGAAAATCGGCTCGGAAAACTTCATGGGCCTGGAGGGGATCAGACTTACCATACGTGGGGAGGTTTTGGTATCATTTGGAGGCTTCTTGGATGAAGAAGCGGAAGCAGAGGAGGTTGCAGCTCCTGTGCCTGCTGTTGGATTTGACTTGTCTGCTTTTGCGTTGCCCGAAGATGACGAGCTGCTGCTCGATACAACTTGCTGTTGACCCTCCTCGTCGTCCGCTTTCACCATTTCCACGTCCTGCTGTTCCAAGTGGGGCGGCAACGCGGGACCGTATTCCGGCCCGAGCACTTCTACAGCGCTAGTGTCTTGTCTGGAAGTTGTTGATGTTCTCGTCGCTGCTCCACCTGCTACCCTGCCCGAAGCCGATCCAACTCCCTTAGCCGTATCCGTCCGCGCAGCTTTTGGGCTCGGGCCGTCTTCGTCCTCGTCTTCCTCGTCCCCAGCCGCGGCGGCGGATTCGACGTCTTTTTCAAATTCCTTCACTGCGGTCATGAGGTTGCTCTCCTCGTCCACGTCGTCCAGTTCCATACTTTTTTTTTCCACCGCTTTTGAAGTCGATGCGGCCACTACAGGAGCACCAGTATTCTTAACATCAGGCGGGTCAACAAAATTGTCGTTTTGTGCTGCATTAGCATCGTCACCAGCTGCTGATGCAGCTCTGTTGGTGGCGCCGGCCGCGTCCTTAATTATACCGTCCGCGCTTCTCTTGCTCTTCTCCTGCTCAACACCCGACGAGTTCCCTATATTTTTCTCCCCGCCGTTCTCGTCAGCCTTCTCCTCCTTTTTCCTTCTCGCCGACCGTGCGAGAAAACGGTTCTCGCTGTCGTCAAGATCCGAAGAGGACGAGCTTGACTCCTCATCGGTTACAAACTCTATATCCCCCGGTAGGCCCTCAAATTCGTCCTCCAGTTCGCCAAAATAGTTTGGCATCACGGGAGGTGCGCCCCCGCGTCCTGCCTGTAGCTCTGGAAACAAGGGCTTTCCGTTTTTGTCAATCAACAAACGGCACATCCCGATCATGGCGTGGCGGCTCGGGACCGGGATGTCCTGGCTCCGCTCCGGCTCTTCCACCTTCGTGATCAGCATCACGGCATTGATCCAGTGCTCGTGGCCGAGATTCAGGCGTGCTCGTAACGCCGCCGGGATGCCGCGAAGCTCCTTTTCTAGTTCGTCGCAAAAGCTCTTGTGGGCGCTGTGGTGAGGTGCGATCAGAATTATCATTCGCTTTCATCAAAAGATAGCAGGCTCCACAGCAACACGCACAAGATGCTAGTAGCACGGAAACGTTGAGTATGCTGAGGCAAGGGCTCTTCAAGTGAAGTTCGAACTTCAACTCCACAGACAAGAGGAAGACACGATCGGCGAGTGCAGCCCAGATGATTTTTGATTAAAAGCAACAAAGACAAACATAATCGCTTACACGATAACGCTCTTTTCCTGTATGAGCGCTGCTAGCTCTCCGCCGGTGAAGGATTGCATCAATTCGTGCCGGGTTGGCGGGGGACAGGTAAACGCCGCTTTGCACACGTTGCACGTCTGGTGCCGCAGGTCGCGGTCGTAGAACGCTGGGTGGGTGGGCTGCGTGACCAGCACCGTGCGTTGCCACCTCCGCAAACATTCCAGATGGACCCATTTCTGCCCGCCGGCGCAGTTGCACGGGTCAATCAACGGACCGGCGGTTTCGTCGTCAAAACAGTAGCGGCATAGCTTCTCCTCCGCAACAGGCGACTTGGGGGCCGCGGTGACGGGCGGGTTCGGGTTCGTGGGGGGTGAGGTGGTCATGGTTGGGGAAGCGTGTTCGTTGAGGGAGGTGGTGCTGGGTTACACTTCTTAAATGATCCTTTATTCCGAACCAAATATTACACTGGAAATGTTCACGCGGGTTGTAAATCTGTAAGAAGGAGAAACAGTAAGTGGTATTCATAAAATGCCGTTTTTCGCTTGCGCGCGTACATTCTGTAAAACTGCCGTAGCTTCTTGAGCTTCTGCGTCCAGTTTCAGAATTATCGAAGTCCTCTAAAAAGCGTGTTTGTAACTAAAACTAGCTACTGTAGTTATAGTTACTCCTGTCTCTGTCAGAAGCGGATTTCTTTTTTTATAAGCCGCACTTTCTATATTGTATTTTCATGCTAATACAGCCTAGCTGGGTTTTGCTTTCGGGGGAACCCTGAGCCAGATTGATATACATATAATCAAATGAAAACGATGCATAGCATCAAAATCACAGTCAGGAACGACTCGAGCTCGTGATCTTTGATACATATGATTAACGATCTCAGAAAAAGGACTCAAGAAACTCTTCTGCTTCTAGTTCTAGGAGGCGAACGACGGTCGCCCCACCGCGAGATTTGGACTTCCTTTCAAATATCTATACCTTTCTTTGCTCCTGCTACCTAGCTTGGTTGTTCTTTGGTTTGCACCATAAAAATTCTACTTCCTATAACATTGGCGGAAAAAAATGAAACTTGCTGTATCGCCTTGACGAGATGCAATGAATGCCCGTGCCGGGGCGGCGCAATAACTTGGAATTGCACAACTTGTCAAGAATGCATCATGAACAAAAAGTAAGTAAATACTACAAGCTGACCCAGAAGCGGCAGCACCAACCTCCATAAAGAAGAACACAGACACTAACTATGCTCAACAGCTGTGCCAACAACTGTGGCGAATCAAGGAAAATAATAAACGCGCACCACGCCACAAAGAACATGAGGGAGAATCAATGGAGCCGCGGCGGGGCCGGCTCGCGAACCACCAGGCAATGGGGCCGGGGGGCAGCGCCACCGTGTCTCTGTGTGCGCGCCGACCGGGCGGTCCTAAAGCTAAAACAGGCGAAGCAAGCGGCGGGCGGCTGTCACCCACGCACCGCGCCGCCCAAAGCGGCCCCCGCCGCTACTTCGAGGGGACATCACCCTGCGCAGACACTCTCCCACGCCGGGCGCTAACAGTTCCAAGTGATTACGGAACGAAGCCGGTACCGCCGCGGCAGTTTGCGGGCGGGGCCGAAGAGGGCGCGGCCCGCCGCCTACGCCACCCGCTCCCGCGGGGGCGCGATACGGGCGCCAGCCGGAGAGCGGGCCCGGGCCAAAGGAATGGCGGGCCGGCGCAGGGGGCTGGGCAGCACAAGCGCGCCCAAGGCGCGCGCGGAATATCGAAAGGCGGCGGCGATGGTCGTCGAATAGGTGGCAAGAGGAAAGCGCGCGCGGCGCGCTGGCTCCCTCCGCTTCGCCAGAGAAGGCGCGCCCGCTGCCAGCGCCACGGGTACCACTCCAGGAGCCGGGTGATTGAATCCCGGCCGGCGCGTCCGGGCGGGGCGCCGCGAAAAAAATACCTACGCGCGCGGGCGCAGCGGCGAAGCGCGGGCCGGGGCCCAGGCCCGGGCCGCAGGCATCACATAAGGGACAACGCGGGCGCCGGGCAATGCCCAGGCAGCCGGGCGCCTCACGCGCGGGCCCTGCGCCCGGCCGGCCCTGCGCCCTCGCGACGGACCCTGCGCCCGGCCGGCCGAGCAAGCAAGCCAGCGCGCTGCCCTGCGGTGCCGGGGGTCGGCGTTGGCGGTCGGAGCATAAAGCACCCAAAGCCCGGCGAAATCGCAGCACGGCCGCAGCGCCACCCCTTGGCACATAGATAAGGGGGCAGAGTGCGGCGCCCCAGGCCGTCGCTGCAAAGGGCGAAGAAGATTGCTACTCTTCTTTCTATCTTCGAAAATTCAACAGGCACGATCCCCATTTGTCCAAAGTATTCACATCCCACAGCGCCGGCGCGGCCTCGTCCAGTCTCGTAAAAAATAGAGAAGGGGCCCCCGCCCCACGCGCCCGGGCACTAACAGCGCCGAACAATCGAAAGCCCGCGAACCGGCGCGGGGCAACGCGGCGGGCAGCTGGTCGCCCGTCCCTGCTGATCCCCGCCAATGCTGTCGCGACTATTAGCGAGAGGCGCAGGCATTTACAGGAGCCCAAGATGGTATCTCTTCCAAATCCAACCGCAATCTATCACAAAAAGGAGAACACGTTGATGGCATCAAAGCCACAGCTGGCCTTAATTACGGACAGCTCGCTTGCTCTTTGGCTTCCACATAGACATACCGATACCACAAGACTCGAACATGAACCGTAAAACTCGAAGGAGGTAGCTCTAGTAAAAATATTTTTCGCAACGTGCGTTCTGCAGTTCTTTTTTTGCAACTGACCAAGATCTTCACAGAAGGTCCTCAAAGATTGTCTGGCTCACACCCAGCAGCAACAATCCACCAAAAAAGGTTCGCAGCGCGTCGCTTCTGTCCTTTTTCAACATGGTTTGCAGTTCCCGCTGCAAGCTGACCCTCTTAACTCGGTCTGCCTTCGCGTGTGGTGTGACGATGTGAAACACAAAGGGGCCGATCTCGATGATGGTTGCATCGTCAGCGTTCTTTTCTCCTCTGGCTGCGCCTTCAGCGCCATGGCCATCTTCGTGCTGTCCGGAATTACACGTGGCGCCGCCGTTGCCGTAGCGATTCACTGAAGATGTGCCTGTAAGATTACTCAGCAAAGTTCGGCTCCTTGTAAAGTCACGGACGTCGTTCAGCGTCATGTGGTGCCACGGTCTGCCGATGACAGACGCGGGTATCCTTGCGATCGGCAGTTTCATTTTCGTGCGCATGTGGTATCGCCGCTTAGGATCTTCGCGAAGATGGCCCTCATTCTTTTTGCGACTTGTTTCCTGTTGGCCAACGTCTGCTTCTGCCGAATATTCACATGTCGGACCTGGAAGAGTCACGTCACCAACACTTCTTGGTGCCTCATGGGTGATTCGTGATAAGGAGAATGATGAAGATGGACGTGAACCTTCGTGATCACCACTTGTTGCCGTGGGCGCTTCAGCTTCTTCTCCTCGTACCTTCCAATCACTCGCCTTATCCTTTCGAAACACATCCACTTCTAACTCGCCCTGTAGAAACGCCGGATGGTAATTTCGCAGAAAGCTGTCCAAAGAGGCTTTGTACCTCTGAAGCCGGCGTTGCAGAAGAAAATCGACGCGATTCCGCACTAGTCTGAGCTGCTCTGCGAAGGGAGGCACGTTCGCTTTTGAACCCGCTGATGGCGCTGCAGCTGCACGTCCTGTGTTCTGATTGGTACTCGCGTGATCTCGCTCCACCGAACAGCGAGCTTTCGGCTCATGGTCGTGCTGTGGTTGTCGTTGTCCTCGTTGTTGTAATTGTATATCGCTCGCTGATGAAAATACCCGACCTCCTGTTGATGATGTCGGTGGTGAGGAAGAGGACGCGCATGCGCCAGTGGGAGTAGCTTCAGCGCTTGAAGAATGCGCCGCAGCCGGAGTTGCCACGTGGGTATGTGTAGTTTTCTTGTCGCTTTCCACAACTATTCGATCAGCTGTACCTCCATCGGCCCGCCCGCTTCTCCTCCTAGCCTTTCTCGAAAAAATCCGCCGTACGCTTTTCCTGCGAAAGATCCTTCCGTCGTGACACCAGCGGATGCACTTCTTACTCATTGCCCGCTCCGCCAGCATCCTGATCGCCAACGCCCGGGCGATGCTCCGGCGCACACCCATGCAGTTCACTTCCGCGGCGATGGTTTGCTTCCGCGTTCGGTCGTACTCCGTCCGCTCCTCGAGCACAAAGTACGGCTCTTCCTCGTCGCGAAACCACTTCTATGCATTGCAAAAGTATCGTACTCGTATGTAATGCGGATTTCCCTCAAGAAAAAAATTTGTAATGCACATGCCTGCACTACGAGTGCGATACTTTTGCACAGGATAACTTCTGCTTGCGGAGCTGCTTCGGGATCGTACATTTGTCCAGATCGAAGGAGATCAGCGTGGAATCCAAAACGGCGGAAAGGGGCGCGAGGTTCGTGTCGGAGATGACGCTGTTGCTGAAGCTGATGCTGTTGCAGCCGTCGTTGTCGTGTGCGTGTGCTGTTGAAGATGAAGACGTGCTGCCACTCGTAGGTCTAGAGGAAGACCGAAACGAGTGTGGTCGTTGCGACTCGATGTCCCCATGCTCCTCGTCCCCTACTTCCCCTACTTCCGGCAGCCTCCTCAAAGTCGGAAATAGCTTCTTCGCCCACACAGGACCGAAGATCTCCACAGCCCGGGATCGCGTGCTCTCAGTCGCCTGCTGCCGCAGCTCGTTTTCCGTGAGTTTCCCAATCGTCAGGATGCGGCGGAAGCCCCCCGCGTAACGCAGAGTGAGCTCGTAACGTGGTGGTAGTGGAGTGCGGGTCGGCCGATCGCGTGGACTTCTGGAGGATGAAGAGGATGCAGCAGAAGAAGTTGTAGAACATGATGGTGAAGACGCAGCAAGATCCTGATTGGAGGGCACCGACAGCACCGTCGTCGTTTGTGTTCCAGCCATTAGATTTTCGCCTCGTCCTGTGCTAGTACCTTCTGCAACCCCCAACATCGGCGTGGAATCATGCGCAATGATTCTCCTGCAACTCACGCTGCTGCACTGTCTCGTCACCGCGTTTCGCAGCGCCGTCATATTTGTCACCAGATGGGTCCGGAAGGCAGACCGGAGGAGCAGCAGTGGCATGATCCAAAACAGCTTCGGCGGACAAATCGGCGCGACGGACAGGCACATGCTCAAATGCCCGACCGAGTTAAACAACATGGACAACGCGCTGCTCTGTCGCCACCGCTCGAACAGGTGGTGGAGCGGTTGAGTAGTGGCGCCCGTCTGTGTCTGCTGGAGACGCCATAGGAGCTTCGGACGGGGGTTTCTACTACTCGGCAAAAAAGCCACCTTCATGTCCAATCTTGTTCTTGCGTCCACCTTGTCGAGCGGCGTCGACGTTGGTGGGGTTCTTTTTGTGCCACGTCTTCTGAAGGAGGCGACTCTCGAGGTCGACCACGCCGGGGTGCTGCATTTTTTCGTCGTGGACGACGGACACGGTGAACTGGACGAAGAGAACGCAGCCGAAGCTGCAGATGAAGAAGACTCCCAGCAGCGGCCACTTGCTTCATTTGGAGGGACCGGATTTTGTGACGGCTTTGCTGAGGGCTGAAGAGAAGTACCCGCTCCGTGGGCTCCTGTCGTCCTTTCCGGTCGTCGTAACAATGATCGACTCGCCCGCCTTCTGACTGCGGCATGTCGCATTGCGGTGCTCGTCGCAGCTTTTTGGCAACGCAAGATGACGCGTTAGCCAGAATGCGCCGGTTTCCTATACCAGTGTCGAATCGCGCCAGGAGAGGAGAGGCAGCGCGCCCGCCTTCTCCTCGTCTTCAGAATGCAGTACTGAGATGCAACATCTTCGTGACAGCCGAGAAAGAACTCGATCACCAACAAGCCATGAGAGAGCCAGGAAGGAAGCTTCTTCTTGTTGGCGTCAAAAAGACGAACACGACTACGCTCTCCGAACTCTTTCAGAGCCCTCCCCGGGCTGTTTAGTAGAAAAGCACATCATGCCATCTATTACGGCGAAGAAGCTAGGGCGTCTTTGTAACTTAGTAGCCAGCTACACCTGCGTCTCTCAACAATATGAGTACTGGTAGATGATCTGCCGCGGCGCAAAACAACAACAAAAAAATAGAACCAACGGTGAAAGGCAGTGCTTCCATACTAGAATGGGTGACGCGAATAGAAATAGGGCCGGGGGGGCAGTTGTATCGACACAAACACCCGCCAGACGCGTTCCGCGATGTGGGAGAAAATGAACAGCACTTGACTCGCATCCATGACAAGGTAGGCACCAGCCAGGCCCCTCCGCCTTCTCCCGAAGGCCGAAAAAGGTCCGAGGACCTGCTGCGGGATGGGTCGTCAATCAAAGATAGAAACTCCGGCCCACACCAACAAAAAACACAACAAACGGCGGGCGGCCGCGCAAACATCATGGGCCTTTGGCCCAAGCGACACAGCGAACGAACGCAACCAAGCACCGACGCAACCAAGGAAGGCCCGCCGGCCGGGGGCTGGGCCCGCGGCGGGCCGAAGGGCCCCGCCACCAAAGAAAACACAGCAGCCGGCGAGCCGGCCCCGGCCGGCGCCTGCGCCAATTAAGGTCCATCCACACCCCCTCGCCCCCGGCGGGAAACAGAGGCGCCAAACAAGGGCCCTCCAAGCTGCACGAGCACGGGGGCGTCCCGGGCTGGGGAGGGGGCGTCAGGGCGCCAAATGGTGGGGGGCGCTGCTGCTCCTCGCACGCGCCTCCCGGGATGCGGCGCATTCGCCAAAGCAAGCGCGGCGCGCGGGCAGAGGCGGCGCGCGCGCTTCTTTCCTTGTTCGCTGTTCGCTTCCGCGGCGAAGGGGGGGCGGAGTGAGCTGCCCCGGCGTCGGCGCTTCCATTTCATACACCGGCGGCGTCTCGATGCCCCCACAGAGGTATGCTTCACCCACACCGTTGCCGCGCGCACGCGTCACCTTAGTGCCCTCTGGCGCGCGCGCGCCGTCTCCGCCCGCGCGCGCCAAGAAAGAAGCGCCAGAGGCGCGCGCGGGCGGAAAGAAAGAACGAAGCGCGCGCGCCAGAGGCGGCCGCGGCCGATCTATCAATCTGGCGCCTAGCCGGCCCAAAAAGCTCGGGGCGAGGCCCCCAATGTACGCGGCTCGCCCCCCCCCCGGCCTTCGTGCCCTCTTCCTTGATCGACCAAGCGAAGGGCCCGCGCGGAGGGCTGCGCAGCGAGGGCCTTCGCGTCGTGCGTTAGCTCCAAGGCCGCGCCGGGCTCTTGCTTCACAGGCCCGCCGCGAACTAAACGCGGCATCTGCGCCGGGGGGCTCTGTCTCCCTCCGTGGCCCCCCACCAGCAGGCCGGGGCAACTGCAAAGAACGAAAGGAAGCCGACCCGCGGCGGCGGGCCGGATGCGGGGCCCAAGGAAGTGACTGCGAGGCCAACAACAAGGCGCGCCCCCCTTCGTGCCCAACGTCCGGGCGCAGTGTTGGCCCGCCGTTTCTAGCGCCACCCAGGCGCAGCCCCAAGAAAGGTCCCGGGCGCAAACGATGACGACGGCCGCGCTTCTGAAAACAATCCCCGCGCTGCGGGCCTTTGTTTCGTTTATTCGTGGCGCGGTGGCCAGCTCTCCGCGTTGCGGGGGTTGTACTTAAACGGCCGCGCGGAGGTGCAGACACTCTTCCGCGCCCACTTCTCCAGCCCGGAGGCTGCTGCCCTACCTCTGCGCATCCTTTCCACATCCGGGCGGCAGGGCCTGGCGCCTTTGCGCGCGCTATTTGTGCTATTGGGATCTTCGTCTTTTTTTAAAAATCGTCGGGGCGAGGACGCGCCGCCCGTGCGCTCAGGCGAAACCCCACTGCATCTTCATGCCACGACTGGCGTAGTAAGATTGAGAATACAGGAACAACATCGCACAACATCAACGCGCGCGAATATGATCCGCCCGCCCAGATTTACAGAGGCGAGACATGTGCCAACTACGTGACACCAAGCTTATTCTTGCACGCTGCGGCCGCCGCCGAGATGCGGCTTGTGCCGAAGTAGCAGTGCTGTATTCTGTAATTGCAGCTGGGGCTCCCGCCCTGTGTGGATCGCCATGCAGGGGCGGTGTTCTTCTTGGAAGTGCTAGTCTCGCCTGCAAAAAAATGAAAATCGGCAAGAATGACATCACTAGTAGCAAGGAAGTTAATCGTGCAAAATCGAGAACCGGGTCCCTCACAACTCATCATCCAGCCCTGTTCCAACCCGTCCTTCTGCCTTCCCGCCCTGAAAAATCTCCGGTGTGTCGATCCATGCTCGTTCGTAGAGTTCCCGCTCTTTTGGAATGTTGTAATTCTCCATGCGCCAGTAGCCCCGGGCTTTGGTGTTCGCGTCCCGACAAGTCCCCTCGTTCAACTTCCCGCCGTCCATGCACCGGTGTCGGTTACCGTGGCTGCCCGGGTGCGCATTCTTGATCAAATTGCCGAAAAGATCGAAGCCCCTGTTTGGATAATTTGACGCTGACCCCTTGCACTTGCGGGAAACAAAATGTGAGTCATGCAAAAGCGCAAGGGGATTATGTTTATGAGTCTCTACTAGCTCGTACAGCCTACTTCACGTTCCAGTGCCTGTAACTACTGCTACCTCGACTCAAAATCAATCGAAATCCTCTACCATTGCTGCCCCATTGCCTCCCCAGCGACGTCACAGACATACGTCGTGACTTTTCCGTTGTTCGGAATGTCGTCCAAGCACTGGTCCGTGTTCCACGCCCGAATGCCCCGCATCCCGGGGAACTTCGACTTATTCGCCCAGTGGAACCGCTGTCGGTGGTTGTCGCTGTCACACGGCTTCATCTCCACGTGCCCCCGACCGTCCCCACTGGTCCCCGGTCCCTTCATGTACTGCAAGCACATATCATTCTTCTTCGGGTTGTACTGCCGGTTATTGTAGTCCGTCGACTTCACCAGCTCCTCCCGCTCTGCGATGGATTTGAAGCCGTCGACCCCGAGCGATTTATCCTTTTTGAAGTTCGACTCCGGCTCGATTTTCGTGACAGCCGTTCGGTGGTCCCACCGCAGCATGAAAGTGTACTCCGGAACCAATCCGCCCTTCAGGTAGACCAAACCAAACCGCCAGATAAACCAGGAGAAGTCGCGGCACTGGAGGTTGTTTTTGATCTCCAGAATGTTGCTGATATTCCCGTACCACGGGGCTTTGCCGCTGGCTTCGTCCGGATCTTTCACGCCGCGCGCGTACGGGCCGTATTTGAACTCTTCAGACATTTTGTCGGCGTAAAGCCCCGTCCAAGCCTTTGCTGCGCGGAATCTGATTTTCTTTTTTCAACATCATGTGATGTAGTTTATCATGATCTTCGTACGTACTTAACATTCACGACGGCGGATGAAGCTTTTTTTCCATTTGAATTTCACATAGAAGACACAGCTTCGTCGCGTTTGATCTCTTTCTTCACAAGTTCAATCTCCAACAACATCGACGAAAATAAATCAACTTCTACCTGTTAACCATGACACTATTCGGCGGCGTGGTAAATCTGGCGGTCGTCCTCGAGTCGTGCGGTACCCGCCACATATGCGCCACGTAGCTGGTCGGCGCGTTTTTCACTTCGCCTCCACAGAGCCACGACCGCAACGCCTGGTCCAGGTTCTCTCCGCCCCACCCCCGCATCACTGGGTCGTACCCGCCCGTCATGTGCCACCACCGGCGCGACATCCCTAGTAGACCCCCGGAGAGAACAGGAACATCGTCGTCCGCAGAATTGAACCATTTAAAATCTGCGTCGAAGGTGAGATAGCATTTCGCTTGTCCGTTGTTGCGTAGTCGTTCTGTCCACGTGTCAATGTCCAGGTCGGTGATCATGGGGACTATGATCCGCTTGAAGTTCTCCCCGATTTTCGAGAAGAACGGCTTGTACCTAGATTTAATATTTTCAGTGCATGGGAAAGGGTTTCGTCATATTACTTACATATTTCAGCACCGGAATCTCGTCCTGCAAGCCATCAAACTCAACAGGTCGGCGAAAGGCGCGAAAGAAACTTCATGATATTCATATACATATTCAGATTTACGTCCCGAAATGAAAATGATGAACTTCACTCAACATGTGTACCAGTCTTTCTGCGGCGCGACGTGGCAATCAAAAAACACAACAATATCTCCCTTCGCGGCGTCTCCGCCAGATTTCTTCGCCCCGATTAAACCGTGCGTGGTGTCGTGCCGTACCACCGTCGTATTAAACTTTCGCTGCACTTTCTTGTTGATCCACCTTTCGTCCAGCCGCGGGCTTGAGCCGTCGTCAACGACAATGATTTCTAGCAGCTTGTCCCTTTCCGCCTTGGGAAAGGACTTAAACACCGCCTGCACCGTTTTCCTGGCGTACTCGTGTTCGTTCGCGCAGGGCAGGACGACCGACATGGTTTTTGGTTCGAACGACAAATCGATGTCCGTTTCCAAGGCATGGTTGCACTTCGGATGCGAGGTGTCGCTGTCAATGTAGCACTTCAGCTGCCCCTTGTCGTTGTAAACTTCGGGAAGATTAGTGGTGGCAGCGGACGACGCGGCAAGGTCGAACTGGAAGAAGCAGCTGCACCCGAAGAGTAGTATCACGACGGGGGCAAAAAACGAAGACGAAGCGACCAATGCAAACATCTTCCGCTGGTGGAGAGGGTAGCTCATGGCCGCTTGTCCCATACGGCGTATAGTCCTGTTTGTCTTGCCAGTTCGTCGTGGTCTTCAAGATCAAGCCGTCGGCGGAAAACTAAACAAATGCATTAAAAAGACGTTCTTGAAGATGGTGTGAAAATGCTGGGTTCTTCGTTTCTCACCACGGTCTTCGTAATACTGGCATCAAATTGCTCAGATTCAGGACACAAGATCAAGAAAAAGAAAGAAGAAAAGAGCCGCGCGCCGCAATGACACTAACGACTGAAGACCGTGACCGCAGATGCAGAAGCAGCGGGCACAAAAAGTCCTAGTACCTACAAGTGCAAGATGATTGACGCTGTCGCAGACGCTGGGTGATAGAGCAGATCTTCGGCGAATTGGTCGGCCGACGAGTCAGAGTTTATATTGTTTGAAAAAAGTAGACCAACAAGCCCACCAACAAGAAAACTGTTAACAATCTTTTTCTTGTTTTTTTTTGATTCCCATTCCTTTTCCTGCTACAGCGAAATAAACGAGATCGGAAGTGGAGAACAATTAGAGCAGGCGAGAGAATCGCAATAAACTACTTGTCACCGACGCTCCCACGGCATGCAGGCGGTCGCGGTGTCGTGTGCATTCTCTAAATTTCATCTCATTCATACGATCAACTCAGAAAAATTTTCTGCAGGAATTATTAGTCTATGGCGTATAGTCGTTTCCACTAGCGATGTGACTCTTCATTGCCTTTGTTTCCGCTTTTCGTTCACAACTTTACAAAGAACTCGTATAGTAACACAGAAGAAAGTCCTAACTTATTTTCTTGCTTCTTCATCCGATGGTCAGATTGGTTCGTGATCAGCTTCCGGTAACTTTTTGATTTAACTTTTCTTACTTTATTCTTTCCAAGAAGTGGATCATGAAGTAGTCATATTCTCAAGTGTGGGGAGCACATACATGTTCATGTTGTCGACGATCAGTATGACACTACTAGTGCCGAATGATCTTCATTTTGATAGTTTTCCACCGCATGTACAACTTTAGATGTCGTGTCGCGTTTCAGTTTCATTTTTCTGCGAGAGCTGAAATTAACCATGATGTACAACATTTCTCTGCTCACCACCAACCTCCCTTTTTTCCTCCTCCACCACCGGTTTTGTTATTCATCATGCCCCCGCCAAGTTTTCCACCACCTTTGCCATAATTAGCACCTCCTTTGTTCATAGCGTTTCCACCTCCTCCCTTAGGGCCGAAGTTCGGACTTCCACTTGGGCGGGGTCCACCAGGCTGGTTCATCCCATTGGTGGTGTTGTTGTTTCCACCAGCTACGGGACTCTCGTCATCTGTGTCAGACAGAGGAAAAATTTACATTGATCATCTTACATGCAGGATATGCATCTTCCTCCTGGGGCAGGGAGCTTCTGTTGCAGCAGCGGTAGCAGATGTTAAAGTAGTCAAATGTGTTCAAAATGTGTGGCAGCTGTAACCATTTTTCTGTGCGGGATGTTTCACTTTCGGTTCTTACTAGAGATTATGCGAATCAATCAAACAACTCGTATGCCATGTCCATGTGATGTCACCATATAGATATTACCATGCGGTAAAAAGACTACTATACTAAAACCATGAATAAACCCAAATACACGTGGTGTATTTGGGTTTATTCATCTATAAAAGTGGTGTAACACCACTTCTAGTATCGTCTAAAAATCGGCTAAAACTCATCTTCATCACTGCTACCTTGCACGGTTGCGTCGGATTCCACCGTGTCTTCTTCGTCCGAATCCGCCTTGGTAATCTTTTTCTGAGTCCCGTTGGCGTCAATCGAGAACATCTCCGTGCGCATGCTCTTCTTGATTCTCTCCCTTTCGTCGTCTGGGACCCCGAGCTCTCGTAAGACCACCGTCGTCACCGTGGCGGCGAGATCCACCACGTTGGAAAAAGCCTCTTTGAACTTGTCCATGTCGGGGTCCGTGGAGGAAACGATGATCTTTAACCGATTATCCGCCGGCGCCTGCGCGTGCGCCAGCCCGTGGAAGGTGACGCCGGTGCCGGGCCATTTTGTCAAGATGTGCTTGAAGTATGCATCGTCCTCCCCCGCAATCTTCTTGTGCAGATCCCGGGCCGGGAAGGTTTCCGGAGGGAGAAACACGTTCCCCGTGAACTGCTGCCGCCCGAGTTCCCCGCCGGCCAGCAAGGCCGCGGCGGAAACGGGTCGAGAAGAAGAACTGCTGCTGGCGGGTTGCTGGTTGTTGACAAGGTTTATTGCACCTGTTGCTGCACTGGAGCTCGACGCCGAGGATCCACCTCCCCCGAAGTTCAATACCGGACCCGTTGGATTTGCCGCGGCTAAGGCCGCTTGCCGGGGGTCGATCGCGGGTCGGTCGGGTTGCTCCTGGACGAGAGTTTTCAATAGTTGCATTTGCGGCCCCTGGTTCATCAGCAGCGGCCCTTTCTTCCGCTGCTCTTCCCTCTCGATCTCCGCTTGTCGGGAGGCCGCCGCGCCCTTCAAGGTGCGGAGCTTGATGAATTGCTGTGCCAAATACTCCTGGATCTTCCGCAACGCGTCTTCGCCCGTCATGCCACCGGGCAGCTGGCCCTTGCCCTGCATGACGCCCATGTTTTGCAGCGTCTGGTGTTTCCCCTTGCACTGCTTGATCAGCTCGATGGTCTTCTGCAGCTCCTGCTTCTGTTCGTCGTTCAGCCACTTCTCGATTTGGAAAACGGCCGTGTTCGTCGGGTCCTGCTGATTTTGTTGTTGACCTGGTGGCCCTCCTGCCCCAGCACCGGAGGAAGAACTACCTGCCGATGAAGAATTATTCATCGTCTCCGACGGTTTATTCATCGTCTCCGCCGCCTTATTCGGGTTAATCGCCTGCATCGCGAGCGCCGCGATTTCCGCCTGGGCGCGCTTCTTTTTCTCGGCCTCTTCCTGCTCCTTCCGCTTTTTCTCCTCTTCCGCTTTCCTCTTTTGCTCCAATTCGGCCTGCTTCTTTGCCAGTTCCTCTTGTCGTCTTCGTTGCTCCTCTCTTTCGCTCTCCAACACGACGATGTTCTGCGCGGCACCCGCATCCACCAGTTTCGCGGTGATGCCCGTTTTTTCGCCAATCTGCTTCTCGCGTTCGACCATCAGCAACGCCGGCGCTTTCGCGGAAGTCGCTTGAATGGGATTAGGCGGCAGGTTGCTATTGTTGTTGGCGGGGTTGATGCCCATCATCATGTTGCTAGTCTGCTGATTGTTCATCATCATCGGCTGGTTGATGTTGTAATTTTGCCCGCTGTTATTTTGCATCTGATTCATCATCGGGTTGTTGTTTGCATTCATAATTCGCTGTTGATTCATCGGATTATTGTTGTTCATCATGCCCTGCTGTGGTAGTGACCCCGCGGCCACCAGCCCGGCAGGTGCAGAAGGACCAGTCTGCGCGCCACCACTTTTGGCAGCTGCCGGCGGGTCGACGACCGCTGCTTTCGACACTGCCTTTGCCATCGACGCCTTCTGCAGGTTTTCCGCGGCTACTGCTTGTTGATCGATGACCGGCTGTTTGGGTCTCTGCGGGATGATCGGCGCCTCCGGCTGGTCGATCTTCAGCGCGTCCAGCCCGTGCTCTTGCGCGTACAGATTCTGTTCCATCGGCGGGTTGGGCAACCGCCAGTCGACCAAGTAGCCGTAGTAGCAAAGCTGGGTCTTCCTGTTCCCCACCGGTCGCTGCAGCGCGAGTGTGGTTTCAGACATGGTGGTTGCCGTGATTTTTTTATCCACCTGAGGTGCAGCGGACATTTGCGGGGAGTTCAGCGGCTTGCTCGCAGCTCCTGTCGCCTTGGCCGGCACAACCGCACCGGTTTTCGGCGACTGTCTCGGGGATGCATGGGGGGAGGGTATGGGGCCGATTTTACTATTTGCTGCGGTGCCGAAATTTGTTTCCAAGGCGCCTTCTTCTTCCACCACGATCTCCACGGGCGCTTTCCTGCCGAGCATTTTCAACTCTTTGTGGACATCCGCTAGCCCTGAGGGGTATCCGACCTTGTCTTTCACGGACTGGGACTTGTGCAAATCCGAATACACCGCCCAGGGGTACTTCATCATCATCAACAACTCCTCATCGTGCTTCTCACACCGCACCACCCCGCGCGCGGCACGCAACCCGTCAGCGACCTGCTTGAAGCTCGTCACAGTTGAGGGTAAAAGTCCGGACTGAAACAAAACCCGTGCGAACCGGTCCACCGCGGCGTCGGACAGAGCAACATGGTGCCCGGCGAGCAAACTGTTCGCGAAGCAGCTGTTGCTGTAGCGATTTCGCCGCGCTTTCCTCGACTTCTTCATCTTCTTCTTCACAATCGCGGAAATATTTGGAGGCAACTTATTACTTCTTTTCACAATAGCACCTGCTCCTGCTGGCTTTGCCATCGCTGCTTTCGGCTTGGGTAGTGCGGCGAGTAGCGTCGACGCCGCCTTCCCCTTCAAGGAGCCGCTCAAACCGGGTCTATTAGAGGACCCAGTTCTCTTCAAGCCACCCGCTGTTGGCGAATTCGCGTTCTCCGCCTGGTCGATTAATTTCAATAAATTCGCCTCCTCCGGGACCTCCACCGGGCTATGAACTGTAAAAGTGTCTGGGTCTGGAAGATTGCAACTTGTGATGCTAACTTTGGACTCTAGAAAAATCTGCATTGCATGACCCGCAAGAGGAGTCTAGTTTGTGCTACGCGGGGAGGGCGTTTGTCATGCGGAGTAGGCATCAGGAAGCCCTCTCAAAATCTGTGATGCGCGGTCGTGCATTACAGACATCCTGGGTCATGCAAAACATGCATGAGAAATTTCAGAATCTTCCAGACCCAGACATTTTTACATTTCATACGGACCGTGGACTAACGATTGTGTGGCGATCAACTCATTCGGCTCAAACCAGTACGGGCGCTACTATGCAATACAAATTTTCCGTACATGATGTACAAGATGCATGGATCACAAATTTCACCAATATAGGGCGCCGTAAAACTTGTCATGCTAAGGTAGGATCGAAGCCATGTTTTGTCATGCAGAGACCGCATTTGTACGTCGTGTACGGGAAATTTACTGTGGATAGCTGCCAGTCCGACAGCATGGCGATGAACGCGTTTATGATGTCGTTGAATTCCGGATCGCCGCAGGCTTCGAAATCCGGCAGGTCCAACCCCGGGATTTCGAAAATGTTGTTCTGGAATTCGGACCTCAGTTGTGGTTTCCCGAACCAATTGGTTCGGACCAAGTCCTTCGGCTCCTCCAGTTCCTTCAACAGATTCTCCTGCTGCTCCTTTTCCCTCTGCTTCTTCGTCATCTTCTTCGCGGCGGTCGCGCTGGTCGTCGTGCCGCTGCCATTATTTTCGTTTTCCTCGCCGTCTTCATCAACTTCTGCGTTGGGGTTCTTTTTATCGACGTCAGGAAGTGCTTGTGCTGCTGCGTCTTGTTGCTGTGTCAACGTCTGTTGCTCCTCCGCGAAGGTCTTCGCGAATTGAACAAAGTTGTCCACTTCTTTCGAATATCCCTTGCAGAACCGGTCGATCTTCGCGGCGAGCGGTTTAAATTCCTCGGAAGCCGGGAACTGAAACTTCCAGTCCTTTTTGATCTCCCGGACCGGAACTTCCGTGGTGTAGATCGCCTCGAAGGGGACCATTGGGTAGAAGGGATGGTGCTCGGGGCCGGCGGGGAGGTTGTTTCCCGAGTTTCGCCCGCCCTGGTCGTGATTTTGTTGGTTGCTCGTGTTGAAAACATCCTGGATTCTGGCGTCGACTTGGAGCCCCAAGTCGATGTTTTCCATGATTTCCTTCAGTTTCTTCTTCACGATGACCACCTGCTCGGGCGACTCCGCGCGCACCAGCATGTGCAGCCTCTTCTCCGAGTCCGCGTATTCCGTTTGGGTTCTCGACGTGATTGTCCCGTCCCTGTGTAGTACCGAGCTCGTGATCGAGACCCGGCCATTATGCCGGTCCCTCTCAATGTCGTCGTCCCAGATCATCTTGCTGCTGTCGTTGTAATATGCATTGCAAAAGTATCGTGCTAGTATAAATCGCATGGCAAATAATTTTTCCAAAATGAAAAGTGGAATGTGTCATGGTGATTCAGGTATAAATCTACATCTTCTGCGATGCTAAAACAACCGCGCCGACATTGCCATTGTCCGGCGTCGCTGGGGAGGCAAGCCTCCGCAGGGGCCGGAGCGGCATAGGGTCAGAATCTACATCTGTGATGCAAGACTAGCATGTATACGAGTACGATGCTACTTTTGCAATGCATATGCAAAACTGGTCCAATTCCGGAAACTTCCGCAAATCCGGGGAAATCCCGACCCCGCGGAAATATATCCGGGTTCCGGATTCTTGCTCCATTAGTTTATGGTTCCCACCGCCCCTCCCCAAAATCCGGGACATCACATTGGCGCCGTAGAGATACCGTTGCAGGTAGTCTTCTAAAAAGATCTTCTCCACGTGCTTCCAGTCGCTGATTGGAACCGGCGGCGGGCCGTGAATCGGCGGCTCCGGTTTCAGGTCAGATAAAGGTTTAGTATTTGCGCCGGTGTTCTTGTTGTTATTGTCGGCGTTTCCTGCATTTTGATCATTTACTTGGCCCGAAGATGATGTGTTGTTATTCTTTGCAGAACTCGGCTCGCCTTCCTTTTTCCTCAGACTCGGAATAAGGAAGCTATCCTCTTCGTCGCTACTGCTCATATCGTCGTCGTTGTAGAAATCTGGGAACAGCGAATCCCTTCTTTTGTTCGGACTGTCAGGATGGACCGTCGCAACATCGCCGGAGGAGGCCGCTGCCGCGGTTGTCGTGGGCGATAGGGTCGGCGCAAGGGTTTTTGCAGTTGATGCCGCCGCGGTGGTGGTTCCCGCCGGACCTCCTGGTCCGCTAGACGACGAGCTACTGTGACTTGCGTTCTTGTATCCTGAGTAAAAACGTACCCACACCAGAGTCAGGATGGGGATTTTGCAACACAAGCCTAGGAGTTTTGTGAGTCACGCATGACAAGCTGCGCTATGCAGTGTAGTGCAGGTTAGCAAGTGCAGCCGCATCACAGATTCATCTGCTCATCCTGTTCACAGCGTCGCAAATTCCAAAACACGACTGGAAATGGCTCTCATGGGGATGCGCATTACAAGTCTTCCTGTCTTTGCAAATCTGCATTACAACTCTGGTGTGGGTACGTTTTTACTCAGGATATCTTGATCGCGGTCGTCAGCGGGTCTGGAATCCCCTGCTCCTTCCGGAATTCTATCGCAAGAAAAAACTGTTTCACTGTAAACTTGTAATGCAGAAACTGCATCTCAGAAGTGTTTGTCTTGCTACACATGCAAGACAGGCGATTTTTAGCTGTGTTTTCCCTTAGGAACCTCGCATGGCAAGTTTTCCCTGTCATGTGTAACGAACTTGTCATGCCAAACTTGCAAAATCCTTACAGTGAAACACTTTTTTCGCACGATAAATTCCGACAAAGGCTGCACTGGTAACGGCGGCTGCCGCCCCCCGAACGCGTCTCTTTGGCCCTTGTAATTCTGGGCGTTGGTCAGGCTCGTCTGGTCGTGGAGTAGCATGGGGTTTTTCAACAGCGCTTGATATCCTGAATAAAAACGTCCCCACACCAGAGTCAAGCTGGGAAATCTGCTAGACAAATCTGTCAGCTTTTGCTGTTGCGCATGACAAGTTAGGCCTCGCAGTGTAATCCTGTTTAGCTTGTTCAGCAGCATCACAGTTCTAGCATATCATGATGATTCTAGCATCACAAATCCCACAACACGACTAGAGACTGCTTCTCATGGGTCTCTGCATGAGAAACATTTTCAGCATGCAGATTTGCATTACAACTCTTGGGTGGGGACGTTTTTACAAATGATACTTGACACAAGGGGTCGACTTCGGCCGGAAACACCAACCCCGACTGTGACAACACCGTGATCTCATCCACTAAAGCGGTGATTTTCTCCGGCGGTAGGTGCATTCGGCGCAACGCCTCGACACTCACGCCGCCCCACTGCTTCAACTTGTGGAGTAGTTGTTGCATTTTGAACATCGAGAACCTTGTCGTGACACACGTATCGCTGGTTCTCCAACTCGCCAGCTTCTCCACCGCCTCTTCCACCCTCCGATACAGCGCGTCCTCCGTCCGGTCTTCCGGCTCCGCGTTTGCCAAGTCCACCTTCGTGAACCGGCACGGCTTATCGCACTCCTCGATGGTGTGGCCAAACTCGTGGCAGTTCACGCACACCGCGTTTTCCCGGTAGTTCTCCTCAATTTTCTTCTCCAACCACGGATTGCTGCAGTACTTCCAGGCTCGTCTTTCCCGGATGGACTGCTTGGTCCCCTGCTCCGCCGTGGGGTCGAACACCGCGTTGTCCAGTCTCTGCTTCACCTTGCCCCAGTCGTGCAGCGTGTCGGTCTTATCAAATGTAAAAATGTCTGGGTCTGGAAGATTGGGATTGCCAGGCTTGTCATGCACATTTTGCATGACTCCTGATGTCTGCGATGCATGCCCTAGCATCACAGATTTTGTGAGGGCTTCCTGATGCCTATACCGCATGACAAATGCTCTTTCCGTGTAGCAAAACTTGGACTCTCTTTGCTGCTCATGCAATACAGATTTTTTTAGAATCCAAAATCAGCATGACAAGTTGGATTCTTCCAGACCCAGACATTTTTACAGTTGATAAGTCTGGAAATCGATTAAGTTCCTGATGTTCAACTTCGTGTGTTTGTCGTCGCCCATGGGAACCTCATTGGTATTTTCATATCGCGCTTTCTGCTTCTGGATGTGGTTGAAAATCATCTGCCGGGTCAATTTTAACGGCCGGTGGTCGAGAAGGGTTTCATCTTCTACGTTGTCGGGGGCGGTCGTGTCCTCGTTTCGATCGTGTTCCGGCTCGAACTCATCAGACGTGTACGAAACGTCGCGGTGGATCTGTTTTGTTTCGAAGTCGATAAATCAATTAGGAAACATGCATGAGAACATAAACATGAGGCACCACACATAGGTTCTTCACTGACACTGGTTGTTCCTACCAATAAAGCACGACAAATCATATACGAAATTTTCATTCTATTACCGCCTGCTGGTGTTGCGACTGGTGATAACTGCGGATCGCCTTCTGGTTGACTGGTGGCGGAAAGTGCACGTCGGTTCGGATCCACGCGGGGCCGAAGGGCCCGACACTCATTTCCTTCAGCTTGTCCCGGTCCACGAAGGGCAAATACTGGTACTTCGCGCCATGCTCCAAGGCCTCCCCCACCTTATCCGCGATCCGGTCTATATGGAAGCGTCAGGTTTGAAATCGACAAAGTTGAAATGATTTGTCATGCATAAAATGCAAGGCATGAAGTGCCTGTCTTGCCGGGATAGCACGCGAGGCCGATTGTGAGCCTGTTTAGGGTTTGAAATAGTAATAGAGCTACTAAGTTCGCATGACAAAAGCAGTCTTCTGCGCCCAAACAGCATCACAAAATGGATTCCGGTGCTCGGAAAATTTGTCATGCGCCGCTTGATAAGTGGGCTTCCAACTCAACTGGCATCCATTTTATGCATGACAAATCATTTCAACTTTGTCGATTTCAATCCTGACACTTCCATAGTCCAGAGCCACCTTCGACTTCGCGACCGCGATCAACGCCAACGTGTTGGCCCGCCGGTCGAACTCCTATCAAAAGCAAATATGTCTGGGTCTCCAAGAGTGCACGTTTGTCATGCTTGTCTGGCATGACTCTTATAAATCTGTCATGCACGTTACCCAAGAGCCACACTAACTTCGCTGTCATGCAGAAACGCAGTTTGTCATGCAAAATAGGCAACACCTAGAAACTCAAAAGCTTGTCATGCTGAGCCAGCACTTGTGGCCTCTTCATGATACGTCACCCAGCATCACAAGTTTCCAGAGGTGCTGGACCCAGACACTTTTACAATCCATAACTCCAGGTTGAAAACGATCCCGCCCTTCATGCGCATCTTTTTCGCGTTCAGGTTCCGCAGCCACTCGTCCTTGAACAAGGGTAGCAAAGCGTCCTCGTGGATTTCCTTCTGCAGCGCCATGAGCCGTTCCGGCGTGATGCCGTCTTCGAAGAAGTCCTCGATCGGGGTTCTGTCCTCCTCCGGCTTGTCGCGGAGTTCCGCGGGTAGCACCGGCTCCTGGTAGTCGAACCGGATGCTGCAGCTGTACTTGTGTCGCAAATGGTCGAAGGGGGTCCGGTATCCAGTGCAAAAGCATCGCACTCGTAGTAATTGCAGTTATGCATTACAAATCTTTTTCCTAACGTCAAGCAGCATTACAGATTCCATTTCTCATGCTGAGCAAATTTGTAATGCAATTCATGCTATTGCGATGCTTTTGCAATTCATATCCGGATGTCCAGGAGGATGTTTTGGCGGTTCACGTACATGGGGAGCACGTCGTCGCCGTGGTAGGTTTCCGTGCAAGCGGTGTAGAGGCAGGTGGTCGACTCGTCGCAGCCGTAGTCTTTGTCGGACTCCAAGTCGCTGTCGCCGTTGATGTCGTCCAAGAGGTATCCTGTGCAAAAGTATCGTAGTCGTAGCGTACTAATTGCATTTATGCATTACAAATCTAGTTCCCAAGGCAAATCTGCAAAACAAATTCAACTTGTAATGCTGAGCCAATTTGTATTGCAATCTATACTAGCACGATACTTTTGCAGTGCATAAGAGGCGGGAGACCAGCAGGATGGCCTGGTCCATCTGCTGCTTGTTGGACCCTTTGAGTTATCAAATGCAAATATGTCTGGGTCTGGAAGAGTGCATGTTTGTCATGCTTGTCTGCCATGACTCATAAATCTGTCATGCACGCTACCCAATAGCCCGATTTTGCTGTCATGCAGGGACGCAGTTTGTCATGCAGAATAGGCAACACCTTGAAGCTCAAAAGCTTGTCATGCTGAGCCAGCACTTGTGGGCTCTTCATGATACGACACCCAGCATCACAAGTTTCCAGACCCAGACATTTTTACAATCCATATGAGTTCCAGGACGTCATTTTGGTAGCTGAGGAACACCCGGCTGCCGAGTTTGTCCTCGAGCTCCCGCATCTTCCGAGGCTTCAACGCCAGTTGCAGGTCGCGGAGTTGGTCCGGGGGGAGGACGGAGAGATCCCAGGAGGATTTGTACAGAGACTTGTAGGACCGGTCTGTCAATACAAATGATTTACTATTACTACGGTTTTGCAAGAACAATGTGCAACATTTTTCATCGGTTTACATTACACCAGAGGTAGAAGATCGAGATGGCAGTAGTACTTACTACGCGCAGCAGCACTTGTTGCACCTCATGACCTCGACCTGTTTTTACTGTTATAAGTGCAGGCACAAGTATCCAAAGAAAGAACAATGTCATACCGTTCTTCTTGTGCACCACTTCTTTCTGTTTCTGCAAAGCCTTCAGCATGGTCGCGGACTGGTTGTAGGGCAAGTGCAGATTTGCGTTCATGTGAAACAAGTTGGACAAGGACCGCAGTAGAATGCACAGTACATCCAGCGCATACTGCAAGTACTTCGGGTCGTCGTCAAACGGCCCTTTCAGCTCGTCTTCCGGCGCTTCGCTCGGGTCCGCAACGGAAGACTGGGCGGGGGATTGTAGTTGCGGCTTGATCGGCTCCACGTTGTACTTTTTACACACCCGTTCGTACAGTTCGTCCTGCTGCCCCTCGTATTTTTGGAGCAGAGCAGGAAGATCTTCCAGTTTGGTCGGGTTGTGCTCTTTGTACAAATCGTAGATGAGTTTCTCGTAATCCAGCCCACTGTCCGGCTTCGCGGCGGAATGCTCCTCGTCCGAATTATCGGGTGGGAGATTTGATGTTGTTGTTCCAGCTTTATTGTTGTTGTCCTTGTTGTTCGCCGCGGCCTTCATCGCGACCTGGGGACCGAAGTCACCGTCAGCATTGTCTTGATTCGAAGAGCTAGTACCACCAGTCGGCAAAAGCTTCTTATCGACGGGGATGTCGTACTTCTTGCACAATGCTGTGTACAACTCGTGCTCCCGGTTCAAGTACTTCGGAAAAATAGTCTTCGACAATTCCTTTGTCTTCGACGGGTTTTTCTGCTTGTAGATGTCCTTAATCGCCGCCTTCAACTTTTCCGTGCGCTGCTTTTCCTGTTTTTTCCTCTCTTTCGCGGTCAAAGGGTCCTTATCAGCTGCGTCTTTATTCTTAGTGCCGATTTCTTTATCCAGCTTTTCTTCTTTATTATTCTCCTTTTTCTCCGCGTTGTCGCGGCACTGCTTCAATTCCCGAATCAATAAGTCGTTTTCGCTAACCGAATATTTCGTGCACACCGCAGTGTACAATTTTTCCTCTTTTCCGTGGTATTTCTGCATCACCGTCTGAAGAGTTGACAGTTTTTCCGGGTTTTTCAACTCGAAAATGCGTTTTATCGTGTGCTTGATCTTCAGCACCGCGATTTTCCGCTGCAGAGGCAAATTCAGCAGCGCAAACTCGTCCGTTTGCTTGATTTCGTATTTGTCACAAACCCTATGCATTGCAAAAGTATCGTACTAGTATAAATCGCATGACTCAGCATGAGATGAAAGAAAATTTGCAATGCGGATTTAACCTGAGAATGAAATTTGTAATGCATGAATGCGATCAGTACGAGTACGATACTTTTGCACAGGATAAACACCCTCGAAAAGCAATTGTTCCCGGGTCCTGTTCTTCTCCAGCATCGGCTATCAAATGTAAAAGTGTCTGGGTCTGGAAGAGTGCAACTTATCATGCTAAATCTGAAGCATGCAAAAATCTGTGTTGCATGATTACCAAAAGTCGTCCAGTTTTGACCAAGTCGGGAGGGAGTTTCTCATGCAGGAATGGCATGAGAGAGATCGCGCAGAATCTGTCATGGTAGGTCCTGCATTCCAGACCTTATGGGTCATGGAAAAGCTGCATGACAAATCGCGTATTCTTCCAGACCCAGACATTTTTACATTTGATATCGGCCGAATCTTGTCGATCTTCATCGGGTTGAACCGCTCGTAGAGCTTCACGAGCTCCGAGAAATAAAGTTCTTGGAACTCTTTGAAATAGTCGTCGTTCATTTCATCCAGGAAAATCCGCTCGTTGTTGTCATTCGCGTTATTCATTTGGTCGTCCCCCGAGGTCGCAGAGGACCCCGATCCTGTGGCGGTGCCGTTTGCCATTGCAGAAGTGGTATTGTTGCCCGCGTTGTTCATCCCGTTCGCCAGAGGTGCCCCAGCCGCTCCATAATCATTGTTGTTCAAGGGAAAATGCGGCTGCAGGTTCGGTTTCGCCATGCCGGGGGTAATTGCGTCGCCGTTCACCCTGGCCTTGATTTCCTCGGGGAGGTCAGACCGGGGTTGCACCTGGTACTTGTCGCAGATACCTGATATATTATTTCGACAACTTTCACTTTGCATACAAGGATCAACGCGCCTGCTCAAGAACTTTTGCATCACGAAGAAAAGTTTTTTATCGCACTTCTGCGACATAAATGGAGACAACCTCGTCCTGCCCTTGCTGTGCTGAGCATAAGCATTAGACCATAATTATACCGAGATAAAGCAGCCGCTCCTTGTTGTGGTACTTCACGAGCAGTTCTGGCACGGATTCAAGTTTCTGGGGGTTGTACTCCTTGTACAGTTGCGCGATCAAGTTTCCCCAATGCTTTTTCACCTCCGGGTGCTGGTCCAGATTCTTGATTTCCTTCGCGATGAGGTGCGCGTAGATTTTTGTCATCCCCTCCAGGGGCGAAAACAGTTTCGTCGCCTGCTGAGTGGCTTGGATCTGCTCGGCGGCCCGTTTGCACAGCAATTCCATGGCGGTCAGGAGCAAATTCTTCCGTCTCGGCTGCTTCGGCCGCAGCTTGTGGTGTTTCGCGACGTCGACGAGAAGTTGGAGCAATTTCTCCGGGCCCTCGGCGAGAGCCCGCGCCTTGGAAGCGGGTGGGAGGAGAAACCGATCCGGATGGCGCAGTTTCTCGTCCCGGAGGTCGGTCGTTACGCCACCACTTCTACCACTCGCGGCCGCACCAAGCATCATTTTCGGACTATCGAGAATCATGTTCGGACTGGATTGCACCATCACCCGGCCGGCCGCGTCGGCCGGCTCCAGGTCTTCCTCATCCGAGTCGGACAACTCATCCAAAAAGCACAACAGCCCAAGCCGATCCTTGTCTGGGTGTGGCTGCTTCCGCCCGGGCACGATGTGCTTCGACAATTCGTCGTGCGCAGAGGCAGAAACACTCGCGGTTTTCTTGCTCCTTGTTGCGTCGTGAAGATGATTGTCTACTGCTCTCGTACCACTCGTCTCGTTGAATTTACTCCCCCGTCTGGACAACTGCATCAACTTTCTCCTTTTGGCAGCGCTCGATTTGTCCGATCTGAGCGAGTTCTTCGACGCGTGTTTGCTGTTAATCCCCGGGTAGTTCCCTCCGCCGCCTCCTTCGCTGTCTTCCATCGCGTTGGTCGTGTTCGGGGCGGGCGACTGCTTGATCCGGGCTCCGTACTGCCCCGCACTGGGACTCGCGATGGCGGACGGCCGGACGAGAGTCGCTTGCCCCCGCACGGGGGAGCTCTCGATGTTGGGGACCAACGACGCCTTGCCGGACAAGACCGACGCGGGCAGCTCCTCCTCCGCCATGGCGAGCAGGGAGGCGACGACCTCGCTTTTCCCGATCTTCTATCAAATGTAAAAGTGTCTGGGTCTGGAAAATTGTGATGCTGGGTGGCGTCTCATGATGGGGCCAGGCTACAAATGCTGGCTCAGCATGACAAGTTTCTGAGCTCCTAGGTGTTGCCTATTCTGTATGACAAACTGCGCTTCTGCATCACAGAAAAACGGAGCTCTTGGGTAACGTGCATGACAGATTTAAGATTCATGCCAGACAAGCATGACAGACATGAATTCTTCCAGACCCAGACATTTTTACGCTTGATATCTTCAACGCCTGCTGCATGTTGATCAGGTCCTCGGCGTATCAAAAGGAAAAATCCCCCTCCCCAAACCGAAAAGATACATCGTAGAAAATTTGCAATGCTGATTTGTGGCCACAAATCGTCTCTGTCTTGCAAGAACGCAACTCCACAGCGTCCGCCGCATTTTGCAGGCGGTTTGTGATGCGGTTGGCCCTACAGACTAGTCGCCTGCCATGCTCAGTGCCTAGCCCAAAACCTCCCTACTCAGGCATAGTATATTATAGGCCTGCATTGATTCCTCTCCAGCAAGATAAATCTGATTTGTGTACGCAAATCCAACATGATCAGAAACTTCGTTTTGATATGGGGAGGGGGGATTTTTCCTTTTGGTAGGGCGTCCTGCTTCAATTTGGACAAAATCGGGTCGTTGGCGTCACGCGGCGAAGCAAGATCGGCCTGCATAGCTTGGACTGTGGAAGAGTTGATAGGTTTCGATATTCTAGATAAAATTTTGATTTTCTCAACACTCACATGATGCCCTCGCGGCGCTACAACAAAAGTAAATCGAAGGCGGCCCTTTTGACATGCAAAAAGAAAAAGTGCACCACCAGCATTACGTCTCAACAATTCAGGAGAAATAATCAACATATTAAGATTTTCTATACGCATTTTCCCCTCCGTCTCCTCTTCCGGGTCGGGCAACACGCAATCCCACACCATGAGCCAGAGCGCTTCCAGCACCAGATGCTCACTGGGCAGGATGTCTGGGACTCCTCGGTGCGTCATCATGTCTTTCGCTTTCATGAACGCCTCCTTTTCCTGCCCCTCCAGCATCGAGCCTTTGGTGTCGAAGATCGCGTTTAGAAACTCGCTCCTTTTCTTCTCGAACCAGTCCCGCATCTGTTTTTTCTCTTGCGAGTACGGCTCGTTGATATGTAGATCGGCTTTTTTGGTGGACACCACAGCGAGCTCCATATTTTTGTCACCCCCGCCGTCATTATTATTTCCGGAGTTGGAAGAAGAGCCTGGAGAAGAAGAGAGCTTAAATTTTTGATCTTCCGCGTCATTCGTTGTTCCATCGGCATGGTTCATGTCCTTGTCAGCGCCGTCTTTGTCATCAACATTGTCTTCCAGCGCCGGCGTCGCTATCCCGGTGACGGCTTCAAACGCGTACTTCTTTCTTCGGTAAAACTTCCGCATTTTTAGCACGAACTCCTTCAGCTGCGTGCGTTCCCGTTTCGCGAAGTTTTCGCTGGCGACGACCAGGGGGTTCTGGATTTTGTTTTTGTCTTCCTCTTGCGCACGCCCTTGGCCCGGGGGGACGGCGATCTGATAGTACATTTTTTCGGAGGAATTCATCAAAAATGTAAATGGAGCAGGAGGTGCATGGAGCCAGCTGCGTCAACTTTGTATTACAAAAACGATGAAGCCCGAGGAACTACTGCTTCGAATTACTTGGATAAATAATCGAAGACGTGAGAAAAAACACAAATCATATGTACCGGTGGCGCGATGCCCTTAGCTGACTTCCCGAAGGGAAGTCCTTTCATGCCCATCATGGGTGGCAGGCCTTTCACGGGGAATCCCTTCCCGCCCTTAATACCCGCGGACGCCATCATGGGCGGAATGCCCTTGCCAAACACGCCTGGAAGTTTTTTTCTCTTTCAAACTGGAGGAAAACGAAAAGCCTGCATCTGAACACACATTGTTCTTTCAAATACTGCATGTAGAACCAAGAGTCTAAATTGAAATTCATTATCCGAGAAAGCTTGTACAACAAGCAGCGATTTTTACCAGCCTTCCCAGCAAAGGGCCCCATTGCTCCGCCGGGTCCGAGTTTTCCCCCCTTCAACCCTTTCCCTGGACCCGGAAGTTCTTCGCTGCTACTGCTCTCATCTTCGCTTTCTGAGGCAGACTCGTCCGACGAACTGGATTCGTCTTCTTGCTTCCTTTTTCGTTTCTGCTGTTGTTGACCACCAGCATCTGCTTTTTTGTCCCGCTTCGAAGAAGCAGCTTCCACTTCGTCTACTGCTCCGCGAGGACGCGAAGAAGTTGTCCCCGACTCTGCTCGTTTTTTACTCTTCGACTTGTCCTTCCGGTTTTTCTGGTTCTGCAGCTCAAACGGCCCCCCATCATGCTCTTCTACAACTGACCTCGCAGACTTCGCCCGATCTCTTTTCGCTTGCTTGTTCTGGTTTTTCTCCTTCTTGTTATCTGGTTGCAGTTCTCCTGCGTCCTCGTCTTCTTCTTTCCCTGCCCGTTTTCGCCGCTTACTCGCCCGGGCCGGGTCTTCCTGGTTGCGGCGTGCGGACCGACCACGACGGTCGCCATCGTGAGTTGCGTTTGCTGGGGAGATAATGCGCTGCTGCTCTTGTTGGGAAAGCCCGGCGGTGCCGAGAAACTCGTGGTCAATACCCTCCTCATCCGGTTGAATTTGCCCCGTGGCGATCAGCGACGCCGTGCGGGCTTTCAACTCCGCCTTTTGAGCGACCAGCCAGTCACTGCAGTGGTCGTATGATTTGGATTTGGATTTTTATTTTCGTTTTCATGGTTGGATGCACCATGAAGATCGCTTTGATGAACTTGTTGCAGGCACGACTTCTTGTTCATCTTATGTGGTTCAGCAAAGATCATAGATACTCATTCTCATACTGGTTGAAAAGAAAAAGCTGAAACGAAATCATAAACAAAAAGTAATAAAAAGACTAAGACGTCAACAGCTGTGGTCGTTATTTTTAAAGTAATATATACGCATCGCCCAAGTCTTCTTCTGGCACGAAGTCCGGGTCGTCGTAACCTACCCACTTGATTAGAAAGTAGTCCTTGCCCTCGAGGATTCTGTGTTCCAGCAACGCTTCCACTTCGTAGGCCTGCTCCTCGGCCACCTCGGGCTGGTCGGGGTCCGCCATGCTGGTTCTGTTTGTGTTTCTGAGTCGCCCTTAGTAGGTCGTCGTTGCTTTAGAAGCTCCTGTTAGTCCGTGTTCGAGTTCGTCTCGTCAGAAATGACTCTTGGTTTACTCTTTGCCCGGGTCGTCGTCAAAAGTCGCTGAGAAGAAACTAGTGCTCCTGCTAGACAAATTATAGTGCCGCTTAGTACTACTTTTGACACGTCGCATTCTCATGTTCTTCTTCACGTCGTAGCCTCTTAGTTTATGGTCGCTTGCTGGATAGCGATAGTCAAAAAACTTGATAATTGGGGCTGAAGAATGTGAGTCTGCCCAGGATCTAATTCTATTTGGTCTTTTTATCCTACTAGAGGTACTACACAGCTACTTCTAATTTACTCGGAAGATGATGATGTTGTAGTTGCTGAAGATGACTTTCGAGCGATTGACCCCTTCTCCTTGAGGGGTATCTATACCGCCGTGTTTCGTGCCACTACTACACTACTGGTGGCAAAAACACAACATCATAAAAGCTCTTTACCATTTTTACGCGTGACAAAAATGTTGCTGTGCTGTCGCCTGAAAGCATAGTTCGTTGTGCGATGAAGGATACTCCAACTCCTAAACTTTTTTTTGAAAATAGGATCTTGCACGGGCCAAGGAAATAGTGGCGGGAAACAGATCGTGGACGTGTTTAGATAGCAGTTTTTGCTTATTCAACTGCGAGCCGGATCAAGTTGAAAAAATCAGAAAATGTCAGCCACAATGAGCTGCCGAGAAAGAGAAAAAAAACAAAATATAAGTGGTTGCCATTGCACTCTTTTTAGTGACGGATCGTGATCGTCGTGCGCAGTTAGCTCTTTGCGTTTCTTGTTCTTTGCGGCGAGTCAAAATAAAGGTCGTGATGATGATGTAGTAGATCTTTTTTATCTAGCGAGCCTCTGGACGTGGACTTTGCCTGAGTTCATCTCTAGGGTAGAGCTAGGTGTCTTCTCGTCTTGTTTCTTTTCTACGGAGATGGATGATCGTTGCTCACGTTCGTGATCAGTAAAACACGCGCGCTTCTGTCCACTTCTTTTTGAGCATATGGAATTCATAGTCAATTCAGCTGCATGTCAGGAACATCACGACGCTCCAGTTTTGGATTATACTTATAGATCGCGGAAAGGGAATTTCACGTGCCAACAGTCTCTTTGCTACGGCATATCTAGAAGGTGATGGCCGTTTCACTTTGTGTTTCCGTCACAGACAAAAACAATTTTCGCTGGTAGGAGCGTTAGCGTACTTAGTCTCAAATAGCTTTTGCTCATGGCGATCACGGGTCACCATTTTTCATGATGACCAAAACGCTGCCCGATGTTGACTTGTTATACGGGCCGTGGTGATTTCTCATCTTTACATAACCGAGGTACTTAAGTAGAATTTTTATACGTATGGGTTGATGTGTTTTTTTTGTTGAAGACACAAAGCCAAAAGGCATTCCAAGAACTGATCTCTTTATCACTCCGCCGTCTGTCCTTCCTGAAAGAAGTCCAACAAGAATTTCCAAGACTGCTCATAGTTCCCAGACCGGAACCCGGAAACGTCGGTTGCAGCATCGAGGAAATCCTCTAAGGTTGTGTTCTGCCAGCTGTCTTCGTGAAGCTCCAGCTCCAGCACCTCTCTGGCCTGTTTTTGCAACAAGTGGAGCAACTGCGCCTTGTATGAAGATGTTGAGCTGGTGCCCGATGATGATGTAGTTGTGCTCCCAAGAAATACACTGGGATCATGTTGCTGGTGTGCTGCGCTTCTGTCCAGCACACCAACAACTCCCACACCTTCTGCAGATGATGTTGGTCCCGGTCCTGGATTTTGGAAAAGCAGCTGCGCAGCTGTACTGCTTCCTTCGGTGTCACTCGTCGCGTTAATATTCTTACCTCCTCCAGAGGAGGAAGTCGATGTAGTTGTGGCGAGGTCAGCGAGGGCCTGGAACCCTCCTTCTAAGAACAGTTTGAAGTCCTCGCGGGAGGGAGGGGAGGACATGCTGGAAAACCAGCGGTGGCTGGTGGTAAGAAAACGCTTCAAAGCTTCCTCGTCGCCAGGCTCGAGGAGGAGGGTCCAGTGAACCTCCGGGTCGTCGTCGTGCTGCTCATCGTCAGGGTTTACTAGGTTTTCAGACATGCCTGTAAGCGGTAAAGCCTGCTGTTCTTGACTCGGCTCTTCTTGTTGCATCATCTCGGCTACTACTTTTTTCGATTTTTACAACGCGGCTGCTGTGAATGCAGGCCTAAAGCTACAAGTAAAGTGATTGAAGGCCTAAAGCTAAAAATGGCCATATGAGAAGTTGTAGACCACCGTTCATCTTGATGACTTCTCTCATTGTTTTTTTAATTTGTTCTCTCAAAAACTGATGAGTCGATTGCTTTCAAACACTTTCAGTTTTACATTTCCACACAAAGATGTGGGCTGGATCCCACGGCGCTTGCAGTCGCCAGCTGAGATCACGGACACGGTACTGCAATACCAATACCGTTTGGATTGCAGGCGTCGCTTTCATTCATCTTTTTTTATTTTTTGCTTTTGCAATTGCAGCAAAGTAAAAGTATAAGAATAAGTAAGAAGTATGGGTTCTTGTTGTTGTATATGTATGGTGCGCAAGCATGAGCATGCGTTTGTTGATGAAATTTTCATTTTCATAATTTTGGTTCTGAACCAGCTTCTACTCCTTCTTTTTCTGTGCGAGACAGAAAATAGGGCAAGCCTGCTCAGCATCTTCTACTCTGGAAGAAGAAGAGGCAGACTCGTATCCACTTCACAAATGAGTTGCTCCAGCATCTGCTCCAGTCGCAAATTGAAGGACCGAACCTGGTGCATTTCGGTAAGATGAACGTCAGCGTTGTAGTCATTGTGATTGTGTTCTTCAGGAATCCGAAAGTTATAGCGCAAATTGCTGGGAGCGTAATCCGCCTCGAACGCGAATGACATTTTCACATCTTCCTTGTTCCGCCTACATTCTTCAAGGAATGCTTTTGGCTTTTTCAGTTTTCGCAGCGCGCTTTCGTTCAGAACGTTGAACGTTGCCTCACCGTGGATGACTGCGGCCAGTGAGAATTGCATTTCCATTCCTTTCGGCAAAACGGACAAAGCCTGCGCGTCATGGGTAAAGTCGACCAGTGGTAGTGCTGACACGAAGAGGGGATCATCCCCAATCAGAGGGGTTCGGCAATCGAAAAGGAATCTAAAGTGAGTCACTTTATTTCTCCCATGCGGAATCACTTTCACGCTCCTCAGTTTGAAAACAGCGCCTGAAATCTGCATCTCAATTCCCTTCAGGCGACTGATTGGCACCATCCTGTGGCAGGTCGTCTGTGAATTGATGGTCGACACTTCGGCATCTGGCCGGTCACGCCACCTTGCGTTGCCCCAACGCAGAGCCCAGCGCCGGTTTTGATGCGCCCCGCTCGTCTCTTTGACTGACCTAAAGAGCTGCGGAGCCGGCACACGAAGGTCAGCCAATCGCCCAGCGCTTCGGCCTCCTTCCTGCGAAAAACACACCACCGGCCCGAGACCCTAAGTCCGGAAGATTTTGTCCGCGTGCGTCAACGTCGGTGCCTGATTACGCGTAGCACTTGGGGCCGGCCGTTCCCCCTGGAGAAAGCTGAACACTTTTCGCGCGCAGTCGTCTGGGAAATTGACTGCAACCTCTGCCCCGTCCTCCTTTTGCTTCTTCTCGAAGCACACCGCTGCCGCCTGGATCGCAGTGCCGTGGATCTTCCGCCAAGCGCGAGCCGTCGCGGCGTTCACTTCTTTTCTTTCGACTTTCGCGAACCAATCTTGCAAATTGTTTGGCAAGGGCTCGCGAGCAACAGCCGGGCGCGGGGCGACAGGTGGAACGGCCTGGGGCTGTTCAACTTGCGGCGCCATCTCCGCAGAAACTGCCTCAATTGCCGCTGCAACAAGAGCTCTTTTGTTTGCCGCTGCAAGACCCAGCTCAACCGGATCGTCATTCAACAATGCGATACAAGTACTTACAACTCAAATGGAAAATAAGAGTCGAGTTTCTTGTTGGAAAATTGGAATTTCCTACTTTAGCTTTACACGGATCCTGCTTATGCTTCAGATGAAGTTGTTGATATACTCGACGCGGCTAAAATCCTCGATTGCTTTTTGCAAATCCAAATGTCAAGTAGGTAGCTCAAACGGAACTGCTTCGTTGTACCAGGCAAAATAAAGCGGGGCGATCCAACATGAAAGACAAGCATCAGTTGTTGTATAGCCATGTTGGGGATCCAGTGGTTGTAGTATCCTGATCCTCGCAATAACACAAAACAAGAACATTCTCCACCACCTGGCTATTGACGTTGAGATCTTATGTGGCAAATACTAGCGACGCCTATGATCTTCTGCCAGATGACCTAGTATTGGGCAACTTCTCCATGGACGTGTAAGCCCCGCACAACCACCACGCGAAAGTGGCAATCCATGGAACAAAATTCCGCCTACTTATCCGTATGTACACCATCCCAGAAGTGGAAGATGAAAGCGTTCTCGATTTTTTACGAATGTTGTGCTAAGCTTGTTCACTTTGTATTCTCTGAAAGGAGTTCGAATGAGGACCAATCGCTGGAGAAACGGCGGAAAAATCTGAATCCCGCTGCTTCCACTTCGCAAGCAACTTCGAAAAGTTCGGCGACCTTTGCTGGTCTTCAGTTTCTTCCGTTTGTTGATAGCGTGGCTCGAGCGGCTTCCTTGTCGCAACAGGTGGTGAAGCGGCCGCACGAGCGGGGCCATCCCCATCGGGATACTGGCCCCTGCTACTAGTGGGAGACAGCGATTGTAGTGCCATTTTACTATCCCTCTCTTCATCGTCCCGTTTTGGTTTTTCTCGGTTCGCAGAGGACAGAGAAACGCTCCTACAAAAACCGCGGTTCCTCATCGGCTCCTCGTCTTCACTAGACGCCGGTATACCGCTTGTTGCGGCTTCTGGATAGAACCGAAATGTCCGGTGAAAAGCTGTTCCCACAAACGGCTGGTGCTGGATCGAGGACAGTTTTGCGGGTCCAACTTTGTTGTGTCGCGGAGATGAAAGTGCAGGGGATGTTGATAATCCCCGGCAACCACGTGGTCCAACTTGAAAGCCTTGCCGATCGAGCTCGTCGCCCTGTGCTTTTCCCGCCGGCCGGTCGACATCTTGACTCTCATACTTCCTCGCAATGTCCTGGAAAACGGTGGTGATTTCCCGCAGTGTCTTCCGCGTTCGAAACATGATCTGGTCGAACTGTTGCGGACTGTTGGCCAGCTGGAATTGGGGCTGATGTGGGACAGAAGATGACAAAGTCCTCTTTGCAGCAGGGGCTTGGGAACATGATTGCGCGACTCCGTCGTCTTCATGAGCGTTGCTGACATCATCCTGCACCGTACCGCGGTTGCTTTCGTCATTTCTACATGAAGATGAATATCTATTCGCTGCAACTACAGCGTCGCCATCGTCCTCTCTCCTGGCGCCGATGGCCCGTGGCAGATAATTGTTCCGGTTAATACTGTGCGAGGACCCCCAAGGACGAACAGGATCAGGCTCTGGTGAAATCGCGTCTACGATTTGGTATTGGCTTGCTTCGCGCGCTTTTTCGTTTTCCTCGTGCCACGGATGTTGTCTAGGAGTTGATGTGCCTCCACTTTGTCGTCCGGCAGGTACTAGTCGCGGACTACGAGTCGCAGGCACCAAAACTCCATCGAGTGTGTAGACGCCTCGGGCGGCTTTTGACGCCACGTCTTCTTTTTCTTCCTCCAGGTCGTGTATTTCAGCTTCGTGAAGTCGTCCTGCATGAGAAGCTTCACCTTCGACGTCATACTCCGCCTCATCCATCGTCCAAGATCCACCCTCGTTGGCCTGAAACAGCAACACACGCTCGGCCATCGTCGCGGTCGAGCTGGTGGTTATTTTGTTGTTCGCGTTTGTTGCTGCTTCGATTCCACCTTGACTTGGACTTCTTGCTCCTTCTGGAGTTCCTTCTCCTCCTCGTCGCTCCAGGTGCCGCCGCTCCCTTGCCTTCTCTAAAAGCGCGCGCGCATCGTCGCCGAGCGAAGAGCAGGTGACTCCCTTTTGTGTAGTTGTGTGCGACGGAGGACCATCAAACGCGGCTGCGTCAGCTGCGCCCCCGGTGTCAGCAGATACAATTCCAGCAACTCCAGTCGCGCTGCCTCGATCCACTTTTTTCTTCACCTTTCGCACCAGCCGCTTCTTGACTTTCCTCTTTTTCGGAGGCGAAGTGCTACCACTTGGCTGTTTGTTCGGGGAGAGAGTGGTTGCGGATGAAGAGAGAAAGTCAACACCTTCTCTTGGCGATAAATGTTTCGCCGCGGCATTACCCCACCCGCCCGCAGTTGACGACCCTGTCGAAGTCGTGTGTGAAGCAAGAAGTCCCGCCTTCACTTTGTCGATTTGCGACTTCAGTTCCCTTATCGTCCGAATCTTGGAGTCCTCTTCCGCTTGCAGTCTTGCATTCTCCGCCAGTAGTGCGGCTTCTAGATCCTGACTCTTATCGTCCTGCGTGTCCGCGTGGTTGACGTCCTCATCCTGCGACGCGCTTAATACGTGCGGCGTAGGCCGTTTTCCAAACAGAGGGCTGTTTTTTTTGAAGGCTGTGCGGGTTAGTATTTCTCCGTCGTCCTGCTCTGCTGCTGAGGACGCGCCGGTCGCAGCAACGTCGTTGAAAGCCGGGGGACTCATGTTGTTTCCAAGACAAGTCTTGGATTTTGCTTATCGAAAGTCACGAGCACGACTACGTGACGGGTCCACGAAATAAACTAAAATAGGTACGATGCGCTGAAGTTATCGTGCGACTCCCGCCCTCACTTTGTTTTCTTTTCTAGTAGCAGCATTACGCATGAAAAGCTAGCTCTTGCACAAGTCTCTCTACGATAGCCATCTCAACAACAACACGTACGAAAGATTTATAAATGAAAATGCTCTCTTCACACGACCACACAATACAGGCAAACGACGCCACCATCTGCGACGTCGCTGTCCCAGTCTCTCTGCTAATGCTTGTCCAACCGAGGCCGGACTTCCAGAAATTTTTGCACAATTGCAAAACACAAATCCTGGGTGAGAACCCCGGTAATTGATAAGCAGGACACCAGGGAAGCGTTTCTACTAGTACCTCTTCATCTTTTCCATTTCGTTTCGAATCGTGAAATCGTACAGCAGCAGGCGTTGTTCCTTCCTCTTCGTCTTCGTTTTTGTATCTTCGCGGCTGAAACTTCTCTCCGAAACAGAGGCCTCAGTCTGTCGTCCTGCTCGAGGATAGTTGAAAATACATCACGATTTTTTGACATCTTCGATACATCAGCTCTACAAAGCGTTTAGCGAGAGCGATATGGATGAATAAGGTTTAGTAACTCGGTAGCTCTGGAGGTAGGTTCCATGTGAATCACGAGCAGTACTCCTGTGCAGCGTGTAGGCAGCTTCTCTAGACGAGACCGAACTACGACGGGAGAAACATTAAACCGCTTCGATTTTAGTTCACCTCCACGTCGTTGACGGGACGGACACTACGAGAATACCAAACTTAATCATGACGCTAGAAAACGCTGAAACGAGATTGAGTTCTCACGATAGTATACAAATCCATTTTGTAAGACTCACACGAAAGTTGGTGCTGTAGTCACCACGCAGCTGAGACCGACTAGATGAAGTTCCAGGCAATTAAAGCTACTGGCTCTTTGCTGTATTGTCTGACAAATTTAAACACTAGTTTCTGAAGTCTGGTTCTTAAGCTATAAAACGAAGTCTGGTTAATGCTGTCCTGATAAACAATTGCTAAAATGGTATTGAACTCTGGTCTGACAAGAACATTCTTCCTGAACAAATTACCATAAAACTGCTGTGACTGTAACTTTAGTAAAACATTTTCTGCGTATATATTTTTGATTCACTGTAAAAAGCTGTCTGATACTGATTCGTAAAGGTAAAGGGTGAGTCTGATAAAACCATTTCTTAATCAAGAGTTGCCTGTAGTTCCTGCTGGTACAGCCAAACTCTGCGGCTTACCATCTTCTGCCTACACGATGGCGTCGTCGATTGAGACAAGAACAGGCTGCTGTTCACTCTGCTAATAAATTCAAATTTCTTGTTTTCTGCTATTAGTCTGATTTTTCTAAATTGCGTATTAACACCGCTTGCTCTCACGAATAATTTATTAATCTGAATCCGAACAAGAAGTTGTGTCTGATATAATGTCTGAACCGTTTGTCTTTCTGGTCTGCTAAGTCTGATTTTTTGCAGCTCTCGCTGCTGCTGTGCAGAAAACTACACAAAAGTAAGTACGTCTGATTCAAGAAGATGAAATAACTCACTCAAGTTCCGAGAAACTCCGAATCATTTCCGCCACTTTCATACCTACTTCTCGAAGTTCTGAGACCTTTTTCTTTTTGAAGAACTATCAACTTACTTCTTCTTGCCCGCAGCGCGCTTCTTGCGCTTGGTGTTTTGGTCGTGAATGACCTGCGAGTTGTGCTTGATAGACCGGCGGTTCCAGACGTCCTCTTCGACGTCGTCTTCGAATTCGTCATCATCGAGCTCCTCATCATCCTGGTCGTGGGTGTGGACCCGAATGTCAGACTGCGACTTCTGCATCATCTTCTCCTCATAACTGATTTTCATGTTGTGAACAATTTTTGGAAAGCGAAAGAACTTTGCATTGGTTGCTCCCTGCAGGTGCACAGCATGCAAAAAAAATAAAGGACGTATATAGTATCCCGAATCATCAAAGCAGTAGGAGTAGCAGTCATCTTCAAGAAGGTTCTTGTACTATGCCAGATCGATCTTCGCTGCTTGTGCCTTGCCCATCTTGGCGCCCTCCAAGTGCGTGATTGACATCAGCTTGCTTATCACAGGAAAAAGTGTTAACGTTAACGGAATTTGTGATGCAGTAACGCACCACAAAACGTGCCCAAATTTGTCATGCATAGCATGCATGCTAGGCAAGATTTGTGATGCATATTTGCAATCTATGAAAACCGTTAACGTTAACACTTTTTTGTTTGATATTGCTCAACTTGAACTCACACTGCGAAAGCACATCCTCCACCGTCTCGTCCGTCACTTCGATCGGAGATTCGCCTGCAATATGATCACGTTTCTACTTCAGGGTTGTTTGACTACCGAGATAGGCCACCCTACTGCAACGCACAATAGCCTCTGCTTCCCGATCTTCTTCTCGATGACGCCATGCATGTTCGGTGACATGATGTTGAAAACCAAAAGCAAAATAAATCAAAGCGAAAAATCATGTATAATACCGTCGAGCTTGATGCTGACTAACTTCGTGGCAAGGTGGTCCACACCGGTCTTTAGGTCGATCAAGACCTTCGCTATTCGCTCGTATTTGCCCTGGTTTCTGGAGCATTTGGCACTAGCCTCGGAGAGGTGGGTCTCGAAATCGTCCACGACCTGATGGTTTCATTTGTTCACCAGTAGGTTCGGTCTTCATCACAGAAGAGCGTAAAAGTACGTGGCTCCTCGAGCGTGCGATGGGCCTGCAACTGCAAGTGCTGCGCTAGGAGTTGCAGCAGGTAAGTACTTACTGCTTACCAAGAAGTAAGGATAACTTTATCGCGCATTACCGATCTTGATCGAAGTCAAACTGAAACTTTGTCCAAAACAAGACGTCCGGCACTATCTATACCTGCCGCTTCCCGATGTTTCCTGCCGAGCTGAATTTGCGCTCGTCCACCATGCCCTTCAATTGCCGCCTTTGCTCGGCCAAACTATCGATCTTTGCCTGGCACTCGACGGTGAGCTTGAGGAGCTGGTTTTGTGTGTCCTCTTGCGTCAGGAATTTCTGGATGACTTCGTTCACGTCGGACCTGATTGGGGATTTAAATTTTAATTTATGTAGATATTTGGCATGCAAACTAAACTTTTAAACGCGGTGCAGCTCCAAGAAGCAAGAGGAGGCCACACTGACACTTCGTCTTGAACTAAGTACAAAAATAGTACACGCCCGTTGCTTCCTTGATTCTTCGGAACGCTTCCTCGTAGTCCTGCAGGCGATGCCTCTCCTCCTCAGCTTGCGTGCTGCTGATACCTGTTTTTTTTTCATGCAATGGAAAATAAAGGAACATAAGGTCCAGGAGTGCCGGCCCCTTCCTCATGCATAGGGAGAAAATGAAGCCTATCTTGCACAACTATGCATGCCAAAAAACACTTCTAAGAGATAGATCATGATCTTCATCCTATTTCTAATTTCAATTTCTTGTGTACCAGCGGCCAAATCTGCCATGGCGCTGGTGGTCTTCAATGCGATCTCTCCTGCTCGGTCCAGATCCTGCTGCTGCTTCAGCATTCTTTCCCGCTGCTGCAGCCTCTGGTTCATCTCGACTCGCTGTTGGACTAGCGCTTTCTTCTCTTGCACCTGTAATAGGATTTATGCGGAACGATCATGAAAAATTATTTGCATCACAGTCTCGGCCTTCTTCGCAGCAGTGAGTTGCATGGAAAACAGGAGAAAGGGATAACGCTACGTACTCTTAATAGCAGTACCTCCTTATCCCTTTGATTTCTCTCCTCCATAACCCCTTGTTCGAATCGGTGCAATTCTGCCTGTGCCATCTCCTTCGCGTGGTAGGCGTCGTGACTGAGCAGTAACAGCTCCTCGTAGTCCTTTTCCCTCGCCCTCAAAGTCTCCTCCAGTTGCGCCAACTGGGAATCGAACCCCGTTCGCTCTTCGCGTAACCGCTTCACAATTTGCTCGTATCTGATTTTAGAAGTCACTGAATTTTGTAGGATCATTGGTTCTCGAGACTAGGTTCGCACTTCATCTCACTTCCACATGCTTGTTTTAGTGAACCACTCATGAAAGTCATGCAACACTTTCACTGCGACAGGAGGTACAGGCAGTCGCATTCCTAGTAGAAGTAAGAAAGAGGAGCTTCATCAGAATTCAGAATGCATCGCAATAGACCACAAACTAGAACTACGTTCGTCGGATGGTCTGGGCTTCGTTGTATTTGATCATTGCCTTGTCTAGGCGGTTCTCCAGCACTCGGATCTGCCTCGACTGTGCGGTGCTACCAATGTTCTGGCTGTTACTGGCATCCTCCAAGTCCTCGAGCTTTGACCTCATATGGGAGTGTCGGGATCGAAATCGTCAGAGTTGAAATGATTTGTGATGCATAACACGGATACCAGTTGGAAGCCCAATTTCCAAGCGGTGCGTGACAAATTTGGGTAAAACCGAAATCCAGTTTGTCATGCTGTTTGGGCAAGGAAGGCGGCTTTTGTAATGCTACTATTTCTACCCCGCAACAGGCTTACAATCTGCCCCCCTTGCCTACTCTGCAAGACAGGCATTTTGTAGGTTGCATTTTATGCATGACAAACTATTTCAACTTTGATGATTTCCATCCTGACGCTTCCATACCTCATGTCCTCCATGTACTGCTTTTTCGTGGAGGTCTCGTGTCTCAAGTTATCCAACTGCCGCTTCAGGGTGTTGCCTGTTATATTCGCGGTTCGTGATCATAGTGTTTTTGCTATTTCCTTTTCGCATGCAGTTGCAGCATCCATTCTTGTAGCTTGAATATACGATTAGGATTTTTACCCTTATGTATCTCAAGACAAAAACATGTGCATCATTGTTCCTTCCGTTCTGCAAATAATCGCATCAGAAACTGGCTTTCTGTTTGTTTCTCATCAAACCCACTCCATATAAACATAGACATACATACTTCATGCTGCATCACAAAAGCCTACTGATGTGATTCAGGAAATAGTACAGTGGGCGGTCTTCTCCTCGACCTGCTTTTCCGTACTTGGAGCGGATTCGTTGCGGTGGAGCGCTATCTGCTGTCGCAACATCTTGGACTCATCCTGAAAGTGAAATGGTTTTTTTTGCATTGGTGGCACCGTCGAACTTTCATCGGCGCATGGAATACAAGAAATATTTTGATGGAAATGCAAAACATGATCAAGTTACAAACAAAGAGAAGACGAAAACTGGTGCCCGTTGTACTTACCTTCATCTGCTTGATGATTTCTTTATTTTGTCGGATGTTGAGCTGGGCGGTCTCATACGTGGCTTTTCTCTCCCCCTCCAGCAACTGAAACCTCCTGGTCAGGTCCTCCAGCTGCTCCTCCGGAGTCATCTGGGTTTTGCCCGCGTTCATGCTCGCGGGCTGCGTGATCGCCATTTTTACAGGTTGTTCGCTTCAGTTCAACAGAGTACTACATTCAGCATCAGTGCGTGAACACAAGCTACTACTAGAGCTAGAATGTACTTCCCTTTTTCCCCCCGAAAAAAAAAGAAGTACCTGGAGATTTATTGGAAATTCAAATTGGGTAAAAAATTTTGTGAGCTCGTAAAATTCGAACTACGACTACGACCACCGGATCACAAGTCTTCTCTCACGTACACGTTCACGGTTTTACGAACAAGTAGAAGCAAATAGAGGCAGAAGTGTAGTTGTTCTAAGACACATTTTTTACCACGACGTCGTTTACGATTCACATCACTCACCTCACGGAAAGGTAGGAGCATGACACCAGTCACGGGTAACAGAAGGTAAAACACAAGAACAAATACGACCCTACGTACAGCTCGGTAAAGTTACACCACGGCACACTTTCTCACACGAAGTGGGGATACAACAAAGAATCGCTCACACTCATACGAAGATTCGGCTCATCATCCATGGACAAATTCAACATAAACGTGAACGAGAAGGATCAGGATGTGCACCATACACATACATTTCATACGTAAACCTATTTGAACAGCAAAACTGAACAACGCACAACATCATGAGACCAGCTGTGCTAGGATTGGGTCTACTCAATTTTGAAGATTTATTACCAGTTATCGACATCGACTCGACTTATGCAAATTCACTCAGCCGACGCAGCTGGAGGCGCAGCTTGAGCTTCATCGCGAGAATATTATCCAATTAGAAAAATTCGGACTCCCGTCTATTTTTTGTATTTGTTTTTCAATTTCATCTTCGTGATTGCATGTTCGCGATGATCTCGTACAAGAAGCTCGTCTCTGGAGGAGGATGTGAAAATCGGATAGCAACGACTCACTAGTTGCAGAAGTGTTGCTACGTAATGCTGGTCGCTGGCATCGTGATCGTCTTCGTAGTTTCAGAGTGCAGTTTAGCAACCTTTTCTCCGTCGCAACGCGCGCGTCGAAAAAGAGGTTCTGCTTGGAAAGGCGCGCTGCGTGGCCCTGGCTCTTGTTGCATGTTGCAGTTTTGTAGAAGGGGTATGCTCCTTCAACTCGCATCGTGATACGTAATTGGCGTGGAGGACATCAAAGCCCCAGCGGGTCTCGCCCACCAACACGCTTCGCTGCCGTTCGTCCATTCTGCCTTCAGTGTCGTCCGCCCTCCTTCTTCAACGTTGTTGTGTGCAATCAATGGTCAACAGCCGAACTTACTACCTTGTTTTTGTTCCTTGTTGTACTCGTGCCAAATTCCACTTCCACACAAAGTAGCTTTCGCAGGAGCAGCACCGACGGCATTCAACAACGCGATGCCATTCATCGGTCCACGCCACGCCAAATTGCAGTGACGTCGATTTCGAAGATGTTCGTCTCTTCATCTCGTCGGTGACCCGCTGACCCGCTGCACCGAGGACATAACGCTGACCCGCTGCACCTGCAACCGGCGGCGCTCCTGCCGTTGCGCCGGGTGGCCTCGTTATCTTCATCATCCCTTACTCGTTTTGATGTTCCCGTCATTGGCTGCACTGATTCCGGCAGTTCCACCACCAGTTGGCACGACTCCCCCGCTAATGTGTCCGAAAAAAGACGAAGAGCCGGTGCTACTGGCCCCCGCTACACCGCTGAAGCTCGCGGATATGTGCGTGGGCGTTGGCGTTGCGTTCCCCGAAGCGCTCAATGTTGTTGATGCTGCACCAGCACCACCGCTCCCACTCGACACTCCTGCTCCGGCCCCCTAACTAGTACTAGCAACCTGCTGTTGCTGCTGAACCACAACCCCGGCCGTGCCACTGCTAACCGCAGCAGCACCGACATGGGGTCGCTGGCTCTGGGCAAAACGAAGAATGTCTCCCCGGTATTTCAGCCAGGCGAGCGCGATGAGAAACAGCAAAACCAGCATGGTGTAGTAGGAGCCGTTGGTGTATCAAATGCAAAAGCATCGTACTAAGTAATCGCAGACATGCATGACAAATCTGATTCCAAAGGTAAATCAGCATGACAAATTCCATTTTACATTCTGAGGAAATTTGTCATGCGATTTATACTAGTGCGATACTTTTGCAATGCATATGATGAGCCAGGTGGCCATTTCTTCGTGGAAGTAACCCACATCATCGACGTCTTCCAGGACAGAAGTGTCCGTATCAGAAACCCACGTGGTCGCTTCCATAGTTGGCTTATTCACTTCTGCTGCTTACGATTGTTCAATGCGCCAGGGGAGCGGTTTTTGTCCTTGTCACTACATTCAGCGATCTGATCATGTTTGCGCGGCTTGCTCATTTCGAAAAATATGTCAGTGTCGCCGTTCTGAGTCTTGATTTAACTTTTTGATGTTGCACGTATATGATTTATACGTTTTTTTCGCTGATGATGTTGGATCATCGAACAAATCGATCGCAATGCATAGTGCCTGTGAGCTTGTCAAATCAAAGTCGCCGAGTTTTCTATCTTGATTGTCAGTCAACTTCAGCTACAGGCTTCTAACATCGGTGCTTGCTGCAGAAGTGCATGCGATAACATCAACATCCATCATCTTGATCTTTTGGGATCTTCATCTTCTGGAGTCATAATATCGTTCGCGGCTCTGAAAGTAGAGTCCGACCGAAGGACTACGCCCCTGCCAAAATGTCGAACACGCGGACCACGAACAGTCGCAGACATTAACAAGGACTTGACGTCCTGCTAGAACTACACACAACAAGGTACAGATCGCGACGGTGTCGTGTGGTTCATCTCTGATTCTGTTTGCGGTCGTTCAATTTGTCGCCCTTATGGTTAACGTTAAGTGCTTGCAGATTATTTGCCTGGTCGTATGGTCCTCGTCCTTCTTTTGATAATGAACAGAAAAATGTCGTTTCGCGATGGATCATCGTAATGCTCGTCTTTTATTTCCACTTCTGCTTGCTCTACTCCCTCAGTTCTCTCTTGCACGTCGGCTCTTCTTGTTTTCGTTTCCTCCTTATCCATCCCTGCATCTTCAACGGCGTGTACTCCTATCCTACTCGTCAGATCCACGGTCTCCACATCGAACGCGAATTCCTCGGTGCAAATCTCCAAAAAGTCGGCTTGCGTGAACCACGTCCCACGGATCTCAAAGGCGATCAGGGCTCTCGGTTGTCCTATCGCACCTTTCAACCCTTCGTCTTTGTCAGCAGCAGCATTGCAGTCGCGGTCACCCCAACTTGCCGACGGCGACGTCGAGCCAGTGGAAGCTGCATTGTCGCTACTCCCTTGGAGGTCAACACCTCCTTCAAGCTTCAACAATTGATCGATCGATTCCACCAGTTTCCTGATAACCGGCGTCTCCTGGTTGTAGAGCAGGTCTGCGCCGAGAATCAGGTCGAAGGAATGCGACTGCAAAGTCGAAAATGATGTCGGGAGATGACCACAAGATGATTTACTGCTCAGTTGTCTTTGTTTCTCCTCCAGCTCCTGTCTTCCCCACGACAACGTCTCGGCATGGAGACGGCTTGACACGGAAGGATAAAAGGTAGAGCTCTGGGGAGGAGGAGTTCTTGTCGCCTCCTCGAGGACCTCCGATCGTGAAGATGTCCTCGGTACTGGTACTATCCTGTGCAAAAGTACTATCGCACTCGTATTGCAATCGTGCATTGCAAATCCTTTTGCTAAGGTAAATCCGCATTACAAATTTCATTTCTCACGCTGAGGAAATTTGTAATGCATTTACACGAGTACGACACTTTTGCAGTTCATAAGTACTTCTACACGTTGATGTTCTTGCATTGCAATATTCGCCTGCGCCGCTCGGACGCACTGGTCGGTCAGGGTAACTTCGGCGCTCGGATTCAGATACGCCGCGGTGATTCCCGGAAGCCCGATGCCGCAACCCAGCTCGAGGATTTTCATTTTCTTCGAGCAAGGGCCAGAAGTCGTGTTAGTAGAAGTCGTCGCTCTCGTCGGATGACCTGGTGACGTTGCGGCGCCGACGACAGGTACTAGTGCTCCGTATTCGTTTCTCACCTGCTTCACCAAATATTCGGACAGCAGCACTGCGGCAGGCCACAACACCACACCGGTTCCGTCGTGCTCATAAACGTGTTGCTCAACATCATGCTCGGTAGAAGAACTGGGGCGCTTGGTATTATTTCTGTTCTCCCCCGCTCCTGGTAAAAGGTGCTGCGTAAGTGGAATCGTGAGCTGGTGTCGCACGACATCAGCAGGTGGCTGGCTTCGTGTTGTGCTGTTGGTCGCAGCATGAATTTGTCGTTCTTGTCCCGCTCTGCTAGTACCACTGCAACTTTGGTGTTCCTCCAATGCAGCTTCGCCCCCACTCATTGTTCCACCTCTTCTTGGATCAATTCTAAAATCGACCTCGAGTCGCTCGGTTCCGGTTTCTGCATCACAAACTCGGCGAACCAGCCCGTGCTCGTCGAGTCGCCGACGCATTTCCGCAAAAGCCTCGCGACGTGCCATTGTGGAAGTTGTCGCGGGAATATAATAAATCGAATTCTTGCGATGTTGACACCTTAATAAGTCGAAGGTGAAACCGATCCTCTTTCAGAAAGAAGAAAAAGAAAAAAATCCATCTCAAATAAAACCAGCAAGTAAAGCACAAAGTGGATCTCCTGGATCTGTTGTTGTCCTACGAGCCTAATATTAGATCATGTCGCTGTATACTTCTTCGAAATATTTCGTCGGTCGTAGTTGTATGGTCGCTGAGTCGACAGATAAAAAGAGATTGCCAGGCTACTGAAGCGTCGTGGTTTTATTTCAACACAGACCAGCAAAAAAAATGGAGATCTACATCTACAAGCAAAGGATCGAAGCAGATCTCTTTCTTGCACTGCACGTGGACCCTCCTGCTCGTTTTCACGAGCATCAGCACAAATACCAAAAAACCACTTCCAGTTCAGCGATCAACTTGCTTCGGAGAAGCTACTACGACGTACAAGCAATTTTGATTTCGTTTTCACGGACGGGTGGAAGATCTGTTTCTACTTTGATCTAAACGGGTCTCATCATGAAGATCACCTTGATGTTAGACGACCGGCGATGATCGTGGCCGCACTTCTACTGAAAAGCAAAAGGCATGATCCCAGGCAGAAGATCCTCTTTTGAACCAAAACTGTCGTGGTGGATGTTCAGCTCACTTAGAAATATTCCGTAGAACAAGCTCGGCGATTCGATTGAAACATTTCTCGTCCGGGATGAATGTTTCGTGTGCAGGGTCTTCCATGATCAAACCAGTGCTTTACTAAATGTAAGAATCAAATTCATCATCGGAGGGGGTACACCCGATTTGTCATTTTCTTTGGATCTGTCGATTGGATCAAAAAAGGGTAGACGAAAAAGTGTTTGCTATCGACAAGAAACACTAAGAGGAAGTTCTGGCCGGGGTGCGGCCCTACTGAAACGAGGACAACAAAGCTGAAGCAGCATGTGCCTATGATATGTTATGCGTATAAAATGGAAATTTGAGTTGTTGCATTCAAAAGAAAAGTTAGTATGTACTGTAAAAATGATGAGTACTTGATGTATGAGCGTTGTTGATGTTCAAAATAATGGTTTATGGTTTTCTTAGAATACTACATGGATGTGAAATAACAGATTAATATTAAACAAAATGACAACGGCTTTTTTTATCCCTCTGTGCGTCTTCAACTCCGCCGCAGACTGTCTCACCGATACGGTTTCCCGCCGACCTCGTACTTCCGGCCCGCCGACAACGCTTTGTCGATGGTTTTTAGCGAAACCGTGCGTGCCGGGCGGTTGCCGTAGTTCTTGTCCTTGACCCGGAAACCCCCGTATTGCGTGTAAATCTGCCCCGGTGACAGGTTTCCCAGGTCCGATTTGACCGCGGTGGCCTGCGCCAGATTCCCCTGCGCCACGTCCGGCAGCCGCTGCAACGGGAAGGAGTAGACCGGCTTGCACGTGTGTTGCGCGAGCCGCGTGATCTCCGGGGACAGCATCCCCTTGCAGGCGTACTTGTCGTTCGCTCCGAGCACCACGATTTCCTGGTTGTGCTGCAACGTAAACGGGGTTTTCGTCGTGCCCAGCGCCTCGGTGTAGTCCCCCGGGCCGGGCGTGGAGTTTTTGTCCTGCGGCTTCCAGACCTCGGTCCAGATGTCGTGGATGGGGTCGGCGACGACGCGGCGCAGCCCCTTCCCGAAGGAGTAGGAGGGGCAGTTGGTCAGTTTCGGGTGCTGCGGCATGGTTTCCGACGGCGACGGGAGCACGTCCCGGGCGAGCTTCCCCGTGACCGGATCGGCCTTCGGCCAGTTGTGATCGCTGCTGTACCGCCCCGCGTCCGTGGCGTACCTCGGCCAGATGTTCTGCTCCTCAAACTTGTAGACCCGCCCCTCCACCGTTTTCACGGCGGACCGCCACGGGTGGGTGGCGCCCAGCACGGCGGACCCGACCTGGCGGCCGCCCGGCGGCAGGGTGTCCAGTATTTTCCGCCGCAGCACCTGCGACTTGGTCAGCACCGCCATGCGCTGCCGCCACTCCGGTCGGTCCGCAAACACCGCCTTCATCAACTTCTCCAAGTCCTCACCCGGCTGCCCGCGGGTCCTGGGAGGTTTCGTTTGGATACTACTTGAACATTTATTTCTTATTATACTTATTAACACGCAAGGTGTTAGGTACAGTGTCAATACCTCTAGAAGCCCATAACAGCTCCAGCGGCAGCACTAAACATACTTAATTGTACTACTTAAGTCTATAGTCGGTTATTTAGTCTTCGGCGATCGTAAAAACACTGAAATCATCAACTTCCTACCTCTGATCGTAATGCATGTCTTCCAGCGCCGCCACCACATCCTGAATCGAGGGGTCTTCGAACTTGCAGGGCAACCGCATGGCCGGGCCCTCGTCGTCGTACCCCGAAGCGGACTGGGCCCGCGCAGGCTCGGGCTTCTTTACCTTGTACCTTTGGAGGAACTTGTGCCCCGCCTTGTTCTTCACCATGGGCCCGTGGAAGGTTTTGTCGAACCCCGCCATCAAATTTGGGATGTTGGCCACCGCTTCCTTCTGCAGTTTCCCCGTCTTCGTGAACGTAATATCCATCACCCGTGGCTTTTCGTTTTTCCCAGGGAGCTATCAAATGCAAAGATGTTGCCTGCTGGTGGGCCCGGACAGGTGCAAAGGCAAACTTGTGATGCTTTCTGGTGCCAGAGCCAGTCACGCAAAGTCATGCATCAGTCGCTAGAGCTGTACTTTTTACTTTTTGCTAGTGAGGATCTCTGGACCACAGCGAGTACGCATCGCACAGCTCGAGCTCTCGCAGGACCTGTGATCAACATGCAGATGCAGCTACGCCCGGCTGCATCATGTGAGGCTCGTCACTTCTTGTTCAACATCGACAAAACGTGCATGAGAAACTACTTCTAGCTTTTTCCAGATGACGACCCAGTCCCAGACAAAATTATTGCAGTTGATAGGAACAGCGGTTCCACGATCTGTTCTTCCGGGAATACGTCTCCCGTACGGAGAAACGCGGACTTCTCCGGCTTCTGCTCGTCGTTGACTTCCTCGATGTTGTCTACGCCGGCGAACTCCGCCCACCCGCCCAGCATGCGGGCCGCCCGCGTGACCTTCTGCGTGGATTTGCGCCACTTCGCTGCGGTCAGCGCGCGCCGCTGCTTCTCGGAGGGCAGGATCAGGTCCGGCTTCACGGTGCAGACGGAGGGGTCCTGCTCGGAGATGATGCCCCGGTATCCTAGCGAAAAGTGCCACGACCACCCCCGAATTGTGTGCAAGCGTTTGCATTGCAATAAGTACTTAAACGCTCTCGATGGAAACTCTTGCCACCTTCTCTTCACCTTGCATGTACTTATCAGCTTGAGAAATTCTCAAGCCAGAGGAGCGAAGGTTTGTGTTCATGCACCACAGGGGGAAAGTGTAGTAAGCGATGTCTGTCATGTTGAAGTTGCATCACTGGCATAGGTCCAAAATGAATCGCAATATCTATTTCTTCATGTTTGTTGTTGTAATACAAGAAGAAGTTCCATTCGTGTGGAACAAAACAAAGTTGCAAAACAAAGTTGCAATTCTGTCGGTGGTGGGGCACTTTTTATCTTGATAGCCGCCGCATTTTCTCTTTGAACAGGTGCTTTTCCAGCTCGAAAGCAGACAAGCCGCTCACGCCGTCTGCATTTTTCTTGCCCATCTGCGAGTGGAATTTCCCCTCGGACGGCCGCTGCGACTTCCCCGTGGTCCTGGGCCATTGCTTCGCGAAGATGTCCCGGTTGTACTGAATCGAGCCGCGGTGGGAGCTACCGATCTCCTGGTTCTGGAAGTCCTCCACCGCGCGCGAGTCGGGGAGCGACCCCGGACGGTAGTCGACCGGCTTCACCATCGACTGATATTTTTTATTTGCTTACAGATGTGCTGCGGTTTTCTGAATTTGATACAACGAGGCTGGGGAAGAGGAGGACGCTTCTAACACTGCAACGGAGCGCAACTCAATGTGGCGACCGCTGCTGGTGGAAGAACTATCTACTGGGAAAATTGAAAACTCTTTAGTAGCCTTCGTTACGGCCCCTGTGGGTGACAGGAGAAAACACAAGCAGTATGTTGATTGGACGAAATAAATCAGTTTGCTTCTGGAATGGATTTTTTCTAGTAGCACCCTGGAGAAGCAAATGGTATTGAAATAAACCAGATCAAAAAGAAATTGAAACACAGACGATAGACGACGAGAATACGAATTTGAGAGACGACAGATAGACGAAAACGACGTTATACTTATAGTAAAAGCGGACGATGATTGAAGCCAGAAAATTGCACGAGAAGACGAAAAACAGAACGAAGTGCATCGGTGCACTTTTATTTATTAACAAGTAGTAGAACTTACAACGCTCATATAATTAATTCAATAATGCTTGACGCGCACGAAGCACGAATTTCTACCGATCGATCACATGAAGCACAGGACACACAGAGACTGCGACAGTCAAGGCAAAACTTAGTTTGCTATTATTCTGCATCTTCCATCCTACAACTCATCAAGAGCCATCAATTGCTTCTTTTTGCCAAAAGCAAACCTCTAATACTTGTTTGGAAGGAAGTCGACTAAACTCAAAAATAAAAAACGGAAGATAATCCCCACGACAAACTTTTCAGAGCATGCTAATGCTAAGTTCATCTCAGCCCTGAACAAGATCAAGAACTATTCGTCGCGACCACATCGAAGTATTTGCATTACCCCCTCAGATAATAAGTAAGTAAGTAAAGTCGCGCGTTGACAGAATACAGCTGCTCTTTGTTGCAATGGATGGCTCCTGTGCCTAAGATAGAAATCGAAATGAAAGTGAAACCTGAAAACTGGCGAACAAATCAGTGGTGCACATCATTATCAAGAGGGAGTGAAAAAAATAAAAAAGGTACAGATGACGAACATACAGTGCAAAAATAATGGAGATTTTGCATTTATTTTTATTTTTATACACTGAGGGGCAGCATTTGTCTTTGCCAAACGCTTTCAGCCCGACCTCCTGGACTCTGCTTGCAAAATGGGCGATGCACCGCTCGTGGGCCACGCAAAGAGCTGGATCATCTTTTCCATCGTCCGTAGAGGGGGCGGGATTCGGGTCCGCGACATCAACTGCCTCATTTGCTGCGCAACACTGCAAGCCAGCACCAGCGTCTGCAGTGGTCGCTTTCGCTCTAGTCGTCTCAGTGGCAGTCTTCCTGCCGTTCAGCTTGATGCCCTCTCTGCCTTGTTCGTTAGTACCATGCTTGCTTTTCTTCTTTTTGTTTTCTAAAAACGAATCAGTGGAAATTGGCTCCACCGTGGTACCACGAGCAGGAGCCTTCTTAATGGTAGCACTCACCGAGGGAATAGTACTAGATGACGCGGCTGGACGACTTCCTGCACTTCCGATCGAAACGCCGGAAACAGCACACTGCAAGTTTTGGTTCATGGCGCAGTAAAAAATGGCAATCGACGTGGTGGCTCTGCTAGTTGCTCGCCGCAGTGCGCTGGTCGCTGTGCGGTTTTTCGCGGTCCCACCGCCCGCGGTCTTCCTGGATCGCCCGTACCGGCGACTACCACTGAGCTCCTCGTCCATCGACGGAACGGAGCCGTGGTAGACTGGTGTGCGCAACGACATGTGGCTGCGTTCGTCGAGCCTTCACTAACTCTAGTACCAATAGTACTAATACTTGCGCATACAATTAGTATTGGGCGGGAACAACCAAGCTACTTTTTGGAGCTTTTCTTCGGGATAAAAAGTTCGGAGTAGATGATGTCTGACTTTCTAGCAAGCTCGTCAGTGAAGAGCGCAGCAGAAAGACTACCTCAAAAAATAATGCGGGGAAAGATGAAGTACTAGAAGAAAGCTACTCTTTTCGGTGAAGAAGTTGTACCAAACTACTTTGAGAAATTTCTCCTACTTGCGAAAGGTCGAAGACGTTCTTTCCCGGCGTGGTCGTGTTGGTGTCGCATTCTTCGAGGCTGATGTGATGCTGTTGAATGATGAAGCTGACTGATGGAGGTCGTACACGTACGTCTTTTACGTATACAATCTTCATCTACTTGTGTAGTACCTTTTACCCTACGGTATCTTAATTTTTATTTCCAAATCCAAAGCTCGTAAAATCCTGGACGGCGACGAACCGAACGATCTTGCAGGGAGGACGGTCTGGACGCAGGGAGGACGACGTTTACTAGTATCCAACAACGACAACGACGAGGACCGATAGGAAAAGGATTCCAACTGCAATGCGATTTATTCAAGAACCACAGAAATCAGCACTATGCAGCGGTGTACGAAGGAAGACGACAAAACTGGTTCTTTAGTCCACCACGTGTACTACGATTTCATCTGGGAAGATTTGTTTCAATTTGCTCCTACGAGAAAGCACGACATGGAATTGCATGGATGTAGTAAAAGTGGCTGCACTCATTTAGCGTATAGACGAAGAGAAAGACGAACAAGTTCGAGGGTCGTGGCCTGTTGTTTTCGTAGTTCTTCGCGAACGTGTCACTCCCAAGAAGAACAGTACCGCAAAAGCTCACGCGGCTTCATTTTGTTTTTCCAGGCGGCAGGTAAGTGACAACTTTCGTCATGTTGTACAGCCTTGCTTTCACTTTCATTCCCGTAGTGCTATGCTATCTTCTTCCATTGCCCTTACGCTTGTCTGCGACCACACTTCATCATTATGCTTCTATAGGCAAGTCGGTCTGGCCATGATCATCTTCATGCTGATTCATGTGGAGTGACACCTATGTATATAAAGAGGCGGCGTTCATCTCTTTTTCCGTCCGGCTGCGGATATCAAACGAAGATAACGACCAGCGGTCCCTTACATGCCGCGGTCGTGCTGAAGAGAAGCACCGTCGCAAAAGTGGCAGTGCTTGAATTAGAACTTTCTCTTTATTCTTTCGTCCCTTACAGCTAGAATGTTAAGTAAATAAGCGGACTGACATCACTTCATGTGCGTCAAAAAATAATCGCGCCGAATATAGCAAAGACCACAGCCGAACAAGGTGAGTTCTTTGGACCTTGTCTATGCTGTGCTTTTATCCGTAACATTTCGAGTCCTCCCTTAAAATCGCAATCGAACTTTAATATGACCTGGATCTCGAATAGGTACTTACATACTTCCCGTGGTAGGTCTAGGTAATTAACTTGACGGTAGGTATTGGTATAGGTTGAAAAACTTGAAGTCTGTCATAGATTATAATTTCACTTGCGCTTGTCGTATGATTTCCTCTTCATTTTTGTCGAAAAGCTTTGTTTACACGAGCGGAAAATTATATGATGAAGGGAATCTGAACGATTTTTTTTTCTGTGTAGAAGTACTCACATTAAACATTTTCAATGGCGGGGTCGTGTCGTAGTGGTCCGCAATCGCTGCTGTGGCATCTTCGCTTCGACAGCACTGTAAGTAGCCATGCTCAGATCAGCGAGAAGGCCAGATCCTTCTCCTCCTGGAGCTCGGCTTCGGTCACCTTCATCTTGTCCTTCGAAAAAGTGTCCAGTTTGAGCCCGTTTGCGATCGACCACTGTCCCTCCTTACACACACAGGGGAAGGAGTACATCAAACCTGCGTAGTGAAGTTGATGCGGAGCAGTCAGGTACTTACTTCAAACTGCCGTCGTGAAGACACCTAGGTACTTCCAGTGCTGAAGTAGAACAGCCACAGAGACAACCTTGAACTTCTTCTACTTGCCGGTGGATACTGCTGACGAACATGCATCTGTAGAGAGAAAGAAAAGAAATGTTGACACAAATTCTTTATACCGGGCTTGACGCCGTATTCGTTTCCATCGGACAAAACCCCCATAGACACGTACTCCCCCGGCTCGGTATCAAGTTTTGACAAAACTTCTCACTCGTGTGTGAGGTCGTCCCTTTCGTGACCTACTGTGAGGCTGGCAATCCAATATGGGTATAAATATGTTTCATGAGGCATACAAAAAACGAGGACTACAAGTGCAAGGCAAAATACCGCGCGCCGCACATCCAGGTGCTGGACTTTTTTAAGAATAAGCTTGTTGCTTGTCTTTTTTATTGACCCCAGCAAGAGCAGGAGCCCGTTAATCTGGTTGACTATGACCAGCACAAGCGGGTTTAAAAATCGCAAATGGGGACGAAGGTGCGAGCAGTTTTGTTTCACTTGATACTGCGTTCCACAGAACCACGACCGCATGTGTGTCACCGCAGCACTTTATCACACGGAAACTCATTGCTAGCTGTAGCTGCGCATCATATTTATTTCTATGCACCATCACTCGCCCCTACAAGATGCACAAACAGCAGAGGACTCGGCGCGGACCTTCGGAATGGGAATTAACATCTGTGTCCGTTATCAACATGCTGCAACAAACTCGAGACACACACCTTCAAAATGCAAAAAAAGACGCACTCGCATTTCGGGCGCCGATTTATTTTTGCATCATGAAAATAAAGCAGTTTAATAAACATTGCACGCAGCTACGGCTAGCTTTTTTCGTTGTGATATCCGGGCGGCAGAGAGTGCGGAGGATGCTTTACCTGTTGAGACCAAAAACTTTACTTTGTGTTTGATGTAGATCTACATCTAGATGTTCATCTTGGAGCAGAGTCATCTTTCTGTATTCTCATTGTTGTTTTTCCGAATCCGAAGAGAAAAGCCAAAGTGACATCAAAAGCCTGGACTATCATGCGACCGGCGTAACACATCAAAAAGTCAACATATATCATTTTTTTTCAAATAAGAATACGTGCTGAGATAATCGCGGCGCCTCGCTTCTGAATCAGTTCGATGAATTCCCCATTGAGTTGCTATCTAAGGATAAGGAAAGTAGTGCGTTAGAAATGAAACCGTGATGACCAAGATGCAAATGAACTACTACATGCCGACCCAATGTTGCCGCGAAGATGATCATCCTCATGATACAACGCACCATCTCAAATTGCTTTTACGTTATTGTCGTACGACCAGCTAGAAGATTGCTACACGTCGACGTGGGAAAATATTTTGACTTGGCTTTCAAAACAGAATTTGAAATGCGTATGTCTCACAGTCACAACTCAGCCATAGTTTCTGTTGACGACGCACCTTCACTTTCCTTGTCGATAGGTATTTGTCATCGCCCAACACCTGTCGCACCGGCTTGCCGCTCACGGTCGCGTGATTCACATCCGGATACTGCGTACTGCTGTGGTTTCCCCAAATAATCACATTCTGCACGTCCCTCACACTGCAGCCCGCTTTCAACGCGATTTAAGGTATGGATGGGGAAAACATCAGTCGCGTTAACTTCGTTACAGCAGCCAGTTTCTTCCGTACCACTGGTTCTCAAGTTGTGCTAGTACACGTTGTCGTTGATTTTTGTAGCGCTACCTACATTCTCGAATTTATCAAGACCGCATCATGAGGAAAAACCAAGTTGCTCTAGACTTGAGCAAGAACGAGCAGAATTACACTGGTTCAATCTTCTGGGTCGCGTTTTGAATGTGATTTCGTGCAAAAGAAACTATGCACTCCTTAATGCAGAACTGTTCATGCGAACATGTTTTTTTTGGTTTGATTTTGATAGGACCCAGCGCTCGATGGTGGTCCAATCGGGTCATGGCCGTGAAGTTCTTCTTCGGCACCTTTTGTCATTGAAGTCGTGGTGTTGTTTTTCGTTTTCATCATGCAAAGACCAAATGACATAAAGTAGAGATATTATATTAGCATAAATTTGCATGACAAAAAGCGCAAAAAAAAATCCATTTCATCTACCTTGGGAGCAAAGTTGCTCATGACCAGGGCGTTGGTGTTTGCTGGGTTTCCCATATCCTGAGTAAAAGCGTCTGCATCCCAGAGCTTTCATGCGGATTTGCATCCACAGAAAACTTTGTAACGTACATCCCAATTAGAGGCTGAGCCTGAGGCATTCCAAGTAGTGGTTTGGCATTTGTGATGCTGCAGACAGGATAACGGGACGAGGGCTTTACGACTGATACGGCTGTCATTGCTAATCTGCACTACAATACAGAGAGAAACTTGTCATGATGCGTGAATTCCAAAAATTCAGGGTCTGTGATGCAAAGTCTCAACCTTGACTATGAGGTGCTGGGAACGTTTTTCCTCAGGATATCCGACGACCAAGACTTTGATGTTAGGGTTCGCGTTTTTCTCCACGGCTTCACCCATGGCCTTGAAGATCCCGATGTTCTTTTCCATAAGCTCCTTGCGCTCCATACCTGATTTAAGGAAACGGCGCGTCTAAGGGTGGGCCTTTGACTCCACGTTGCTGCGCATGCAAAAAATAGCATTCTAGAAGAATACCTCCTGAAAATCTTCCTATATCGACAATTCTTCATCTGTTTTGTTCAGTGGCTCTGTGCAGCAGCAGCACCAGAGCGAGGTCCAGCATGACAGAAGCAGCTATCACTTCATGTTTTGCTTCACAAAAAGCTTCATGTTCACTTTCAGTGTTCTATCTGTGCTATATACCTTGTTTTCTTGGGAAGGCGCCAAGCAGCACCGCACAGTCTGCCCCAGTGAAGGCCTTTGCTGGGTCGGAGGTGGCAACGACCCCGTACACCAGAGGGTAATTGCCATCCTCGATCTCCATTACCACTCCACCCAGAGACTCCATGACGAATGGCAAGTCGAGTAGATGAAGAATCACAGGCTGGTCCGCACCTGCAAATTTATATAGCATTTGATGATCCATGTGACAACACAATTCATCAACATCATCCCGGCTTTAATATTCATGCCAGGTAGAGTACTACAGGAACAGATGAACTGCTTGTGCTGGTTGCATAATTCCATCAATCTCCCAAGAAAAACCCTTACCAAACATGTCCCCGTTGCAGATCATCGGGGTGATCGCATATCCGATCTGCCCCGCGGCACCGGTAACGCAAACGACGAGCGGTTTCTTCGCCATCTTGATTTTTTCTGTTGTCGATTCCTAGATAGGAGGCAAAACCAAAAAGCGCGTCCTCGAGGAACTTCTAGGCACGCTTGATCTACAAGTGCACGAAACACGAAAGCAGCGGAATTTTATTATAGTTGTTTTTCTTGGATAGAATCAGCGAAAAAAGCCGAAGTGTTAACGTCTACGTCGCTTCGTGCAACGCGAACGCGGCCACCGAAAAAAAATAAGTCCCAGTGTTGTCTATCGCCTGAAAAGTTGTCCGAGTGCGAGTTTATATCGGTATTGTCACACCTAAGGAGCGATGGTCTGCAAAAAAACGTCACTGCGTGTGCGTCTCAATTTACTTTGTTAGAAATGTATGCTCCGTCTCTCTCTCATAGAAAATGGCTATCAGTGTTGCCTGCATGGATAAGAAAAAAAAACATCTCAAGTAGCCCTACAATGGTTCACCTCTACCTACATGTGTCTTTTTCACGTGCTGACGGCATAATTGCCTACCAGCTCAAAAAAAGAGAGTTTTTATTTTTCAGCTTCAACAAAAAAACGTACAGAAAGAATTATATCTCTTTCTCTCTCGGGGAACAGATGGATTGATTGATAATTGTGGGGCCGTTGTCGTTCTCGCCGGTAATGCGTGACAGGAGTACTATCATGCCAGGGCCAGGGGGCGAGTGTACAGCTACAGAAGTGGATTATGCCCACCCTGCAGGGGCGTGCACTGGTACTAGGCCCTTTTTATCTGATAGAATGCGTTGCAACTATGTCGTCGAACATAATTCAGACTCACCTCATAGTCGGGCGCAGATGGAGAGATAGACACCAACACGACCGCCCGTGCGAGTCGTCACCGAGAGCGAAGACGTTAAAACTTCGCTTTCCGTTGATTTGATTTTTTCCTTGCCTCGTGAGGACGATGAGCTTTTTCGTTTTTAACCATCCGGCGTTAACCCTCACCTTCTGTTCCTGTGCAGCTTTTTTACTCCTCCCAGTCTGTGGAGCCAACAGTTGTGAAAAATCGCGATTCTCCTTGTGGAAAATTTTAGAACGCTCTGGACATCCTTTCATCAGTCGGCAGGAAAATTCGATTTGCCCTAAAAATATAAAAATTGTAAACAGCAGCAAGGTAGATGGGTGACTGAGATGTCAAAATACTTTTCACAGGGGCTGCATTTCAAATTTTTGCTGCGTTTATTCTACTACTTTTCTTGTTTTGGGAATACAAAACAGCAAGGAATAGCATCCTATAGTTTGCCAGCTTGTTGAGCCTCCGGTTCTACTTTTGTACGTACTTTGTCTATCTTCCGGCGTTTTTTCGAAATTTGTTTCCTCCAATGTGTTTTCAACTTCAACTCGCATCTCGTCTGGATATCGAGACTGCCTAATTCTATTTTTTCTCGTCGCTAACGCTATCATATCCCGGTGTCCTAAAAAAAATCAGTCGCAGAATAGTCGTAAGAGCGGACGTTACTATCGCGTGTGCATCGGCGCGAGAATAGCAATAGACAAAGGAGTGCTTGTCGTACTAGTTTCGTCGTTGTCCACTGGCTTTCGCCTTCTTTCTAGGGGATTGAACCTGTAAAACCTCCTTCAGAAGTATCTTACAGATGTGGTAGAAACATATCAGAATTTTTCTCGCTTTCTTGTTAGCCCAGCACATAAAAATCCTACAAATGCTTGTTTCGTCGTTATCACGTTTGTGAGTATGTACAAGTGATGTGTCGCTATGCTGATATGGCGATATAATTTCGGTCGCTGGTCTTCTTATTCGTGTCTCGCTTCTGGTCTTTCTCTTCGCTTCGTAGTTTAAGTTTGTTTCTCATTCTCTAGTCGCCGACCATTTCTTTCAAAACAAGATTTTTTTCTGGCGTAATTCTGAGACATTAATCCTTTTGCTCACCTCCTTCTGGCTCAACGCCGCGTACTAAGAACAAGAAGTTCCTCTGATGTTGATGTTCACTGTCAGGCTATAACGTAAACTACGCTGCTGGCCTAGTATTGAGGTACCCTGTATACAAGACAATCTAATCTGCAAAAATGTGAAAAAGAAGAAAAAGTAGTAAAAGCATATATTGGGAGGCGAACATTAAGAAACTAAACTGGGAACAAGAGCTTTATTCTCGTACTATTTCAGAAACATGTAAAAAAATATGAATCATGTGTAACTTGACGTAAGCAGTCCATTTAGAAACAACTCGAAAAATCAGGTAGGCAACAAAGCAGAAACGTCGATCTTGATACTACGCATCTTACAACAGTCTTCTTGCTTCACCACAGCTAAAAATCCACCCCAGGGTGTCCTAATCTTCACGGTGCAGAAGTAGCTGCATCGGTACAATCGCTTGCCGCTCTCGTCGTGGAAAAGGTTTTTATCAAATCTGTTTATCATCCTCGTTATGTCGTTCAAGAACCATTCCCATTCTTCGTTTCATCCCTCCTCTTTGCTTACCCGACCTGCCCGAGGGCGCCGGTCTTCATGGGCTGCGTGTAGCAGTAGAGCGGGAAGGAGACGTAGCAGAGGGCGACCAACCCCATCCAGATCCAGCCGTACCAAGTTACCCGGTTGATCTGCTTCTTCGGAATCGCGAACGCCGAGCAGGGCACGACCTTCTGCCACCCCCAGATCATGTGCCCCATGAACGCGCATGTTGCCAGCAGGTAGAAAACCACCCAAACTGCAAGTGTTTTTTTTCGGATATTTTTTTTAGGTGGTCGGTGATTGTGTTTTTAGTACCGCACTTGATGCAGTTGCCTTCTGAAGATGTTTCTGTTTGTCTTTGAGTTTCTTGTACTGGCTCTCGCTTTTGAATAGAAATAGCACCCCCAAGCTGCTGCAAACGAAATGCGAGAAAGAACCGTATGGCAAGAACAAAAAACAAAAACCATACCAGCGTCCTGAAACAGGTCGAATTCCAACTTGTAGATGTCCCTGACTGGCACCGGCTCAATGCTCTCATCCTGAGACCAGAAGAGCCTCAACTGCGTGACACCCGGCCAATTGATACCCCCATAGTAGACAGGCGGCGGGCGGACGTAGTACCTGTGTTGAATACAATTTTTGTACAGCGAGCTGCTATAAAAAAAGGAGGTCTGCATGAGAATTCTTTCTTTTGAGTTAGTGCAAAAATGGCATTGATGGCATTTTTGGATTTGTATTGCTACAGGGTGGGAATCATCATGACGCGCAGCTATGTCAACAACTAGATGCGGCGATAGTGTGTACACGAAAAAAAGTAAAAAATTCTACTTTCTCTCGTCTAGATCAATAAGTACTTTTGCGTGTCGCCGAAGCGGAACTGGTTCAGGTGGATGAGCATGAAGATGAGGAGACCGGAGCCGGAGAGTGCGAGATTCAATTTGCCGCTCGTGATCGTGTAGTTGCGGTTGATGTCCCAGGTGCGCTTCAGGGCGATGGTGACGTGCAGGATGGCGGCGAGCATGAGGTAGACTTCCACGATGTTGGCCTTCACCAGCCCGCCCATGGTCCAGTACAGCCGCACGTAGAAGTACCCGTACCCGTTAAAATCGTCCGGCCCCAGAAAAATGTGCAGGTTGCCCACCGCGTGGATCACCATGAAAAACATCATGAAGATGGCGGATCTGAGATGTGAGTTGTTGGTGGAAGTGATGTTGCTTTTGTTTTGTTTTTCGTGTGAATGTTTCTACATGGTGGCATCTTCCGAGCAACTACTTACATGATGCGCATCCATGATCCTGCTCACTACAACCAAGAACAACTAAGAACAGGAGCTTGAACATAATTAGGTTTATTAGTGTCTGGCGCCAGCCAAGGGAGTACAGCGCAACTTTTCAAGGGAGTCAAGGGAGTAAGATAAAAAAGCAGTCGAGCGCGCCAATGCGAACGGCATAGAGCAAAAATTTCTCGCGGCGCGCGCTGCGCGCGCGCGGATCGACATCTGTGCGCACACAGCAAAAATTTTGCGGGCCGCGCCCTGCGCGCGCGCAGCGAGGCACGTGCAACATGTAGGACATGCGCCCACGTGTGGGAATGTTGCGAAGCATCAGCGCGAAGCAGGCTGCATATGCTACGCGTGTGGGCTTCAAACTTGCTGCGCGTTCCGGCGGTCACTGCAACTCTTTCCCGATTGGAGAAAGTCGAAGTGGCCGCTTCAACGTTTCCACTTCGTATTCTCTGTTCGGCATGACGTTGAATCTGGTCACGCAGAACCTCGCCCGAAAGATCTCGACAAGCAAATTGCTGAAGTGGCTGCCGCGACTTCCCCCGGACGACGGAAACTCGACATGGTCACGGCAACAGTTTACGCGTTCCTTCGGCTCCACGCTCTTTGTTGCGAGGCAGAGGCCAGGCCGCCCCGGCGACTCCTGTTGACGGGGGCGACTCTAGAAGCCCTCACCTTCTTCAAGAGGCCAGGGCCTTCGGCAGCGAGCCAATGCCTAAACGCGGACAAACCTGGGGCCGCAGCGGGGGGGGGGGGGCAGCAGGGCGCAAACCGGCGACCGGTAAGCGCGTCCATAGCATGCATTTTGGCGATGTTTTAAGGGGAGGCAATTTGTACAAATTTTATTTTCCTCCCTTGGCTCCCTTAACTCCCTTCGAAGTTTCACTCCCTTGCCTATAAAATCACTCCCTTGCCTATGCTAATGCTGTAATATGTCATATTACAGCATTAGCATAACCATGCATAAAGTGAAAAAATTCAACATGAATGAATAGAACGACTCGGGCTCTAACTATACCTTGTGAGCCCGGTTCTGTCGTTTGATAATTTGAAATTTTCGATGGAGAAGAGCGTGGCGAAGATCTGTGTCAAGACGGCGCGCAGGGCGTAGAACACCGAGCCCACAATGCCCGGGAAGTCCCCCTCGTCCTCCGGTTCCGGGGCTTTGTCCAGCAGGGGGGCGTTCAACCCACCCGCCTTTCCCGGCTTGTTCTTATCCTCGAGGGAGCCGATAATCAGGTAAGGAGCGTGTTTCCGGTAGACCTCCGCGGGGTGGATAGACAAGAAATCCTCTGTGGCGTCCTTCCCTGCCAGATTCAAAATGACCAGCTTGCCGCCGGGGTGCTCGTAGATGAAATCGGTCACGTTCAAAACGTCCCCCTGGATCGTCACCCACGCGTCGCCCTCCTTATTGTGCTTTTGGATCTCCTCCAGAGAATAACTCGCCTTCTTCTTGTTTGCCATCACCTCTGCGTTGACTTTCGCGTTGAAATCTGTGTACAAGTTGTGAGTCAGAGTTTCAAAAATTTCGTCTGCTGGCGGATCATAGGCTGCGACGCTGCGGCAAAAGAAGAAGTGTCAGCTTTTTCACCAAATGTCTCATGTTTATGATTTTGATTCCGGTTTTCATTTTGATTTTCGTCTCGATGCATGTTCATATAATATTTTTTCTGCAGCACACACCACATGATCTAAAAGACATGATACTTGCGATGATGTTGCTGCTTTCATCACTGGTGTCCACCGTTCCAATAACCGTCCATGGGCACTTGACAAGAGGTATGCATTGCAAATGTGTCTCAGTCTGGAAAGAGGTGCAATTTCGATGCGTCCCGTGGCTTGTATGGTGGTCCTCACACCAAAATCCATATAGTATCATGCATTTTCTCAGGGAGTAGAAGTTTGCGGCTCCACGTCAACGTCGCGCCTGCTAGAGTGGATGTGAATTCAGCATCCAAAATACGCATCAGCAGGCAGCCTTCGCAAGCCCTATTGTGGTGCTGTGGCATGCATTGCGGCCCATCTTCGGCGTGACCCGAAAAGGGCAGGACATGGACAAAACACCCATGAAATTATGATTATCCTCTTCCAGACCCAGACACAACAGTTGCACCTGATAAGAAGGTAGTCGCGCCCCTGTGGTCCCTTATGTTTATTCCACTTCTCGGAGATGTCGGTACCTGGTGGTGATTTCGGTTTTTCTTCGCTACTTCTAAATTCAAACTGGGAATAGAAAATCAAAATTGTTGTTGATTCCGAAATAATAAATTTGCTTAGCCTTAGTTTGCATTTGCAGCAATATCTTCAATGAACCGCTGTTCCACAGATCGTTGCAAAAAATGAAAATCCTGCCACAAAATAGTTCTTGTTCCGTATGAAAGTCAATACCCGCTCCCGCCAAGCAAATCTTTCTGTCCTCTTCATTCTCCGGGAGCCATTGGGTCATATCGCACACATTCCCGTTGATCACCACCCAGCAATCATTTTCCCTGTTGTGCTTCGCGATCTCCTCGTAGGTGTATGCCTTCACCTTAAGCTTCGATGGCGGCGACATCTTTTTTTACGACAAGTTGACCAAAAAAAATGTACGAGGTCGCGGGGCCGCCGTGCCAAACTATTTTTTTGAATCGGGAAACTTCCGACTTGTACTTACTGTAGATTTTTAAAGAGGAGAAACTCCAAGTAGTGTCTGTTTACTCGTAATGTTTTGTCTTTTTGTACTACAAAAAGCAGAAAAAAAAGTTGTTGAAAAAAGTTCGCTATTCTAAAAATCTCTCACCTCAATAAAAGGGGAAGAAATTTTCTAGAAATAACGGGGACCACAAGAGTCCTGTTGTGTTGAGATTGTGAATGCTAATGAAGCTCATGGCTTTCTAAAACATTTTCACTGCTGGATAAAGCTCTTGCGAACCATCATGCTTTGTTGTTTTCTGCGTCGTCGACCGATGAAATTCATGTTATTCGAATGCTCTTTCCGTCAGATACAGATTCAGATGCTTGGTCCTTGCATGGAACGAATCAACCGATAGGACTCCTCCTGTAATTGTGACATCATGTTGTTGGTCGTACTAGATTTACACATGTACTATCATCCACCTCGAGCTGTTTCTTGGCTATGTATAAGAAGAGAGCGGTGGGCTCAAGAACGTACGATTCGTCAGTGGTGCCGCACGAGGTTGGTCGCATAAAAGTACACCTCTGTCGTGTCTCGACTTGTTTTGATGGTATGCACGTGTTCAACTGTAACTGCTTTTCTTGTTGTACGAAAATCAAACGCAAGGACGAGGGTTGTTTCTAGCTAGGTCGGTTTCTTGTAGCGCAACGAAAAAAAAACGAACCGACTCACAGCGAATAGTCTCAGATTATTTTTCACCGACATACAAGTAAGTAATAATGAGGATTCCTTCTGAAGACAACTTCCGCTACTTCTATGTTGCTGGCTCTCATACTTTCCAGTGACATTGCAGCAGATGACCGAAGCACTTTTCATGATGGAGATCAAAAACAAAATCATGATGATAGTCTTAATCATACAAACATAGTCGCACGATGGAGATGTTACGAGTCCTGGATTATCCCATGTCGCGACAGGCTGATGTCCGCATGCGCTTGCGCTTGCTCACCCGGACTCGGACATACATGATACTTCCTTTTTGTCAGCAACGAAAGAGAACTCCAGCCGTGTATGTAGCAACTTACTAAAGACGACGATCATCACGACGATAATTCGCAAATTATACCTCCACCAAGCATTCATATTTGCAACACAGGTAGCACAGGAGATCAAGCCAGAGCAGTCCTCTTGCACCCGCGCGGTCAAGGACAAGGAGGTGAAATCTTCACTCATTTTCATGCAGCGCGGTCTTGCCTGTGCTCAATTATTTGCTGGTCTTTTTTGCAATCCTTACAAGCAGAATATCCCCGAATCTTGTCGTGTTCCAAAGAATTCAAATTCATGCTTATCTCGTGAAAGTCATACAATCTGCACGATAGAAACTACGCTGGGTGGTGTTTCACTGAATACTAGCATTATCTGGACATTCGGATAGCATCGTGGTCATGGAGCGACGCTATCTCTGCTGACGGAACGAAGAAGACCAAAAAGCTCGATGCGTAACAAGAAGATTTGACACATTTAGAAGAGAGACCGGCACGCGCTGAGGCCTAGATTTGTAAGCACGACCTAACGGCGAAGGTTGCTGTTTTTACGTCAAGCATACCATCGGGGAAAGCGGGGGGTCCCCGTCCCCCGCCCTCCCGCCCGCTGCGTATCCCGCCTCCGCAGGGGGCCCCCGCCCTTCCGCCTCCGCAGGGGGCCCCCGCTCCCCTCCCGGGCCGCCCGCCTGGGGTCACAGGGGGCCCCCGTCCTTCTCCGCGGTAAATATCGCCCGCGCGCAGGGGGCCCCCGTCCTCCACCTTTGGCGCCTAAGGGGGATCCCCGCCTTTCTCTCCTGCCCGCAGGGTGCCCCCGCCCCTCACTCCTGGCGTTCCAGGGGGTCCCCCGCCTTCCTCTTCCGCCCGCAAGGGTTCCTGTCGCCTACGCCGCGCCTGCTGCTCCAGGGGGCCCCCCGCCTTCCTCTCCCACCCGCAAGGGTTCCTGTCGCGTACATCGCTCCACGCCCGCAGCAGGGGAAACAAACGCAGCGGGGCCCCGCCCCGCAGCCACCCCCGCTGCCGCAGGTAGGGGGCCCTCGCTGTTCGCCTTGGTAATGGGCGCGCCCCTGCCCTTCCAAGTGCCAGCACATTCATGGGTCCCATGCGGCTGGAGCAACCAGTTGCGCCGCCTAGGCCTCTGTGCGGCTGCGGGGTCAACCGCAAATACGCGGCTGGAGCAACCAGTGGTGCCGCCTGGGCCTCTGCGCGGGGTCAACCGCAACAACGCGGCTGGAGTAACCAGTGGCGCCACCTAGGCCTCTGCGTGGGGTCAACCGCAAATACGCGGCGGCTGGAGCAGGGGAGACGTACGCAAAGGCCCGCGAATAACGCCTGAACACCCGGCGATGGTGACGTGGGACAGCGCGTACAGAGTTGGAAACGCTGCCTGCGGCCGCCGCCGTGGAAATGCTGCCCGCGCGTGCCGAGGTGATCGGCAGGGGCGGCCTGCGCGGGCGGGGGGCCTGTGCAAGAATTACGGGCAGCAGCCCTGTTGGGCTGTCAATGGTGTCCATGTTGGTTAGGAAGGCCGCTTGACTTGTGCTGGTTGTCAATACGCCAGAACGACAACTATACGCCAGAACGACAACGCGCGGCCCCGCGGCTTGTCGTTCTGGCGTATTGACAACCAACACAACAGCGCCGTAGTCACAACCAACCCGCGCCAGAACTCAAGCGATAGGGAGGCGAATGCGCATGCAAGCAAGAACCCAAGGCCAAGAAGTGTCGCGGGGAATACTGCCCACATGCGCCGGCGCACGCACTAAGAAAGCGCGCGGGAAAGTATTGCCCCCAAGCGCTGGCGCCCACATGTGCCAGGGCACGCAGTGCGCCGAGCAGTCGGGGCCGTGCCGTTAGGGCGTGCGCTTTCTGGCCCGCGCCGGCAAGGGCCAGCAAGGGAAAAGTAGACACGCGCCCGGGCGCGCAACGGAAATATTGCCCCAATGTGCCGCGGTGCGGGTTTTCGCGACGCCAGCCAGAAGCCTGGCGAGAAGCGTTGCAAGGGGGGCGCTCCGTGAAACACGGGCCACACCGTCGCGGCCCACAAACGCGACGCGCGTGGCAAACCACGGAAACCAACTCCGGAAGCCGGCGCATACCATCGCGATTCAAGGTAGACGCGCAGCGCTTCTTCCGATTTGTGTCACGGTGAGAAACATCGTGAAAAAAGGGCCATGCCATCGCGATTTGGCTGCGCGGCTTTCGCGAAATACCGTGGAAAACCAAGACAAACCAACTCCGGAAACAAGGCCCGTAGCATTGCGATTCGCGGCACAATTGGCAGGCTTTTTCACGATTTTTTTCACGGTGAAAAAGCTCGTGAAAAAGATGGCATGCCATCGCGATTAGCAGTCAAAACAATGCAACTTTTTCACATTTTCACCAGTTTCACGATAAATCCCGGGATCCCGGAAATCCCGGGACTCCGGAAAGACGTGAGTAAAAGACAAAAGCAAAAACCAGAAGACTTCAAAGGGCCAACCCGCATGGTATGGCGCGCGTAGGCCAGTAGGGTCCTTATATTTTCGCAGTGTAAAAAAAGCCGCTTCACGAGGGCACCGCGCCCGGGTATATACGCAAGGTCTGACCCCAATCAAGATGCTAGCGCGAATAATTCTAGGCCTCAGCGCGTACCGTTCTGACCAACAATTGCCAGCATGCCTGACAGATAGAAGCGTCACCAGGCCTTGCGCACTATCCAAGTAAAGTAAAGCTGTGATAGAAATTACCTGCTCTGCCGCTGCTGCATTCAAAAAATGATAAAGTAAGCTGTCTGTTCCTTTTAAGACACGATTTTATTTTGCAACTTAATTTTTCATAAATCACAAACATAACTCGGAGAGACGAAGGAATTTTGTTCCCACGCCTCCGCGATGGAAAATTCTGTACGATCTGGTCACTTACGGTGAAGCTGTCCTTAACAGCAGTCGGCGCGGGTAGCAAAACAAGTGCTAGATACCAAATTTCCCGCAAATTTGGCGCAAATTATTTGCGCCTGGCTTAGAATATTTCTCGTAAAAGATAACTCTGCTACATACGGTGAGTTCACACCTCGTTTTCGCATACAAAACTGGCATGAAATTCTTGTCAAACTAGTATTTTCTTTTGTTTATTACTCTAATACAACTGAACAACCCGCCTGCGTTCTTCTTGTCTATAATCCTTACAACTAGACTGATACTGATTTGTCTGATTCTAAACTGTGATTCTGTTGATTCCTTAAAGTTAAAGTTAAAGCTAAACATAAAAAAGGGTAATGATAATATAGTGCCCTCTTTTCGACTCTTTTTTCCTTAAGTTTTGCTCTGAGCTGCTGCTTTCGGCCGAGAGCATACCTGCTCAATAAGATGGATTTAAGACTATCTACATCATATCGAATACGAAAGCGAAACGAAGGAATAAGAAAATATTAGTACATCATCGCCAAAAACGTCGACTGTTTTGCGGCTACTGCCTGATACCATGAGAAAAGAACAATCTCCTGGAACCAGACAAGCGCGACAGAGAAACCATGAAACGAGAATTCGAGTGCTGATATCTTTTTTTTTAATACTATCTTATTTTTCAGCCGCGACGTGGACATGATGTGCTGGTGCTTGTTGTCGTGTTTGTCGTCTGTACTGTCGCTTCTGTTCGCTGTTCGGCGTGGAGGCTGTGTCGTCTGTCGCAAAGAGGAAAATTTCAATTCGAAGTTGTCTGCAAGCTCCCGCTTTCGATCCAACTCCGTCGCGTCTTAAAAATTGTGCTGTCGTAGTACTGTGTCCACCTCCGACAAACCGGAGCTGCTATTGATGATCTGTAGTCGTGTCCTCGCAGAACTTGCTTCTTTTTATTTTCATTTTCATTTTGGTTCTGCTACGTCCTCTTCTCCTGCTTTCCTCCGATCGATCCCTTAGCTGACGCCGAACGCTCCCTGCTTCATGGGGAAGAAGAAGCAGTAGAGGGGGAAGGAGAAGTAGCACAACGCGATGCAGGCCATGATGACGTATCCCATGTTGGTCACGTATCCCGTGCAAAACTATCGCACTGATCGTGAGTAATTGCAATATTGCATGACAGATAAATATCGTTTATTAGCTACGACCACAGTATTACAAATTCATTTTTTTCCTGCAAAAAATGCACTACAAATTCATCACCCTTTATTTTCTACTGTTTCAGATTGCGGATGTTGCAATTCGTACGAAATACGTCCGATAGTTTTGCAATCCGTATCACACGCTTGTGGTGCCCCTTCGGGATCTTGAACAGGGAAGACGGAACAACCTTTTGCCATCCCCAGCAGGCATGCATCAGGAACATTGTGGTGGAGAAGAGGTACCTGGTTCATCGGGTTATAATGATGATAAATGCCACTGCGATCAACTAATCTGATTTGTCATAGTCATGCCGCGCGATGAAGTAGATATAAACCATTTTCCATCTTGCGCTGCGTTTTTGTTTCCACTTAGTTGTAGACAAGAAGACCATCAACATTTATACCACAGCACCCAGATGGCGTCCTGGAAGAGGTCGAATTCCAGCTTGTAGATATCGCGCACCGGCACCGGAGTGATGCTCTCGTCCGTGGACCAGAAGAGGCGCAGGTGCAGCCAGTCGCTTGGGTATCACACAGAAAAAAGATAAGTAATAGTAGGACGATGAACTATTTGTGTTTGTCATGCATACCCGACTGCGCCACATCAAAAACCTTTGCACCGTCGCCGCAAGCAGCTTCGGACGCAGGAGATCTAGGGTCAGAACCGCGAAAAACATCGCGAGTATTTCTTCATTTGTGTTTGTCATGCACTGCTGATATTAAATACACGGACAAAAAAATAACATGCCAAAAGTTGTCATGGGCGGGCGTCGTGAGTCCATAGCCAACATAGCCAGCTGTCTACTGAGATCTTGTCTTTTGCGCACCACTGATTTTCAGTTTTGCATCAGCATCACAAATATTGTCGTACTGTAGTCTCATCTTTTTTCTCGGGGATATCGGGTGCAGGTTGACCAGGTACGGTGGGGGTCGGACCAGGAACTTCTGCGTCTCGCCGAATCGGAACTGCTTCAAGTGTATGGATTGCAAAAATGTCTAGGTCTGGAAGAATGTAACTTGTGATGCTGCGTCTGCATTATCCAAAAATCTGTATTGCATGAACAGCAAAAGAGGTCTGGTTTTGGCCACGGCGAGAGGGCATTTCTCATGCGGTATAGGCATCAGAAAGCCCTCACAAGATCTGTGATGCTAGGGCATGCATCGCAGACATCAGGAGTCATGCAAAATGTGCATAACAATCCTTGCATCCTTCCAGACCCAGACATTTTTACATTTGATAAAGTGGATCAACATGAAGACCAGCAACAGCGTTCCGGTCATCGCGAGGTTCAACTTTCCGGAGTTCAGTGCGTAGTTGCGGTTGATGTCCCAAGTTCGCTTCAGCGCGACCATGACGTGGATAACCGCACCCAGCGCGATGTAGACCTCCACGATGTTGGCTTGCACCAGCCCGAGGCAGGTCCAGTACAGTCGGACGTAGAAGTAGCCGTAGCCGTTGAAGTCGTCCGGCCCGAGGAAGATGTGCAGGTTTCCGACCGCGTGCACCACCATGAACAGGATCATCAGAATCGCGGACCGCGTCAGACCGGACCGGTCGTTGGTGAATTTGAAATTGCTGATGCTGAAGATGGTGAGGATAATTTCCAACAAAAACGCGGAGGCCATGTTCAGTGCGGCCGTGAAGTACGCGCCCACATTGACGTACAAGACCCCGGGGTTCTCCTCCTTCATCTGCTCGCGCCAGCCGCCCCACGCCTGCTCGTTTGCGAACGCGTCGCCCGCGGCCGCAGACTTCTTCAACAGGGGCGCGTCCAAACCGCCCGCAGCCGCCGGAGCGTTGGCGGGGGGCGTGCCTAATGAGGTAGTTCGGTATGAAAATTGATACGTTGATTTTGCAGGAGCTCATGTTAGCCTTGGTATTTCTGATGCACGTAATATCATATATCTAGAAGTGAACAAGAAATAGGAATAGCCGCCGCAAGAGCGTGCTGATCCCGAGAAAGTATCTATACCGATCTGCCCGATGATGGCGTCCGGAGCGTACTTCTGGATCACATCTGGCGGGTGGATCATGTTAAACTCCTCGGTTGCATCCTTTCCGGCGAAGGTCAGGATTGCCAGTGCACCGCCGGGGTGGTCGGGGAGAAACTTGGTCACATCCAGCACTTTCCCGTCGACCACGACCCAACAGTCTGATGGTAGAGGTTTTGATTCTGGTGTAGTACAGTACTGATGCATTCTGATGCATGACAGAGAGCTATCTTCATATCGGAATCGGACCGCATGACAAGCTCAGCAAAAATATCGTGTTGCGTTAAAATTTGCAAGCAAACAAAATGATACAACTTACCCTGTTCGGTCGTGTGCTTGGCAACTTCGTCCAGGGAGTAGTATCCCGAGCTTCCCGCCCCTGCAGCGGCCGCTGTCATGGTATTGAATTTCCGTCGGTATGATCCGTTCATACTTACACTTGGGTTAGTTACTAGCAGGAGGAAGATTCCTCTTTATAAAAGTCGTGTTACGCCTTGGCCTTCCTACCGTCTTTTTTTCTTGTCGCGGTTGTAGTGAGCAAAATCAAAAGATTTTTCATGAAAGACGAATCAATGTTGATTCACTTACCAGCCGGAGCAGCTGCGGCGCCCTTGTTGGGTTCGTCCTCGTAAGAACCTCCGGACAGAGCCGACTTCTCGGTACCGCCCCCCGAGATACCGCCCCCGGACAGCTCCTTCAGAGACGTGGCCTTCAAGCGCGATCCCAGCAGGTATTCCGCGCACGCCTTTCCGGACACGCGCCCGTACACGACGCAGTCCAGCAGCGAGTTGCCGCCCAGTCGGTTGTTGCCGTGGACGCCACCCATCACCTCGCCGGCCGCGTAAAGACCCGGAATCACCTTGCCACCGGCACCCACCACCTCGGACTTCGTGGTGATCTCCAGACCGCCCATGCCTGGTTGATAACGGGGTTTTGTGATTCATTTGTCTTGCAGGTTCTTGTGCTTGGAGGTACTAAACGCTCAAGATTGATTTGAAGAACATAGGATGCTGCACAAGAACGAGACGTGAACAAAGTTAGATCATTTACGAAAAGAAAAAACATACAGTAGTGGATGATCGGGGTGATGATGGCGACGTAGAAGGGTTCCGTTGCGAAGGCCGACCCCGGGATGGTGTTGTGGAAGAACTTCTTTCCGGAGCCCGTCTTACCGGAGGGTTCGTCCCAGGTCTTGCCGCTGGGGTAGGCCGGGAACGGACCGCCATCCGGGTCCTTCTCCATCTTCAACGCGGCCTGGTAGTGCGCTTCGGTGACCGCGGCCATGCGCTCCACCGGGACGCCCATGTCCTTCGCGAGAGCCGCGCCAGACTCGTAGTACTTCATCACCCCGCGCCCGGTGTAGTGCTTGCAGTGCCAGATAATCTCTTCAGAGGCGGCCTGTGAAGTTGCAGATACCAGGTTCATTTTCATTTTGTAGTCGGTAAAGAAAATCATTAAATGCAAAATTCAAATTTAAATTTTTCCTTTACGAAAAAATTTAAAGCTGCTCCTAGACGGAGTCACATCTTTTATAGAGAATCGACGTACGAAGAACCAGAAATATTACCTTGTTCAAGCACAAGCGGAAGGGAGCCTTGTTTTTCCACATCTCCCCGGTGACGTAGTCACGACGGCCAAGCTCGTTGGCGAACCGGTACCCGTCGTTGTCGAAGATCAAGCCGCCGACGCCCCGCAGCGCCTCGGCAGCCAGGAACTTCACCTTCGCGTCGGGGTCCTTCGGGTTCACCAAACCGGTCGGGTGCACCTGCACCCACTCGAGGTCGCAGGTCTTGGCACCGATCGCTTCCCCCATCTTGATGCCGTCACCTGATGAAGAGTACTCTCATGCGTCGAGAATGTGATGAAGTTCTTCTCTCAAATTCAAGGGACAACGCCGGTTTGGGGTTGTTTTTATAGCCGGAAACTACTGCAACATCCCGAGGACAAACAGCTATCCCGCATGTCGCTGCATTCTGCAAAAACGTGACCCATACATTGTATGAGAAGTACGAGATGGTACAATGCACGAGTGTCGTCGAAAAATGCATTCTAAAATTCGTGTACCAGTGCAGTGCTCGCCATTGGAGGTCGGCAAGTGCATCAAGTCGGGTCGGTACTTGGCCAGCAGGGAATCCTGCGAGAAGTCGGCGCCGAAGCCGCCGGTGGCGATGATGACCGGACCCATCTGCTTCAAGGACTGCCCACCCTTCTCGTAGTTAACGCCCACCACCTTTCCACCCTGGAAGATCAGGCTCGTGGCACTGTTAATGCATTTCATGTGTATGTTGCGCAAACATTCATTTTCATGCAGTCGCATTCATCTTGCAAAACCACCACCTACTTTTGGTATCGCATGATCCGCTTGAACCAATGACTCATACATAAACATAATGGTCCTCCTGAATCTAATACACTCAAGAGAACAACCACAACCACAACCACATCTGATACCGGGCCTTCGTGACCACCTGCGCGACAGAGCCGTTGGTTTTCTCAGCGATCTTCTCCACCATTTGGATCACGTATGACAATGCACAACTACCCCCCGTGTTGTAGCCAATTCACTTCGCAATACAAGATCACATACTACCAATTTCGTCCTCGTGACGCAGGCAGATTACGACGTCGAACTCCTGCGGCTATGTGTATTGACTGCAGACTCCAGCATAAGTTTTTAGTATGCAGCTTCATTTGCATATTGAGATCTGATCATGCGAATTCAGGCAACATTCATAGGGAACAACAATTGTGCATTCGCATATCAGCGCGTAGGTGATGGTCATACCCGGGAAGCGCTCCTTACCACGGTGGGTCCGCGGCGCGGAGTGACCCCCCAGTCGGGCGACGTATGCAAAGAAAAAAGCGCTACAGTTACACCTTGCGTTGCAGCAGACGAAGCAAGAAACCTATGCCATCCATGCCAAAAATGCTTGCGGGCCTCGTAGTTTCTTTATGCGTGTTTCGTGAAGAGGAGCTTCTTGTTCTTCACATTGTGAGTTTTCCTGTGTGTCATTGGTACGGGACAAGCCTATACTGCTAGAGTTGGAGTTCCAACAAGGTGCGTGCAACTGTATGCACTTTTTTTTCGGGATACGACGAGGGAGAGGTCCAGTCCAAAAACGTCCATCAGCCAGTCGCAGTCCGGACCCGAGTTGGTGGCCAGCACCTTGACCAGCTCCGGCTTCTTGGCTCCGCCCTTCAGACAATCGGAGGAAAACAGCTCCACACTGTCCTCGATGCCCAGCGCCTTCTGGGACTTCGTGTTGGCGCCGTTGATGCCCGAGGTCGCCTTGGTCGAGTTGCCCCCGCAAGAATATGCAGAGGAAAAAAAAGGCTTCGCTACAAGGTGTAACAGAATTGATCATGTTCATCTTCCCGGCGGTTCTGGTACATACTGCTTCTCCATATCAACATTTGTTTACGCGGTCAAGAACACCGTGGACTTCCTTGTCTGTGGTGTGTTCTTCGGGCTATCGATCACAAGGAAGTCTTGCTTTTCTGCCCCTAGACGCACTTACTGTTACGTCGTGCAAATAACTTTCTTGGCAAGATCCTGATAAAGTGACTCTTTGCAGATATGAATATGATGCAGTTCGTTGACCACTTCGAAGCTGGTGCCTTTTTGTTTCGTAAAAACGCGGACTTGTCCAAGAGAACGACCTTTCCGCCATGCTCCATCACGGTATTGGCCGCAGCCATACCGGAGAGACCGCCACCTGGTGTTTTATATGGGAAAGATGAAAATCGATGGAGAGACAGTATGCAGATCCAGGGTCTTGAGACGACGCCGCAGGGATAAAAGCGAGGAGAGTAGAGAGCAAGTGCAATTCACGCAACAATGCCGAAGTTCAGTCTGAACTTTTTTTCAGTGACGGCCCATGCATAGTACTAGAGCTGTGATGCAAAGTCAAAGTACGCGACGCGTATTACATGGAGCATGATGTGGAAGAAGTTAGTACCGAGTACGACGACGGTATCTGCCATCTTGTGTTCGTGACGAAGATTTTTATAGTTGTACTACAAAGCTATAACCCTCTCGACACGGTCGTGCAAAAATACTACTGTTCCTACTCCTCCAGAAACCACAACCACTACGGTTTTTGTTTTTTTGAAGAGAATCAGTAGGACTGTACTACAGTTATTTGCACAAAAGTTTGATGTGATTCTGCGGTGGAGAAAAAAAATGTAGATTTGTCAAATCCAACTGAAGAACTCTTCAGTGGTTTTCCTTCAATATGGGTATTTCTGGGGTGGACGTGTTGGGGTGAAGATATTGATATAGTTAGGTGTAACTGGGAACCGACACTTTGACAAGAACGCTAATTCTAAACGCTTCGTGGTGTCTAACTCTGTCTCTGAAGTATTGTATAAGTAGTATTCGTGGTGTTGAGAAAATCTCTACAACAAGGGCGGGGGATGGGGAATACAACAGGGGAAGGGCTTTATAAAGTAGCTGGTTGACAATCATTCGAAGTCGATCGAGAGAGCTCAACATGACAAAGACTTTTATTTTTTCCGCAGGCCTAAATTGTACTCTATGCATCATATCCATATCGAAATCGATGGGATACTCTTACTCCACCTCGGTCGATGAAGATATTCGTACTTCGGCTGAAGTGCAAAATATTTCGTTGTCGTTCCGCTCTCTCTCGAATAAAAAAAAATCCGTCATCGCTACGGTGGAGGCTCGTCTTACTTTTCTGTATTCTCTTATTCGAAGCAAGGAACACTAGTGCTTTATGACTATGCGACAACTCCCATAAATAGATATGCTCAGAGTTGGCCCCTTTGGATTCTCAAGGACGAAAAAAAATAGGCACAGATCACTCGTCGCCCTGTTGTGCGAACGTAATATTGGAAAAAAATACACATAGGGAGCGAGCCCCAGCGAAGATGAGAGATCAATAAAGGTCATCGAGCAACACATCTGTTTACAAGAATTCCTTGCAGTGTTATCAGTCAATGACATGCACTCCATCTCCTGGTGCATCATGATCTCTTTTTCAAGAACTTCCTTGTGCTTCTTTAATATTGATATTCTTGCAGACAGGAGATATACAAAAAACCGAATCAACAACCATTTCGATCGTGCATCCACTTGCTGTAGTTCTTTTGTTGTGCCGGCGAGATAGAGCCAAGGGGGCGAACACATTCAGCTCTCATTCTATTTTTTTCGAATTTCGAAAAAAAAAATGCGCGACCACCAGGACAACTCATGCTTCCGCTGAGCACGGGCTCGTCGCGCGCTAGCAGTCCCAGGCCTGGTCCGCTAATCTATGCTATTCTAGTTTTTTATTGAAGATATCCTCGTTATGATTGAGAATAAGTTGAAGAAATTTTATGTCGCGGTTCATGGCTGTAGCGTCGTTTGATTGACTGAAACGTCTTTTCATCCTCGCTCCCTTTTTGATGCGGCCGAAGCAGATGGAGCTCAAGCTCATCATCATCCATTATAGAACGTGGAACTGCAAATCACTTCGGCCACTGTCGTATTGTAACAAGTGCCAGCTCTTACGACTTACAACACCCTCATTGTCGTTTGGCACGGGAACGTCTTGCACACAGATTATCAACATCAGCTGCATGACTATAGACCATGTCTACTCCACCACCGCACTCACCATTCCCGCCTCTCCCAAAGGTCCTTCGCGGCTTGCCGCTGCTGTGCGTGATTCATGGCCGCCAACATATTTTCTTCAAACCCGGTCCCGCGGATCTTTCCGTCCCAGCGGTACCCCGGCTTGATGTTGTACCGATTCGTGGGCATCGCAAATTTGCACTTCGGCTTAGGAGGAGGCGGTGCAGCTGGAGCTGTTGCGGGAGTTCCATCTTTGTTCTTCGACGTCTTCTTCGCGGCCGCGTCCCCCGCAACGTGCTTCGCCTCGAACTCGGCCAAGGGGTCGTCCCACCGGTCCTTCGCCTTGTTCTCCGCCGACAAGTGCTCGTCGATCGTGTGCCGGGCGAAGGTTTCCTCCTCCCCGACGCGTTTTTCGTATTCCCGCCTCTGCTCCTGGCGTCGCTCCTGCTCCAGGCCCTTGCCCCACTTGGACGCGTCCTGGCGGTCGTACTGCTTGCGCTTCTTCCGCTCCTGCTGTTTTTTGTATTCCTCCGCGGAAATGAGCCGGCCCTGAGCGTCGCGGAACTTGGTCTGCTGCTGGTTGGCCTTGTGGATCCGCTCCGCGCGCTCGCGCTCAATCTCCTTGCGCCGCGCAATTTCCGCGTTCTGCTTCTGGATGTCCTCGTTTGTCATGATCCCCGCCTTCCAGTGCCCCACGCGCGTGTCCCCCGCCTCCTCCGAATTTTCGGCTTCTTTTCGCCCCTGCTCGCGCGGAGGACTGGCGTCGCTGTCGCTCGCAGCGCGCCGCCTCGGTGATGCTTTGTCTCCCGTGCTGCCGGCCGGACCAGCTCCAGCTGGTCTTTCGCGGGGCAAACTAACATCGCTGTCCGACGAACTCAGGATGTCGCTGTCGGCGCCGTCTTTTTTATCTTCAGCGGCCCCCGCACCAGACCCTTTTCTTCGCTTATTTTTCGCTTTATGATCTTCGCTGTCGTTGTCGTTCTGCTCCTGTCGTGCAGCTGCCGTCGTTGCTGGCCTCTCCCGTGGCAGGCTCACGTCGCTGTCGGAATCATTCTCCTGTTGAGCAGCAGCTTGCTTCTTTTGCGCATCATCTACTACTTCTCCACCGTTCGCAGCAGGCCCTCTACTTCGTGGCGGGCTGGCATCGCTGTCTGACTCAGACCCCCGCGCGCTGTGCTTACCCTGCTGCTCTTTCCCCGCCTTCTGCCCTGCGGACGACCGCTCCCGGGGCGGGCTGGCGTCGTTATCGGAACGGGGTCCTCCTCCGCGACCACGGGAAGCAGGAGGCAGAGGTGACGAATTTGCTTTCGCTTTATTTTCGCGGGGCGGGCTCGCATCGCTGTCCGATACGGTCTCCTTGCGGCCGCGCTTTGATGTCAGGTCACCAGGTCGCTCTCTCGGTAAGCTCACGTCGCTATCGGAATCATTTTCTTTCTTTGCGATTCGTTCATTCCTGCCCGCGGGTCTCTCACGTGGAACGGACGCGTCGCTGTCGCTTTCCGCCCGGTGGCCGACCACTGCACCCCGGCCGCGAACAGGAGATTTCTTTTTTTCAATGTTTGTTGTACTTGTTGTCATATGCTCCCTCTTGTTTCTCGCCCGGAAGTTCGAAACAACCGCGTCCGCGTTGCGGTCCTCGCGGTAGGTATTGTTGTTTGTTCCGCGATCGTTTATTGCAGCTGAATCGGGGTCAAACACACTGGTCAGAATCTTGTTTTCTTTAATGCGACTCTGCGCCGTCAACAGATCCGCACTATTCACGATCTGCACGTCGCCGCGCTCCAGATCCATCCCGAGCTCGTCTTCGCGCTTCCGCTTTTTCTTCGGCTTTTGTCGCCGCATGTCATCAATGTCGCCCTCGTCGCGCACCCTCAGCATGATGTTCTTTTCTGCCTTTTGCTTCTTGTGGCCCTTCTCCTTGCCACTGCTGTTCTGTGCACCGGCTCCGCCCCCGGCGTACCGCGCAAGAATGTCAAGCTTGGAGGACATGATGACTGAGGATGAGGTGCAGCTCCTGGTGCGGAAAATAAAACTTTTCTGTCGACAAAAAGTACCACTTCCACAGACGAAGTTTATCGCTCGGAGAACTTGATAGAACGAAGAAAAATAGCTTTACAAAATCTACCGGTAGTGCTGCTGCGTCGATGAACAAAAGGACAGCGGTTCGCTTTCACGCCATAGTGATAGTATAGATAAACGGAGCTATCTTAATATGTTTGTAGGGTTATTTTGGTCGGGATTCATAATCAAGGTGGGTGAAAAAAGTGACGGTGTCGCTGTGTCGATGAAACAGAAATTAGACGCGTCAGCCTTCGTCGAGTGGATTAGTGGATTTTTTTGGACTCTACCTGCTTCTCCAACCAGTGCTTGTCATCAAGATGGATTATGAGATCAACTTCGTCTGCGCAGGAACGATGCGTGCCTCGATTTAGAAGACATATTAGATCCCATAGGACAATAGGAATACGTAAGCTGTGGTTCATTTTTCAGGCTTGTTGGTGCAACACTACTCATCGACGTCTTCAATTGAAAATGCTTTCGATCCTTGGAAGAGCCTAGCAGTCGTCGACTGTTGGTAGAAGTTCAAGTTTTCGCAAGAACAAGTCTTGAGCAGGAATTTACGTATGTGCTCGAGCCGGGAATGCTGAAAAATGCTTTAGTTGATGAGCCACCATGTTGTAGTGACAACATCTGATCTCCTCCATCCCGACGAGAACATCTCCTTAATTTCCAGCGTCGACGAGGCTCGATAAAGTTGTTGAGAAGGGCCGCGCGCTAGCCACAACTAGGCGCCCCTTTGTTATGTGCTCGGCGTCCGCGACACCTCAAGCCAGTATGCACATGGGGGCGTGACGACACAGGCCACGAGTCCCCCCGCAGGGCAGATCATGGGCAAGCACCTGCAACAGCAGGCTGCATCCCATGCCATCGATTTCGTGCAACGCTTTGCACGCACGTGCGCGCGAGCTCCGCGAGCCGCGGATGCTACGCGCGCGTGTGAGTAAGGTCCGCGAGGAGCGGGTGTTGATTTCCCAAGCGCCGACAAACAGCCAGCGACGAGGGGGCCGACCTCACGCCATTATCCCAAGCGCTGCTCAGGGAGGGCGGCGCACTCTCGTCATAGAAGGCGTGCGTCGCTGATGCAAGTGATATACTTCAACGCACGTCTCGGGATAACCCTGCATGCACAAACGGCGCAAATCATAGGAATGTCACTCCTTCGGATGGATTCAAACCTCCGCGCTAGCGATTGCCGCCGGCCTTCGTCTTCCTACAGTCAGCAGTTGCCGAAGATAGGAACTGCGCAACCAGCAGCGAGAGCTGGACGCATACCAGGTCGGCGCTGGTATTCACCAGCGACCGCCATGGGTTCAGTGCCTGCGGGTAGGTCACTGCGCTTACTTGGAAGGCATTCGCCGACCAGTTCATTGCGCTCGCACAGCAGGAGTTCACCTGCCTGCGATCTCGCGCACTTAGGCAATAGAAGCATTCGCCCCTATGCCATCTTGACAATCGGGCATTGGCCGTCATGTACTTCGGGCGCGGACGGCATTCGCCGCCCGGCCTTTTTCCTGGAAGGCATTCGCCGCCCAGTTTTTATCGTAGTGCTCGCATGGAAGGCATTGCCCCCCCAGCGATCTCGCGCACTTTAGTGCTCGCATGGAAGGCATTGCCCCCCAGCGATCTCGCGCACTTTGACAATGGAAGCAATTTGCCCCCATGTCTTTGCTTTTGACGATGATGGCACTTGCCATCATGCCAATGTCTCGGAGGGCTTGCGCCGACCAAGATGTTATTTTGATTTTTGAGCCGCTTCATTTTCATCCGCGCATTTTATTGAGTTCATCTCTTTGCAATTTTTTGGAGCCAAGGGCAGCGATTGCTATATTGATCCGACTGATCTTAATGCGGATCATTGCGGTAACCCCCAGAGGGCGAGTTCAATCGGGCTTGAGCAAAGACGCGGACGCTCATCGAGCGCCAACGCCTCAAGTCTTGCTCTGCGTATTTGCAGATTTCTCGCCCGCTATTCAGCGGGGCGCATTTCGTGGCGGCGTTTGCCTTACCACGATCGATCTCGCCGACTAGGAAATTAACCAAAATTTAACAAGTGAAATTGACATTCATAAGAATCATGCAAATTAAAATCTTCTACTCTTCGGGTTCATTCAGACCCACCAAACAACTCATTCCTGCTACTACCTCGGCGGAGGAGGTCGAACGCGCACATCAAGTTGAAGAACGTTGTCAACTTGTCGTCCATTAGCCAGGATTTCATCTATTTAAATCTTTCATCTTGCAAAATAAAAGGACGAGGACAAATTTCCATTTCGTTCAAAGTTTCTTGTCGGAAAAGCATCATGGCATGTGTGCATGTATCTTCAACATCAATAGTCGTAATATCCTGTCGCTCGCTGAAGTAGCATGAAACGCATACAGTTTTTATTTCGAATACTTGCGTCGTCTTATCATGTTCAAATTTGATGCAACTGCTCCCGCTGCTACTGCTTTGGCTTTCTGATTGAAAATATGCATGCACTCTTCTTTGCCTCTGGGCCTCGGGAGCAAGAAAACTACGATGAAAGATTAACTCATGTTTGTCTTTGTTTTTGTACGTCTGTCATTAGATTTAGAGTTCCCTTTGCGTATTTGGTCATTAGTTGTCTAGTAGTAGTAGCACGCCAGTTGTCACAATACTTATCATCCTAGAGACGCTTCGGGAAGACTGGTCTGGGCGTTCACGCTCTATCTATCAAATTCTGTACCAGCCCTCTACAAACAGCTAAAACAGCTAAAAAGCGCAACCAATTCAGGGAGAGGCTGACTAAAATCACGGGACACTAACAAAAAGTACAAATCAAGTGGTCGTTAATTTTTCCTGGTGGTGCCTGTGAGTGAGACTGAAGATTATCAGATACTAGCTGTAGCTATCAAATACCGTACTTACTCTCCTGCTTTTCAGAGTAGAGCCGCACGCAACTAGTTAATACTACTAAAAGCATTTCCATTCTCGTCTTTCTCACACGTGATTCTGACCACGGCCACCTTCGTGCCGGCGAGAGGAGGGTGCCCTGGTTCGTGTCTTACTCTGCGAGTCTCGTGTTCTCGTCGGTCGCGATGAATCTGCCCAGCCAGCACGGTGCATTGGCGCATGTTCACCTACCTCCTGATGTTCTTCTTGACCAGAACTTGTAACGCAGCCTGCCGATCTTGTTGGCACCCTCGAGGTTGTGGATGCTGGGAGAGGCCGTGTTGGTACCTGCGTTCTACTTGCAGCGGGAAGTCGAGTGGTTCTACCAGTGCTGTTCTCTGCTCTACGGACCACAACATCATCCGTACATCTCGTAGCCCCCTCGCGGCGCCCACGGTTGTGTATCGCACTCGGCAGGACAAACCGCACGTCATGCTCGTGGTGATGGTGGTGGTGTTCAAGGAATTGGTATCAAACGGGACAAGAAACGCGACTTTTCCCTTTCTCGTTGATAGCTGCTTCAACAGAGTTGAAAGCAATGATGCAACTCGGTTGAATCTGCACATCAGTCCATGCTCTCGTCGAAACGATTCATTGTGTTTCAACATCTGACTCCGCTAGCTTTACCTACCCAATCGAGGTTACTTCGCATGCTGTTGACGTCAGTGAATTTTCGTGGTCAGCGGCCTGATCACCTGAAACAAGTCGCCTTTTCTTGTAGTTTGCATCTTTATGCAAGTACGGGGGCGACACCCGGGTGCCTTTTTAAGTACATCCAGTGTAGTTTCAGTCACGCCCCCCCTGGCGCTGCTACAAACCATGCAAGACAACGTAAAAATGCTGCAAGATGAGAACGGAACGCGGGAAAAAGCAAAAGGGGAAAGGCACAGCCGTTCTTTTCCAGCATAATTCGTCGTCGAACGCGCCGTCGAGGTTCAGGTCACTCTCAGCGTACCACTATGCATCACAAATAAAGTATCGCACGAGTCGCACGAATTGGAATTGTTATTGCAATGGTGCTCATGCATAGAAAATTTCTACCCCCACCTAAGTAGAATCCCAATCAATCTTCAGCATTACAGATCACACCATTTTATGTCACACTAAGGCTCAGAAGCTTGAGCTGGAATAGAGGCGTATATCTATGCAATTTGAATTTCTGCGAGTACGAATGCGATACTTTTGCACCGCATAAGAAATCTCCTCGATGAAGAGCAGCACGGCGACCATGATGACCCGGAAGAACGGTATTAGCAGGCTGTCGGAGAAAATGCTGGTTGTTGTAGTACCGATCATGGTTTGCTCTGCTCGTGGCATCTACTTCATCCGAAGATGACGTGGACGCGAGAACCGCCTGGCGGAGGTTTCGCCACCGCTGGAACTCTTGCCACTCCTCGCGGCTAAAGTCCGGGTCTTCGCAGGCCAACACCAGTTCTTGCGCTTGCAGTAGCTGGTCCCGCTTTTTCCTCACCACGTTCTCCTCGTCCGCAATGTCCTGCTTCACGTGGAGCTTTATGCAGTTTGCAATCATACTTCTAGTTGTACACTCTATTCAATACATAGTCAAGCAGTTGAAATACCGAAAGAAACGCGAACGCCGCAAATGGAGAAGGAAACCGAAATGCTGCTGGTGTAACTGTAAGTCAACAAGAAATTTATAAAAATCTGTCGTGCAGTATCAGAACAAATTTGTAAACGTGCGATTGCCGTACAACTTTAACTTTTGCGGGGGATACGTTTGTACGAAAGAAAGAACAGAATCGAGAAGACCAAGCCGAGCAGGACGTAGGCGATACCCGAAGAGAGAAGCATGTGCCGGCGGTTACCTGGAAACAAGGAAATCACTTTTTTTTGCTTAGTTGTATCCAGCTGCTTGCCGACTCGCGTCGCTCATACTTGATGCAGCAAATACACACGACCCTCGCGCAGGGGCAGGGCGGGGCAGCATCGGAAAAAAATGATGCGGAGGTCATAAATTGGCCGGCGAAACGTCGGTGAAAGCCACAAAATCTTAATCAGAGATTGACTGTATTCAAGCCTCTTTTGCTATGAGACAAACACGATAAATTGAGTTCTTTGCTCTTGCTGCTGACCCTGCTGCATTTTCTAAAGTGCTACTCCTACTTGCACGTAACTTTTAATACCTGGCACATGATAACAGGCCAACACACTCGCCTCGAGTCTCGCAATCCAGCTCTGTGGCCATGTGGCGGGGTCTGTTTCCGTGTCCCAAAATGCAGCGACTGTTTCCTGCAAAGCCCTTCGCTGTGGCGCGTTTCGCAGGAACACGAAAGGTAGCCACAGATCCTTCGGAAAAAATGCGGTCAGCAAATTCAGTTCTTGTTGCTGGTGGTGCGCTGATCCTCCTCCAGCAATAAGGTGGCCGCCCTCATCGGGTAGAGACGTCTGCTGTGCTTGTGTTGATATCGCCGTGGTGTTTGCAACAACAGCTGTGGTAGTGGCGGCCGAGTGGGGCTGTTTTCATGTGATTCCGAAGTATGTGTCGGAGAAACTGATCATCATACATAGTGCGGCTGCGGAACGCAAAAAAACATATTGGATCAAAACCCGACATGGAGACACGACGCGGACGCATGGTGATAGTGTGCGCAAATTAATAAGTATAGCAGCGCAGTCTATTGATATTGAAAAAATGAATTGAATCCGAAATCATACAGAACGGTACAAATCATATTTTAACACCGTGCCGCTAATGCGAACCTCAGCCTTCAACAAAGAGGACCTCGCTGCATGAATTGTATCGCTCCAGAACATAATTTTCACCGCAAGTAGAACAGCTTGCTACAAATTCTATACTTACCTGTTCCACCATTTCCTGCATAGAAGCTCCGCCACGAGCAGCTTTCAGGACTTCCGCTGATGACTGATCGAACTCAAAAAAGGGCAGATTCTGATATCGCCAATAAATCACTATTTCTCCGACCGCTGCCGTTGCCACCGCCGCGCAGCCGAAAGCCGTAAAGAAATTGTGGGCGAATTTCCGTAGACGCATCAAAATCGCGGTGTAGAGCAGTGCGAGGCAGAGTAAGAGCGCCACATTGAGAACAGCCGCGGTAAACTCGTACTTTGGCTGCAGAACGGTGATGCTTTCCAGGTTATTTTCCAGAGCGCTAGTGGAAGCTGCAGGAACAACTCCGTCGCCCTCGTCGTGGCTGAGCACCTTCAGAGTGCTGGCCTGCGTGCCTTCCTCGCCCGCCCCAAGATGCGCTGCAGAAGTGACGAGCGGTCCCAACATGAGCTGTTGGGCGTTGCTATCGCCCGCACGAGCTAATGTCGCGGCCGTCGAGGTGACTATTGCATTTACCATTGCGCCACCTGGTGTTCTTGCTCGTGCTGGGTCATCTTCCCTGTAATTGCCATCTGCCTCGTCTTGCTGCGAGGACGGCACGACGGGCGCGGTGTGTGATTCGGACGGCCGCGGCGGGGCGGCATCAACGAGTCCTGCTTCGCCGACGGCTATCCCTTCTTGCTGCGTAGCTGCAGAAGTAGAAGATGACCGCCCAGAGTCCGCTCCGCTACCCCTACCGTCTTGTGACAAAGTCGACACCGGCTCGGCGGCATCACCTTCGCCTTCTTGGTGTCGAGCTACACTGGCCGCGTCCTCGGTGTTGCTCATTTCTAGCCACCTCTTCCGGTGCTCTGCGTCAAAAAACTGCGAGATTTGCTGCCAGACCGGCTCTTCGGAAAGCGCCCTTCCCACGGAGTTCGCAACGCCGCATTTGATCGCGAGAAACTGCAAGAGCCTGACCACCAGTGGCGCAAACCAGAACAAGCCCCACCCGACCGCGAACAGGAAGTTGGTGAGCGTTGGCAGTTTCCAGAACAACACCCCCGCGAAGGAGCCGAGAAGGGCCTGTAGTGCGGCGAGCAACAGCAGGCATGTGAGGGCACTTGCCTTGGAAAAAATCCCGAGTTTTCGCACAGTTGCAAGCGAGATGTTCCCCTCGATTGGTATTTCCTTTGTCACAAACGTATTCCAAAAAAAAACTCACTGCAGAGGAAAAAAGAAAGACGATCGTAAGGATGCAGGACAACAAGTCTCATGCCCATCTCGTGCTAGTACCGTATGGTGCAGGAGAAAGCTTATAACTCTACTAGCTTTTTTCACAGGTAGTAAGTTATTCAACGTTCTTGCAGGTCTTAAAAGCTGGAAGTATCTTAACTCGTCGAAACTCGCTACTTTTGTTGTACGTCTTGCACGACAGTGAATTTTAATTTCTGCTATTGCGTAATACGCGATCGAGAAGAACGCGACAAGAAACCGCACCAGTGGTTTAGCTTTGTGCAGCAGAAGGGAAAATGCGGCGAAGGCTACGGCAATACCCGTCAAAATCGCGAAGTCCAGCCTTCCCTGGTGCGCTTGATCCGGCCACATTCTGTCTGGGTGTCCTTCTCAATGTTGACGGTGCGTCGCCGCGTCTTCGTCCGTCAAAATCAGCTCAGCCTTGTTGGGAATGCAAATATAAAGTAGCAGCTCCCGTTTGGTCCGGGTGCGTTTCACATTCGCCTTCGTTCGGAAATACGCAAGAACAACGGCTGTGCGCAGCCGGTTTCGTAAAATCGTTTCTATTTTTGCATGTCCTGCGAGCTCTTCTTTCCGTGGTTCCTTATGGTGGTGGCTGGAACGAAATCAAGATAGTCGTAAAGTTGCAGTTGGTTGATGTCGTGTCACGAGCACGGATCCACGGCATGTGCCTCCGCTAGTATAAGCATCTCTTGTTCTGGTTCCGCAGCACCGTGTCCGCGAAAGGCTCCCGATTGAAGGACAAGGTGTTAGAGAAGGGCGACTTTTTGATGTAAGTGAGCGTGGTTGACACATACACACGAAAATTTCGCTGCTATGTTCTTCTTCAAAGGCTTCTGCTGCAAACACACAGAGGCAGAGGAGCAACGCCTTTCTCAAGAAGGAATACTACAAATCTAGAGTAAGTAAACTGCGACTACTATTTGCTTCTACGCATAGTGTTATTGAAAAACACATACATCATAGATACATAAACAATTTGTCATTGAAAATAAACATACGAATTTGATTTCTGTAGTACTCATGAATGCAAATCCAAATTAGTCACTTTTTAGTTCAACAGGAAAATTTTCGCGTTCGTGAAAAAGAACAACATGCCGGTCAAAAAACTAAAACAGGTTAGAGCAGCAACTGACCTTGGGCGTAAATCTAAATCAGTACATCAGCACGCCCCGATCTTGCGGGAACGGACAAGTGACGAAAAAACATTGGAGTCGAAAATCCTCGCGAGACGACGTAAAACAGCGGCTCGCCTCTTTTTGAATGTTGCAGCCTGCTGCCAAAAAGAACGGATCGTGAAGAAGACGTCCATGATTGATGTGCTTCCCCGGAAATAAAGACCAGACCTTCGCTGTGGGATCCCGATAACTGGTATTGGATAGAAGGCTCATGCGACGACCATGGCTCTATTCACTACTACCTCCAGCAGGGAGCCACCATGGGGACGCAGCAATTTTCAGTTCGGTCGGAGGAGGAACACACTGGTGTCCTCGCACAGCGGACAAGGCCGAGGTACTGGTGACCACTGCCAGCGACTTCGACTTCCTCTAGCCGCAACGCAGTTGGACCACCTATTACCTCCCGCGCAGAGCTGTCTGTACTAGACCACAGCTCTTTCTTTAGGTGTGCGGAAGCACCACCTTTTGCTACTTTTACAACGACACCGATGATGAATTGGGGGGGAAATATAATTGTCAACATCCGTTTAGCCGTACGTTCCTCGAAATGTTGTGGTCGTGTCGTGCTCGTAGAAGTACTTGTACTTCAGCTTTTTACTGTAAAGTAATACCTACTTATTATTACTTTCCTTTCGCAAAAAGGGGCTGAGTGGCGACCAAACGCCATCTTGTCCCTCCACGTGCAGCCCGCAGCTTTTTCATGTATCAAGTGTAAAAATGTCTGGGTCTGGAAGATTGCAACTTGTCATGCTAAATCTGCAGCATGCAAAAATCTATGTTGCATGATTACCAAAAGTGTTTCAGTTTTGACCAAGTCGGGAGGTAGTGTCTCATGCAGAATAGGCATTAGAAAGGTCTCGCAGAATCTGTCATGCTAGGTCCTGCATTCCAGACCTCATGGGTCATGGAAAAGCAGCATGACAAATCGCGCACTCTTCCAGACCCAGACATTTTTACATTTGATATCATGCTGAACAAACACATTCGACAAACGACGAGAAGCTGTCGCCACAGCAAGGCATGTAGAAGTTGTTGACTATTTATACATCATAGCGGTGTCGTCCCTAGTACTGAATCAAAACATGATCTCAGGAGGAGGAGGCGGGTCCCTCACGCCTGATACTTACGTTCTAGAAATTGAAAGTCGTGCGATCTTCATCGTTTACTCTCACGTACACTGATCAACTGATTCTAATTAAAAAAATAGTCGGTTTAGATATGGGGTGCAGCTCTTTCCTAAGCCGCCGGAGGAGCGTGGGCTTGGTCTGTGCGCGGCTAAGACAAGTGCTGGCTTTGGCTTTGTTTTTGAGAGACGTTCACGTCAATGCTACGAGTCAAATTCTAAAGCAATGGAGCGACGTAGGTGAGTCTAAGTTGCAGATCGCGTTTTCTGTTTTGCGCATCAAACGCAATCTATCACCTTCCGACATGCTTGCAGGCACACTTCTTTCAAATCAGGCGGCACGAGGAGCGTTGTGGTGGCATCAGTTCGACCGTCGAGATGAAGTAGAAGCACCCTTGGAGCAAAAAACGCTTCGTCGTACAAAAAACGTACCTCAATGCGTGCTTCTAAGCTCTACTTCAAAGTACCTACAGCAGCCTCACTCCAGCTATTTTTGACTTGTTGCTTTTTGTGCTGCTGCAGCTCTCCTGTTTATTTTGTTCGGCCACTAGCAGAGACGACTACATCATGCGGGGCAGGGGGGTACCCATGCATCGCATGTTAGCAGGCGCCGCGCAGAAAACCTTGTCTTAATGAAAATATAGGTTTTCGTTAATATTGCACAACTAGATCTAAAAAAATATATGATGGCGCTAGCGGTTGCCCCGTGCCTTTAGTATTGAGCTCGGTCGTGATCGTTTTGAGCAGGCCCTTGGGCCACAAATACATTTTCGCATCTTGTTGGCTGTTTCCTTACAACCGCAAAGGACGAAAATCCAGTGGGCCGCGATCAAGCTGAAAACACTACATGTAACCGTCGTTACCGCACACAGAAAGAAACCGCACGAGGCTGGGTTCAAGCGGAAACTCAAGCCCGTGCGCCCCATTCACATTCTCAAGTGGCCCAGGAACAAAAACTAAGACTAACATAAAGCTTGATGGAGATATAACATTTCTTTAAATTTTAATTTTTGGTCGTGCTCCGAGATCTTTTTCAATTAAAAAAACATAAAAGCAAATGGTAATGGATGGAGACTTCTGGTTGCGCGCATTTTCGCGTACTTCTCTTTCCGTATGGCGGTTTTTCTTTCTTCATATCGATAGTGGTACTGCTTGGGCTAGCTCGATTGTAAATTTGCTGAACTTCTCCCGTATAATTAGTGCCATGAGTTATGTTGTTCGTGAAATGGAAAAAAAAAGCTGTTGTTAATAGTAGCACTCAAGGTTGTTAATCAAAATCGTGTTGCAGATTGATCATGTAGGATCGACTGGTGGGCTTAAGAGATGTGCTGAAGATAGAACTACAGCCGCGAGCTATATGCTAATATGTTTACCTCTACTTTTTATTTGTGTTCTTGGTTTAATTCATGCTGTAGTCCTTTTATACAAACTCCCTCCTCGCCTTGCAAGATTGTTCATCTTACTTGTTAGGGCTCATTCTTTACCCGCTGACGCAGTCAAAAAACCTCGCGGCCAGGGATCTGCCAGCCGCATTTCGTAGCGAAGCTTCCAAAATGAGTTGCTCCTGCCGTTCCACTTCGCTGTCGCTCGCGACGGCAAAGGCGCTGCTCTTCAACAGTGTTGTTCGCTCTGGACCCATTGCATCGAGCACGGTTGTCGTGTCTTTGGAAGCAGCATCGCGCTGAGATGAAACTTGATCGTCCACCCCTGTCCCATGGTCCTGCTGGTCGGCGGTTGTGTCTTCTTCGTTCGTGGCCGAGGTGTGCAGAACTGACGCCGGAGCAAGGTGGCCGCCCTGCAAAAGTGCTTGGCTTTCGTCTTCCTCTTCTTCTCCAACGGACGAATGGTCGTCGTGTCGGCCTCCGTTTGTAGTGGTGCAGTTTGAAGAGTTCGTCCCAGGATCTTGTTGGCCAGCTGGGGCGACCGCAACCGGTGCGTCCTTCTTGGACTCCCCTTCGCCGGAACGTTGCGGGCCGGGCTTCGGCTTGTTGTTGTGACTACGCTTCTGTTGCTTCAGCCGGCAACATGCGCACAGCGAGAAGCGTCGGGTGCTGAATGGTTTAAACAGAAATTTTGATGGTTCATGATTGCGTATTACGAAAGCATTTCGGCCGTGGGCGGTAGACATCCAGTGACACAAGGTACACCCACATACGCGGGGGCGGGGTTTTCAAAAGTATAAGTAGTGTGTCTATGTTGCATTGAAGGAAGTAGCGCAGACCCTATTGTCCTGCCTTTTTCGCGGCAGTTTTTGAATGGTGACGCACCGGGGAGCGCGCGCACTTGAGTTAACAAGGGGCGTCCCGGCGATGCAACCTACCAACAAAAATGCCCCCAGCCGCCGCCCAGCGCCCGTCTGTGGTCTCAAGACATGTTGCCTTTTCGTGTCGTATAACGCTTCGTCTTGCTTAGATCGTGTCCAAATGCTGGCGCCCGCACGCAACGTATCCGGTTCCGGCCGCACCATGAGTGGGCAAATAATGCGCCCATGATCAGCCTGCTGGACGGAAACTAAAGACCACACCCTAGTAGACGAGGTCGCGCCGTGTGACAGGCGACGCCGACGGGGTGCTTCGGTACCTGCTTCCTCCCTAATGGAATCCTGACGGCCTTAGCAACCTAGCGCGATCAGAGTCCTCAAGACCCCAAAACCCAAACACTTACACTGGCCCTGTGCCAACTAATAATGGCGGCGATCCAGGCTCGTGGCAGTCCACATGCTGGTGACGAGCATCCTGAAAGCCTTAGCCTCTTTCCTTTGTGTTTGTCAGATTCGGCAGCTGAGCTCGAGAGCACGATTTGGCCGCCGCCTTAGCGTTGGGGTTTTGCTAAGCTTCTACGACACTGTAACGCTTTGACCTCATTCGGTTTGTCTGTTCCAGCAGTTAGCAAGACACCAAAAAACAAAAAGAAAAAAGGTTTTTTTTTTAAATACAAATCTGCACAAAGCTAAAACAGCGAGAAAATTCGGCAACGACATCAGATCGGTAGTGGCAGTGATCCAAGCTCGTCATCACTGATTTTCGCGGTTCCAGTTCGTGGCCCGTACATGCGCCTGGACGCCTTTGCCTTGCGGCTCCAGAATGCTCTTCCCTCCTCCTCGCAGCGTGCTACAGTTGTTCACACGGTCCACCACGCAGTGAGTTACATCACCGAGCTGCCTTCATCTTAGCTGCGCATAGAAGTCGACAACTGTAGTGATGCGACATCGCAAGCGCAATGCTGCTCTTCCTTTTTTCGGTGATGTTTCTGCACCTGTTCCTAGTTCCACAAGTCCGCCCCTTATGCCTCCTACTTTCATCCTAAAGGTCGGGAAATCTCGAAACTCTTCATGGAGTTTTTGTTAAGCATCATTTTTAGGAACCTAAAAAAGAAAAAAGGTATGCGTAAGTGTACCTCAAATACAGGGCGCAGCGGTAAACGGAAATGACGGCAACGAGACCGAAACATCACAACGAAAAACGCCCCGGCCCCGCCCTGCTCAGCTTCTCCTGTACTGCTTTCTTCCTTCTTCATTACATAAGAATCGCTATAGCTAGCACTTACCAACGTGTGCGCGATGCACGCGCAGCGGGGCAGCCAGGCAAGGCGCACAGCAAAAGTGACAGAACCTTTTCCACTCCAGTTGCTCAGCGGCATTGCGCTTTCACAAACTCTCACTGAGTTAGGCCGCGTAGAAGTGCTCATGCTAGCGCAGCACCCAGATGACACGCAGCTCCCCAAATTATTTCTCATCGCGTGCGCGTGCTTAACATAATCATAATCGCCACGACAGCAGGCTTCGCGACCACTAATGAAGCTGCTTATGAATTTTTGCTTTTTCGATTTTTGATTTTAGCTTGAAGAAATCAAGGCACCAAAATGCAGAAGATGACGCTTTCGGAAGAGTTCATAAGTATTGCTTCACTACATACGAACGTCGGCAGGCAGCAGGAAAAATACGAGCTGGCCGGGCGTTTCCCTTCGATAAGAACGAAAGGCCTAGAAGAGGCGGCAGCCCTCCCACAACATCAAACGGGCCCCAACCTTCTTCATTCGTGGTTCTCCCACAGAGGCCGCCTCTGCAGCTCAGCCCGCCGACGTCAGATGGTGCGGCGACGGCTTGCTCCTGCGCAGCGGGAAAATTTTTTTGGTGGCGTTCAGCTATCTCGCCCAACGCCACGAAACTGGTACTCTCTGTCGCAGCGCCAGTATCATCAGCATCTGGGTCTGGCTTCTCTACTGCTTGCCATTCCTCCGCCTGCTCGCCTGCCCCCGGGGATCTTTTTCTTGTTCTTTTTTACTATGCAGCGGAAAGGTCCTGTTTCAGATGCCACAAAATCGCTGAAGGATAGAAAAAACGCCACCACGTCTCTGTCCTGGTATCGTGCCTGCTTCCTTTCTTCTTCTACCCAGATGGGGAATAACGCTACAACTTCGACTTCGTCGAAGGACTTTTTTTTTTTCTATTTCTTCCTCGATCAAGATATACATATTGATTGCTCCTCCGCAATGGTAGAAAGACGAGACAGCCAGGCCCTATCATCTGGTGCCGGATTTGGCTCTCTTTGATTTTGCGGAAGTGAGAGTGGCGCAGGAGTCTGACACCCGCAGCAAGCAACCGCGTGGCGTGGCCATTCGTGGTCGTGCACGTTTTTTGTTTTTTGATTTTGTGGGCAGTCTGGTTACCGCCGACCATGCATAACAGTCCAGCAACCTTCACGAACCCGGAAAACTCATACGTTTCAACTAGGGTCTTGGGGTCTTCGAATAGAACACCAAGCCAATAATTGACGAAATCCATCGTGCCGCCCTGGTTCGATGTTTTGGGATTGTGCAGGCCATTCCAAACCGAAGCCTTGTGATTGCTAAAAGGATTACGAGAGCCACCAACAGCCTTAGCAACTTTTCCTCTTCCCGTGTCTGCGACCAATAAGCCCCTTTCAGCCCCGCCTGCTGCCTCCGAGCTGTCTGCGACACGAAAGTTGGTCCACAGGCGGTAATACTTCCCGCTGCCCCCTTCGTGTCGGACGAGCTGCCGGCCCGCCGGCTCATTGATCGGTGGTTGGGGCAGCGCTTTGACTTTGCCCAGATCTAGATACTTCTTTGCTTCTTCATCTCCACCAGGCGGACGCCCATTGCTTGGTTTGCCATCGTCTCCCGACACAAAGGTCGTTCCAGAATCCTTCGCATGGAGTCCGGGATTGAGGCGATAGCTGTCGCCGCCTAGAACATACGCAATAACCTGCCGGAATAAGTTCACAAGCATGTCAGCCGCCTCCTTGCCTATTGGCACGTCGCGCCAGTTCGTGCTCGTGGTGAGTCCGACGGGGAGACGAGTATTTACTAGTGGGCTCTTCTTCGCCTTACGACCTACGACTTCTCCATCTGCTGCAAAATTGATCTTCGTACGCATACTAAAGATCCTTTGGAAGTAAGCCTCAAAGACCTCTTCTCCCTCGTGAGGAAAATCACACGACGGCGTTCCCGGCGCGTTCTGTTCTTCTTGTTGTATGCGTAAGTCCCCCGCATTCCGGATCGCCAATTCGTTGTCCCAGTGACGGCCTCGAAGCCACTTCATGTCGCACAGCAACTGTTTCAGGACTCTGGCAGCATGCACACCCGCTTCTTGAAACTCGTCCATGTAGCCCACCGTAGGCACGAGCTCCGGCAAAAGAGCGAACAGGCTTCGCTCCACGGCATCGATGACGTTCTTCCAGGGGGGCTCCATTCTCGGCCCATGAGCGGGGAGTAGAACGGGGAGAAGGTCAGCAGAAAGGATTGTGAACTCCGAAGCGTGAATGTTGCCAGTTGCATGAACTCCTTTGAGAATTGCGTTTGTAATCTTTGCTGCCGCGAAATTTTGGACGAAGTCCGCGTTATTGGTGGTAGGAAGCGTTGCGAATTCTTTTGCGCCGTTGCGCACAACAGAGAGAAGTGACTGCTTCCGCAATTTCTCTAGCGGAATAAACAGTACTTCTCCGTCTGGTTTGTCATTGGGCGTAACAAAATATCCCAGGTTAGATGAGCGGTGCGCCAGGGTCTTTACTGCATTCGCGGAATTCCCGTCCTGGTGGCTCATCCCGAAAGACACAAACACATAGTTCCAATTTGGATCTGCTTGAGGTAGTACTTCCTCGTCCTCAGATATTGTTGGTAGGACTCCTAGTCCTGGTGCCGCAGGATGATCTAAGTCGGCACTCTGCGTCGTGATCTTATTTCACTCGTCGGCAACGTGATCGAGATCGTGTGCTGGTGTGATGTCGCTCCACTACGAGGACCTTATCCTTTTTTATTATGTTTCTTATTCTTAGGCGCAAGCCAAGTGCAATTTGCTTCTTGACTGAGCGATGGATTGTTTTTGCCTTTCGTCCGGCGTACTCCTGAAACTATCGAAGTGTTCAACTATCACGCGGATGATCTTGCCGATACGAGAAGGTCCCACCGACCGAGGCTGGTACGCAGCAATGCTAAGAATAGCGGCTCTGGGGGTGGTGCTGGTTCCTGGAGTGTAGCTGATTGCGTTTGCTTCTCCTTCTGCTCCTTCACCCTATTTACTGCGCCTTCGGTTTCATCATCTTGTTACGTAAAGCAAAAACGCACCCGGCTGCTCTCCGGAAAAAAGTCAGTGTCGGCAATACGCCGTGTTGAGTGTAGTGTGATGCTCAAAACACAAAGACAGCGCTGCTCTATCTCTTTCACTTCCTCAAGAGTTGCTGCAGTGTACTTAGTTTTTATGCGTAGAGTTGGAAGCAGTTGCGGTTGAAGTCGTTGCAGTAGTTGTAGTTCTCGTTCTTCATCTTCTACTAACTTTAGAGGCCGACTTCCGATGTAAAAGTTGCAAACTAATGGGGGGCAGTCGCAGCTTTATTTGGGACAGGGATCTGGAAGCGTTCAAGCACAAAGGGGAGAAACAGTAACAGGTACATACAGAGGCACCATGTTTAATAACTGCATTAACTAATCATCACGAAGTTGAAGACGAATTAAGTGAGTAACAATAATATAGTGATGCGAGTTAGAAAAGAGAACTCGCATCACTATATTGTTGTTTACTCACTTAAGTCGTCTTCAACTTCGGGGGTGGGCGGGCGACGCGGACAGGCCAACCAGGCCAACTTCCCATCCACCCGGCCGGGTGGATGGGAAGTTGGCCTGCAACTTCTGGTGGGAGGTTTGTTACCCCGCTCTAATTATGTACGAAACTCGACGACGAGGAGCGGCACTTGCTCTACCACGGACCGACAAAAGTGCTGAAGTGTTTATGTTTGCGTCGCCTGCGAAACTGCCTCGTCTTTGCAGCACAAGCGTGTTGAAGCTTCTGGTGGACGATGTCTATCCTGACGACGTATTCCTATCACCGACGGACTCCGGCTCCAACTCGGAGACGGATACTTCAATAAGAACTCGCTTGCTCTTCACGATTTTTCCGAACGACCAGAAGCAGAACGAAAAGACCGATACACTGCGCACTTTCTCCTGCCGTAGTTCGTGTATACAAAATGGCGAAAGTAATGTTATCTCTTTTACCGACAGAACTCTATTGACGAAGAGGATGACGATAAGCACGTAGACGTAACACCGTCACCGAGAGTAAAACAAACAATTTCTTGGACGACTTGGTTTACCACGTCGTTAGTTCACGAAACAACTCTTTCATGATCATATGGATCTACGTCTACTTACAACACCTAGATCTAGATCTACAAGTAGTACAACAGACGACACGTCTGGTCGTGGGCGCTCGCGACGGGGGCAATCGCGACTGCGACAAACAAAAATCGTGAAGCAGTCGCAGTTGTGAAGCAAGATATAAGCAACTATCTCTAGCTCTCTGACTCTGATTCACGACCCGCGCATCTATTTTTGTTCTTCTTGTTCCAGGTTGATTTCATGGTGGTGTTTGATCCTTCTGCTCGTATACAGAACCCACTTCGCCTTTATCGTCAGATACCGCCAATTATTTCATCGGTGGCGGCTCTGCGAATTGCTGTCTGTTTTTCATCCTCCGCGCTCTGGTGTTCGTCGATCAGCGATTCGCAGGAGGAGGAACTCAAATTCTGGACAGTAACTGCAGGCGTGGCAATGAGTACGTGGTCCTCCGAACCCGAGCTGGCGCAGGAAGAACCGCTAGAATTATTGATGCCAGGAACAGGATCTCCGGTTTTTTGTTCAGCAAGGTTAATCTCATTGTTTCCTGAGGTTGAAGATGACACTGCTTCTCTCATCCTCGTCTTCTCTGCTCCAACCTCCTCGTCCTCAGCACCCGTGCGGCCTTCGAGAAGTTCATCAGGATCGTTAGTCTTCATATCTTTTTCTCCAGTGTCATTTGATGCGTAGTCTTCTTCGTCCTCCCGCTCCTGGTCAGGAAAGAAATCTTCTGCGGGAGTAGACCACATCTATGCATCGCAAAAGCAGCATCGCATTTCTAGTTTGTTGAAAAGTATAAATCGCACGACAAACTTTCTCGAAAAAAAATGAATTTCAATATACAATTTGTGATACGGATTCAAGTAGGAAACCATAAGCAGATTTGTCATGCGTGATTGCGATTAGAAGTACGACCACGAGTAGAGTACACTGCTTTTGCGGTGCATATCATCCGCAGACGTTGGCCCGAACCGGAAAATCCTGACTCCGTCTCTATTCCACCAGCATCTCCCAGCAAACTTGTAGATCCACGATTCCACAAGTTTGTCATCTGCTGGATCAACGTCTGTGTTGCGCTCGCTTGCTGTATGAGAGTGCAAGACGACGCCCCCTGCTCCCCCTCATTGTCATTTGTAGGACAGGAACAGCAATACCTACCAAAACCACTGCACGTGGATCCAAAGCATGAGAAGGCCATGCGCCGAGCGTGGTACTCCTGTTTGGGCTTCCGGAATTCGACATGCACGCAGTGCGGCCACAAGGCAGGAAGAGCATTTGGGTTTTTCTTTTTGCATGACAAATAAGAAACGTGGGCGAGCGGGAGTTGTGCACTCGTCTCATATGCTGTTGCATCTCCTGTTCCATCTGTTGCTGTTCCGCCGCATAATATTCATAGCTCCCAAAGTATCGTAAGGAAAATGCCGTGTTACTTCTTTAGTGTAAATCTAGATCTACATGATTGTGCCGCAAAATAAAAAGCAAAACGGTTACACTCGTCATGGCGGATAGCCAAGAAGTCATCTTAATCTTATCTTTTCGTTATGAGCTTCCACAACATACTAGCCATGCATGACAAGGCCTCTGTCATACTTACAGATCAAAATTCATCTCGTGCTGCCAGCTCTACACCGACACAGTTTTTTTCCTGGATACGAACCCGGCGTCCGGGCCGGCAAGAAGCAGCGCCCGAGTCGCCGCGATGGGATCGGTAGTGAAGGAGACGATCCGGGGAAACACGTTTGAATTCGCGTTGGTTCGGGTTTGAAACAAAGGTCCCGCGTCGGACGGCGAGGCGCCCTCCAGCGGATCCGCAAACTCATGCGTGAAGTTCTCGTCTTCTGAGGAGTTCATCGTCCCTTGGTCCTGCCCTGCTTCAAATCGGTCATTTCGATGCGACGAAAAATTCGACGTCGCTGCCTCGTCCTCACACATTGTGCTTGACGCGGACGACGACGAGCCACTGCTCTTGATATTCCGTTCTCGTCGGGTCGCTTCCGATCTCTTTCCGTTTCGCACTGGTTGTCGTGCCTCCGCCACTAGAGGCTGCTCATCCGCCCCAGCGCCAGGAGAGCTGCCGGCCGCGCCGCTGGCAAGGATGCCAGATAGAAAAGTGGACGACCGACCGCGTTGTTCCGAAAACAAATCCAAAAACATGTTGGTCGAAGTTCCGCCCTGCTCACCGGGGGTGTTTGTAGTAGTAGCGAAACTACGAGAATTGCTGCTGCTGCTGCTGCCTCCGAGCAGCTGCTGGCCAGATACAGATTCTGGGAAGTGCAGCGGGCCGCCTGCTCCTTGTTGTATCATTGTACTTTCCCGTAGTCTGACCTCGCCCAGAAACGAGCGCACGGAGTTGGTTTGCCGCAGTAAGTGGAAAAACCCGACGCAGAAGGTGATGCTGAGAAGCAGCGAGATGACACTCGCAACCGTCGACTCTTTTCCCGGGTCCACGTACTCCGTGCCCTCAAAGAACATCCGGATCGCCCCGTTCCTCCGCGAAAAAATCGCACACCAAACCTGTTTCCGCCCCCCGGCGGGCAGGACAAAGGGCTGCTTTTGCAGCAACGGTTTCTGCGCAAAATCCTCTGCGGAATCCGGCGGGGTGAAGAAAGACGCCTCGTCGGGATTGTAGCTGGCGGCGTCCGACCCACCAAAGGCGGACTCCGGGAACGCCGAGTCCGCTCCGGCCGCAAACGTGAAGTCAAACAACGTTTTGGGCGCCGCCTGGTTCGAGAAGAGCAGGATGAGCTCCTTGCCCGGGTCGCTGTCCAGAAAGCTGACTTTCACCCCGGAGCGCTCGTCTCGGTTGTGGAGGCGGATCAGGGTGACGCGATCCCGGTACACGTTCACGTCCGTGCCGCCGGTTCTGCTATTCGTTGTTTGATACCAAGATGCTCCAGCTTGAGTTTCCACCGCGGGAATCACAGCAGATGATGCGGAGGAAGAGCGAGACTCCTGCGAGGACAGGGAAGATGCGGCTTCATCGTTTTCGACAGAATTTCCTCCCTGTTCCGTAGTTCTTGCCATGTTCTCTCCACCGCCGCCCCCGTCAGTGCCGATTGTGATGTCATACACGAAATCACCCGCGTACTGCTGGTGTACATGTTCCAGCTGCGAGATAGACTCGAACGGGTTGTACAGTCTCGAGAGCCATTCTGCGCCGTCGGTGCGGCCGTTATTGGCGCCTTGTTGATCACCGCTTAGGAGGTCCTCCTTCATGACACTCGACACGACCGTGCGACTACGAGAAGACGCGGTCGACTTGTCGTTGAACATGCGCAGCCAGTCCACGTCTTCCACCACCTCGATCCCGATTTCGAGTCGCGCGCTCGGTCCCAGGTCACTGTAGTACAATCTGTGATTGTACACAGCCAAGTACGCATATTCCTCCGGCACCGCCACCGTGGCGCTTTCCAGCGGCGTGCCGGCGCACACCATGCCCCAGGGCAGGCACTTCTTGCAGCAGCCGCACTGCTCGCATTCTCGCTCGTTCGCCACCGCGCACTCCGTGCTGCACGTGGCGCAATTCTGGGAGCAGGAACGCGAGATCGTGTCGTCTCGGCAGCTGAGGTTCTTCCCGCACTTCTGCAGCACTGGCACGCACTCGATGCACATGGCACAGGCCTTGTTGTTGGCTGGGGAGCCGCAAGTGGGGGCGGCGGATGAGGAGAACGGTGCATTGAATTCATCTTGTCGCTGTCCTCCTCCTTCTCCCCGCAAGCCCCGACCACTGCGACGGCGAATGAGGAGGTCCCTGAGGACCGCTCGCCTTTGCCTGCCTCGCAGTGCGGTGTCCCCTGCCGTCCGGTCGTACGGCGCGTGCTGGTCCAAGGCCTCATCCTCTGCGCTGCTTTCACTGCCCAGGTCTGGCGCGCTCGACCGTGTCGAACCCGGCAGGGCAGGTTCCTGTCCACCTAGTCCCGCTGCGCTGCTGGGTACCTCGGCGTTGCACTGCACGCACTTCATGCATTCGTCCTCGCAGTACTTGACTTTTCCGAACGGATGCGGTATGGAAGAAGAACAGAAATAAAAGGAACCGCTTTCGCTCATGAGGATCAAGATGATCCAGGGGGGCTTTACAAAAAATGTAAGTCGGAGCATGAGGGAGGCTGACTCATCCTTCTTCTTCTGTTTGCGGCGGTAGTGCCACGGCGCTTGTCGAATTTACTCCATTTCAAGAGCATCCGAAATTTTCTTTTCGGCCTGAGTCCTGAAACGAATCTCTTCTCTTCTCGGACGAATATTACGGATGAAAAATGTCATGCATCACAAGCAAAAAAAAACATGCAGGAGTAAAACGGAGTGTTTGATAGCGGTTGAAAATCTGGTCTTCATTCTAATACCCGGACACATCTCCCGACCGCCCGTCTTCTCGTCCACGAAATCCAGTTCCGAAGGGCACTGCATCATGACCGAGCTATCGACAGAAGGCCGCTCGTCACCGTCAGGAGCGGTATCATGATGATCAAAATCCTTGATGTCATGTGTGAAAGGCCCGTTGTTCGTTTCCTCACTCGCGTCGAAGCTGGGCGGGATGGCGAATCGGAGATGTTGCACGTTTTTGCGCATTAGCCACTCCGCGAAGTTGCTGTCCTGAAATTCCGCCTTGGTGGGAAATTTCTCCGTGCTGTACAGAACCGCGATTGGGTAGGTGGACTTCACGTGGACGTCGAGATAGCCCCCGCGGTACCGTTCCGGCAGGCGGATGCGAAAGTAGCGGTACTGCCCCGACCACAGGTTGTCGATCGGGTACACCCCCTTCGCGAGAAGCAAGTCGTGCTTCTCGTGTTCGCACGCCAGGCCCGTGTGCGCAGCGTCGCAGCGGCAGATGCCATCTTCCTCGCAGGTGCCCTGGTTCGAACAAAAGGAACTGGTCGGGGGGGATCCAACGGCGGGAGATCCTTCCGCTGCACTGAGGACGACGCCATAATCAGCATCTGTTTTCCACCCTGCGGCTGCAGTACTAGCAACGCCGCCTTCTCCAGCAGATGCTCTCGAGAAGCTTGTTCTACTCGCAGCTCCAGACCGTGTTGTACTTCTTCCGGCGGGGCAGAGTTTGTCGGATTGCAGGTGATTCCAGAACAGAAAGTCGTACGCGAGGAGGTAGCTTCACGTGTAAAAGATGATCGCAGTCGCAGTACTGAAGATTGCAAGCATGCACATATGAGAGAAATGGCGTAATTTTTTCGGAATCCGCAGCACGTTGAAAAAATTTTGTTTTGGTCTCGTCAAAAAAGATTGAGATTCGTAATTCTACGTAATTAAAATTATGCAAGTTTTATCCAGCACGTTAGTGCGATACTTTTGCAACGCATAGGTAGGAGCAACGAATGCGAACTTCCGCGTCCAGCACTTCGGCATGTTCCGGGGAAAAAGCACGTCTCCACGACCACACGCACGAGGCGTCGAGTTGTCATTGTACTGCTATCTTCATCCCTTCATCGTCCTCAGCGCCGTGACGAGATGATGCGATTGAGAGTGTACCGCCACCGGCTGGCTTTATGTTTATCTTCATGAAGTACATCCAATAATAAAGCTGCCACATCACAAAAACTTCACACAAGTTTATATTCTTACCTCGTGACGTGATAAATCGGGTACTTCGCTGGCATGAAAGGAATCATCAATATGGTCGTGCGCGGGTGAAGACGTATTTAGCCTTTGCTCCGAGAGTGGATACTGCAGCCATCTGGTTCACATTCGCGAGCAGCACCCTTGCCCCCGCAGACGGCACATTTTTGGCGCGCACGCGGTGCGCGTGCGAGCTGTCGTCGAGCCAGTCCTGAAACGAGGTAGCGAGCCCCTGGGAGAGGCGTTCCGCGGGCGCATTGGGGTCGACCAGCACCAGTACCGGGTCGGCGTTCTCTTCGAAGGTTTCCAGCGAGATTTCCGCGTCGGCGGGTGCGCCCAGACACCTGAAGTGCAACTGCGCACTGTCGCCCGGGCTTAGCTCCACCCGCACGGGTGTGTCGGGGGTCAGCACATCCGGTAAGAGTGGCGGGGCTCGGGTGGCGACGGCTGGATGGACAAGAACCTGCTCTTCATCGCGGAGGATAGCGGATAATGATGAAAAAAAGAAAATCCAAAGTAGTGATGATCTTGATCCGCCACCCGTGAAATCATTTTTCACGGTGCGTTCCATTCTTGGAATTGTCGTGGTTCAGCAAGGCATACTTGTAGTTCTGCTGCCCATGCGTCCAGCACCCGCAGACTTATCGATGTGTATCTTTTTCTTGTTTCTTAAAAAATAGAAACACGAAGCTTGAGGTTCAGATCCAATGATTTACCGCGGGATGGAGAGCACACTGAACCAGCGACAGAAATCTTGAAACATTGGAACCAACAATACCTATTCAGATCAAACTCAGCGGTTATAATTTTTTCCACTGTAAAAATGTACAAAAAACCACGAGGATGATCTTCCGTGCTTTTCAACGACGTTCACGATCTTTCACAACCAGCTGAGCAGTTGACGCCGTGCAGGAGTCGCCACGACACCTGCGCTGCATGATAGCATGATAGAGAAATGCGATCTGTAATAGTACAGCCAACCATCATCAACACGCTGGTTCCCTTAGGAGAGCAAAGAAACTCACTATCGTGGTTCCGTAACGTTGCGAGGAAGTTTTTCTTTTCTATCTGTGCTTGTTGTCGTCTTCATGGTAGTGCAGGGGATGCGCAGGTGTAAGTAAAATTTCGGTTGATGCGATTGCGAGGGTTTAGCTTTAGTTTTGGGTAACGTAATGTAGAGGCTGATGTTTTAATCATCTTCAAATAGCCGGAACTGTGGAGTTGTGGTTTGCGGCTGTAGGAGCTTCTCGTTGCGCGGTTGTGGTGCTGGTGGGGTAAATCAAACATAAAACGAGTTCTTGGCTGGTCGGTCCTCGCCCTCGGGGATGCTTCCATGCTCGCTGTTTACATTCATTCGTTTGACCCTAGCACTACTTACTCCTTTCACGACTTCCTCTACTGGTCGCATCCTTACTCAGCTCGGTGGAGGTGGCGTTCTTTTGAAAGGAGGTGCATCAAATGAAACAGCAGGCACAACATCGAGGAAGGACAAGGAGGAGGTTGTACTATAGCTATAAGTATTTGATGGCTTCGTCATCAATATCATTTTGAGATGGGTGGACGGGCGGGTGGTTATCCTATCGGTTACACTTTGGTTACAGGAGAGCAGGGCAACGGCAAAAAGAACAACAACGGGCTGGAGTAAATAAAAGTTGTTGTTTGACGTGCTAGGAAGCAACGAGGTTGCTCGAGCGAATTTGAAGTTTCATCATACTCATCGCGGCCTCGGGGTTCAGGTTGTAGAAGTGAATGTGAAGTAGTGTTTCTGCCATGGTCAGTAAAAACACAAATGCCGGTAGGAGCAACGTGCTCTTTGACTCCGACGAGGACATGTAGTCTACGACGAGGTAAAAGCCGAGATTCAAGGTGTTTCCGGCGTCGGTCTCCAGCGTCCGGATGAAAAAATTCTTAAAATTTCATACCACAGCCCCGGTCCTGGTACTTCATAGTCGGCGCATCGACGCGATCGATCCTCGAGGGCAGATCTTGATATATGAATTTGACACAGAGAGAAACGAACGATGCTTCTGAATTGTACCATTCGCCTACTTGTAAATCAGTATCAGGATCACAACCTCCGAATCGGGAAAAATAAGTAAGTAGGTAAGTGTCAAGAACCGACACGGAAATTAGAAGAACTGACCCCACTTCATCTTCTGTTTCATTCCCTTTCGCGGTACAAAATAGTACTCTTGTTTCCACAAAAAGAATTATGATCCAGCACCTCTTGCTGGAAATAAATGAAATGAAGGCCATTGGTACCTCAGGCTAGCTGCGTGAGGCAGCGACCATAACGTCGATCTCGATATTACAACCCGGGGGTTTCTCTTGTTGTATAGTTATGGCAAAGCGCGATCATTTAGGAAAGTCGCTTGCGTAAAAATTCGCACTTTCCACGGCGACATGAATTGAACATGAACAAAGGCGAAATCGAAGGAATCAGTAGACAAATATTTTACTTAAACTGACAATAATAGCGTCCTCCGACCAGCGCTGCAGCTATGTAAGTAGCAGGGGCAAGCGGGAAGAACCGACACCTACGGCATGTTGACAGCTCTTGAAGCTGCGTGATCGCTATCACGAAGACGCCGTAGATTTGTCGTTTCTCTCGTCGGCCGCCCTGGTTAAGCTCTGTATCCTCCGGATCAGGTCGGACGTAGACAGGGATTGGTACCTCGGTAGCGGACGGGCGATGCCCATTTCCCGTGGCACGCGGTAGTACGGATCGTCCTTCGGGTCCGGAAAGCGTTCCACGTACTCCGAGCCGCAACACACGATGTGGATCCGGTGCTGCCTTAAAAACTCCTCGGTGAGTCCGAAGCAGGGCGCGTTCGGGATCACGCGAGTGACCGCCTTGCACCCCATAATTTCGCGACACTGCTTATCAAGAAGGACAAAGATCTTCACGTCACCTGGGTCGTTCTTTGTCAACAACATTATTCTAACTAAGATTTTCGAGAAACTGAAATTTTGGATTTCAATTTCTGTGAGCTGTGACCAAGCATGACAAGCTTATTTTTTTTCACAACTGACGAAGCAGTTCCGGGTTTGCAACATGAGAGAGCGCCATAGCGGCATTCTTTCGCAATCTCCACTGAGTCGGCTTTATTCGACTGAAGTACCTTCAAATCTAGTGCTGCTACAACTCATGTTCTTATTCTTTCCTGACATCAATATGCATTACAACCAGTTTGCTTTGTTCCACCAGATGACCCAGATCTTCGAAGATATTTCCCCTGCATAACTCTCTGCGTGGGACATAATCGGCGGTCGCTTGTAGTTCGCACAGTCTGCGTCACCACACACGCCGACAAACAGCCGATTCCCGTACTTCAGAGCAGACCTTTTTATTTTGGAAACAGATTTATTGATTTTTATCATGATTTTGATACTTATGGCTGTGGTTTTTGGTGCGCAGCTTACTTTTAGAAGGCTCGACATAGAGAACTTCAAAAAAATGCGATGATGAAATCCGTATCTTCAAATGAAAATGGTCATCTGTAATATTATACCTGAAGAGGTTCTTATGGCCCACATGGCACAGGTCAAAGACACCGTCGCAGTAGACATTTTTCACGTTCACCAAAAGCGGCAAGTTCATGTGCCAGCAGAGGTCCGCCAACACGGCGCCGTAGTAGAAACAGGTGAAAAACAGCGTGCCCACGTGCGTGTACGGAAACAAATGTGAAAAACACATCAACAGTAGCCAGGGGTGCAAATATGAATGTGCAAAACCAAAAAGTTGTTCTGGTGGTCGTGTACTACGTACAGTAGTACGCAATGCATTTTAATTCGGAAAACCTCTAAAATCTTGAAAAAAGTGCTGCGCAACGTTTACTGAAATAAAGCAAGTCTCGTCCTGCTCGGGTTAAAATGCAATGGTATTCTTCTACCTCATCTTGCAAAAATTGGAGCAAGCCGAGTTCTTGTATATTACCACGAGCACGACCACATAGACAACTTTTGCAAAAATGCATAACAGATCGCGCTTCGCCATTTTTGCGAGCACAATGTCCGTGGTCACTACGGTCATGAACAGCGCCTCGACGATGATCCCCTCCACACTGAGCGAATTCTTGGGGATGTGCTGCGAAAGAAGCAGGATTGAAGGCGCCGCGGGGTTCATGCTAGTTGCCGAAAAGCTTGTGGCCGGCTCGGTTAAACTATGGAAGTGGAAATAACTCATGCTTTTGCTTTTCCTTCATTTGATTTTCTTGGACATCAACAGGAACAGGAGCTGCCGTTGAGGGAACAATACAGCAATTTCTTCTTGTTGTGCCGGCTTGTTCCGGGCAGAGACCTTGCCATGCAAAAAAGCACCAGGGCCAGCCAAGGCATAAGTAATATACTGCCTTGCTGCATCACAAATCAATAAAGGGAAGCGGAAGGCGAGTTTATTTCTTCATTCGCATAGACTGAGTACCGGATGAGGAAGCGGAAAAAGGTGGGAATCATCCTGTAGGTCAGAATGAACATCACCGAAAGTTTTGTGAAGTTGGGTACCTGTTATAGGGGGTTATGGTTGTCGTTGCTGATCTGGTAAAAATGAAATTCGTTCTTACGGGTACAGAATCGGTTTCTTGATTGTATTCTCGTCGTTCACCATGCTCTAGTTCTTTTCCCATATCCACAATTCAATTTTTCAAAGCAGGTCAGGGTTACAAGTAAAATCTAGATCAAAATTTATGGATGTTTGCGTCGAGTTCGGAGTTCAATACCTTCCGTCTCAGTAAAAGCGCAACCACAATGGCGATGAAAGTGATGCAGTAAACGGACACGTATGCCAGAAAAAGAAACCGCGTAAGTCGTGTGATAACAACTCTGGGTTGCTCTTGCTGCGTACGATAGAGTTGTTGCTATGCACATACGTCATCTTAGGATAGTTTTATACGCATTTTTGACGTACTACATACTACCTGCTCGTGGCAAGTTTTAGTTTTTGCTGTCACGACGTGCCAGAGTGATTTTCCATGCTGTTTCCCCTGCTAAAAGAGTTCTTACACTACTTAACAAAGACAGTCTTTTTCCTGCATAACACGCATAGGTCTTTCATCAGCGTTATTGGGTTGGGTCGCGGCTGCGAGATCCAGGAATATTCCCGCGCAGGAAAGTAGGCATCCAGCCCAACCATGCGGACAAGCATCTCGTGCCCGGCCTGGTAGAGAAGAAGGTACTGCTGTATCAACCTGGAAGGGAATTTTCGTGAATCCATGCTGAAAATAAATGTTTTGAGGCGCTTGTCAATTAAGATCCATCTTCATCAACATATTTCTTTGCAACTTAAGTGCAACACAAACAATCAACTTCAAGACCATCATGACCCCCTTACCAGTCCAGCCCGAACATCGCCTTCAGAGCCAGGAAGTAGATGGTGACGATGACCATCTCGCCCGGCCCGATGAACCAGAAGTAGCGTATCCCCGCCTCCCGCGCGTAGGCGGACAGGTGCTTGTAGAAGAGGATCAGCTGGCAGCTGTGCACGGCGATCCAGTGCATCTCCAGGTCGGAGTCGGTGAACATTTTGGAAACCGCCGACACAAGAAAGACCAGCACCAGCGTGTCGCAGATGTGCTTGAAGAGGAACGTCAGCGGCGTGTCGTTCATCAGCCGCTCCGCGTGTCGCTTGTGCAGGCAGTGGCAAATGTAGTAGAAGGCGAGGGCGACCAGGGTGGACATATGCATTGCAAATATGTCTGGGTCTGGACGAAGGATGCGAACTTGTGATGCGCATTTCCCAACACAGACACGTCTCTCATGCATAGGCAGCAAAAGATGTCCATTTCCTGTCAACACCAAAGTGGGGCATTTATCATGCGGATTAAGCAATGCAGAAGCTCTTCGAAATCTGTGATGCTAGGGCTCCCGTGACAGACATTCTGTGTCATGCAAAAACAGCATGACAAAAATCTGCACTCTTCCAGACCCAGACATATTTGCATTTGATAGGACACCGTCGTGAACGACTCGTATTTGATGTCGTCGTACTGCAACACCACGTATATCAAAGGGAAAAATTATCCCCCTTCCCCATACCGAAAAGGCATCCTTTTAAAGATTTGCGCTGCTGGTTTGTGGTCACAAATGAGGTCCGTCTTGCAAGAGAGCAAAGCCAGAGCTTTCGCCGTTTTACGCAGGCGATTTGTGATGCTGCTGCACCAAAAGGGTAGACGTCTGCCATGCTGAGCGCCCACCTCTATCCAGCCCCGTCTAGGCATTGTATCTGCCTGCAGTCCTATACTGCAACACAAAGCTGATTTGTGTACACAAATCCAGCAACAGAAATTTCCGTTTCAGTATGGGGAGGGGGGATTTTTCACTTTGATAACGTACCAGTTCTGTATTATGGCCAGCAGCCCGAGGAGGCAGAGCAGGTTCGGCGCTATGCGCTCGGACAGGACCCGGCGGGATAGAAAGCTGAACACCCCGAGGTAGTCGAGCCAATGCGTGAGAAAAGAGTAGTCATTATCTGGCTCCATCCATTCCGTGAACGCCTGCTTCTCGGCGGGCGTAAGAAACATCTCCAGCGACTGGCCGTGATTCTCGTACACGGGGGGCAGATGCGTGGCGTTCGCGTCCCCCTGATAAATTTCCGCCTCCGAGATGCCGGACAACGACCGCATGGAGGATTTGGGGGACTGCTGCGGAGACTTTGGCACATGTTCGGCGCTGCTGGGGGATACCGAGGCAGGCGGTAGGTCCGACGCAGCCTGCTGCACCGTCTCCCGAGAGGCGACACCGCCAGACATGGCTTTGGTATTGTTTCTCTGCTGGTGGAGGGTGGTCCTCTAATTTCCGGCGAAGAGGGCGCGCCGCGCGGACCGATGTTTGATGCGCAAGAAGATAATGTGGGACAAGGTGTTCAGATTCAGACTCTACTTCTTCCCCTTAGTTACCTCGTTTTTCGGGAAAAGTCTTCGCCCAAATTCTCGTGCTGGCAGCCCTTTCTTGTTCTTCTCATTTCGACGGTCCTCTAGTCCGACAAAGTTCTTGAGCTACTTCGACTTGTCGTGGCCTTTGCGAACAAGGTGTCCTCGTGCGGCTTGCACCGTGAGTTCGTCGAATGCTCAGGCTGGGTGGTTACCAGTCAGTCCGACGCAATGAAGTTGAAATTATCGAAAGACCGTGAAGATGAATTCAATCTAGTGTAGTACTAGTTCTTGCTACGGACCCGCAAGTCCACCTTTTTCCTCCATGCGAGATGGACGGTTCTTCTTCTTCTTTATCTCTTCAGACGATCTTCTGGTACTCCTGAAGCTCCTGCCGAAGATCATAGTGCTGTGACCACTACTGCACCAGATGACGTCAACCATAGCAGGAGATGACGCTGAGCAGCTGCCGCACAAGAACTTGCGATGCGTTTTTTGCCGCACAAGAACTTGCGTTCCTTCACAGCAGTCGCCAATACTCACTCCTCGTGCCCCCTCGTATCACGCGGTGCTGCTGCTGCTAGGAAACATACTGTAAGAACTACAAATTTCTTTCAAATTTCAAAGGAATATATGTTGTTTTATGCAACTATACTTGTTGTGATACACTGCGACTCCATGGCAGTAGTACCCGCATGCGCATCAATATTAAAAAAATAGTCACCTTCGCGTTCGCCAGATGAAAAATATAGAATTGCTGTACTGATAAAAATGTCGTCTTGATGAATGGTAAAACTAAAATGTAGGACCTGGATCAAGGACATTGACCATCACGTTGCACCATTGCTGGCAACCAACTTTTATGATTAAAAGGTGCTCGTCATGCTCCAGTTCTACAACACCGATAGGCGAACATTATTTTCATTGATTGCGTTTCGTTTCGTGTTCGATTGGTGCCGATGCCAAATACAGCACTTCCACTTCCTCGTAATTTTCTTTCAACTTCTGCAGCTGCACACAACTAAAAATAACAGATATTACAGATGACTGTTTTATTCGGATCATTATCACACCTGCGTGGTAGAGCTGAAATTAAAAATAGGAATAGCACCTTCTCAATTTTTTCTCCATTCCTTTTATTCAACGTGGTATCTCTACTCAACTCTGCAAAGTCTTTTTGTAGGAGAGTTCACAAGAGTTGCTTCGCAACGAAGCTCCTCGTTGCTGACTTGCGCACTGCCTTGGCGCTTTTGCCTGTTTTCTTTTTTTCGCATAAAGCACGCCGTTGCCGTAGGGATGTTGATATATCATTCTGTTCTCCTGGAACAAGAAAAAAACGGTGCACGAACAAACATACAGAGCCTGCTGCATTTCGCTCGACTACACAAAGAACACCAATTCTGAAATAACGCCTTCTTGTCGTCCATCTTCATTTTTTTGTTTGCTGCGGACGACACGAACTGAGGACTACATACCATCCTCTGCAACTATCCTACGAGTGGCAATCCATCCAATCCACGACAAACGACAACGTCGCTTTTCTACTGCGGAAGCCGCGAGTTCAGTATTCTCGAGGTCAGGTTGTCTTGTACCATTGATCCCATGCCAACTTTTCTTGGAAGTAACAGTCGGCGTAACTAAACATCGAATCAAATGGTCGTAATATCATGGTGCTGCCATCAAGTTACTGTCGTCCACTCGTTACTTACCACCTCCGTCGCTGTCCTTGTGATTCTCGTCTCCGTCTTTTCAACAAATCTTGTTGCGCTATTCGTTATCAAAGCCACTGCTTCGCAGCTGGCTCTGCTCCATCGATTCGATACCCGGAAGGAGGTCCGCGGTGGTGTGCTTTCTCTCGAACTTCTGGAAGGCCTTTGTGTCCAGCACATCTGGGTCAAAGTTCGCGGAGACGATGGAATCCATACCGCGTTCGCTCGTTGGCATTATCATGGGGCTCTCAAACGTCACACTCTCAGCTGCTGCTCAATGGATTTGTCATGCAAAACTACCATCATCATCCACACGATCAAGCTGCTTCGCATGACAAATCTGCGAAGCAGGGCTAAACATTGCCTAAATCTTCTGTGCGGAATTTGTAATGCTACAGGTGCAGTCTCCACCCTTTGACTTTTGGTTTTGCCATTCGTTCCTGCATTACAAATTCATGTAACAGTTGAGAATGTAACGCTTGAGAACTTCATAGGCATGGCACTGCTCTTATCCCCGAGAAAGGAACCCTCCGCGATCTCTGCCGTGAGCGTCGGCCCGCTTTCCGGTATGGCTTGCTCAGATGTTACAATCTCAAACCTTACAACAGAGTCTGGAATTTGTCTTGCATGAACAGCATGAGTACCATACAGAGACTTGGGCTCTTCGCACTACAAATTTCGTCAGATTCTCATGGGGTTTGGAGCTCCGAAACTTGTCATGCGCGCTCCTGTGGGAGTAGGCCAGCTGTTGCGCACTTTGCAACACAAATTCCAGATTCTATTGTAACGTTTCAGACTGTAAAAACACCTGAGCGGGTTATATCCGGGGTGAAGCCTTTTTTTGACTGCGCCGCGTACTTTTCCTGCGCCATGGACTCCTCGTAGATTTGTTTCTTCCGTGCTTCTGTCAAATGCAAAAGTGTCCGGGTCTTGAAGGGTCATGCTGTTTTTGCATGACACAGAAGGTCTGGCATGGAAGCTCTAGCATCACAGGTTTCGAGAAACCTCCGCAATGCCGAATCCGCATGACGAATCCCCCATTTCGGTGACAGAAAGTGGGCAGCTTTTGCTACCTATGTATGCATGAGAGATTTTTGTTTTTCTGTGTTCCGAAATGCGCATCACAAGTTTGTATTCTTCCAGACCCAAACATATTTGCAATCCATAGCCTCGTGCTCAGCTTCTTCGGTGTCCTGCTGCCGCCTGTCTCCGACCGCCAGAAGCGGCGTCTTAATACCGCCACCGGGCGTCAGATACCCCGTTTCCGTGATTTCCCCCAGCTCCCAGGGTGCGAGTCGACTGTCCGCACAGTACACTAGATTCCGCACGTACTTCTCGTTTCGCTTTGTCAGCGGAAGCCACGCGACGCTGCAGGCGCTGGGCTCGTAGATCGGCTTCGGGAAGTTCTGGTCCTCATACTCAAGTATGCAAGTAGGGTGGAACACAAGTAGTTCTTACTATCCGCCACATGTTGACGAAGACTATTTTTCTCTTCGCGTTTCAATACAAGAAATAGAAATTGTTATTTGTTGTCGATACATATACGCCACAGCATCTTCGCAACAGAATGTCCTGCTCGATCTGTGGTCGTTTTCGTTATGTCTCGTTGTCGTTGCTCTTGCAAAAATAAAAACTCTGGTTGGTCATGATGCGCCGCGAAAAAAGTGTAATCCTTGTTTTTAATCCATAAGTTGCAGCTCCTGCTCCGCGGCGCTCTGCCGGATTTGCAGTTCCTGGTCTCCGTAAAAATCGTTGCCTTCGTACTGCAGGATCAAGTTTCCGTGCTCGTCATACATGTACTGTCCCTCGAAACCTCCATCCGGCTGCACCTCCTGTTGATTCTGCGACATCAACATCATGCCTGAAGTATGCATTGCAAACGTATCGCATTCGCATCATGAGCACAAATTGCATTAACTTTTGCAAAGAAAATCTGGCGAGATCTGTCATGCAGTATTGCGATTCCTCGTACGAGTACGATACTTGAACCTGCTGTTTGATACGAAGAGCCATCCGCGGGCGGGGCAGCGAAGGAGGCCCCACCAAAGGTTGCAGTCCCCAGCGGATTTTCCTGACCGCCAGCAGAAACAACAGCGCCTCCTGCTGTCAGGGCTCCTGTGCCTGGCATGTTGCCAGCACCGGGCGGCGGGGTGTAGTCCGAAAAGGACCCGTCCTGTTGATTGAACATCATGAAATTGTAATCGTGCACTTGTTGCGCGCTAAGTTCTGCTCCCGTTGTACTTGATGTACCATCCCCCGGCGCCGCTGCGGCGCTGTCCACTAAATTCTTGACGTTGTTCACCCCGTCATTCGGATTTATTGTTTTCGCGGCGGTTTCGGGAACAAAATCGTTTCCGCTGGGGAGCAACGTCACCTCTTCGCCACGGCCGTGATGGAAGCGTCAGGTTTGACATCGACAAAGTTGAAATGATTTGTCATGCATCAAATGCAAGACATGAAGTGGCTGTCTTGCCGGGATGGCAAGTGAGGCCGATTGTGGGCCTCTTCAGGGTTTGAAATAGAGCTTCTAAGTCAAGCAGCATCACAAAAGCAGTCATCTGTGCCCAAACAGCATGATAAATTGGACTCCGGAGCTCGGAAAATTTGTCATGCGCGGCTTGGAAATCGGGCTTCCAGCTGATTATCGATTTTATGCATCACAAAGTATTTCAACTTTGACGATTTCGATCCTGACACTCCCATATCCGTCGTCCGCACCGTATTCCATCGGGGCGGGAAGCGCGTTGCTGCTCACGTCGAACGCTTCGCCCTCGGCAGCTGGTGCTGCGCTTGGTGTTGTTCTACTTCTCGCGTTTTTTTTACCCGTGTTGACGTAGCTCATTTCCACTGGAACAACTGTGGCTGCTTGTACTTGTTCTCCCTCTGGTATGGGTTGCAGCCCGACCGCCGCGAGTGGTTCGCCCATAGGGTTGACCGTTTCGCTTTCCTCGAATCCGGAGTGCATTCCCTCGTTGTAGTCGTGTGCGGTAGGAACCAGCTGCGCGTTCGGGGGTGGGTGTTTTCAGTATGCAATGGAAAAAAATTATTTCCGCACATGCACAAAATGCAACACAGTACATTTCGCCAATTTAACATTACAGTAGACTACTGGGATTGCTCATGCAAAAACCGCATTTCTTGTACGTGTACGTGAAAAAATGACCGAGGATATCCAGGCGCGGAGCACGATGAAGGGTTCGAATCCCTGGTGGCGCCAGATCCTTTCCTGCTCCTGTGTGCTCGAGAACCGGAGTAGCGTGGACAGAAACAACCCCGAGAATAGAGTGAACAACAGAGAAAAAGCGGGAAAATTCGTCAGAACTGAAGACCTCTCGAAGGCTCGGTCCGCGATCTGTATGCAATGCGAACAATATCGTGCCCTTCCAGCATGAGAAAGAATCACTGTTGTTCACCAGATGGACCGACATCCTGTCCTCCTGCTTGCAAAGCAAAATGGAGAATACTTCGGTAGAAAATAAGGACATGAGCAGCAGTACGTGGTGCGACAAAATGAACATGTCGTGGCAGTCTTTGCCCGCCAAAGGACAACACGAGAGGTAAAAGTATGAGCGACCTTGATATTTTTTTGCATTGGCATCACAGAAGGAGAATTTGAATTACAATTAGGTTTAGGCCGAGGATGAAATAGTTTGCACATTCTGCACGACAAATCTGCGGGCCGAAAAGGCAGGAGCTTGTATTGCGTAATCTGCTTCAGTGGTTCGAACGCGTCATCCATTACGGGATCCACTTCCGAATAATCTTCCTGCTATGAAAACGAAGAAAAACATCGAGGGCAGTTCCAGGAGTTCGTTCTTCAAATGGAGCTAGGTAGTAGTCTGAGCATGAGAGCTGCAGGCCACGACCTGTTTCTGAATTCATTCTTGCGTGACACACAGGTAGTTTTCTTGGGTACTAGTACTAGATAGTTTGTTCCATAGCTATTTGATATTTGACATTATACCAGTTCCTCTATCTTGATGCTGATATTAGAAAAAAACCTCTAGTATCTTCTTGCCCAACGTCGATCGACGAAGAACCGATCACGATGATGCTTCGTTTTCATAACAGCATATTCGCCTCCATCGCGAGCGAGTAGTCGGGCTGTTGAGAAAGTTCTTCATAATCACATCATATGTTTTCCGCTCATTGGGATTGGACGCTTTTTTCTTCTGCAAATAATAGTCACAAGAGTCAGAGCCGGAACCACCACCAGCAACGACAGCATGATACAACCTACAGAACCAACCACAAAGCAAACGGAGACAACCACAGGCAAAAGTAGCACAGCATGGCTGTTCCGCTTTCTAGTGCAGCTATTCAGGAATGGATCCTGCTTCAAATCCTATAGCAGCTATACAACATAGATTCATGACTATACCGACATTCAAATGTACTACAGTACTTTGAACAAAACGCATTATGTCCGATACCAGATTTCCCAACCCCTCGAATGGTAGCACCAATCTCCTATGGTAAATTGTTCGCCACCCGGCGAGGCCAATTATTCGCGCATCCTCGGTGTCCAAAGTGCGCGTGACGAGGTCGCTCAGGATAAAGTACAGGCGCTGCCCGTCGCCACCCGTGTTACCGACCGGAGACCTCAGATTCAATAAATAATTTGCAGTTATTTTATGTTCATCTCAACCTTCATCATGATGCACCCGCACGGAAGCTCCTTGAAAACAAAGGGGAACTTTATGACGAAAATGAAAAATGGTTATTGTACAGTAAAATGGTTGTGGCCACGCAAAGCTCGGCCACGGCGCCCTCGATGCAGAACGCGTACAGGAAGCACAGACCGAGCACGTACAGAAAGTCCGACCGCTTTTTCATCACGGAGCACAAGAATATTCCCCCGGTGGCCCCGGCGGTGACCAGGGTGAGTGTGTGCAGGACCGGGTAGTAGCCCGCTCCCATCGAAAGTTCCGCGTACTTTCCCGGTCCTCCCGCGAGAGCCTGTTGGATCACAGAAGTTGTGCGCGTGAACCAACTCATTAGGAAAAGCCCCCCGGACTCGTCATCCCCTGCAAAAGTGCACTATTTACGACCGCATGACTGACGCAGTTTTTCTTTTTAATATTAGCTCAGAGTGGATGATACAGATACATCCCAGCAAAGCCGTTGTGTTGGTTTGTTCTTCCACTTCTACTTTCAACATATCATATGGATCAACTACCACTACGTGTAGTCGTAGTGATAGTGGTCTTGCACAATCATGGTAGCAGTGAGTGTGAGCACTTTTGCAGTGCATAGCATCCTAAGGCGAACAGCTTCGCTGGAGAATAGGAAACCGTGATGAAGGCGTACAAGGATGAGAGAACGAGGACGTGGCCCTGTAGTTCAATTTATTTACCAATCAGTAAAGTAAACAAAATCAAAAAATTTAAACATACATGCTAAAAAAAGTAACTAAGTAAATGCGCGGCCACATCCTGCTCATGCACCAGATGATGCGTCCATGAGAGGGTATTAGAAGTACGACGACTTGTCATGCGAAGATTCCAATGCAAGTTGTAGTTGTTGACGAGCGAGCGGAGCACTACAGCTTTGCGAGGCGATTTTTTCTGTACCATCAAAAACTGCAGACAACAAAAAACTTTTAATCTGACGAACCACGTAATAGATCGGCGCCGCCTTGGGTATGTATCCGTTCCAGAGCCAGAGCAGCTTCAGAAAGACTTTGGGTATCGCCCCGTGCATGAAGATGCCCGCCGTGAACCCCACGTAGGCTCGGTGTACCCAGCTGGGCAGTTTTCTCGCCTGGAACGCGCAGAAGCAGCTGATCGCCAGCAGGGCGGCGAAACAGAGGACCAAGAGGCCGACCGCGCTGCTCCTCTGCGCGAAAAATGACAGCGCGTTCGTTTGGTCCGGACTGAAGTTGCCGTCGAGTTCGAAGGAGGAGGGAAAACTCGTCGGGGGCGGAGGTTGGGTCGGGTCAAAGGGCGGGGGCTGTTGGTTGTTGTAGTAGTCCTGCTGCTGCTGCTGCTGCGCCGCATACAAATCATTTGCTCCCCCGTGATCGGTGTTGGGTGGATAATTGACGTTACCACCGGAATAATCCACAACCTGCTGCTGTACTTGTTGCAGCTGCTGTGCACCGTAGCCGTAGGGCGGGAGGTTCGGCTGCTGCTGGGCAAAAGACGATGAACTCGAAGAGACCGACGACGAGGAAGCTCCTGTCGGGGTTAAAGGTCCGGGGCACAACGGGTCGGAGGGAGAGCAGGAGGAGGTCGCACCAGGAAAGGACATGTTACAGTGGACGTCAGAGAAGACAGGAACTCAAACTTTTTGTTTTTCCGGTGGGAATCTACAACAGGTGTAGTTTTTTATAAAAAAGCAACAATTTAAGTAGATTCTCGATACTAGTATCACGGCTCGTCAACAACTTTCGTGGTCTCAATAAGAGGAGACCGGCATTACGCTAGGAAGTGCATAGTCCTTGCGTCTCGGATTTATTTTTCAGACGACACGAACTTATATCTGGAAACCAACAAAAAAAAATTCAATTTTGCCCAATCCGTCGCCGCTCCTCGTTGCTCTCGTGCTTCCTTTCGAGCTCGAGGACCCCGATCTCCACATAAAAAGCACAGATGCTTCTACACAACGATGAAGCTGCACAAACATCCACGACGCACGAGTAGATGTTGACCGCGTTAGCTTTCATCGATCTGGGAAAGATGCGTGCGATTTAGCATCCTCTGACATTGACGATTTGCAACCGCTCTCCGAAACGCAACCGCTCTCCAACACGTCCTCGACTCAAAACTCTCCAACACGTCGACTAGTCTTGTTCTCGTTCCTTGGAAGGCAGAGCACCAACAGATGAAGACAAGAGGATGTTCCTGCGAGAAGATGAACGAAGCTGCGGTGCAAATCAATATCAAAATGTAAATGATATTGGTCCCACGCTAGGCCCCCTTAGCGTTCTTTTTTGCATTCCCTTTTGTCGTCCAAAATAAATTCAATTTTATTCAATTTCCACTATGTGCATCTGTTATTTGAAGTAATATTCACACGGCACACGTTCCTGTCATCTGTCGTTTCTTTGAAAGTAGGCTTTTGTCTGTCTTTCTCTATTTCCTTAGCACCTGCAGCAGGGCAAAATCTTCATTATTTCCACTTTAATTTCTTCACTTTCGCAAGTCATACAGGTACAGGTAAGCAGTGATACAAGGGGGGGGCAAGAAGGACTGTTGCTGTGATAGTAATCTTTTCTCATTTTAATTTATACAAACACAAGGTGATGTCTTCTAATCGACGTACACATACAGATTATAGAGGTGCATTTTCATATGTAGTATCCTCGAATTACTAAAGCAGTTTCAGCGCTTGTTAAGTTTACGCTTACTCCATCTTCTACTTCTATCCGGGACAGCACAGCACTCCTGTGTTGCAAGAGCCTGTGCCTGGCGGAGCCACTCACCCTAGTGTCGTTTTGTGCGTTGAGTGCCCGTGGTGGCCGTAGATTTTGCTTCTTTGGGATAAAGTCAATAAAGTCAATTTTTTTGTTGTTCTTCTTAGAAGCTTCTAATACAGCTACAGATGGTAAATTCATCGATATCGAACTCCGGAGACTACAACCATTGCCAGAACCTGTAGGTGATCGAGTCTTTCATCTTCACCTACGTGCATTTTTTCAGAGAATGTCGAACGTGTGAATTTGTTCTTCGATAGTACTAGTTCAAGTTCACCATGTCCTCTATTTGTTCCTCGACTTGCGGCTTCCTCTGGACGCACGGTTACTCGACGACGTCGTGGTCGTGGTAGCTGCTTTCGGGGCAGCGGCATCAGCGGTCGAGGTTGGTTCTTCTTCGTAGTCGTCCTCCGGTTCTTCCTGCATGCTGCTCGGTGGGGGTTCCATACTCATCATCCCGGGCAAGTCCTCGTCGCCCATCCCCGGCTCCGAAGGCGCGTAGGTACTCGGCATCCCTCTCGTCGCCCGCCCCGCGGCTTTCGAGGCCCGCTGCAGCGGCACTTGGCCGGACTTGGTGGCGATCACGGTGTGGCTCGGTGGCGCGTCCGGCGGGAGGGCGGACGGGAAGGCGCCTGAGCTCATTGCGGCTTCCATCTGCGAATACTCGTCGGGACTCAACTCCAGCAGACCGACGGAGCCCCTGCCGCCGAAGAATCCGCCTGGCAGCCCGGCTGCCAACCTCTCCAGTCGGTTTGCCGTGAACAGGTACATGCTGAAAAAGAGAAACACCAGCAGGCAGTTATGGGGCGGCAGTTCTCAAGTGTTACATTGACTACTGTCTTGCTTTTTACATGGACTTTTTATCGTGATGTTGGCACAAGACTAGGAAAAGTGAGAGGGGGGGACTTTGCTGTTCTACTTGATGTGCGTCTTGCATATACAGATTTGGGAAGGTCGTGGGTTTCAATTATGCTCATATCTTTCTAGAAGTGGGGCCGCTGCATGGAAAAAGCAAACTTGTCATGCGAATGTAACATTTGAGAGCGCCATAGCAATGGGCCGGCAGGGAGCTGAGGAAGCCCGGGGACTCGTACCACTGGTTCACTATTTTCGCGGCAGATATCAACTGAAAATATCTCTGGGTCTAGAGAGTTGTTGTGATGCTGAACAACAGCAACTCAGTGAATCACAAAACAAACTGTCTGTCATGCTCATGATGCACCGCTATTAAGCATGACAGGTTTTTTTGTGGCTAGGCTCGGTGTTGCGTGTTCCGCATGAAATAAGGGTGCGTTTTTGCATGACAGGCCGGGGAAGCTCTTCGTGGCCACGCAATACAGACATCAGATTCGTGCCAGAATAGCGTGACAAATGTCTCACATTCTTCCAGACCCATATTGCATATTTGCCATGGATAGCATATTTCCCGTGCTCATGGGTCAGCCCGCTGGAACCTTTATTCATTGTAAGTAGTTCTTCGTGTGATCGTTATGAAAGTATGATAAAACAGCTTCTCGCGGTTCTCCGCAGGTACTTATCATGTTTTCTTCTGTTTGAAATATTAAACTTCTACTAAAATAAACACCTCCGGTCCTGCTGTGGAGGTCATCATGGTTAATGAATTTATCAAAATCAATGTCTTTTACCGTCGAGTCCGTAGAAGGCCACCATCGCTGGAATAGCTCGAATCGCTCGGAAAGGCGTGGTCAGGCGGGCGTGGAACAGGCTGGTAAATGAGAAACCGACGTTGGAAATCGTGTGGTTCTGGTACGCCCGCAGACTTTGGAAAATCCGTCCCTCTTCCGGGTCGCTCGAGTTGGCCTTCTGCACTAGAGCATACCCGACGGCGACACAGACCTCGGCAAGGCCGTAGGTGAGCACGTAACTGTAGATAGCGGCGAGAATGCGAATGTAGAAAACGTTTTTTTTGGGGTGGGTCGTTGTCCACGATGCGAAGAAGAAGGCGCCGACCGTCAAGACGGTGAGTCGAAACGCGTCAAGCACCAAGTGCGACCAGGAGGCGATCGAAAAGTAGGCGGGCTGTTATGATTTCATTGCTTTTATTTCATTTAAAGCTTCAATTCACGGCAGCACGACTCGTGATCTTCACATGATCTTCACAAGAGCAACAACAACAGGAATACTTCATCTCGTCAATGAATTCAAAATGAAAATAGAAATACCGCAAGCATTTCCATACTGGTAGTTGTGTCATACATCTCCTTCTTGTCTCCGGGGCTGTTTCATCCACTACAAAGATGTCCGGGTCTGGAACATCAAAATCAAGCCGAACCTGTACTTAAATTGCTCGTCTCGACTTCTACGCGTCCTTGAATAAAATCCAGTATAATTACAGAAGCAAGAAACTACACAACACGTTTGCCTTTGCTCCTAAGTAATGCAGACTACACATGAGAAATACGCGTCCCTTAAACAAAATTTGTCAACATGCTTAAGCGCGTTAGCAAACAAACCCAACTATCACGCTCTTTATCTTTTCAGACCCAGACACAAAATTTGCATTCGATATGACTAGCAGTGCGTACTGGGAGGATTGAAACACAATCCTCCACACTAGACTGAAGTATGAGAGTGCACTTTTCCCCTCCCTCTCCTTTACTTTTGTAGTTGTAAGTACATACTTACAAATAAATCAATACCAAATCCGGTCGCTGCCCTCCTTTGGCACTGTTTGCATGACAAATTCCGGAAGGAGCTGAAACAGTACTACAGTCAAAGCAGGAACATGTTTTCATGCAGAGGCTCGTCTAGGTGGTTCGCTGGTGTTTGTATTGCTGCTCATGCCTTACTTGCAAATCATGAACGAGAGGGGAAGTGGTGCACTCTCATATTATGGCGAACCAAGCCAGGACTACCGATGCCAGTATCAAGCTTTTAGATTCTGCATTCCTGTTATCCGCAGAAAAAAATCAATCCGATCCCCGTGATCCACATTTGCATCACAAAGACGCACTGGCGATGTGCTTCGTACTTTTGCATGACAGATCGGATGTGTTTTTTTTTTCTGTGGATAGTTGGTCAGATAGTATCCGTGCGCAACGCAGCAGACCACCAGGATGAAGACGTAGAGCTGTTTCGTTTATTTTTCTGATGAACAACAACAATCGTTTTTCTCCTTTTTTGTTCAAATCAAAAATCATCTGCTTTTTCATCTACGTCTCGCACATCGCACCAGTCCAACTTGCTTCACAGCATCCTGTTGCTTACAGTCGCGAAACGCAAAAAAGTATCAACAATCGCATCGAAAACTACAGTTTTTTTTACCGGGACCACCGAATTTCCCGCCCGGATCTCTGCTAACGGAGCGACGAAGTAGGTCGGAAATTCCATGAGAACCAAACCGCCAAACAAGGACCCAATGAGGAAACGGGACATCCTTGGTGCCTTGCTCCCCACGTAGATCAAGTAGGTCGCTGAATCAGAATTGTTTGCATGGTGCGCATATTCATGAAAATATTCAGCATCAACTGAGTTCATCTCATGCATTCTTCGGCAACACCTACATGTAGAAAGATGCACAATATGCCGGATGAATTACAACAAACACAAATGCAACATACTTTACAGTGCCCGCAAAGAAAATGAAAATTATGAAAGGCCTATTGTGCGAGAACTTTTATACCGATGCCTGCCAGCACAATGTACAAGACGATGGTCACAAAGCTTGCAACGTCCGACGCCGTCACGAAGGATCGCAAAATCTCGGACATGTGCGCGGCCCCTTTCGGCAAGCCAAAGGTCGTTGCCACACGGGAGCCCTGCGTGCCAAACTTCGGGACGGTCTCAGCCTCGATGTCCCCGGAGAGCCCGGCGAAACGGACAAAGTCCTGTATCGTCGGGGTGTCGAGGTAAACAGAATCCATTTGCGTTTTTTCTACTCTCGGCTAGTACGTAGTTTCCTTTATATTTACTCAGAAACAACGAACGTCTACCCCTAAGATTGATGTGAAGGGCTCGTGCCTAGTTGTACTGCATTGCATTTGATCGTCTAGTTCTTCAAAACGTCGAGGACATTTTCCTTGTTTGACATCTTGCCTTTTTGATATTGAGATTGAACTTGAAGGATCAACATCTCGGCCAGCACATCCGCCCCATTGCTCGCACGAAAATCCCCGAAGTTCTTGTATATGAAACGACGAAAAATCGAAGAAGTTGTACATCTTCTAGTAGATACGATTTTTGCGACGGACTGTGTACTGTCCTGGGAGTAACTTTTCCGTAAAAACGTGAGCGCGACCCACGATCATCGATATCAATCACGAGGTCTTTGGACGAAAGCGAAACAAAATGCAAAAATGACGATACGACTAGAAATCCCCCCTCGAGAGCCAACCAATTTTTTGTCGCGCAATTCCACAACTTTCCTGTAGTCCGTTTTTTTTTTCATCTAGGACCACGTCTCATACACGGCACGAAGGACCGTCACAGTTCCTGCAGACCACGGTAAAAAACCACGCACAGATGAACTGATACATATCTATGTTGATGACCTAGTGTCGTTGATGTTCTACAGAAACGGCTGTTCTACGGAAGGCAAGGAGTTCCTCGATGCAAATGGTCAACTTTATCTTTGAACAAACGAAGACGAACGGCTACAAGAACTCAGCATCTCCTGCTGCCCCACTGCGCATGGCTGCAAGTGCTGCAGTGGGTCCAGTTGCGGTTGCGCAACTCCAACTCGCTGATGTTCGTACGTTATATGATTTGAATTTATTCTCTTACTGTTTCAGATTCAGCCTACCAAAAATTTCCTCTTTGTGGTCTCGTGGTGGTGAAGTCTTGTAGTGCCTGCCTACTGGTGTTGTTTTTGCTCCCCACTTGTTCCGCTGTTCTTGCTTCTTTGGCACCAGCGCTTCTATGTAGATCCTAGGTCTAGAGGTCCTGCGCCGAAGAATTTATTCAATTTCGGGGCTTGATGGCATGGCATAGCTGACTACAGACACGCGTCTCAAATTCGTTGTACTCCTCCTTTTCTCTAATTCTGGTCGTGTTGATTTTCCAATAGAGACGCTTTCTCCCTTTTGGTTCGAGCTGAAAAAGATGATCGGGGTGTTGTTTATCAACATTCGTAAAGGAATCTTTAGAAATTCTACTAGAGCGAACAAAACACGGTGAATAAGAAGTTGTATCTATGTGATAAATTTTATGTAAGTGTGACAATGTAACAAAATTAATTAGAAAACCAAAACCATGACAGTGCGAAAAAAGTAAATCTGGAAATCTGTGTAAATAGAACTGAAAAAATACTTTGCGATGGCAGATGCAAATGAATGTGAAAATGATGAAATCTGTACAAGATTTTTATTCCGACTCAAACTTTAAGAACTACAACTACGTCAGCACTTGACGTTCTTGTCCTGAACAACATAACAAACTTCTAGTACTGCTTCTACTGTACGAGTATCGGTGATCTTCGCGATGAAAAGGCACATTGATTGAAGATTGAAACAACAAACGCAACACCAGTCTCAGCAGTCGTCGCGACGACAGGGAGTGTCTTGCTTGTTGTACAGTTTCAACTACACCTTTCCCAATTCCTCAATACTGTCCGTTTTTCTTTTTTTTCAAGTTGTATCCTCGGTGAGATACGGGTCGTGCGGGTCAAGCTCTAGACACGAAGTTGTTGTAGATGAACTACAACTCCAAAGTGTCCACTGTACAAGGTTCTGTACTTTCTCTTTCCATCTTATCATTCTTAGCTCCCCCTTCTGGTGCTGCTTTTCATCCGGGTACTGCTCTTATTTACCGTGCTGTTGTAGCCACTTGCTGATACGCCGCTTTTGTTCAAAGATTTCAACGCGGTCGCGGAACTGACACGGTCCACTTCCTCGGGGTCCTTTGGAATCGTGTCCGCCAATCGGATGAGCGCCGCACACATGGCGAGGTAAAGCATAATACCCGCGAAGATGAAGGGAATCAAGCAATCCAGCACCTGGTGGTTAGCCGGACTCGCGTACTCGGTAAGGATCCCGCGCCGCACGTCATTGGCTCGACCCAGAGCGCCCTGTATAGGTAGAATTCGAAGAGGAAGATGAAGGATTTGATTGGGCACCTTCTTCTTGATGAATGTCCTACTTCATCGAACATGGTTTGGTAAAAATATCATCGACATTTACTGTAGAAGCCTGCAGTGTCGTGACACATCCCTGTAGGGGGCGAACCCACGGTCGCAAACGTGGTCGAGTTCAAATTGACACGTAAAACTAAAACGCGTACTATAAAATCATCACGTCCACCAGATGTAGTTCTTGAAAATCGTATATAGTAATAGATCATACGTCGCTCGCCGCTACAATCATCGCTGGTGCGCGGAAGCCGGAGTAGAATGACGGCAAGGTCCAGAAAAACGTGGTCCGCCACCCAAAACCCACGTGTACAATGGTGCGGGTGTTTAAGTCCGCGAACCCGCGGAGCACGTCCTCGGCCGTCAGGTCGTGCATCGATTCCTTGTGGAAGGGAACGCTGTTAGAATGGCAGTGAGTTATTTTGACAATTCAATCTTTTATTTTATCGCAATCCTGCAAGAGAATTTTCCTTCCCAAGCTAAAACAGCATGAAAAATTCCATTTTCTATGCTCATTCTATCGAGATTCCTCTTCGTATTGCTGGTGCGTAGGTCGTGCGCGAGTTGCGAATGGATATTAAAAATGATACTAAATATTAACAAATCATCCACGACTATTTATACAGAAAGTAGCTGATGACGACGCAGAGCTCGACCAGGGCGCCGGTAAACGCGAATGCGTAGGTGAAGGAGAGCAGGAAGGGGTAAATGACGACGTGCGTGCGCACGACCCGCACGGCCGCCGCGACGGCGAAGGCGATCGCGAACACCAGGGCGCCGATGTCCATCCAGCTCATCAGAAAGAACTGCCGCGCGATGGCCCGGTCCGTTTCCGCCACGTTGCCCGACGTCAGGCCGGTGAGGGAATCGAGCGAGAAGTCGCTCTGGCTGTTGCCGGAACCGTAGATGCAGAGGAAGACGAGGCGGCGGAGCGGCATCCAGCACAGGTAGCCGATCATCCACCCGAACCCGGCCGCGTTGAGCATCAGCGTTTGCTCGGGGACGAGCACCAGGAACAGCCCCCCGAGGCACTGGCAGAGGAAGACGATGGTAAAAAAGAGCGGAATCCCCGCACTGTACATCAGGCCGCACTGGCACAGCGCGTTCACGTATCCTGAGTAAAAACGTACCCACACCAGAGTCAGGATGGGGATTTTGCAACACAAACCTAGGAGTTTTGTGAGTCACGCATGACAAGTTGCACTTTGCAGTGTAGTGCAGGTTAGCAAGTGCAGCCGCGTCACAGATTCATCTGCTCACCCTGTTCACAGCATCACAAATTTCAAAACACGATTGGAAATGGCTCTCATGGGGATGCGCACTACAAGTCTTCCACTTCCTGTCTTTGCAAATCTGCATTACAACTCTGGTGTGGGTACGTTTTTACTCAGGATATCACGAAGTACTCCGGGAACCCGAGAAATGGCAGCCCCGCGCAGCTCATCCCGGTCAAAAACCGCATGCCGTTGCTGGCCTTGTGCCCCGCGTAGATCAGGTAGCTGGCCGCGACCAGTTGGAAAGTGAAGTACCCGGCGATGATGTACACGTTCAGCAGCTGCCCCGCCGCCAAGTCCTGCAGCGGCGTGTCGGAGTAGGAACTGGCGGTCCAGGAGGTGTGGGCGAGATTTTCGCTGTTGGTCGCCGCCACCGCCACCTTGATTTTGTGCTCCAAAAAGTTCCCGGCGGCCGGGGCCACCGCGGGGTTGCTGTCGTAGTTGGCGGAGTCCATCTTCACAATCGTCCAGAACAGGTCGTACATCTATAACAGTGCACAACTCCCCCTCGAACTCATTTGTATAGCATGAACGGCAATACAAGCATCAGCAAGAATGCCGGTTTTGCATGACAAATTTGCACTGGAGTATAGTGTTATTTGGGCGACCAGAACTTGTCATGCAAACAATGCCACGAGGCGAAGGGTGGAATGGGTACTGTGCATAATAAATGAGGGGGAGGGGGTGGAGTTGTGTACTGTCATAAGATCAGCTGCAGGTTCAGAAAGGAGAAAAGTTTGATACACACCGAGAAGGGGGAGATTTGAAAGTTGAAGATCCGGTTGTGCTGCCGGAAAGTAGAAATCACTCGGGACGAGGTGCTAGCAAAAGAAGAAGAAGAGTAGTTGCTCTGTCGTGGCGAACGTCGTTGGCGGACCGCGTTGTGCCGTCGAACGGTCGTCATTCAATACGAGAAATTTCAGGCACGACCACCTCCATTGAGGTGGAACGGAGTTCAGGAGCGAGAAGAAAAGGCAAAAGTTTCACGAAAGAATCGAAAATGTAGACTGCGTAGTTGTTCTTCGGCGGGTCACTCCTGCTCCGTATGTGACTGACGTCGTTTGTTGAAAAACTACAAAGTTGGGTCAGAAATGAAATGGGGGTCGTGTGGTCAAAAACTTGTACAAAAATCACAAAATCACTGTGGGTATCAATTTAGTTTTAGGCGCGAAAAATTTAAGAGCTACCAAAACGTGAGTTTAGCAAAGTTATTCTAACTATGTACTGCAATTGCATGGACGTAGACGTACTACGAAGCGAACGAAACGGAGATTCAAGTTCTTGAACGATGTGACCACGCCGACGTTTCTTCTTCTTATTTGCTGCTGCACGAGACCGAAGACACTTAGTTGTACTTAAGTAGTACTCTTCATTCGTTCATTGATTGCATTGCACGAGTTGTGAAAAACCGAGACACGAAGACAGAGTGACATACCGACCACTGTTTCGCGGCTATAAACTACGCCTGACGGATGAACCGAGGACCATGCTACGTACAGAGCCAGAGGTTCATGCAGCTGGTTCGCATGCTGCAGGAGCTACTGTATAATTCAACTGACGACCGATATTTTCCTGTCAAACAACGTGGCGCTTGAACCGAAACGATGAGGTAAAGAGTCCTTGCTTTTCAGCAGCTTTCCGAAAACCCTTCGTGCGAACTTCTTTTTGTTCTTGCGCAGCACAGCTCTGCGACCGAAAAACGCTGCCTCAAAAATGGGGGGCGAGAATAATGCTGAGAGTGAGACCGGCAAAATATGAAATACGCTTCTGATCTTTAGAAGCTGTTGTGCCCCACAATTCCATGTGCGACGAACATCGGAAGCAAAATCACAACACGGCTGCACTTTGAGCCCCCAACTGAGCCGGCTCCTCGTTCTTTGCGTTGGAACAAATAAGCCAACCGCTTACATTGTCGCTGTCCTGTGCTGTCAGTTTCAATCTCATATGTCAAACTTCGAGGCTCCTACTCGAGTAGTATGGCGAAAAGTAGCGAGCTGCGACGAGTTACACCACCGGCGCTGCGAGCGCCGGCAGTTTGTGGGCGCCTCTGTTTATTTGGTCCTGGATCTGCCGCAGGTGCGGGAAAGTGTTATAGATTTCGGGCTCTGAGTGGGACACATCGATCACTTTGTGCCATTCCTGCGCGTGTGCCATGACGCCCGCAGGGTATCCTGCGCAAAAACGTCCCCACACCCGAGTCAAGATGCTGGAGTATTTTCCACTATAGACAAACCAAGAAACTTTGGGTGTTGCGCATCACAGGTTCGTTTGACGGGCAGCTCGCAGCGTCATCGTGTAGTGTTTAGCAAGTACAGTCGCATCCTAAATTATTAATCAGATCACCTACACCTAATCCTAATCTTAGCATTAGCTCCAAAACAGCAACAGAGAATGTTGGGGCGGTGCATGAGAAACAAACGCTGTAGTTAGTAGGGAGTCCCTACTAACTACAGCTAGGGACGTTGCAGTTGAAGCAGATATATTTGCATGACATGCATGGGGTGGGGACGTTTTTCCACAGGATACAGGGGGGCCGAGGTCTATTGGCTTGAGGAGGTCGGGCAGAATCGTCAACGTGCCATCGTTCACGCGGAATACCGCTTTGTAGACGTGCTCCTCTGTAGTTGTTGTATGTGCGGAATGTAAATCCAAACTTTCAAAGTGCAAATCGCAAAACCTAGAAGTGTCACAATTTTCATCATAGTCATAGTCAAACACTATCCACTTCCAAGAACATGCACTCCGAGTAGAGCAAGGAGTTTCCTTTTTTTCTAAAGTGAATTTGGATGCGCCATTCATCTTCATGACGTAGCAAAGCTCTGAAAAAACATGAACGCGATCATATTCTAGAAAAGCTGTACTATTTCTCGGCTGTCCCTGAAAGGAGTCGGGCGCGGGCGGGTCCAGGTTGAATTCTGAGCTACAGAAGCTTCGTATCTGCGCCCCGTCCTCGCTGATCAGGACAAACATCTGCACTTGCTGCCCAATGTAGTACGGCAAGTACCTGCCCGTGACCAGCGGCCCGAGAGACTGGAATTCCGGGTCTTTCATGGTTTCGGGCAGTTCTTGGTCGGCGGTAAGTTCCAGCTGCTGCGCGAGCTGCGCCAAGGTTTGCTGCTGTTGCTCCGCCATCTGCTGTTGCCGGTACTGCTGCTGCAGAATCTCCTGTTCGCGCAATACTGCTCCGCCGGGCTTTTGACTCTCGTCGTTCGCAATGAATTGCGAATTCGGCCCGCGCTGCGAGACAGACGGACCCGGATCTATTTGGGACGCCGGAGTCGCTGGAGCTGCACGGGGAGGTGGGAGTGGCGTAGTACTGCAGTGGTCGGGATTCAAGTTACTTCTGCTCGCCGCCGCTTCAAGTTGCCGCCGGGCTTCGAACGCCTCGTTATGTTCTCGCTGAATTTGCTCTAACTCTAATTCTCGGCCATTGTACTCACTGTCAAAGGTGGCTGTGGGCATACTTAAGGGCGTGGGAGGGGAAAAATAGGAGTTGGAATATTTTTTGAAAGAGTTTCGATCTTACAGCGTAGAAGGAGGGAGTTGCATCTCTGGTGATGTCCTCGCCAAAAAGTAAATCTTCTAGCAAAACCACTAGACAGCTTACTTATACATATGTTCCTCGCTCGTCGATCGATCTACATCACACCGCTACGGAGGTCCTGCGAGAATTGATATCAACGTAAGGGTAAGCTTAAGCTTGAATGTGCGAATACGATTTGCCTTTTTCGTTTGTTAGTTTGTCGGCGGTTTTATCATTATTGTGCCCCCTAATTGACACTTTGCTGAAGGCCAAGCGAATGAAAGTCGAAACAAACTTTCCACCTTTTTGCAAAAATCGCTCAAAAGTGCCGCGCTGTTTCTAGAGTGCGCGTCTCCCGGGGATGAGAGGATCGTGTGCATCAAGCATGAACGAAAACAGGTGCTGCTGGCACCAGCGTCGTACAAGATCATCTTTGACTCGCGGCGGCACGTCATCTGTTCTACTTGTTGTAAAAAGTGTTGGTGTTCTTTGTTTTGATGCCTTCAGTGCACCTGCAGAGCGAAACAAACTGCGATCCCGTTGATCCTGCGTTCCTTGTACAGTTCATCGCCGTCGAAAAAATCAAAGCACTGTTTGCAGTTCTTGCACGACCACCAGGCTAGTGCTAATGCAAGATCCGCCACGTCAAGTTGAAGTTTTATTGAAGCGCAAGAACATCCGACAGGTGGCACGAAAGATATTTATTCGCACTCTCGAAAAGATGACGAACACCCAGTTTTCTGGTACTACTCGTCGCTCGCCCATTTATTTTAGCCGTTGATGCACTAGCTTTTGCTAGTGCAACGTCCGGAGTACTAGCAGCGTCGTGCGTACAACCAGCTTCTTGAAGGAATGCAAGGACCGACCGACTACCTTAATGGACAAGGCGTGTCGGCGGGACGTTGATTGAAAGTCGTAAAAACAAGAACTGCTGTGTGATTGTGGTTCTGTTTCTGGATGACATCCGGATAAATTTCTCCCTCTACTAGGGTTTGTGGCCACTTAAAACTGCATCAAGCTTCAGGCAGCGGCCCTAAGAAGTAGCGGGGGATTGCATCAGAGTCATCGGGACCAGGTGGTCCTGACTTTTGTCGCTGGTTGAGAAATAATGTAACTCGTAGCATTTACAGGAAACCAAGCGCTACCGCACCCATGATTAGGCACTAGATTGGGATGAATTTTTCTGAAGCGAAAACAATGCGCACTTTTTAGAGTTTCCTGAAAAAGAACAAGCCAAACCTAATTCATAGCAAACTTCGTCTGGAAAAAATCTACTCACCGCAAGCGTTTCAGATGCACCACGTTATCATCCCCGGTGGAGATTTCCCAGTCCTTCTTCGCGCCCGCAGTGATTTGCTGCAAACTCGCCTTGTTAAGCTGTTTGATTGTCGCCTTTTTCAGCAGCGGCTTGAGCAGGTTCTTGCAGTCCTTTTCCTGATTCAGCTGGTTCAACGACTTACTTGTCCCGACTTCGGGCAGTAATTTCGCAAACGCCGTCCTCAAAGCGAGCAATTCGGGGCTGTTCTCTGCCTCCTTTTTCTCTTCTTCCTTCTTCTTCTTTTTCTCCTCGGCGTCTTTCTCGGCCTGGACCTTGTCCGCGGCCTCCTTTTCGAGGCGACGGGCCTGGGCACCAATTGGATTTTTTTTATTTTTAGTATCGTTTTATGCTCGTCTTCATGTTGTATTATAATTATCACGGGTAAGAACAATAAATACTAGCAATTTCTTATGATGCTGCAAAATCGCACAGTACAACGCAGTGCGGTTTCTACCTTATCCTCCTCTCGTTTCTTGCGGATTTCCGCTAGCCTTTCGCGTTCGGCTTTTTCCCTCTCCTTGTCTTCTTCCTCATCGGTTTTTTCCTTCTTTGAGGGGGACCGTTGCTGGTGTGCCTGCGACTGCTCGTTTTCTTCTTCCTCCTCTTCACTGAAGTCGTTTTGTGCACCGTGTTGCAGTTTTCCAGCTGAATTGTCGTCGTCGTCATCTCCTGTTCAAAATGGTCATTCAATTCCAACATAAACGGTTCAGAAATACTTATAACCAGATGTAGTAAAAAACAAAAACTATGGCTGCATCAACGAACATCATATTTGTAGCTGTGGCGCACGACCAGGACCACCATTCGCGAGTCATGATTAGAGCGACATCTTATGGTGCTACAACTGCATCTGCATGTGCAGCTGCACATGAAACGCCGCATGAAATTTGTTCTCAATTTGGATTTGCACCAATTAATTAACAACCGCACACATCGACCACGAGCCGCAATTTTTGCAAGAGAAAATGAAAACACGACTACCTACTTATGTTTATTCATTCAATACCTAAAACATGCTTTGATGACACGGCCTGTTTTCTGGGTGAGGAGACGGAAACATCTTCAGACTCGCTCTCGCTATCTTCACCCTCCCCACCTCGTCCAACAAGCCGCTTCTGCTCTTCCTCGTCCAGACTAAGATTTCGGATATCGTGCACGACCTCAAACTCTTGCCGGCCCTGGTCGCGTCTGCGCTTGCGCTCGCCGGTCTTCTGCTTGCCACCCTCGCCCTTCTCGCGGACCATTTTCGTCGAAAAGGAGGTTGCGATACTAGAATTTCCTTGTTAAATTGAAAGAAAGGCGAAGCGCCACTGTTCTTCTTCTTGTGTCTGACTTGCAATGTCTTAAAACTTTAATTCAACTTGATGCGCTTTGCGATATTATGTTTATACTCCTTTTCCTTGTGATAAATCTGAATTTGATGAACTAGGCTTGCTTTTACAAAATTTTGTGGGCTGAAATACCAGAGGTCCTGGAGAATTTTGGGATTGTGGAGACGGGGCGGATATTCACGTAAAAAATCAGAATAATCTTGCTTGTTCGACAAGTTGGGAGGACTTTCAAAACGTGATAAGGACCTCTCTTGCGTACTTGATGAAGAAATAGCAATATGGCGCAAGCTTCTTCGGTACTGATGAAGAAATAGCAGATTCTGAAGCTGGGCAGATCTTGATATGCGAGTGCATATTATTTTTCTGATAAAACAGGCACGGTAGTGTTGAAGCCTTTCTTTTTAGTCCTAGCTGTTCTTGGAGGTGCAGCTGTATACTTTATCAACAACTCTACTATATGCGATTTTTTTTTTGCTTTTCAACATCGATACGACAAGGACAAGATATCAGCGTCATAGTCATTCCCCTTGACGATAATACACTTCTTCATCAGGTCGTTTTTCTAATGCCAGAATACTTCGTTGTGTTCACTAAAATAAATTATGAAGGCCTCCGAGGAATGTAGAAACAGGAAGCAGTAGCTAGCAGTGCGCGACAAAAGCTATCGGCAAGGAACAAACGAACGAGAGTCGAAACAGGACGAAAGCGAGAAAAAAAAACAACCCGATAGATGACGACAAGTTGTTTCATGGACGAGTAAGGACGAACTTCATCCCGCATGGAACAACATCTTCACGCGACGCTGTGCGCACCCTCATTCTACTGGCCTTGTTAGCATTCAGTACTTGCAGCAGTTTGGAGCGAGACCGAGACCATTTGCCTTCTCCACAATCCTCTTTCGAATTTTCTCTATCTTGTCACGGTGAAAGTTCAACTAGACAGAGATGTCTACTCAGGGGTAAAGGCCTGCTGGGGTTCTGAGAACGAGTCGGGTGGGGACGTAGACGTAGGAGAAGGGAGGTGGTGATAATCATAATTCACTTTACTCAGGGCAATTGTAGTGGCTGTTCTAACTTACGTGTAGCGTAGGGGAGGAAATATATCGCCAGTTGTAGTTGTCAACATGATGTGAAAACGGGCTCCGCTAGAAATCATGTTGATGCTATTTTGGCTTTTTACGTCCGACCATAAAGACGTCGCTCTCAGGCTGCATTACTACCGGTTGCGCCTCCAACTACACCAGGGCGGGCCGTCCCCGTGGTCCTCGTCGCTTCTTGTGCAGAAGCATTTTTGAGCATCAACACCTCGTCCCCACTTCCTATTTGTCGCTCCCAGAGTCGCACACAGCTCACGTTTTTGTGCTTGTCAGCCTCCTTGTACGCATGGCATTCCCAGGAGAGCTGCAGCAGGTTATGGTCGAGCAACCGGCGCCGAGAAATGTTGTAGAACCTTCCCTTTTTCTTGGGATCGTGCATCTCGATCACCAGCGCGTCCTCCACGAATTGGGCGGACGTCAACCGGGACCCCATCGAGGTCTCGACCAACCTCGCTTCACCGTCGAGCTGTTTTTAAGTTTTCCAAGTGTTTGTATTTGAATGTGAAAATTAGGGTCCTGGCTACTGTATGTTGTGGAGCTCCTGGTCCTGGTGGTGGTCTAAAGCCAAATAAGCGTTATGCATTGTGTAGAAAACCGATCCAACACCATCGCACTACAGCATAGCGAAGAAAAAAAAAAACCAAATACAACGCAAACTTAGCAAACTTACCGTGAAGTGGAAAGTGTGTGCCCCCGCAATGCCGCCGGTGTGCTTCTCCTTGAGCTGCAGATGCTTTTTCGCGCCTTCTCTTCTTGCTGAAAAAGATCCTCCAGCACTTGAGGCACTGCCCCCGGTGCTGCACCTCTTGTTCGTTTGCTCCACTTCTTCGCCAGAATTTCTTTTATCACCTCCCCCGCCCCCGCCGGAAAAGCTGAACTCGTGAAAGCTCTTTCCGACACCGTAATTTACCAGCTTTGCGCCCACCAGTTGGACAAAATTCGCCCCGTTAGCTTTCAGCACGTCCTCAAACCCGGTCTGGGAAGTGTTTAGCCACTTCCCGCTGAAAAGTTTCCGCTTCTCAGCGACGGGGAGGTCGGCGAAGGGCAAAGGAGCCGCCGGCGCAACTGGTTGGTTTAATATTTTTGCGTCGAGCCGCATCTTCGTGCTGTGCCGGTCGGGATGAGGATTTTCGTCTTGTTGTCTACTTCCCGATGCTGAGGTGGTCGAAGATTTTTGGCTTACGTGAGCTGGCACGACTGCACCGGTGGACAACTCCTTCCCGAGGTTCTGCTTGTCGTTGTCGTGTGCGGTTTGCAGATTGCTTGACAGTGTGGTCTTCCCAGAAGAAGTTCTTTCTTGTTCCCCTTGCACGACGACCGGCGCAGCTGCAAACACTCGTCCTGTAGTTCCGCCCGCGGAGCCTCTTGGAGCTCTTACAACGCAGGAGGACGGTGACACATTATTCCTTGAAACCACAGAAGCAAAAGCTTCTGCTGCTGCCGTTGTATTACTACCTGCACCCGCGACATTATTCTCGTCTGTAGTTACTACTGGCTGGCCAGTATGCTCCGAGAAGGCACTTTCCGACGGCCCGCAAGGCGTACAGAAACGATCCTCGCTGGTCGGTACTTCTATCTGGCCCGTCACGTCACGCCCACGATGAGACATCTTGACGCCAGGGCCGCGGGACGACGTCATCATGCCCACGTGGTTCAACTCACGGCGCGAAACATGATCTGCGTCGTGGGGATGATCGGGAAGATCCTGCTCCCGATCAATGTTGCTCGCTGACGACGATGACACCACGGAACAAGTCCTCTGGGAGTGCGAACTACAGGAGCTCCTTCGAGGACTGCTGCTCATGGAGGAGCAACCAGTGTCCTCGTCCTCCGTCGTGGGTGCGGTTTCGGGCACGACTGAAGCAGGTGGGCGCCGCGCCGCCGTCCCGGGCTGGTGTTCGCTGGACTTTTTCTGGGCGGGGCTAAAAGAAGCGTTGGTGTTTCTTCCTCTTGGGGTCGTAGTACATCTGCGGGACGCGGCCTTGTCGCGATGATCCTCGGGAGGTATTAAAGCCTGTAGCTCGACGTGGCAGGAGGTCTTACGTAATTGCTGTTCCCCGTCCTCCGCCGGCCTGACAGGCAACAGCACGCTTGCAGTTGTTCGACGTCCACTGGCAGCTCCTGCAGGAGTTATTTCACACTGAATTGGTCGCCGCGTAAGAGGTGGACCACGAGGAGTTCTTGCTCGGTTTTCGTCACGAAAGAACTGATCGCCCGCCCTTCTTGCTGCTTCGTCTGGTTTATTTTCATGTTCCACGTGTTGATCACTTGCTTCCTCCTCGTCGCTTGCGTAGCTGCTAGAAGCAGATGAACAAGAACTATCCTCCTCCGCGAAGGACTGCACCATGGGGATTCTCGGAAAAACCTGGAAAGTGGATGCCGCGAGAGGTGGCGAGGACGATGGAGGTGTAGTTGTAGTAGTTTCGGCAATTCTTACGTGGTCTACTTCTGCGACCCTGGTACTTCTTGTTATCTCTGTTCTTGACAAGTGACCTCGAGGTCGTGGCTTTATCTGCGTAGAAGGTCCTTGAGATTTTTTCTCCACGCCGCGCATGGCGGGCATGACCCTTTTACTGTTGTCTACATGGATCCTATCGTGGCCTATCAGTTGCCTCGTGCTCCCCTCCCCGAAGGCCAGGTCCCGCTCGTCCCTGGAAAGAGCCTTGTTCGCGTGCTGTTCCGGGCGAGCCTTCTTTGCTTTCGTTTTCGAATTGTAGTAGTTGGCTCGTCCCTCATCTCGTCCACCTCCGGTGCCTCTCTTGTCTCCGTCCGCCGAAGTTCTTGTCGTGGCGCTACGATGTACATTTAGTTCATCATCTTTCGCGGCATTGCTTCTTTTCTCCAGCTGCCTTCTAGATTTCCTACTTCCGCCATAAAAATTATGAGCCGTGCCATACATGTGCTCGAAATTCCTGCGCCGGCTCTTCTCGATTTCCCTTTGCAACGCGTCGCCGTTCAAGTGCGCGTATCGGTTCCACGACCCGGCACCAGCAACGCGTTTATTTTCCTGCTGTGGTCCTCGTTGATGACTCAATTCCCCCACACGATCAGCGCGACCATTTCCGCCTCCAATAGGCACATCGTCGAGCTGTCGTGGCCGGCTGGCACCCAGGGGCGTCGCCTGGAAAAACTCCTCCGGGGTCAAACTGGTCCTGCTCGTGGTGCTAGTATCGTTGTGGTGTCCACCACGACTCAGGGTAGTCGCAATGTTGGTGTAGATCCTCTGCAGCAGACTGCGATGAGATTGAGAACAACTAACGCTGACAGCACTACACTCCTGCTGCCGCCGATTTTTGCGCCCGCCCATCTCGCACAGGGAATATACCTGCTTCCTGCGGTTGCGGAGGTCCTCATGATGGCTAGTGATTTGTTTGCGTTGAGTTCTTACCCTCTCTTGCGGCGCGACGTCCTGTTGCCTCTCCTCCCCAGCCTCGTCCGGAGGAGACAGCAGTTTTAGATTGGCACGCAAGTGCTTTGGTCGTTTGCTAGTTTTTCTTGTTGTCGCCTTGTCGTCAAGATGTTGAAAGCGCTCGAGCGCAGCTGCGTCCCCTTTGTTTGCGCCGTCGTCGTTGTTCATCTTGTAGGGGGTCGTTTTTACTGCGTACCCCTGGTCTACATCTTTTTTATCCTGTTTGCTGTTCCAACTGAACAGGTCTCTCATCCGTTGTCGGAAAGTTTGCAGTCTGGATTTTGTATCGACTGTTTTCGTTTTGTTTCTTTCCACCCCAAGAACCGCGGGTCTTGGTTCTTCATGCTCATGGTGCACTGGAAGACGTTCTCCATCTTCGTTTCGGTTGATAATGCGGCGCGGGCGCGGCTCGTCATCTTCCAAGTCCAACTGGTCTTCAGCTAGCGGCCCAGCTCGCAACATGCAGCCCAGCTCGTCGCTGCGCGGCGTTTCATCTCCCCTTGGCGGTGGAGGTGGTGGAAAGAGCCGCACTATTTCCCGGTCCTTCTCGAGCTGTCTTCGCTTTTCCCGGCGTCGCTTTTCCCGCTTTAGCGCCTTGTGTCTTTCGCGGTCGTGGTTTACTTGGTCTACCGAGGTCAGCCAAAGGTTCTCCGGATTAACTCGCTCAACTTCTCCTTTCGCAGGCGGCTGCTCGTAGTGGTCCCGCTGATGCCGTCGTCCTACCTGGAGGTGGCTGGCGGAGGCGTTCTTGCAGTCGTGCATCTTCTCGGGGCGGCCAGCCGCGCGATCTTCACCGATGTTGGTCAAGTGCAGTACAACGTCTTCTTTCTTTGAAGTAGACGCGCGGCCAAAGGCTGCACGAAGAACCGAGGAGCGCTGCGAGGCGCATGATGAGCGCGGCGTCGCGAAACCCGGCGTGGCCCCGCCGGTGCAGCTGGTGTACCCATTCATAATGCCATTCTGCGCGTCGCCCTTGCTCGTGTAGGAGCCCTTGTCAAGAACATAGGCGCCCTCAGCTTTGTAGGACGACTTTGGTGTAGTTCTTTCACGAAAAATCTTTCCATTTGATGGGCTTGTGTACTTCGTCGCGCAGCTGCCCGAAGATGTATTTGTCTCGTTCTTTCCAACATTTCTCTTCCTGCAACTCCCACTTGCAGAGGACTGGTGGACGACCAGAGTGGCCGCTGGAAACTCTTTCCGCTGACTTCCACTGCCAGCGCCAGGGGCGCAGTGATTCGTCTTCTTGCTGAAACACAAACTGCTTCTTCTTGCTGAAGATTCACCTTCCGCTCTACCAGTCCCAGACCTTCTACTGCGTGCAGACGCTATGTCAGCGTCCTTCCCATCGTTTATCGCCCGGCCGCGCGCCGTCAGGGGTAAAGGAACGTTCGGTTTTGTTGTTGCAGAACTTCGCGTCCCTGCCACGACCCCACCTCCAGAGGCGATAGAGGCCCAATGGAGCTCCTGCTCCTGCTGCGGCTCGGGGGGGTAGACAAACTCGTCCGCAGGCCCCGATCGTCGTTCTTTAGCGGCCCGGAAAGGATCCGCATCCTTGTTGATGTCGCGCTTTGGGCAGCAAGAGCCGCGGGGCGGATTGTTACGCCGTGCTTGTTGTGCATGCGGGACTTGCTTTTGTTCACGAACTTTTCTGGTGCTGCTGCTTGCCGCCTGTGACATTGTCGAGCAGACCAGTTCGGGCATCTTTTGTAGCACACGAAAAATCTAAATAAATCTTGAAAGAATATGGTCCCTGTTGTGTTCCTCCTTGTAGGCAATTAAAATTATGCGGTCGCGGATTCAAATGAGATAAATCGTGCTGCTACAGCTCGCGTTCCAGGCCTATCTCCTCCGTCGTCGAAGGGTCTCGATGCGTGCTGGCAGGAAGACCTTGACTTCGTCAGACGAGTATGCATTGCAAATATGTCTGGGTCTACAGTACAGTCGGAACTGCTAGTATTAACTGTAGTTAGACGTGTTGTGCTTGTGTCACAGTCACGTACTTTATCTCCAGATCATCTACTGGTACTTCCATCATACAAAAAATCTTTCAGGTAGCTTATGTCTTCCAAAACTGTCAAAAGAACTTTTGCTGTTCCAAAACTACACCGACAACTCGGACCAAAATCATGAGCGAGAAGGAGTACTGTACGTCTGGTCGCTGTAAAAGGTAGAAATCACGAAGAGGGATCCACGATCAGACCCATTGCACAGAAACAAGAGGGGATCGGAGCAATGCGTGGTACACACACACTAACATTTGGGTGGTGAAGCAAGGAATGATCAAGATCGTGACCAACATCGGTCTAATCTGAATAAATTGAGCTACAACCGAGTAAGTGGATCTGGATGATCATTTTTTCGGAATCTCGTCAACCTTCGGGATCCGGATCTCCAATAGCCTGTGCAATGAACCTTGGGATCTTCGAGGCTCTGACTTTCTTCACATTTCAGGTTGATCTTTTTCGGACGATCCTGATCTTTTTATTTCTACATGAAGATCTATTGAGTCTCAGATCAAGTAGTCAGCCGCAACTGCAAATGCATCAATAGATGATCCCGACCACAATTTGTCCCCCAAAAAAAGTAAGATCAAGGGCTACACCTACTTTTTTATACGCATTTTATCGGCTGAACGACGACATTCTGCTTCCTTGCAGGCTTCTTGCAACGGTAGGAGTAGACCGAGGATACGACCGAGAGGACCTCCTCCGAACTTTGATTACGATAAACACACAGACACCGATTGTCGTACTTACTTGGTGAAGTGTTGTACTACGGACAATTATATTCGCATGCTGTGAAGTTTTTCTTTTTTCCTCATTTTTTTTTTTTCGTTTTTGCGAAGCGTAGTTTTCAGTCTATTTCAAACTTATGCTGAATGACTTCAGCAGGAGCGGTGATCGCCATCTTCTTTGCAGAGGTTTCTCGTATGGGTGTTCTTCATCTTCTTCTTTCATTTGTCCTAGTCGCACTACAGCGTACAAATAAAACTGCGCTTTACTTCTTCTCAAGTTCAGATGGACATCGTGGACGCGTCGCTTGCAGCATGGAAAAACAGAAATTGCTCTTGTGTCATGCTATGACAGGTCTGGTCCGTCCGACTCCCCACTTCGCATACTTCGTGAACTCTGGCTTCTTGGGCTGATGTGGCCGCCCCGATGATGTTTATGGCTTTTTGGTTCATTCCCGCTCCGCGGCGAAGTGCTCTTTGGTTCATTCCCGCTCCGCAGGTTTCCCTTCGAGTCAACGAAGTCGCTGAGCCCGGTTTCCACCTTGCCTCCCCCCACCAGTTGCATCTTTTGCACCAGTTTGCAGATCTCCAGGGGCAGCATTGTCAGCGTCTGCCGCTGTTTCAACTTTTCCAGCTTTTTCGCGTCGCGGGAGTCGTAATATGAAATTGGGCAACTCTCCCTCGTTCCGCTCACTTGAATGAACAGCAACTGCATAAGCAGTGGCTGAATTGTGAGGACTTCCGCATGACAAATCCACGTCTAGACTGTAGTAGCGCCCATTGGGCTAAGGAAGCCTCTCTTGATCATGCGTATGGTTCTAAGACTAAGAGGCAAGGAGTGCATCATCATCATCATGTAGTGGACACCCGCTCCCAGCACCACAGGTCAAGGATCCCCTCCCCGGGGGGTGGACGAGGAAGCACTTTCGGCGACCTCATCATACAAAAGCCGAGCGCTACCACGGCAAGTCGCCCCAAGAAAAGTACCAACCAGTCGGGAGCTACCCACCACACCTGATCAGTACAGCCCGGCCAGCTAGCCGAGCGCGACAGCCCAACATACAGAAGAGTGGATTTGGTATTTTGCACGACAAACGAGGGACGCGTGGGGGAGTTGTGCACTCTGATACGTAGGCGTCGTAGAACTGAAACCCAAGCTCCACGAGGTTCGGCCCGCGGTACATGTCCTCTGTCCAATTGTTGGTTTCTTCCAGGAAATATGCATTGCAAATACGTCATCTGGGTCCAGAAGAATGCAAGCTTCTCATGCGAGTTCCGAAAGACAAAGAGGCCAAAATTTGTGTTGCACAGTCAGCGCCAGAAGATGCGTGATTGTAGTTGTCTCCAAGACGTCGAAAAGGCATGTCTCACGCAGTAGACTCGGCATGGAGACGCCAGCACGACAGGAGAGACAGAACAACACGTCATGCTCTCTGTGCATTGCAGACGCGAAGGCATCGCGCAGAAGATGCACATAGCCATACTGCATGCCAAGTGTCCTCTGTCTGTTTTCTTGTAGACGGAGGTTGATATATTTGCAGTTGGTAGGAAAAGCTTCACGCGCACAACGTCCTGCGTCATTGCGAGCGTGATGATCACCTTGGCAAGGAGCTGCGGGCCGGCGCCTTGCTTGACCCGCGACTGGTTTTTTATGTGCTCGTCGAGAACCTACGGTGTGTGTACAAAAGGAGAAATCCAAATGCAAATTCTATCAGGTCCTCTTTCATTATGCATTGAAATTGAATATGAAAAATATGTTCTTCTTCCTGCATTGTAACCATCACAAAAATAGCGGCCTAGTACTGAATAAAGCAAAAAGACCTCGCATATTCTGGCCACCCGCTGCACGCGCTCCTGCTTGTGGGCCTCCCTTCGCAGCTCCAACGTGAGAAAATTTTCATACTTCGTCAACAGCTCGCCCAACGGGTACCATTTTTCGAACCTTTTGTGGATGTTTATCGCCTCGTCGAAGGCCTGGCTGATGTGCGCCGCCGGGGCAGCGGCTTTCGTGAGTAGCTCGATCTTCTTCACGCCCAGTCGGCAACAGGCCTCCTCCTTGCCGCGTTGCGTGTACGCTTGGAGCGCTGCGTCCATCCGCTGCAGCCCGGCATCCAGGTCTCCTAATTTATCCAGGGAAATCTTCGCGGCCTCCTCGTACGCGCGCGCCGCCCCGTAGCCGTCGCCGTCGTTCTCGCGGTGGTAAGCGCTCTTTTCCCAACACGTCCGCGCCTTGTTGTAGTCTTCCTCGGCGAAAAACCCCTTCGCGGCGTGTTCGTACTGGCTGGCGGCGACGAAATGGTCCGCAGTCCACTTCCAAATCGAGGTTGCCGCGACTGTATCGTCTGAAATAAGGGCATCGTACGAGTACTTCTAGTAAGCAGCAGAACCAAAACCTTGGCGTTCTTCAGTTTGGTTCATAAATTTCAGCAGAATTTCAAACTCAAAAATCGAGTTTTCATAAACTTGAATGAAATCTGATGTCCTGCTCGTGTTGCAATTACCAGAAAGTACGATGTTGCACTCTTGCAATGCATATGCCTCCTCCGCCTTGCGCAGGCAATAACGGGGGTCCTCCCGGTCGCGGCCCATCTTTGCAGTTGGTGAAAGTCAACAACTACAACGGGTACAAAAAGAGGCAGGTGTCAATTGTTTTTTCCCGGCCGGCGAGATGACTCCCGATTGGCTTGGGACGGGGAGAGCGAAGTCGAGGTGTTTTTTACTCTGTGTTATCGCACCACCAAATAAAATGTTCGTCCTCAGTCTCGATGCGTGCCCTGCGGCGCACCACCAGCAGCACCTAGGGGTGCTGGAAAAAGCTGCTGGTAAACGACAATGAGGCCGAGGCCGATCAAGACCCAGAGAAAAGGATCCAGGTTGGGAACGAAGGCGGCTAGGGTAGGGAGGATGAACATGAAAAACCCAATGCGCAGGAACAAGTCCATCCACTGGCTGCTGCCCATGCCCAACATTTTGTTCGTGCTGTGCTCGACGTCGTCGCTGCGGTCTTGTTTGTTCTTACTGGGATTGATTTGTAATGCGCGAAAAATTTTACGCCTGATAGTAGAGCCATATAGGGTCTTCGGTTGCGAGAACGGTAATGAGCAACGTTAGGCTTCTTGCGTTTGTAGATGAAGTAGGAAAATCATGAGGAAAACAAGTGAACAGCAGTTGTGTTTGTGATGATGCACCCAACTGTGTGCCAAATAAACTAGAAGATCGTTACAGGGACAGGGAGGGCCTGTTCACACAATAAATCCAAAAAGATGAAACAGATGCTTTTTCTTGTAGAAATTGTTCACAAAAACGGCTACAGAAATCGTACATCAGATGGTGGGCGACCACGATTGATGTAGTTCTACTTGTAGATTGAGCCCACATGAATACATTAGGCATGCGCATGCCCTTTGCAAAAATAATCTCTCATCAGACTAGATCTTCTAGATCCTTACATTCTTCATCTCGCCAGACGCCAGTGGTGCAATCTGGCTTTTTACCGAGAGTTTGTAGAACTTTTAAATCAACTCTACCGACGTCAACAGAATTTTTCATGGGGACAGGGGCGGCGTTGCAGACTTAGCTTGTTTCGTCAGAGATGAAAGAACAACTCCGCGGGCTGTTTTTCTTCGTTTTCTATGCCCGAGGCTGAACGCGAACGACAGGGGCCGGTGAGCAAAGGCGACGAGAAAATCCTCGCTTCAAGTACTAAGTAGCTTCGTGGTCAGTTGTGCGCCCGCTACAACGAAAGAAAAAGAAATAGTCGCGAGAAGCAATTGTGCTGAGAATACAGCAGCTACGTCCACTGGCGCTGGTTCTGTTCTATTTTTGTTTTTGAGTCAGTAGGAGCAGAAAAGAAGTCGTCAAGAATTTCTACATCTAACCCGACGGTAACTTTATCTCCACAAAGCCCGCCGCACGCAACACGTCTGTTGTGGTCCGGGCTATGTCCACTTTCTCTGGCACGGCAAATGCGATTTCGCGTCTTCCCGCAAGCTTCGCTTGTGCCAGGGCCAGAGCGACGGTCGTTGTGGTTGGCATCTGGTGAAAGAGAATGATCAGGCCAGCGGCAGGTGAAGCGGGGGCAACAGAATTATAATGGTCGTCAGCACAACCATTTCCCAACTCTTGCTCCGCCGGCGGGCTGTCGAAGTGTAATTGGCAGATGTGCGATATCAAGTCCTCAGTATCTCTGTGGTAGAGGACCTGTACGGTATCCCAGTCGACGAGAGTATGTTCGTTGCGATCGTGCTCCTGTCCCTGCCCACAGCCCTGCCGCTCTGCGAATGGTGCGGGGGTAACATCAACCGTGCTGGACTTTCCAGTATCCATTGGTCGTGCAAAAGCATAATCTCTATGATCTTCGCCGATGTCTTCAGTACGCATACTAGGAAGTATACTGACATAACAGACGCACATCACACAGCGTTCCCTTCTAAAATACGAACACCGCCGTTGTGCAGAAGTCTCGCCAGCACTGCATGATCCCGAGGCCAGTTGCAGTTTTCGGCTTCGTTTGATTTTGCGGCACGCATAATTATTGACCACTCCTTTACCGATCATTGAGAACGATGCTGTTGCACAGCGTAAGACTGATTTTTCTCTACTCCGGTCGTTGTCTCTGCCTGTTCTTCTTGACGGACACCATCTGCTGGTCGGGGTCCTCGTCCTAGTCCTTCTTGCGCGATTACATCTTCGTCTTCCTCCATCTGGGCAGCGTGGTCTTTTTGAGGATGTTGATCCTGGTTTCGTACTTCATCCGCATCTTCAGCTTCTTCACGTCCGTCACGACTCCGAGCACAAAGCTCCTCGTCGTCACCAACGTGATTCAGCGCGTCCGTATGGCATAGCAAGAGATAGCTTGAATTTCTATGATGGCCGAATTGAACACCTTGTTCGCGACGTCGTTCATCAGCAGAGGCCCTTTCCCGCTCGTCTGGGCTTTCGCGTTCAGGCAGCACATTAGATAAAGCGACTGCATACTCACCTGAAACCCTTCGTGCTAGTGCGGTTCGAACTGCTTTTGGTCGTGGATGATTCATCTGCTCACCCGCTTTTGAGTTACTTCTGGCAGGAGCTCTGGCGCTGTGCAGAAAGAGGACCAACCTCTCCACCCATTCCAACCCCGGACGACCGCATTTCGGGTCATACCGAAGTAGAAATTTATTTTGCTGACACGACAACAACGAGGAGCCATCATGTGCTGGAATGGTTCTCGGCACGATGAGAACCATTACCATTCGATGCGAACAGTAACAGGGAAAAGAATAAGAAAAAGAAACCTAATTGTAATTTCTATCTTGTTAGCTAGCTCGTCGAAGTTCTTTTTGTTTGTGGTGCGTAATGCGAACACCTAGGCCTAGCGTGGTGTATGAAGATTACTTGTTTCCGGACCGAGACTGATTCGACGACGATATCTTTCTTTTTGCCACGCACGTCCTAGAAAAAACAAAGAATAAGAACCTGCTCCGGGGACAAGGGACAGCAGAAGATCGCTCTTCAGTTACAACGACGAAACAACGACCAGATTCTAGGGTAGAAGAACAGGAGGTGTATACGCAGCAACTCTTAGCAGTAGAATTGCGACGTGGTCGACCTGGTGCGAGGAGTCATCGCATTTGTTGCGTGCTGCCACGAACCAACCTCTACTCCTCGCTGGACGAAAAATAAAAATTGTGACTTCCAGAAAAATACAGCTCCCAGATTTCTTCTCAAAGGCGTTTGATATTGTTGTTTTTCATCTGATGTTCAGAAAGTTCTAGTTGTAAAAAGCTTCTACTTTCCATTTCCAAAAAAATGTACATTATGGATGGTGGGTCCTATTTGGTAGTTCTTGTTGTATTTGGTTTCGACTTGTTCCTGTTCGGTCTTCGTAAATAACGCTAAGTATACTTTCCTCTCTACTGTACGGGGTTTCCGTGATGGTACTTAATTGAAGCACAAAATGCAGTAGCAGCTGCGAGACAGACACGACCTCCTGCACGAGTATAAAGACAGTGCTCTTTATTAGAATTATTGAAGCATTGGAAGGGCTACTTCTGCAGCTTTTATTCTTCATTCTCAAAGAGAACTACGATGTTCTTGTTTGAGTTTGTTCTCATCGTGCAGCCTTGTTGTTGGTTCATCTCAAATTTTTCTCCCACATGTGAGGACAAGGGCGATTCGCTCAAATTCTTGATCTTCTCCATATCATGTTGCCGCTAACAAGAAGCACCTGGCGCACGACCAAACCCGAACAATAGTACTACCGTCCCTCGTCCGGCTACTCCTCACAGCCCCTTCTTCGGCGGATTTTGGTTGGCCAGAATCTTAGTTTTTGGATCCGCGGTTGACAGGGGCCCCGTCTCTTCCCGCACCACCCGCCGGGCGTCGGTCACGTTATGGATTGTAAAAATGTCTGGGTCTGGAAACTTGTGATGCTGGGTGTCGTACCATAAAGAGGCCACAAGTGCTGGCTCAGCATGACAAGCTTTTGAGCTTCTAGGTGTTGCCTATTCTGCATGACAAACTCCATTTCTGCATGACAGCAAAGTTGGGCTCTTGGGTAACGTGCATGACAGGTCTAAGAGTCATGCCAGACAAGCATGACAAACATGCTCTCTTCCAGACCCAGACATTTTTGCAGTTCATACACGTCCCGCAACGACAAAATGCCGACGAACGCGCAGCAGATCTGGTTCAGAGAAGTCTTGTCGCAGGGCAGGTTGGTCAGCTGCCACCGCTCGCGCACGACGTCGATGAAGTCCAGAGGGGCGATATCGCACGCAAAAATAAGTGCAGCTTCACGACTGCAAAGATTTTCATTTCTTGGACCTGCAAGGTTTGCAAAACATGACAAAGAAAATCTACTCTCTCTTCTTATTGCAAGTGTAGCAATACAAAGAAACCCCGCTGCGTTAATTATACATGCATCAAGCGCAGCATCTCAAGAAGCTTATATACAGTGAAGCAGTTTTATTTTCTTGCGATAGTCGAACTTGCAGATGGCCTGCGCTTGCAGCACAGATTCCTTTTCGAACTGCTGGGAAAAATTGATCAGCTCCTCAATGGTCTTCTCCTTCAAATTATGCATGGCAAAAATTGTACTTAGCATCATGATCACAGTGTAGTACATAAATGTAAATTGCATCTAGATTTTTCCGGTGGTGGAAAGACACCAGCAGCACATCTGTATCTGTCTTTAGGCTAGACTGCAACTCTTGTCGGCACTGTGACCGCGCTACTACTTTTGCCAAGGATACGGATTTGTGTTTTCGTCGTAGAACGTGTTGAGCGCGTAGTGGATGTCGCTGTGCGGAATGCCGGGGGTTTCCGGGTTTCGCAAAAAGTAGGCAATTTCCTGGTCCGTGACCCCGCACTCCCGGCGGATCACCCGCCACAGCGGGCGCTTCTGCCTCGACGGTCGCTCGATCCGGTTGTTGCGCAGCTCCGCCTATGCATTGCAAATATGTAGTACTATGGGTCCGGATTTGTGATACGGGATGTGAAGGACAGCAAGAACAAGAGCAAGATTATTTGTAAAAATGCATGATGAATACGATTGACCAAACTTATTGTCGGTTTCGCTAGACACTAGTTATTGTTATTTGTCATGGCATGCGATTCAATACCAACGAATCTGCAAAGCCTCGCAAAATTTCTGATGCTGTTCGAATATTTTTTATGCCACACAGGTCGTGGAGCACATGATCAAACACGAACTTGTAGTTCCGCGTTCCGGAGCGCCAGACACGACATAATTTGCAATGCATACCGCCGCGGCCACGTGCAAAAAGTTGAGGTAAAAGCAGGTCCCCTCCGTGGGTATTCGCCCCCGATCCTCTATTGAGAGGAAAAATCCCCCCTCCCCATATTGAAAAGGTATGTTTCTAAAAATTTGTGTTGGGGATTTGAGGTCACAAATCACGCCTGTCTTGCAAGAAGACAAGGGTAGAAGCTTCCGCCCCATTATGGAAGCGATTTGTCATGCTGCTGGGCCTAAAGGGGGGCCGTTTGCCATGCTGAACTACTAGACCCATACGCCCCTATCTAGCCTGGGGATCTGGCCGCAGTGCCTCTCTGCAATACAAAGCCGATTTGTGGTCACAAATCAGCATCACAAATTTCCGTTTTGATATGGGGAGGGGGGATTTTTCATTTTGATATCCTCGGGCGGCGGTGCGTTGCGCGCTTCCTCCTTGTAGGAAAAATTGCGTTTGGAGGAGTCCCGGGATTTCTGCGACACCTCGGACGGGGTCTATCCTGAGTAAAAACGTCCCCACACCAGAGTTGTAATGCAGATTTGCAAAGACAGGAAGACTTGTAATGCGCATCCCCATGAGAGCCATTTCCAGTCGTGTTTCGGAATTTGTGATGCTGTGAACAGGATGAGCAGATGAATCTGTGATGCGGCTGTACTTGCTAACCTGCACTACACTGCATAGTGCAACTTGTCATGCGTGACTCACAAAACTCCTAGGCTTGTGTTGCAGAATCCTCATCCTGACTCTGGTGTGGGTACGTTTTTACTCAGGATAGGGTCCGGGACTTTTTCATCTGCACCAGCGGCTGCATCGGGACCGGGCGCTCCCACGTGGACTCCCCAGTCCTCTTGTTGTAGTAGTACTCATGGCGCACGTCCGGGTCAAACAACACCTCCCAGTCGTCGGGCAGGCACTCGTCGTCCTCCCGCATCATCTCAATGTCGGGCTTTTCGCGGAACAGGGTGAGCCCGGATTTCGCCCGGAACAGGCCCTTCCCCCTTTCTCCCTCCTTGAAGGTGGACTGCTGGGGCGGCGCGATAAACTCCAGGCCGGGCTTGGCCCGACCGAGGAATTTCTCGCCGAAGGACTGAAAGATGGACATTTTTTAATTCTTACTTTTCTAGTACTACTGCTAAAGTGCTCGCGCGTAGGTGTACTAGAACTAGTTGTGCTGGGGTGTTATTTCTTTTTCTTCGTTAGTACTACCTGGACGTCGAACTTTTTAGGCGGGGAAAATCCGTCTTCTTTTGTGCTCTTGTTTTACGTCGATGACGACAAAGAGCAAAGAAACTCAAATCTACAAAGATGCACCGGGATCAATCTTTTTAGGGGAGAAACGAAAAATTTGGAAAGGCGGGGGGGGGGGAAAAAAAAATGGAGGTCCTGCGTGAAAATCACAAATATTGTGTTGCTGTTGGATCGTTCTTCCTTGCAGGTTAACAAAGTTAGTAGACACGGTCAACAACAAAGCTGCTGACGGCGTGCACCAAAACCTTACAAAAAAGCCTCGCTACAGCCGTCGAGGCAGCAGTAGACCGCAGTCGTAAAAATAGATACACATAGTCTCTGACCGAATATTAGTGCACCAAAAGCAGAACTTCCTCGTGCAAAGAACTCTCTCAATCAACACCGACCATTTGCTTGGCAAAGATCAAACACGAATAAAAGTAGCACGAAGACGAAGACAAAGTTGCGAGAACCGAAGATGAAAAAAATTGCTCGTACCGAGAATCTTCAGGATGTTTACGACAGTAATCAGTTTGCTCAACAGACAGCCCTCGTACGAAAAAAGGGAAGAGCAGCTGGTCCGTGTTCTTCCTGCGCAAGACTAAAAATTTAAATTTCATACAAAAAATGACATGACCTTATTCAGCAACAACGAACCGACTTGCTTACAGGCTCTCCGGTCTGTTCAGTTCGAGAATCTTATCAATCTTTCGATGGCTGGCGCTTCTATAATCCTTACTTTGATTTTTGATTCCAAGGAACCGTAAGTGCATCAGTGTTTCCTCTTCGTGAAAGATCAATAGCTCGTCAGGAGCGGCCATTGATGCAAGGTCCTCGAGGTCGGGAACCAAGGTGAATTTATTATTCATGGCCATTCTTGCCTGCTTGCAAACTCAAACTGGAGACGAAACATTCATCACAACGTTGGGTACATTTGTGGAAAGACATTATTGTATTCACATCAGCCTAGAACAAGCAATCAAGAATATGCATACCTAGAAACACGCATAATTTTGAAGATGCTTGTAGCCTATTCCTAGGTCTTCATCAGAAAGCGCTACATAAAATGTCTACCGGTGCTCTTCCTCTTCCTCGTCTTCTTGCGGCTGCATCTCCTACTACTAGCAAAAAGCATCATTAAAGATGAGTTCTTGCTATATTTAAAATCATATGCAGAAAATATCTCGACCTGTAATTACGGTAGGCGAGCAAAGTAGCCGACGCGCAGCACTGCCGTGCCCGTGTACTAGTGCACCAGTAACGAGAGCGGTAGCCCACTTCTATCGCGACCACTGCATGGCGATCACTTATTGCACTACACGGCCAGGAGGGGCGTCCCTACTTTGTCAGCGGTTCCACAAATTTACTTGCAAACCACACGAAAAGGACAACGCTTGCAAGCAACTGAGCATACAGGTCAGTTACTGGTCTGCTATCGCTGAAAATATGAAACTTCCAGCAATAGCCGACCAGTAGCTGGCCTGTATTTTCAGTTCAACATGATGAAACCCCAAGAGCAAAAATTTATCCGGTCCGCCGCGCAGCGAGCGGCCGGGGCCTGAGAAGGGACAAGAGTGAGGAAACAGAGAAAGCAAAGCGAAGATACAATAGCGCGGCACTTGTATTCTAACCAGTATCGTGCCTGCGCATTTCGTAGAAATATGGGTTGGGATATTTTTTGCATATTTCACTAAATATAGCAAAAACTCCTCCTTAACATCAAGCGCGGGTTGCTTTCGGAATTCTGGATGTTTTAGATTTAGCACGGGGGCCAACATACGTATGACATTATACGCAAAGAAGAGAATGAAGCGGAGCCAGTATTTTGATTTCACGGTCAGCGTGAAACTGAAACCTCATTCAAGGAGCAGCAAAGCCCCCGAGCACAGGTGAACATCTTTTTGGCGATGTCTGTCATCAGGAAGCACATAAGTAGGAGTGGTAGAAGCTCTGCCAACAGCAAGAAAAGCCCGTTAGACAGTACCGTTTGTAAATTTGTGAAATAAGTTGAATTTTTTGAATGGAGGAAAGAACTAGTACACATGCTTCATATTGGAGGGCCTCGGACTTGCTCTTTACTTCTTCCCGGATTTATTTCCTGCAGTCGATGCGCTGGCTGCCAACGGCGGTGAGTTGTTTAGCACCAGTTCTGCCGCACTTTTCTCCGTCGCAGCGGTGGCTGCGAGCATCAGGTCAACTGTGTCTTGGAAAATATCGAACTTTTTGTTCTATCGACATTGCAACACAAGTAATATCTTCGCACACATAGTACATATTGCAGTTTGGCATGATAGATCTACCGCATCTGCTTGTTGTTGTTTCTATGTATTTGCTTATGCTTTGCCTGAATCCACATCACAAATTCCTTTTCTTCTTTTTGAGAAGTTTGTCGTGCAAAAATGCACAGCGTAAGGCGACATCACTTCACTTTTGCAACGCATATGTTCTTCCCCGCTGTCGTGGCAGTCGGTGCCCCCTCCTCCTCATTCGTCCCTGTCGCATGCTGCTGCTGCTGACCACCCCCCGCCGCCGCTCCCCCGGAGGCCGACGCTGCCCCCGGGGCTTTTTGTTTGGTAAACCCCTGCTCCACTAGCCACCGGGTGGTATCTTCGTTGAAGTGCGCGGCTAGGGTTCCCAGGCTGTACTGGTTTGCATCTGCGTCCTATGCATTGCACAAGTATCGCACAAGTCAGTACCTACTACCTGCATCACACTCACAAATTTTCATTTTGTCCGATGGTGCTGGAGCTGGAAAAGTAAAATCTTAATTTGCAACGATTGATTACCAATCAGGGATCATGAAACATCAACATTTTCCTGGCCAGATTGCAATTAATGTAAGTAACTACCGAGTACGATACCTTTGCACAGGATACGTCCTGCGGGATGTTGCTCACCTTGCCCTGTTGATGTGCCCGCGCAAGCTCCTGTATGACCGTGCTCCAAAAGAACTCCCCCAAGAGCACCGCTGGCAGGATACAATTTTACTTGCCTGACGAATTCACACAAGATTCTAGTGCTGTTTCGGTTCTTTCCGAAATCTAATCATGCGCAATACAAGAGTAGTAAGAAACAATGGCACAGGGAGCTAGATTTGAAATTTTGCAGCATGAGAAATAAATTATAATTATATTCATGTGAACGAGGGGAAGTAGTTTTGGTGAATTCGGATGATATCCTCTTCGCGATAGAGCAGCGTGTACTTCCCCGGCTGGGAATGCCGCGGCTTCAGGGTAGTCAGTGATTTGTGTTTTCCGTCCACCTGGTCCAACTGGCTGCTTGACGCGAGCGGGTAAGCTTCCGCCACTTTTACACCGTCGTTGCTCATCTGCGACACCTGCAGTGTGTCCATCATTCCCATGGCCGCGACCGCACTGTGGGCATTCGCGTTGTGTGGTCGTTTCGGGGACGGCGAGGACTTGCTACTGTGGTGCGGGACGAGACTGGACGAGGACGGTGATTTGTTGGCCGCGCCCCCGAGAGGAAAACCTCCCGGCCGGGAATTACTGTGTTTCATCGTAGTCACGTGGTGCGGCTTTGGTTCCCGGGGATTTTTCACATAGTTGTTGGCACCGCTCCGCGTCGGCACGTAGTACACCGGGGCGTACTGCTTCGTGCTGTTTTCAGATTTGCAGTTGTACCGGAAATTATGTGAAAAGCAAATCAGGCTAGTGCAGTTGCGAGTGCTTAGAAATGACCCTTCATCTTCTTCATAGCATACAGTTGCGCTTCGTTTCACTATGTACTTTTTAAGCTAGCTGGAGACACAAATTGTTCCTCACAGAAAAAAATTCTCAAAAAAACCTTGGATGGTTGATCCGGATGGCAGCGTGCTCACTTCCCCAGGTGTCCCCCCGACTTTTCAGTCCGCTCACCTTCATCTCCAAGGGTAACCCCTGCTGCTGCTTTGAACCCAACCCGGTGACCGGTCCGAGCCTCCCTTTTGGCGACACCGACCGGTCCTTCGCGAGGCCGAGCGAGGGACTGGACGACTTCGGGTTCATTTTGTTCTTACTCGAGGGGGAGAAGTTCAGCGGCGACGCTTCGTCGGGTAGCACGTATTCCTTCTTCACATTTTTCATCCCGCCCGGCAGGACTTTGGGGGGCGAGGGCGAAGTCGGCGCGTAGTAGCGGCGGAGCAACACCAGCTCCTTTTTTCGCGTCTCCAGTGCGGACTCCAGGTCTCCGAAGAGCGGCCCGTCGAGACTGGGACGCTTCTCTGCAGTGCCAGATTTCTCCTGTTCATCGACATGGTGGCTCCGGAAAATCTCGTAGATCCTCTCCAGCAGCGCCAGATCGAGAACGCGTGCGAGTTTCGATGGAGACAAGACGTAGGCGGCGAGCCCCTCGATCGCTTCCTTCTGTGCGAGCGGGTCGGCCGCGTTAGCGTACTGCTGCAGGAGCTGCAGAACTTCCTCTGTAAAGTTCGTTTTTGAAGATTGTTTCATCCCTCGGGGGTCGTCATGCACAACAGCAAACCACAAGTGAACCACGACTGGAGAGGTACGAAACTAGTATCGCAAGGCATTGTGAACGAATAAACGATAACGACGAGTGCGGCCTCATTCCTGATCCTTTACCGTGTCCATGCGCGATCTTGGAGAGTGCCGCCTCCGGGAACCCCTTCGGGTAGGCACCACTTACGTGGCTCCCGCTGGATGTTGCCATTGCTTAAAATGATTTTGATGATTTTCTCTTCCTATATCTGCAGGAAATAAAATTAAAATTCCAGATGAAATGTTGAGAGACCCGGCTATTTCGGGTAGTATTTCTAGGGTTCCTGTCTTGAGTTGTATTTCTATTTCACTTGAAACATTTACATTACGAACCGTAAATCAATCTTCTAGCTTTACAGGAACTGCGTGCAGAATCGGGACTTCATTCCAACCTAAAACGAAAACGAAATCGATCACGTCGTCACATCCTCTCTCACCAAAAAATGCGAAAACGCTCAGAGTCCGAAATCAATGCTGTCTCATTGCGACAATCGAAAGCAATACCCTCTCCAGCGCCTCCTTGGTGCGACTAAATGAAGACAACAGGAGGGAGTGCAGTTCTCGACGGCGACAAAAGCGAAATATTAAAATCACACAGACGATACCACCACTAACAAGCCTTACGAGGAGGCGAAATTTTTTCGGAGCAGATCCCTGCGCCTGCCTGCAGCCACGTACAGCTAGTCGTAATTACTTATCTATCCTGTACAAACTACAAAACAATCCAACCAAGGACAAATCGCATCAACCACCGCGAGGAACGAACGGCCACGACACGACACCGCACACAGACTTGGCCCTCGTACGGTCATCGGAAAACACCATGGGATCGCCGACTTTCTTCAATTCGAGAGTTCAAGACCCCATCTCGACCACTGGTCGTCGTGAAAAATCTTTATCTTCTGGAGTCAATTCTTTGGCTCATCTTGTTTCGACGTAAGTAGACCATCAACATAGAAGCAGCGTCTGCGTTGTCACATCACTTGGTTCGTTTTTTTGAAAATGACCTACCACAAGCACAACATCAACGTTCTTAAACAATCTACTCTATCGACATATGATGATCTTTATTTCAAAAAACATGCTGATGATGATGCTTGTGGTCGTAACCTGCTCGTGCTAAGAGGTAGTGCATATTATAAATATCGGTTGTACTAGATTATGAACAAGTGTGAGTGCGATGAAGATAAAAACCTGCCAACAACATTCATTTTCGTTTGTGTACACGACCAAAGAATTCATTCTTTTTATCGCCACGGGTAGTTCATCTTCGACAAAAATAGGTGCGAAGTCGATTCTTGCATCAATCACTACTGAGAGACAAAATAGTTCATAATGTGCGATAATTGCGTTTATTCATCACGACTTCAGCAGGAGCAACCAAATGCTCCGCGGTCATTATTCTCAATGTTCTCTGCTAGTGCCCGCGATAGGTTTTTAAACATCGGTAGTCAACCTACCTACCAGATCTACAATGCAGTTTCGCGCAGTTCGACCACAGACCCGCGTCCAGCTGCAGCCCTGGAGCTGGTCGCCCGAGTGCAGCTGAAGAGGCGGATTCTAGTAGTACCGAGAGAGAGAGAATTTTGATGAAATTATCGATCATAGGCACATACACGACACTATCTCCTCTCTCACCAGTTCGTCGCAGCTACGGAGGCCCTTTTCTTTGATGTGACATTGGAGTGGTACAAGGATGAAAGAGAAATTCAAATCTTCATTGGTTCGACAAAATTATGGAAAGACAGCTAAATATAACAAAACACTGTGGAAAAAAAAGTATAGAGCCGGAGCCCCTGATATTCGCAGCCGAACAGATGGTGCGGCTACCTTCTTGAGCAGGAGGTGGAGACGAGCAGGCGGCCTGGTGAAAATAAGAATACACTAAAGGGCAAAGATACGTTTTAGAATAAATGCTTCGCTACAGATCACGGGAGTTGTTGTGATACGGCCGTTGACTGCCCTGCTTGTTCTTTTTCCGTTGAGTTTACTAGAATTGAGACGAAAAAGGTAAAGTAGGATTAGGAAGCTGTGACAATATAATTCGCTTTCAAGATAAAAAATACTCTCTACTAGTACTACTTGTCGCTCGCGATTATATCTTGATGAGTTTCTTCCGGTCCTGCTGCTCCTGGTGCAGCGAGCTGTTGCTGGTCTTCGCCCTGCTTACATGATAGAAGTACGACTTTCATAATACCGCAGCTGTCAGGTCACGGTGGCGATAACTGCGCTCAAACAGATGTCAGAAATAAAAGAAGCATAGTAGTAGACTGTAGTTCTACTCAACGTATAGAAGATGAAACCTTTACTAGATACATTTTCAAAAACGATAGTACCGTTATTGCGCTTTAATGAAACTTCTGGATGTTGTGAATAGTTGTTTTATAGTTGTTGTCAAGCTGGTGCCTGTTCTCGACACCTTGGATAATATCATTCCGACACACGTCGTCCGTCTTGGAGCAACGCACGCTCCTACGTAGTCTTCAATAATTTCGTATACTAGCAATAAAATAGACTTCTTGGTGGATTTTCTTTTTCGATTATCTTCGGATTTTTGCTGATGAGTCATAAAGTATCAAGCGATTTTCATCTTGTATAAGTTTCAAACTGCCGCGGGCTGGTACTATGGAGGATCAGTTGCTCTTGCCCCTGCTAGCTCCTGCTTCTACAGGACAACTATTAGCGGATAATTTTCGCAGATGCAGGTATAATGGACTCGGCTTCTTTTCCAGGCTAGGAGGGCTCGTCAGGCGAGGAGTGCTCTTGCTGTATTTTTTCATCTTCATCCGTGAATGTAGCAGAAGAACGTGTAAGTAAGTACAATTCGCCACGTGCGAGGCACTGCCACTGGTGTGGATGACGAGAAGATGAACCCAGACCCACGTTCTAGTACTTCACAAACGCATGCTTTTCTGCATGTGCGTTTTCATCCTCCGGCCCGGCGCCATTCTGAATGAAACGAGAGCCGTTTTCTCCAAAAGAAATACTGCTCCTCTTGCACCGCCTTGCTCTTCGAGTCTTTGTCTTTTCAGAATCCTCGCCCGCTTGGCCCACCGCCGGGTTTGCCGCCCTGCTTTCCTTTCATGGCGGCTGCGGCTGCGTAGCCGGCATAAGCAGCTCCGTTCGGAACGCCGCAGGCTGCCCCCGGGTTGGGCATAGTACCTGCGGAATCGATATGAAGATCACATCGACCAGGCGGCTCGCTTCATGAAGTAGATGTTCTCTGAAAACCAAAATATCTCTTGCTGCGGAAACTAAATCATTATTTGCTAGCAAGCGACAAGCAAGAAGTAGAAGTACATCTTCATCAGGACCTTTGATGTTTTCATATAGATATACTAGATCATGAAGATTTATTTCATCATGGTGTGTTCGTGTCCATGCATGTTCATCTAATTCGTTGCGCAACGAGTAGATGAATCTGAACGCAGACGAATCGTTACGTGCGATTATACCTTTTGCCATGGCAGCCATCATCATCATTCTTGGGTCGGCGCCTGCTGGGCTATACATGTAGGCTGGATGTGGGTATCCCTTCATAGCTGCTGCCTGCTGTTGATACTGCATCGCGGCCGCCATCGCTGCTGGGTCCTGTTCATATTTGGAGTAATTTTGATTTTCATTTTTGAGGTCAGGATGATATAATCCAGGAGCATAGCAGCAGACAATTGCAATGGCAATACGAATGGATACAGCTAAAAAATTGCATCCTGGCAGTAGTTCGGACTGCTTCTTCGTCGTGCTAGTACTGGCGGATGCAAGCTAAGACAAATAAATTCAATTCTAACTGCACGACAAATTGGGGACCACCTAGGACATTTAACATTTCACATGAAGACATACACAAGCATGGCTATACCTTTCCCGCTGCCACCCCTTTCTGCGCCGCCATAGCTGCCATCGTGGCAGCATTCCCGGCCGCGGCGGGATTCTGGGCGTAAAACGCGGGGTGCGGTGCGCCCGGCCCTCCTGGCATGCCCGCGGCCTGTGCGTAGAAGGCCGCTTTCCCCGCCTTGGCCGCCTGGTACAGCCCCTTCGTCATCGCCGCGCTCTGGGCGTACGCTGCCATCTGGATGGTATCCCGGCGAACAAAAAGCTGCCTTACGAGCTACACATTTTTGCAGATTCAGCAACACGATGAACATGGAGCACGCAACACGATAAACTTGATATGCATAGAATGGTTCAGTTTTGCATCACATAAAAAAGCTACATTTCTGCAATCATGTGGGAAAACCCGCATGTGACTGGTGGGTACAATGTACTTACTTAGTTCATCGTCCCGCTCGTCCTGCTCCTGCGCATCATTTGTTCGGGCATGACAGATAAAAGTTGTCAGTCTAGCTTATCCTACAACTACGACCACGTGTGTAACTGTAAAACCATTAAATTTGTCTTTGCATAATTGGCTGCCTGTGCATACTGCTGTTTTTGCGCATCCGACGCCGTATTATTCCCGCTGTTGCTTCCGTTTTCGTCGTTAGCGCTCGGCTGGCCGGCACTGAGGGCGAGCTGGTGCGCCGCGTCAACCGGACTAGATTTGGAGCTCACGGCGCCCCCTTTGCTGCCCTTCATCATCTCCAGCCACTTTTCTTTGCCCTTGTTGTTCGCGGCCATGTACATCGCCATCTGACTCGGGTCCCAGTACGACCCCTTCGCCCCCGGGGGCACGCCAGCACCGGCTCCTCCTGGCCCCGGAGCCAACATCATCTGCCCGCCCGGTCCGGGCACCATGGTCGCTGTTGCCCCGGGGGGCGGGTAGCCACCCGGCCCTCCCGCCGGGCCCTTCCCGGGCTGCATGGCTGCGTAGCCGGGCGGCATGCCAGCGCTCGCAGCCAAGGCACTCGCCGCGGCGGCCGCTGCCCCACCGGGACCACCGCCCATTCCGTAGGCCGCTGCTGCACCGTAGTCGAGTATGGGGCTCGCAAACGCGTTGCTTTGCCTGCTGTTACGTGAACAATTCGTGATGCAAGTAGAATGAACAGCAAATGTGAAAGGGTGGAACTTGATGTGCTTGTGCGTATCGCATTACAGACTTGGCAACGACTTACAACATCAGTACTGGTTTACGCGATTTGTAAATGCGAAGCAGCTCCATCGTGTGGAGGCTGAGGCTCCTCCCTGTCGGCAATTTTGCATGACATCAGATCATGTAGCAGCAAACAAGGTGGCGTTTAAGAGTCTGATATCGAAGGCGCCACCCTTGCTGGTGAAGGTCGCTGCGTTGGCGCGCAGCTCCGTGGTTTTCGGCATCGCGTTGCCGTCGTGCGGGGTGTTGGCAGACGAAGAGGCGCCGGACGCGCTGTCGCCACCACCGCCGTTCATGTACCACTGTGCGTTCCACTCCTCGAGCGACGCCTCCTTGCTGTCCTTTTTCGTCGGGTCTACCACGGCGGAGGGAGAGCCGGCAAGGCCGGTTTTGCTGTACTTCGCCAGTTCCTCCACGGAGTTGTCGTAGGGCGTGTATCCGGCATGATTGCCAGCACTGTAGGCCTGTTTGCTGTTGTTCGCCGACCGGGCGTTCCAAGATTTCGCGTCGTCCTCGGTCATGCCCACTCCGAGAAAGTACGCGCCGCCGGAGGAGCCATCTGTTTTTCGTTTGTGATTTTGATTTTATCAAAAGGTTGGTGGGTGGGAGGACGAGCGCCATTCGTATTGCGACGAGGAAGTAGAAGGGTCTACTTTATAATTTCCTTTGCGGAATTCCTCTTCGTCCTCAAAATACGGTAATATCTCCATAGTGAAACAGGAACCAACCTACTTTTCAAAGTCTAGGCCTGTTTATCTTGCTAATACGCGCAGCATGAGGTAGTAATTATCGTCAATATCTCTGCAGTATTCTATTAAGTACCGCTCTTCGCCGTGGTGCCGCTTCCCTTCCCGCCCTTTTCTCCCTTGACAAATTTTGGCGATTCCGTACTTCTTTTCGCGATGGTCGCGTCGCGCTCCGCCAAGGCCGTGCTGATGGCCGTCTCCAGCTCCTCGGAAGACACGGAAAGGTCGAACTCGTAGTACGCGCCCTCCTTTCCCTTGACTTCCTCTTCCACGAAGCCGGTGGTGGTTTTGTGCAGCCGCAGCTGACTCTCGCACAGAAACACCTCGTTGCGCATCTCCGCCTGTCGCAGGTCCGCTTGAGAAGAAAATTCCAGCATGATGTTCTTGTACCGTGGGGCTGTAGTGGAGAGAATAGGGTAATAGGAGTTTGGATGTTACTGATCAGGAGGTGTGAGTGTGTCCTCTTTTGGATTTGGATGGGATTCGCCTCGTAAGGTCCACGTGTATTTCCAGCTTCGGTCCGCGATGAGCAACCAACAGACTTACTTTAAGAAGTTGTAAGGTACTTATTGCAGCTCCAGCTGGTGCTGCATAATGAGAATTCAAAGTGCTAAAAGTAATGCGTCTGGTTATGCACGCATCTTCTCAATACCTCCATATAAGTGCGGTCGCTTGTTCGGGTCTTCTTGGAAAAATGTCTCGTATTTCGGGAAATAGAGTCGCACGAGCTCCACGTCTTTGAAGATATCCAACACTTGCTTCGGGGTCACCGTGGAGGAGATGGAGGCTTTAAGCCAAAACCTAGTAGTGAAAGTGATAATGCGTTTCTATTGCTGTGTCGCGACGATCATAAGGAAGAACCTTCCTCGCACAGCAACCATGGTATACCACATGCACATCGATCAGACGAATGACAAAAACAAAATTCGGTTCCAGCACTGCCTCTACCTTGCTTTTCGATTTGTCTGAAAAGCCTCGTCGAAGTTGGTGAAGTTCTCTAGGGCTTGTTTCATGGCGTCGGTGATGCGTTTTCTGCCGGACTCCGTGGTCCGCCCGGCCAGGTTGTGCTTCACGTCGAAAGGGTCCTCGATGTGCCAAACGGCGGGGCCAGTGTGCTCGAAAAAAAACAGGTTCTGCTTCGGGGTTTGGGTCGCCGGGGCACCGGGGAGGCTGTTGATGTTAATTATGTTTAGTTTCTTAGCTTTACGCAAAAGTACATTTCAAAATCATGACCTCTTCTCAATGAGTGCGAAAACATTTTTCGTATTTTCGTACTATGTGCAACATGATCAGTCGATGCCAAACAATGAGCGACAGTGAGGACAATAATTGTTCGGAAGATCATATAGCAAAGTGGAAAGTACTGTTGTCGCAAGCACACGGCGCTTGTCGCCCAGGGGAACTTGAGGTAGAACTCGAAAAAGCCTTTCACGAGCTGGTACAGGGTAAAGTCTGCGGCGTTGTCGGGGCGGAAATCGGGGAGTTTCTTGCTCCAAAATCGGGTGTCCACAATGTCCGGCGTGCCCCACTTCTTCACGCTCACAAAGTTGCTGGGGATGCCCATGGCTTGCGCCAGAAGTTGGAGGTTGGGGAGGAAATTGATGGCGACCTACGCATATTGAAAGTGCAGAAAAATCGTATCATCTGATAGTCGGGGACTCTACTACCTTCTTCTTCACGTGGTAACAAAACAAACTTCTTGCTGTCCGAAGTCGCCGCCGATCTTGAGCTTGGTGACAAGCGGCATTGGCTCGTCTCAGCGATGAGATTCCCACCATGTACCAAAACCGAACCAAAAAAAAATTGAAAAAAATTGCTTTTTATCAAAGAATACCAGGTAATAGAGCGTGAGCAGCACGTAGGCGTAGCTGTTGATGCACCCGTCCTGAGACCCGAGAACTTCGTAGTGTTTCGCCCAGGTCTTCACCAGACGGACCTGGAATAAATTTGCGTAAATTTCTGGTATGCAGATAGCACAACCCAACGTCGTCGCACATGGAACGAAGTGGGTTTACTGCTCCAGCTGCACTAGTTCATCACGTGCGAAGACAGCCTGCCATCTTTACGGTGTCGGTGCTAAACAAAAAACAAAAACACGTACCAGTTGGGCCACCCGCGGGTCTATCTGGGCGTAGCAATGGAGAAGTTTTGAGTTTTCAACGCCAAGTTGGTTGTTCATTAAGATCTCGACTTCCACCTGCAACTCCATGTTTGTACACCGCACCAGTGGCGATTGTGCGTGCAACACCTTCGTGATGCCTGTTGTAATATCAGGTGTGGATTTGCATTTGGTATCTTTCCGGACAAATCGTATAAGCGGAAGGCATGCAAGCATCTTGATCTTCATACAAGAGAGACTTGCAAGAACTTTCTATAGACATGAGTAGGACACACACCTGGTATCAAAATCTCAAGTACAAGTTGTTTTGAAGGATGAAAATTGAAATCCTTGTAGTAGCAGAGGGGTCAGTGGTAATCGAAAGTTTTTTCCTCAGCTGACCTAGGCGAATGTTCAGCTTCAGCAGACTAAAATGTACTATCGTAGGCTCCCGATTTCTCCAGTTTGTTGGCCACGCGGGTGAGTATGTCGTGTGGCGACAGGGTGGTGGAGTCTTGCTGGATGAAAGTTACATCCAAATCCGACTTTTTGTTCGCAAACCCGCTCATGAAGGACCCAAAACACTTCATCTCGCCCTTCAAACCTAGATAAGCCACGAGTGGAAAAATTGCTTTCATACTCGTTACATGCAACTACCCCGATGAAGCATTGGAATGAAGAAAACTACGGAAACGGAAGACAAATAATTTTTCTTTGCTGAAATTCAAAATCTTTCTCGAAACGATAATATCTCTTTCGGTTTATTTTGTATATGAATGTAACATTATACCTATCTCGTTTGCGATTTCCTGTAGCGGCTGCACGATTTTGGTTTCCACTTCGTCGAGTTTCAGCTCGCTGGTCATGTACTTACCGATGAAGGCGATCGCGTCCGCGACCCACTTCGCCTCCTGCTCCTTTGCGGAGGACGAACTGCTCGACGTGGCCGCCGACGCGCCAACCACCAGCACCGACCCAGAAGTGGGCGCAGCCGTCCCGACGATGGTGCTGGAGGTGCGGGTGGCGCCTCCTCCCGCCTCGTCAATGGTGGGCACCACGACCAGCCCCCCGGCGGCGGTCAGCCGGCTGTTCTGCTCGTGCTCCAGCAGCGCCACCGAGTAGGGCACGGACTGCGAATTGCCGTGCGGCACGTCGCCCTCGTCGTCGTCCTCCTCCAGCGCCCCGGCCTGCAGGTCGTACAGCCCCTTCAGCCACTCCGCGTCCACCTATTACCGTGAAAAATGCCCCCACCCCCAAATTTGCAATAATTTGTGATGCGAAGTTTCCAAATGAAAACTTTTTGTCATGCATGAAAGGAATATGAGTCTTTATCTTTGACTTTGTGATGCAGTAGAGTCTAGGCGTATATAGCATTGCTTGCATGACAAGCGCCGCGCTTGCTGGGATCTGTTGCAATACAAATTTTCGCTATTCACGATTGGAAATCTGTGATGCTGCTAGATGCAAGAGGGCGAATGTTTCTGTTGGAAAGGTTTGCAATACAAATGCTCCCAAGTTCGGGGCTGGGGGCGTTTTTCATTGTGATACCACCTCCCCGTTGCCCTCCGCGCCCAGGTAGGCGGCCCAGTCGTCCATGCGCTGCTGCTCGTCCTCCTGCTCCTCGTCCTCGTCGATCGGCGTGTCTTATCAAGCAGAAAAATGAAACTACACCCAAGATAGTACCAGACAAAAATTTGTCTTTCCGTCGTTCTGTCACGGCGAGAAAGTTTGATGTGATGCTGATCTGCAACGGGGGCAAGAAGCTTGTTCTGCCGACGTGCACATCAACTACGGAGGACGAAAGTCAAAGTGTAACGCGGGCCAGCACGACAAAGGTGGTACTACCAAAAAAATTGTCATGCGAAACAGCCTTTGTGCCACGCACTGCCGCAGATGAATAAAATGGCATGAGAACAAACTGAGGTAATTTTTTCTGGTCGAATGGGTGTGCCTTCTCTTATCTTTGATATGTCTTCCGGCGGTGGCGGAGGCTCATCCTCGTCCACTTCCACGGTGAAGGGGTTTGGATTTGGCGGCCGCGGGGACGCGGTGGGGGCTGGTGTCGTAGAAGTGGTAGTAGTGCCTCCCGGTGGTCCAGGAGCACGACCTTCTGACAAGGTTTTAAGTCCTCCTGCATACCGTCTTAAGTCCTCCTTAATAGTAATAGCGTCAGCCGCACTAGCTCCTGTGGCGCTCGCTGGTACTGTAGTGGAAATCGGTACTGCGGTACTATTACTCGACTTCGCACCAATACTACTAGACGAAGCGCCCATCGGGAGCGGGCCCTTGCCGCTGCCCATACCGACTATGGAGATCGGCGGTGGTACGGTTGTTGCAGTTGATGCAGTTGTGGCACCAGGCTTAACGCTATTCTTGTTCGCCGCCGGCGCGGCGCCAGAAGCCGCAGAGCTAGGCCCGGAGCTTGGTGAGCTGGGCGTGGGACCGAAAGCGGCCTGTGCTGCGGACGCGGAGGACGGAACGCTACTAGCACTACCTGCAGTTGATGAGCCTGTAGCTGTTGCAGCTGCTGCTGCGGTAGTTGTACTAGCAGCTGCCTTGCTCCTCTCTTCGGGCGCGAACTTTATTACTTCTTCCTTTTTAGTTGCAGTTGTTTTGCTGCTATTTGTGATTCCACTTCCGCTGCCTGAGGTCGCGGAGGTCCCATTCAGCACTACAGTTTCAGCAGCAACACTTCCGTTTTTACCACTGGCGGCGGCGGCTGCACTGTTGCTTGACGCTGTCGAGCCGTTGAGGGTTCTTCCAGCATCTACAACCATGTTACCCGTGGGTGCAGTGGTATCTTTTGAAGAGGTTGTAGAGGACGAAGCTTTTCTATTCGTCGAACTACCTGACGAAACCCCCGCAGCTGTGCCCGTTTTTGTTGCACTAGCTGGAACAGCACCAGCAGCTCCCTGTTGTGTTGAGCTCACATCGTCCTCGCCCAGAAGATTGCCTTTATTTGAAACATCTTCTGTGCTAGCGGCGGTGCCAGCCGCTACAGTCGTCGCGATTCCACCGCTGTTTACTTTCGCGCGAGCATCAAGGCCCACAGAACACGTGTTGGCCTCTTCATTTACGGACTTTGCCATGTGCGTAGCAAGATTTGCGTCGGCCGCCGTGATATTTTTGCCTCCTGTTGCAGCGTCGCCGTTCGTGCGCGCTGCAGACGAGGCTACTACAAGTGTAGGATCTACTGCTCCTTCTACAACTGGATGTTTTTTACTGTCTTTCGAGCTAGTTGTGCTTGGCGGCACATCCGCAAGATCGTTCTTTCCGCTGCCCATAGAAGACGGAGCAGTCTTACTGGTACTACTGGTCTGCTGCTCAGTCGTGCTGGCCACAGCGGTGGAGGCCATCGCAGAACGAAGGAGGTCCACCTCTCCGCTTCTTGCAGTCAACCTATTCGTCGAAGAAGTACAACTGGTCTTGTTACCAGTATTCGTGCTCGTGCTGCAAGAAGAAGAAAGTACTCCAGCACCGCTCTTAATAGTACTTTTTGCGCCTTGCTGTTCTCCTACTACTTCGGAGGTGGGTTCTTTCAAAGCGAAGCTACCCGAGCCTGGTTGCTGTGGCATGCTCTGGCTGAGGTAGTTAATGTCAGTGGTGGTCCCAATCCGAGCGTCGTATCAAGGTGGAGAATCGCGACAAGGTCAAGAGGGGCGTCTGGAATGAAGATGACGAATGCACGAAGCACTTACAACTCGCATCCATTCATGTTCCTATATGTCGCTCTACTATACAACTCTTGGCCTTGCTGTGCTGCTGAGCAATAGCTACAGCGCCAGCAGTCAAATCTTTTACAGAATCCAGCAAAATCATAACACAGAAACTGTAATTGCGAAGACTTCTGCGCACTTGCACTAATATAAACTGGACTACTTTTCTGTTCACTATGCTGCTGCAACACCAGAAAACTTTGAAAGATAGATACAGCAGCATCAGATCGTCATCGTTCCGGTGCCCTTGAATCATGCATAACAAGTGCATCAGTGTCTGACGTCGTTCTCGCTGAACAACAGTCTTTGTCTTCATCAGCTTCTGAAGAATATGACGACAAACAGCGAACTTCACTTCACCTCCAGCGCGCCCTGCTCATGACCCTGTCATATAATCGTTTGCAACCCTTACGTTCTCGCCTTTTTCGCTTCTACTTGGACAGCTGACCAGCTGCTCTTCATCGGCATTTGAGGATGCGCCCTCTGCATCCGTTGCGGTCGTCGTCTCTTCAGCGGGCGTACTCAGAGGATTGATGTCATCTTGCTTGGTGAGGCTGCTCATAGGTAAGCTGGCAAAAAATGCTGCATTTAATACTTGAACTTACATCAACTTGAGTTCTACTTGTTGCTGCTGCACTTCTTCAGCGGCCCCCCTTGTAGGTCTTCTCTTCGACGACGAAGTTGTTTATGTTTTGCAGCTTCTGTGCGATTTATTGTGCTCTCTGTGCTGGTACTAGTGCTTCAAGTTCATAGTGCTGCTTTACAACTTCCGGAAAACGGGTTCCTACAGTTGTCGACGCCGTCCTGCTGCGTGATGATGTCGCAGCTAGCAGTAGAAGTAGACATTTGCGGTAGAAGTAAATCTTGCCATCTTTCTTGCATCGGAGTCAGGTACTCAAATCAGCTTGCTTTATTTTCTACTTCTTTGTCATCGCTGTACTGGAAAAGCTACGACATCAACTTGTTCTTGTTCTTGTGCCTACTAGAAGTTCTAGGAGCCTGGTACTAAGCGACTGCAAAAATGTGCTCTTACTACTTCATCCTCTCTTACGGCCAAATAAGTGACTTCTGTGGGTGAGATGAAAAATTCTTGGAGTTACACCAACCAAGTGAGTAATTTCAAAATAAAGCTTTCTCCACCAACGCAGCAGCCGGAGTGTGGATTAATATGCGGCGCTTTGCTTAAGCTACTACACCTCTTCTGGTCTTCGGATTTCTTTTATGCTAGTATGTATTGTCATTGTTTGTCTAGGATAGCGATTCACCGCAAGACCAAAATCGTTCGTTGTTGTTTCATGATTGTGGTACAACTCTACTAGACGCTGCAGGAGTGCTAGTACCTTTCTCTTTCTTACTTTTTCTGTATAGGTTGGTCTCATGATCCGGACCGAGCCGGTCAATTTTTCAAAACCGCCTGCGTCCTTAGCGAAACTCTTTATCTTTTCGTGGACGTCATAATTGCAATCATTCATTGGAATTGTCTGGCGCTTCCAGATGAAGTAGATTACGAACTTTCTTATCGCTCTTTATATTTACGTTAGTCATTTTATTTGACAATGGGTACTGGTGTATCGAAACAGCTTGTACAATGCCTCCATCACTAAAAACTTCTACGACTAGAGTGTATGATTCAGAGACAGATCAATCTTGGTGAAGCGTTCGGTAGGCATATGCAAGCCACATAGTACGGACGAATCCGTGTAGAAGTACAGCTTACTCATCATCCATCTCACTTGCAGCTTCAAATCTTTGTGCTCTATGCGCTACTTCCAAAAAATGGATGTCGTAAAAGTTGATTTCACTTTTCTGATGATCTTGAATTTCTGTCTTCCCTCCGTTGATCTTGTGTTTCTTCTTGTTCATAAGACATTCGTAGAGTGTATGAAAGCGGTCTTTAGAGTTTATCTTTATGTTGTTCTTTACTTACGCTTCAATGCCGGGAAGGACGGCTGTGACTGAACACAAAAGTGAATCTTCTTCACGATCACGATCGGAGTTATCCCTAAAAATTAACACTGTCTCTGTCGAGATCAGCGCTTATGCTGATTGTGGTTTGTCGTCCAGAGCCAGACCGGACTCAAAGTCAAAACTCAATTTTTTGATTTTAGTCTTCTCGAAGTGAATACAACACTAACTCGTCCGATGGGTTTAATTTCATGCATGTGATGTTGTACAATAAGCTGCAAAGTAAGTATACACAAAATATCCGGGCCGCGCGGCAGGACTTTATTTCTACGAAATGCATGTCACGAAGATACAGTCTGCAGTGCACCAGAAGCACCGCGCTACGAAGATCTTACAAAAAAACCTCGAAAAAGTCTTACGTGGACTTCTACACTGTACTAGTAATCAACATCACAACCGCAGCACTGGTCTTTGTCACGATTGGGTGCAGCAGTTGCCAATGGCCCGCATTTTTCGCACCACGTCACGTGCCTGGGACCTGATGATTCCGTGTTTTTTCAGATTCACAATCGGACAGTCATCAGCATCACATGTGGGCCTTACTAATCTGTACGGCACGGAAAAAGATTCGGAAACGAGATAAGAACCACTGCAACAGTTCCAGTTCAGTTCCAGTGAGTTGTTGTGCGATAAATCCACATGAACATTGGTGCGATTTGTAGCACGTGCTTACCTGTAATTTATGAAGATGTCGAAGATGAGGAACAAATCCACCACAATGATGATGATATCGAGAATGTGCAGGCCCTGTACCTTATGCAGCGGAAGAACCCTCCCCACGACGGCCGCACTAACCGACAGAATCAATGGTACCAACTGCAGGAGGTGCAGATCACTAAATTTTATGCTTTTGGTGTATGAGAATCCATCAGGCGCAGGCCGATACTGTAGCGCGCCGAGTAGAAGCGCTTCGAAAACATCCCTTGTGTTTTGCACCTTCCTGTTCCTTTTTTTACCTGTAGGCAAGTTCTGCCACTTCTGCTGCCGCAGAAAGGCACTGCTAAACATACACGATATGGATATCAAACTGTCTTCTCTTACATGTAGCGCAGCGGGTCGTGGGTAGGTTTTCTAAATATGGGATACGCAATCGACAGATTCCCCAGGTAGTGCGTCAAGGTGCCGGGCTGCAGGCTGCTCAGCTTCTCCCAGAAACTGGCAATGATTATCCGGGTGAAATCTTGAATCACACGGCATGTCATCATGTTCCACGAACAATTTGATCAACGTCACCACAAAGCGTGACCGCATGCATGTCCCAGCCCCAAGATTTTGCTGCATGCAAAGAAAGAAGAAAGCGGGCACGAAGGAAACACGGATTGCGCAGATCAATACCGCATAGTTCTCACCATGATCCTCTTGATGAAGATGCAAGTTGTAATGCTGGCACAACTGATGTGCAAAAATAAATTGCACTTCTTCATGACACAACTGATTCAAAATCAATGATACTTTCCCTGGGATAATCATCTGCGTAATCTCGTAAGGAGCTGACATGGTTGTCATCGTATTTCTATATCTACTCAAACAAGTCTAGCAAATTGAGGCGTATCTGTATCGCATGGAGATGGATCGAAAACGAATTGACGCCCTTTATTCTGGAAGAAAAGATGTTTGAGGCAGATCCAAATCATATATAAAATGTTATTTGTATTTCAGTAACTGGACAAAAAGGTAAAGCAGTTCATCCAAACACTGGTCATGCAGTTCGTTGTGAGCTCACGTCACCAGAACTGACCGCTAGTGCCGCACCATGAATCAAGCGCTCAGCTTCAAAAAAAAATTCAAATACAATTTGCTGTGCAGCTGCTCCACTACTGAAGAAGCAAGAAGATTAACAGCTGAACAATAAGAGCTCCCGCTCGAAACGATGGGTTACAACACGATCATGCGACAACACCCCGACGGTACGACAACGATAGGGCAAACGAATCATCCACCGAGCGGTAGTATTCTACTCTTGTGTTGACCTCCCCACGAGAGAATAAGAGTAGACATAGACCCATCTGCTACTAACTTGCAATGCATACAGATTGATTCAGACATATTCATTAGATTTATTCATGGGTTTGTTTACCAAGTTTTACCATGAAGCTTCGCAACACCCGGCGGTTTTTTTTCCGTCCGCCAACGACGGGACGCTTACGGGCGAATTCGCTTATACCCAGCGGGGGAGGATGCGGCTCCCGAATACCCCAGAAACAGGGCACCAACTATCTGTGCGTGCATACATGAAAGTCGTAAAATAATGGAAATAACAAATCTGCGCGCCCTACAAAAGATCAAGATCGGTAAAAGCAAAAAGTGTTTTCGGCGATGTACAAATCTCACAAAAGTGCCAAGCGAAGTACCCAGCTCGCACATCGTACAATGAGGCGCCGGCACAATGCAGTGGAGGGTGCGGCTCCGCGAATACAAATGTCGGCAACACGAGCGATCATAGCGCTTCCGAAAAAAGCGGCTCGGAAACAGCTATGGGAAATGCATAGACAAGGAGGAATCACAGAGAATGCGGCTCTGCAAAAACATGGAAAGGAAAATCGAACTAGGCAACGATTGAAATCTCTGGAAAGGCTAGTAGAACTAGGCTATAAGCACGAAACCAGCTTCACAGCCAAATCACCGTCGAACACCGACCCAGGTGGTGCAAAGATTCTTGTCCACCCTGGAGTATATGATGAAAACCGACCCAGCTTCTCGACCAGTGGCAGGGCGGACAGTGCAAAAAGTGCGCGTCGCAAGGCGGCAAATGAGTCTAAAAGAATAAGACCGAAGCGCATCCTACCGCACAGACAGGGACCAGAAGCTGTGAATACGCCCCAATAACTAACAGCCTGCTGCTGCGGGAAAAAAAAACCAGCAAGCCTGCAATTAATTGAGAAAAAAGAAAAGCCGACGGGCTTCACCAATCGCCTCGGCAAACCTGCAGCGATGGATCACCGGCCGTCTTGCAAACTGATGTATGTGAAGTCCGCCGAGACGGGACCCCGAAGGGCGAACTTGCCTATACGCAGCGTGGGAAGAAGAGGTTCCCGGGTACCCTGAAAACGTCCAATGGGAGAGATCGCACCAACTCACATGATCGCTCCGAAAGGACAATCAAATACAAATACATGGTTGTACGCTAAACGTAAATGTATTAAGTCGCCCCCTTCAGAGAACAATGCCTATCGGAATCATCATTGTCGAAGGGAAAATGTGACACGACTGACCTGAGCTTGGTCTTGAAGTTCGTATTCGTTGACCACATCCATGCATCACAACACCACTCCCGTTGTCCGAGTGTGGTACTTACTCATACTCATGAGTAACAGTATTCCATTTCTTTTAGTTCATCGAGTGGGAGTCGAATCAGCACCACGATGCGGATATGGTCAAACGAAAAATGAGGCTTACCGTTACCGATGAACAGACGTGCTTGGCTACGACCAGCAGCTGGTAGCGGTCGTGAAGATTTTCGAATTATCCTGATGCTTTATTTACACAACTAGCCAACTTAGTTTCGGTTCATGATCTTCCTCTATGTTTATCACGTCAGAGCGTTAGGGGTGCGGCGGGCGAGGCCGTGGCCTCTCATCATAGTAAGTAGCTCTATAGACCGGGGCAGGAAGCGTCGCAATGCTTTGCAGCGGCACCGCGGCCACGCTACTGCTACACGGCAGTGTGGACGGAGAGCAACAACTGCGCAAACATGTTTATCTCCATGAAAAAAATATGACGATAACACAACACGACAAGGTGCGCGAAACCGAACGGGAACTCGAACTCATGAGTTGTTCTAAAAATGAGTTAAAAAGAAATACACTATACAAAAAGACTTTCGGTTCCTAAAAACGCATTGACTGAGGGTTTCTTATATATGTTTATTTATTTTTAATTTATGTCGACTCTTCTTCGCAGAAAAATAAAAAAGGAAAAACTTTACGCAGGTATCTGGTACTTTTTGGCGCATCGTCCGAAACTGCTGCTGCACCTTGAGTCTCTTAACACGTTTCTCGTTTCGAAGGGGAAGGACACCTTCGTCTCGATATTCATATACTGTTGAACATGCAGCAACTAGATGAACACTACAGTTTAGCAATGAGCTTTACTAATTACTCTGTTTTTATCGCTGCCGCTTCAGAATTGTTCTTTGTCGTGATAAATAGGAACACGACTCCACGCCCCCATAGAGTGGCTTTACCTTTGCGTGAGGATCCGTGCCCTCCCAGAAAGCCAGTGCCGGATTGGGACTCGATACCGTGGTCGTCGAGAACAACGACCACCCCAAAAAATACGATAACGTAGGAATAGAATCGGCACTCGTACTCGTTTCAGCCGGGGGCGCAGCTTCCGACACACGGTCACGGACACATGAGTTGAATTTATCGAGCATTTTTGCAACTGTAAAATCGTCTTCGACGAGCTTACACAGTGTAGAGTCTGGCGTTAATTGTAACGTAGCGACATTCATCAACTCGTCCTTGGCGCCCACCGACGAAGTCTCTGACCCTGGCCGTTTTTCGAGGTGCAGATCAGTATGGCACTCCTCCTGCCCTGATCGTTCAGGTGAGGGCGCAAGGAGGTGCTTAACTAGGTCCCTTCCGGACTCAGTGAGCAATGCCTCTTGCATCTGCTGCATCAGGGTAATAACAACATCCGCACGTTGAATCTCCAGATGATCGCCACACAATGCCAGGCCCTTGACGTCTAGAGCAGACTGACTTATCCAGACACGGCTTGCGTCTGGTTTGGTCCTCACCTTTCCTTTAAAATGTGAACGAAAGGCATCGCACTTCTCTAGTAGGCAAATAAGCGGCGGATATGATTCTTGCACGAAGTGCGCTTGCACGGCCTTCATGCATTCCTCCACCGTGCTTTTTTGATTTTCGCGAGAAGTCTGCCACTGGGCCGCAATTCCGCCCACCTGGCCTGTCATTCCTGGCTTCACTCCGTTGCTTGCCAAGCGGATCGCCCACAACAGCTCCACTTTCATGGCGTCTGTTAGAGAGGGATTGTTTCCTGTTTTGTGGTGCAGTTGAATTTGTCTGTGTGTCGCTCCGGTTTTTTCGTCTCCTGGTGATGAATAAAGGTAGGGGTCGATAAATTTCGCAGCGAGCTCCACCTCGTGAAGAAACTGAGTGAAGAAAGGCAACACCATTCCACTGCACTCAATTAGCCCAAAGTCGACGCCCTTTCCACGAAGGCGGGCGACGTCGCTGCCCTGGTCGGATTCTTCTTGGACTGGTTCCCAAAGTGGAGGAGAAGAGCTGCCGCTGACACTTCTGGCGAGGAGCTGTCTCCGTAAGGACTCGAAGTTAAATTCTTCGAGCACATCGTGGACACCCTTCAGATGGGCCGATACGGCACAGATGGTTTCTGAGCGTTTCATCTCCTGTGTCAGGCTTCCACTCCGTACGCGCGTGCGGACAAGGCCGGTGACTACTTGCTCCCCATCTGGTGTGAGAAACCTCCTTCGCATCAGCTGCATTAAGAAAATGACCACATCGGCATCTGTCACCGGCAAATGATCTCCACACAGTGCGAGTGGTGTTGTCATCGACTTCAACGCCTCGGCCTCGCCATCCAACCCAGACTCCCAAATATTTATATTAGGGTCTTTCATTGCCGAGAAGGTCTCGGCGAAGTCCTTGAAGTCCTCACGGAAATCTCGGCAGGCCTCTAGTGTGCAAATGACAGGCTCTTGCTCTCCCATCCCAATTCTCTGAGTAGCACTAGCAGGCATCGCCTTCATGCATTTCAGAGTACGCTTGGGAAGTTGAAGTTCTGCGTCATTCTGGACCCACCACGACGAGAGCATCGTCGAGCTCTTCATACCATCATTTTCGAAATCGTGCTCGGGTAGGGCCATCGCCATCCGGCCAGCCATCACTAATCCAGTTCTCACCTGCGCATTCAGCGACAGCGTAGTGTGAGCAGTTCTTCTTGCCGTTGCGGCATCAAGTAGCTGTTCTACTTCGTGCGTGTCAAGTAATCGCTTCGGCAAGTATCGAATGGCATGGGCACCGCGCACGCTACTGAAAAAGCCGCCAGCCTCCTCCACCTGATGAAGAAACTCAGAGATCGCCGGCATTCCCTCGCACACCAACTCATCGCGCCAAAAAGCTGCAGAGCTGCCGTGTCGCTCGTTGTCCTGCCACAACGGCCTTCCATTGCTTTGGATGGACAGGTGTGCTTGTGCAGGAACAGCTCGGAAATTAAATTCGTTTACAACTTTGCGCATGTTCTCGTTTTTGGCCATGACGTCGCAAAGGGTCTCGGCTGGTCCTTTGAGTTCCAATAACTTTTCCGGCCACGCCGGATCATGAGTTATTATTACTTCTTGTATGATCTTTCTGATCTGTGTTTGTCCGAACTCGGTAAGGGAGGTGCCTGCCATGCCTTGCATCAACGTGATTACGCCGTGCGAGTTCTGCAGTGCTAAATCATCCCAACACAGTGCTGGTTGGGCGATTTCTTTCAGGTACGACGACGATGAGTAGGAAGAAGCAATCGCAGGCGTCGCTTTTGTCGGCGTGTTCCATTCCCAAACCCAATGTTCCTGCCGAAATTTTTGAAATTGGAGGCGAAAGTCCCTGCATTCCGGCAGTGAGCAAATAAGCAACTCTTTACGTGGCGTTTTTCCATTGTGAAGATCCAGCTCAGCTTGCATCTGCGACATGCAAAGGCGCGTGCTCGTCCCCATCTCTTCCTGTGACTCGAAAGCTGCCCTTACCCCGGTGAGCGGCTCAGCGTCGCGCGAAGCGGCATCCACTGCACTCCTGATGCTGCTCCTCATGTCTTCGGTCAGGAACAATTTGAACTCAGCCTCACTTCCAGCGCCGTCTTGAATTTCAACATAGAAACGGGCAGGCCCGTCGAATAGTTTCCCCTTTTTATCACCTGGTAGGAATTTCAACAGCACGCTTTTCCGTTCAATGATCCCACCGAACATTCCCGCCTTCTCGACCTCTTCGTAAAACCGAGGTAGTACATCCGCAGGATGAAGCGAGGTCTCACCCACGCATGTGTTGCCCCAATCCTTGATTCTCTCACCAAGCTTTGGTGCTGTTTCGGTGTATGACGTGCTCGGCTCCCAGAATTGGTATTGGAAGACTTTTGTCTTGCTCATGCGCATGAAGCGGTCGAGCAAGGCCTTGCAGTCTCTTTGTTCGAGCGGTCCCAAAGATGAACCTGTGTCGGCGTAGAAATCGTCCAAAGCGTCTTTACACTTCGCCGCCTCGTCTGTGCGCTCTTTTTCCACGCTAGCGAGTTGCAACTCCTGCGCTAGCCAGCTATGGCCCAATCTTGTGACCTTGCAATTAACTTGATCCTTCGAGTTTTGTTCCAGAAAACGAACAAGCTTGACCGTGTGAACGGGCTTGCCGCAAACCGTCACTTCGTAGGGCCTCTGCCCCTTCGCATTTTTAATATAGGCCAAGTGGTACTGCAGGGCGGCCATGAAATCGACGCACGTTCTTCGCCGCTCCATAGAAGTAAAAGATGAACCTTGAGTTTGTTGCTGCTCTTCATCTGGCTTGTTCCCACACAGCAACGCTTTCGCCTCCTCCACCTGCGCCGCTGCGGGGTCCGACTCGGCCTCGTGTCTGTCAGCCCACGTGTTCGTCGTGGCTTTCCATTTTGCCCAAGTTTCCTCGTGAATCTTTACCAATTTGTCCACACAGCCTTCATATCCTGCAAGCCAATCGATGATTATTCTAGTCTTCTCATCTTTGTCGAGACCGGACCCGGAGTGCATAGCCGATGCCCCTTGTCTATCACCTTCTCGAACAGCTATCCAAGAAAAAAAGGACACCATGCGGAGCTCTTATGAATGAGGAGGGCGGTCAGCTTTATTTAACGCTCTTTTCGGAAAGAACGAGTGATACAGTCGTCACTTGATTGAGTTCGGTAAAGATAAAGAATAAATAAAGGCTTACATCTACATGTATTTGCGTTCAAGAAATTGAAATATCATGCAACGTCAGTACTGGACTGACAGACTACACAGTTGAGCCGGATGCGTAATATCGGCATCGCATGGTGCGTATCTTTCTTGCATAACATCGTAAGATACCTGAACCACTTGCTCAAAGACCTTTTCGAGGTAATCCTTCCCGAACTTTTCCCGAAACTTGTCGTCGTAGAACCACCGCACGTCAAGTTCGAAGGTTCCGCTTTTTGGGCCGATCCACACTGCTAAGGGACGAAGATCAAGAAGAGGAACACTCGCAACCGTATGAGCCGCAAAGTACTGCCAGTTTCTCGACCAGGACGTGCTCTGGGATTCCCGGTCACCGCCAATGACCTTATTTCGAAGGGAACCCGGATTCACAGCTTGCAGTCGGCCCTCTAGCTCATCCCTTTCCGTCTGCTCGAACCAGGCACTGAGAAAAAGGGGGACCAGAAGTGAGATAGCATCCTTATTGTGGTGTACAAATGGAAATACCCTGGAAAGTATAGGGTGTAAAAACATCTCTGCCCAGCTCGCTAGACCCCACAGCGCATATTGCCATTCGAAAAAAACGCCCGTGTTCACAATATCCTTTCCAATTGCTTTCCCAAGGTCCATCAAAAGAGACTCTGCTCCAACGCTGTGTCTAAAGTACCCACTGTACACGTAGTGAACAGCTGTGGCCATGCTTTGAAAAGCCACTCGAACCACCTCGAAGAACGCCTCCGGCGACAAGAGCCCTCCCACACCTCCGGCCATCTTCAAGTAGTGCATCGCGCAGTGGATGAGCGCATCCATGCGCAGGTGGGAAGTATAATCCGATGGCCATCATGACAAGCGCAACGAAGACGATCGTTATCTTCGAATTTCTCATCATTGCGCCGACGTCTTCCCTTCCTGCCACGATTCCCTCCACCACCGCTGGATCAACTACTTCCACTCTTACACTATTATCTTCGCCGCTCACGAACTCTGGAATCAACCTCAGAAATAGGAAAATCATGTGCTCACGCATAAAATCCAGGATCAGAGGCGCCAACAATGCTGTTCCGTGTCCAATAGCAGCCGGAACTGCACCAAAAACGGCTGCTCCAAACATTCCCAATACCGCTGTTTGTGCTTGCGCTTCCGCAGTATAAAGCTGCAAAGCCGTCGATTCATCCTGCGGCGTTCTGGACGTCGATGCATCATCCTCAGAGGCCGGCAGAGACTCTTCCTCTTCTTCCGGATTTCTCTTGCTGGGGGTAGCACCATGCTGGTGATCGTGCTTCTTTTCGGCGCCGGCCCCCCGGGGTTCCGTCACAGACGCTGCGTCCTCCTTCTGGTGACCCTCGGGTTTTGCAGTACCAGTGCCTTCAAGAAAGTCTCTGTTTCCACCAGCAACATGACCATGGGAAGCCGGGTCTGCGGCGTTTTCTTGCTTTTCCAAAACAGATCCTGCTTGCTCGTCGGCGTCCATGCGCCGGCCATGGCCAACCCCTTCGGGAGCCGGTTGGTCATCAGTTTGCCCAGGAACTGGTGCATGCTCGTCAGGCAAGCTGCTGAGGGATTGAGCATGTGCATGATCAGGCTCAGGGTCTGAACTACTCGGCATCGGTTCTTTCTTGGCGTCATGTTCTTCACCGCCCTGTTGGTTTTGCGAAGAAACAGCTGAACCCAATTCCGTCTCCAGAAGTGTGGAGGCTTCGGTAGAAGATGGACTCGTCATTTTTGCGCCGCCCGTTTGCAGGAGCGCGTCGGTTCGAGCTGCAGTGCTTGTTTTCTCCGAGGTTCGAAACTCGTACCGAGCTGCGTCCTCCGGATCATCTTCATGTTCATGCTCCTCAGCTGCATGACCGTGGCCATCATGGCCATGAAGACCGTGATCATGATGATGATCCGCGGAGCTCACGTCGGCATTGCTGCTGTCCGAAGCGTCTTCTTTAGCTTTACCTTGCTCCTGCTCCGGCGCAGCTGCGTGTGGTTCCGAGGCCGCCCCTGCATCTCCACCGAGATTCCACTTGTTTTTAGCGTTTCTCGTCTGCAGTGCCGACGATTCTTCAACACGACCCCCGTCCAGTCCAGAACCAGAAGCGCCACTTCTACCAGAATCAGGAGCATCCGGCTCAGACGTGCTGCCTGCGCTAGGCCCCTCTGCAGTACCGCTCGTTCCCGGGGTTTGGGTTTCTTCAGATGATGATGACGCAGCACGACCCGTTTCAAGAGCTAGAGCTCCTTCTTCCTCTTCCGCCCCAGTGTTCGCTCGCCGGCGTTCAACCGACGCTAGCTCTTCGTCCGAAGCGATGGTCGGTCGGGTCTGGGTCCTCTTCCGCCCGCCGGAGTCGGAGTCCCGGTCACTGCTGCTGCTCTTGTTGCTCCTCCCGCGATTTTTGTGTCGCGCTCTTTTCGCTCGACCGTGGCCCGTTTCCAGCCCCGAGAACTTCTCTCGTTCCATCGATAAATCCTTCCACTCAGGGTCCAGCCATTCCTCCACGTGATTTGTGAGTCCGTCCCAAGTGTTCTTGGCATGTTGACTTGCTGCTTTTCGCTTGTTGTTTTTCGCCTTGTTCCGGGTGCTTGAGTTGTTTCGCCCGGTCGTGCTGCTTCGCACTGTCTTGCGCCGCCGGTCGAGGTCGCCTGGGTCAGACGCCCCACCGTCCGATTCGGAGAACGGATCCGTTGCTGGCTTTTTCTTCTTTCGTTTGCGCTTGCCCTGGGCATGTTGAACCTCCAGGATTTCCTCGAAGAGAACGAAAGCCACAACATGTCGCCGCGCGGCCCTTCCTCCACTACTGGCACCGACACCCATGACGAACCTGCTGCAGCTGTTACTGTTTGGCGTTGTAGTACTTTCTTACCCCTGAAGATTTTTGGTTCAGCTCGTTTCTGCAACGGTCTGCCGTCCGCAGGAAAAACTTCTCGCTCCGATTGCCTTCTTCTTGCTTTTTCGGGGTCGCCTTCAAGTGTTGAGCTTGAGTTTCAATTTCAAACTTGTGGTTCGGCCGCAGAAATAAAGTTGTTCTTTTTATCTAGCCGCGTACCTAGATATTTGTCTTCGTGTTTCGTTCTTTCGTCAAAACTCTAAGCACGAGCTGTATGTAGTACTCACTTTTGGGAAGTAAAGTACGACTTCAGCTTCTTAGGCTTCGGATATTGATGAAGAGGATATCGTCTTTAGCAAAATGACTCGGATTGTAGTTTTTGTTTTTGGTGCTGTTCTAAATGTGTTTTTTAAATTCGGAAATAATTTCACAACGTACTACAGAAAATTGGAATTTACCGATGTCAACAACGTAATTGGTATACAACTACTGCAACACAAACCAACGCCATTTAGTAAATTCTAAATCCGTTTCGTTTCTCTAGTGTGACAACGGGTGGTGACGCTGTGAAGGTTAGAACGCTTTCAAATTCTCGCTGACGAAGTCGAAGACTACGACAATAACACTTACTAGTCTTGGTGGTACTGGCCGCGTCAGCAGTCGGCCTTACCAGTACGGTTCTTGTCTTGTACGACTACGCAAAACCAAAGCACGGACGACACAGAAAGAAAAAAATATGTACAGATATGCCAATTTGAATTTCAATTTCTTTGATTGCTAGAGCCTCTCAGTTGTCAACCGACCAGATGTGTAACACCATTCGCGAAACGAACGAACGGAACGTTCAGAGTGGACGAACGCGTAAACGATTGATTCACAGGAACGCACGAACTACTTCGTCCTGGTGAACTCACCGAGACCGACACTAGGCAGAAAACCTACTGGAAATCGAAACCGACGGTAGCATTGTATTACGGGCCAATGGACGATACTACAGAAAAACGAAGCAAGGTCACTAAACAATAGACAACTGCACAACAAGAATAACGCACACCGACGTAAAAAAAATCATAATCACTGCCACTGGTGCAGCGAAGTGAAGATGAAGAAAATGGAACTGCAGACAATTGCGTTCTCTTTTGTAGTAGCTTTTCGCACTGTGTCTGAGACCCAGTGCGTGAAGGTCCGAGCAAAATACAAGCAAAATGCGCTCAACATGTTGGGTTCGTTTCTCTTTGCCGTAATGGTAAAACTGCTCATGCACACCTGTATGTTTGGCGTGATTCATTTTGGGGTTCTGATTATTACAGTATCTTGCTGCAGAATGCGTAAACAGGGAATGATCCCGGAGACTGTGCTTGGACTTGGAGACAAACTGTGGTCGCTCTAGAGGAACGAAATAAGTAAACTGACAGAGAGTGTTGATGTTCATTGAATGTGCCGGGCGAATTTGGGCACCGCACTTCGTTTCGCGGCCGGATTCGTCCCTGAGCAGCATCCAGTGGAAAAGTGGTAATGGATCCTTGTGCGCAATGCGGAGTCATTTTCCATCATGCACAAATATCATCTTCTGTAGTTGTCCCCTGTATGCGATCTGCAACTCAGTTTCAGTTTCATGCGAATGAAGAAGATCATCATGATCATGAATCGCATTGCTACAAAACACCGCCACTTTTCCGTGTACAACCATACAGCAGCTGCGGATTGAGCACCTCCGGAATTGTAGTTCCCCCGACCACTGCCGACCCCGGTAGTTCCTCCGAGCAGGTTCAGATTTACTCGCGGCCGAAAGGTGCCGGCGCTGCCCTTCTTGCCGCCTCTGGAAGTGGCTGCTCCCAACATCCCGGGCTTTTGGCTTTGGTTTTTCTCCTCGTCGCTGCTGTAGTTTTCAGCCGGTCTTTTCATTTTGTTCTTCCCTTTGTTGGTGCCCCGAGTACTGGCCGTAGTATTCATCGAGGATGATGATGTTGACGACGGCAGGATCTCACTGCTGGCAGCACCACGTACTAAAGCGCTGCCGGTTCTCGATGTTCCCGGTTGTGGTCCTGTTAGTACAGGTGGTAAGCCGCCCTTGCCGTCTGTTGAATTCGCGGCGGCCTCCAGATGAACAACAGGGCGCTTTTTGTCTCCAAGTTCAAGTACCGGAGGGGCCATTGCCGATGACGCTGCTGCCGAAGTGGAGGGAAGCCCCTGGAGCTTATCTTGAGGCGCGGCGGCCGAGGAGGTAGACGAAGAACTCATGACCTTCTGTCTCTTCAAGTGCTCCAGTTCAGGGCCCTTCGCGGCGGGAGCAGATCGACCAGCGATCGACCTCACGGGGCTGGGCACTGCCTTCTCCGGACCGTCAAAGAGCCCTGCTTCATCGGTTCCTGTTTTGTTTCTGTGGTGCTGTCGTTCAAGACCATGGCTTAGGCCAGGGCTTGTCACATTCTCGATCTGTTTGTTGCCACCGGCTGACGACGATGTTGGGGCAGCTCCCGTGAAGATAGAGGGGTGCACATCGTCAACGCCTGTGGCCAAAGACGTCGACATTGCAGGACCCTTGCGACTTGATGGTGCCCCCGACGGAGCAGGTTCATTTGAATTCATTGCCTCAAACGGAGGATTGCTCGAGGCGTCATGATCGGTTTGCTCGGCATAATTTGCGGCACTTCTCGTAGCGGTCACAGCCTCTTTTATCTCCACCACACCCACAGTCGCATCATCGGGCCGGGGGTCGTTTGGCAGGAGGCTCTGGTGAAGACCAAAGTGGTTTTCGTCAACAGCAGCAGGAGCAGGTGGGCGAGAATGCGCCCACCTGCTCCTTAGCCCTGCTGGAGGGCGTACTTTTCGCTCCCTGCTCTTAGCAACATCCATTACCATTGCGTCCCTACTTGCAGTTTCGTCAATTACAATTAGACCGGCGGCATCTCTTTTTCTGCTTGACGAGTTGGAGTTCGACCCTACAGCATTGCCACTTGTCCCAGTGGAGGTGACCGCGTCCTGCAAAATTTTTCTCCGTTTCGCCTGAGGTTCATCTTGCAGCTGTGGCCCTCGGAGCAGATCACTTTCGCCACGAACACCCGTCTTTGTTCCGCCGACAAAGCCTCGCGAGGAGGAGGACGGCAGCTCCAGGGGGGACGAGGGAACGGCTTTCAATTCTCTGTTCCTGACTTGACTTGTACCTACACCTGCTCCTGTAGTGATGCCCGCCGCTCCCAATAATTGCCTTTTCTCCTGCTTCCTCACCCGTGGCGCGGGCGAGGGCGAGAAGAGCTTCTCCGCCTCGCGGGCAGGCCCGCGGTCGGGGTCCACGTTTTTGCTCGCGAGCTCCTTCTCATACTTCGTAACGCACAACTCGTCGTCCAGTTTGCCGAGCTCCGCCTCGAGCGCCGCGATCTCGTTCTCCACGCCGATGCACTCTTGTTCGTGCTCTGCGGCCCGCTTGCGCTTGAAGTTGTATCGCTTCCTTCCCGCGGTCAGTTCGCGGCGCACCCGTCGCCGCTCGTCGTCGTCCTTGCGCATCACTTGGTAGAACCGCGTCGTCTCGGCCTGCGGCCAGCCACTAGTCTTTTCCGGCAGCAGCGATTCGCTTTGGTCCCGAAACGGGTAAAAGTCCGAGATGTCCAGCACAAAAGGCTGTGCGTGCGGCGGGACGGCTGTTTTATTAACGATATTCTGGTTAGTATCTGGCGCGGGCTGTAGAAGTTCTTCGTGCTGCATTACCGCAGGCCTGCTCGAGCTGGACGAAGTAGCGCCGGTTCCACCCAAAGTCGACGCACCAGTACTACTAGCTGCATTCGCCGTGTTCGTCTGATTTATTCCAGGAGCACTCGAGGAAGATGAAGAGGATCCAGCTGCCGGCCTTGATGTGCTTGCACTTTTCGTACAACCGCCGGCCCCAATTGTCGTGTCGTCCTTGTTCCTTTCTGAACCGCTTCGCTTTTGCGCTGCTCCTTGTTTATCTTGTTTTTCCCTCTGCCTCTCCTCATCCGAGGCGCCTTCGTCCAGGTCGATGACCCGCGCGGTTTTCCGGCAGCTCGCAAAATCGTCGATCTCCTCCGATTCTAGCACGATCAGCTCTGGCGGCTTTGAAGATGCTGTGTTTATTCCTTCCCCATCTCCTTCAACATCTTCGGTTCCCGCCGCAGGGTTTGCTCCTTGTCCCCCGTGCTGCTCGTCCGCGGGAGGAGGTTTGCTCCAGCACTTGTGGTGGCCCGCCTGGAGGCACATCCTGGTTTGCAAGAGGCACTTCAAAACCGGGTCGGGAACCTTGAAGTCCTCTTGCAGCTTTTTCACGTCGCGCACGTCCTTCTTGGCGTTTTCCTCCAGAAGCTTCTTCTCTTTTTTCTCCGTTTGCTTCAGCAGCTTTTCCGTCTGCTCCACCTTGTCCTCCAGCTCCAACAGGGCCGCTTTCTCCTGGTCCCGCTCCTCCTGCGCGCGGTGCATGGCGGACTCCGAGGCCTGCAGCTCCGCGCGCGCCTCCTGCTCCTTCTTTACCAGTTCCGCGTGGCCCTCCGAGCTGCGCAGCCGCGGGTCGTCCAGAAGGAGCTGCCGGTACTCCCTATGCATTGCACAAGTATCGTACTTCTCGCAAACGTAGTAATAAATTGCAATGATGCATGGGAAATCTCGTTTCCTAGGTGCATCAGAATGACAAATTCCATTAAGCATAAACTTCCCCGTACTTATACGAATTTTGTCGTGCAACTTATTCTTTACTAAGTACGATATTTTTGGTTTTCCAACGCGTACTCCTCCTCCACTGACAAATCGCCCTGCGCGCACTTTCCGTCCACCGGAATGCAGTGCACGGGCAGCCCGGCCTTCTTACCGATGAACTCGGTTCGGCAGTTCGGGCAGGAGGGGTCCTTTTTGTTCTTCAGCATCTGCGATTTCCACTTCTCCAGGCACGTCATGTGGAACACGTAGCCGCACTGCGCGCACACCCGGAGCGAGCATGTCTTCGCGCCCTCCGTCGGAAGGAGGGACTCGGTGCAAATGCTGCAGAGCGAAGCCTGGTCCGGCTGCTCCTCGTCCGTGTCAGCGTTCATGTTTTTTTTGTAAGTACTTTTGATAAGTTTTGTTCAGTCGAAAATAACCTGATGCGGTGAATGAACGTATACCAATGTCTATGTTCCTCGTTTTTTGGTTTAGTCTTATATGAAAGCAGCCGCGACTGTTACCACACGGGGTGGGTTTCAAAGTCACGAGTTATCACGAGATAAACCACCTCGACCATTAAAAGTGGCTGAGGCAGAAACTTCGACGTTGATTGCAGAAGCCTGGTGGTCAACGACACATTGACTTAAGGTTAAGCAGGACGGGATGACCTACTTGAACAGCAAAATAGTAAACGAATCCATCAACTTGGAGTTTCGCATCGTGGCATTGGTGCTCACCTTGAAGAAACAAAAAACCTTGTTCCGTGGCCCTCCTGGCTATTCAAAGAACAATCAGAATCATGACCTCTTCGGCATATTCTGGTGCACCACAACAGTTCGTTGTCTTGTGCCTGCCACCGTAAAAATCACGACTAGGATTCATCCACCAAAAAGGGCCAGCTGCTTCTTCGCCTTCGGGGAGGTAGGACACGAGAACAGGTGGTGACGCCAGTGTGGAAGCCACTGCATCAGAAAGTCAGCGAAGTACTATCGCACAAGCTCAATCCAGCGCTGGTGCTTCGCAACTACAGCCTCTGTGTTGACGAGCGATATTTATTTTTTTTGGACTCTTAATAATGCTGAGCCGCAACCAACAAACATGCGCGAGAAAATCTTGGTCTTGTCACAATGGCCAGACGCGTGCTAATCTTGCAGCTTCAGCTCGCTGCAACTAGAGAGCGAAAAAATGATCGGAGAGCTTCGTCATGTTACTTTTTAAACTATGCACCATCACTCGCGTAGTAAGCATGGTAGCAGAAACAAACCGGGAGCGGGACATCAAGGCCAACCTTTCTTAGGGTAGAAGATTCAACTGAAGTGGAACCATCTCATGTTGCAAAAAAACCAGGAATGGTAAGGAAAAATGGTGCTAAGCGTGGACACAGTATATTGTCGTGCTTGCCCAAACCACTACAGGAAAAACAAAAAAGAAAATAGAAATACTTACTCACTTACTTGGGAAATAATACAGATTGCGAATCTACATCCATATATGAAGAGCTAACTACTGAATTTCTTGGGGTAGCAACAATCCAACGTTCGGAGTCAAATTGCAAACATTTATCGTCCCGCTTGTTGAAACGTCGTCACAGCGGTGTAGTCGGCTTGTCTGCTTGGGTCGAACATTACCGGTGACTGCACTTGGCCCATCAAACCTGTTTTTTCATGAAAACTTTGATTCTGATGATCTTGAAGCAGCCGGCTGCACTGAGCTGGGCTTGATGCAGACCGCATTTTTTTTACCTTCTTTTACTGTTTGTGTTTCTACTCTAGCTACAAGGATTCACTACAGTTAAAGTCACCCAGTAGTACCTTGGTTCGCTCCGGGACTACCACCCCTCGGAAACAGTTTGGCTTGCAGCAGCGTAATGTGCTTGACGAGTTCATTGTTGCGCATTTCCAACTCCAGAATCCGCCGATCCTTGGACTCGCAGCGCTCGCACCAGATGTCGTAGCACTCGAAACAGCCCGCCTGGCCGCACACGTGCTGCTGCTTCGGGACAAAGCGGTACCCCGGTGGGGGTATCATCGGATGGTGACCCCGCCGACCACTTGACATCTTGATGCCTCGTGCTCAGGAGAAGGAACGAGAAGCGCGTGGCGAAGTGAGAGTAAGAAGTGTGCGATTCTTCAAGAAGTTATGATAGAAGCAAGATGCGTACACACACAAGACCTTCGAGTTATTTTTGCTTTTGCGTCAATCGGGTTTTGTTTACTTGAAATGCATATGCTTCAATTCCGAAATATGTGATTAGGAAACTCGAAATGGTAGTTTGTGAGCAACGGGGTTTGTGGAAACTGCTGGTGTGGTTGTCAGAAAAATGATGGAGGAGCCTCAGATGACAGACAAGAGGTTTCTAGTGAATCTCAATTCATCCTAGTAATCCTATCTACCACAGCTTCTTCTAGCATCTTCAACCAAAAATTGCACACGTCGAGTGGACTTGTTGGTACGACCGCCTCATCGTTATCGATGGCTTTGTTCATCAACCTTGTGATGTTCTGATGTACGAAGTGACAGGAGTACGACCGATACTGGAATGGTTTTGGTTTCAAGACGTCGTCGACTTGAAGAAGATATTACATGTTCTTGGCGATGGAAGTAATTCCTGACTACCCATCGTTTTCGTACCCATCCGAACGTCGGGGTTTTTTGTGAATCGTACGAACCAAAGAGTTGCCGTAGTTCGTATTATGGGAAAATATTTTTTTTGTACGATGACGAAGAATACGTCTTGAACGACAACCAACGCACGACTGAATGAAACACGCTCGACCTTCACAAGCGGACCACGGATTGGAGGCAAATAAAGACTTTTTAGATTTAGGCAGGACGAAAAGGAAAAGAAAAACCGAAAACGTCAACGATCTACGAACGAAACATGAAATTGGATCATGTTAAGCTCGACGTCAGGAACATGCATCATGTTGTTCGGGCGACGAATTATACTATAAAAATCTTCAAAGCCAAACTCGAACTTCTGCTTCTGCAGAAGAGCTCACGCGCCAGGCGCTTGGTGGAAATACCTGAGGCGCGCAATACAACAGTCTCTACTCCAAGAAAATTTGAATAAGTACTTCACGCGTCGCAGAACGACGCACAGACTCAGATATAAAAGCATAAGAAGAAGAACGAACCATTTTGTTTTTCATAAACTACCAGTATACTAATTCTAATCCTTATCACGGTCAGCAGAATAATAGAACCGATTTTTCATTCATTTTTTGGGGAAGGTAGTACGTAAGTACATGCAGTACGGGTCCACCACGGACGGGATACTAGAAAGCACTTGCTGCAAAAATCTCTATCTTTTTTTCACCATGCATCTGCAATTCTCGGCGTCAAGGGTAAAAATTTGATCTCCACCTACTGATTCGCTTACGGATTTTCTTCCACCTGTGAATTGCCGCCGGCACTAGATTCCGAGACCAAATCGATCACCTCGCGATGCAGTTCATCTGCGCCTTCTTGTCCGGTGTCCTTCTCATCCTGCAGTTGAGGAGAGCTATCGACCGGGGTTGGCGCAGTCACCAGCTTCAAATTCGAGGCCTGCAAGGCATCAATACCGACAAAATTCTGGCTATTTGCCGCCTGATTCACGCGCATCATTTGCGAAGGGGCCGAGACAGGCAGTTTCGTTTTCCAAAGAGTAGATGTAGCAGCGCCCATCGCAGTCCCCGTTCCGCCACCGCTCGCGTTGTTGTTTGTCACAGCATTCGCTTTTCTTGTCGTCGGGGCTGCATGGTTGGCATTCGTGTTGTTTTCAGAAGTGCGCACTTGTGGAAGCTGGTTGTTATCACGCTGACAGGTCTTGCCGTTTATTTTCCCCTGCTGTAGTTTCAACATCTGTCCTTCACCCATCAGGAGCCCTGCCGCAGGTCGGGTGGCAGTGACCGGCTGACTCATGGCTTGATTTTTAGAGGCACCCTCCGCCCGATGTGCGGCTAGATCTTGAAAGTGCGCCTGCCGTAAGGCCTCTTCCAGTTTTTTCTCGTATTTCTGCAAGCCCATCTCGCGCTCTTGTTTCCGCTTTTCAAAAAGAATTCTTATGGGCTGCTCAGGCACTTCTGTCACCTCATCTGTTTCGTTGACCGCATTGATTCTATGAATAGTACACAATTGGAGAATTTGCAATGTTGTTAACCACGGTCTGTAGGAGCGCTCTTTCTTTTATCAAAACACTGGCACGCAGCTTGCTCTTACTGTTGATGCAAGACAAGGCCCTCGAGCTCCTGTCATTCGCATTATACAACAGGTGAAATCGCAGAACCCCAGCAGCACGCCATACTGTCGAAGCCAAATTCCTTCTGCCCTTGCGCTCTGTGGAGGTTCTGCCCCGGATGCAAAAGTAAGCAGCGCAGCGACACCACATCAAGTCGGAAAACAAGACCTCTAGTCTTCGTTTTGTGTGTAGTCTTTTTCTGATGAACTCGGTCATGCCGTCGGCAAAGGCTTCTATGTCGAAATAGAAAAGCCAAGCACTCGTTTTCATCTGTTGTGAACAGCAAATGCAAAGAACGCTTTCTGCATATGAAAGAGTGGCATTTGTTTTCTGTTTGGGTCGTTTGCTTTTGGAGGTTCAACTTCCGATATCCGCGAAGAGTCACGTAGCTGGCTTGCTTGTCAAGCTGCTCCCTGGACGAACGCGAGCCCCCTGCTGCGGAGCAGGAGTCTCCTCCATCCGAAGTAGAGAGAAAAGTTTTCCCATCACGAGGACCCACTCCCCCCGCCGGCGCCACGACCCCAAAATCGTTCGGCACCAGTCCAGTTTCCGCCCAGAACTCCCGGTGCGCATCCGTGACCTCCGCAACTTTACCTTCATCCCGCACGAGCGGCGCACCGACCTGGCGCATGCTGCTTCGTAGCCGCTCGACGTTCGCAAACTCCCGCTGTTGGTCTTCGGAGAAGACCAGCTGCTTCAAATTGTCCTCCGTGAAGTTCGGATTTTGCAGATTCCGCCGCTTCTGGTCCTGTGCGTCGCCAAGCAGGGTGTCGTTGTAGGTGCGCAGGTCGTTGGCGTCAATGAACTTGTTTTTCGCGAACAGCTTGGAGTCTGCTTCCGGCGCCAGCTTGTGGTCCAGCATGGTGTGCTTTGTGTAGAGTGTGGTGCAGATCTGCGAGGTTTGGGGATTCGGCACACAGTACCCAAGTTCTTCAAGCGCGTCCAGCCAGTCGGCAATGGACGCATAGTGGTGCCCCTGGACCACCGTCGGCGCTGCGACGGACAGTGCGCCGGCGGTGGTGCCGTAGACGGACCGATTGTAGACCGAACTCGCCCCCGCGAAGGAAGAGACCGTGTTCTGGGCGCGCAGCTTCTGGAGTTTATTCGAAGAGGACGATGCGGCAGCGGCTGCGTTAGCGAGGCTGCCGTTTTGATCTACTTCCGCTCCCGTAGCTGCTCCTGCCGAAAGAAACTCCCCCGCCGCTGTGTTCATCTTGCCGCCCGCCACGGCGTTGCTGTGCCTCAATCTGTCTGGTGTGATGAACTCAATGACGCCATCGGCTTGGAGCAACTTCAATTCGCGCCGCACGGTCCCGGTCTGCGGAATGGTTTCGAGTCGCACCTTCGCCCCCTGGATGCGCACCATGGTGTTCTGAACCTTCTGCTTATTTTCCGTCGGGATTTTCTCGATCAGCTTTCGTCCGTACAGCCGTAGGGTGACCTGTTTCTCCGTGTGGCGCAACACCAACTCTTGATACTTCAGGTTCCCCTGCTCGTAGACACGACTCCGCACGCTGGCCACGAACGCGAGGAAAGCACCACCGAGCGGCTGGTCCGGGGTCCGGAGATCCAGGTTGTCGAAGGGATTCTTCGTGATGATGTTCCGGTCGTTTACGACCCCGGCTTTCCTCATCTCCAGTACCTCGTTCCGCCGGGACAGCTGGTTGGCAAGCTGCTGCTCGAGCAGTTTTCGCTTCTCGGGAATCTTCGTGCTAAGCACAAACTTCTTCTCTGCTTCCTGCACCGTAGAGATTCTCCAGGGGAGCAGCAGCTGTGCCTGATTCCTGAGCAGGTCTTCCCACGTGCTTTGCGCGACGTCCGCCATGCCCTTCAGGTTCTGGGCCTGGGCCGTTTTCTCCAGGTAGCTACGCCACAGCAGGGGCTTGGCGATGTCGATGGGATTGGTGGTTTCGGACCACCGCCGCTCCACCCGAATCTTGTACTGGTCGCACCCCAGGGCCTGCAGGGACTCCTTCTCGCGGAGGGAAAAGTGGTTTACGTGCTCCAAGAAATTTTCGCTGGCGACGAAGTGGTGCTGCCCGGTCTGTTCAAAGTCGTCCGCGGTGACGAAGTCCGTGACGCAGGTGTGGTTGAGGTACACCAGGTCCCAATACTTCCAGTCCTCCTGGAGGATTTGCGCGCAGTTTTGGGCCGCCACGCCGGTGAACTTCACGACGATCTGTTTTACCGGACGGTTGTCCGGCTCGCGGTCCAGCTTCACGTGGATTTCAGGAGGCTGCTTGTTTGTTGCAAGAAGAACTCCGGCGTTATTGAAGTTGCTTTTGGAGTTGCTGAAGTTCTTCTTGGAACCGCTGATCAGTTTCGTTGTTCCACCTCCCGGATTGTTCGTAGCCCCTTCTTCAAAAACAGAAATCGCGTCCTCCACATCCTTCCGGTCTTGCACGAGAATCAATCGAAAACCCTCGGTCAAGTCCGTCGCCGCGCTGTTGTCCGGCCGGAGGCGCAACACGCGGAGGCGGTACTGCCAGGGGTTGTCTTTCTTCAGTTTCTTTCTCCCGTCCCACCGCTGCTTAAACACGCCCAGGTTCCGCTCGTGCGCCTCTTTCCGCTGGAAGCCCGCGTCGCTCCACACGAGGGGCAAGGACTCGTGGATTCGCTGGTCGGTGAGCCTGTAGAACAGCACCGTTTCTTTCGTTTGCCGCATTTCCGCGCTCCGTTCCGTGATCTTTTGGCCCACTTCGCGCATCTTGGTAAACCGCTCCGAAGAAGTGAGAGTGGTATTGTGCTCCGTCCGCAGTTTAATCTGCTCACTCAACAACTGCGCGATAGGTCCGGCGTACTTGGTGTATCTCCGCACCTGGTCGGTGATCTTCGTGCAGCCCGGAATCATGTTTTTCACGTACTGCAGTGACCGGTCACAGTCCACCAGGAACTCCAGCATGTTGCGCACATCGTTGACCGTGGGGATCTTTTCGGGTACCAGCTCCAATTCCAATTGCTGCACCGTGTAGCCCTCGACGGGCCACCGCTTCTTCATGTGGTTGAGGAGAAACTCCAGTCTTTCCTTGGAAAAAGGCGCGGAAGCAGGAAGGTTATCAAATGTAAAAGTGTCTGGGTCTGGAAGAGTCATGCTGTTTTTGCATGACACAGAAGGTCTGGCATGGAAGCTCTAGCATTACAGGTTTCGAGAAGCTTCCGCATCCGCGATGCCGAATCCGCATGACAAATCCCCCACTTTGGTGACAGAAAGAAGGCAGCTTTTGCTACCCATGATGCATGAGAGATTTTTCTGTGTTCTGAAATGCGCATCGCAAGTTTGTATTCTTCCAGACCCAGACACTTTTGCATTTGATAAAGGTATCTGGTGTTCAACGCTAGCGGGGCTGAGGGCGAAAATGGCCGTCGCGCAGAATCTATTTCTTCTTGTAGAAGTGGATGTAGTTGTCGTGCTATTGTAGTGGGCAACGAAGGTTCTTGCAAAAGCGAAGCAGGAAGTCTTATTGACGAAGCGGCTGCAGCCGCGGTGAAGGGCTGCTTCGACGTCTGCGCTGGATCACGGACGCCCGCCGGAAGCAGGGGGCCGCTCGAAGTTGATGTATGGCACTCATGATTCCGTTTGCCTGTCTCTTTGTTCCCGGTCTCTGCTGTGATGAACATTGCTGCTCCTGCACGAGCTGCCTCGTGGTTCTTCGCAGCGCACGCCTGCAACACCTCTACGGCCTTGACACTTCTGTCTTGCACCTCTTTCTCTAATGCTGCAACAGTTGTAGCCAGATCCTTTTCCCGCTTTACAAAGCAGTTGTGCACGAGCGTGTAATCCAGTTGCTCCGCAGTCCTCGCCACCTCCGTGCGCAGGAGCTGAAACACGGCGTAAAAGTCGTTCCTTTTCTCTGCATCAAAGTGCAAAATGAAGCGGTTCCCCTGGTCCGCTTTCATCTTTTCGTTCGACTCCGGAAATGTTGTGGAAACCTTTTCCCGTCCGGTAGACTTGATTTTGCTTGTCCATTCGTCGGTCTTTGTCATCGTCATACCGTAGAGCGTGACGAACATGTTGCGGAGAATTTGGCTCTCGTTTTGCTGCAACTTCGAGGGGTCGAAATCCAATCGGTCGAAAGCCCACCAGTAACTCGCGACGAACAACAACAGCAAGAAAAACCGCAGCAGAGCGTTTTCCCTGTCGGGGTCGACGGTTTGCAGAAGTAAAACCCAGTGGCCTCGGACTAACTTCCAGCTCTGGCTGTACTCGCGTTCGGGTAACGTTTGCTTATCCCGGTATGCACGATCCCCAAGGAGAAAGCCGAGGGCGGAGAGGTTGGCGAGGAGGTTTTCCGCCGCTTCAATGTGCGCTTGTCGATAAGACGTAGAAGGACCACCATCTGGTCTACTGCTGTTCTTCCCAGTAAAGTTTTGCCACACGACATCCTGCTTCTGTTTCTCCTCGCAAAGGCGCTCGAGTGCCTCGCGGCGCGTCTTGGGGATGAGTTTGGTGTGGCTGTGGGTTTTGCTCCTTATGTTTTCCAAAATCACCTGCACCAGATCGGCACTGGTGGGGGCGGTCGGGGCGGTGGCAGTAGCTGGGTGTTCCACCTGCGGTGAGGCAGCCGCTATCTTTGCATATGCAGCCATGTCATCCCCTTCTGCTTTCTTGACTCCTCCTTGTCCTTCTTCCTGATCAAGCCTTCCTAGAGTCTTCTTGTCCGTGAATAAGCCTCCCGAATTCATCTCTTTCGCCAGAACCGCCTTCCCCGCCTCCGCAACGCCCCTCGCAAACACGTCCACCGCACTCCGGCCGAATACGAGGGGCAAAACAGTACCAACAAAGACATGATCGACCTGGACCCAGGGGGCGAACAGCATCGCTGCGACGCTGGAGAGGCGCTCGGGGGCAAAATTTCCGAACTCCAGAAAATGCCCGACTGCACTGGCAGCGAGCTGTCCCGCGTCGAGCGCGTCCAGGCTTCTTTGAGTAGTCATCGGTGTTGTGGTTTTATTGTTCTTCTCCTCATGGTTACTATCCTTTTGCTTTTCCTCTTCGCGTGCGACCGTGGTTTCCGTCGCACAAGCGAGCGTCAAGTCCGCCACTAACACCGCCTTCCGCCACTGCTTGCTTGGTTCTTTGTTCTTAATCACCGTGCTTGCACAGCGGTCCATGGTTACCTCCAGCAAGTTTTTCTCGTTTTGGTTCTGTATCACGTCTCGGATCCGTGCGCGGAATTTTCCGGAGAGAATCAGCGCAGCCGCGAGCCAGTCGGCAGGAACCTGCGCGGACGGGAAGATTTTGGGCTTATTGTCGTAGGAAAAAGGAATTACGCTCAACGAGGATGTCGTGAGAAGAGGACGAGCCCTAGACGCTGCATAATGATCTTCCTCTGTTGTACATACTCCGTTGTTCAGGGACCCATCAGAAAGTGGCCTTTTACTTTTTGCGTTCTCCAGGATCTCGATCGCAAACACGTCCCAGCGAAAATGGTCGTAGTCGTAGCAAGTAAGCGAGTTTCGCGCGTGTCCCGGTCGGCACAGCTCCCGCCGCAATCGGCGCACGATCGGATCCCCGTTCCAGATTTTTTCCCACGCCTGCCCCCGGCCGGACCAGGTAGATGACCCGAGCGCGGCGGTGGGCTCGGTGGCCGGGTCGAGAAAAAGGCCCGCGTTGAAGAACAAATCCTCCGTAAACCCGCAGTCGTTCAGAAACAGCCTCGCGACACGAAACCCGCTTTCCCGAACTACCGTGGCGGAATCGCGCGAAGGCTCCGGCGCCAGGACGGTGACGCCGGTCGCGTTCAGGTGCGACTTCTTGTTCTCTCGTCTGTTCACGAGCTGATGCAAGCGGGTGGGGACGTTGTGTTTCTGGGTGATTTCGGTTCTTTCCGTGGATAAGAAAATTCCGTTGCTTCGACCACCAGCAGCGCCTCGTCTAGAAGTACCACTAGCGGGCGTCGTGATATCAACATTTTTCATCACATCAGCCTCTCGCTGTTCAGCGTCACGGCACCCGTCCGCGCGTATGTTCAGCACTTCCTTCAAAAGTTCCTCCTTCACAAAAGGATACCAGCCGTTTTCCTTCTCGTTTCCGGCCTGGAGGTTCATCAAAAGTTGCAGCACCTCGCGAAAAGCTTCTGTCGCCGTATCTGCAGACACGATGGTGCTAAAGCGCAGGGGAAAGGGGATCGGCGTCGTGTCTTCTCGGTCCAGGTGTTGTTGTGCTGCCAGGGATTTGTGACTCACCGCTGCGCTCGACACGGTAGACGGATGGGTGCGCAAACGCTTGTGTTTTGATAACGACAGCGGCTGGTGTATTTCTTGGCTTTCCTCCTGTTGCAGCCGTACTTTTCTAGAAGACGAACGCTGCAACTGCTTCTTCTGCTTCTTCGCACTGGTCGCTTGGTGATGTTGTTCCTCGATGAAGTCGACATCGGATAGAGTTACTTTCTGATCTCCTCGAAGAGCAGATCTATTCACTCTGTTTTGCGCGCTTTTTATCCTGTTCACTGTGCCTGTTTTTTTGTGTTCCAGATCCAATCGCAGGGCTTTTTGCGAAGATGGCAAATGATCGAGATCAAGCAAATCGTCCCTTTCGTGCAGGTCCCAGGTGCTGCCTCCGTTAACTTTCCGATGCCGCTTCAGAAGCTTCCTCGGCTTCTTCTTACTACTATCCCCCTTATCGTCCACGGGGTCGTCGGGCGGCTCGCCGTGGCTGTTATCAAGCACGATTATACCACTTGATACTACAACTTCATCCCCCGTTGCTCCGCCAGCTCCCCCGCCCTGAGAAGACACTTTTCTCCCGCAAAGTTCGTTTTGCGCCGCTGAGGACTGCTCGATAGCGATGCTCGTTTTCTGGAGATGAATCTCTCTGGACGAGGTGTTGACGTCGAGACCTGTTTGCAATTTCGGAAAAGTTGGCTCGTCTACTTCTTTTACCTCTCCTCAAAGGCAGCTACTTTTCCTTTTACGGGTACTCGTACTAGGGATGAAGAATAACAAAATCAGATTCAACGAGAAAAGAGAACATACTGATACTCAACGTGAAAAATAAACCAGGGAGCTAGAGGCACGTCTACTATTGAACGCAGCTTGATGTTTGTCAGTTGGTATCTACCAATTGTTCGTCTTACCGGCTCCCTGTCCGGCTTGCGCTTGTGAATAATCCTGGTCTTCCTCTCTCTTTCTGTCCTCGGCCGCCGCTTCATTGAAGTCCCCTTCCAGCCTGCGGCGCTTCGTCCCTGATCGTGCAAAAGACTTCTGTTGCGAACCACGAGAGGCCGCTTCATCAACGTCGTGCATCCTGTCGTCGTCAAGAGCATTCTCGTCCGCGACGACCGCGCCTGCAGGTGCAGCAGGCGTCTTTTTCTTGCACGAAGAAAAGTAAATGGTGCCACCACTGGCCGAGATGGCGTCGGGTGAATTCGCGCGCTCGTGTACTATGGCTGAAGACATGGTCGTCGTGCTCGTTCCCGGTGGTCTCTCGCGCTAGGACAGAGATGATCGCGGGCAAACAGGACGCGGCGTTGCCTAGTATACAAGATGAAACACCCACCACTCTCTGCGACCGCGCATGATTTCATTTGGACATGAGTTGCGTGTATGGATGGACACTCATCCGTTGCGGTACCATCGCGAGTTCGATCATGATCGAAAAATGGGCTCGTTCAATAGTGCCGGGAGCCGCGCGCAATCACGATGCCACAGCCACCGACATCGAGCTAGATCCGTGGGGGCGACACATGGCGCCGAATGGTTTCGCACACCGGGCGAGTAAGTCCGACGCCGCCGGACCGGCCCCACAAGCCCAGGCAATTTGCAATGCGGGCTGGCTGTTGCGTCTAACTAATCGCACCTGGGTGGGGTGGGCACACGGCCACGCAAGCTAGGCGCAAACCCCAAACGCTGCGCCCCCAATCTCAAAACTAGCTACCAGAACCAGCGAAGCCACCACCACAGGCACACCCATGGAGACTGCCCATTGCCGCATCGCAGGCAAGGGGCCGACTACACCTACGCCGCGCGGTGCTGCTGCAACGCCCACGCCGCTGCGAAGCTGCACGCGTGGCCAGCGCAACAGCTCCGGCGCCCTCGGCCCCGTTCGAGCATGCTGCCCGTGTGTGGAGAGCGCGGGCAGCCGGCGCAAGGCACAGAAAAAGGCAGGCGGGCGCTGCGCCCCTGTGTGTGGTCTGCCGCTGGCTGGATGCGGCCGGCCTGGCAAGCCGCTGCGGTGGCAGCCCGATTCATGGCGCGGACTGCTCGTCGCGCGGGCAAGAGGCCTGCGGGATAAAGGGGGGGCGGCAAAATGGCTGTAGTCCCGCCCCCTTCCGGCGATGGAGGGCGGGCTCTGCGGCGCTGGCTGAGCGTTGGTCGGCGCTAGGCACGGCCGCCAGGCACGCATGACGAAGATCCCCAGCCCCAGGCGCAGACTGCGCGGTGAGTGCAGGCCCGCCATTTTGCGCAGCTGGTCACTGCGCGGCCTCCTGGCAAATATTGCGGCGCGCCACCGCCAGAGGACCCTCTCCAGAGAAAGCGAGGCAATCGGGTCCGGCGGGTTTTTCCTCGCCACATTTCGCGATCTGATCGGAGAAACAGCTGCTGCGCAGGTGTTTCTCCGAAGAAACACCTGCACAGCAGCTGTTTCTCCGCTCTGATCGCAAAGTCGGCACTTCGCGAGCCCGAGAAACGGGCCGCGCGAAAACAAAAAATTTTTCGGGCCTGCCATGGAAGGGGCGCGGGCGCGGAGCGTTTTTCCTTTCTGGGCACGCCAGGGAGGGGCTTGGGGAACAGGCGTCGAGCGACCCGGGAAAAACCGCTCTGGGCGGCCCCAAAAGAAGGCGAACCCCCAAGACGCAGCTACGCCTGTGACAACGGGCAGGGGTTGGCGGGGGCGCGAGTCTGATCAACGCACGCTGCCACCGCCAAAGCTTGCTCGCACCCAGCTCGTTAGCCGGAGCAGGCCAGAAAGAGCCACCCGGGCCGCAGAGCTCCGTCCGGAGGTCCGGCCCCGCGGAGGAACCGGCCCGCCGAGGGCTTTTTGTCAGCTGCCTTGCTACCCGGGCACGCATACCAAAATAAAAATCGCACAAGATGAAAGACCCACCACTAAAATAAAAATCGCCTAAGTAATATACAAGATGAAACACCCACCACTCTCTACGACCGCGCATGATTTCATTTGGACATGAGTTGCGTGCGCTTTTCCAGCTGGGTGGCTTGAAGATTAAGATAAAATTGTCAAGTGACACTCAAATTTTGTTCGCGACGCTTAGTGCAGCGCGAGACGCGTGGAACTTTCACATCTCGACCAGAAAGAAAAATAAGAGATGTCTGTCGCAGGGAGGAGCCCAAACTTTTCCGTTCGCATCACTTTAATACTCCGTCTGCGACCATCTTCCATCCTTGACCTTTTTCTCGATCTATTTTCCCCTGACATCGGCTCATGCCGCGACGTTTCTTTCTACTGACACATTTCTGAAGTTCCTCGAAAGACCATGGAGAGGAAGAGAACCGACTAGCTCCTTCACCGTCTCGTCCTGGTCATCTTGCACATTGACATCATCATCAGCCCTGAAGTAAACACGACAAATCGCCATCCGTCCTTGGTCTTCACAGACGAACAGATACAGAAACGACCAGCAACTACGCGAAGATTTAACAACTCGAACACCACACCGCACCGTGGCAACTGCTGCATCTTGAACAAGAACAGATATTTAGTTGTAGAAGCCTGGTTGATGTAGGTATCAGGTGGGTGGGGCGTGACATTTCCTTCTTGTCGCGCGGGGTTGTGTGGAATTCTTGTGTTGGGGGGAGTGGGACGACCTTATTTCTATTTCGTCGTTCATCTTACAATATCAATACCTGGCTAGTATTAATATAGCGGAACTGTACAGTTCCCTGGCCACGGATTTATTTGAAAGCAACAGAAACATAATTGCTTTCCGCCATCTCCGTTTTTGGGTTGGGTAGCACTAGTAATTTATCAAGGGATAGTACAGCATGACTCGTGAAAAAAAAAAAAAAGATCGAGATCTATTACGAGAGAAGAACATGTTTGAAACCGCGCGCAATTTTACATAGGTATAATTGAGTTTGAAGTTTTTGGTTTTACGTTTCAGATTCAAGCGGAGCAGTTCCAGTTGCACCTTCGGCCATTCATGTTCGGCGCATCCTGGACCAAGATACTCAGCTCCTCCGCCTGCACCGCCGGTGGGGAAGTCGTACTCGATTGCGTTTTTGAGACACTACGACCGCCCGTAACGCCTTCGGCGCCTCTGGATAAACGGCCAGCACCAGAACTTGTTGCACTCGGTAGGTTTGCTGATGGTCTAGGCTCATTTGAGGAGATCTCGTCACCGCTCACGCGGTCAGGGACGGTGTCGACTGAAGATTCTTTTTCTTGGTCAACACCTGCCGGTCCAGCCTGCTCAGCCGCTGATTCTCGCGGACCTTTGTTCACTCGTGATGACGTTGTCATTTTCGTGGTGCTGTAATTCTCGGCGTTTGCGTCGTCTTCGTCTGAGACTGAGTCTTCCTCTTCTGGCGGCTCATCGGAAGAGTTAGAGTCTTCTACTTCCTCATTGTCACGATTGTCCCGTTGCTGCTGGTTTTGCAGGCCTGTAGGGAGATATTACACGGCACTTCAATTTGCAACTCATCATTATGTATGAGTATGATCACCAATCTCAGCTAGTAAGAACAGATGAGAAGCAACATACCTACTTACGACATAAGGCTAAGGATCGCATGATACAGGATTGATATGAAACTTTTCAAAAAGTGAACACGACGCAGCTATCCCAGCATGATCAGCTTACCAGGGTCCTCCACTTCTTCCTCGGTCCCGCGCGCTTGGCGTTCCCCCACCCCAGCGACCTCCCGCAGGCCGCGTAACAACGACGCCGTGACAAACGCCCAAAAGATCAGTAAAAGCGGCCCCCTGCCGGTAGAATAAGCACCCTCCTTGTCTTCAATCTTTATCTTCTTGACAGCGCTTGAAGGCGTCTCCTCTGCTATTCCCTGTTCGGTGCTGGTGGTCATGGTTGTCGTACCACTTCTAGCGGCTTCCTCGACGGAAGGGCTCAGATGTTGATCCTGCTCTTGATCTTCCCGAGTTCTTGTTTCTACCACTCTACTCGATGGTGAAGATGATGATGTCCCGGATAAAGATTCGGCACTAGCAGCTTGCTGCGCAATATCTTCCTCGACGTGGGCCGCGTGAAGATCCCCGTCAACATGCAGAATCGCACTTGCCGCCGCGGTGGGCTTTGCTGGAGTAGAATTTGACTTTGTTTCTCTCCTTCCGGCGGCTGATGAAGATGATGAATTCTTAACATTCTTCTCGCCGGAAGTTGTAGATGTTGGTGATCCTTGTCCCCCGCTGTGTTCTTTCACATACCTCCAAAATCCGTTTCCCCAGGTGTCATCGGGGTTCCTCGAACTGTAGGGAGAAGTGGAGGATAGTTTCGAAATGTACTCCATCCAAGGCACGCTACTTCCTGTCGATCGTGTACTTGCGGTGTTTCTTGATGTTGTTCTTCCTGGCCGTCCCGATGATCCTGCTGCAGCGCCGGGCGCGGTGGAACTTGTGGAATATTCCTCACTACTGCTAGAATTTCGTCGACTTGTTGTACTAGAACTGCTTTGATGATGTAGTTCATCTTCTACCAGTCGTGGAAAGTAATCCGTCCCGAGCAGCCACGCGAAGACCTGCTTGCCCGCCTTCTCCAACCAGGGCTCGGGGTAGAAATTGATGCTATCTGGCGTGTTCAAGTGCTCTTCGACCTTGTTCTCCTTATCAAGAACTGCCACCGTAGACGTTGCCGCCTGCGAAACACCAGTGCTCAAATTCGGTCCTGAAGTGGTCGACGTCGCTTCTACTTCTTCGCCACGGCCACTTTCGCTTGTTTCCACCGAAATACGATTACCAGCCTCAACAACGTTCTTCGAACTACCCACCATTTGATGTAGTTGTAGTTCCTCCTGCTCTGATATATTTCTACTTCCCCTCGACTCCACCGGGCTGGGGGCGATGGGCTCTGCGGGGTGGGAGGTCGGTTTGGCAGATGCAGAAGTCGAAGAGGACCACGGCTGCAAGAATTCCTTCTGCTGGTCTAGCTCGTGCTTTGAAGCCGGTGTGTGCAACCAGTGGACCACTCTCCCATCCCCCGGCGCCGGCATCCCCGTTGCTTTCTCATTTGACGCGAGTATATTTCTCTGTTTGTTTCTTTCCTCGAACTCGAGGTCTTTTGCTGAAGATGAGCCAAAGCTGGGCGTCACCAGCCAGCGCAAAGCGTCTCGGAAATTGCTCAAATTTTCCACAAAGTAGCTCCCATTTTCCGGCAGGAAAATTTTCTCCTGGTCCAAAATTTGCTTCTGAAAGCCCAAAACCCGCTCGGCGAAAGAAGAAGTAGTTGATGCAGCGGTGCTTCTTCCCTCTTCCATGAAGCGGATAACGTTCAATTTCGGCGTCGCGAGCAGCTCTGGGTAGCTCGAGACCAGCACACAGAGACAGGCGCCGAGCGAGATCAAGTTCAGCAACCGCTGCAGGGTGAAGCGGGAGCACAGGGTATTCAGAAGGAACCCGGTGAGGCTCAGCGGATCCAAGGTTTTCGCGAAGGGTGGCGCCAATCCCGCGTCCGGGGTTTCCACGAAGCCGGAGCGGACTGCAGTAACAGGCTCCTGCTGCTGCCCTTGGGCGGCTACTTTCGATGGTGACGATGTTCCTTGCGACGTGACACTGCTACCTCCTCTCGTCCCGGGCTTGCTCGTGATTGAACCTCCTGTGGACAAGCCGCCTGGTCGACTCGCAGCTGTCTTCATGGAAGCACCATTTAGTCTACTTCGCGCGTAATTGTCATGCGCATCGGTTAATACTTTTGTGAACCTTTGCTGGTCGTCGTTTTCACCATCTACCTCGAAGTCGTTATCATTCTCGTTTGTGTTGTATGACATCATCTCCTGTCCTACTTCCGGCGAGGGCTCTCTTTCCCCACCGGACTGCAACAAGTGGAACGACTCCTGACTGATCCGCGTGTCCCGAAACGCGTGCAGGCCGCCTTTCGGCGACAAGTCCCGCATCTCGATCTCGACGGGGGGTTCTGATATTTTCTCGTCTACTATGCCCTTCTTGTCGTTTCTACCGTCACCCCCGGCCTCCATGGAGCTCCTGAGTCGCGCGTCCCGGTCCGCTAAGCGTTTCCGGATTGCGGCCGTCTTCTCCCGGTACATCTGCAGTTCGCTCGCCTCCTGGGCCAACGGCTCTAAATTCGACAAAGCAACTTCTCCGACTGAACCTGCAGGAGCTCTAACTTGTTCATCTTCTTCCAGGATCTTCTGGTACTCGTACTTGTTGTTCCTTATAACCGTGGCAGCAGCTCCTGGTCGGGTGGTCGCGCTGTCAGGTACAGTGTTCGACGAAGTTTTTTCATCTTCGTCCAGCGAGTTAGCTAGTTGTACAGCAAGATTATCATTGTACAACTCGTAGTCATTCAACAGATTGTGGAAATCCCGTAGTTGGCTATTTTCCTCTTCCACATACCGCAGAAGCGATTCCCGGTCCAAAAACTGTTGCTGGTCTTCTTTCATCGTCGAACTCTGCCTCGTCTTCCGTGCCTTCTTTTTCTGTTTCTCGAGTTTATTGTGCACCGCCGGGTAAGCTGTGTTAATAGGTCCGGAGGACTCCTGTAGTTGCTTGCGATCACGACCCGTCGAAGCGCTTCTAGTTGTACCACCTGGCGACGCCCTTCGCTTCTTCACCGGGCGGACGACGACCCCAGAAGGTTGTTCTACTGCTCGCATTCGAGACCCATCTGAGGACAGCTCTAGTTGCTGCACACGAGCTTCATCCTGGACAAAAACCCCGGGCGGCACCGCGTAATCCACGAAGAACGCGCTGCTGTCCCGGGACGACGAACGGCTACGGCGCCGTTCCTGCGACTGCGACTTGCTGGTCCGGTACGCCCCTGCGGGTACAACCAGCCTCTTCATCTTCTTCTGCTGCAGCGCAACGCTTCGCCGCGTCGGAGAAGCTCCAGGGGATGAAATAATCCCGCCGCGTCCTGCACTGCGGTCCCTCTTCGGACTACTCTCCGGGGTTCGGTAGCGGGCACCAATCGGGGGCAAAAATCGGGCGGTTTTCTTCACAGGACCACGGAGATGTTGATGGTGTGCTGCAGCTCCTTTGTGGTCCCGGTGGAGGACTTGTTTTTGCTTCAAATCGTGCGCTGTGTGTAGACCACCACCAGCCCCGCGCAGATGGTACTTCTGGTTGGTCTGGTGCCGTGCTGCGACAAAAGCGGTTCTCTTTATTTTTTGCAGACCATCATTCTGGTTCTGCTTGTTCTGTCGCTTCCCGCACGGCCCGCGTAGGTACTGACCGATTGTAGTTCCCCCCGATACAGCTGCGTCTGTCTGACTCACCGCGTCGCCATGGTCTTCATCGTCTGAAGCATCGTCTGTGAGAATTAGTTCGTTCTTCTGCACTTGGATTTTCGCTGGCTGCTGCGAAGCGTTCTTATTTCGGACTGTTCGGCCACCAGCCTCTTGCTCATCCTCCGTAGCAAGAACTTCTTGTTCACTCCCACTGGTTTCCGACCACGCGCCGCCGATCTCCATGTTGGATGGCAAGTGCCAGGAGGAAAGTTTTTTCGCGGGCGCCGAAACTGTTCTTGAGGTTTTGTTCTTTCTGTGGTTGATTTTCAAGTCTTCAATGTCCGTGACTCTCATGTTGTACACCTGTCCCGAAGGTCCGCGAACGGCCACAACTTCCTCTTCGGTGGATGATTCTGACTTGATGTCATCAGCAGCAGCAAAAGCTGAGGAACTACTGGCACCGCTATCTTGTTGCTCCTGCTTCGCCATCACATTCCCGACGCCCCTCCCAAACGAGCCGTCGAACAGGGACGCCAAGCGGCCCAGGGCGGAAGTCGTTCTCGAAGATGCTAATGTAGCGCCGGGAGCTGCTCTTTGTCTTTTATCGTTGGTCGTATTATTCATCCCCGGTGTCGTGGTCTTGCGCTTCTGGGCGGGTTTTGAGGCGTGGATCGGCGCATAGAGGAAAGAAACGCGGTTTTGCTTCGCAGTTTTACCGGCTGGCGGGTCCGCGCTTTTGGTCCCCATGATCCGTGATTTCAATTGATGTTGTCCAACATCTGCCCCGTCATGCTCCAATCCAAAACGGTAGAAACGCGTGGGAACCCTGGCATTCGGCTCCGGCGGAGTCACACTCGTGGGCCGAGAACGAGAAGTATTGTTTCGTCGTGCTGCGTCACTCGACAAAGACCGGGTCTTATTTGCGGATGCCTTTGAAGACGTGCTCCTCTTCGCCTCGTCCTCTCCGTCTGCGCTACCCCTACCGCGAGATGTACTAATACTGTTTTTCTGCGCACCAGCTGCAGCTCTTTGTGTCGCCAAAACCGGTCCGCCGGGGATAAGTACCGGCTTAGAAGTTGTTGCTCCAATAGCTGGCGCGCCGGCTGAAAACCTGAGATCCGCCGCTGCTCCGACGCTTGCTGCACGCAACGCAGCCGAGGGCCGCGAGGCGGACTGGGCCGCTTGGCGCAAAATGCCCCGCTGTTGGTGCAACAGTCGATAGTCTTCGTCCGCTGGGGAAGCCGTCGTGGATGGTGCGGCACGGGGAGCAGAGGATGACCTCGATCTTCGTTTCTGTTGCTCCTCGTAGTAGGGAGCACCGTTGTAGAAGACGCCACCGTACATGCCGTCCTCGTCGTCTTCTTCTTCAGTAGCGATTACCCGGCGCCCCAGAGGTGGTCGACCACGAAGTACGCCTCCAGCTCTGTGCCCTTGCTGCATGATCTGTGCCACCGACCTCCGCGCTTTCTTTGGGACTGCCGCTGCTGCAACCGGTTTCTTGTTTCTCGGATGCCCGCTGGAGATGATAGAGTCGTCCGTGGGAGTCTTGACCGGATACCCGCGCTCGAGCGGAAGCACGGAGGCACCGAAGGCCTGCTTGGGTTTCGGTTGTTGACTCTTAGCATTACGGCCGCTCGGTGGAGAAGATGGAGTAGTTGCCATCTTGCCGCTCGCGTGCGCAGCGGTGAAATACATACTGCTGATCCTGCGTCTTGTTCTGGACGGACGACGTGGTCAGGCAAGGTTGTTCGTGCAAGCTTTTAGCACCCTGGCATCGATGAAGGAAGACGCCTTCTGGAAATGAGAGCGAGATAATTATTGTTGGACTTGGAGTTTAGGTGTACGCACAATGATTTCCTACTTGTATTTTCATAATTTCTCCATCGGGTCCAATGAATAAAACTTCGCTCCTTTTGCAACATTGTGGTTATGTGTGTCCAACTGCGTGCCAGTACTATGAGTAGAAATAGGCACTACTTCTTGTAGAATACAGGAGGGGGAAGGACCGAGGCAGGTCACATTCCTAGTTGAGGCACACCAAGAAAGCTGAGGTTCGTCTGTTTCATGAAAGTAGATTTTGAAGAACTGTAGTTCGCCCGAGGATTGAATACGATGAATGCAATTCCTCAGAATGAGAACGACCTGTACCATAACTGTGACTCCTTGGCCTTTGCCTTCAACGCACGAAAAATGCTACCAAACGCAACACGATTGTTGAACGAAGATGTTTACGAGGACGAAGAGACGGCAGAGGACCTGGACGACGACGATCATTCACCTACGAAAAGATTCTGATGCACATGCAGAACAATAGGAGTAGAGCCTCCTTCAGAGAAGTGCCACAATTCAAGCGGAACCAACCTCACGCAGGAGCGAATCATGATGAACTTGAACATAAAACAATTTGAATTTGACTCAAAAATACGCAGGCTGCAGGGTTGTGCTCGTGGTGCAGGAGCAGGAGCAGCTGGTGGAGATATTAGTACAACCTAGGGTTTGCTGGTGGGGAAGGGGAATATTAGTACAACCTTAATATACGTCGGGTTTGCCATGTATTGCTGGTGTAGCATTCCTTTCATCCCTTTGAACGAATACACCTCGGTGCTACACCATGAGCATCGCCTCATGCTCCATTTCCTTGATGCCCCCGCCCGCAGCCTCAGGAACCGGCACGGTAGTAGAGGCAAGAAATACATCTTCACGATGTAACAAAGACGCCGGGCTCATCGTCTCCACCGCGCCGTTTTGTTTCGCCTCCCCTTGTTCTACTTCCCCGAGCTGTAGAATCGTCGTCGGATTCGACTTCTGTAGATCTCGTCGTCGGAGAATGACAACATAGCATGTTGTCATTCTGCGTATTTTTAAAAACCATTTGCTGCAACTCCGGCACGATCGTTTCGTTCCACTTTGGCAGATCCGCCCAGCCCCCTGGCGCCAGCTGTGACCAGTTAGTCCAAGGATAGACTTCCGAGCTGCTATGGTATCTGGTTCTGCTCTGGTGTAGCATGTACTTCTTTTCTTCTTCCTGGTCCTCATTGTCCTTCATCTTCCCGTGCTGCAGCCGCGCGGAACGCAGCACGGGATCGCAGCCCGCACTCCAACACTGGTCGAACAATTTCTGTGTCGTTTCGAAGGCACACGAGTCATGATGCGCTTTTGATTCCTGTTGTTCTTCTTTATCATCTCCTGCCGCAAGTTTGTCTCTGTAATTCGCTTCCGTCTTCTCGCAGTCTTCCCAGGCGCTGGGAGACGTCGGGTCCCAAGTTGTAGAAGATCTTCCTCGTCGGGACGAAGATTTGTCATCATCTACCGCTTCTGCACCCGAATTATCGTAGTACCAAGCTACTCCTTGCCCCGTTTCCTCCTCCAGAATACGCAGCAGGTTGTACTGGCCACACGAAGGAGCGCAGTACTTGTCGTTTTCGTTCAATTGCGAAAGCTCGCTGCTGAGCTGCACCTGCACTGGCACATCGTCGGCGGTTGTTGCGTAGCTGCAAAGAGTATGTTGGAACGTAAGAACTACTAGTAGCTGTGTAAAACGCCTGAAAAATGGATGTTGAGCGGCGGTTGTAGTTACTGCCATGATGTTCTTCTAACTAGCTCAAAAAACTAAATGGTAATGCTGGATGAAGGGGCGAGCGCGGGGGTCAGTTTATTGAAGACTTGTTTGCACACTATTGCTATAATTTCACACATGTCTGCCAGTAGATACCTCCTTATCGATTTTCCAAGAGCGCGCAAGTACCTGCTTGTATCTATGCTGAGTAGTTGGAAGATAACAAACGCGGAAAGAGCTGTCGAGGCGCGGTGCACTCCACTGAAGGTCAATACTTATGTACGTAGACAGACATACAACCGCAGAGAACAAACAAAGAAAGACGGGGACAATTCAATTTCAATATGACGAACGAGAGCGCGGTATTAAACAAGTACGAAATAATTGAACATGGACGATGCACATCATCGAAGAGGCAACGACTACGAACTTCACGACATAAACAGCACCCAGAGTGTACCTCTATACTGAAAAATCACAAGTACAAGCACGATAGCAAAACGTCAACGGACGTACGAAAGGTTTTTCGTATCAATACCGGTTGTTTCGACTACTTAGCTTGCAAGATGAACACGCTTTCTACTCTCTTTCGGAATCGATGAATGAAAATGAGTCTTCATTGTTGAAATCTGAATCTCATCAATGCACATCACGGGGACGGGCATGATGATGCTTGCGCATGATTTCGTATGACTGCAAACCGGCCTTTCCATCTGCCGGGAGAGGACAATTGACAGGTGGCAATGAGCCCTAAAGGACTACAACTACATATTAATCCGTCGACAAGAACCGGGTAGCTTCAACATGAAATCTTCTTCACCTTGCCCGTTTCATCGCGAATTTGTATTGCACGACCTTTCCGTCGATATCCTTAACTGGCTGCTTTTTGCCCTTCTCCTGTGCCTGCTTCCGGTTCTCCATCGCAGACAAAACACCACTGAGTTTCTCCGCCCGGGTACTGTAGTGCAGCAATTGCCGATAGCTCTCGTGCCGCGCCTGCCCGACAGCGGAGTCCTTGGCATTCACCTGTTTTCGCACTTCCGAACCGTAGTGCTCATCCTGTAATTCCTGGGCATGATTGACGGACTTTGGCTTCTTCTCCGTCCGCTTGTTCCCTCCTGGAGCAGTATTTCTGTTTTTCTTGCTGCCAGCAAAACGATCATCTTCTCCCTCCTCGTCCGAGAATGTAACGTGTTTCTGATTCGGGTCCTTGAGCCCGATCATGTGTAGGTTCTCTCTGCGCTTTTCGACCTGCTTCTTGTCCATCTGCAACCGCGTCGCGACGTAGTTTCTGTCCGTTGTTTCCGCGATGAATTGCTGCTCCTTTGACAGGTGGTCAAAGTGCATCGCCCGGATCTGCTGCTCCTTCGATAATTTTTCCGCTGATGTTCTACTATTCTTACTTGTGCTTTCGTGAACCAACAACTTCTCCACTTTTCGCCCGTTTCCGATCAAGCTCGCTTTAGACAGCAGCTTTTTGAATTTTCCCGTTTTCTCGTCCTGTTTCGCGCGGAGCATCTTGTGCGAGAATTCGTCCGGGTTCTTCTGGCGCACCTTCTCCTGGAGAGTGGCCACATAGTCGCGTTTCTTATGATAATCTCTCGCACGCTGCAAGTAATCCTTCTTCTTCTCCAACAGCCCGAGCTTTTGTCGCGCTTTCGGCTGGTGCCGCTCCAGATGGGTGCGGCGCTTCACCACGTTGCGGAGGTTCTTCATTTTCGAGAACCCTTAGAAGGCTGGCAGATTTCGTAAACTAGATTCGCTGAAATAAGATGTGCACTAGCCTACATCAAGAAACTTCTTCAAACAATGTGCGTCGCTACAGATACAGTCGCGCAGAAAGTAAATACTCCGGTGAGATCATGTGGTCGCTGGTGAATGGAAATTTGCGTCTTCACTGTTCTGGTCTTTCATTTCTCACACAACAAATAAGATTGCTTTGATTTTTGCAGAAGAAGTCGGCATTTGGTTTGTCTTCATTTGACGAGGACTGATACCAGAACTCAGATCGCGTCTGCATCTCGGTTTCGGTTACCGAATCACGCTAGACCACATAAAGTGATACTTGCTTGCAAAGAAACTGATCGATTGCGATAGGCGATTTGCGGCTAAGCATCTCATCATCATTTCGATCGACTTAGAAATCCTTCTGTCCTCTATTGATAGTCTTGGATCAGGATCCTTTTGTGGTAGTTGTGCCATAATTTTTTCCAGAACTGATCGCTCGTTGCAATACTGTCAAGGATCCGCAAAGACCTCAGTGGAAGAGGAAGCAGAAGAAACACACATCTGCCAAAAGGATTAAAGACAAAAAATTTCTCGGAACTTTATTTGTTTCTTTTGATCAGCTCCATTGGCAAGTACTAGAAGAGCAAGTGTAAACAGAAGTGTTTTCTGCGGGTTTCTTTTTTTCATGTCAACATTGTTTATTTCATCAAGTCCTCCACGTTCTACTTCTACTCCAAGTTCCTTACTTCTTGAAATTGATGCTGTACCCCCCGCCTTCCTGCTGCTGGACTTGAAAATTGTCGAGCGACATGCCAAATTTGCCGAGCACTGTGTTTCCCAGGTCCTTCAATTTGCCGACCATTTCTGCCTTCTCCTTCTCGAATTGCTGCTCCGATTTCGTCTTCAAATACGCATGTTTTCGGAGAAGCTCCTTGTACCTGACACGATTTCGACAATTGGAATTGGTCATGCTGCCTGCGATACAAAAACGCATTCGAAAACTACACTGGTCTGCTGAAAATAATGGCGCAGCAATGAAAGTATGTATTTAAAACAAGAACGAAAACAAATTCAGAAGTCGTATAAAGTAACAAGTACTCGGGCGATTTCTTCTTTTCCTCCGGTGTGAGCTCCATGAGTTTTTTACTGTCGTCCAGCGCGTCGTGATACCGTCCCTTTTTCTCGTTCGCAGTGCACTTCCGCTGCCACGCGCGGACGTAACTCGGATCGTACTCCACCGCGTCGGTGCAGTCGTGGATGGCCATCTCCACTTCGTCTAAACTCATGTAGCAGGCCGCACGGTTGGCGTGGTACACGGCGAGCAGCTGCTTCTCGCTGGTCGGACAAAACGCAATCGCGTCGGAATAACACTCCGCGGCGAGGGTGAACCTGGTTAGTAGATTTCTTATAGTCGTGGGGGTCTTCTTTCAGATTCTTGTTCCCTTGCAGCAGGAGTAAATTCGAACGTTGCTGTTCTTCTTGTGCACAGTCAGCCGAAAGAACTAACGGCTGCTAGAAGACCAATCATGTACGATCAGAATTGTAATTCGCATTCGGTGCACGGGAAGACAGTAGTGTACCAACAAGCACATGGATGCACATGAAGAGAATAAAACTCTGTACTCTCCCGCCTTGAAGTATTTGTTTCCCTGCTCTTTGCACTCTGCGGCCTTTGCCGGATCGAACATGTTCCCGTCGTCGTCATCTTTCGCGGACGGCTGCCGCTGGTCAACATCTTCGTCGCTACTCAGGTCGCCTGCGTCGCGGGCCTGGAGTAACAGCAACGTAACGGAAGATAGAGATACAAAGAACTTACTCACTCGTAATGCAAGCACAAGCACAAGAACTGCGATAATCTTTCGCATGATGACTCGTCGGACCAAAAAAAGATCACTCGTATCATAAGTACCCCGGTCTCGCTGATATCCACTGAGGACCCCGGACTCCTGTCGTGGTTCTCGCCCTTTTTAATCGTGAAATCGTCTCCCACGAAATACCCATCGACCCCGTCTGCGGCTTTGTGAAAATCATTTTCTCCATCTCCCCCCGCATCATTCACCGTAACCGACTCCACGCTACCAGCAGATAGGCTCGAAGCCCCGGAGATGGTCGCTGGCAGGAGGTGCTTTTGGTTCTTGCTGGGGCTGCCGTCTCGTAGTTGATTTGATGTTGACCTCGCTTTAGTATGCTGGTTTGTATTCAGACTTGAGGAGGTTGATTTTTTTCTGCGCGATCGTGTGGTACTTGGGGAAGGGGAAGACGACTGGTCCTGCTGACCACGCATGTCATCTTCGTCACTACTTCTGGCGTGATCTTCATCATCATCGGAGTTGTAATCATAATCAGCTGCTTTTGTGACGATCATTTTCGGTGAATCGTCTTCGCGATTTTTGCTGTTTTTGCGGGGGGTTGTCGCCTTTTTGTTGTTTGAAGAGGGATTGCTTGATGAGGAGGAGCTTGGAGTTGAACCCGAGACAGCTTTCTTGTCCTGTTTCGTTGTTCTTAATCCACCTGGTTTATCATCAACTGTTTCATCTCGCGCATCCTGCTGAAACAGCAACTGCGGAGAATTCGAAGTCGAGCTCGACGCTGGCTCCTCTGGCTCCGTTGTGGAAACGTTTCCTGTATTGCTATTCGTATTCATCATTGGTGTCATGTCAGTAGTACTATAGTGTACTTCTCTATCCTCCTGTTCCTCGTGCTCGTCGTTGTCGCTGTTGGGGTTCTTCGTGATCAAGACCGGAATGGAGGAGGGCTTCTTCAATGCGGAGTGGTCTTCATCTTGTTGTTCATCAAGCCTTGTTTCATTTGTTGCCATCGAGGTGGACTTCTCTGGTCCTGTTTTAGCATTTATTTTGCTATTCATTCCATGTTGTGGTCCACCGCCTTCGTCCTTGTCTACGAGCTCGAACGACTCCTCACTTTCTGTCCTTGATTTTCGCCGCGTTGGACCTCCTGAGGTCGTTGCACCTCCTGAAAAAGTTGCGGATGGTCTAGATGCCGAGGAAGCAGAAGAGCTCTTTACTTTCACGTACTGATCTGCCTCAGACGACTCGTTGCTCTTACTGCTACCAGCGCTGTGCGAAGAGTTTTTGCGATGCTTTTTCTGATGCTCAGAGGATGACGTCCTTTCTCGTGGTTCTCCTGGTGGGCGGTCATCTTCATCTTTTTCGTCTGGTGAGCAGCCGTCCTTTTGGTTCTGCTTTCCAGAAGAAATTTCTTTCGAAGCAGCACGACTATCGGAAGCCACAAAGTTTTTCAAATCTGCGTCTATCCCGACGGTCCACGCGACCAGCAGTGACAGAAAAATTGGCAGTGCGACCGTCGCGCAGACTTGCTGTGCGAGAAGGAACGCCGCCGTGACGCCGGCAAGGCGAAACGCGACAAACAGGGTGGAGCCCGCTGTGGTCATGATGTTGAGGGTGTTGCAAGGTGGTCCTGATAGTTGTAACTTTCGTTGAAGAGACTACTTGGTACTTGACATAAAACAGTTGGAGCACAGCAGCTTTCGCTTCCTGCGTCAAAAAGTTCGACCGCCCTTCTCGTTCCAAACAAGGCCTCTTTGAGCAAGTGGCTCATTCTCAATATGTCATCTGTTGGATAAAAGCGCTTTTTTGTTGTGGGGTCCGATACACAGATCCGGGGAAAGAAACGCCTAAAGCCATGCGTGGGTAGAAAATGAACGATGTCGATGGGTGACAAGAAAGTATTGAGGTCCTGTTGCAAAAACAAAATTGCAGTGTGATATGATCAAAAAGAAACATTAAATGGAAATGTAAAAAACTCGAACTAGAATCCACAAAGCGGGATCCTTTTTCCACCTTGGAGTTGCTCTTTTCATCTCCCACAGCTTGCAATACTTACTACTTGATGGTGAGCTACTTCAGCGACCCAAAACAAGAGCCTAGTGGTCATTGGTTTCTGGCGAACCACGCAACTGTAACTGAACTAGACCGTGCAACTCCAACGGTAGTCGGATTTGTTAATCCGAGCAGTCGAACTTCATTGTTTTCTCGGTCTAACACTTTCATTCATAAATTTGAGTTCTAGTTCGCTACTGCTTGTTGCATTAGCAGTCTTGTACTGGCAACGACTACATTTCGTCGGTCATCCCTTGTTTGGCATTTGATGATGAAGCTGCTTTTGGTTTATCAAGAAAAGAAACGAAGTTCACGACAAAGATAGAAGCTCTCGGACGAAATTGTGACAGGTTGAAAGAAGAAGAACTGAAACGAAGAATATCTGTCATTAGGTGCCGAAATGCGTCATTGGGTGCTGAAAGAGGAAAAAAACGCGGTAAAAAAGTTCGCATTGAATAAAGAAAAACGCCTCGGAATTAATATCAAGCTCAAACTTTATTAAATTTTCAAATAGTGGTAGAAACCGCAAAGTTATCAAGTCTCTGTCTCTGTATTCTCATTTTTCGGTAATATCTCTCGTTGAATGAATAGTGTAGCAACATACCCTGGTGGTTATAAAAATAAGAGGATACTGTCAAAGGCGAAACGCGCACTGACCTTAGTACATTGGTGTCTCTCTGATCTTGATGTAGCAAGAAGAAGCTCAGGTTTTACATCTGTTTATTCTGTACCTACTGTAAATGGATTTTCCGGAACTTTCCATGCTTCCGATTTTTCGCTTCTTACCTCGAAAATGTTGTGTGACCAACAAGAAAAAAAGAAGTTCAATGTGAGAATGATTTCCCTGCATCTTCTACTCAAGCTTGAAGAGCCGTTCCTCCACCGAACCTCTGTCATCGGCGGGCCCTTTACTCATTTGGCGATACCGCTGCGCTGCCGTCCTGTTTATCCATAATTTTGATATTTCATTTCGATCTTTCGTCGAGTCGCCTTATGACAACATGTTGCTCTACCAAGAATTCGCGACGCCATCTTCAAATCAAAAACGCACCTGGCTCTTGCACGTCCATGGAAAGAAGTCCTTCTTTGGCACCACTTCCACCCGACTGGAATTCATTTGCAACTGGTCCGCGTCAAAGCCGGTGAGGTTTGACATGCTTTGCGTCTCCGTGCGGGAAAAGGTAAACGATGGCTCTTGTTCGAAGACACTGTGATACGATTGTTTCTTTGCTTTAGCCGATTTATTCCGATTGTTTCGTGAAAAAGAAACGAATGGTAGTGGGATAGTTGACAAGTACCCTCTGTAGTCTTTGTCACGAAACTAGTCAGAAAGTGAGGGCAGTAGCTGACAATAGCGATATTCCTCGATGACTTGAATGACCAAACTCACCCTACCTTCGTTCCAGCATTTCCTTATTCTCCCTGCGCAGCTCCTTCTGTCGCAAAACCTCCTCCTGTGCCGCCTCCATCGCTTCTCGTCTCTCTTTCGCATGTTGGTGCCGAACCTCGGAGGCGGTCGGCTGATGTTCCGTTTTTGAGATAGAACGTTCAACATCTGGCCAATCATCATAATCATAATCATCAAGAGGAAGAGTGTAACAAGTACTGCTGCGGAGGGACTTCTGCATCCGAAAAAAAGCTGACGTCTAAAAATAAAAAAAAAAGCGATCATTTTTATATATTACCCCCTGCTTGCTCCTGCTTTTGATCTGCCGGATTTCCGACAAAGTCATAGACCCTTGCCTCCTCTGGTGCGCAAGCTTGAGCAAGTGCGACCTGGTACTGTCTTGCTGCTGCAGCGGGCTGGGGCGCTTCGAACTTGTTAAAGGGCTGGCCCGCTTCGAGCTGGTCAGAGGACTGGGTCGTTTTGTGCTCGGAGCGCCCGGGGTTGTGGCCGAGGGCGCAGAAGCAGATGAGTTGTTTTTATGCGGGTGGACAACTACGAGGGAGCCGTTCGGGTTGCTGGACGATCCTAGTGCCGCATCTTCTGCTGCAACTGCGGGGATCTTAGGTTGGCAGCTTGCGGAAGAAGTAACTGTGCATCCTGCTACTTGTCGCAAATTCGAAGGTGGGCCAGTTGTTGTGGCAACCGATGGCATGTTGACGCTAACGACGCGAGTCGGTGGCTGGTATGCGTGATGTTGACTGGGCCCGCTTGACATTCTGTTGATATTCCCGTTTCTCGCACCGTTGCTGTTCCTATTTGAAGGTCCACCCTTCCCCGGACTCGGCACACGATACGGCGCGCCGCCCTTTCGCCGACGGACCTCTTCGACGGTGTGACCTGTACTAGGTCTACTTGCGCCGACAGCTACGTGCTGCTGCTGGGCCGGTCCAGCTGCAACTCCTCGCCCACTTAGTGCGTTGACAGAAGAGGAGCGTCGTACCCCGGCTTTGAAGCTCGCGTTTCCCCCCAGCAAACTGATCGTTGACTGTGCGGCCTCCCGCTCCCGGCTGGCGGCAAAGGAATTTGCAGGCACGACGTAGTCGCCAGCGCTGCTGCGGCTGAAGCCACCAGTTTGGTGCTGCAGTCTACCGCGGCTGTTTGCAGTGCTGTTGCTTCGCTGCGCACCAAACGCGCTCTTGCCGGCGGAGTTTGTGCGGTTGATCGACGTGCTTGTCGATGTGCCGGAAAAAACCATCGATTGACTCAGCCCGCTTGCAATTCGCGTAGTACCGGGGGCAATCCCGCGGCCGCGAGAAGAAGTGCGGGATAAAGGGCGAGAACCCTTATTCTGGTGCAGCGCGCCAGGACCTCCAGCTGCAAGCTGCGCAGACGCCGAGTTTGCGTGCACGACTCCAGGCTGCTCGGATGTTGAAAGTAGAGAAGTGGACGATGCAGCTTGTTGTGCCGCACCGACATAATTCGTAGCTGTTTCCGTACTAGCAGAATTACCACCACCAGGAGGAACCACACTGCTCTCTTTCATTTGCTGTGCCTTCAGAGCTATCGCGCGGGACCGCAATCTCTCCACCACCTGCTCCGGGATTAGCTTTTTCAGCGGCTGTTGCGGTCCTCCGGTGCTGTCAAAAAAGTTGCTGTTTTTGGAGGACGAGAACATGGACTCGATCATCTGCGGCGTCACCATGCCGCTCAGCTCCTTGCTACTGTTTGTGTTTCTTGACTCGGTTACTATTTCAAGTTCTACTCTTGAAGAAACGTCCTGGTCTCCTGCATCTGCTCCCGTTCGACGTTTTATTTCTTGTTGTTTTGCAACAACAACTTTGTCAAGTTTTAGGACACTTTGATTGATCATCATGCTGCTGCTTTCCTCCTGCGCTGCTGGAATCGGGAGTTCAAGGACCGGCGGATCATCTTCATCTTCAACGAGTAGACTGGTGTTTTGTTCCTTGTAAAACACGAACCCCGGACCATCGTTGCTGTCTTTCGGCAGAGCAGGGCCACCTTCCCCCGCACTTTTTATTTCTTCGTTTGGGTTTTGATGTTCTGAAACAACCGCTGGTGCAGGCGCAAGAACAACGCCAGTTCCGACACCACCACCCGCGGAAGTTATCCCCTGCTGACTCCACGGCAGCACATCCCCGTTGGCGCTGTTCCGCCGCTTCCGACTCGGCGAGCCGGACTGGGTTCGGGACCGCGTGGTGTTTTTGTAGGGCGAATCGCCGTGCGTCACCACCACGCGGTCCTGGCTGGCGCCGCGGTTGGCGGCGAGTGGACGGATCTGGAACGGCGTCCACATCTGCTTCAACGCGAGCAGATCCGGGTCGTCCTCCTTCACTTTTTTCGTGTACCGGTTCCCCCGGCTGGAAACGGGCTCCCGGACTTTTGGCGAGGAGCCGCCGGGAACAAGCTGTGGAGTTGTGCAAGATGGATGAGGTGGTCGTGATAAATTTCAGGCTTCTTGGTCGTACTGTTGAACGACCATTTCTATATAACTCATTCTCAATGAGTTATGTTGACACAGCGGCCTACTGTTTGTGCGTGAAGGAAGAAAAACACCAACAAAAAAGTAAAGCAGTACTACAGATAGAGTCACAAGGACAAGTAGATTACCGTCGTCATATTCACATCCCCACTTCCCGGCGAGGACATTTTGCTCGTCCCGACGGAATTGCTATAATTTTCCAAAGGCGACCCGCCTTCTCCAACATTCGCGCCAGGAGCTACTCCACCCGGACTGGTCCTTTTCGTGCTACTCGGTATCGAAACACTGTCATCCGCCGGGGTCGAGGAGCCTCCCGGATTGCTGGCTGTGCCCTTGACATTACTGGTGTTCAGTTGGTCGATCAGCGTTTGGTCCACCTCCATCAAACTCTGATCCTGGTCGATCCGCGACACATTGGCTGGGAACAACGACCGGTTTTGCAGGGAACTTCGCATCGTATTCGTTCCCCCTCCTCCCCTGCTCTTTCCACGACCCTTATTCCGCGTCCTCGAGGATGCAGGAGCTCCAGTTGTACTACCAAATATAGCCGCCGGGGCGGGGGTAGTGAGGTCGTGGGCGTTTTTTTGCCGACCGCAGCCTTGGCCGCGGCTTTGCTTTTTATGGGCTCGCCATACCACCGCGAGTAGCGTTATGCCGCACGGTATGGCGGCCACTTGGGAAACGTCGCAAATTTTGGCAAATTCCCGAAATTCCTTACCGAAAGCCAGCCCCCATGCTATGGGGCCGATCCAGGTGCCACGGGGGGCGCCCAAAAAGCGAAGGAAAATCGGGCCCATAGCATGCGGATTGGCTTTGCGCGCGCGGGCCGCTTTTTCTTTTTCCCGTTTTTATTTTTCACGCCGGCGCTTTTTGCAAAGCTTCCCAGGCTCTGAAACCGGCGAAAAGGCGGCCGCTTTCGCGGCCGCCCAAAATACTCCGAAATCGCGGCCGTGCCATGCTGTTTCGCTGTTCTGATTTTGGGCGCGTTTTTTGCGCGCCCCTTTTTGGACGCCCCAAATCGCCAGAAACCAAGGGGGTGGGCGCCTCAGAAGGGCGCCCCTTTTGCCGGCTCCCCTGCGTCGTTTTATCAAGTGCGAATCGATAGTTTTCGACCGGGCTTGTTTGATGGCAGAGCCCCGGCCGCTTGATAATTGCAAATTTTTTATGTCCAAAAACGCTTCCGCCCGCTTGGAAACTGCCGGCCGTTTTTCACGGGACATGGCAAAAAAACTCCCCGGTTAGAACCGTTCGGTGACCTCACTACATACTAGTACCAGGTGGTGGGCCCGACATCCCGGGACCCAAATTCAAGCTCAACGAATGTGACCGGGACCGGTCGGAGCTTGGGGAGTACAATCGATGCACCGAACGTTCGTCCGAGTGGAGGATCTTCTTTTTGAATCTCGGCGAGTTCTGGAACGAACTGTTCCACAAGGCCTTCAACTCCAGCAGGTCCGGGTCGTCTTCCGGAATCCGCTTCGGCGAATAAGCGCCCGCAACCCGGACGGAGTCCGACGCCACGGACACACCGTGCTGGCGGGCGGAAATGGAAACCGAGACCTCCTCGTTGCTGGGCCGCCGACTGCGGCTGCCGCTGCGGTCTTCCCGGATAATCGACGTCTGAATCGCCTCGTCTCTCTCCTCGATGGTGGACCCCCGACCTCTAGTACGGGGCGAACGGGACAGGGAGTCTGGGCGCCGGTCATCTTGATCTTTCATTTTCTCCAACTCCTCCTCCGGTATCGTGGCATATGGAGGCGTGGTTCGCGCTCGGTTGAGAGCTTTATTCATCGTTCTGGTCGGCGTGCTGGTGCCACTACTGGCCTGGATCGGAGGTTGTTTCTCCGCGAGCACCTTATTGTTCATCCTTGTCGGAGGACTTGGGGAAGTTCCGGCCGCGATAGCACCGGCGAGTTCGTTGGCCGCAAACTCGGTGGACGACGCTGCGCTGACATTTTGCGGCGTGTAGAATTGTTCCTGGGACTCCCGTAGAAGTGTAGTTCCTGCTGTGGACGAGGCCGTAGGTAGGCCACCGCCAGTACTAAGAACTTCCTGCCGCAACACTTCCTCCTCCGCCCCAATCACCTCCCTTATCGGTTCTTGCAGGACAATCACCGCCCCCGGAGACAGTAACCTGCGCTGCGTCGGACTCAGTCCGCCGAGCTGCACCTGCGTGGCGCCGCCGGTTGCAGTGATAGAAGTAGCCGTTTGAAGATCCTGGTCCCCCCGCTGCATCATCCTGGCCCCGGCTGCCGGGGAGGAGAACCCGCTCTGTGCGACGGTCTCGCGGATGCTCTGGCTCAGTTTCTCCCCGATTTCGTGGATGGCGTCCACGATTCGGGTGTCAAATTGCTGAATCGGCGAGGGCTGGATCTGTTGGGAGGAAAACGGCGGGGTGCGGGACCGGGCGGATAAATCCGCATTATTATTCCCGTCGTTTTTCGCCCGAGTCGGCGGCGGCGTCCGCGGACTCTCCGGGGACCGTGAACCGGATTTTTGTCTCGCGAGAGCAGTCGCGGCTTGTTGCTGTCGCGCGGTAATAGAAGATTTGGGTGCTGCAGTGACTGCGGATGTGGGTCTTTGTTCCGGTTTAGGTTTACTAGCAGACGCGGGTCTACTTTCCGGTGAAAACCCTGACATCCTCTTCTCGCTTTCCTCGATGCTTGCGACTCGTTGGCTGACGAAACCGTCTCTGGTCTGCTGGGCTTCGGCCTGCTTCGAGGACGCACCTCCAGTCAGCACGACCGCCTGCTTCGAAGCACCTGTAGCAGCAGCGGCCCCGATCATAGCTTCCGCCTCTGGTAACAAGGTCCCGGCGACGCTGCTGAGTTCCGCTTCCTCGTCTGGAAATTGTTCCAATTCCTTTGTAGGCACTTTCTCCTCTTCGAGAATCTTCAACACAGCAGACGCAGCCACAACTTGTTCCTGCTCAACTTCAACAACATCCATCTCATTATCAATGGTCGCAACAGAGGCGACAAAAGGCTGTTGCTGTGGTTGTACTGGTTTCGAATTGTTCGCGGCGTCTAGTACTGTCGCAGCAGCAGATTGTGGCTCTACTGCGGGTCCCCTTCGCGCACTGGTATGCTGCTCTTCCACATCGACGAACTCCTCTGCTTCTACTTCCCCAAACGCCTGCTCTTCGCCCTCGCCAACCGGGACGCGTCGCGGACTGGTTTCCGTGAAGGGCTTGGAGGCCAGATACCCGCCGCCCGGTGCAGCAGTTGCTTCCCCGCGCCGGTCGATGATCAGTGACCCAGACCGCGCGGAAGACGGCCCCGTCGGCGCTGTCGCGAGCGCCGTTGCGGATTCGGTGGCGCTGTCGCCGGACAGTTCGCCACTGGTGAAGATACTGTGCGTGAAGTGGTCGTCGATATGGGCGTTGAGGTTGTCGAGGGTGACGTTCGCCAGGTTCTTCGTCGTGTCCGGAATCATGGTTGGTGGCACTTCTGGAACTGGCGGATTTGCAGTGGTGCCCTTGTTCCCGCGAGCAGAGAGCGGGGGAGGAACTTCTAGCTGAGTCCTTGTGCTGCCACTCATGCTTTCTTGTGGCGCGACGAGTAGAGAGGCCGGCACTTTTGGCTGCGGTCTGCCAGCTGTCGTGTTACTTGCAGCAGAAGTTGCCATACCGCTAGAAGACGTTGTCGGGTTCAAGTTCACCGGGGTTCCTACCTTCTCGTGCTTCGCAACTCCAGCAGAAGTGGTCCCCGGCGGCAGCATTCTACTGTTAATATCGGTCGTGGACGGCACCGCGTTGTTCACCGTCAGATCCGTTGTCGGCGTGGTTGCAGTTGTCACCACGGGCGTTCCGCTTTTCGGCATGGGTCTTTTTTGCCCCGGCAACACGATTTTTGGGATCACCGGCATGTTCGTCCGGACCGCGGCAACCGCGGACTTCAGGTGTTGTCTCGCCGTGTGCACGTGCGGGTGCGGCTTGTCTTTCTCCACCGCCAGGTCGCGCAGAGCGGGCGACTCCGAGCGGATATCAAATGCAAAAGTGTCTGGGTCAGGAAGATTGCGAGATTTGCATTTGTCATGCTTGTCTGGCATGACCAACAAGTTTATGATGCGTGTCCAAGAAGAGACCCTTTTGCCTGTCATGTCATGCGAAAAACGCAACACAAAGAAGCGCAGATATTACTCATGCTTGCCTGTGCATTACAGCGCATGCACTATTCCCAACACAGCATTACAAGTTTCCAGAACCAGACATAATTGCAGTTGATAGCGGAAGACGTGCGGCAACTCCGGCTTCTCGCCCTCCTTCATGGAGAATCTGGCGAGTTTCGGCGACGCGTTCTCCGAAAACTGGGGGGCTTGGTGGAGTTTGAGCAGTCTCCTCGTCGCCGATCTCATCTTGCTCACGCCCGAACTACTACTTCGGGCCATAGATCCGGCGACGGAAGAAGTATTCGACATCATGTTCGAAGAAGATGCAGTAGTACTCATTTGCGATAACCCGCCCTCAATCCCGGACGCGAAGTTGACCTTCTTCGCCGGCCCCGCGGAGGAGGAGCGTTTGGATGGGGATAGCGTTGTAGTTGTGGCTGTCACAGTGCTGTTTGCACCGACGACGAGAGGACCTGAGGTAGTACTACTGCTGCTATTCACCACCGCGTTCGCCGCTGCCCGGTCCAATTTGCTCGCCGTAGCGAAGCTCTCTGTGGACGAAGACAACGGGTGGCGGGGGTCCAGATGCCCCTTCTCGACCTGCAACACCTGCCCCGCCGGCCGCGCGGTCAGCTGCACCGGTTTAAACTGTTGCGGTGTGTTGAACGGCGTCGCGGTCACTGAGGACGGTGGGGTGCGGACAGTACTAGATCCAGCTCCTGCAATCGCACCTATTCCAGCACCTGGAGGACCAGAAAAAGCACCTCCCGAAGCTGTTGCACTGCCTCCTCCCACCGTGGCCACGCTGCTCTTACTCGGCGGACCGGAGGCATTGTTCACGATCGTTTGTTTCGAAGGCGAGTTCGCCGGGGTTTGCCCGTATCAAATGTAAAAGTGTCTGGGTCTGGAAGGTTGCCAGGTTTGTCTATGCATATTTTACATGACTCAGGATGTCTGTAATGCATGATCTGGCATCACATATTTTTTGAGGCCTTCTTAATGCCTATCCCGCATGACAAATGCCCTCCCCGCGTAGCACAAACTGGGCTCCTATTGCTGGTCATGCAATACAGATTTTTTTAGAGTCCAAAGTTAGCATCACAAGTTCCAACCTTCCAGACCCAGACATTTTTACATTTGATAGCCCGCCGTGGAGAATGATGTGCCGCTTCTTCACGTGTTCGTGGTGCGGTATCCGGGACATCGACAACCGGCCCGCCTTATCAAATGTAAAAATGTCTGGGTCTGGAAGATTCTGAGACTTGTCATGCATATGTTGTATGATCCATGATGCCTCTAATGCATGATCTAGCATCACAGATTTGTAGAGGGCTTCCCAATGCCTATTCCGCATGAAAAATGCCTTTTCCGCGCAGCAAAAATTAGTTTCCTTGTGGTGCTCATGCAACACAAATTTTTTAGACATCCAAACGCAGCATCACAAGTTGCATTCTTCCAGACCCAGACATTTTTACATTTGATACGCCTGGACCTCCGCGTGGGTCACGTGCACATCTGGATGGACCTGCGCCTTGGTCGTCGGACCGCGGGAGGCACCGAGTACGGAGTTCGTGGTTGTTCCCGACAGCGTCCGGGCTGTAAACGCGGACTGCGCGCTCGCGGTTCGGGCCTGGGGAACGGCAAATGTTGCGTTTATTCCAGAAAGTGAAGGTGGTTGTTGTGCGACTTGTCTCGACGAGGACGGCACTGCTACTCCGGAATTGTCGTTCATGAACAAAAACGGGCTGCTCTTACCGCTCTTCGGCGTGCTCGTCACCATGCGGTCCTTTGCGGAAAGCGGTTTTATTTGCCCACTGGTCGGAGTGTTACAACTACCGACGCTCTTCCCACGCAAGGGCGTGGTTGTCGTAATTGGTATTCTCAGCCTCGGCGGGGTCTGGTCCGTGCCGAACTGGTGTCGCGTTGGTTGCGGACCGAGCAAACCCTGCATGGTCTGGCTCAGACTCCGGAGCGAGCTCCGCAGGTCCTGCATGGTGTTGGTCTCCTGGTTCTTCCGGTCAAAATGACGCCGTAAACTCATTGATGTGGAGATAATCAACAAGGAATGTAGAAATTACCTTCCAGCAACATCGACTTTCAAAAACAGTTCCAGAACCTCCTACATTTTCATTTTATTGGTGAGCGAGCAAGTAAAGTTTTATTGCAAGAAGAAGATTATATGCGACTTTGCTTGTCTCTCGTTCGTCGTTCACTTTTGCTTGTCTCTCCTTCTTCGTGCGTGCGGCCCAGAGTGCTTATGATTTCATTTTCCCTATGGCCAGAAGTACTCCGATTCCGCGTTTGCACCGCCAGTTTGAAAGAAGGACTTTGAGACGAAACTGCCTGAGCAAGTTGACATCTTTCCATCGATCCTCCTGCCCTTCGAGTGAGTGGCTCTGCTCGAGTTTCAATTTTTTGAATTTGTCTTCTCTCGTGTAAGGATGATTTCTCTCCACCTCCAGGAAGAAAAGTAATCAATACACTGTACCTTCGACCTCTAGAAGTTTGTACGATAGACACGACAGAGAAAAGAAGTGCAAAACGAAGCACAAACAAAAAATGCCCGTAATCACGACGATGTTGCTCATTTTAACACTTTCGCTTTGCAGCTGGTTTATTTCTGATTGCAACGTGCGTAAGTTTGTGTGTTTCATCCAGGTTTTCGACTGGAGTTGTATCCGCTGAATTCACGAAATCTTCGAGCTTACTGTCTTTCGACAGCACTATGTCAAATTTACAACCAAACCCTACTTCTTTCTGCGGATAAACGTCGCTGTTTTCATTATCCTTCCTTTGCCTGTCCATCACAAACACGCCGGAATGCGGCTGCTGGGGATCCGCTCGGTTTTTCTTCCCTGCGGTCAGGTTTGGAGACTGGTCAAACCCCATCAAGCTTTTCAGATTCCCCATGGTTGGAGGCGGCAGTCGCGCTACGTTTTCCCCGGACAGCACAGGTCCTTCTTCTGCAAAGAGCGTGCCCGGGGTTGTGGCCTTGTTGCTTTTGCGGTAATTCACGCTTTTGTTCGGAAGATCCCCGTCGTCCGCATCTAGACCTAGAGCATCAAATTCGTCATGCAGATTCCGCCGGCTGTGATACTCTCCATCGCCTTCCTCTTCGTCCGAATCCAGAATCTCGTCGGGTTTTACCCTCGCCTGGTAAAACGGACTTCTTCCGTCGTCCGGATTATCATCGCCGACGAAGACCTGCTTCCCCCGAAGATGGGACAGCAGCTCGGCGGAGTAGTTGTTAGAAGTGTTCTCCGTGCCGCTGTTCTGTCGTGCTGCGGTCGAATAATCGACGGTGGAAGGTTGTTCTTCTGGCAGTAGAACAGGAGTAACATCTTCACCTTCGGCGGTGGAAACAGCATTTGCAGTAGTTGTTTTTTCATTTTCCCCCGCAGGCGCAGGAGCTGCTGCTGCATTAGGTCGCGAAAGAACAGGCTTGTCTGTGTTCTTCATCGACTTCAGCAGTCTCGCAAGTTCTTCAGGGCGCATCGACTGCTCCACGAAACGCAGCTCCTCAGCCGTGGAGGTCGTTTGGTCCTCCTCGGGAGGTGCTGCTTCTGTTAGTGATGAGCCGTTATTTTCATTTCCTCCCGGCAAATCGTCTTTCATTCTCGTTCTACTTGCAGGCACGAAAATTGTTGCAGATGCTGCGTCCTCGCTCCTGGTCTGTTCCAACACGGCTGCCGCTCCCTTCTCCGCATAGTTGTCGAATAGCGTGCGTTCGAGAGAATCGTGCCTGTGCGCAGTGCTGTTCGAAGGCTGACGACCAGACGGTACAACCAACGTATTTTCAACTACATCGTCCGTTTTTACCTCTTTCTCTTCCTGTTCCCCGATCCCCATCAATTGTGACCGTTCGCCTTGCATGCTCGCGAGAAATTGCTTCAAGTCGGCAACAGTGCCAGCCGGTTGCGGCATTGCAGCTGCTGAAGATGCTCCTGCCGGTAGTACAGTGCTGTTCATGAACCTCGTCTTTTCGACGTCACCAGCGCCAACATCTACTTTCTGTCCATTTCTATTCCCCCCAGCACCACCACCAGCAGGTGGCTGCAAAGGCGAAATAAAAATCGTCGCTGGGTTTGCGATGCTCGAAGTTGCACAACTCTCCGGCGTGGTAGTGCCGAATGCAGGAGAAGCGACACCCCCGGATCTTCCAGTCGGACCGATTGCACCAGCAGTACTGCGTGGCACGACAGGACTTTGCTCCGGCAACCGAGGAACAGTAGGAGGGAGAAAGAGTTCTTGATCGTGCTGGCGGACGGGGGTTTTTGCCTGCTGCGTGCCGGGATGAGGACTTTTGGAGGCGGAAGGCTTTGATGAAGTACCTTGATGCTGAAGTTCAAGTTCATTCCCGCCTCGGGTCGTCGTGTTTCCGATAAAATTATCTGGAACAATTTTCTCCATCTCTTCCACCACAACCCGAATCACGACCCTTGCCTCGGGTTCCTTGACCAGCATCTTTTGCCGCAACAATGCACGAAAAGGCTCCAACCGTTCGTCGATTGCCGCACGGTCGGTGATTTTCAGAAAGCGCAGCTTGTCGGTCAGCGCGGTGGAGAGAAAATCGTCCTGGTAGTCGGTTTTCAGAATCTTGTCCATTTGCTGCGCGAAGATGCTTTTGCTTGTTAGTTCCTTCTGGGTTGCTGACGTTGATGCATTAAAAACGCGAAACGGCGGGAACCCGGTAAGGAGCTCATACAGTAAAACCCCCAGTGCCCAAATGTCGTTCGGTTTCCCAACTTTCGCAAATTCTTGGTTGACCATCTCGGGGGACAAGTAATCCGCGGTGCCGCAGAAAGAAGGGCGGTCGGGGGTTGTCACGGTCGTCGTGGAACTATATTCAGAGCCGGCTACAGCAGCCGATAGTACCTCAGAGGGGCGTTGATTTGTTTGATGCGCTGTTGTACTATTTGTATTTTGTTGCAATACTTCAGTTCCTTCAACTGCCTTGGTCGTGTGGCAGTGTCGCGACCAGCCGAAGTCCGCGATTTTGGCTGTCAGAACCGGTGCTGTAGTTTCCTTGTCGCTCCTTGTCAGCATCCCAGGTGAGCCGCTGGAAGCTGCTGGCTGAGCATGCCTTCCCGTTCGGGTTCGTCCACCATTTCTCGCATTACAAAGCAAGACGTTCTCCGGCTTCAGATCTCGATGAATCACATCCAGCTTCTCGTGGAGAAACGACACGCCCTGCAAAACCTCCTTGAAAAACCGGCAACAGTCCTGTTCCAGCGGTTCAATCCGCTGCCCGGGAAATTTCCGCATGTACTTCAACAAATGTCCGTGTGCTGCCAATTCCAGAATGAAGTAGATCCAATCCTTAGTTTCGAAGAAATGAAACATGCGGATAATGTTGTCGCAGGAAGTTCTTCTTCTAGCGGATGACGACGACGAACTTTCATTTTTACCCGCCCTAGTTGTACTCTGTGCGATCGAATTAGTCGAAGTTGTATCCAAATCTGGATTGGTGGCCCTTAGGTGCACTTCGACTTCCCGCAGAACCTGCTTTTCCAGCATTTTTTCCGCGATTTGCTTTTTCAAAATCGACTTCATGGCGTAGACATCGTTGGTCGGCCGATGAACGACCTTTTTCACCTCTGCGTAGGCGCCTTTCCCGATGGACTTCGCGTTGACCGTGTAAAATTCCTCCAGTTTCCAATCGGGCAGCTGCGGTGGGGTGGAAGAAAGTGAAGCACCAGCGGAATCGGTGGTTGGACGATCTTCCGCACTTGTTTTCGGAGATGCGCTAGCAGCTGCGCCATCTGCTACTCTCCGGGAAGGTGACACGGTAGAAGCAGTCTCCCCGGTCGAATCCTCCATCTTGTGTGTACTTTTTCACAAGAGCAGTACTTCTAAGTACGGTGCTTATTCGTTCCTCCGCCTCTCAAGGACCGAATCCGAAAGCAGGACAGCCTCTATTGATAGCGGTACAAGAATGAACTAATTCATTATGAGACTCAAATTTCATGCTTGGGAACCATTGCATGAGAACAAAAACTGGGAATATTTCGGAACTCAGCTCATTTTTGGAAGTCGGTCGCTGGTCACAGAGGAAAAAACGAAGATCGCACCGAGGTCACTCGAGAATCAATAGAACACCCCTGCCGTCTCACCGAACACCCGGAAAGTTGTTCGCCTTCGCACCACAAAAATTACATTAGGAGAGTTACAACAATAAAGCATTTGAAGTAACCAGCCTAAAACTACGTAAAACATAAAAAGTATCACGCTAGGTGGAAAAAATAGTTCCTGGTTGAATTACGATCTTCGTATTTTGGAACTTGCAATCATGAGTGCAATTCTGGAAGTGGAATCATAGTGCTGGGCGAAAGCGGTAGAAGGCACTTGTGTGCAGAGTGGCAAATTAATAAGCATTACAGATTTGAAGGAAGAGGAGGAAGGGAACGAGCAGAGCAATTCATTTTTTGCGATCTTGTGGTCTGCTGGTGATGAACGTCTTCACCAACGCCTTAAGCGCCTGCCTAAACCTGCCTCCCCTAAAAACAAAAATTATTACATTAGATTTACTGGTCCATGAAGTCTTGCGCAAGTTCCGCTTCCCGGTCCCACGCCACCTCTCTCAGCGCTTGCCAGTAGAGCAAGCACAAAATCAGATATCCAATGGTCACTCCCCAGTAGATGTTCTCCAGCTGGAGACCCAGAAACCAGAGCGACAAGAGCACCGCAGGCACCTGCCCCAGCCAGGAGCCCATCAGGGATGCTTTCAGCACAGTGTTGCTCTTTTTCAGCGTTAGGAGCACGGACTCCAGCGCCACTGCGAGGTTCATGAAAAACACGAAGCAGGAGAAACTCAGCGAAACCCCCTCGAAGCTCTCCAAGAAGGATTCGTCTGTGGCGAAGACTCTGGCGACCTGCCGCGGGAACAATAACCAAATCGCGCTGGTGAATACCAGGATCGAAATCACCAACAAAAGCGTTTTCCGGTACACTTCTTGGGCGCGTTCTCCGTCCCCCCTGCCCAGGCTCGCCCCAATCAGCATATTGCCCGCAGTTGCGAGCGAGGAGGTTAGTGTCATGTTTAGCTCCGCGATTCTGTACCCTGCGTTAAAAACCCCTGCGCCGTTGATGCTCGGCCAACTGGCCATGTACCCAATGGCCGACAGCCGCCAGAAGTCGCTGGACAGCGAGAGGACTTGGGGGAGATGCAGCTCGAGGAAGGGGCGGACTTTCGGCAGGATGATTTCGTTTCGGTACTTCCTGTCGAAGATGACGGATTGGGTCGGCCAGCACCGCCACACGTCTCTTGTCGTGTTCGTGATGATCTCATCTTCAACCCCGGTCGTGTCTTGTTCAGAAGTAATCACTATCCCCTCAGAGGTCGTGAACGTCGTGACCCCGGCCGTTTTATTATTTTCTGTAGTTAATACACTCCTACTCGTCTTCGCGCGCATTGCCAAAAAAACCGCGGCGAGCCCCACCCACTCCACCACCACCGTGACGAAAGGGCACGCAGAAAATCCAAACCCGTAGGCAGCCAGCGGTATTCCCAGCACTAATTGCAGGCCCAGCAATAAGTTCAACACCGGCGGCCCGATGGAGACGGTACCAACCACCAAGTCCGCACACTCTTGTGCCACCAGGAACTGGCTCATCTGCGTCATCAAAATCTGTGCGGGCAGACACAAACTCAGCACCATCGCGTAGTACCCCGACAGGTCCGCGACCGCGGCAGGGAGGTCGAAGAGGTTACGAAGGACAAACGCGGCACAGCAGTTCAAAAGAACAACCGGAATGGCCAGGGTGAACAGAACCAGGAGTGCCGTTTGGAGGTAGGCCCCGACCAGTTGGTAGTTCTGGGAGCCGAAGGCGGGCGCGGCGAGCGACCCAAGAACCCGGGAGTTGGTGACGAGGCTGTAGAGCTGCGTGTAAAAGTCGGAAAAAGCCGTCACCGTGAGGAAAAAAGCGTCGACGTGCCCCGCGAGCGCCGTGTCCGTCATCTTCATGAACGCGAACTGGACGCCGATGAAGAACAGGGGCACGGCTCCGGAAAAAAGGCGCGGCAGTAGCGACGACCACGACGCGTCCACCGGAGATTCATCATCATCACTCTCCCGCGGGCAGGAGCCCCTCCTCCGGAATGGGACGGTTTTTCTCGAATTCGAGTAGCGGGATGGTCAGACGAGCTCGATCCAGCTGGAAGATGGACGGACGGATGGAGCTCGTCCTCGTGCTCGTCGTGGTCAGTCGAGACGTGCCGGTTCGCGTGGAGAGCGTACTCAGACGGGACGTGCGCCGCCGCTGCAGCCGTTCCTGCTCTTTATACGCGACACAGGCCTCGTGGGCAGCGAGGATTGAGGCCCCGCACCTCGACCCCACCGATGAGACACGAGGTTGCATTTTCGACTTGTTTCTCTCGTCTTGGAGGTCGCCACGATCTACTTCGGCCCAAAACTTAAGTAATCTTAGGGAAATGTCGAACACACTTCATCCCTCCGAAAGGTAAACCGTGCCGAAGGTCAAGTTACGATGGTAGTAGTGGGAGTGCAAATTGTCACTCGACTCAAGGCACCTGGTATAGTGTGCATGTCAAATGTTGTAGTTACGATAGAATGCGGCATTAGACATATCAGTACTGGTATACGATGACGATGTGTAGTAAGTGCGCACGAGCTATGTGTGTACGATACCGAAGATAGTAATGCTGTTTGTGTACGACCGACGACGATTCACAGTATGTACGAACGGGTTACCGATCCATCGGGAGGTTTAGAAGTTCGAACCGACATTGTATTGCATTTGATCCGCCACTTGTTTCAAACAGACACGGTGCTCGCTCTTTGATCATGCTATAGTACTTGCAACGATCCGCCTGACAGCTCAGCCGTGGGAGCCTGACGTAACAAGACCCTTCAACGCGACACACAACGTCAAGTAGTTGCAGCCGTAGATTTATTTTCAAGCGGAAATTACTTAGGTGAGCGTGATCCAGCACACCACACTTTCTTGCTGTGCCCTTCTTCAGCGCGGAACGGTGGTTAGGTCAATCCATGTTGCGCTCAAAAGTGGTTAAGAAAAGCTAGGATGAAAAGTATATTTCGAAAACGTAATTTTGTATGATCAACAAACACATTCACATTCTATAGCGCGGTAGAATTTTTCCTCTCTACGCCATGGTAAAAAAGAGCTTCGTCGCAGGAGGAAGTCACCACGACCCCTAGATGAGGTAGATGAAGCCCTACACCTACTGACTTCTATAATATCTATCCTACGAAGAATTATGAAACCGTCGTTCAGTATCATCTCACTTCCGGCACCACTGCCCCGGTGGACACGAAAAACTTCTCCCCGATCAACTTCTCACTTTTCGTCCACAATTCATCCATTTGTTATAAAAATGAAAAATCCCCCCACCCCATACTCAAACTAGAAACTTGTGATGCAGATTTGCGGCCACAAATCAGCTTTGTCATGCCGGAAGGGAAAAGTAGATGCGGACTGTAGTGCTGGTTGGCGTGGGAAAGCCTTGCATCTTCAGCATGACAGGGGGCAGCGGAAGTGGGAAACAGCACCACAAATTGCCTGCAAACGAGGCCACAGCTGCGTCTCTTGGCCTTCTAGCATTACAAGGCGATTTGTGTACTGCATATCAGCATCACAAATTTCGTTTTCGATATGGGGTGGGGGCTTTTTTCACTTTGATATTTGCGCCTCGTTGTTTGCGAAGCTGCTCTCGTGGTACTTCCGCCCGCTCACTTCCACCGGAAACCCGGTTACCACGTGATCGGGGCCGTAGAAAGACCCGTTCTGCACGTCTTCGTCTACACAGCAGAGCACTTGCGACAAACACGCCTGCTCCGCGGGCATCGGGCTGGGGAGAAACCAGCTGACTGGGTTGAGAAATTGCAACACACTGTTCAAAATCGTCTGAGATGATCTTTTCCGCAAATTCGTCTCCGCCTTTCCCACGTGGCAGCAGGTCGCGCTGATGTTTACCAACCTCTTGCGCTTGTTCTTCTCTTCGAGACGTTGCGCCAGCTTTCGCATGAACAGTAGTGCCATCAGCTTCGACTCGCCGTGCTTGTTGTATTCCTTTGTAATTGATGTGGCTGCTGTGGACGACCCTGAGCCCGCAACTTCTTTCGTCCACGCCTCGTCCGAAAAGTCAACGCCTCTTTTCGCCTCCCAATGCGACAGCGACGTCGTCAGCACCACTCGCACCGCCCCCGGGTTTTCCTGGCCGTAAGTGGAATTTGCTGCGCGTAGCAACGGGTTCCATAACAATTTCGTGAGGTAAAACCCTCCGAGGTAATTCACCTGGGTGAACCGCTCGATCCCGTCCACTGTGCGAAAGATATTTTTACTTGCATTTGTGTCGCTGGTGCTCGAAGAAGATGCAGCTGCACCAGTATCGAACCGCATTACCCCTGCGTTGTGGACCAAAACGTTGACGCGATCAAACTTTTTTTTAAACTCCTCCGAAAATTTCCGAATACTTCTCAGACTCGCCAGGTCGCACTCCAGCCCGAAGCACTTCCCGGCCGTCGGTTGAATGTTTTTCCTCCTTCGCGTCACCGGGCGGATATCTTCTAACTCCTTCTTCTTCGCCCGGATAATGTTCCGGATTTTCGTCACGGCCTGATCGACCTTTTCTTTGTCCGAGGAGCAGATCACCACACAAGCGCCGGCGATGCAGGAGAGAATTTTCGCGGTTTCAAGACCAATCCCCGAGCTCCCGCCGGTGATCAAAACGATCTGCCCCTGCATGCAGTTCGGCTTGATATGCTTCTCGATGGTCCAGGTGCTTTCGGTGTTTCTCTTTGGGCAACACAGCCATTCGAGGATGGTCATGCGGTTGTAGTGGTGAATCGTGTCGAAATCGAAATGGGAGAAGTCTTTGGACTCCGGCTCCAGTTTCTTGTAGAAATCCGTGTAGTTGCTGTTCCCATCGAGCCCAGTAGTTCCCGGGGCCCTTTTTCGGCAGGGACAGGACATTTTTTCAACGGTGAATGTGCCTGGTGTAGTGGAAATATGCTCTACAAGAACAGTGATTTCGTGATATTAGACAAAATCACAATCGCCGGCAAATATATGAAAGAAAAACTACATCGCAGTGCTTGAATAGATGAAGACCTGCTTCGAAATAAGTATGTAAGATCAACGTATGAGGTCAGGTTGCGATTGCCTACTTGTCCTTCGTAGGTTCTACTTCACGGTAAAAATACACAAGGCTCTACTCAGCGGAACCAGAAATCACGAAATTCGCCTGAAGATGCCAGAGGCAAGGACCGAAGTTCATTATTTGAAGGACCGAAGTTCAATCGTGTGAGGCAAAGACAACCGAAGAAGTGCATGTCGACCGCCTGACCAGATGGCAGAAAACCTGCATTCGTTCTTTATAATATATTCTTTACAAGACCGATATATTAGCGTGCCCTTCTTCACGACTTCTTGAACCAAATCGCATTGACTGTCAGCGTCCACCGAACCGAATAGACCGATTCCATGAAGCGCCGAAATCGAAGGTGATCATGGCAACACACTTTGCGACCGACTCCTTTCTGCCCACTTTTTAAAAAGTGGCGCTAGTATGCTTTGTTTGTTTCCTTGTGTGCTGGAGTTGGAAGCATGGATCTCTCCTGGGCGAACAAAGCTCTGCTCTCTTCTCCGCCTGGTGCGTGCAGGCGCGGCGCATCATGCTCCAGTGAACAACAAGTTAATCATGTTTGATGCTCTCTGTGTTCGTCGGGGAAAATGAACATGACAATCACAATTGACAAAAACCTGAGGGGAGAAAGAATATAAAGCGTGAAATTTAGTAATCTGTGCCGTCGTCGTCCTACTTTGGGCAGTCTAGTGAAAGCTCAAAACAGTTGCTTTTCTTGTTTTGTTGTATCAACTTCTAGCAGCGCAATTGGTACTTGTTCCATCTGCTCCATCGATTGAAGATGCTGACATCTCTACGATGACGATAAAAATTTCCATTACAAATCACAAGCACCTCGCCCACTCCTTCCGGTTGTCAAACAGGTTCGCCAGTGCCTGCTTGTCTTTCTTTTCCGCCAAACTGACAATCTGCTGCAACAGCAACTCCGGGCCCTGCGACTCGTGCTCCTTGCCCCACTCGACCGACTTCCGGCTCGCGTCCTCGACGACCGATTGCGGCAGCCCGGCCAGTTTCGCCACGTTCCGGCCGTGGGAGTCGGGACATAAACCTTTGACCAGCTTGTAGAGAAAGATCAATTCGTCCGAGCTGGTGGAGTCCACGTCCATGAAAAACGGCGCGATTTCCTCCGATTGGTGCGTGCCGAGCAGGTGGTAGTGGGTAGCGAAGAGAGTGCGGCATTTGATGACGGAAGCTAAATACTCCAAAACCGCCAACGCAATGGCCGCCCCGTCAAAAGTACTCGTCCCGCGACCCAGTTCGTCGATCACCGCGAGAGAAAACTTCGACGCTTCGCGGAGGATGCAGCCGCACTCTTCCAGTTCCATCAAAAACGTGGATTTGCCCTCAATCAAGGAATCCTGCGCCCCGACCCGCGTGAAGATCCGGTCCACTGGCGTGAGAAGCAAGCGGCTGGCGGGCACGCGGAACCCGGTTTGTGCGAGAATCACGGCCAGCGCGGCTTGCCGGAGAATGGTGGACTTCCCGCCCATGTTCGGCCCGGTGACCAGAAGGATGCTGGGTTTGCCGGGGATGGTGGTGTCGTTGGGGACGAACCCGGGGGTCTGGGCTTCCTGCACCGGGTGCCGCCCGTCACGGAGGTCCAGCACGGGAAGGTCCTGATGGTGATGTTGTTACTAACTTATTTATTAACAGCATTATACGCTTGTTCTACGGAGCACAACAAGCAGCTGCGACCATTGCACAGCCGATACTAGCACTTTGCTTTCATGTGCGCACGTTTTCGTTCGTAATCGTATCTATACAAAAATCACTTTGGTAGAAGTAAAAAATGACTCCCTTATTTCCACACCTTTTGCGCATCCTTCACCGGTACGAACTCCGGGCGGACCATGTCCCCGTTTGGCGAGAAGGCGGACGCTTGCGCCATGGAGAGAAACACATCGACTTCCGCAACGCACTGCAGGGCCGCGGAGTAGTGCGCCTTGTACTTGTGGAACTCGCGAAACATGCTGGCAGCGTAGGGGTACATGGAGTCGCGCAGTTTGTTGTCGGCCTCGTCAAGCTCTTTGAGCTGTAAAATGAATGCAGGAACTTTGGAATGACAAGTCTGTCTTCTTTCGACGCGGCAGTTCATTAGACCGAGCAGATCCGATGCGTGGTCAGCAACTGCCGCACGCTCGTTCGTTGGAACAAAAAATGTTGCGTCAGTTGTACTACTAGTAGCGCTTCGCAATAGATATTTGTGTACCAGCACCACGAAACAAAGCTACCTTTTCCACAATTGTCGGTGTGTGGAAGCGAATGAAATTCTTGCGACTCGAAGTATGTTGGCACTTCTCAGCGTTTTGCGTGAACTTCGGAGGCAGCACGTTTTCGGGCGCTTCCACCTCGTAGCGGTAAGCGGGTAGGCGGTGGATGTACTTCATGTCCACATTGGGAAACGATTTCTGGAGCTTCTCCAACCTGACATTTTTCAATAAAGTAAATGCAGTGCGTCGTCGTGTGCAGTTGGTTTTTTGTTCATTGATGTTAAGCCGGGCAATGTCAAGCCGGCCAAGCCGCGGCCAAAGACATATTTTCAGTTCACACGAAGATGCTCCGTGAAGAATCCTGGAGCTGCGACCAGAGAAGAATTGTATAACACAACGAGCTGATACTCCGCCTCTAACGCGTCCGTGATTTCTGCCCTTTTCGCCACCAAGCCGTCATACTCCTTGGATTTTCCCACTTTCGGTGTGAACGACTGCTTTTTCCCCTCGCCTTCCGCATCCACGTAGTTGTTCATAAAATCCTCGTTCAACGGCTGCAAATCCGGAAACGTGCCCCCGTCCTTCTGGTAGGTCAGCAAGGTCTGTAGTCGTTCCGGAAGCTGTTTCGATTTAACATTACCTTGCTGATGGTCACTCGCTGCCATTACCTGGTCCCCGTCCTCGTCCTCTTCGTTCACCACCTGTAAACTGTTTCGAAACGCCTCGATCAGACCTTGACACGTGCTGAACGCCTCGAGCAAGGAGAAAAACTCCGAAATTCGCTTGCCAATGTAGTCCTGGTACAGCACCGCTTTCCGGGTTTGCAGTGTGGTCCCGAGGGAGCAAAGTTTTGTGAAGAGCCGCTCCATGTCCGGGAGTTTTTTCAGTTTCAATTTCAACACGCTGCAGCATTCTGAATTCGCCGGGACGTTGAGAAACAAATCGACGATGTCCTGTCGCTTCTTGATTTCCTTTACATCCATCAAGGGGGCCACGAGCCACTTCTTCAGCAGTCGATACCCGAACGCGGTGGAGGTTTTGTCCACGAAGTGGAGCAGAGACCCCTCGTATTTGCCGTCGGTCCGGCGCAGAATTTCCAGGTTGTCCAGCGCCGTGGCGTCCAGGATCATGTACTTCTTTCCGACGCTAGCGGTGTCGTAAACTTCCCACCGGGCGACGGGGAGCACGTTGTTCTTCAGAAGCACGAACTCAAGGTATCTGAAACTCACGGCCAGGGCGAAGGCTGAGATAGTAGAGAAAGAGATTGAGATCCAACTTACTTGCATATGTTGAATTTCATACCTACTTCGGCTTCGCCCGTTTCACGAAGAGAATTTACAGGGATCTGAAGTATTGAGTAGGGCAGGTTGTACCCATCGTCGTATGAAATCATGACAATCGAGACGATCTTCAGGTTTCGTATAACTGCACCTATATGATCAAACTCCTGCTTCACATAAAGAAACAGTAGTACTGCTCGCCGCATTGAGCAAAACGTCATCGACGTCCATGTTTGTCTTGTCACCCCCGGCTTATCCTGAGTAAAAACGTACCCACACCAGAGTTGTAATGCAGATTTGCAAAGGGAGGAAGACTTGTAATGCGCATCCCCATGAGAGCCATGTCCAGTCGTGTTTTGGAATTTGTGATGCTGTGAACAGGATAAGCAGATGAATCTGTGACGCGGCTGCACTTGCTAACCTGCACTACACTGCATAGTGCAACTTGTCATGCGTGACTCCCAAAACTCCGAGGTTTGTGTTGCAAAATCCCCATCTTGACTCTGGTGTGGGTACGTTTTTACTCAGGATACGGCTTTCCCGTAGTTTTCTTCTACCAGCGCCTGCGCCTGGGCCACCTTCTCGACCTTGTCGTCGTAGGGGATGCAGGCGGGCTTCAACGGCATCGTCTTCAACATTTTGATCACCGAGCTCGACAAGTTCTTCGGCTGGTACACCACCTCGCTCGGCTGGGTCTGCGAGAGCATGGTGCGCAATTGCTGCCGGTCTTCCGTATCCCGCAGAAACCCGATCCTGTACTGCCCCGTGGCCACGTCGACCAGCACCACGCCGAAGTGGTACTCATGTTCCGTATCCTGCCTCAAAATGCACAAGTAGTTCGCGTCCTGGCCGCGGTTCTGTAGCATGTCGTCGTGGAGCAGGGTTCCGGGCGTAAAAACTTCGCACGCCCCGCGCTCCACGGTCACCGTGGACCCGATTTTCGAGTCTTTGGCTTTCCGCTCCGCGTGCTTGCGCTGGGCCTCCTCCACGGTTTCGATCTGAAAATTATAGAAATGTTTTGGCTCCGTAATTTTAAGTGTCAACAGCACCATTCGAAAGAACCGACGAGTACTGATTTTGTATTATTGCGGAAAAATAATGCAGATTCCTCATGTTACCTACACAAGAATGAAAACCCCCACAACGAACGAGCTCACCTGCTCCACCACGACCGAACACACTCCCGCCTCGACCAGTTTCACCGCGTTGGGGTGCAAGGCGGGTTCGGGAAACCCGACGTGCGGTCTCGGGTCCTTGCCCATCCACTTGAATTGGCAGATGTGCTGCGCTAGATACGCGTCGTAGAAAAACACCTCGTAGAACTTGCCAACTTTGAAGAGCAGAATTTTGTCGAAGTTGTCCTTCTTGATGGCCCAGTACTGCCGCATCATCGGCGTGACCCACTTTTTGGTGTCCTCGTCCTTCTCCATCTCCTTCACCCTCTTCGGGTCCGACATGTCGGGGACGTGCAGTGTGGTCTGGTCGTACTCCGGGTCATCCGGTCGCTTGCCCGCCTTATCCCGGATGTTTTCCGGCACCAGCCACTTTGGCCACTGGTGGTGCGCGAGCGCGGTGGAGTGGAAGAACTGAATCTGGTTGAAGAACGTGTTCTGGTTCTTCGTGGCGCGGGACGCGGCCAGCAAATTCGTGTTCTGCTTCGCCTCTGCTTTTAGCGCGTCGGCAGTCGTCTTGTTATTCGCTGTTGCATCTGGTGCTCCAGCTGCACCACGACCCGCAGCCGCGGTGGAGGAAGAACTACTAGCGGCTGCGGTCATCTCCCCGCCGACCTCCTTTTTCCAGTGCGAGCTCGTTTGGAGCCGGTTTTCCACTGGTATTCTGGTCGAAGAAGAGGAAGACGAGGAGGAGGACGAGGCTTGCTTCATCGCTGCAGGCTGGATCTTGTTGCTTTGTACTTGCGCAGACGAGGAGGGAGCGACGCCGCCACCGGAAACGGATACTGAAGCTCTTTCCGCCGCTGGTCTAACGTTCTTTGTCTTACCCGCACTTGGCGACGACGAGGAGGCTGCAGCGCTGGCCGCAACGGTCGTACCTTGCTTCTGCATTTCCACCTGCTGCATTGGCTGAACTACTTGCTCCGCCGGAGCAGGAGCATCTGGAGGTGCAGCCTCCGGGCCCTTCTGCGAGGCGGACGAACCTCCTTTGGCGGGCGTGGGCACGCCCTGCACCTGGTCCACCTTCCGGCGCTTCATGGTGTTGCTAGTGGACCCGTCTTCCGACAGTTTCGGTGGTTCACGCTTAGGCATGAAGGAGAACAGGTTCTGCTGCTGATACTGATTGTTCGAGGAAGACATCTTCTCGTTGAAGTGAAATAGAAGTAGTGAGCTGGTGGACGTCGAGTTGGGGGCTTTATTTCAGTTGACCCTTGTTGAGTAGTTGTGAAGATACGACGACTTATAGTGCGACTTAGCTACTTACATCATGGTGAAGTCGAAGCTTCGTATCTGTCCAATACGTTCTCGGAACCTCGAATAGCATCTGCATCTAGTTGTACAAGACATGACATGATAGAAGGGTCACTAAAGTACTCAAGCGTTTCTTGTCAATGAATATCGCTGGAGCAAGAGGAAGATACGTGAATTTTAGCGATAGCTGCCCCATCCAAAGTAGAGATAAGTTGAGCAATAGAATATTCTTGTTGCCATACTAGTATCAGGACAAAGACGGCCGCGGCCACACGACAGGCTTCCCGTTCTTGTGCGCCGGATGGGAGCGCTTTCCTTTTTTCTATCCTCACTCTTAGTCAAAGAGTAAGTCTAAGTAGATGCTAACTACCAGCAAGCACCTCCAACACGGTGGTCGAGTCGCAACTCCATTTCTTTTTCTGTAGCAACACGCAAGCGCAACTGTGCATAGGCATATTTTTTTGGCGAAACAGGTTGGCGTCGACAAATCGCCTAGAACCATTTTACGATACAGGAACTTGTTGCCAAATCCACTTTGAAGATGGCTTGAAAGCGAAAACTGAACACTGCGTTGTGGTGTTTTACCACATGAACATCGGCCTCTTCAAGTCGAATCGTCCAGTGAATGGACCCCGGTGAAGATGAAATCATAGATGAAATGATGAAAGCGTGTAGCTCGTCGCGAAGGGTGTAAAAAGTATCGTATGAATGTACAGGTTGTTCCTCAAAATTCATCGTGCCATGGGCATGTTGGCTCCTCGCGATCTTCTTCCCCAGTGAAAAAAACTACTCCAGGAAAGGTCCATGTGTGGATCTTCGCGCATGATGTATGTTCTTCTTTTTCCCATGCAGCGTCACGCACTCTTTCTCTTTGTGTCGCGGCCGCAGGTCATAGTTTTAAGATAGAAAAAGCGAAAGCCTCATCATACACGACGTCCCCCAAAATTTTTGACAACATTTGTCCTTTGTCACAAGTCGTAAGTAAACAACCTCCAGGAGATGGGGACTGCAGAAGCAAGGAGATCAGGATCAGAAAAAGATGACGTCGTTTGAAAACTACGGAACGGTCGACGTAGGTAGTCGCGGACGACTCGTGGCCCTTGATGTGGCATCTTCATCACAACCCCCACAACTGATCCTGCACCCCTTGTCAGTCACAGTCTCCCGCCCCGGACATAAAATATCAGCTGCTGAAGTCGAGCCTTCCGTGCACGGACGCCATGCTGGGCACGTCCTGTCTCTTCATGGAGAAGACCCGCTCGTTGGCCCCCTGCACGAAATCTCGCTCGCGCAGGTGCAGCATGTCGTCCTGCGCCAGCACCGCCTTCCACCGGGGAAAGAGGTACTTCTGCATTTTCCCGTAGTAGGCCACACCGGTGAGCAGCAAGTGCGAGAACAGCCAGAAGAAGAGCACAACGGTCCAAAACCACCCCTCGTAGAAGTGGATGGTGTCCGCGTCGTAATTCAAATAGTTCGTGAGCCACCCGCAGAGCATGATCGCCGCGCCCTGCACAAAGGTCAGCCCGAAGGACCAGAGCACGTAGAGGTCCATGCTGGTCATGTAGGGCTTGGACGGCAGCCACGCGGTCAGCGACACCTTGTAGGCGGCCAGGGTCAAGACTAGAGTCAAAATCACCTGCATCCGGTCGGACACCTCCGTCACGGGGATGAGGAACGCGGAAAACGCCAAGCAGACCAGGAGAAAGAGGATCACGTGCACGTTGCTGATGTAAAAGTTCGGGACGCACTCCATCTGGAGCACGATGTGAAACCGGCTGTACTTCGCGCCCGAGGGCATCGCGGCCAGCCAGGACAGCGGGTAGAACTCCGCATAGTGCCCCCGGCAGATCCAGCTTTCCGTCACCCGCGTGCGGCCCTTGAACACCGAGGGCCGGTATTTCATCTCCACTAACCGGTAGCCGTAGCCCGGCGACGGGTTCGCTGGTGCAGTTGTAGCTGGTGCGCCATGATTATCCAAGAAAAAAACTGTGCTAGTGTAACTTTCTTTGGCTGACAGCATCACAAATTTGCTCTACATGACATAGAAAACCTGTCATGCGTGGCTTACAAGGGAAAACACACAGGAAAAGAGGCCTTCATGGTTGTCTGGCATGACAGGTGTAACAGTTTTGCACTTTCTGCATTTTTACAAAGTTACACTTACACAGTTTTTTTGTTGCATAATGATTGCCCGTCGTGGTCCCAGCAACCGGCGAGAGCGACGCCGTGCGGCTGGTCGCGTTTGATGCGCCGGACCCGGCAGCGGTCGTACTAGTTGCTGTCGTGGGGGAACTAGAGTTGTTGATCGCCGCGCCCCGGGCGCCCATCGCCGCGACCGAGGCGAGAACTTCGTTGGCGGGGCTCATCTTGGGTCGATTGCTACTTGTCGTGCTTCCTGTTTGAGCAGATGGCGCTGCCATGGTGGAGAACCTGGGGTCCATGGATCCTAATCGCCGGTCCGCAAACTTGTTGACCACAGCTGCACCACCCGTTGCACCAGCTCCTGCTGCCTTCTTGTCTCGGACGATCTCGTAGTGCGGCAGCATGAAGTTCCAGGGCACCGCGTAGAAGCTCTTCGTGGACATGGTGTTCACGAACGTCATGCGCAACAGCATGCGGGAGAACGGGAAAGAATCGAGATCCATCACCTGGTTGATCACCGACTGGTATTTTCCGTACGTCTGCACGTAAAACGACCGCGTCAGCTTCTCGAGCGGCGGTTGGTCGAGACCTTCTACATCAGGACCTCCACGAGATGAACTTCTTCTATAATTAAAGCTGTGCGCCAAGTCCACGTTTGCGGCCGCGTAGTCCTCCGCCACCGGCAATGGTTTGTCGACGCACTCCCGCACGGCCACCACGCACTCGGAAATCGCCTCCGGCTCGGTGGCCGACCGGATGTTAAAGAGGGGTAGGGGTTGGTTCAGCTTCAGCTCGCTCAGCGTGCACTCGTCGCCCGCGATGGATTTCAGCGTGGCAATGTCCTCCGCGTCGGTCACCTTGAAGAGCATGGACAGCTCGAAGCCCAGGTCCACGGACTCCGCCACCGTGTCCAGCTTGCCCAGGCTGGTGATCTGGTAGGCCACCCCGACGAAGGCCGTGTTTTTGTGCTGCTCCATCTCCTCGCGGGTCAGCGGCAGCACCACCCCGCTGCCCTCATACTTGTTGCCCATGTCCAGCTGGAAGTGCAGGTCGTCCCGCCCGTCCTCCGTTTTCGCGTACCGAATCACGTCCTTTTCCGCCTCCGACACCATCGCGGCCCGCTGGTCCCAGGGGAGCCACCCGTGCCCGTAACTCGGGTCCTCCAGCAGCGCCGTCGGGGTCTTCTTCAGCTTTCGGCTCAAAAACGCGATCCGCTCCTGCGCCGTCGTGGCCGTCTTTGACGTCGTAGCTTCTGGCTGTTCTTGGAGGTCCTCTGGCGGGGTGGACCTCGCGGCGGAGTTTATTGTGACAGTTTTGTGACTAAAATCGCCAGACGCTGCAGCGCGGCTGTGCGGCTGCTGCCCGCGTAGTTCTTCCGCACCAAAAGTAGCGCCGGCCTCCAAGACGTTGCCTCCAGGGAGAGGGACGTAACTTGTTCCCACATTAGCAGATGAGAAGGGGGACGACCCGTCTGCTGGTGCAGTAGAAGTGTGGTGTCTACTACTTGAATACATTTCCCGCATTTGCGCCCCGCTCTGGCTTTTCTGGTTGTGCTCCATGTTGACAACTTGTTTCTGATGCAGCGTTTTGAAGGTCGCACTCAGCCTTTCGTACGTTTGTTCTTCGTCTTTGTTTCTTTTCTTGCTCCGACCACAGCAACAGCAGCAACATAAAATGTTCGAAACTCGAGCAAAGAGCCCGGTCTTTCTATTTCTATTCTTAAAATCTAGGTGCTTGTCGCGGAAAAAGAGTCTCGTGTAAAAGAAGTGTCGAAAAAGGATTAGGAGGCCGAGCCAGCAGATAGTACTCGCTGTGTAGTTCGCAAAAGTGTCTGTGTCAAAAAATCCGTCGGTGTGATTCTCCAAAAATCCCGCAAAAACCCGCACCAGGTGGACTTCAGCAACCTTTTTCTCGATTGCATCCCAGAAGCTGCCAAACGAGGCGAGGATGACTGTGGCGAGGAAGAGGACTTGGCGCAGGGCGTCTAAAAGCGACAGTACCACCGCAGTTGCTGATGTGCTACTGTCCGCAAATGAATCGCCCGACCCTCCAACATCGCCTGTGAGCCCAGCTGTCTGCAGCCGCTCCGCCAACTGACCGAGGAGCCCCTGCATCTCGTCAGCCGCGGTCAGAAGAACGGAATTAGTATTTCTATTTGTATTTGCGTACGAGTAAGTTGAAAAATAAGGAGGAGAACTTGTTCGATTAGTGGAAGATCCCGAAATCGTGGACACGGTTGGTGTACTAGTAGATCCTTGTAGCTTGTTCCGGGGTGTTATTGATGTTAAAGAACTAAAGCGAGAACTTGAACTACTAGAAGTCGCGTCGTCCTCTCCGAAAACTACGGAGGCTAGCGACAGTATGATTTTCGGATCGGCAACAAACGCATTTCTACTTTCTGTACCCGTCGAGGAATTTATATCTACATCTACTTCCGCAACACGACCTCTCTGGTCGCGATCGCCTTTGACAATCTCTTCCTTCCTTATGATTTCGTCATCGCCAGAAGATGAAGATGTAGCACTACTGGAAGATTTAGCTGAACGATGGAAGATTTTGCCGTTCTTGTGCAGTGCGGTCGGTTGTTCGAAAAATGATGGCTCAGGATCCGGCAACTCATCATGATCGTTGGCACCGTAAAAATTGTCCTTCTTATCTTCGGCAAGAAACCACGAATGCACTATTGAAGAGGCGGACAGCTGTTCCTCTGGTCGGGATCCATCTGCTGCTCCTGTGGTTTGTCGATATGATGGCTCCTGTGAAAAAGAAAACGGGTCGTCATCTGAGGCGTTGTGGTTATCCGTATCCGGGGGAAAAACGAGAAAAATGGAAGCGAGGAAGAAAAATAAAAGAAAAAAAAATGGAAGAGGGTACATAATATTAATACCACATGAGTGCGTATGTATAAGAGTCGTATTGGGGCATGCAAAAGCAGTAAATGTTGCCGGGGCCGCGACAAACTGTCTTTCATTGAAAAACGAAGAATAAAGTGAAATCTCCGACTACGGGAGTGAAACAAAACGTCACGACTACATTTGATGCGACCGAAGACCGTGAACGCCAACGCAGGTGGAACGATTGAGTCACTGCAACTTGCGTTGAGTAGAAGCAGTAGAACGAGCTTCGCAAACCTGATCACTGCAACAAAGAAAGGAAATAATGACGGAGAGCACGACTATGGCAACGCACGAACGATGACGAAGATGGAAAACCAGCACGGGCGGACAAGGTCCTAAGGGAAACCGAAAACAACGTCGACCGCGATTTGGGACGGTGCAGAAACGCACTGGAAAAATGTCGTTTGCAGCATTTAAGAAAGTATAAGCCTTATCCTCTTTCGGAATCTGAATCCCCGCGAAAATACAGCGCAGTTCGCAAAATTTTATTCTTGAGGAGTGAACACAACACTCTTCGATCGCAACAAGCATGGTGCTGTAGCAAAAAAACCTGTCCAGCAGCTGGACAAACAAGTATATTTTTTTTTCATTTTCATCGCCTAAGTGTGTACAGTGAGTAGTCTAGCGGTAACAAGATTCGAAATGTTAGCATTTTTCCTTCAATCCTCGAGGACGTTGAAATTAATAAAATAAGGAAGGTGTACAATTAATTTTCTCAAACTTGATATTCTTGCGTGATACTAACTTGAAAACATCTAGCTGTTGCAATCATTCTGCTTCTTGAGTCTGTTAAAATGTTAAGTAAATAAATATAAAATTGTTCAAATTAAAGTTGAGCTATTTATTCTCATACTGACGGCATCTCTACCTGATTTCTACCTGTGCCTGATTCTTTCCACGCTGTCCTCCTGGGTATGAGAGTTGGTGTCTGTGTCGAGCTTCGTGCGCATTAGTAAAGGTACCGGTACAACATGTATGTCTGAATCCGAAAGTAAGTGAGTGCGTATTTAAGCGTAAAAACTGCGTCGAACGATAGAAATCCCGCCGGCCTTGCACATTTAGTCTTGTACCTTCGGGAAGCCGGAAAACTTGAAACCACTACTGCTCCATTATCTGTACGTTCCTGTAATCTCGTCCATTGAATGCTTTTAATATTGATACACTATCTATCTGAGTCTGATTCTGAATCTCACAGTCACACATGATTATCATACATTTACATGCGAATTCACTTTATTGTCGACGTTCATACTGCTTCTGCTGGTGTCTATCTTTATTTTACGTTGCCCTGTTCAACAATAACCGTCGTCCCCTCCATAGATTTAGATGATACTAAAAATGTTTCAAAATTCCACTAGCTGCTAATCGCGTTTGTTTGCTGTTCTGTGTCAAATCGGTGATGCGTGGCGCTTGAAAAGACTGTATAGTAAAATGGACTTTCACAAGAATAGTATGCTTGCTGAAGTCGCGCAATGCAATCGGAGCGGATTCCTTTGATTCTTTATTTTAATTTTTTTTTCGAACGTGCCGGAGAAGCGAACATTTTTCTCAAGGCCGGCCACCGAGTGGCTTGAACTCCCCAACAGCCTCTTCAAAAAACTGCATCTCACCGGGCTTTAGCGACGATCTCCTCTGGCGCGCAACCCAGAGGACCCTGCTCGCTCCGGTCAATAGTGTCATCCTGGTCGTGCTCGTCATTTCCAGCGTTTTCACTCCACGTAACTTCGCCACCAGCGGAGCCGCCGGACACGAACGGTTTCCATGTAGAAGTTGCCACCGCCGCCGCAGCCGACGTCTTCCGTTCTGCAAAACTCTCTGGTGGTGGCACCGCCGTTCCTTCCTCCGGGTCGACATGGTCGAGAAGTGATTCGTCAGTGAAAAAAAACGCATCTCGGTCGACTGCTTCTTCTTGAGCGGAACCCTGGACATTCCAGGCCGCCCCGCCACTCCCCGATTTCGCCTCCGCTTTTTCGATCATGGAAGAAGCAGAAGCGGCGACTTCGACTTGAACTTCATCTGCGGCTTTGTGGACATTTTTCATTTCACCGCGCAACACGCCGCTTTTCTCCACTTGGTCTACAAGGGCTTTCGTAGCCGCTTCCAATTCTCTTGTAACCTCTTTAAGGTTCTTCTCGACTACACCTTCCAACCTCGTCTTCTGCTCTTCTGCCTTTTCATCGTGCGCTTTCGCGTCGTGACGCAGCTTCTCCAGTTTCGCTTCTGCTGTTGCAATACCGTCAACCAGACTAAAGAGATTCTTCAGGCAGTTGTCGTTGTGCGAATGCGTGGGGTCGGGGGCCGTTGTGTGGTCAGACTCCGGAGATTGGGGCGCGTGCGGTTGTGCGGTCGAGATCGCTTTTGGACCGTTGTCCTTTGGAGCGTCCGCCTTGCAGTGGCCGTCCTCGTACGTGAAGCCACTAAAGGCTGCGCACGCCACCGCGGTGTCAGTGGTCTCGCTTTCACCATCACCTTCGCCATGATGTTTATCGTGATATATTTTGGCGGCATCTGTCGCAATGAATACTGCAGCCCGAAGAAAGTTCGCGTTGAAGCGACCGCCAAACTTTGCGTTGAGCCACTCACTAGCACTGAAACCCTTTTGCTGATTGAACGGCTTCGATTTGCCGTCTTTAAGCTTTTTGATTGCCTTAGGGTAGTGACTAACGTACCTGGCCAGGACCTGCAGCGCTTTGCGTGCGACAAATTTGTCGACGTCCTCCGACTGCTCCTGCTGCTGCATCTCCTGCTGATCATGATGCTTCTGAAAACATATTTGCATTAGCTTGTACTGTTTGTGTGTTTTCGTAGTCCACCAGTTCACGTCGACTTTTGCGTCGTGTCCTAGAAGCTGTGCTAAATCTTCTACAGCAGCCTCCAGCTTGTCTTTTCCACTGATCCAACGCCCGAATGCTGTAGCACGTTCTCCGACACGGGCACGGCTTCGCGCATTGTGAGCTCCGTCTGCGACACGGCCTCCCGCTTGTCGAGCACGCTCAGCTCCGTGTCCGGCAGCGCTCCGCGCACGCCCTGCTTGCCGTGCCACTGGATCAACTGCTCGCGCTCCTGCATCTCTGGCTCGTGCTCCTGCTTTGGCAGCAGATGTCTGCACAGAGTCCGCAAACCCGCCGAGCATTCGCTGAGCCTTCTCTTTTGGCGACTCTTTTTCCAGTTTGTCCGGAATCTTGTCCGCCTTGACGCATTTCGTGACAAAGTCGTTCACGGTGTCCATCATGGTGTTTTTGTGTTCGGCGTCGCCCACGATCTTCAGTATGTTCGATTTCTGAGAGATGTCCACAGCGAGCATCTCGCCTTCGCTGTCACTACTGTGCGCACTACCTTTGTCCGGGACCGGTCCGCCGAGGACATCGGGGTGGAAGTAATTGTTCCATTGTTGACGAAAGCATTTTTCCTCAACCAATTTCTCGGCAACCAAGGGACGTAACGTCGCAAGCGCGGCGGCCCGCAGAAAATTTTTGTTGAATCTTTTCTGGAACATTTCCTTGCGCAGCTCCTTCTCCTCTTCCGATGGGTCCTCGTTCCCAGCGGTCTTTGCAACGAAGTCCGCAGAAACCCAAGATGTGAGCGCTTCCATGCGCTTCATGAGGAACTCGTACGCAGGGTCGCTGTCCTCGCAAGAATGCTTCTTTTTTATGCCACTGCGATGGCCGTCATGGCCATGCCCATCCCCATGACCACCCCCATGAACATGCCCGTGACCACCCCCATGACCACCCCCATGCTCGTGACCATGTTCGTGACCAGCCCCATGACCATGTTCGTGACCACCCCCATGCTCGTTACCACCCCCATGAGCATGCCCGTGACCACCCCCATGACCACCCCCATGCTCGTCACCATGTTCGTGACCAGCCCCATGACCATGTCCGTGACCACCCCCATGCTCGTGACCAGCCCCATGACCATGCTCTCCAGAATGCCAGCACAGGTGAAGGTAATTGCGCACGACCTTCTTGCTAGCGCCGAAAGTCGCCATAATCAGATGGTACACCAGATGTCGTTCGTTGTAGGCAATAACGGGGAAGTTTTCGTATCTCAATAGCCGGTCTTCGTCTAACCAGGCTGGGTCTGGTTCATCGAATTTTGATACCAAACGCCAGTACCTCCCTTGGTGAAGCTGGTACACCAGGTGGTGCGAAAGGTACTCCGGCGCTTGTTTTTCTGGGCTTGAGACCGCTGTCCATGGTAGCCAAACAAACGTCCAGTCCAGTGCAAATCGCAGTGCGTTTTCTACGTCGCGCGCCAGAACAAGCTCCGACAAATAAGAGGACATTTCATCTTGTAATGTGGGCAACGTATCCGGCACAGGCTGACTTTGCGGCGGCCCGTGCGACTCATCGAGCGACGGCAGGGCCGAAACCAACTTGTCACGTGCGTCTCTCATGAAATCCTTATCATCCTCGTCATACACGAACTCATCGAAGGAGCCCGCGAGTCTCGCCAAATTTTTGGCGCTCCCAATGTCGCGTTCCGGAATACCGGCGAGCACCAGACCGTGTAGAAAGTGAATGGAAAGGCGCGCGGGCAGCTTCTCGCGAACAACGGACTTCTCCTGCGCACGCTTCGCGACTGCTTCGACGATCTTTTCTAGCGTGTATGATACCACTTTCCAGATGGTAAGCGTCGCCGGTTCTCGCTCTTTTAGATTTACTGCAATGATGCCTGTATTGAATGTCCCGCCTGGTGCGACCTTAAGGCCAGGATGGATTTCCTTGTGCGCCTGATGCATGAGCGGCCGCAGTGTCTCTGTCCATGCAGCGACAAGGCCTGCATGCTCGTGTTGCGCATTCTTCGCGCCGTCCTGGTGTTGTTCGCTGGGCCTGTGCCCATCTCCTCTGTGTTCTTGGCCAGCGTGCTGCTCGTCGTGGCCTTGGAGACAATCATGCACATGCTTCCATGCTTTGACAATAGCTGCGGCGCCACTGTCATGCTTTTCCCCCGGACCAATTTTCTTCTTGATGTGCGCCACGTCCTCGTATCCAAGGAGATAAAAAGCGACAGCATCCTCCATGTGTGCAAGCTTAGGGGATTTGGAACCGCCGGATGGAGCGTTCTTCTTGTTGGAGGTTTTTTCTTTTTCGAGGACGAGGACATCTAGATGTAAGCGTGAGCGTCGTTGGAACGCGCGATCGCTGAAAATGTTGATGCTCGGGAGAATCCCGCCTTTTGCGTGATACGAAGGAACCGCCTTCGAAACGACACCCGCAAGCGCTCGCAATGCTTTTTGGATGCCATTATCCCCAGAAAACATCTGGCGCCAGCCAGACGCCCCCCGGTTTGTGGCGGTAACTGCCTTTGACAAAGCGGTCTTCAGCGCATCTATCTTTTCTTTCGGCTTGTGCTTTTTCTCAGCTTCGCTCCCTTGCTTCAGCTTGTGTGCGACAGCTGCGACGAACTCTTGCAATGCCTGGTTTGCTCTCTTGAAAGCCTCTTCACGGGCATTGGCTTCCTCCTTCTCCGGTAGCGGTCCGGCGCTGCTTACCTGGGTGATGACCCTGCGTAGTTTTTCCATTATCGCGCGCACCTCGCGAGAGCCGCAGAGCAGCAGACCGTAAAAAAAATCCTGCGACAGCAGCTCACTTTCGTGGCCGTCGATGAAACCGAACCTTTCGCGCATCCCCAGCTTTGGAATTGCGTCCACAAGGTCTTCGAGGATCGCCAATGCCAGTTTGGTTCCCGCCTCAAGACCGGAACCCATCTTCGCTTCTCCAATATCCTCAAAGGTCCAAGACGCCATCGCGTAGAGCACCTTTATCCACACCACGACTCCCGCCTCATCGCCAACGAAACCGAGATGATCACCCTTCGGCGAGCCTTTATTTCCTTCTTCATTATTAAGATCTGCATATTTTTTCGTGCCTTCCTTGAAGACCGGGTGCTCCTTCTGGACTACATGTTTCTCGGCTTCCGCCTTGTCGGTGAGCCGCAAAGTGGTAGCAAACAAAGACGACTCCGCGTCCAGCTTCCTCAATTCCTCTTCCTTGTTGAGTTGCTCGACTCCCTCGCCATCCAGAGGGACCCGGCCTCTCCTGTCGTTCCACGTCCCACGTTGCCAAACCGAAAAGGTGCCTTCATCAGGAGAGAGCGCAACCTCGACCAAGGACGACGTCAGGTTTAAAGAGGACGTGGCCGAACCTGCTTCGTCCCCGAAGCCGTTCGACATCTTCATCCCCTCCTCTAAAGAAGCTGCGGCGGATTCGGTGGCTCCATCGTACGAAATCCCAACCGCTTCATCATCACCCTCTGCTCCTTCTGCATCACGGTCCTCCCGCTCCACTGCTCGCTGCGAGGAAAGTTCTGAGGATGACGAGCTGTCCCGCAGCGCGGAGACAAATCGCGCCAGAGCGTCCGCGGACTTCTTTTCCACGAACGCCACAGCATCGTGTTTTTCTCCGTTTTCGGTTCCCCCGTGTGCAGGACGATCGGCAGCTCCTGCTGCAGAAGCAGCACCAGAGCCCGTGGAAACCGAACCCGGTTCAATTTTTTGCGACTGCATCAAGAACTTCTCCTTCTCGACCAGTGCAGTTGTACGACTAGATCCTCCAGTGCCCGTGCGTTCATCTTGCGGGTGCGGCAAGGACGCAGTTGTCCTCGTTTGGGTCGCATAGAAGTTGTCTTCGTCGTGGTAGTCAGCATACGACACATCTTCCGCACCTCCAGCAACACCGCCCGATGAAACAGGCTCTTCTTCTCGCGGCTGCAATTTTTCGCCGACGCAGAACCGGAATAGCGATCCTTGGTCGTTGCCGGCAGAAACTGTTGCAAAATTGTCATGGCGCGATCCAGGCGACGACCACCAACACCAGAGTGAAGTTGCCAGGAGCCGCAAATACGGAACGCCTTTGGCACTCCCCAGCCCGTTGCTGCCATGCAACAACGTGAAAGTCATCGTAGTTTTAGTTTTGATTTTTTTGATGAATGGCCTCACGGACGACACGGCCTCAGACTAGATTTCGAATATATCGATTTTTTCAGATTTTTTGATTCTCAGTTTTCGACGATCAGAATCTGTCACCGTGCATCAAGCACAGTGCAGCATGCTGATGCTCTTCTTCCCCTTCAAAGTGTTGAACTTCTCGCTGATCCTGATCAGCGGTGGAGTCAATCAAGGGAAAAAAATGAGTCGCCTACGATTTCGACGCATCAGGAACAAACTCAGTCACGTACAAATGTAAAGAGAACCCGAGGCGGGGAAATAATTCCATTTTATACCTGGCGTAGAAGCGTACTAGCTCACATCGGTCACGACTATGATTGATTTCCAATACGTCGAATCAGTTCAAATAATAACGACGACCCCACACATTGAATTATCTTAATGGATGCTTATACAACGAAGGTGTAGATGAAGTCTGTCACCCACGTCCGGCGACGTTCTTTGTACATGCGTACCCTCTTTGTAGCTTAACGAGCACGACGCCATCTTCGACAAATACGATTTGTGCAGTTCGTTCAACACCTCGACTTGTAGTTACTTTCAGAAAGGCACAGAAGGTAGAACTGCAAACCCTATAATTGATTCATCCAAGTTCACCTGCTGCTACACCCGACATCTAAATTTACATCGGCGAGATCGACGATACATACAGTCCACGACGAAATGCGACGAAGGCAGACGACGACGAAGGCGAACTTCGATCTTGTCAATTATGCCACCTGACAACGAACCGATATCGATTTTTACACCATTGGTTGCTCCATCTTTCATGAAAATGAAAAACTTAAGGCTCATGAGCTGGTTGAGAGGAGAACAACAGAACTACGATTTCATATTCGTAATCAAGTCTTCAAAAATTTCGTGTGTGGTTTCCATTTTACGAGTAGACCCACTTGTTACCCCTATAGCAAGCGTCAATTTAGATTTTTCATTTCTGCAAACAAATTGATTAACCCTTTCTCAATCACAAGATTCCTTGACAGCCGTGGCGGCACTACTGATTCGACAGAGAATGCCACGGGAGCACGAGCTGCGGCGCATACAGCATACTAAGTGTAAAACGTATATTTCTACGTGCTGGTACTGAATCTGCAGCTGGAGCTCGAAATCGAATCACTATGATCGTACATAAACCCAATCCTTCGTCGAGCAGTCGCACTAGTGGTCGTGCAGACACTTCTATTCCTTACTGGTGCAACAAGAACACCGCCTCAAAATTATTGGTCGAAAGCGACTACACACAGAAGACGAAACAAGGAAGAAACAAACGCAAAACCATACTCCCAGTCCCATGTCGTCGTCACAGGCATTCATACTCCACCTTGCTCTGGTCAACGGGTACGCAATATGCCGTGCAAAAAATGACACAGAAGCTCTCTCAAAACTACGATGTTGCACAACATGAACGTCGAACTCGAATGCGCGCAAGAGGTCCTACTCCTACATAACCATGCATGGCGCGACGGTGAGGACGAATCCGCTTGTGTCGAAAGCATCATATTACATCACTTTGCATTTCCATTTTGGCCATGACTTGCAGCACTGAAGATGAAGACGACACTGAGCTTCAGCTTCTGTTTGCCGTGCACAAGTAGCCTCGCAGCACTACCTTAAAGTACTCATCTGGCTCTTTCCCGGAGCCCATCAGAAAGAGGTCAAAAAAACAGCTGTTCACCTGAATGTTGACGGAGTACTTCTCTAACACATTCGGATCAGGATTAAAATGCTGTCGCAAAAACGGGATCTGCTGTGCCTGCTGCTGCTGCTCCTCCGCATCTCTGAGGGCTTCTGGTTCTGCTTCACCTCCCTGCGCAGTGAAAATACCAGCGCCAGCCCTGGTTGACGCACCCGTAGCTTCATGCTGCCCTTGCTCGCTTGGCCCCCGGCGGCTGACTAGAAAACGGCTTTGGGTGTGGTACTGGAAAAAATCGTAGCTGCACATAGCGGTCTCGAGACCAGATGTTGTGGTGGCTATACAGTGCTCCGTACCCGAAACTAGTACAACACATCACGAACTACTTACATTGCTGTTTCTTGTTGTTCCAGCGCCGATCTTCACGCTACTCATCTACAACTACAACTGCAAAAATTCGCAGCCATAAAGGAAGTCGGACGGCAAAAAAAAACACACCAGCAACCATGAATGCACAAACGGACGCACAAAAGCAGTGCGTGAAAGCAACAGGAAAATCGGCGTCAGCAATTACGCTGTTACTTACGACGGAGCAGTAAGGAGTTGTACTAGTAGTTTCTTGCCTGACCATAAAGGAGCACGCGGCCGCGCGGCCGTACCGCATGAAGTCCTTCAACGGAATCGTCACACGCGTTGGCGTTAGGTGCAGAGAACGGTCCGTCTCCCACGCAACCGTGAAAGGAGATGTGTTCACCGTCCTTTGGCCTTGACGAAGTGCATTGCCATGGTTCCTTGCGTCCCCCACGGACTCTCCTGTCGAAGTACTGGAACGCGGCGGGGGACCGGGACGATCCTCTCGGGAGTGAGTTTCGCTTTCCGCTCCTGTATCTCCATCGGAAAGAACGGAGTCGTCTTGTTCAACAGTTTGCATCGCGGTCGGCAGAATTTCGGAGAGAGGGAGATGCAGTGAAAAAATGACGTTGCGTTCATGCAGCACGGCCTGCATCTCCTCCCGTAGTTCAGTACTTACAAGACTGAGGACGATATAAAAAATCGTTGTCGTGGTACAGCTGCAAAACGCATGCGAGGACAATCGGACGTAGTAAACTACACTTGTGTACGCCAATAAACGGCAAACGCTAACCGCAACTGTCAACTTTTCCAGTGCCTAAAAGTGGTGGAAAAACGCCTCGCTGCCCAGCACCACAACCGGGTCGATGATCATGTAAGACTTCCGCTTCAGTGCCTGTGCCTCCGACCATAGCTGCTGTAGAGCGGCTTCTTCCGAATCCGAATCATCCTCGACGTCAACATCTACATCTACTTCTGCAGCGTGCACTCCATTTTCTACTTCCGTCGTTGCGCTCCCAGAACCTGTAGTCCGAGGATTTTTCTGTTGCATTTGCACCCGTGCAGCATTGTCCATCGCGTCACTAGCTTCTGCGGCCCCTGCTCGAGCAGAGGATGAGAGCTGCAGCCCAGCTTGCGGCCCTCCTGCAGAAGATGCAGTCGCTCTCGGGCCCCCGGTGTCGCATTGATGGGTTGTATCTGTAGGTTCTTCCTTCGGTACTTTTCTCACCTGCTCCTCCTCTTGATCTTCGTCGCTCTCGTAGTCCATAGCATTTTCCGAGGTGTTCCACCAGAATTTTGTGCCCTGGTTCGCGTTGTGGCTTATGCAATCGAGACAAGCATGCTCCACCTCCACCACCACCCGCCCCGAAAAATTATGAAAATACATGAATTTTCAATAGTAAACGTGGTGCACCGCCAAGGATATGGACATACCCTCCGCGTAATAAATATAAACCTGAAGTGAATGCATCACAACATTCTTGATACGTAAAAACACCTCAGTCGTAGAAAAGCCGCAGACCACTGGAGGTATCTCTGTATGGACGAGCAGCTGCAGGGCGTTAAAACACATACCAGAAGGAGCAAGTTCTACACATTTCCCTGCATATGATCCCAGCACGAGTCAAACAGGTGGTGTAATGACGTGTTCGGGATGTGTTTTGACCGTTCTCTGCTAGTTGCGAGATCAGTCGCGAATATGCCGTACCCCCGGGTGGTGAGCCGAAACCGCTGCAGCAGCTTCCGAAACGCCACCGCACTCAGCGCGCTGTCGCTCGAACAGCAGCACCCCCCAAGTTTCGCGCTCCTCCGGCGGTGCCACTCCTTCATCTTCTCGTGAGCCCGTGCCGAGGCGCTCTGCAACTCCGCCACATCCGCGCGCAACTGTGCGAGAGATGCGTGGCGCAAGATTCCGTCGAACACCAGGGGAAAAAACGTCCGCTGGAAGAGTTTCTGGGCGGGAACGTTCCTCGACCCGAAACTGGTGCCCACGCTCTCCCGTTCCTGCTCCACAGCTTCGATTAGCGCGAACGCCAGCTGGTCTACCAGATTTTTCCGAAAAATCACTTGGATCGCCCAGTCTTGGGTTGTGGGAAGTGGTGGAACAAAAGTGGGTGGTGGTCTTCTACGAGGGAACAGCTCTTGCGATGCTGAAATCATTTCCGCCTGGGCAGTTTCTGAAGAAGAAACCCCCTCCATCGGCGTTGCGCAGCTCCCAAACAGAAACAACCCGGCGCACGAAGAGGGTTGGGCATTATCATCTTCTGCGTTCTCCTCTCCTGCTTCAAGACGACTTGCACCTGCTCGCAGTCTGTTACTTCTATTTCGCGTCAGAAAAGAAAATGCGGCAGTTGGGCGTGGCCAGCCACGCGGGTCGTGGACACTACGAGGATAAGGAGTAGAGGAGCCTACAGTACTGGCTCCCGCTGGTGCTGGCCTTGCTGTTTCACGACTTCTCAGCGGGTGGTCATGAATACAATGACTATAGTCCAAAAGCCTACACCCAGCAGCGTCTGGTGGGGAACTTGTGTCCGTGTCGTCATCTTCGCTTGCATGGCTGTACACGCGCGAGTTATTTCCTCCACGACCTTCAGCGGCTCTACTTCCTCGTCCCCGTGCCGCACGACTACTTCCGACGCCGCCGTCTTGCGGACGAAAAGAAAGCTGCTCTTCGTCACCGCCCATAATTTCTTGATGGTTCTCCTGCAACATTACTGCTGGCTGCGACCTCCTTCTCCCCCGGTCGTCCTCGGCATTGGAACTTCTACCTTGCGCTTCGCGGATCCATCGCGCTATCGTCCAATCGTCTGCGACATTGGTTCTCATGGAGGTAGTAGAAGAACTCTCCTGAAAGACACCATCATCATCATCGCGCAACACCACGCCGTCCTTCCCGGCCAGAAGCAATCTCGTCCGGGTCGCCGGAACGCCAGTTTTCGCTTCTATTTTCTTCTTTAGCTCGCCCAAAGTGGTACTGCTGATCGGAACGGCGCCTCGCGCAGCCTGATGTAGTTGTTCCGCGTCGAGACCTGCATGGACTCGACAATTGTTATTCTTGTCGGAACTTGATGGTGGGTCTGCAGCATCCTCCACGAGCACCGGGGCGCCCGTGGTGCAGAAAAGCACCGGAATACACAGATCCTCGTGCAGCCTGGTGCTGCCGCCGTCAACATGATGAGGCCGAGTGCTCGGAGAAAACAAGGCCGAGGAAAAGGCTGTTCCGCTACTACTAGCACTGGGACGGCCGGAAGTAGAAGCTGCTGGTCGTGGTGCAAGCCAGCTAGTAGGAAATACTGCTTTTGCGCCGGGCACGAAGACGAGCAGAATACTGATGCTCCAGCCTGAAACTAGTACTATTTTGCGGAGGCGTCGTGCTGGAAAAACAGAAAATAGAAACTCGATGAAACATGTCGCCATCATCGTGAAAGATCTGCATCGATCTTTCAACATATACTCCTCAAAGCAAAACAAGTCAGCAGCTGCAAGCTCAACCACAAATGCCAACAACACACCTCAGCAGTGGTCAACACCACAACTACCAGGTCTTCCATATCAGCTTCGATTTCCTTTTCAAAACGTTGCCCGAACGTCTTGAGTAACCAGAAACTGCTTTGGATAACAAGAATGCGCCACCTCCACCAGATCGCTTTCAATAGATCTTCCCTCGTTAACCCTCAACAACGCACAGGGCGACTTCAAATGAAAAGCACGCCTGCAATTTCTGCTCTCAGAATGCTCATTTACTCAACATAGAGAAAGGAACCCTCTCCATCAAAAGGTCATTTCTTTCACACGATCCAGAAAATCCTTCGAAAAAAACGTTCGAACCACAAACAAGGATTGAACCCGCAGACAGCACGATCGGATCCCGAGTCAAACTTTGATCTCCACCGTCTTGCAAGAAAATTCAAGATCAATATGAGCGACTGGCAGGAAGGACACGAGACCGATACGGGACATAATATAGTGGAGTACTTACTACACAAGCAAAACGTGAACAGCAGTTGTGGTGGCGTTTTTTCCCGCTGGTGATGAGGCAACCGCAAACGCCCCTGGCTCTCCACAGCATATTTTTTTTTGTTTTTTTCCAGTGGGTTTTTGTGTCTAGAATGAGCAAGTTTTTGGCCGTGGTGTTTGTAAAAAAGTCTCCGAGATAAGGACATACATGGCGAAGTTGAAACGACTCGTGATGTTGCAAACGAAAAATTACCATTCAGCACTGATCCAGGTGCTTTCTTCAAAAAAGACTTTGACTTTTGCATTTCATCAACACTCGCCAAGTACAAGTTGAAGTTCATCTCCCAAGCGGATCAGCTCGAGAGTACGAAAAGATTATGTTCATGCCCGTGCATGATTTGCTATATTTGCTCCACGACCTGCAAGCGCAAGGGGTATTAACTTACCATGGGGTCGCTTCTGTTGATTAGGATTGTTGTTGTTCTGCGAAACAGCTCCTCTACCTCCAGCCTTGTGGTCTTTCATAGGATTACTCGTTTTTTTCACTCCTGCAGGCGGCGCTGAGGCTTTCCCTGCGAACAAACTTGCGCCGCCGACTTTGTTACTTCTTGCTCCCTGAAATAGAGACGACTTGCCATGATTACCAGCACGACTACTTTGGAGCTGCTGTGGGTGTAGCTGTTGCCCGTTCTGTCCTGCGCCGATGAAGGGAATGAGTTTATTCCTGCTCGGACTATCAATGCCACCGTGGAGGTTGTTCTTCCTGTCGTCGAACGCGCTTGTGGTTGGTCTTGCCTTGGCGGTCGGCCCCCCGGGAACCGCGACGCGCGGCTTCGGGGCGAAAGGGTTGTACTCGTCCGGCGTCACAACGTTCAGCAGTACATCCGGCGACACGCTTTCGTTCCGATAGTGTTCTTGCACGAGCTTATTTTGCGATGGAGGTGGCACGACAGGTCGTGGTTGCGCCTTGACCACGTTCAAATTCCTCTTGTTTATTTCGACGTTAAAAATACCAGCCTGTTGCTCTTGTTTCTGCGGCTGGTGCCACGCCGGGTTTTGAATCTTATTGCCTGTGCCGTTGTTTGCAACAACTGCCTTATTCGACACTGGTTTATTCGATGCCTTTCCCCCTGCCGCTGCGGCGGCGATCTGCGCATTCAGTTCCTCCAGCGTCCGCGGATGATTCTTCTCTGGTGCCCGGACCTGCTGCCTCTGGCTCTGCTTGGCGTTACTATAATTAGCCGACGTGGCCGTAGTGGAAGCAACTTGATGACTTTTGTTCGCCGCACGAGGAACAGGTGCCCCGCTTGTAGTATTAATTTGCGGGACAAATAACGAGTTCGGTGTAGAAGTTCTTGCTCTACTCAACGTTGCCGGGCCGTTTTTACGATCTTGCACGGAGAGGACCGGCCCGTTACTGGTATTTGTCTTGATACTTCCTTTTTCCGTATGGGTAGTTTGTGCGCCGGAGAACGCTGAGTAGGTTGTATTGGTCCCCGCAGGTGACAGATGACTGCCGTCGGCCAACGTTTTCTGATGCGCGTTGAAATTGGAAAAGAGGTTGAGGGAACCAGGTTTACTGCCTGCGTTGTCCTTGTTCCACGCGGCCTGATGTACTCGGCGATCAGATGCTGCCGGTTTGATGTTATTTCCACGATTTGGCGCTGGTGGTACAACAACACGTGAAGCAGCTTGATTATCGTTTAGACCTGTGTTCCCTTGCGGAGGACCGGAGAAGAGGCTTCTGCCAGTCGTAGCCGCGTCATTGATGTTGGTACCCGGTGCATTTTGATTTTTGGGCACAACTCCTACCTGACCACCACCAGTGGCAATTCTGATCGTGCGGGTTTTCGCGTTCGCGGTTGCCCGAACAGTGTCGCTATCCACCCGAGCAGGTGGGCCACGGCCTCCCCGGCCCGCTAGCACCCCTGCGCGTTCCAGGATCTCCCGCAAGGCAACGCGCCTTTGCTGCAGCGGATTGATGATCTTACTCCCAAGGACAGGATTCGCATTCTCCCTGCCCTTGTTCGTCCCTAAAATAGCACCAGAAACGCCCAATAATTTGTTTGAAGACGCAACTTGCTGGGCGCGAAGCAGTTTTTTTTGCAACGGGCTGGTCTTGTCGTTGCCCTTCCGGACGAGGACACCAGGTGGAGCTCCTGTAGCAAAAGTTGTTGCCCCGCCACCGGACACACGACCCACCGTCGGCAGCGGCTTCAGCGCTTTTTGCAAAGTGAACTTTTGTAAAAGAGCCCGGGAAGCCGGTTTCAAAGAAGGCCGCGCAGCTACGGCGGTCCTCGTGGGCACAATCAACTTCGAAAGATTATTGGTGTTCAGTTGTGTACTACTAGCATTTTGTGAAGCAGATGTTGCGACGGCGGCCCCGGGTGCTCTATTGTTCATCACACCGCCCACGGAATGATTTTGTAGTTTCGAACGGACAAGCGGGACAAGCTTCGAAAGAATGGCGGGAGCAGCCACCAGCTTTTTTTGCGATTCGTTTTGCTTTTTGTTCTCGAGCTTGACAGCTTCCAGCAGCGCGAGCGCGCGCTTGTCGTCTTCGGGTATGCACAGGGAACATTTCTAGTACACAGTTAGATGTTGAGCAGCGATGCGAAACTTTCACGACGCGCTTTCGGATGTGATTCTTTTGTTGTAGTAACATCATCCTCTTTCAGGCGCCGCGTTTCTATCTTCTTCTCCTACGCTGCAATTTTTTTCTCGAGATATCACAAAAGAAATTTTTGTGATATCTTCAGACCCTCGTCCAGGAGCTCCGCCGCAGGTAAACAGCCCACCAAAAAATGGACCACCAGCCTAGCTGCGACGGCCTCAGCAGGCACGCCTGCCCCTGCGCTCGTGCGAAATAGATGGCCAAGCTTCGCCTGGGCATCTCGGAATCAAAAATCCAGAGTCCCGAAGGTCTACTTTCCAATAGCTGTCAAGCAATGGTCTTGCGCGTTTTGATTCTGGTTTTGCTTTGCGGAGCAAGCCGCAAAGCCTTTACGCAGCCAGCCGCAAAGCAAAACACAGCACGGAGCCACGAACAGTAGCGCAATTTCAACAGCCAAAAGGAACAGTACTGCCAGCTGCTGGCCGGCCCAGCAGCTGACCCTACTCAAAAGGGAGAGACGGATCGAGAGACACAGTCACAGGCCCCAAAGCCCGCAGACAAGATAAGAGGGTCATAAATCAATGACCCTTGGCCTTGCTTCCCGGATCGAGTGGAAAAATTAGCTGCGACCCCAGTCGGTAGCTTTTCTTTCTGAAAGGAAAGCGCAGCAATTAATGTTGACACAAAGAGCGCGAGCAGCTCGATGCAGTGATGTTCTGGAAGTCGTAAGTCGAGCACGGCAGTAGGAGAAGAAGCGCCCCTTTCTTCGCCAGCAACGCACTATTTCTATTGCGAGTATGCGAACGCGACATCAAGAGCGCGCATCTACAAAAAGTGCTAAAATAAGTGTTCCCCATGCATACCCGAACCGATGATCTGATTTGTCAGGTGGTTTATCTCCTCGTACTATAAAAACGAAAAAATGGATTCTTCAGCAAGGTCATCTTCGCGCCGTGCCTGCGCAGCAATACTACGCACCTGAAGAAGCTGCAAAACGCACGACAGCAGGGACTAACTATGTATGTCGAGAAGCGTCGCACAGGTAAAGCCAAGCTCGTTCATCATGACTTCGCGATGCAACCCGAGCGGTCGCAGTGGCCCCAACATTTTTGTCATTCCCAAGTAAGTAGCCTTCTACTAGGAGCATTGCAGACACAACGGCCCGCGAATACAGTAAAAATGCGACAGCTTCTTCGCAGTACTAGCTAGCCCTACTCCCCGTGCGTCGTAAGTAGCGGAAGCTTCAAGGTAGTGCGCAGAAGAATCCTTTTGAAAGCAAAAGCCATTTTTTCGTTTTCGTAAGTACGGCACGCCAGGCTGGATCCGGCGGAAGATAAACGTCCGCGCTTTTTTGTTGACGTAGTTCGCGCGAGAAGGAATGCGAAACTCACGCTGGTCGCCGAAGCGACAGGCGTAATATTTCCAGTGGTCCTTGTCAAAGGCACGGACCCTATCCTGGTGCTCAAAAACATCGACTTCTGTACCACGATCAGCTGACTATGACACATAAAATTGCAGCGCCAGCGTTTACGGATTTCTATACTGACTTCATCAGGTCACGGTCAGTACTTCGATCGAAGTATTAATGAAATTTGTAAACGCGACTTATCTGTATCATTTCCAGCAATCCTTCGTGTAAAAGTAAGTGGAAGCGCGATGCTTTTGGGACGACCTTCATTTGCGTAAACCTCGTACAAATACAAGCCCTGACCTTTTCCGATTTGCGACACGCCCCAGTTGGTCCACTGCTGGTTCACCAGACTGATGTGAATCTCCCCGGTGCTGGGGACCAGTTGCTGTTTCGCAGAAGAAAAAAACTCTTCGATTAGCCGCTCCTTGCTCTGAATGCTGTGCGACTCCACGGGGAAGGGAAAATTGAAGATGATTGCATCGAAAAGCTGCACTTCTTGATGAAGTTCTTCATCCCCGAGAGCACTAGAGGCAGCTACGGGAGTTTTGATCGAAAACAAACTACTCACTCCTGTGGATGAGGCACCACGACCACCCGTGGTCGTGCCGTTAATGTCCCCAAACGATTCCTGCAGCTTCGTCGCGTCAACCCCAAAGCGAAGCTGCACCCCCGCAGCCTCGAGCACACGGAGATTCTCGACCACGTCAGGTATACATTGCAAAACGATGTATTGTTTAATAGTACAGTAGTAATTGCATGTACTTTCAACATAGAGGAAAGGGAATTTTCAGACGCAAGATCAGGTGGAAAACAACAATATCTGTCAACATGCAACACGGCAAAGGCAATTACTACGATTTGTGCGAAAAAGTTTTTGCAATGTTGCATATGGGGCTGGTTGTACTTATTCCGGAACTCGTGCTCCTTTTCGTACACCGTAGCAGTGACAAATTTGCCATCATGATCTACGTGCCCGAGCAGCGATATCGCAGGGAAAAAAGCTAGCATAGTTTGTTCACATGCTGTCAAGAATATGCAAAAATGAATACATAAAAAGTCTTCTGTCGCACGCCGGAAGCAGCTGCGGCTGCCCGTACTACGTACCATGCCTCTCAGGCATTGCAAGACGGACGCAGGTGCTTTTTTTTCCGTGTACCTATTTATTTTTGCACGTTACAGCATATTTTCTATCCTAGCTTTTTTCTCCGGGACCATAAACGAGGCCGCGAACGACAGGTCCCCGTCCCCAACCACCAAGATGCGGCCAAAGCCCCGGTAGCACGGGCACTGCAGCCGCCCGGCCTCGGCGAGCTCCAGACTGAGCTGTAGTTCTTGCGCTTGTTTATTAGCGTCATTGTCATTCTTACTATTGACCTCGCTACTTTTGAAGACCGGTGGGCAAAACAAGGGCTGCAGCGTGGACGAGGGCTTGGCGGCAGCGTTTGTTCGCAGCGCATGAGCAGCTTCTAATGGAGGTTTGATGTTCATCATCGTGGCACTACTAGTATTTGCAGCTGTAGTGGCCGCGCCACTGGCGGCGCGCGCAGGAGAAGTAACAGCTGCACCAGTAGTACAACTACCCCGGACGGACGCTAAAGTGGCGCCAAGAAATATATCCTTGTTCTTGCCTCCACTTTGGTGTTGTTCCGGCGTTCCGCTAGAAGTCATCATCTTCGCACCATCAGGAGCTGCGGCTGCGCCACTAATCGCGCCGGGCTTGCCGCGCTTTGCGAGAGGCAAGTCAGACGCGGCTGCCCCGTCGGCCTCCGCCGCCGCCGGCCGCAGGTTCTTCAGATGCGCGGTGGTCGACTGAAAATCGGTCGGCCGCAAGGGGCGCAACAGATTCATTTTGTGAACAATATTTTGCGGGTTATAATGGTGTAACTTGAAAAGAGAGATCGATGGTTGGAAAAGAACTAAGACAAAGTCTTCAAGTCGGAAGATGAAAGCTTGTTAGCGCAGGCTTTTGTCTCACTGCTCTACTACTTTCTTCACCTAAAACGATTCACCTAGAGCTTCCTCGATGGTGCTAATCTCATCGGGGTGGAATAAAGCAGGGCTGTGAAGAAGTTCTCACCAATCCTTAATACTCCGACAAGCGGTGCGAAGAGGGAAGAAAGCGATAATTCTATTTTTCCTTCGCTGCGTTTGTGGAAAGGAAAATTTTGAATTCAAAGACTTATGTAACGTATTTAATGTGTGCGTTTCAGTCTCTACTCAACCCACTTTCGGGCTTTATGATATTCATAGTGCGGGTAATGAGATTGTTGCGTTGCAATGACAGAACGTGACTCACCAACCCATGATGTTGATAATGAGCAAGCCTCCTTTCAGCCGGAGTACTACAACTAGACCTTGACGTAGACGTCGGGAAGTTTATTCATGACTTTCACTTTGAAGAATGGCAAAAAAATTTTACTGCAGTGCGTGCGTATCTTAGTAGGGTCAGAGTCACGTGCGAGTGCTGAGAAGGAGAAAGACAAAGAAGGCATCAAATTCAAAGCCAAAGGCTACTGCGCGCAAAACAAAGGAAAAGAAATCCGGGAAGAGGTCCTGTTCATCGGAGTGATATTCGGTAATAGAGCTCTCGCGCTGAGTGCTGCGTACTTCTAGATCCAAGCTCATAAGGACGACTCTTGTTCATCTTGAGAGTGATGGATTTTAGAGGACGCGGGGACAACTACAGTCATGTCGGTAGTCTATCAGTCGAATCTTATCTTTGCGTCTCCTTTTGCACGAACGGAACGAACACGGACGGTGAATAAGCGATTCATTTGTGCGTACGACGATCTATCACACGGGTTTTGCTCGTCGTCCTGTACGACTGTGGGCACGTGGAGTAATCATATTTTTTCTCATCTGCTTGCTGCGTTCTTTTTTCCAAAGGAGGATGTCAGAGGTTCTTTTGTCCAATATTGTACAGGGCTAAATCAGGGGTAGTGCTTGTTGTGCTACACGTACAAACTTGTTCGAATCGCTTTCTATCGCTATATTTGCTACAAAGACGTCGTCGACAGCAGTCGTTTCTCGAGGACGTCGAGACGCACTACTTAGTCACAATTTGCTACAATCACAATCGAACGGTCACAATGTCTAAATTCAACCTTCATCAAACTGGGTAAGAGTATATGCCATGAGACCTGATACTGCCGATCTTTTGCTTTTCATCTAGCTTGTTTACATGACGCATGATCCGCTTAGTGAGTTAGAGTTTGTCTACTTGTACTTTGTTCAGTCAATCATTAATTTTTCCTTTCGGAGCAAATTCGTTCGCATGGCCGATCGGAAGATCTGCTTCTTCTACAACAAGCTAGAGATCGATCTCTCCCGCATTGGCCGGCAAAATTGGCGTTCGCCCCGCTGCAGTGCCGCTTCTTTGTGCGAGTTCGATGTAGTTCGTGTCCTCTTGCGAAGATTTGTAGTGGCTGTTATCAACGTCATAAACAGCGCCCGCACTTATTTCGGACGGCGGCTCCGCGGCCGCTTGATCGATGTGGTTGATGTATTGCGCTTGCTGCTGGTCCACCGAGGGCTCCGCTACCGGAGCACCAGGAAGATCATCACCCTCTGCTACCACCACCGAGAGACTGGACGCGGAGGATAAATTCACCAGCACTTCATCGGAAGAACTGCAACTGTTCTGTTGATCTTCTTTGTTCTGCTGAAAGGGGTTGGTTGGCGAGTGCCGGATTCGCTTGGTTGTTGTACTAGTGGTCACGAGACGAGCTGCAGGGGCTCCTTCTACTTGATTCTGATTACGGTTGGAATAAAAGTTATCGGTCGCCACCCAGGAGCCACCTTCCGGCGCACCTTTATTTACCATTTCCACCGTGGCTTCATCCATAATTCCGTCCACGTTGCTCTTGCTCAGAATTCCGAGCTGGTCAGGTTGAAGATTCCCGCCTTCTGGCACAGAAGGATCCTCTGCAGCACCTGCTGTCGAAAAGTGATTCACACCTCGTCCTGCAGAAGTTGCTGTTCCCCGGCTGCTGTTCAACGTAGAATTATTACCAGCATTTTTTCCTCGCGCGGTCGACACAAATCTCCCCTCCACACTCCGGGACGAGGAGTGAACAACCGGTAGGAACTGGTATCAAAAGGAAAAATCACCCCACCCCGTATCGAAATGGAAATCTGTGACGCGGGATTTGTGTACACAAATCGGCTTTGTATTGCAGGAAGGCATCGCGGCCAGTTCCCCAGGCTATGCAGGGGCGTATCGGTCTAGTCGCTCAGCATGGCAAACGGCTCCGCTTTAGGCCCAACAGCATGACAAATCGCCTCCATAATGGGGGCGAAGCTTTTGCCCTTGTCTTCTTGCAAGGATTTGTGACCCCAAATCAGCAACACAAATTTTCGGAAACATGCCTTTTCGATATGGCGAGGGGGGATTTTTCCTCACAATAACTGGGCCAACCCTGGTGGAGTCGCCGACCGGGCCGACGTCGGGCGACATCTGGATGTTGAAAATGTTGCGCTCAAACCACCGCCACCCGCACGCGAATTCGAAACTGACCTGCTGCTTCCCCGCGCAGCACCGACGTCCCATCTCGGCGACATTTGGCGAATCGGCGCGGCGACGGGAACGGACGTAGCGACCGGCAGGGTAGAGCGAATTTGCTTCTTCACACTGGACCTCGTACGACTCTGAGATGAGGTAGTAATTACACTTCCTCCTCCGAAAGTAGTTGTTCCTGGACCTACTACCCCAACGGACGCAGAGCCCCCACCACAAGAACCAGCATTGTGAAACGTCACGGATCGGCTACTGGAAAGGGAGTGCAAACTCGCGCGCCGGGCTTGTTTGTAGGAAACACGGTTGGGGGTCTTACTGCCCGTCGCACCGATGTGGCCGGTGGAGGCGGAAAGGGTAGTCGCGTTGTGCTGTTGGAACATCAAAGACCGGTGATGTTGTGCTGTGTCTACTTGAAACATCAAATCGTCGCTGTTTGTTGCAGCCACTCCACCTGGTTCCACGATCTCAATAGAATTACTGTTCGACCAGGAACTTGTGGATGCTGAGGACGAATAGTTGTAAACATAATCTCCACGACGAGCAGAGGAATTCCCTGGTCGTGCTCCAGCACTCGCCTTATTCGCGGCAATAGCCCGGCCGGCCGCGGCGGCTAGCCCCAGGCCGGCAAAACTGGGAGTAGTTGCCGACGAATTGGCATTTCGTTCCGAGAAAAAAGGTCCGACGTTGAGACCCGCCGGCTGAACAATCGCTCCTCTTGCGCTGAAAGTTGAGCTCGACGTCGTCCGTTCCGGCCCAAGCGCGGCGCCCCGGGGATCTGGAACTGATGCGGTTCCGGGAGCTGTACGATTGGCCTGCAATGGTCCCACCCCTGCCGCTCCGTGTGGTTGCGAGAAAGAGGTTGTGATGCTGGTTGACAGGAAGGAGCCTGGTGCGCCACCAGGTGCAATTACACTAGCTCGACTTCCGAACGAACGTGCGAAGAACGCAGTTGTGGGTGGTACCACACGAGCGACGGGCTGAGGTAGTACACTTGCTCGTGTGGTAGTAGTAGACGGAGGTTTATTTCCGCTGGAAGAAGACGAAGAAGGAGCAACAGCCCCCGCCGTGCCGCCACCAGCTGCAGAACTTGCACCTACAACATCGCCCGCACTCACGAGGATCCCAGGAACTGCTGCGGTCACAGAGCAGGAGGACATGGTTTGCTGCAACGGTGATGCTACAGGGACAATCCGCGTGTACTCTGGTGGGGGATGGAGATCGTCTGCATTTTCAACATCCGCCGTAACCATCTGTGATTGTGTTTTTTCCGCTGCTGTTTCCACTGTAGTTCCGCTAATTCGTAGTTCACCTGCCGACGCCGCGCTGCCCTGTTGTTGTTCTACTACTTCATGGGCGCCCGTAGGAGTGGTTCTTGCACCAGGAGCGAAACAAGTAGGAGCCGGCTCTTGATCTGCACCACTGCTGCCGCATGTTTTGAAGTAGGTCGTCGCGGCCCCAAAGTGGGAAGAAGAACTGGCGGCCTTTGGGTCTTTCGCCACAACATCTAATGCTTCCTGCAGCGCGTCTTGCAAGACTGCGACTTTCTCCTTCAAACTCGCCACCTCATTGGCGGTGGATTTGCTGGTGTGCCCCGAACTTGACGGCGTCATTCTCGGCGTCGGCTTGGTCGCGGTATTCACCGCACTGGTGGTCGCTGTGCCTGTGCCTCCGTCTCGTCCGACCTGGCTGCGATCCAGAGCAAGATCCTTGGTCTTCGCGGCCGGGTTTTGATGCTCAGCCAGGTTGGTCGACGTCCCAATCATCCGTTTCTCTTCTTCATCTTTCAGCATCCGCACCTGTTGTTCTGCCGCGGCGGCAGTGGAGGTGTAGTCATTTATTTGTGCTCCAAAATTACTTGCTGTCCTGGTTCGCGGCGTGGTGGTGCAGCTCGTCATCCAGGAAGAATTAAGCAGATTGCTGATCACTTCAATCAGTTCCTATCCATTGCAAAAGCACAGCTTTCGTACATACTATATTGCGAGCTTGCATGACAAATGGATGCGCTATAAGTGAAGCTGCATGAGAAATTTCATTTTTTTGTGATTACTGATAGATACGATAACGATACTTTTGCCATGCATAGCTCCGGCTCGATGGCGATTTTCGGACTGGGGTCCGCGACGATGCTGCCGGTTCCCGAAGATGGAATGGAGGACGCGGAGTTGCTGAGGCTGTTACCGGCGGCATGACTTATCGCGTGAAAATCCGGACCATGTAGCTGCTCACCCTGCTGCTGTTCTGCATCAGAGTCGGTGTGTTGTTGCAGATGCTGTTGCTGGCCCGCGACCGCAGCATGAGCTAAGTTCTTGTGGTCATAATCCTCGCCGGATAAAACCACAACTGGATTGTTGCTGTAGTAGCCTGGCTGCTGCGGCTGCAGACCCGCCGGCGCGTTTGCGGCTGATGTACTGGTCGCCGCCAGTGACCCCGAGAGTTGGTACGCACGCAAGATCTGCTCCAGAACCAGTTTGCTCTGCTCCTGCCGTTTCCTGTGGATCTTTTGCAGCTTCTCCATCTTGGTGCACTTTTGCTGGAGCTCGGAGAGCTTCGCGTAGGAAACCGCTTCGTACTCTGTGTGCTCCGTGGTTTGCTTCTGTAGCTTCTGCTTCTGCTGGTCGAGCTCCCCTTTCAACAACGCGATCTCTTGGTCTTTTGCTTCATTCAGCAGGCTAGTAGGACTACTAGTAGTAGTTTCAGCTTTATTATTTCCGGTACCAGATGTTGAACCACTTCGCTGTGCTTCTTGCTGTATTTGCAGTTGTTGTGCTTCTATCTGTTCGCGCATTTTCTGAATCTCCGCCGCGGCCACAGTGAGGGCTTGCTCTTTGGCCTTCAACACGTGGTCGCGCTCCTTCAGGAAGGCTTCCTTCTTCAGATTTGCACTCTCTTGCTGCGCCACGTCCGACTCCCGGTGGTCCAGGGCGGCTCCGGTTTTCGCCAGGTCCTGCTCCCGCTTCTCGTAGTCCTGAGTGTAGAAGGACAGCGTTCTACTAGAATGAAGTTTGCTTGTTTCTCATGATGCGTGAAAGCGAACATGGATTTGGATGCTTGCTTTGGTCGTGTACTACAACGTCATGCAACAGAACCTGAAACAGCAAAGCTCTTCTCCAACACCAATAGCTGCTACTTAGTAAACTTTACCATGTTCTTCGTGACCCCCAGCTCGGCCGCCTCTTTTTGCACCCCGACCAACTGCTCGTAGGACTGCTGCAGGTGCGCGATTTCTTCGATTTTGTTCCGAATTTCTTGCTGCAGTCGGTTGTTCTCGACCCGCTTGGTTTCCGTTTCCAGCTCCAACTTCCGTTGCAGCCTTTTCAGCTCGATAGCGTTGTGGTCGGCTTCCTTCTTCAACTGCTCAATCTCCCTCGCCCTCTCCGCCTTCTCGGTAAGCAAACCGGAGACGCGTTTGTTTAAACCTTCTTCCAGCTTCGCCGCTTCCTGCTGCTCCTTCTTCAGCGCCAAAACCTCCGCGAGATGGTCCTGTTTTAGCATTTTCTGCTTCATTTCCAGCTGCCTCTGCGCGTGCAGCAGCTCGTTCGCGCAGGTCTCTTTCAACCTTTCGCTGTCCTCCTTCATCTGTGCCTGCAGTTCCTCCCCGTATTTTCTGACCGCTGCTAGTCTCGAAGAAAGATCGGCGTTTTCTTTTTGCAGCTTCACGTTTTCCTCTTTCGCCTCCAGAAGCTGCAGGGACAGACTTTCGTTCTGGTTTCTGATCTTCGAAGGGCTCTGACTTGGAGTATTTATTGTCCTTTTGTCGGCGGCAGGTGGTGAAACAGAGGATTTCATTGTATTTTTTGGTGCAGTTTCAGGATCAACAACATCAATCTCAGAGCTGCAGAAGGTCGTCGTGTTTACTGGCTTCGCGACTTGATCCTGCTCTGCTTTTTCCTTTACTGTAGCAGCTTCTGAAGTAGAAGACGTCGTATTCATCTCTTGACCGACTGTAGGCGGGGGCGCACTTCTGCCACTCTCCGAGCGGTCCACCTCCTTGATGCTCGTGTCCTGCTGGTGTTTTGCCACGTTATCCCCAGCACTGCTGTCCTCCACAACTGGGTCTGCAGCCCCGGTGGCGCTAGGAGCGCCACTGGTGGAAGATCCTGAGCTACTGAATGAGCCGAATTGCTCTGGTACTGAGCAGCCGGAGCGAAGACGGAGACGAGGTTGAACTTCGGATTTCTCCTTCTTGTGCTCACCTTCTATCCTGGTGAAATCTGCCTTCGCTTCCAGCTCTACCGCCAACTTCGCCCGGATCTGCCGCAATTCCTGCTGCAGGAATTCCACTTTCTTCTCACTTTCGAGCAGCAGCTCCGCGAGTTCGTCCTGCTCCTTGTCCCATTTTTTCTGCTTTTGCCGGTGGTCCGCCAGCACGGAGCGGAGATGCCCTTCCACGGCGGATTTCTCCCCCTTTAACTGCTCCGCGAGTTGCTCGGCGTGCTCCGCTTGCTCTGTTGTATATTCGATCACGCCGCGGATTTTTGTTTTCCAAGCAACATTTTTCAAGGAACATTGTCATGGCACAGGCAAAACGTGGTAAGCACATACAAAGATAAAGGCAAGTGGCCACACCAGTTTTGGAAACAAAAACGTGGAAGACGACAATCAAGAACAATTCAAGAGATGTACTAAATTCCCAAAAATATATATAATACGTTTGAATTTCCCGACCGCGCCCGACGAGGCAGCGATTCTCTGCGATGGGCTTGGTCTGAATCCGCCGCCGCCAAGGATGACCGGCGGATCTACTGATGTTGTCCCCGCAGCTCCCTCACTGCTTTGAAGATCCCGATCGCCCCCACCAGGGGCTTCTTTGGACCCCGATGGAGCTGCTGTTGTAGTAACACTATTCCTCAACTCGACCTCCAGTTCGCGGATTTGCCTCGCTTTCACGTCCAGCTTCGCCTTGAACGTGCTTCGTAGTTTGCACCGCTCCACCTCTGCTTCCTCCTTGATTCGGTTCATTTCCTTCCGGAGTTTCTCCTGCTGCCCATGCTGCTCCTTCTCCTTGTCTCGGTGGTGCTGCTCCGCACGCCGGAACTCACGATCTTTCACTTGCCGGATTTGTTTGCAGCTGTTTATATCATATGAGAAGCGCACGATCTTCCTCTGATACGTGTTTTTGGAGGTGCTGCTGCACCAACTTTGTGCATGAAAAAATCACATTTTTGTGTGTGTCGCTGTCCTCGTGTCGTGTTTCGCGTCATGACAAACAACTCAGACAGTCAGACTTGCTCTTTTATTCCAACAAGCATATCAACTTCATCTGTACTCAGCTTGCAGTCTTGCGATCTCCTTTTCCAGCTCTTCAATGTGCTCGCAGTGTGCGTCCATCGCATTTGAGGCCGTTTCGTTCGCAAGCTGGCGTTGATTGATACGATAGATAAAATGAAAATGGAAGTAAAAGAATTTATACTTTCACTATTCTGTACCCATTCAAAACGCGCGACCGCGTCGAAAGAACAACCGCCCTTAGGACCACAAGCTTACGCCTCGAAACAGGAAGTCATTTTTTTTTACCTTGTCCAGCTCCTCCGCCGATCTTTTTCCCTCGCTTACCGCACGGCTCAGCTTCTGCTTTTCGGTATGGACAAGCTCCAATTCCTCCTCCAGGTTGGAGATCTGTTCGTGGCGGTCCTTCGCAAGTAAAGTCAAGTCGACGATCAAATTCTCCTTCCGCTTCAGCAAGGATTGGCACTTGTTCAATTCGTATGGACAGAAAAAAATTCGTCACAGTCACAAACTTGCAGGTGTTTTTGCATGATAATTTCTTTTTTGCAAAAATCAAAATGCGCATTAGGCTCCCCGTGATGAACTTTTTTTGTGTGATAATTCCTTCTCCAATTCATTTTCCCTCTTCCCGCTGCTCTCCTTCTGCACCTCCGCAGCATTCATCGCGCCGTTGGACAATACTCGGACGGCGGACAGTTTATGTATTGCAAATATGTCTCGACCTCGAAGGATGCGAACTTGTGATGCGCATTTCACAACACAGACAACTCTCTCATGCATAGGCAGCAAAAGATGTTCATTTTCTTTCACCAAAGTGGGGAATTTGTCATGCGGATCGAGCAATGTGGAAGCTTCTCGAACTCTGTGATTCTAGAGCTTCCATGACGGACATTCTGTGTCATGTAAAAACGGCATGGCAAAAATCTGCACTGTTCCAGACTCAGACATATTTGCACTTGATACAGTTCCGACTTCAGCAACAAAATCTCCTCATTCAGCTCGTGCGTCGCGTCGGCCACCCGCTTCTGTTGCTGGATCCGCAACGCCGCCCGCTCCCGCGCGAAGTTCTGCTTGGTCTGCTCGAGCAGGTCTTCGAGGTTCTGCACGTAATGCGCGTCCTCTTGCTTCGCGCGCTGTTATGCATTGCAAAAGCATCGCAAACGCAATACGCATAGATATACCGCATGAAAAATTTCTCAACCAGAAAGTTGGACTACGATGATTTCATGCAGATTCAATCATGTCATGACCATGAGCAGTTGCAGTGACTCCAAAGATTATAAATACGGGTGTGATGCAGACACTTTTGCACAGCATAGCTCGCGGTACGTAGTCATTTTGATTTTTTGATGCGGCGTGCAGAGCGACGAAGTGTTCTCTTGTTCTTTGGGCTCTCGGTCTTTATTTTAATTGTAGTTTCCGTTCTAAAACTTCTTCTGCTCCGCCCTCTCTCTTCAGAAGTTTCGTTTATCCTGCTGTATATTGCGAAAATATCTGTATTGAAAGCCTCACTTTTGCGGAAATCAAGTCCATGCGAGCCGGTCGCCCCGGTGCTGCTACCTCTGATCGGCTCTCAGTACCTTCTGTCCCTGCCCTGCGCTCTAAAAATTCCAGCTCCCTTTTGAAATCAAGCCCGTAAGCTCAACATCTTCCTCGACACAGCCCCCCCACCACCACGAAGACGCACGAAACACGCATAGACGCCACGACCGCGAGCACGACAACACGCAGGTACGACAGAGAGCACAGGGGTAGGAATTTGATTTTGATCTACTGCAACTGCTCACACTCACTCAACAACATTTCTTCGCATAATGCGGTTTCGGAACGAAGGTGCTACACTGCGGCCGTCAACCACGATGTGGCCCAAGTCTCCGGCAAGGAGCCAAACCAAAACCAAAAACACACATCACCCTCCGGCGACTGGATGCATCAAAAGGGGAAACCGAAACAAATCGCTGCACTAAACACAAACAGGACCTTAGTCCTCGGGTTGTTCTTTTTTTCTCGGACGAATTAATTTTGCTGTTTAAAACGTGTCGACGAATTATGTCACCAGAGTTGTCTTTAGAGAGAATAATGTAATTGTATCGCAGTCAGTTTTCCAATCGGTAATGTTTCTTTTCGTATTACAGTACTATGCAAAAAAGGAAAATACAGAGTTCGAGATGATGAAAATGAATATGAAAATCTAAATCAAAATTGCAGTCAGAGATAATGATAAAGCTGTGGAAAAAATTAGTGTAAACATTGCTTTAAAAAACCTCTTTTTTCAACTTTTTTTTACTGTCCCCGCGTGACAATAATTTCTTCACTTCCATAGTACCACGGAACACCCGTTCATCGGACTTCTTTTGCTAATCCTGTCGTGCTGCGGCGGCCTGTGCAGCTGGACCACGTCCTCCGCCCTCTTGCTGTTCTCCCGATGCTGTGCTGGTGTCGTCTCTGACGGTTTTGCTTTTGTCGCAATTTTTAATGCAGCACCAGACGGAGATACCTATGACAATAGCCACTACGAGAGCGATCAGCAAAGTCACCTTCAAGTCCTTCCACCAGAAATAGTCCTTGATGGTAAATTATGCATTGCAAAAGTATCGTACTAGTACAAGAACTAGTAGCAATTGCATGACAAATTTTCCAGTAATCATGCGGAAGCGGATCTCCCTCAGGAGAAGGATTTGCAATGCATGAATGCAGCAGTTACTGCCCTACGAGTACGATACTTTTGCAATGGATATATCCGCCTCTTCCTCGTAGTCCTGCGCCTCATCCCGCATCGCTTGCGCCTGCTCGTCCAACACGTTCAAGGTTTATCCGGAGGAAAAATAACCAGCCCCGCACGACCCCACAGTCGCAATAGAGACGGACTCTGCGAACACAAATCCACAAGTTTACGGAGCCACACATAACAAGCGCGTTCTAGCGTGTAATATAGTGCACAACGATAGGACGGACAGCCGCATCACGAAGAGAAATCCACCTAATATTATACCCTGTTTACAGTCTTATCAATGCCAAGTCGCGACTAGAAAGGTCTCTCATGTTGACAACTCGTCTCGGGTCGTGGCGGCGTTTTTCCTCATGATAAGTTTTCCGTGTTCTTCAGCATCCCATGCACGTTGTCGTTCATAATCTGGTTTATTTTCCCGCTCATGGTCAACATTCGCATTGTTTCTGTTGCTTACTCATCATATGGATACCTGGCCTATTCGTGCATGAAAGACAGCCTCTACTATCCTAACAAACGAATCAAAAGAAAACTGTATCTATGTATACCTTCTTAATAGCACTCGTTTTTGCCATTGCTTTCGCCAGTTTGTCGTACTCCTCGGGGTCGTCGAACTCGGCCGCCTTGTCCGTGAACCACTGGGCCATGCCCTCGGAAATCGGGTCCGAGGCGTCCGTTTTTGGGTTGAAGAGCTGCATTGCCGGGGAGTAATTGGCCTCGGCGTGCTCCTGCATTTCCTTGATCAAAATCGAGGCTATTCGCTCGGGGTAGTCCTCCCCCTGCAGGTTCTTCAGGGCGACCACCTGACAAGTGGTATTGTTTGAAATTTTCCTATGCGCAGCTGCAATCACTAGAATGTAATTCTTCCGCTATCCTCAAGCGCTAGACATCACGAGATCAAGTAATAAATATTCATGTTCTTTTCCATCATCAAGTAACATCACGAGGAGGCCAGAGCGAGTCTGTGTGACTTTTCCTCCGTACGCCTAAAGCTCATCTTTTGCAAAAAGTAGAAACAAAAAGCAAGATGCATCGAATTTATACCACATAAACGAAGGCTCCAGCTGGGAAGTCCAGCTGCACGAAGACCTGCTGGTCGTCCCAGTGCAGTTTCTGTCTTTGTCCTGGTGTCAACCGCTTCCTTGCTGCGGTGAGTAATTTTCGGATCGTCTTCAGCCGCACATCGTCCCAGGAGGGTCCCTGCGTGGAGGAACTCCAAGTGGCCAACAGCTCCTCATCGGCTACACGGCCGATCGCAAAGAAGGAAATACGCTCCAGCTGCGCCATAATGAAAAATCAGCGACAGGGACCGCGCTACAAGAAGTAGAAGTTGTGAATCTTTAGTACAATCTACAATGCCACAGGGCTGCGCCTGTGCCGGGGTTGATGTTAATACATAGGTAAGGAGCGAGCTCTTGTTTGATGCAAGAAAGTATAAACTAAAACTCGTCTACCTGTAGACAATTATATAAGTGTCCGATGGTTTTCTTCGGTTTCAAAATCGAGATAGGAATCACAAGCAGCACGACACTACCGATGCATTTTCACGAGTTGCACTTGTACAAGTACAACTAAACCGAAATTAAGAAGTTAGTTCGACTCAAGCCGAGAACGTTACGTCAACATCAATGCGCACGAACCGAAAGCAACGATATTCTACTGGCAATGGGGTGGTGAACGGACATCCACCGAGTCTTCAGCGTGAGTGGTAATCACAACTTTTGCACGAAATTCCTTACCGAGGCGGCGTCTTGCGATTTCATTTTTCGGAGGACCGATTATCATCACGTGAGCGACTTCAAGCTTTTTGCTCTTTCCTTTCAAGTACGACGAAGTCCATTCGACGCAGCCCAGGAAGGCGCTTCAAAAGTCGTGCTTCAGCTTCTACAAAAACACACAACGTCTTGAGACGGCTGAGTTCCAAAGAGGGAGACAGAGCCTTCCAATACACACGCACAGCAGGACTTTGCAGCTGCCTTTGGTCGGATTTACTTTACGTTACCTTATTCTTTCTCGGAATTAATTTTACTGCTGAAGTAGTGTTGACGAGTGTCGCGCGACGAGTCTTTAGCGAGAATTGTATTAGAGTCAATTTTCCAATCGTCAACGGTAGTTTTTCTCTTGGTTGTTAAAATGCAAATACAGGTACAGAGATGATGAGGGAAATTGCAGTCAGAAAGGCCGCGGTTGACAGTGCTGCACTACAACCACGTCGAAGCCTGCTGCGAGACCCCCTTTCTGGTCAGTCTGTTAGTGTTGCGACAGTATCCTGGAAACATGTACAATACGTCGGCACCGCTCCTATCGCAACATCTTCAACTGACTGTTGTCCGAGTGCGCACCCTTTTAATTTCGTCGTGCAACAAATATACCAATAAGATAAGTCGATACAACTCAACAATAGATAAACGTACTAAATAAGGCAAGAAACGCAAAGAAATGCATAGTAAATTGAATCAACAAGACTTGAAAAGCTAGTGCCTGAAGAATACGCCAATCAGCGCCCTATGGCGACTTCTGCAGCGGCGTCGTTTCGTATTCGTTCCTGATCCTCTATTTGATGTAAGGTCACAAGGGAAACCTGTGGAAGGATCAGCACGAGCGAATAGTCACAGGAGCAAATTTGGTGTTTGAGTGCTTGGTTCGTTGACGTTGTGGTAGTTTTGTCTCCTCTTCGCAATCGCATGAGAAACTCGATACCAACTAGTCAGCCAATTTTGTTCCCCTGTGGTTGTACCCTTCTTCTCCACTGGGTGAGAGGAACCACCCAGACAGGTTGAAACTGAAAGCACAAGAATGGTATCTTTCTCTCTCGTAGCTTTTCGAAACGTCGCACGTACCTCTTCTTTTTATCGTATTTCTCCAGAAGTACTTTCGTCAGTACTTATTTGTTTGCATGTAACTGTAATCTATGTATGTAAAACAGTAACAACGTAAAAAGCAGTCTGCAAGCAAAGTAGCGAGTGAATGGTGGTATGAATGAATATTGATTTAAAAACCTCTTTCAATTTTTTGTGCTGTCACAGCGTCACAATTTGTTCGTCACTTTTATAGGAACAATCGTTCTTGGGACTTCTTCTTCCAACCGTGTGCTGGACGTGTACAAGTCTCAGTCATCGTCACCCTTGGCTCCCTTCACGGTCTTGCACTTGTCATAGCAGCACCAGATGGAGATCCCGAGGACGATGAGCGTGAGGAGCGCGATCAGCAAGGTCACCTTGCTATCAGAGTGCACAACTCCCCCGCTGCACCGTCATGATTGGGTGTAGTGCATTTGTAGCAGTAGAGCCTGATGATGGTAGCAATAGAACCTAATTTCAAATGAAATCTAAAACTAAAGTGACGCCTTTGCATGACAACCCTTTCAGGCCAGGAGTGTCGTAGTGTAGTCTGAGCTTCCAGACGATCTTGCGATGCAAACTCGGCCAAGAGGCCCATACAGGATTTGACGTTTCGCATGACAAATGAGCAGGGGAAGGGGGAATGGTGCTCTCTCATACTTGCAGTCCTTCCACCAAAAGTAATCCTTGATTGTATCTGCCTCCTCCTTATGCATTGCAAATCTGCCTGGGTCTGGAAGGATGCATAACTTGTCATGCAAGTCGCTAAGGACACTAAATTTTGTATTGCAGGAGCGCTAAAAGTTGCCCGTTTCCTGCTACTGTACTTTACGCTGAGACATTGACCACCTGTGATCGTCCTCAACACAGCTACACAAATAGAACCAAACTTCTTCTCCTGTGGGTCAGGCAGAAAGAGGCGCGGGCTAGACCTGTGAAGATGCTTCTGTGTGCATTCCAGAGCAGCATCTGTTGCTGTGCGCTGCTGCTGGTCTAGAAGATGCATAACATCAAATGCCTGCACTCATCTTCCAGAGCCAGACATATTTGCATTTGATAGTCCTCGTAGTCCTCCGCCTCGTCGCGCATCTGTTGTGCCTGCTCGTCCAACACGTTCAAGTTTTCCGTGTTTTTCAGCATCGCGTTCACGTTATTCTTCATAATCTGTTTCAGTTTCATCGATGTTCTTTACATGTGCCCTATACTGTGCCTGAGTCAGACAAAGAACAGCCTCTACAATTTTGATGTTCTTGATCTTAATGTTGATGTTCAACCTATTATTTGCGCATAAACAATAAAGAGGTCAAAAAAAAGCATCTATTATACGTTCTTGACAGCCTCCGTTTTTGCGATTGCCTTCGCCAGTTTGTCGTACTCCTCGGGGTCGTCAAACTGTGACGCCTTGTCTGTGAACCACTGGGCCATGCCCTCGGAAATCGGGTCCGAGGCGTCCGTTTTTGGGTCGAACGACTCCATTTCCTGGGAGTAATTTGTCTCGGCGTGCTCCTGCATTTCCTTGATCAAGGCCGATGCTATTCTCTCCGGGTAGTCCTCCCCTTGCATGTTCTTCAGGGCGACCACCTGAGAAATGTTTTTGTTTTGTTCTGTGCGCTGCACCAGAAGTAACTAAAGTAATTCCGTCATCACGCGGTCTCGGTTACCGAGTGGATTACGACAAAGGCAGGAAGAGCATGTGTGACTTCGCTCAATACACTTACAGCTCCTAATCAAATATGCGACACGTGGAAAAAACAAAATACATAATTGTATCTGTACCACATAAACGAAGGCTCCGGCTGGGAAGTCCAGCTGCACGAAGACCTGTTGGTCGTCCCAGTGCAGTTTCTGCCTCTGTCCTGGTGTCAAGCGCTTTCTTGCTGCGGTGAGTAATTTTCGCACCGTCTTCAGCCGCACATCATCCCAGGAGGGGCCCTGCGTGGCGGCACTCCACGTCGCCAGCAGCTCTTCATCGGCTACACGGCCAATCGCGAGGAAGGAGATACGCTCCGGCTGCGCCATAATGAAAAATCAGCGACAGGGATCGGCGTAGCAGTGACTTTTTAGTACGATGCACCAGGGCCGCGGCGGAGTTGGCGTAAGGAAAGAGCGAACTGTTTGCTCCTAAAAGCGTAACAAACTGTAGACAATTATGTTGTCCAGTGATCTTCTTGATGACTTCCAATTTCAAAGTTGAGATAAAGACGAAGCCTCGTCGCGAAAACCACGAAGGTAATTCTAGCTCGACACTAGGTTTCCGCCGCGTTTTTCCGCGGCGAAAGAAAGTACGAAAAAACTACCTCTACGTCTACAGGTGGTGTGGTCAACAGAATGCTTTTAGAAGCTCTACCCATCAACATCTTGAAGTGGTTGTGGTTGTGCTAGCTTCTCAAATTCAAAAATATGTAATCATGTAACGGGAATGAATTATGGTGTTAAAATTCAAAAATTCTGAAGTCAACGTAAGCAAATTGAAATTACGAACCAGGCCACATCAAATTGTAATTCTTCGTGTTGAAAACTCTATCTCGGGGGGACCAAGAAACGATGTTGCCAACAAGAAGAAGCGATGGGCCTAGAAGTAGCGCACGATGACTGGAAGAGATCATTCATACGATAAGCGATTTGAATTTTTAAGTACAGCGTTTTTCCCAGCACGACTGATGAAAACGATCCTTCCGACTACACCAAGACGATACGACCCAGATCGCCGTCGGGGCACCGATGCAGTATACAGTCAGATGTCGATAGATACTGTCATGTCGATGCAGTATACAGTCATGATAGATACTGTTTCTCTCAAGAACCGATGTCGATTGGACTATCAAAACGATTTCTTCAAGCCGTGATGCGGGCGAGCAGAAGGACGGCACCGAGACCTGTTCACAAGCGGAAGCGACGCTTGTCTAGTACAATTACAAGCAGACCGAATAAAGAAGTAGGCAGTTCGAATCAAGACGGAAATGCATCCTCAATTCGCACGATAAACCGAAAAGACCAAATATCTTGCGATCTAGTAGTCAGGAGGCATCCGAGGGTTTTCGGCGTCAGCGTGTGGCGATTTATCTTGCACGAACTTCACGACCGAGCCGGTGCTTTTTCATTTGCTTTCAGAGGACCGATTGCTTTTACGTGCTGCAAATCAAAGGGAGTACGCAAGTGGACGCTTTTTGTTTCTTTTTACGAGGAACTCGCTTTGAAACGTCGAACAGGCAGCTAAGGAAGGAGCCTCACAAGTCGTGCTTCCGTAGCATCAGCTGCAACGCGTTCTTCTGCCACACGGGCCGTTGATGTAAGTAAGTAAGGGTAAGACCCACCAATAGAGAACGCGACGCGTTTTTGTCTTTTGTTACGGCTAAAAAGAGCTGCAGCCAGGTTAAGGAATTTTCTGACCCAACTTGGTTTACGCTTTTTCCTCTCCTCCCGAGCTTTGCTCTCATGACCTTACCGAGAGGACCTCGCTTCGCGTGTCTGATTTACCGCTTTAGTGGACTAGCTGCCTTAACTTTCTATGATTTCTAATTCACGTAAAATCGAAAAACACAGCAGCTGCATCAATCGATCAATTAATTTTGTCATATGACGCCTTCAACAACGAGACACGGAGCTGGCAAAATGTATTTATCCAGCGGCCGTATGTCTTCTACAAAAGGTATCAAAACCAAAATCTGAAGAATTCATTGCGAAAATAATGGTGGACGGAAGACAAGAATGAGCCTTAAAACGTGGAAAACCTACATGCCCTAGCACGTAATACCACCTATGCGAACATGAACTTGCTTCAATCAAAAACCAAAATCAAGACCAATAAAACAGTCACAACTCTACTAATATGCCGACACCGGTGCGCCGCCTTGCCCTTGCCCCCCGTTATTTGCTGTATTTGATCCCGCGTCGTGGCTATGTGCATCATTTCCGCCACTGATGCACTCCAGGCAGCCGCTGCATTTTAGCACAATGAGAGCGAGCACCATGATGCCAATGATTATCAACACGGTCACGCGGCAGTCTTTCCACCAGTATCCTGCGCAAAAGTACAACTATCGCACTCGTATAAATTGCAGTCATGCAATATGACGAATCTGACAAACTTTTTAGTACCCCATGAAAAATTGCATTTTTCTTAAAATGCAATCGATACTAGTACGAAGATTATACTTTTGCAATGCATAACCAGAAGTAGTCTTTGATTTCCTCAGCGGTATCGTCGTACTCCAGCGCCTCCTGCTCCATCGCTTGCGTCTGTTCGTCCAGCACGTTCAAATTTTCCGTGTTCTTCAGCATCTGCCCGATGTTCCCGCGCATCAGCTGCTGCACGGCCTTGGTCTTCGCCTGCACCCGCGCCAGCTTGTCGTACTCCCCGGGGTCGTCGTAGGTCAGCGCCTGCTGGGTTATGAACTCGGCGAGCTGCGCGCTCATGCTGTCGTCCTCGGGGCCGTCCACCAGGTGCCCCGCCTGCATGTCGTCGTCCACCTTCTTTTTCAGGTCGGCCAGAAAGCCGTACGCGATCCTCTCGGGGTACTCCTCCGCCTCGTATGAGAGTGCACAACTCCTCCTCCCCCTCATTTGTAATGCAAAAGACCAAGTCGACCTCTACTTGCCTTTAAGCTCTTTTCGCACGACAAGTTTTGGACGCTCAAACAGGACTACAATCCATGTACGGATTTGTCATGCGAAAGCCACATAGCTGTCGTTGCTTGTATTGCTGTTCTTGCCATACAAATGAGGGGGAGGGGGCGCGGGCGCTGTGCACTGTCATACCTCATCGTTGATCACCAAAATGGTGTACAACATCTCCCCGTCCGGAAACTCCTTCATGCAGAACACCGTTGCCCCATCCCACTCGAGCTTCTGCCGCTGCCCGGGAGTCAGCCGCTTGTCGGCCGCTTCCAACAGCTTCTTGATCTGTGGAGTTTTTTTTTTTTTGATGAAGATATTTTTTTCACTTTGTTTTGTGGATCATCGCTACAACCACAGAATCTTGTCCAAAGTAGAGTTCGAGTGACATCGAGGTAAAAGTGATATGTGTACCTGCACCAGTCCTATAACAAACATGAATACCGTTGGAATCCGGGTATCCCCCTCTGCAGGGCCGCATTTTACGTTGTTCCAGGTGCAAAGCAGCTTCCTTTCGCGGCACTTCCCCAACGCCACAAAGGAAATCCGATAGATTTGTTCCTGCTCCGCCATGGCGGCTCGTGAGAGGATTAATGTCAATCAACTCAAAGTCAACCACTATTAAACCCTTATGTTGATAGTTTTACCGTCAGGACTAGGTCATGATTGAAAGATTGAGATGCTTTTGTAGGTGAATCTGATGACTTGTAAGTGTGTGTGACGAGAAAATTTCTAAAAAATAAAATGAAATGACAATAGATAGACGGAAGTAAACAGAGGGGTACTCTAGTACATTCCAGAATGTGGGAAGAGACTTAGGGTGTTGCGCTAGGCTTCTGTCTAAGCGTACATGATGCGGGGGGTCGTCCGCGCCCTGGTGTGTATAATTTTAATTTTGAAGATTCGCGACAATTTTTTTAATACAACCGTCTCAACTACTTACACAGGTGCGGCATATCGGACACGAAGAAGCAACAGGCAAGCTAGCATCGAACCTTGTAGCTACGACGAAGACTGAGAGGACGAAAAGAATTTTGGACGGGGACGAAACCGATAAGTTCTTCATTTCACGGCTTTAGTTTATGTAAGAAACGACAACAACCGATCGCACGCGGAGGGTAATGCAAGAGACACGACAGAGCTGGCAGCAACGAGGAGCAAGGAAACTAATGCCAGCACCACGAGGAAGTCGCAACGAGGACAGCACCGAATCTGTTGCAGCAATGCACAATATTAAGAAGGTGGAGGAGGAGGACGAGGTCTCACCCTCGCTCGTGGGGCAACAACGTTTTTTGGCAATCGATCAGGGTCGGGAACCCGTTTTTTGGCAGTCCATCGGACCTTTCGGATGTTACTGTGGACGAGGTGAGGATGTAATTTATTATGTTCGCTCCGATGCATTGGGTTACAATTGCTTTTCAACAAAGAAAGGTCATGAAACGGTGGAGTAGGAAACAACAGAGTCATAATTATGATCTTTTGAGCCATGTGGAAAATGAATCTAAATCTGTTATTTGTGTTTTTTCTACCTCTATGGTTTTGGGAGATTGAGATCGGGTCTGTTTTTGCATATCAGAAAAAAAATTCTTTGGGTTGGCAGAATGTGTATGATGAAAGTGACAACACATCTTTTGGTTTTTCTACTGGTGAAGCAGTCTCCAATTGTTACAGTTCCGGCTTGATGCGATAGCGAAACTGTAATTGCAGCTATAGCACAAGCCGCGTAGCTGCACCTTGTACTTACGAAACAAAAGTGGGTCTATGTTTTCGAGATTCTATAAGAAGCGGACGGACCGATGTTGAGAGGGTCAATATCACCTTCACCTAAGAAGTAGACCACAGAATTGAAGTATTCAGCAGAGAACTTCTACTTCCGGACTAGTTTTTCGCCATTTACTTCCCTATTTGAAATTGCTGTATATACAGAACCCGACGATGACGATGACGATGATACCAACGCAAAACAGTACTATGGTCACCTTGCAGTCCTTCCACCAGAAGTATTCCTTTATTTCCTCCGCGGCCTCGTCGTAATCCATGGCCTCCGCTTCCATGGCGGTAGCCTGCTCGTCGAGGACGTTCAGATTCTCTGTGTGCTTCAACATCTCCCCGATGTTGGTTCGCACCACCTGTTTGATTTTTGCCGTTTGTTACCATTCGTGCTTACAAAATGCGGATCATATCAACACTGCGTCATGATCATGGACAATAGGAGGGTAGTGGACTTTGAATATATCGATATTGTTCCCAACGTCGCATGCAGACGCATACAACCAAAATTACTTGTGTCACCTGATGAAGACTACCACTACTCTAAGCAATTCGACTCTGCTCTCTTTCTCTGTACCTGTTTCACCGCGGCCGTTTTTTTGGTGATGCGTGAGAGTTTATCGTAGGAGTTGTGGTCGTCGAATTTGATCGCCAGTTGCGTTATGTCGTAGGCGAGCGTGTCACTGAGAACGTCGTCGCCGTCTCTTTTCAGGTCCTGATCTAACTTTCCGTTGAAGAGCTGTTCCTCGACGAGCTTTTTCAATTCGCTCAGGAACTGGTAGGCGATGCGCTCCGGGTACTCGTCGTCTGGGTCGTCCATGATGAGGACTATGTAGCACATCTTCCCGTCGGGGAAATCCTTTACGCAGTACACCGTGCTCCCCTGCCACGCGAGCTTCTGTCGCTGGCCGGGCGTCATTCGCTTGTCCGCGGCGTCGAGTAGCTTTTTAAACGTGGGCACGCGGGCGTCCTCACTGCTCGGCCCACAGTACGAGCTGTTCCACGTGCACAGTAGTCTGCATTGCTCGATGTAGCCGAAACCAACGAAGGAAATCCGCTGGATCTCGCCGTCACCGCCGTCGCCGCCCATCATGCCCATCATCCTCTTCGAGCTGTGATGAATTGAGAAAATGTACTAAAAGCGACCTTGACTCTATTCAAAACGGAAGTAGTTGTACTGGATAAAAACACTCGCGGTTGTAGTCGGGAGTTGTTGATGTAGCAGGAGTATCATGTCCTAGTCCTTTCTCATATAGGGAGTCCAACATCTTCATGGGGTTACCACTTTTCATATTCATCTCAAAGACACCAACACTTCTAGTTCTACTTTCTTATGTAGCACCTGTAGCTAAAGACGGAGTACAACATCAAAATAACGATAACCGAAGATTAGTAGACGGGACTTGATTCTTCAAGTGTCGTATCAACATTCTGGTGAACGAAGTATAACGCACGCTTTGCAATACGACCAGAAGACCGATAAACAACGATTTGGACGAAATGTGCTGAAAGGTCACCAGACCGACGGAAATAACCATATCATCTGGAAACATTCGCACTCGTCTGTTCGGAAGAGCGCACGAAAAGAAGCACGACCGAGCAAGAACGAGAGTGATGCAAACTACCGAATCGGACCACGACACTAACGTACCATTAGCGAGCTGACGCCTGAAGATATGAACGAAATACTATTTGCGATTACGACCGAATGTGCAATACTAGAGATGAAAGTAGACGAGAAGCGCTAGAAGATGTCTGTCTGCAAGCCTGTTGAGATGAGGAACAAGGCGTGTCAGTACGCGTAAGGATACTGAGAAAGTAGAGACTGCAGCGGGCCCTTCTATTCATTTTTTTTCAAATCAAAATTTGACACGCCTTTCGGCGAAGAAAGAAAGTAGCTCTGCAAAAAAAGCTCATAATCTGAAGATTTAGATTTTGAAAGAAAAGCTTTATTTTCAAATTATGCTCTGATCGAAACGTTCGTGCGGGTTGTAGACAAATATTTTGTTCAATACTGTATTCCCGATTGTTCATGTTAAACATGAAAGCTCAAAGACAATGTCCGGAAAATGGTAAAATGTACCAACCAACACAGGTTGGCCCAAACCAAAACAGAATACCGATAAAAGTGCTTCCGCCGTGAACGAAGGAGACAGACCATATTTCCTTTCAGTTTCAACCAAGTAAGCGACCTTTTCTCGACCTACCCCTATTCCTCACTTCTTCGCGCGCCCAAAGAGCGCATCTCTGACGTCTTTTGCAGACAGCTTCCCATTACCACCGCCGCTCTTCTCCCCTGCTGCACCAGCTCCACTTTCACCGTAGCGCCGCAATGCTGCCGACGGCCGCCAGGATTTGCTTTGCTTCTTTGCATTATCCGAGAACCCAGATCCGCCGCCGGAAACGGAGTCTGCCAAGGTCGAACTAGAACTGCTTCGCTGCACATCTGTGATGCATGTAGTATGCACGAGTGGAGGATTTTCTTTTTCCTTTTTTGTGGAATGGGAATCTAGTACTGGGCTGGATAATGCAAATCAAGAACGCCAGAAACAGATACGAGACTGCAGACTGCTCCACAATTATCAAAAACGCTTTCGAAATCGTAGCAACTGTAAAAACAATCAGTAGGAAAGAGCTAGTGCAAAATCCTTCAATTTGATGTACATGTAGGTACCGTGACTGCAACCGCCGGCCTCTGCGCGCTCCTGACTATCGAACAAGGCGTAAGTGCTTGGAAAAGAGCAGGAGGATGACGAAGTAGTAGAACTACTGCTTCCTCTACACCGCCCGTACACTTCCTTCTCCCGTTCCGCGTGAATTTTCACCGCGTGCAGCATCATGCGGCGGAAGCAATGGAAGTCTTCCACAAGAACCAAGCCCTCGATCAATTTCGAGTCCAGCAATTTCGCCGCTTGCTGCAAATCGTCAAAATCTGCGTCCACGTCGAGCAGATGGGCCATGATCAAATCCTCAATCAGATTCCGGAATTCGCTGTCAATTTGTCACGGTTCGTTTCCAGAAAAATGCTATTAAAGAGAACAGTCATCACATCTAATGCGACTTGCACCTCTGATCTCGACGTCCTAGAGATGAAATAAAGCTACTTACTTTACCAGCACAGAGGTCGAGGTCTTTTTTATGCAAGCAGGGGACATTTATTTTGTTCTTACTTGTGCAGCTCCTTGTGCACGTGCGGGTAATTGTTCTGTTCGCCAGAAGAAGAGGAAGAGGAACTCGAGCTCGACGAGGAACCACAACTAGAGCTCGACGCAGCTTGTTGTGTTTCTCGTCCTACTCCATGACCAGCACCACCAAATTCGTCCTCGTTCTCCGCTGCAAAAAGCGGGTATTTCTCGTCGATAAATTCCCGAATCGGGTCGATCCACGAACGCGACTTCATGAACTGCTCAATGTAGTCGACTAACCACATGGAAGCCGCGTTTTTGCGCAACTGTTCCCGTCGTAGCTGGATCAGCTCCTGTTTCCGCGCGATCGCGCGCCGCGCTGGCGCACCCACGTCCTGCTTCGGGTGGTGGGCCGGTTTGCTGTGGACAGATGCGGCGAGGGTCTGCATTTTGTGTTTTTTTGGGGAAGAAGCTCGCTGACACCAGCACGCCCAGTTGAGTATAGTAGTTCTACTTGTGTACTCGGAGTGGGAGAGCTAGATGAAAGGCTATCTTTTCTCTCTATCTACCAAGCTCGTGCTTCAAAAAGACGGGGACGCAGCCACAAAGAACTACGACTTCACTTCCTTATTTGTGCGAACTCTCATCTCTCCGATTCTTTTTCGTTTTTCTCCACGTCCGAAAGATATTTGCATTTTTGCGACTTTGAATCGAAGAGCACACTCAGACCACGGCGCACAACCGCCAAGATGAAGAAATATTGACTTTGTTGCATAATTTTCATTTTGATTTTTCGACTCACAACCTCTGTAGACGCTCGCTCGCGAGCTTGTTTTGCTTACCGGATCAGCAGAAACAACGAACAGAAAGTGCGTGCGACACGCAGCAACCAGTGGAGCTCTTGTCAACAATCAAGCCAAAGGCAGTTCGCTCCGGCTCCTCTAAATTCTCGTTGAGTAAATTAGTATACTTGGGGTACAAGACAACAATGGTACTCGTCGCACATATTGTTGCAGTCGCGTACACAATGAATATGCCTTTCAGATCCTTCGCAGGTGTGGCTGTAGTCGGGTTACTCCAGATAGAAAGAAGATGATGTTGAGTCTAATTCAATAATCCAGCGAATATCACACTAATCTTGTGCCTCCAGCATCTTCTTCTATCTTTCTACTACTTCCTCGCACTCCCTCCGCTGACGTTGCTGACCGTGGCGACGTGTTCGCTCGTGAGCACGCTGGTCTCCGACTCGAAATCGTTCACCAGCTCGTAACTGGTCGCCACAGACTCCGCCACGGAGCTTTGCTCGAACAAATTCTCTCCCTCCGCGGAAGACGGCCGTGCGAGCAGGACCGCAGTGTTCAACGGGTCAGAGGCTTGACTTGTTACCATGATCCCCGAGCTGGCGTTGCTGTTCGAAAAATCCTGGAGGTCGTCGGGCGTTTTGTTGGAGGACGTTGACACAGGCGTTTTGTCCAGTTCCTCCGAACCCAAGGTCCAATCCGCCGCCGCGTTGAAGTTCCCAAACTGCTTTGGCATCCGCCCCAGCGGCGTGGGGGAAGAGGCTGGGTTGTAGACGACCGAACAATTACTGTCGTCATCAAGCGTCCATTCCACCGCGCCGTCGAAGTCGAACAGTTGGTTTTGCTGCTTGTTATTCAGAGCAGGATCGACGACGGAGGTTCTATTGCCGGTGGTTGTAGTTGCTGGCGTCATCTTCATGGCAGCAGGCGCCGGCTTCGCTTTTGCCTGCTGTAGCGCAGTTGCGACTTGTTTTGGCGGCGTATTTGTAGGGGTGGTTCTCTGTAGGTGTGGTGCTGTGGGTCTTTGATCTTGTTGAAAAGGCGTCACACTCTTGACGACTGTCGGCTTGTTCTTCGTCGGAGTGGAGGCTGCCTGCTGCCGTTGCGGCGTTTTTGCCGGGGTCGTGGGTCGCTGCTGCTGCGCTTTATTTTTCTGTGTGCCGGCGGAAGCAGATGCTGCAGGCGGCTGTGAAATTTTCACCACGGTAGAAGATACCGCAGGAGAGCCGCTTTGCGATGCAGCCAATGGGCGCACTTCTCTGCTGGGCGGCGCCATATTCTGCTCGACTGCTGCAGAAGTTGTAGCGCCTTTGCCTGTCTTGAAAAACGCCGCTCCGCCCCGTTCGATGATGTTGCTGTCAATGCTGGAAGACAAGGAGGACTGGGCAGCGACTTTATTTACAACACCGCCGGCTGCAGACGGTTTCTGGGGCGTTGAAGCAGCCCCAGCGCCAGCCGGCGCTTTTTTTATTGTTACAGCGGCCGCAGCAGCGCCCTCGTCTTTCCCCTCTCCACCTGTAGCGGCTGTTTGTTGATTTATTTTCAGAATCGGTTCTCGAATCGTCGTCATCTCGCTTCTCTTCGCTGCCTGTAGCGATCGGTTGTAACTCGACGCTTGATTGTTCGCGACCACGTTCGACGGCACCATTCCGCGCAGGGTCAAGTAGTTCTGCTGCTCCTTGATTAGTGCGATTTCCCGCTGCCGCACCTCCTGCTCCCGTTGAATCAGCGATTGCTCGTACTTGGCAAATTTCTCCCCCTCCAGCGCCTTCTTCTCCTTCAGCGCCTCGGTGGTGAGGTTTTGGTCCAGGAACTGATTTTTCCACCGCATCAATTTCGCCTCCGCGGCCCGGGCGTACTCCTCGTTGAGCTGTTGTCTCTGTTGCATCTCCTTCTCCTTCAATTCCTTATCCAAGAGCGTCCTGCACTTCTCCTCCACCGCTTTCCGGAACCCCTTCTCGCTCTTCATCAGCTCCATATCAAATGCAAAAATGTCTGGGTCTGGAAACTTGTGATGCTGGTTGAGAAAGACGAGGACGCCTCAATTGAGTGGCAAGCATGACAAGTTTTGGAGGTGCTATAGTCTTGGCTTTTCTGCATGACAAAGTGAGCTTCTGCATGACAGAAAAGTAGGGCCTTTGGGTAATGTGCATGACAGGCTTGAGAGTGATGTCAGACAAGCATGACAAACTTCCATTTTTCCAGACCCAGACACTTTTGCATTTGATACTCCATGGTCGTTTCCGTGCTCCACGCCTGCTTCTGCGCGTCCGTCCGCTGCCGCTCCACGCGCTCCAACTCCCACTCCAAGCGGCTGATCTGCTCCGTCTGCCGGGTCAGCTCCTCGACCAAATCGACCGCGGACTTCGGATACGCCAAAGAAGTGCTGCTGGAACCACTCCCATCGTTCGTATGTGCAGCCTTCGGCTTCAGCGACATCAAACAGTCCTCGATTTTGCTGCGCATCAGGCGGGCGGTGGACTTTATTTCCGCACGACCGGCAGATGTTGTTCCCTCTACTGCTCCAGCCATGTTTCTTGCCTGCAGCATGTTCGACCGAGAAGTGTAGTTTATCTGTTGTTTATTTGTTCTACTACTTCCGGCCTGTGCGGAAGCTGCAGATGACCCCAACCCCAGAATTTCAGTGTCCTCCCCCTCCTCCTCCTCGTCCAATCCCGAAATGACCGCCAGATCCCGGGGCAATTTCGCCAGGTTCGCGAAAGAGGTGCTGTCAAAGTCGATCGAGAACCGCTCCCGGAGCAGCGCCCGCAGCCCCGACAAATTCCGGGCCATGTTCAGCTGAAAGGCCTGGAACCGCTTCCGTTCCATCTCGAACGCGGTCTTGAGCTGGATGGTCTCCTCGCGGAGCTCTTCCTCGACGCGGCTGTTGCGCTCCACCTGCCGCTCCAGCAACTCACACCGCTTTTCCCGCTGCTTCAGGTCGATGCGCACGGACTCGATCTGCGTGTCCTGCGTGTCCTGGAGCTGTTTCAATTCTAGCGCCAGCACGTTGTTGTCCGCTTTCACCGTGTTGCAGTTCTTGGTGATGGACAAATTTTTCTGCTCCAGGTCGTTCACCTTCTGCTTTAAACTCGCCGTCGCGCCCGAGAACGCCGCCAGCATCTGCCGCTGCGCCGCGAGCTTGTCGATCATGTCCGAGTTGTGGTTCGCGATGTTCTGGCTCATGTCGACGGGCTCCAGGGGAAGATGGTGATCGTCCGCACGAGGGTTGATGGACCCCCCGGGAGAGCTGGACCGTTTTGATGCAGGAGTTGTTGCTCTCATTTCTGCTGAAAAGTTGTACGGGGCCTAGGCGTGATTGTGTAGAACAAGGCTACCCTGGGCCGGCGTCGGCGTGCTTGGATGTTTTGGAAGTCTTACTTTCAGCTAAAGATCATGGGGTCTCGGACTGGGTCAGTCTGGCGAGCGGGGGCGGGGGGAAAATACACATAATACACGGGGTTGCGTGTGTCAACAAAATTTAGTGACATGATGCTGTTACGCTGGGCGGCTTAATATCTCAAGAGGGGTAGTAGACGAATAAGGTCGAGGTGCTCCTGGGTCAACAGCGTATATGATATAGTGTGGCTGCTTATGCTCTTCAAGCTTCACAAACTAGATGAGGCAGACAACGGCGGTTGTTGTGGACTTCGCTAGTAGCATTAGCTACTTGTTTTTAAACAATCACTACATATCCGAACGACAGAAGCAAGAACTTGAACGAATTGAATTGATGTTGTTTTGCTCTTCACCTGCACGAAAGTAGGCGTTGACAGTAGGTGAGCATCCGCGGCTCCTACCGATTTTGGTTGCTTTGCTTTTGTCACAAACGAATCATCATACCGAGTGTAGTTTCACGACCGAGTCACACGAAGAATGCCTGCACGTGGCGGTGTACGTGTACCATGCATTACGCACATGTTGGCATGCATTGACACCAAAGCAACATCACACCAATTATTTCTATCGACCTTCTAAGATTTCCGATTCGTCAGAGCTGAACGGTTTCGTCGTGCGTTTCTTTACCTTTGCTGCCAACCGAACAATTATCAGCAACCGAATGTGCACCGTTTTTGAAGCGTCAACAAGCGATATTGCGCCAAAGGCTATTTCTGAGCACCATTTTGACAGGAAGAAGAGAACAATGCTTGCAGCTCTTTGCGTCTCTAGCTATACCACTAATCGTTTTCGGATGTAGTTTCATTTTTTTGGCTTGAAAGGAAGAAACGTCGAAATACCATGCGAATTGCGGCCTTCTGACGTTCTGTTTGGTCGTGCAAAGGGTATTTTCGTTTTTCTTCGAAAACCACCTTACGCTCGTTCCACGGGTCTTTGCGTGATTTCCCTCAGCGCCATGGTGAGGTACGCAGACGTGGGAAGGATGCAGCTGAACTTCACCGCATAAGAGCCAAGATTGTTTTTCCCGCCCTTGTTTTTCCCGAGATTTGTGCCTGCTTGGGTTGGTCCTTTCGCTTGATTTTTGTTCGCATCGTCCTCGGTGCGGTTATGATCGTCCTGCTGCTGGCTAGTAATAGAGGGCAGAGGCAGACCAACAGCATCCGCAGCTACTTTCACGACTTCTTGCGCACTTGTTTTCTCAACAAAAACACCATCCGCAGCTGCAGTGGGTCCCCCGTCATTGTTTTGGCAGGTTGGCAGGAGCTGCTCCGTAGCTTTTTTCTCCGCTAGAATTTTGTCCAGATCAGACTGGATTTCCGCTTTTTCCGCCAAAAATGCGTATCGGTTCGCGAGGAAATTAGTGGAGCTCCTAGTCTCGCCACTGCCCGCAGGACCGGCCTCTTCGTCACCCTTTGCAGCTTCTCTCGTCGTCGTGTTGACCAACTCCCAGGAGACCTCCTTCGGCTTCACGATGACGTGCCGGTACGCGCCATTCAGTTGGATGTTGCGCAACAGGGGCTTCTTCGGCTTCGCGTTCACCGTTGCGCCAGAGGACGAGGAGACCACAGAAGACCCGAAAGAGGCCAAGGAAAGGTCAAGCGTCGTATCACTTCCCATTCCAGCGTTCGTGGTCCCACCCAGCTCCGATAGCACCTCGTCGTAGACTCCCCGCAGGTACTCTGGGTACTGCACCTCGTAACCAGGTAGGGGGAGGACGACGTCCTCTGCCGTGTAGGTTTTCAGCAAAACTTCTTCCTCCGTAACAGTGTGGACAATGGAGCTAGTAGCTTGATCCTCATCTTCTTCATCCCCTCCGTTGGATGTCTCTGTTCTCATTTTGCCTGTCGTAGTTTTATCAGTTGTACTAGTTTTATGATTCCCGCCGACCGGGGTGAGCAGAACCAAATCCCCCGCTACGATTTCTGCACCTGCGCGGCCTGTACCTTTGTTCCTCCCTCTCACAATCTCCGCCCGTCTCGACAGAACCTTGTTGAAGCAGAACGATTGCAATGCGTGGTAGTAGAGCGAGAGGCTCTCGCGGGGAAGCTGCTCGAGGACGGCTCGCGGATCCGTCATGGGAGGCTTCGTTGTGATGGTGCTTGCTGTCTTCGAACTCATCTTTCCCTTGCCCTTTTTAGAACCGCCTTTCTTATTTCCCTTGCCGCTTTTATTCGTCGCTACTGCTGCTTCTCCTTCGCCAACATCATCGACAGTTGTCAAAGCGGTACTACTGTAGCATCCAGACAGCGCTTCCAGCAAAGTGGTTTCCAAATGCATGCGTGAAGAGGTGAAACCTCGGCTGTTGTTATTCTCTTTCAACGCGAACAGCGCGTCCTTCCAACGCTTTTCTCGCACCGCAGTGATATAAGTCGTGGTAGAATTGGTATTATTCGTCGTCCCTGGTAGAAGTTCTTCAACACTTTTGTTGCAGCTGCTCCCGTGCTCGTCCTTCATGGGAAACAAGACTGCCTCTTCATCAATCTTGCGCCGCTTCGGCTCTGGCCCATCACCAAGTGTTACTTCATTTACCGCATAATCTTCCGAGCCTCCAACGGCCGCGGTGGACACTACTAGTCCCTTATTTTTCTCGTCCGTGTGGTCGTCCTTTTCGGCCTCCAACTTCCCAGCACCGAGCAACAGCATCATCGCTTTCTCATACTCGCCACTCAGCAAGAACGCGCCGATCGTGTGCGTCCGCACTGTTCCCGTGCCGAAGCGCTGCAGCCCGAAGTAGTTCAGGAAGCCGTTGGTCGAAAGGTTTTGAAAGGAAACAGTGAGGAAGGCTTTCAAGGCCTGAAGGTCAGTTGTACCCTCTTCTACGCTCGTATTTTGTTTTTCCCGTTGTAGTCCCACTACTAGGACTGCTGCTGTGTCCTCGCGCAGATTTGTTTTCTCGTTGCCGTCGTCGTAATTGTCCGGTAGTACCATTACAGCACCCCCGCCAGCATCCGTTGACGTTGGAGAAATCATGGCAACATCGTCTGTCTCATCATTCTTGCTTATTTTGCATGAGGTGCATTCCTCGAGGACTGCGGCATTTTTCACGTCATTCTCCTCAGCTCGAGCGACTGAAACATTACATGTTGAACTCTTCATCACCAGTTCCAAGTCCCGAAGCAGCACGTCGAAGCGGTTGCCCTTCAGCATTCCCAGCTGCAGTTTGTCTTTCACGTACCCTAGCGGCTGGATGAACACCTGCTTGCGGTCGAAGGCGGGCGAGAAGAGCGACTTCAGCAATTGGTACTCGGTCGTGCGGTACAGGGTGCAAAACTGCGTGGTGCAGCCCCGGCGGTCTTTCGTGCCCGCGAACCCGAACTTGTCCACGTTCCGGGGGCGCTGGTCCATGTGCATCGCGCGGCTGATCTGCTGAATCGCCTCGGCCGTATCCTTGTTCTCCTTGTAGAGCAGAAACGAAAGGTAGTCCGGCCGGTCCTGCGGCCACGGCTCGCGGCGGAAGGAAGCGGAGGAAGACGTGGCTGCTAGAAGGGGGTGGGCAGTACTTCGTTGGTCTTCAGAAACCACGGTAACTGTGCCAGCAGCCCCCGAGCTCGTAGTGCTGTTGCTGATAATCTGTGCGGAATTAGAACTGATTATCGTTGCAGTTCCTTTCTTACCCGCGGCCCCTTTGTTTCCCTTCTTCCCCGCACCTTTTTCCAACTTCTTCAACTGTCTTTTACTCAGCGGCGCGGGCTCCTTGGCGGCTTCCAGAGCCTGTTTTCCCTGCTTCTCCAGGTCCTTGCGCCACACGCGGACGAAACTCTGCCCCAGGTCCGAGGACTCCGAGCTCAGCGCATCGGCGAAAAAGAGCCGGATCAACTCGTGAAAAGTTTTCCGCGTTTCCTTCAGAGTCGCGGTCCCAGTAGTCGTGGCTTTCAATTCCAGATCTAGAAAGGCGGTCGTTGCTGCTCTGGCCGTCGCACTAGGAACTGGTGAAGCTGCAGCACCCTCATTTTTGACCAGATCCATCGAGTCTTCGTCCTCTTGCTTCGTGATTATTTCCTTGCGGTCATGATCAACTACTTGCTCTCCCTGCAGGAACTGTTCCAACTTCCGCAAAACAGTTTCGTCCTTCACCAAAAGCCCGATTTTCGTCTTTTCCTCTTCTGACAACCGGAACGACTCGACGAAGAAGCGCGCTTTCCTCTCCTTCAGCTCCTTTTTCTCCTCCTCGACGATGTTTCGGATGCTGAGTTTGTCATGCAGTTCCGTCAACCGGGCCTCGTGGTTGTCTTGCGAAATCTCGTGCACGTGGAAGTCGTAGTGGTACTTTTTGAAACTGCAGACCAGTTCTTGCTGCGGTTGCGGAAAAAGTAAAAGTTCAGTGTCTTGCATAGTAGCACTTGTACTGGAGAGTTTCTCTTCATCCCTGCTGGTGTGCATCACAAAGCTACTGATTCCCACGTCCTCCTCCCGCACGAACCGGCTAGTTGTATTGCTTCTACTCGGACTGTCCGCGATCGCAGCAGCAGGCTGGGGTGCCTGCGCCGGGCCGCTGGAGCTTGTGGTCGTGTTTTTTTGGATCATTTTGATGATCGAAAAGCGGTTCGATGTATGGAGAAAGAAAAAGATAGCAACTCGTTGTCGTTGTGGTCGCAGAAGGAAATTATCGTGTTTCCTCGAGTGAATCAATAACACACACTAAAACATAACTACGAAAAGATGTCGCCTGTATCCAGTTAGTAGCTTGGGATTCAGAATAATCAGAATTTGCTAGCATCTTTGTACCCCAAGGTGATACATTCACATCGCGGAGCAAAGCATGTACAATGCTAAAGCTTGTTTACAAGATCTTCCGATCGTTTTATCTTACCATGCTGATCATGTCGCTCGACCTTTATCTATGATTTCATCGGTTTCTATGGATCGCGGAGGTGCTGAGAGCAGATTTCCTTCCTTGCTGCTTTTCGAAACTTTCAGGCGTTTGATCCGAGAACTTACCGAAGGCCGGTGATAGATCTTCATTATGACGTGAAGTAAAATTGATCGCTTTCGTTCTTGCTTTTGTGAATCTTCCACATTCATTTGATGTGAAATAAGACCATCCATGATTACACCAACAAGGATTTCTTCCACTCCGATCGATATCGTGACACGCAGGTCTACTACTTGAACAACTTCCCCAGGAGCCATGGATACTCGACGCGTGACGCCAACGCGCCGTCGAGCTCGCCAAAATTTAAGTTCGTAGAAGGCACTCGTGTTCGACAATCTACACCTCATATTGATTACATGACGGCAAGTAGATGACCTTTCAAAAGTAAGAACTTTCGAACAGGCAATTCTTGACAACATTGTCATACTTACCTGTCGGGGAGGAACGGGTAGAGTATCCAAAGGGAATGGGAAAAAGAACGATCATGAACAGGAGGAACAAAAACACGGATACAGATAAACACCTGATTCTCATTGTGAGAAATAAGAAGCGCAATCACCACCATGAGCAACGAGATACGAAGTCGTTATCCTAACACGTCCACCTCTTGGTCATGCACTCCCGCTGAAAAACACGGGACCCATGTTCGCCGCCCGCGGACCACCAAGCTGGTTTCCTCGCATCAAACTTCTATCCGCATGGCTGTAGATCCCGTCCCCCACCGGCGTGCCGTACCGAAACCAGCCGGTGTATACGTCTCCGTTCTCGAAATAGTACCGGCCCTGCCCGTGCTCCAGGTCGTCCTCAAACTCCCCCTCGTACACGTAACCAGCGAGCACGCTGGTCGTGTTCTTCGGGTAATTCACCACGATGCTCTGATCATCTCGATAACCGCCGTTGCTTCCCAACGTCGCCTGCTGTACAACTTGGAGTTTGTACTGAATGCGCCCGAACCCGTGAAACTTGCCGCACTGCATCTCCCCACTGTAGCAGCAGTGTTCGCCCTCGTAGTCGCCCTGCCCGTGGGGCTGGCCGTTTTCAAAATCCCCGCTGTAGACCGAGCCGTCCGCCATGCGGAGGATACCGTTGGGCCCGCTGGGGCTTCCCCACGCGTCCACCGGCCCCAGGTACACGTCCTTCGCCCCGTCCTCACCGGTGTCAACGTAAATCTCGACGATCGTGGGCTGCCGCAGGCTGGATTGACGACCATGTTGGGCGATCGCAGCTTGTTGGGACGGCGCCGGTGGTGCATCGGCTTCGTTCATTCTTGCTGGTTCTGGGAGCAACAAATTTTTATCGGACTCAAACGTCACTCGGGGATTGGTGTAAGTAGCGGCCGCGTCTATTGTTCCCGATTTTGCTCCTGGTCTTCCGCCGTTACGACTCTTTTTCTTTTCCTCGCGCCTTGCCATCGTTGCTGTGCCCCCGCTGCTCCCGCCTCCGTAGTCGTGCCCACGACCGGCCTGCTGGTGCATCTGTTCGACCTCTTCCTGCAGACCCGCTCTTCTAGGATTCGCATCTTGACCTCGTCCACTTCTCCTACTCCACCTACTGGTCGCATTGCTTCGTGCTTCGAATAGCTGGTCCAAAGCTGTTGAATTCGGTTTACCATTCGTCCCCTGGTCGTCCGAGGCCCGGCTGAAACCACTTGGCCCCCGCTCCAGGTCCACCGTCGGCCCCCGGGAACTAAGCAACGTGGTCCCCGTCGGTCCTAGCGCCCGGGTTCGATTCCGCGCAAGGTGAAAGTCGGGCTGGATGGTCGGAAGCCTCCGCGGCCGATGGGCCGCAAGTCGGCGGGACCTAGAAGAAGCACGACGAGGGCCCTCAAGTATCATTTCTCGCGCTTGCAGTACCGGAAAATCCAGTCCGGGCGGCTCGGGAAGGAGGAGGTGCAGTGGGTCAACATCTGCAGAAGCTTTCGCATTTGTTGTGTTCTCATCTAGTGCATTGTATTTGTTCATCTTCCCGAATGGCTCAACGTCGGCCTCGGGAGGTAGAAAGGTCTGCTCCAGAAGAACCTTTTGGCGGTCGTAGAAAGCCAAATCTTGCTCCAGCATATTGCGCCGGGTGTGCGCCACCGCCACCCGGTTCTGGTCGTCCACCGGGCTGAAAAAGCGGTCCGCTGACCGGGTCGACCGCCGCGCGTGCGCAATCGCGATTTGGTGCACCTGGTGCGCCGCGCGCTGGTTGCCAGTACTCGTAGGGGAAGGAGGCTGTGTTTATAATTCGAGATTTGACCTTACAATGGATATGGAATCGCAAACACCACGATGGCAACCTACAGTGGTAAAATCGTCACCGTTTATGCATGCGAAAATATTGGAAATTCCGATTCCCACTAGCAGTAACTGTACCACAACTGCATCCGGAACGGACAATCTAGTAAAGCTAACCGTATGCGTCAAAAATCTGTACTTTTTATCTTACCGATCCCTGTCCGCCCGCACTCTGATCCCTTCCCGCCCGTGTCTGCATGTCATACGGTCCTTGGTCTTGCTGCTGAAAAAAATTCGTGAATCGAAACTCCGATCTGCGGTCCCAGAACGGCGAATTCCTGGGCTGTAGTTTGCCAGGCGGCAAGGGAGCACCATTAGTACTCCCCGCCCCATTCCTACGATCCCCGATGGCACCGGACGCGTCGAGCGGGGTTGGCCGCACGGCCGCGGCGTCCCGGCTCAGATCCAGACCGTCCACGTCCAGTTCCAAGCTGCTGGTATCCATTATCTCTTGCTCCAATTGCTGCCTATGGTTCTGCTCCGGAAGGCCATTCGGCGCCGTGGTCATATTGCCATTGTTCAGGAAAAAATCCGTCCACCGGAAGTTCTCGAGGGGGTTTGGGTTTTGATGTTCGGCTCCATTTCTTAAAGTTGTACCGGCGTCCGATGTCTTCGCATTGTTTGTTCCAGTTGTTGGAGGCAAAAACTCCGGGTTCGTGCGGGTACTCGTCTGTCCTTCTTCTGCTTTATTACCATCAGCAGCCTGTTGTAGTTCTTTTTCGGCAGGTGGACTCGCAGCGCGGCGCATCATAAAAAAATCCGTCCAGCGGAACCCTGTGCTGGTCGTACTGGGCTTCTCTTTAAGTGCATTTTCCGGTTCAACCTGCTTCTGTACAAGTCCTTCGTTGTCCTTTTCTGCTTCTACTTTCGAATTTAAGCCTCTTGTTGCGCCATTCTTATCACCATCCCGTGGCTCCCCAGCAAACGTAAACACGTTGCTCGCTGGCTGCACGAGGGAGGAGCTGACAGCTGGGCTACTCCAGCTTGGGTCTACTAGTGCTGGATCCCGTTCTACTTGCGAAATCCCGTCCCCCCGCGGGCCGACGCTGAACGGATCATTATAAAAGTTGTTGGCTCTGGCTGCTTCTTCTTTTATAGTAGTCTCCGCTGGTGGTACACCCCGCCCGTGCTCCGCGCAGTTCTCATCGGCCACTGCGAGGTCGAAATCCTCCTGGTCCGTCCTGTCGGAAAGCAGCAAGTGCGACTGGAGGTTGGCGTCCGCAGTTTCGATGTTGTAGCTCGAGTTACCCGCGTTTGCGGCCGCGTACAGGTTCAGATAAGTACTCGTGGCGATCCGGGCGACCAGGTCCGTCTCGTTTGCAGCAGATAGTGCAGGATTTGAGGGTGCAGCTGTTGGTCCTATTCCCCGCACTTTATCCTGGTCTCCAAGCGAGCTCGCTTGCAGAAGCTTTCGGCGCCAGTCGGCCTCGGAAAAACTCGAAAGGACGCCGCGTTCGTGTTCGTAATGCTGGCCAGAAGGTCGTTGGGAAGGTGAAATACGAGGACCACTAGATGATAGAGTCGTCATGATGGGGGACAACTTTTCTTGGTTTGTCGGGGAAATGCTTGATATTCAGTACATCACGCGAATGCTTGTCGCATGGGGATAAGCAACGATTGATTACAATGTGAGACTTGACGAGTTCAAATAGGGGCTCAAAATCGACGGCATCCCCGCTTCCGCAGAAAATTCATCCGAGAAAATGCCAAAAGGATTCGCGTCCGAAAACGGAGGTCTTACTTAAGAGAACGAATACACTTCACCGGGGTCGTCGAGAAACCAAAAGCAAACCTGTCACAGATCTTCAGCCAGCACATCGCATCGGTCTGCATTTTCACTTTCACGGGAGGCGAATACTTACCTAGTCAAGAACGAGGAAGACTGAGTTGCACGAATAGCAGAATTATGATGTATCAAACGAGGAAACACTTGCCGCGTACGTTACGAAATCCACAGCGACACGGTCACAAGAATGGACGAGCACTTGTTTCTTGCGGACGAAAACGAAACAATAAGAGTGAATGGCGGGTCACTGACGATCCTTGCCCGATAAAATTACACCCACAACACGAGAGAGATGAACGAGACCGAAACAAAACGAGAGAATACCTTTCTCGGGCTTTTGCGCGGTATGACAAGAACATGAATCTATGTGTAAGTGCTTGCAGTCTATTTTGTTTCAGACTGTCTCATTGCACGTGCAGACTGTCTCATTGCACGTCAGCGTTACCGTTCATTCTTGTATCCGTGTTCCAGCGTTCTTCAGCTTGACGGTCTTGGAGTTGGAGCTTGGTTCCTGCTTTTCTAGCGCAATAAGGTGTGGAGCCATGAGAATCTAAAGAACAGTAGGGTCACGACCACTTACCCTGCTGTAGCCCGGCATTTCCACACGGGCTAGTGCTTTATGGACCGCACTGCTGAACGCCACGAGGGCTCTGATTGCTTCCTCGAAGTCCGGGGCCCCGAGGCTGTTTCGCGTCCACCCGTACGCGTAAATCGCATCCCACAAGCCCGCGGCCAGCTCCGTTTCGGATGGGTTTAACAAGGCTTCTTCTTTGCTTTCCGTTCGTTCGCTTTCCCCCACCGCAGGTCCTCGTCCTGAAGAACCTCCTAGGAATGATGAATAACCGGACTCTAACTCCTGACTCTCATCCGCAGTGCCGCTTTGTGCCTGTTCCACTTCAGGTTCTACAAGAACTCCGACGAACTCCTCAACAAGCGGTGGGTCAAACTCGTGCTTGCGATTTCTCAGCAGCGTGCCCTCCCATTTTCGCTGCGTCAAACTCTTGTATTTCTCTCGCGCCAGCGCCCGTTCGTTCTCCGTTTCGAAAAATCGCTCTCGCGGGGTGGAAGTCGGGGGGAAAAAATCAACAGACGCCACGTCGATCAGCAGAATATCTCTCGGCGCGCCGTCCGCCGCATCTACTGCGACGGCCCAATTCTCCGGGCTGTAGTCGTCATACAAAATTTCGTGCTGTTCCAGCACTTGTCTCACCGACACTCTCCCGTCCGCTAAGAAAGCATCCACCGCTTGTCTAGTAGCAGGACTCGAGCTGGTCGGACGCAGTTTGTCCTGCGCCTCAACGATTCCGGTGACGAGCCGCGCCCCAACGGCAGCAGCGGCTATAGCCACATCTTGATCTTCTGCATCTACTGGAACTGCATCGTCATAAAAGCGAATTGCTTCCACCAAGTTCTCGCCGTCCGTGCGGAGAAACCGCACCCAGGCCGCGGCCAATCTCTCCCGCTCTTGCGCGAGGCCAGCTACCAGTTGCGCGCGCAATCGCGAGGACAGCCAGTCCGCCTCGGAGAACTGCAATCTCGTGCCGAGTTCGTTTACCCAGGATGAGTCCCCGAAATCCTCCGGATCCGAGAAGAACGCGATCGCCCCGCCGCGCAGGTTCTTCAGCGAAAAGTCTGTCGTAGTGCGGTCGGCAAACGAAGCGAGGAAGCTGTCGTCGTCCGAGCAACGCGCTGCTTGCGTCGAAAGTTGCACACACATCGCGTGCAGGTACGCATTGCGACGTGCCGGCGAGTCTTCAACATAAAAATCCTCTGTGCGACCTCCAGTGGCGATTGGGATTGTAGGAGCCGCCACGTCGTCGAAAAGGCCCTCTTCTTCCATTTCTTCCTCAACTGGTCGAAACACGACCGACATCGCGGCGTCCCGCACCGTGGCGCCCGCAAATATGCCTGATGTCCGCGCCGCCCCCTCATGTTTCGTCGCGCGCAGCGCGTTGAGCGTCCGCAGAAGGACTGGGGCATGTTGCTCAACAAGTAGGCTCTCCTCGCGCGACGTCAAAAATCGAGGAGCGTCGCCACCAGCGTCTGTCGGAGTTGTACCAGAGCCGGGAGCAGACTGGTCGCGCGGCCGTGTCCGTCGCGCCTGTGCCTCAATCGCGTGCTCGAGCGGCAGTTTGGCCAACGTCGTGTCGATCCTTTCCATTTCGAGACAGAGGTAAACAGCCTTCTTGGAGCTACTACCTCGTGCCGCTTCATCGTCTTCGCTTTCGTTGTTGTCGCTACCTGCTGTTAGGCGGTCTGTCCAGTACCACCGGTAGATGTCCGGAAAGATTTTCTTCCCGTTGGTTTTTCTCTGCACATAATTCACGTACTCAATCAGTAGCAGTTTCGAGTAAGTGAGTTGCGGCTTGCTGGTGTCACGACCTCCATCTGCTGTACTATAATCTACTTCTGTGGCGATATTACCTCCAAAGTCGTCGCGCTTTCGCCACCGGCGCAGCCTCCCTTCCGAGGTCGTTGTTTCGTGGACCATTTCTCCAACGTGATCAATCGCGCACTTCAGTACGCTCGGCTGCTGCTTCAATTGCAGCTCCTCAACGTCGATCCGGCTCGTCCAGAAGTTTGCGCGGTTGCCCGCCCATCGCGAGGCGGACTCGTAGCCGTTTGCCTTCAGGAACGCCTCATGCAGGGTCGTTGGCCGCTTCCGGTGCGGCGACTCGACCTCGACCCCGACACGACCGACCTCCGGTCTGTGAGCCGTTACCTCATATTCGAGGAAAACTTCTTTGGCATCCAGTCGCGGTACAACTTGCGGGCTCTCGAGGAAAAGTTTACGCAAAAAATTCAGAGGCGGCACCTCGGCGATCTGGTCCTCTTCGTCCACTCCGGTCTGGTACCCAAAATCCGCAACGAAGCTGCGACATGCATTGCAAATAGGCATGGGCAGGTCTGGAAAGTAATTATGCAGAAGATCCTGGGCCCCAGATCCAATATCTATTTCGCACGAGCGCCAGCAAAAGTTGTGCGTTTCTTGCTACATACATACCAAATATAGCCGCCGGGGCGGAGGTAGTGAGGTCGTGGGCGTTTTCTTGCCGGCCGTCGCCTTGGCCGTGGCTTTGCTTTTTCTGGGATCGCCATACCGCCGTGAGTAACGTTAGGCCGCACGGTATGGCGGCCGCTTGATAAACGTCGCAAATTTTGGCGAATTTCCGAAATTGCTTTCCGAAAGCCAGCCCCCATGCTATGGGGCCGATCCGGGCGCCTCGAGGGGCGCCCAAAAACCTGAGAAAAATCGGGCCCATACCATGCGGATTGGCTTTGCGCGTCTGGCGCGCTTTTTCTGTTTTGTGTTTTTATTTTTCCAGCCGGCGCTTTTTGCAAAGCTTCCCAGGCTGTGAAACCGGCGAAAAGGCGGCCGCTTTCGCGGCCTTCCAAAATGCTTCGAAATCGCGGCCGTGCCATGCTGTTTCGCTGTTTTGATTTTGGGCGCCTTTTTTTCGGGCGCCCTTTTGGGCGTCCCAAATCGCCAGAAACTAAGGCGGTGGGCGCCTCGGAAGGGCGCCCCTTTCGCCGGCTCCCCTGCATCGTTTTATCAAGTGCGAATCGATACAATCCGCTCGGGCTTCTTTGACGGCAAAGCCCCGGCCGCTTGATAAGTGCAAATTTTTTATGTGCAAAAACGCTTCCGGCCGCTTCAAAACTGCCGGTCGTTTTTGAGGGTATATGTCAAAAAAACTCCCTGGTTAGAACCGTTCGGTGACCTCACTACATACTATACGCAACTACCCAGTTTTGTGATTCCTTCGGGACAGGCATTATCATCATCAAGAGGTGGCCTGAGCACAACTTGTTATGCGCATCTGTTTGACTTTGAATTTGATCCAATGGATGCATGAGAACCGCGCGCAAGACCCTTCCAGATGCCTCAGACTATGTTTGTATTGATATCCAAAATTTTCGCCGAAGCGCTTCATCCGCAAAGGAGCTCACGTCACCGTCGATCTGTATCTCCCAGTTACCGCGAGCTTGTCGGGTTTGTCGAGACGACGAATCCGCTGCGCCTCTCTCTTTTTCAATATTTGGAGGCGGCAAGCGCCACACGCCGGTGCGAGCATCGAACTTCGCGCCCCAGAGGTTCTGGTAGCGGCCGCTTGACCCCTCAACATCTTCTGTCGAGGCAGGCGCAGAAGCGCCGGCACGAAGAGATGCAGCCTGCGCCTGAAGTAAATCCTCGACCGGCGATTTGTCTCTGTTTTCTCCCTCCTCGGTCCCCTCAGCGACTAGCAAATAACTAGACGATGCTGCGCTCCTCCTCTTGACCGCTAAAAGAAGCTCCCTTTTCTGCGCGTTGAGTTTGAGTTCCACGCGGACGATAGGCTGTTGCTGGTCTGTAGTATCGTTGCCGAAACTGTACGGCACGGGCGCGACACCAGGCTTTCGCTGCACCAGTGGTCGCCTTCGACCATGGTTATAACTGAATACCTTACAACTTTCTGCAATGTCCGCGTTGCACCAGGCGACGGAAGCTCCTGCATCCCTTCCGGAATGGTTTTTCGGGAAAAAAAAATGCCGCCTCTCCTGGAATAACAGGTCCCGCAGCCATGGGTACTTGGAAGTCAGCTCGACGATCCGGTCGTTTGTAAAAACTCCATGGTGGTCTGCTGCTCGAGGCACGTCAGAAACAACTACAGGGTTGTTGACCAGTGTAGCACGATGACTTCTCTGCTGGTCCCTCTCCAGGGCTCTTTTCGGAATTCCGAAGATGCGTATGGGAGTCGGTCGCCACGTGGAAGTGGAAGGGTGGTCCCGTTGCTCGAGCGGCACGGAGGAGCAGCCTCCCCCTTGCCACAACTCCTGCGTATCAAAGTGCACAACTCCCCCACATCTCCTTCTGTCATGCAAAATGCCAAATCCTGCTGCCCGAACGGATACGGAACCTCCTCGTCCTTCTCCTTCACCTTCTTTCCGTGTTTGCATGACAAGTCCCAGAAGCCCAAAGCGCAGAACCGTCGGGGCTCGGGTTCGTCATGCAGCAGCTAAGTGAGTACATCGACATCCTTCATGTCGCTACCGCTAGTTGCTGTTGGTGTTGCTAGAAATCCATGTTAAATGAGGGGATCGCGAGATAGTTGTGCACTCCCATACTGCAGCAGAGCGACGTAAAACAAAGCCAACACCGCCATTATTATTTGGATCCTGTTCGTGTAAATAGTTCCGCTTCCACCCTACCGTAAGTTAGTATCGAAGATTGAAAGCGCACAACAATGCAAATTCACGAGCGCGTTAACGATAACGATCCTGTGCCGCCTACAACTCGCATTTCCTACGGATACTAGCAGCAGCCGCGGGATGATAAAGAAAGTGGAGTGGTATTGTGACGACATCAAGTGAAGAAGTGCCATTAAACGCTGGTCCACAACCCCAGATTACCTGTTGCGAAAACCTCGGAACGATTTGATTCGATGCATGTGGATAGAAAACGAATGCAGTACTTCCAAGCCTAAGACCCTTCGTCTTGCTAATCCTTGGGTAAATGAGTGATGTAAATTGTTTTCTGGTCTAGTACGCCGCAGCTGCAGGAGCAAAAATTCGATGATCTCGTTCTTGTACCTACCGTGTTCCTGATCCTCAATGCTGACTCATTCGCACGTAGAGGGAGTCTGTTCTTTGAAATGTTTCCTTCAAGAAAACGGAAAGGACGTCAGCACAGGCCGCTGCCGCGTATATCTATTAAGTAGTGCCGGAAAGGCACTTCACGAGAGGACCACGGTTAGTATACTTATTACAGTGCAAAGCAAAATGTTCGTTTTTTTTCCGTTGCAGAAAATTCTCCTTCTCGTGCTCTTGGACCACGCCAAGCCCGGAGAATCCGTCACCAGCAGCTGCGTTAAAAAATCATCGGCGTTTTGTTTTTACCTCATTCGCTGCAGACGCAATAACCTGAATCATATCAGGTCCAGGTGTCTATCAAAGGATAAAGATCTCATCTTGTGTTTCATCCTGCAGAAATAAAGAAAGCTTAAACACGTACCAAATAGAGTGGCTAGACTGCAACTATCTTGTACAATATTCTTGGAAGGAAATGCAAATGGACGAATAGAGTACTTACTTCTTCGATGATGTATAAGAATCTTTGTCTTTACTAGTGAGTTGTCTTCGGGCAGTATTCTCTGAGTCTTCTACCTTCTTTCGGGTGCAGTAAAAATGATGTGCATCTCGTTCTAGTTCCGTTCACGTTCTCGCCATAATCCTCAGTCGAAATAGAAAAACATAGCGTCACACAGGTCGTACCGCCATTCCTGCAGGAAGATGTCGCACTCCTCACAGGAGCACCACGCACACGGCCATCTTTTTTTTCCTCCTGACCCGTCCGATATAACCTATGACTTTGAAGTAGAAGTACTTGTTACCGGTTGTATTCTCGTATGATTGTCGACGCCCCGTCGTGCGTCCGCCACAAATTCTTTTCTTGTTGCTGCCATGGTCGTCATAAACGTACCGAAGTACAACTGCTCTTTCCCCGAAATAGAAAAAATCGAAAAGAACTCTCCACCCCCGCGCCCCCCAGCTCACCCCTCCAGGGTGGTCGCAGCTGCCACCGGGAGCTTCCCCTCCACAAACTGCGTGTGCAGGTCGTCGATTGCCTTGCGCCAGGACCCGTTGCTGGTGGAGATCACGAAGGTGAGCTGCAGAGACTTGGCCTTGGTCACGATTTCCAGCGGCACCTGGTGCTCGCACAGCACCTTCTGCACCTGCCACATCACCTCCGCCGCCTTGGTGGGGTCGGCCACGATCAAAGTCAGTGTGGCCACGTTGTTGTCGATCTCGATCAGCCCGCCATTCTTGAATTTCTGCTGCAGCACCTGTTGCGCCTCGACCAGTTTCGGCTCAATGTCCGCCCGCAGGCCGTCGGTGGTCATGGAGACCGAACTGGTCGACGTACCGACCACGTCCAGCGAAATCCCGAACTCCTTGAAGACCCCGAACACTTCGGACAGAAAGCCGGACGCCCCTACCATCTCGGAGCTCTCCACGCGGATCAAGCGGGCCTTGTCATTCCAGGTGATCGCCAGCACCCCGGGGCTCGTTTCATCTGCAGCGACCCCGCCGCTCTTGCCTGCGGTAGGCGTAGTTCCTGCACTGCTGCTGAGTTCCGGCGCCGTGCGCTCCTGGTCGTCCAAACTGGCCGCTAGCTCGCCGTTCAGCGCGGACGGGGCGGTGCGGCCGATGGTCGTAAAGGTGGCGTCGTTGAAGGGGTCACTGGTCCCGCGCACCTCCAGCGGAATCCCCTTAGCTCGCAGCGGGTCGGTCTATGAGAGTACACAACTCGTCCCCCTCGTTTGTCATGCTGGGAAATGCGGACTGCCTGCCACTGCCCCATACCGCTCCTGCCTTGCATAACTACAAACTTGGGAACCCAAAAAGTACTACTGTAGTCCGCGAGCATCTTTGTTTTGAGGGTTAGCAGGAGTTGTGCACTCTCGTACAGTCGCGCGCGGATGCACCACCGTGGCGCCGTGCAACGCAAGTTCCGCCGCCTGGTCGTATGTCAGAAACGGGATGGTGCGCACACGCTGCGTATGCATTGCAAATATCGATCTGGGTCTGGACGAAACTTGTGATGCCTAAGTGTGGATGGTACGTAAGCAGCCTCCTCTTCTGAGCCACGCATGACAAGATGAAGATTTTAAGCTGCTATGCCTACGTTTTGCGTAGTAGACCGCACCGCGACCGCAATGCATTTTTGCATGATAAACAGAGAGGAACTGTTGTTGTACCGCAATACGCATGACAGATGCTTCTCTCGTGTCAGGCAAGCATAAACAGACCTTGCCTTCTTCCAGGCCACCCAGACACATTTGCATTCGATACTGCGGCCCGTGCTCCCCGAGGCTCCGCGGGTCCGCGGACTGGATGCCCGGCACGTCTTTGTAAATCTGCACACGGTTGGCGTCGATCGCCGCTCCGAAGAGCGCGGCCGAAAAGTCGCTGCCGTCGCGTCCGAGCGTGGTCGTGCGGCCCTGGCTGTCGCGCGCCAGGCATCAACTGCAAATATCGATCGATCTGGGTCTGTCATGACATGCGGAGTTCTCGCGGTCGCGAGAGCGAGTTTCTAGAACGCATGATCACAACTTGCATTTTCGCAAAACAAAAAAAAAACCGCTTTTAAAAATGTTCGACGTGATGCAACACAGATTGTAGTGCTGATCATGCGAGCAAAGTAATCACTTTTCCAGACAGAGAACCACGAGGACATTTGCAATGCATAGGATGTACCCCGTGACAATGGGGATGAAAGCTGGTTTCGAGGAGCAGTCCTCCAGCGAGTTCTCGCAAACGCCTTCCTATCCTGAGTACAAACGTACCCACCCCAAACTCATATATTCTCATGTAAATCTGCATGTTGCCCAGAACACCACTCATGCGGCTATTTGTTTCTCATTGCAAAACGTTTTTTAGAAGTACTCGTCGTGTTGGAAAATTTGTCCCGCGTTTTTCAGTATCATCTACAAGAGAGCAGGGCTGTGATGGAGCTAGACTTCTAGCTAGGCACGACTACACTGCATAGCCACAGCCAGACTTGTCATGCATGAGCACCAAAAGTTCCGGGTTTGTCATGCCCAGTTCTGATGATCTTGACTATGGGATCAAGAAGATGGGTGCGTTTTTACTCAGGATATTTCCAGGTTCATTTTTTGCGACTCAAGTCCTTCGCGGATGTTCTGGTACACCCGGTATTCATTGCAAACATGTCTGGGCCTGGAGAGGCGGAACTTCTGATGCGTGTCTTGCATGCCTGCAAAATCTGCGTCGCATGTGCAGCAAAAACGCCGCTGGCTTTTTTGTTATGCACTACCAAGTTCGAGAAAGCTCGATAAAGACTTGTCATGCTTGGCAGCCCTTGGGTGTGGTTGAACCATCTGGGGTCGCTCAGCGTCCGAAGCTTCCAGTCCCAGACATACTTGCAGTTGATACCCGGTCTACGTCGTCGATTGTGGCGGAACTATGCACCGAGTCCAATTCCCCATTCCCACTGGTCGTCTGGAGCCCGAGTGCCCAGGAGTCAAACCCGGCCGCCAGCTTCTGCTGGTGCACCGTCCTCAGGGTATGCGCAACGATCCGCACGGCCAAGCGCTCGCCGAAACTGAGCACGTAATCACTCGAGAAATGCTGCGGGTTACTATTCAGCGCGGATGAGGAAGGGGATGAAGCGACTTGCTCTTGTTGTGAGTCACGTTCTTGCTGCATCATCCCAGCAGTATCTTTAGAGGGTGTGCTCTCGTAAAAGGCGCGCAGGTCGGTTTCCAGCTTCTGCAGAAGCGGCTTCTCGATGTCCCGCTGCCAGGCATTCTCGAAGCACTGCGCCAGCTTGTCCGCGCGCCGCTGCTTTCTTAGGTCCAGCTGCCGGGAGGGGGTTGACGGAGCCTCACGAGGATGACCGCCCTGTAGTTCTGGCGCCCCTTGTTCCCCCGGCCTGGAAGCAGGTGGGGAGCACGCACTGCAATCGTCGAAGGCACTGTTGCTGGTGTCGCTGCGGCACAAGAGATTTTCCTGTGACGAGGTGCTCTCGATCTCCGCCAGGGCCTTCTCGATGGCGTGGGCCTTGATTTCGTCAAAAATTTGCTTGTGCGAACGCACAATCTGGCGGAACAGGGCCAGGTATTTCGGCTCCGGGGTAGAAGTTTCTGGCGTCGTGGTTTCTCCTGCGGGAGCATACTTCGGCGCTGTACTTGCAAGAAAGTTCTTCCCCTGCTGACCTCCCGGATAAGCAGCCCCTGCTCCTCCTGCTGAAGGTTGGAGATGCACAACTACCGAGGAATTATTCACCGCTGCATGATGCAGTTTCATGTTTCCCAGCCCGCTCGCGAGCAGGTTCACCGGATCCACCTTGGCATCGCGCTCCGCACGCACAGTCTTGTACAGTTCGCGCAGTGCGTCAGTGGTCTTGCCCATCGCCGAGCAGATAACGAGCAGCTCGTGCGGCTTGTTCGTGACTTTGTCCAACATCTCCTGCTTGTCGTTGACAATCTGCGCCACCTCGAGCACTTTCTTACTGTCCTTCAGTGAAGACCCGCCGAACTTCATCACCACTTTTTCGCCACTGCAGCGCACGCTCCACGTGGCGAAGGGCCACAGGAGAAGGAGTCGCTTCATCCTCATTTTTGTTTGGATGCGATCTTGCTGTTCTTGGGTTTATTTTTTGTCGAGGCTGATCTTCGAATTGTGCTTTTTGATTGACACAGACAGGCGAGACTTGTTTCTTGCAAGGAATCAGTATATCGGTCGTGATTTTCGACGGAAAAATATTTTCAACCGGTGCAAATTATCGGATAAAACCGATCGTGTAGAGAGCAAGCGTACTAAAACTACAGGAGATGAGATGTTTTGCATTCATGAAGTGCCACCTTCACGTTGTCTACCAACTTTGTCAAATGATCGTACAAATAGGTCCGATTTCGAATCCGCATCCAATGCAGAGTAAAGACGGAAAAACCAAAAAATAACGACAGATCCACGACCATCACCGTGAAATGAGTGCAAACTACTTTTGTGGCCGACGTAGACGTTAAAGGTAAAGCTTCAAAGCGAAATAAAAGGCAAAACTGTCATCAAAAAAACACATGGCCGTGGATGAAATCGGTCGCGATCACAACATTTGTAGGTAATATGCCGCTATCCATTACTTCTTCACTTCGATATCGTACTAGTGTAACTGGGACTTCTACCACACTGACATCACTAGCTCAAACTTTATATCGATCCTTTTTGTCGGAGTTAGCACACGATTCTAGATCACACTTTCAGAAGCAGCCGAGTAATAATCCTCTAGTCAGATGGTAGTCATACAACAGCAGTAGCGTCGTGCTAGTGCGGCAGAAACATGACCACTACTGCTTGCTTACACCATAAATTGATCTGCGCAGTAAATCTTAGTAGACGTCTGCTACTAGCGCGCCCAAAGATAAGAAGGACACGAGCCAATGGAACAGGTACGAGAGGTTGGTATGCTGTGCTGCATACGGTGTATGACTCGCGCAAGGAAAACCAAAATCCCGGTTTAGCGAGTTTTTGTTTTTCGTCACCAGGACACAACTTACTGTTACTCGTCCAGCAGTGTCGTTCCGGATCGTGATTGTCTAGTACTTCGTATGGAAAAGAAAAAAAAATCGTCAAGCCGCTGCTTTCACGCTACGACAGTATGATTACGACGCGGTAAAAACGTGCCCCACGACTTTCACCTGCACTCCTTCTCACAGAGCCCGACGACCTAGACCTTCGCAAAGAAGGTTGCAGGTCGACAGGAAGGCTTTCTCCTCTTCTCACTTTCCTTCCTGTTCCAGTTCCCGCGCGCGCCGGACGCGCAGCGGGATTTCGAACTTGCTATCCATGGGCATGTAGTACATGCAGTAGATGGTGTTCAACAAGTTCGCTACGGCGGAGTAGTTGCTCTGCATGACCTTCTGGAAGCCCCAGCTGTTAAACCCCACGCAGGTCTGCTCGTTCTCGCACTTTGCTTGGAAGGGACAGGTGCCGACCATGTGCGGCGGAGAATACGGCGCCAGGTTGTTCACCGCGCGCGCGGGAGGGGCGGGGCTGATAATCATGTTTCGGCGGTGGTAATTATCCCCAAACTCACTTGCGTTTGCGTTTCAGATTTATCATTATTTCGCACGTAAGATGAATAAGCCTGCTGTCGCTATCAGGAGCTGGCGTCACTCGAAGATGGATCGTTTTGATGTGTACATCGCAGTCACGTCAGGTGTTTGAAATTGAAAGCCAGAACAGATATAATTTTTACTTACTTACTCTACGTCTGCTTGCACCGTTTTTCTTTTTACCGCGCATGAGAAATAAAAACTTGCCATAGCGCCGTACATCTTTTTAGCAAAGCAGAAAAGCTAGATTCGCTACGAAAATACGGGTCAAACGTCCTCGGTGGTCCCTGCCCTGGCAGGGCGGGTTCTTGTGGCGCGTCGATGACAGACTCCATCGTGTCCGGCACGGGGTGGATACTCGCGGGCAGGACCACTTTGCACTTGCAGCCGTCGGTGTCTGCATCCACTTCCACGCGACTGCACACGACCGCGGGCTTGCGGTAGATTGACGCCGCGAACTCCGTGCACTCTTCGTCCGACACGTAGGGCGCCGCGCGGGTCTGATTCTTCGCCGGCGGAATCAGGTCGGACTTCAACGAGAGCTCTTGGACACCTTCGTGCAGCTGTGCATCCTCCCGGTGAAGGAAGGATTTTTGCGGGGACGAAGTAGAAGGTTTGGTGTAGTAGACACGGTGGTCTACTTCAATCGAGTGTCTACTTGGATCTGCCGCAGCAAAGAAACCACTCGACGCAGCACGGCCCGGTAACGCACTGCAAGTGAGCGCACCGCCAATCGCAACGGCTCGCCTTCTGAAGGAGCCAGCTGCGGGAGCGGCTGCCGCAAGCCGCATGAGTGCAGATCGATTTGTTGAAAAGCTGATCTCACATCTTCGACTTGATCATCGGGCTGGCAACGCCTCTAGGATGATTATTGCACGATCGGCACGTTCTCCTCCAACCAGCTGCTCAAACCGTGCAGAATCACCAGCAGCACACGACTACATCAAATGCGCTCCCGTTCATGATCATTTCTATCCAGCTCGTCCCTCCGCCTCAATAAAACCGCTGCTCAACAACATAGAGAAATCCTCACTCGGCTGACACGCGACGACCGCCCCTGCCGTGCTTTCCTCAACAAAAATACTGCCCGTGGTCGCGTTTTCGTGAAGACCACAAAAGCGGGCGTCTTCACAACACGCGAAACGCAGAAGAACGAGTTTCATCAGGCACGAACACGTTCTCTCGTTGTATCCAAAACCAGGGGTTGATACCTACTCCCCTGAAGCTGATAGGTGTCTGAATGTCGGAAGTGCCTTTCCCTTTTGTATTTGTTGTCGTATGAAAAAGGTCACATAACCAGTAAGCAGAAAAAAATCATGAGCGACTCCGCGTCAGCAGTGCTAGCAGCTCAACCAAGAACCACCGGCAAGCGACCGACCGTTGGTTGATCTTTATCTTCACAACAGTTTCGATTTCAAATACAGCAGCACCACTGCGTCGCTTTGAAACTGGGGCGGCCCCTCGAGAAATTCGCAGTGAAACGCGAGGAAGCACTTCGTCAAAAAATGCTCCGTCACGTTCGAGCTCCGCAATTCGAACGCGACAAACCCGGCCTTGCACGCGCCGGAGTCGAGCAACGCCTGCAGCGCGCGCACAAAAATATCCACCACTTCTTCGTGGTAAATCACATCAGAAGCGATGACGAGGTCGAAGGGATCGTGCAATTCATGATGTCGTGGACCTACTACAAGATCAGAACCCAGCTCATCACGTTGACATGAAGATTCGCCGTGGTCTACTGCACCCCGATTCTTCGTCTTGCTGAGATCGGTATAATTATCAGCTAGGTCTTCGCCTCTGTACGTCCCCCCAGCAGAACCTGCATCCGCGTTTTGGAGCCTTCTCAGCAGCCGTTGACACGCGGGACGTTGGAACCACATCAAGGGCGCGGTGTGTAATTGTTCAACATCTCGTGCGTCAACACACGAGGACCGAAAATGATTTTCTGCTATTCTCGTCTTGCTCTCGTTTTGCTCTTCCAGTATCTCCATGACCTCTTCCGCTGCCCAGTCGAATTCCTTCGCCAGCAACTTTTGTTTGCACCAGGAATGCGCCTCGACGTTGCGCTGCAGAAGGCCCAAGTGCTCCGCTTGGTCCGTGATCACCATGAGACTCTTCGGCGGGAGGACCACCGCAGACGCGATGCCGCAAAGCCCCGTCCCGGCGCCGAGCTCGAGCATTTTCACGGGAAGTGGGGCTCCTGTTGGAACTTTTTTTGTGGAATTCCCATTTGGATTTGTCTTGCTGCTAGTCAAGGGGATTCGCAACAATTTTGCGATTTCGATGTTTCGCTGCTTGTCGCGGGGGTGCTGACGACGAGTAGATTGCTCTTCTTCCTCCATTTGTTCAGCAGCTGCGAGACTGGACGACGCATCTGTTGGATCTGTCGGTGGGTCTCCACCAGGCCGACCAGCCGTTTGTGATAGACATAGATCGACATTTCTTGTTTCGACATTTCTTTCCCTGCTAATGTGATCGTCGTCGAGATACAGGTTTTCAAAAAACTTGGCCATCACCACCGCCGCGTCCCAGACTCGCCCGCCCGTAATGCCCAGCTTTCCGTTCGCGCGCGGGTCCTGCTCGACTACCACTTTTATTTCCTGCTTCACCTTATTGCTACTCATCTTCCCCATTGCAGATGCCTTCCCCGCCAGCTGCGCTTTTGCGTTTGTTGACGCCATCTGATATAATTTGCTACTCGCGTTCCCGCCGCCGCGCCTGGCTGCTTTCTTGTTTGACGCCGATGTGGCTGTACTTCTGCCAGCCGCAGTAGAGGAACTACTACTAGTACTTGTGCCGCTCACCAAAGATGATCCACCGCGGCCTGGGCCCACTTGCATCGAAATCGAAAACTGGTTGGACTCGTGCTGCCCAACTGTGAAGGTGTGTCCCGGCGCGCGCCAGTCACCCTGCGTCGAGTAGAGACTGCAGGCGATGCACTGGGCGCGGGTTTCCGGATCCAAAGTGTTGTCGTCGCCATAGAGGGGAAGGGGCTGATCATCGGGGAGTTCATCCTCATCGTCGGCGCAACTGGGTGCTGACGTATGTTTGGCTAATGTTCCTCCACTAGCACTACCACTACAACATTCGTCTCTTTCAAGAAAGGTCCGCTGGTCTTCCGGTGGAGACCAGTCGTCTTTCGCCACAGTGCTAGGCGTGTCTCCCGTGGGAGCTGGATTTTTGAAGAGACTCGTCTGCTTCACCGGTGTAGTTACGTGGCTCCCAGGGTCGGCGCTTTCTCCAACTCGCAGCACCATTTTGAAGATTTTGCTTCAGCGGAGGTGTCTCCTTGGTCTGAAAAACGGAAGGTTCTTGCGGCTTAAAGGACCTTGCTACGCTGAACTTCTTTCACATCATCTTCCATAAAACCAATACACAAGCCCCAAACTGCACCTGTCGCTGTCAGATACATAGAGATAGATCAAGTTTGGCATACAACGACTCAGATCTTCTTTTTCAAATCAGGCCCGTCCGCACAGGAGCCGCCCTCGAAGCATTCCGAGCGGAGACAAAAACGATCGCTTTTCTTTCATTTTTTCACAAGACCAGCAAGAACGAAAAGCCTGATCAATGATCACACAAGCAGATCGTTCTGCAACTGCTTAGGCTCCGGTGCAGGATAGAATTTCATTTTCAATCTTCTCGCAATCACTAATTCTGGAGGTCGAGCTCGTGAACTACTTTATTCGATTCTGGCGTTTCGTGATCGTTATGTGTAGTAGCTGCCGCGGATTACAAGTACAGATTCCACATCAACTGGCTTGTGTCTGATCCTGTTCGAGGAGACCATATTGCCAAAAGAAACCGGACGTAGCTCCGCCAAGGTTCATCCAACAAACCCCCGGTCGTGCCCTACTCGTCGTGCCGACCACTCAATTCCCCGCACGATCTACCCATCCCCGTGACACCACCCGACGTAATCGACCTGCGTCCAGAAGTCCAGAAACACCCGCTCGAAAGCTTCCCGGCTCGGAAACACGCTGTACCCTACCCCGTGGATCGCAAACAGCACGCCGAGCTGGCTGGGATCCGTTTCGCCCCGCACGTCGAAGTCTGCTTGCTCCGGGAAGGGAATGCTGGGTGTCAGAAGCTGGAAGGGCAGCAGGGGAGCTTTATCTCCTATTACAGCTTCAGGATTTGATATTTTTGCCGCCTCAAGAAAATACTTCTCCTTCTCCCGTATTCTCACCTCCCGCGCGTAGCCCAGAGGCGATCGAGGTCGGTCGTCGCAGGAGTCGAGGAAAAATTCCTGACACGCCACCGGGAAAAATTTCCGAGCGATTGTCGTGCCCAGGTGCTGTAGGTAGAGAAGGCGCGGGATCAGGTAGATAAAAGCAGAATCTGGAGTTCTTGTTCCGGTTCCCGTGTCGCGCTCGCGGCCGGGATCATTATTCTCGCTAGTATCATCAGCCTGCTCTCCAGCACTTCCATTCATCTCCTCTGCTGATGGACCACCAGCAGTCCCTGAAGATGTTGTAACACCAGTTCTTGTACCTACGACCCGCTTCTGTGCCTCCACGAAGACGCTGGGCTGGATAAACTGGGTTGGATTCCAAACGAAGTTCTCTAACGCTTCGCGGAATTTTCCCGCCTGGATGAGCGAATTTACACTGCTAAAATTCTCCAAAACGGGCTCCTGTCCGAGTGCCGGCCGGGTGCAGTTTAGGGGACGCTGATGCAGTTTTTTGTTCTGTGCTCTACTTCCAAAACTCTTCTCGTCTTCCCCTCCAGATTCCATCAATTGCAGCGACACTGCGTTCCGCAGCGAGTCCGCAGTGTTCGCGTTTTCCGTGATTTTTGCGAACATCGCCTCGTTCAGCCGCAGCTGCGTTTCCATTCTGTTCCGCACCTCCTCCGTGCCCTTCAGCGTGACCATGTGCCCCAGCACCAGCAACGCCTTCAACGCGCACTGCGGGACCGCGTAAAAGCTGCTCCGGAACACGACGTAGGTCCCGACGTCCTGCGGGATTCTGCTGGAATGGTCGCAGTCCAGCATCAACGGCCCGTAATTCTTGATGTTCACGTCCTGGTGCCAGACGGCGGAGGTGCAGTAGGCAAACTGGTCCCCGAGCCGCATCAGATACGAGTTCTCCGGGCAGTAGTCCCGGGGCGTGAGTTCCGCGAGCTTCTGCTCCAGCGCAAACGGGATGCGCTCCCGCTCCAGCCGGTCGAAAATGCCCTGTCGGACCGACTCAATCGAGCTGGCGTGGGTCTCCAGGGTTTGCATGTACTCGCGGTTCTTCGCGTTTTCGATGACCGCGAAGTCGCGCAGCAGCTTCCGGACCTCGTAGACTTCCTTCTCCAAACTCATAATCTTCAACGAGAGCGCCTGGTCCATGCTTTGCGTCCAGCCCTGGCAGTACTCGTATTTCTCCCGGAATTTCAAGTTGCGCTCGTCTTCATCGGGGGGGATGGGGGATGCAACAGCGCCAGTGGTCGCTGTCTGGGGAGAAGCCAGCTCGTCGCTGGAACAGAGGACAGCCAGCAACAGCAGCGCCGACGCGGAACTTGTCCAAGATAGTGGCACGGCCATCTTGCACTTGAATATCAAAATTCGGGCTCGTAGAAATTCTACAAGAAAATCATTTTCTTCGATAGGTTGTAGAAACTTTTCTGACCTAGTACGATCATGTACTTCTGATTCAGAAAAGTTCTCTGCTAGGAAGATACTTCAAGCGAAGCACGACCTCTACGAGAATGCGCGAAAGGGGGCATAAGAACCGGGATCGGGCTACTTCTCGCTTAGTGGACGAGAGCAACAGTAGCGCAACCGATCAATTTGTATTCGGCGACATGTCGTAACCACGAAGGGCACGACTACTATACACAGAGATAATCTACTTGGATCCCGATTTCAGACTCGTGGCCTCAGGTGAATCTTCTACTTTTACCCAGCCTAGCATTTAGGTGAGCGAAACCTTCTGATCGACGACATACGCGCAGCAGCACCCAACACATCGAGGCGGAGGACCGCATATCAACCAAAATGACACACATTCATATTCAAGAAGCGTCTTCGCCCACCGCGAAAAGGAACTTCATCGTGTGCAAAGTCCCACATAATGGTAGGCAAGTAGTAACGCTGTAGTCATCTCCTCCGGAGCACTTTACTCAGGGTTCATTTCGCATTGTTTCACAACATCAATAATGTACAGCGTTATGAGACCACTGGGTCCTTTGTTTCAATGGAAGTAGAGTCTTGATGGAAATTCTCACGTACGAGTGACGTCAAAACATAATCTGTAGATACAAAGTAAGTTCGCGGCGCGGCAACAGCGAGAAAGCGGAGCTGAATCTGTCTGCATCGCATCAATGCGGATGATGTAGTTTTGACTCTATTTCAGAAAATCAAACCAACGCATTGGATTTTATTCATCTCAACGCATATACTGTTACTTTCCCTTCTCGTCAGGGAAGCGAGATGAATTAGGTCACTGTATCCCCCTCTCCTCCTCCGGAATGTTTTTTCTCCGCGTCACTCAGCAGCAGGAGAAATTTGTCCACGAAAATTTCCTGCGGTGTTCCGGCGGCAAACTCAACTTTCAGGTCGGACTGAAAGGAGCCGAGACTCGGGAGCTTGCCCTGCAACGCGTCGGCCATCAGCGGCTCCCAGTACCGCTGTTGTGATGTGGAAGTGCCACTCGACGAGTTTTTAGCATCTGCAACTTTGCCGTCAGCCGTCGTTTCTGGCTTGTTGCTGCTCTCCTGTTTTTGTTTTTGCAGTGAGTAGCTTACTGATGAGCTCAGATAATTCAGACCCAGGACATTAAGAGGGCGACAGGCTGGATAGCGAATACATGTCTACAACTTGCTCTTGCCTATGTGTATGCCTAACTCAATTACATATTTCATTATAGGGTCTTCAAGACCAGATGGCAAGAACCCGTAACCAAATCACTCCGCTTCTCAACCGACCATTCTTCAACAAACAGAAATTTTGTACGAATATGGGTATGATTCTCCTCCTCTGAAACAGCCAGTTCAGGGTTGGTTGCTCCGACAACAGTCTGTGGAAGTACTCCACCGAGGGCACGGCACTCAGCAAGAAGACTACTTCACAAACGTTCAGCGCCGCGTCGAGGAATTTCGTGTACAAGCCTTTGCTATCCAACAGCGGCGTTCGCTGCCCCTGGATTTTGTGGCAGACGAAGATCAGGTGTGGTCGGTTGGTCCGGTGGAAAAACCGGTACACTTCGCTGTCATTCGTAACCTCGCTGCGCTTCAACGTGCGCTCGCCAATTTGCTTCACCGCCTTGCCGACCGGGATAATTTGTTTTTGTGCTTGTTGTATTGTCGTGTTTGTACTGGTCTTTATTCCACCCTTGTTACCCCCGCTCTCCGAAGCGGATGTTGAACTGTCGGTGTCCTCGTTAGGGGAATTTTTGCTGTTCGCCCCGGCAGCTTGAGGTATTGTTAGTGGGAGTGGCAAGAGAAGTCCCATCATTTCCGTTACCGTAGACGCGTACAGGGACAGCAGCTCCAGGTGAAGAGCGGACACCCTGTGGTCGTGGAGAGGAAACAAATTTAGTAAAGGTAAGTAGGGGGTCAGAACATCTTCGATGCTGGGTGTTCGTGTTTCCATTCCTCGAGTAGAACCTTCAGCATGATATCATATACTCAAAGAATGTACCTATCACACGATCACAAATTAATGAAACAAACCAAATCATCAGTACTCTGGCAGCTGAATGTCCTTGCGGCGACCGCCGGAGAAGGCTGAAAAGAGGATGCCCATTTTTCTCAGATAACAAGTGCGGCGGGCCCTTCGCGTCTAAGTGGCCGGCTTTTCTTCCTGCACGCAGAACCAAATTTGCTCTTCCTCACTGCAGGACAAAACCAGCTTTAATCGATGGCCCAAAGCTGCGAGGGAAAAAACCCGTCTCGAGGCAAGATCGAAATCCTGATCTTTCCTGCAACAGCAAAGCTGGCAGATAGGCAAAGCTGTGCAAGAGAAGACGCCTCAGCGCTTTTTCCGCTTGGCTCTCGGGGGAGAGACAGAGAGCCGCCGCGTTTTCATCTTTTTCTTTATCTTTTCTGACGAGATTATATATACTCTTTTCCTGAAGGTGTGCTTCAAATTCAATGATCCTATTCTAGTAGCTATGCGTAAAGGGTTTCTTGTGGTTGATAGCGAAGCAGCTCGGTATCTAGTACCCAAGAAAGAAAGTCGTCAACCTTCACGTCCGTTTTTGTGTGAAAGGATGAAAGTAAACACAAAAAACCGACATTCCGAGGGAAAAATCTCAACAGGGATCTAGAACTGGGCCTGCAAAGCGCCCGGGAGGCAGAACCTACAGAAACTTGAAGCGGCAACGGAAGGAAAAGGTAGCGTTACCTCCTAGTGATCGGGTTTTTTGTGGATTGCTGACCACTTCTTCGTAAAAACGGACGCTCGTCTCACAACGCATGCGTGATTCCGACATTTGGCAGCCACGACATTGAGATTTATTGCAAACAGTTTGGTATCAAGGGGATCCACGAACAACCCAAGAACTCGGTTCAAGGTCAAGATCGAGTTCGGGTATAAACGAACCCACTGTTTGTGCAGTCTGTTCAGTGTTTCGTGACTGAATAAACGGGCAAGACAAGAGCTATTTCTTGAGCAAGCTGTCTCTTTTGAGATAAATGACGTCTTCATCTCGCTGGTCTAGCTGGCGGTAATCTGGTGCCCAACATGTTTCTGTAACATATGACGTTCGGGCATAACAGATTCCGTAAGCAGTCCAATTCAATGCCGGAATATGAGTCGCTATTTTTTTAGATACAGGTCGTGGGACGAGACGTCGTGGCTCCTCGAAGCGGAGTTTGTTGATTTCGATTTCGAAAACAGCACACAACTGCAGCATTCTTTCATTACCATCTTAATCTTCTACCACGAGCTTCCCGACCCGCCGCCGCCGAACGAGCTCCCCCCGCCGAAGGAGCTCGAGGACGACATCCAGGACCCAGAACTTCCTCCCCCCGTCCCGAAATTGCTACTGTTTCCCCCACCGCTGTTGAACCCCGGCTGCGACCGGACGAAATCCACATCTGCCAACGGGCTTCCCGAAAAGCTTGGCGCAGTCCAGCGGTCGACTAACGAGGTGGTGACGTAGTCTGGGTACATCAATCGCAACCGGTTCATCCGGAACAGGTAGTCGCGGTGCAGCGATACTTGCCTACTTTGCGGGACCGCGCCGGCGAGAATGTCCGCGGGCGTGGAGCTAGAAGAGGAACTCGTGGTCCCAGTTGTATCGCGCACCGCAATCTGCTGCCCCGTGGTCGCATCTAAGGTCTGCTCTTGCGGGGCGCGGCACACCGGGCAGAGGGAAGAGCTCCGCTCCCACCCGTCTAAACACGCCGCGTGGAACGCGTGACCGCAGGTGAGAATTTTGATCTCGTCCGCTGCGTCATCCGAGGCATCTTCTGGGTCCTCGTCTGCATCGTGCTGGTGCCCTTGTCGTTGTCCACCACTGCTTGTACTAGTTCCTACACTTTGATGGCTTCCTTCCTCCTCCTCCTCATTCGCCGCGTCTTCGGGCTCTACGAGATAGGCGTCGTTATGGATGTGTCAGAATCGAAATTGACAAAGTCGAAAAATTTGTGATGCATAAAATCGATACCAGTTGGGGCCTCAGTTTCCAAGCGGCGCATGACAAATTTCGGGAGCATCCAAATCCAGTCTGTAATGCTGTTTGGGCAAAGAAGACTGCTCCTGCCATGCTACTCTGGCAGCACATTGCATACCCCTAAACAGGCTCACAATCGGTCTCATTTGCCTGCTCCCCAACACAGGGCTTGAGTGCCCTGCATTTTATGCATCACAAGTTTTTCGATTTTGTCGATTTCGATCCTGACACATCCATAGTCGTCGTCGCTGTCGTAGTCCGCGACATTCACTTCGTCGCCGTCCTATGGGGCTCTCAAATGTTACGCGCTCAGCTGTTACATGATTTGTCATGCAAAATGACCACGAGCCACCAGACGACCCAGCTGCTTCGCATTGACAAATTCTCGGAGGGCTAAATAGCATTAGAACTCGCACCATATCTGTAATGCAAGACGCGCAAGGTTCCCCCTCTCACCAATGCTATTCTTGCATATACAAACTCATGCAACAGTTGAGAATGTAAAAACGTTTGAGAACGCCATACGTCCGCCGTGATTTTTTTCCTCCTTCTCTTCTCCGGGGTCTGCCGCTTGCGGACCACAGTTGCGGTGCTGGTGGTGCCTTCAACATCAACCGGGTCGTCGAGCTCCTGTATTATTGGTTCCTGCTCCTCCTCGTGGGTCGAAGCTGGAGGTCGTCCCTTTTTTCTGGTCCTCCTTCCGGTTTTGAACTCTTCCAGGCAAATCGGGCAGGAACCCTTCAGCGTGTCGAACCTGAGAGGGTTGATGATGATGATGATGATGACATGAAGAAACATCTTCAATAGCTTACTAGTGCTGATCGCACGACCAGGATACGATCGATGAACGTTTTCTGGTTGGCAAAAAAAATTCATTGTAGTACACAGAAGTATGAAAAGATGAAGGACAAAAACCGACTAAACCAAGTACTTACTTCTTCGCATTTGCCTCTGCTCTTTGTTGCTGCAATTTCGACAGTTTCTTTTTGCACAAGTCGTAACTCGACTTCAGCCGGCTCTGCTGGAAGTGCCGGTAGATCAGCAGTGCAACCCAGAAGAAAATCCCGATGAGAAACACCCAATTGTCATCTTCGTCCTCCGATCCGGTTTCGTCCACCCCGGTAGAACTACTACCACGACTACTCCCATCGACGGACTGATCCAAGACGTAACGCCAAATCCGGCCGCAAGCGGCCTCCAAAGCCTTGGGGTATTCCTCTTCTTTTAATAAAGGCTTCATCAACTCCACCACCTTCGCCGCCTTCCTGTCGGGCAACACGGTTTTTTTCGCCCCCCTGCCCGTGCAGATGTGCACTTGCCGGGACTTCGTCGCGAGAAAGATGAGGACGCCGTTCTGGCAGTGCTTGTCCCCGACCTGCCAGGAGTCCATGGTTTGCCGGCAGGCGGTCGACGCATCCTCTTCGTATTCTCTCACCGCGATGGCCAGCTCCACGCCGCGACCTCAAGTTTGTTTTCGGAGTAGGGCAAAAATGCAAAGGCTCTTCGTATTTGTGAAAAGATAAAAGGACGGCCAGAAAACCGTTTGTACAACATGTTCGAGACAAAGCTATGACAAAATAAACTGAGGAAAAGGATTGATACAAGCATCTCCCTCCTTGCGCGCATCTGCCCCGTCCGGTGGTGCCTTACCCGCCCCAGATGACGAGGCACCAGCTGCGTCGGCCGCATGATCTACTCCGGCAGCGGGGGCTTGAGAATCTTCTCCCTTATTCGTGTCCCCTCCCTTTTCGTCCCTCCCACCATCTGCGCCAGGCTTCCCACTCGCCACGGTGATTGCGTGCTGCACCCTCTCCAACTCAATCGGGTGAAACAGCCCATCGAGGTCGCACACCCGATAGCCTTGTTTGATCGCCCCACATTTCTCCGGCTCTTGGAGGGGGTTGGGCAGAATTCGAGAAGTGGCGGATTTGGAAGCAGGCCTTCGTTTGGAAGAGGAAGAGGAGGTCGTTGCGGAGATTAAAGTCGAGGTTGGACTTGCACTCAGCCACACAGTTGCCGTCAGTGCGACAGAGCTGCAGAGATGATGAAAAACCATCGGAGAAGTGTTGACCATAACCTTCTTTTTCCGAGGCGACTGCATTTTGACTTTGTTTGGAAGAGTAGATGTAGATGTTGAGGGAAGAAGGCGGGAAATAACCTTAGAAAAATGTATTGAGGAGGATAATTTTGTTGATTGGTACTACGAGTGTCTGCAACTTCGAAATCTGGTCTAGTAGTACTACGGTGTGACGGGGCGGGCGGCCACGTTCTTTCGACGAAGTAGAAAGTAGTAGAATACGAATACCTTCGTAGATATTTCACATTGGGGTAAGTATCCTTTCTGTCGGAATCGAATCTTGAGAAATACGCCTCCTGCAAGCCACTGAAAACGTGTCAGTTTGACTTCACCGAGTATGGAGTTTTTTTCAATACTTCTTTTCTTTCGGTGTACTTACTCCTCAGAAAAATGATTTGCATCATCGCACCAGCAATCGATTTGATCTGGACCGACATAGTGGCTGCGAAAAAATGGCAAACCAACCACAGTTCGGGTGTTTTACAGCCCCTGTGACCATCAAGCTGAACACGACTGCTACAAGGGAACATCGTACCCTGATCAATGGAATCACTGCTCTTGCTGATGGAATCCATAAGGGTGCTCATATTTTGCACTTTTTACACACGGGGCCTACCACGTCGATGCAGCTCCTCCGGGTGTTATTGCTCCGCCCCCTGCAGTTTGTACACCGTTTGCTATGGTTATTACAACTCGTGCGAGAAACAGCTGTGTGTTTGGTACATCAGGGTTTTGTACAACAAACTCGTCTCATCTCCGGTCACATCAGTATCGCAATTCTACGTATTCTCAAACAAGAACTCGCATCTTCAAGGAATCAGAAACAAGAACTCTGTAATATTGTTCCGCAGTGTTGAAAAGAACAGACGCCTTTTGCCGAAGACGGCCGGGACAACTTTAAAGTCCCTTTTTACATGATCACATCACCATCGGCGTCCTGGTTGCTTGGATCGCTTTCGCTGATAAACCCAGCACCATCCAGTTGCTCATTATCGTCGGCCAGAATGTCGTCCTCTACGTCCTCAAAATCCTCCTCAGCGAACCCATCGAGCTCCTCGGGCAGCAGATCTCCCTCGTCCGCGATGAAGTTGGCCCCGACGTTCGGAAACAAGAGGTTCATTTGTGCCTCAGCCTCCGCAAAGTCTTGCTCTTGTTGTTATCAACTGTAAAAATGTCTGGGTCTGGAAGATTCTGACACTTGTCATGCATGTTTTGCATGAGCCCTGATGTCTGTGATGCATGCCCTAGCATCACAGATTTTTTGAGAGCTTTTTGATGCCTATTCCGCATGACAAATGCCCGCTCCGCGTAGCAAAAATTGCATTCCTTCTGGTACTCACGCAATACAGATTTTTCCTGGAATCCAAATGCAGCATCACAAGTTGCATTCTTCCAGACCCAGACATTTTTACATTTGATAGTTGTTGCTGTGCAGGACGTTTCGGGTTCCCGTACTGGTCGTATTCTTCGGGCACGTGTTCTGGGTCGTTCTCCGGTTTATCAAATGCAAAAGTGTCTGGGTCTGGAAGATTGCAACTTGTCATGCTAAATTTTTTGCCTGCGGGAGCGGATCATTACCCTTTTTAGACGGGCTAACCAGAAGAAAGTATCATCATCATCTTAAAAAACAAGAAATAACGAATCAAAATCGAACTTGCAAAAGGGTAGGAACTTGTCATGCTAAATCTGCAGCATGCAAAAATCTGTGTTGCATGATTACCAAAAGTCGCCAAATTTTGACTAAGTCGGGAGGTAGTTTCTCATGCAGGATATTAGGCATTAGAAAGGTCTCGCAGAATCTGTCATGCTAGGTCCGGCATTCCAGACCTCATGGGTCATGGAAAAGCAGCATGACAAATCGCGCTTTCTTCCAGACATCCAGGGATTTTTGCAATTCATACGGTTCATCCTCGATCAGTTTTCCGTTCTCGTCATACCTCGGATGAAGGGCGTAGTGCTTCACCGTGTACACACGATACCTGTTGTGTTTGTGTAAGCGCTTTTTCCATCACAAATAATTCTGGAAATTTCATTTCTGTAACACTAGGAGCGTCAAAAATGCGCGAGACAATCAAAACAAGATTAAGTGCATTTAAATGTATAAACATTTTTTGCACGCTGCAGAAACCACGACTGCAGTCTTCACTTTACCTTCTCTCCCATTCTTTCCTGATCTCGATTGCCAGTAACCTCGCTTTCTCCACGGCCGCTTCTATTGCCTCGTCGTCTTCCTGCGTGGTTCCGTCGGGAAACGCGATTCGCACGTGGCACTGCTTCATCACGCGCGACTTCCGCAACGCGGGATCCCACACGCGTAGTTGTACCTGCCAGGACTGGCTGGTTTTCATCCACGTTACCCCCTGCCTCCCGGATTGTCGTGCGGCGACGCGGTTTCTCGGCGCGCGGTACTGGTGTAACTTGTCCAGGGCCCGGAGCCGCTCGAAATTCAGCCGGGGGTATGGACGGGAAGTAGAAATTTTCTTTTACGTGTTGTTTCACTTTTTTGGATTTGTCAATGGTCGTGTCAACGAGTTTCATCTCTTGTCTTCAACATGCCTCTGTATCTTCTAGTACGAAATATAGCCGCCGGGGCGGGGGTAGTGAGGTCGTGGGCGTTTTTTTGCCGACCGCCGCCTTGGCCGCGGCTTTGCTTTTTTTGGGCTCGCCATACCACCGTGAGGAACGTTATGCCGCACGGTATGGCGGTCACTTGAGAAACGTCACAAATTTTGGCGAATTCCCGAAATTCCTTTCCGAAAGCCAGCCCCCATGCTATGGGGCCGATCCGGGTGCTACGGGGGGCGCCCAAAAAGCGAAGAAAAATCGGGCCCATAGCATGCGGATTGGCTTTGCGCGTCTGGGGCGCTTTTTCTTTTTCGCGTTTTTATTTTTCACTCCGGCGCTTTTTGCAAAGCTTCCCAGGCTCTGAAAGCGGCGAAAAGGCGGCCGCTTTCGCGGCCGCCTAAAGTGCTCCGAAATCGCGGCCGTGCCATGCTGTTTCGCTGTTCTGATTTTGAGCGCGTTCTTTGCGCGCCCCTTTTTGGGCGCCCCAAATCGCCAGAAATCAAGGCGGTGGGCGCCTCAGAAGGGCGCCCCTTTTGCCGGCTCCCCTGCGTCGTTTTATCAAGTGCGAATCGATAGTTTTCCACCGGGCTTGTTTGACTTCAAAGCCCCGGCCGCTTGATAAGTGCAAATTTTTTATGTGCAAAAACGCTTCCGGCCGCTTGAAAACTGCCGGTCGTTTTTCAGGGTAGCTGTCAAAAAAACTCCCTGGTTAGAACCGTTCGGTGACCTCACTACATACTAACCGATGGTCATGCCTCTCGAAGTGTGCTGACTTACAGGCATTTTCTTGAAGAAGAGCTACAGGAACTGTCTCTCTCGTGCATGCAACTATGTAAGTATCTGCATCGGTCGAGATCGCAGTGAAACATCCAATCGTGGGGTTGTTTTTCATGATTTCATAAATCCCTTTCTCGTGTCATTTCGTCGTATTCTTTTACCTGGTATTTGCAATTTTTTTTCATTTTTTCACCACTTGTAGTTCCGGTGGTCCACAAACTGGACGCCCTACACCTCCGCTACCACTATGCAACTGCGTATACAATTATTCGAAAACGATAAATATCATCGCGACCGCGTGGGTAAAATAAACCATCGTATCCAACATTTTACCTTCGCCTTCCGGAATTCAATGGCAAACTGCCTCGCCCGTCTCTTCGCGTGATCGTAATTCTGGTCGTTCTTCGTGTAAAACTGGCCCACGTAGAAGTGGCGCGCCAGTCGCAGTGGCTTCCCTTCCTCGTCCCTCGTCGCCCAGCAGACGCACCAACTGTCAAGGTCACGAGCCTGCTTGTTTGCGCGAACCTGCTTCATGCCATTACCGTTCTTGAATGAGACGCCGGGGTACCTCATACACATTCGAATTTGCGTACTTGCAACCTGAATCTACTATGCAAAACTGAGCATGAAAAAAGGTTTCTCTCATGCTGAAGGCCTAATGTGGATTATGCAGCACACAAACCATCAAAATTTGACGTTGAATCCTGTACCACGATGGGTTCTCGGACACTGCTACCCGCCCTTTCCCGTTATCCACGTAGTACCGCAAGTCGACCAAGTTTTCCCGAGGAACTTATGCAATGCAAGCCGCAAAACAAAAACTGTGGCTGTCAGCCTGTGTTCGCGATACAACGGAGCGTTGTGTTTGGAAGATGGGCACCACTGAAGATGATGTGATCCTGCAATCCTGGATCTTCTGCCAGACCCTGAACAAATGCAGAGAGAATTGTTTGACCAGCACCACGCTAAAAATCTTTACAGCATTACATCCCAGCCACAGCACGTGGGTTTTGCAGATCCACATTCCATAACCTTCCCGGCCTCCACACGCAAACGCGATCCGGTGCTTTACGCGGAACGACTATTGGCGGATTCGCCTCCTGCTTCTGCGCCATGATCCTGTGAGGATTTGTTATGTTTCGATACAGGGATTTCCAGTCATGTCTGTCATGCACTAGAGGCACGAGCAGAGCAACAAAATTCAAATCTTCCCAAAAACAAAAAATACGCCCTGGCCTCCGCCAGCAGCCTTTGCCCATCTTCCGTTTCGCCTCCTACCATCACTGCGCCGCTGAGCTGCAGGTTGGCCCGCGCCTCCCGAATGGAGTCGAGCCATATGTGGGGGGCGGGCATTTTGAAGAAAAGAAGACTTCTTTTTCAGGCACAAGAAACAACAAGATCGGGCACTTACTCCTTACTCTTCTTGTGCTTCAAGAAAAAAACCCGTGCTGGCTTCTATCTAGGCTTCAGATCTTCTTGGGAACAAGACGCCTCTCTACTTGAATTAAGCTTCATAACGCTTTTTGTGGAAGCAAAAGAAATTTTATGTCATGATAACGCGAAGAGCACGAATAAATAGAGTGCACTTACTACTTACGCGGAGCGACGAATCAGAAAGGCTTCAACACATGGCGACGACCAGACGACAGTTACGACGACATCGAATTGTTCTTCCAACTTCTTCTATTTCTACAACTATCTAAGTACAACTATCTAAGTACAACTTCCCAACGATGGTATTAGCACGAGAAAAACGAACTCCTGCTCTTTCATCTTCGACTGTCTGTAAGTTTCACGCATGCTGTTTCATTGCGAGGGAATCTCTGTAACGCCTGGTGATTTTCATATTCGTTTTCGTTTTCATGTGGACAAATAAATTTTCGGAAAAAAACAACAACCTTGAGGCCCACTGTGCCCGTCTCGTGTCCACTACACACTTGCTTGTGCTTCCTATTAACAAAACCGCCCAATTGCTTGTAATTAAGTAAGAGTCTCAGTGCGCCTGAAGGTACTTAAAAAGCCCCTGAAGAAGACGGCGTTGTTTGAAGGGCAGACCTCCCAGCACGAAACGCCGTGCCAAAAGATAAAGAGCTACCCCTCCTCGTCCTCTCTGCATGACCTATGGAATTTGATTCCAAATTTTCCGCTGCGGCAGTACATCCTTCGGAAAGCACGAATCCCGCAAAAGCCAAAATGCACAGCACCATCACGGCTCGTCTCGTCAGCATCCACTGCAGGACGAAGCCTGCACAAACAGCGAGGAACCGGGAAAGGAGAAGCACGGACGTGCCAATCGTCAGAAGCTGCCAGCTGTGAATGTCGTGAAATTTATTTGACAATACCTGGGATTGGTGTAGACAGTGAAAATGAAACTGCGCAAATAAATACCACTGCAAGAGCCGAGCGCGTGCACGAGGAGTGATAGAAAATCATCTTACAGCACACTCAGACCTCCATTATCACAGCAACAAAAAGTGTCGACTCCTACCTGCGCACCTCCCCGACAAGAAATTCTTCCTCAATTCGCTCCGACAGTAATTGCTGTCCCCGATCTTCCAAATGGAGCAAGAAGAGCAGAGTTGTTAGTGCGAACACGTAGGACCCCTGTTCGAAGCATTCCATGAAACTCCCCGTGCTTTGGTACTGCTGCTGCACCAGTTGTTGGTATTTTTGATGCGTGGGCAGGGCGTTTTTGGCAAACGCGGTCGTGTAGAAATTGGTTGTTCCACGGTAGTTGTAAGAACTACTACCCCAGCCCCTCGTTCCGCAACCGGTGAAGCTCGCTTTGCGCTGTTGAACAAGCATGTGGGCGGGAGGCTCAGTAGCGGGGGAAGAAGACCTCGTAGAGGGTGTCGACGTCGTGTACTCGTGTGATCGTCCGCTCGAGGCCGCTGAGGACTGCGATGCTAATCTCGCTTGCTCGTCTCCACGACCTGCTGAAAGCAGACCGTCGGCCTCTCCGGTTTCGATGTCGCGGGAGCTACCTGATCCGGTTCATGGGAAAGTCATGTCCATCAAGCATGCAATAGACAACAAAAGCAAATTGAAAAAAGTAACTGCGCTTCATGTACATGTTGGTGTGTGCTGAATCATTATTTGCTGTCAATGTGATCACCCCTGAATTTCTTGTTTCGAATTCCACAACTACTAGGTCCTAGCTTTTCTATGCAAAGAGAAGAAAAAACCCTCGCCAATATACCCACAGACGCCCGACTATTGCTATTTCTGGGTGTCGCACCGGCGTCGCTGTAGTAATCTTCATCCTGTTGCGCCGCGTTTCGGTACATCTCCCCGTATGGATTGCAAATATGTCTGGATCTGGAAGAATGCATGTTTGTCATGCTTGTCTGGCATGACCCTTAAATCTGTCATGCACATTACCCAAGAGCCCCATCTTTCTGTGATGCAGAAACGCAGTTTGTCATGCAGAATAAGCAACACCTAGAAGCTCAGAAACTTGTCATGCTGATCCAGCATTTGTGGCCTCATCATGAGACGCCACCCAGCATCACAAGTTTCCAGACCCAGACATTTTTACATTTGATACCCCGGCGTTGTGCGCAATCTGCCCGGACGCGTCCAAGTACACGACGTCCACCGCGTCCTATCAAATGCAAATATGTCTGGGTCTGGTAGAGTAAGTACGCGATTTGTAACGCAGGCTTTCGATGACCCATGAGGTCTGGAATGCAGGACCTAGCATGACAGATTCTGTGAGATCTCTATCATGCCTATTCTGCATGAGAAACTCTCTCACCTTGGTCAAAAAAGGACGGCTTTTGATACTGATGCAAAACAGATTCTTGCATGATTCAGACGTAGCATGACAAGTTGCTATGTTGCAGACCCAGACATATTTGCACTTGATATGTCCTCGTCTTCTTCAAATTCGTCCTCTTCCACAAACCCCGCGGCGGACTCGTTGCCGTAGTTCCCTGTTGTACTACCACCCCCGCACAGCCCCCAACCATTGTCGGCCTTCGCTAAATCCACAAAGAAAATTTTCAGCGTCAGGAAGAAAAAGCAGGCAATCGTGGCAATCTGCGCGTGGGTGGACACGGTGCGAAAGTCAAAATTGGCATTGTCGTAGGGACCTGATGTGAAGATTGCGCTGCCTTTGCTGGTGGTACTCGTGACTTCAGACGAGTGTGCGGAATGAGCTGCTGGTTCCCTTCCGGAAGCCCCCGCTGCGCCTCCTGGTAGTTGTGCTCCTTCATTCTTAAAACTGGCCAAACTCAGCACTACCGCAACCTGCAACAAGAACGCGAACACCAGCGCTGTGACCAAGTGGCAGCTCAACGTTTTGCCAAACAGCGCGGAGAGCAAAACCAGGAGGAAGAACGACCGGTCCCCTAGCTCCCGAAAGCCGACGAGCAGGCCGAAGTTTTGCGCCTCCACATTGGTCGGGGAGAAGAGCTCCGTAGTCCCGGCGGTCTGCTGCAGAAACGTCTGAAACTGCGTTAAAATGTACCGCTCGGTTGATGTAGTTTGCAACATTTTTTCGGCCTCGTGTTCTTTCGCGGAAAGGGTCGGAGGGATCGGGTCTACTGCGTCGTTAAGTATGCTCTTCCCGGGGGCACGCCGAAGGTTATTTTCTATGCCGCGACGACCTTGCGCGGCCCAGCCAGTCTTCACCGCGGTCGACCTTCGGCCATGGCCTTTCGATGTAACCCCGTGGTCGCGCGACCGCTCCGATGAACTATCTCAAAGTGATGAGAGTACAGAAGTCTTCCGAGGTGTGCGACTTTGTAGGCACTCACTCGTCGTCTCAAAAAATTTACCCCATCCTTTTGTGCGCCCGCGGATGGCATAAAGCACTCTAACATGAAACAGCTCCCTCGGCGAACGCCAACGCAAAGAACGTACTCTCACACTGCACCAAGCAAAGGACACCCACCCAATAGAACATCTTCAGCCTTTCCACCAAATAGAACGAGTGGCCGTACGTGCCCATAAGCAGGATTCGTCCGGACGATGTTCGTTAATCGTAGCTCCGACTCAGAAGCAAAACTGCTTCTTTTTGCAATAACGTGCAATGGAATCAAGATTTTCAGCGTAGCAATATGCGTTCCATCGTTTACGTGCACGGGAGGTTGTGCTTGTAGTTGCGAGAAAAAAGAAAAATGAATGAGAATGACACAGAGACAGATCAGGAGCTTTCTTATTTTCGATAAATGAAGTTCACCTTGAAAGCGCTTCTATGTAACACACGAACTAATTCGGCGGCCTGGCGAGGCACGACCAGACTGTTCTTATTTTCACACTAGGACAAGAAGATTATCATATCTAGAAAGGCAAGATCCTTTTCTTTTCGTCCTCATATCAAACTCAAAACGCACACGTCAAAACGAAAACGATTCAAAACAGAGTACTTAGCTCCAAAATGAAAATTCAAAATTGTCAACATCTTTCCTTCATTCCAACTTCGCCATCTCCTCCCGCGCCCGCTTCCGGTCGCAGAGAAAGGACAAAATTTTTTCTTGCGATTTCAGAATGTGCTCCCGCTTCTCCGCCAGTCCTAATTTCACCGCCAGTCGGAACGCCGGCAATCCGCTTTGCAAGACGTCTTCGATCGACTGCAGGTACAGATCCTTTGCTCTCCTCCGCGCAATCTCCAAAAACAGCCGGTTTTGCGGCACGGCGAGCGTTAACAGCATCCCGCCCCACTTGTCTTTCGTGTTTACGTTGACAAAGTCCGCCCTCCGGATTACGCTGGTCGCCGCCTGCTCGTGTTTCCAGACGAGGAGCCAGGCTAAAGGGGTTCTTCCCGTGTCATCCACGTAGTTCAGCATGTCGTAGTGGAGCTTGTACTTCGTGCTACTGTGTTGTTGTAGGGACGGATTTGCAGTTGTATTGCTGGATCGCGTGCTGTGCTCAAAGAGCAGTTGCGTCCGTTGCTGCAGGGTTTGCTCGAAGCTGTCGTGGTTGGTGTTTAATGTTCCCGCAAAATGAGTACTATGGTGGTCTCTGTGCGAGCTACTTGTGTCGAACTTGTTGCTATCGACATGACTTGTTCTCGCTGGCGTGGACAGCGTGCGGTTTTCGAATGCGGCGGAGATTTCGTCTTCCACTAAAGCCATTCGTGTGGACAAGGACGGAGAAGCTCCTGGTGATAATGTAGGAGAGAGGATATTGTTAGAAGTCCAGCTAGTTGTACTTGCACCTGCTCCTGTGACCGCTGCCACGGAAGATGCTGCTGCTGCCGCCCCACCCCCGAGGACAGGAGAGACTGTGCTTCTGGGACTGAGATTGCCCAGCGAGCTCTGCTGTTCACTGCTGGTCAGCGGACAGGCGGTGGTCGGGTCGGATCCCGAAGGACTGGTGTCATCTTCCCCGGACGTGCTATTGATGTAATTCAGGTACTCGGACAGCGTCATGGGACCGTGGTAAATCTCGGTAGTTGCTGTTGTATTCGGGGGCTGACTTGTTGTAGTTTCTTGTTCTCCAAGGTAATTCATTTCTTGCGCGGCCTCTACTTCCCTTCGGTCTGCTGACATGATCTCGGCGTGTAAGTGTATTGCGGAACTACTGGTCGGGTGACAAATATTTTCAACTTTTTCTTCGTGCTGGAAGACAGTGACGCTGTAAGAGTCCGCTGTTGGATGATTTTCTCCGTTATTTTCAAGTTCAAATTCTGTCCGGCTGAAAATTTTCGGGCTCTTCTGTGCCTCCATTGCTGCCGTCAGTTTTTTCGAAAATGAATTGTGCTCCACCTGTGCATCCTCTTTCACTTTCTTGTGATGAAGATGATGTTGATTGTGTTGTCTTATGCCCAATTCTAGCACTTTCTGGACTTGAATGTCCGCGTCTAACTGCTTGTCTTCATCGTCCGAAGGGGAAAACGAACTGTGCTCCTCTCGAAGCAACTCCACAACGTGCGTTGACTTGGAAACCGGTTTTTTCGTCGACGATGGTGCCGAAAGATGAAATACACTCGATTTATTTCCGGTATGAAGATGTCCTCCTGCCGGTGTTGTTGTAGCACTCCCGCCCTGATTGTTCAGTTGTACGACCCCACCTGATGCCGTCTTTTTCCCAAACCCGCCTTGATGGCGGAAGAGCATGTGATGGTGATCCCGCGAAACGGGGTGAAAGTCGTAGGACTTTGTTTCCAGGTCCTCTGGCTCCGACTGGTAATAAAGCAGCTCGGGGTCGCAGAAAAGCCTGGATGCGGAGCTCCCACTGGCGTGCTGCTGCTCCTCATAGTACATGGCGATCGCTTTTTGGTACAGAAGTTGCTTGTCGGTCGCGGAGCTCATCCGGTTCATCCTTTTCCTCCGGCGGAAAATCCCCCCAAAATTGGGCGAGCGGTAGGTCGAGTGTTCATCTACAACAACTCTGTAGTTCGATGGTCCCAGGCCGGCCGGGGAGAGGGTAGTAGGACGGTGCCACTGCGAAGGAGAAGACACATGATACCCGGTGTTGTACCCCCAGGGGAGTTCGCCTTCTCTTGCCGTCTTTGCATCACTGCTAGAAGTCGTGCCCCCTGAGTGTTGCAGTACGTCGTGAGAAAAATGGCTGTTTTTCTCAGCATCGGGCAATCTTGCCGGCTGCTTATCGCTCGAGACTGCAGTCGTTTTCCGTTTCAAACAGGATTCCGAGCTCTGCGTCCTTTTCAGGGCATGTTGCGTTGTTGCTGTACCGCTCTTGTAGTTGGAGGGCATGGACTGCTCCTTCACCGAGCTAAAAAATGCGTTTTCGGCTTCGTTGAAGATGGTGTAAAGTAGGGAATGCGACGCAATCGGACAGAAGGTCGCGGAAGATTTACCCGAGGCCGGCGCATTCCGGTCTTCAGCTTCGCTGAGGCAAAACGAGTGGTCGTTTCTCGGCAGATGTTGGAGCGCTTGTTGCGAACGCGAAGTGGAGGGTAAGCATAAGCCGCCGGTCTTTCCTTTGCCGAAATCCTCAGGAAGTAGAGCGTCAACATTCCCGTTTCGTTGAAAATGATCCTGTGCTGCGTCACCGTTCAGCTTGAAGTCGTCTTGTACTTCCGTTCCAGCATGGTTTTTGTTTGAAAAATCTTGTGACCCAGCTGACGATCGCTCTCTATCGTAGAGAAACGTGTAGTAGGAATACACGTGCGGGTCATAAACCTCTGTCTCCGACCCGGTATTCGGATTCACCTGTTCACCCTCCGGCTGTTGATGCGCCGGCGGTCCTCTAGGGACCCCTGCATTTGTTCTAGGCTCTTCTTCTCGTCCCGCTGGGACATCAAGCACATCATCGTCCTCCGTGGCAGTATCGTGCGCCGATGAAACTACAGCATCAACGTCATCTGATGCCTTTGCAGCAGTTGTACAACCCGGCTGGGTTTCTAGGTTTTCTTCTTGTAGTCGTGCTTGTGCTGCTCCGCGCTCATTAGAGAAGTCGCTCCTGGAGGCGCTCTCCTGGTGTAGAAGACTTGCGCGCTCCTGTTCCAGTACTATCTCCGGGTCGGTGTTTCCCAAAATCGCGGACCTGCTGTGCAAAAGGGGGCAGTACCCAGTTACTGCGCAGGGAGAGCGGTCGGTAACTTGCGGGAGGTTGTATGTCTCTGGCTCGGCCTCGTCTTGGGCCGGCCTTACCCCTCTGATCTCGCGTCCGATGGTTCGTGCTTCCCCGACCCCTCCGGGGAGAGCACGACCTCCTCGTCCTGCATCATCGTGAATACCATTTTTCTCATCCTCCAATTCCAAAACAGCTTCTACATCACTGTCTTTCAGCGTCTCCTTAGTCCAATTCGGGTCGTCCGGCGAAAGTAGAGCTGCAGTTCTACTCACCGGCGAATTAGTAGTAGATGCAGACGACCCGCCACTGTTATTCGGCTTCCGCGCAGCCTGAACCAGATGCTCAAAGGACGAATCCGCACCGACGATTAATGGTCGTTTGCTCGCCGTGGCTGGCAGGAAATCCCGCTGCATCATCCCGCTGTTCTGGAACCGGAGTTGTTCCAGAACAGAATACAGGGCCTGTTCCGGTGTTTGGTTCTCACCTTCTCCAACATCACTGGTCCGATTGTGGATGAGATCACCGGTGGTCAACCCGCGGCGAGTGGTCTTTCTACTCGCTTGCTGTTGATGTTGTACTGGCTTATTTTCTGCAGCAGCAGCAGCAGTGGCTGCTGCTGGATGGTCTACTACTTCCTCAGTGCTGTCGTGTTCAGCTGTATCGTGCACCCCCGCAGGGTCCTTCGGGTTCCTGTTGGTCGCGTTCATGGCAATTACGCTGGTGCTTCTACCTTTAACGTTCCTTCCTTGTTCTTCCCCAGTGCAAAAAATATTAGCAGTACAGCCCTGCTCCACGTAGTAATACCCCGGCATGACCTCCGCGTTCAGCACGGGCATCTCGGTTCGGAAATCCAAAAACTCGATCAATTTCGGAGACTCCGCCAGCGCTAGGATCACGTTCCCCGCCTCCCGGTGCTGTTTGCAGACCCGGCAGAAAAACGCGGATTTGTCCTTCAACTGCTCGTACAACTGGCATATCAAATGCAAACATGTCTGGGTCTGGAAACTTGTGATGCAAAAAGTGGATGATAGCCGGACTGCAATACGCAGCCCAGCATGACAAATTTTTGAGCTGCTATGTGTTGCGTGTTCCGCATGAGAAGCTGCGTTTTTGCATGACAGATAGGAGAGTCTTTTCGTGCCCATGCATCACAGATTGATTCTCGAGTCATGTCAGACATACATGACAAATGTAAGAATCTTCCAGACCCAGACATATTTGCATTTCATATGGCAGTCCTTGAAAGCCTCCAAGAAAACCCACTGCCGGCACTTCTCCAAACCCAGTTGGTTGAGGAAGGAAAAATCGGAGTTAACTTCCTTCGGAAACGCAACCCCGTTGATAATGAGTCGGAGCTGGACTCGGGAGTGAAGTTCGGCCGCGAGGGCTTGCTGCGAAGAAGATGCGTTAGCGTTAGCCTTGATGTTTCGTGGTGTGACCAGAATTACACAGCTGTCGGAAGAACTTGTTGTACTAGACCCCGGATGCTGCTGCGACGTTAATTGCGAATTCAGCGTCAGCTCAGAGAGCAGAATGCTGTCTTCTAGAAGCTCCTCCGTCAAAGCCGCACCATTTCCTCCTGCGGTGGATTTCGAGCAAGTCTGAAGTGGATTCGTGGCATCGCCTGCAGCTTGGTCCTCCTCTTCGAACGCCGAACCGCTTTCGCTCGCTTGGAAATTTACTCCTGGAGGACCGACAGCGTTGCTTTCTTTCGACGGTCTCCTGGAAGAAGAACTCCCAACCTTAGAGCCAGATAATTCATCTCCTCCGGCTGTGGCCGTTTTGACATGAAACACGGAGATCAGGGACACGGGGATGCCTTCGAGGTAATTCAGGTAGACCTTGAAATCCTGGACGGTCTGGATCAGTTCCGGGTCAACAATGTACGTGATCACTTCTCCGGAAAGCCGAAGACAGTCCAACGCGACAAAATCGTTTCTGAAATTTACTTTCATCATGACGAGTGGTCGTCTTCAGGGGAGACGAGTAAAGCAAAGGCGACAAGGCGGCGGGTCAAAAACAAGTAGCAAACTCATGTATACGTAGGGAAGGGTAGGCAAATAATGATTGTGATTTTGTTTACAAAAAAGGGGTAGAGATGACACACGAGCGAGCCTGATGAATCAGTGACAGTGTAAGTGAAACACATTTGATATAAATCAACGGAGAAGAACAAAAAGCCTAATAAGCACATGTCAAGGTTAAGTGGGAAGACGTGGATAAGTACTTGTACATTAAATTCAACCGATTCGTCGGGAAATCGCTCAAACAAACCGATTTTTCGGCGCGTGTAGAGTACACGTAAATCTAAAACAAACAAACCGATCTCGATCGCGAATACGTGACACGCATTTTTGACGAGTTCGTTCGCAAAGAACGAAATAAAAAACCGAGGTGTGCACAGCGCGCTTTCTCGTCGCACCGATGTGATTTTCAGTTTGTACTATCGCGGAATAAAACATCAATCATGGCAAAATTGTCATATTCAGACCCAGGCGTAGGAGACGCCCTCCTCTACTTCCAGCTTCTCTTCTTTCTTGTTTCTACGGAAAAAAGGTTCTTTCTGTCACTTCTCTGTGACGTCGTTCCTTTCGCTTCTTCGGAAAAGAAATTTGCTTTTGTTTAAGTACTTTGGTCTTTTTCATTTCCCCCGGGAAAATGAATCTCAATCTTCAAGCCATGATCCCATTCACGGCTGCAACGCTTTCAGCGTGTCCATTGCTTTTGTCAACCGATCGATTTTGCCGTGCTGGATGGCGTCCACCGCGTCATTCAGCACATGCTCCTCCTTCGTCAAGACCGCCTTGCGTTTGCGGTACACGCGGGCCTGGTCCTCCAACTTGGACAGCTGATTCGAGACCTGGTTTATCAACTGTAAAAATGTCTGGGTCTGGAAGATTTCTAGATTTGTCATGCATATTTTCTATGATCCATGTCGTCTGGAATGCAGGACCTCGCATGACAGATTCTGCCAGATCCTTATCATGCCTATCCTGCATGAGAAACTGCCTCTCGATTAGGTCAAAAGTGGACAGCTTTTGGTAATTATGCAGCACAGATTTTTACATGATTCAGATTTAGCATGACAAGTTGCTTGGTTCCAGACCCAGACATTTTTACATTTGATATGGTTCAACCGCCGCTGCTTCAACCGCTTCTGCTTATCAGAATGAAACATCCCCCCTCCCCATATCGAAATGGAAATTTTTTGTGATGCTGATTTGTGTTCACAAATCGTCTCTGTCTTGCCTATAGGACAATAGGAGCCACGTGGCGCAGTCCACACCAGTCTGTCATGTTGCGCAGTCCACACCAGTCTGTCATGCGCTTTTGACTACTGCAAGCCTGTTTGTCATGCGTAACTGCTAGCCTTCTGCATAACCAAACAGGCTCGGAAAATGCCGCCAAGCACTTTCTGCAAGCGAAGTCTGATTTGTGTACGCAAGTCCAGCATCAGAAACTTCGTTGTGATATGGGGAGGGGGGAGTTTTCCTCACAATAATGCTCCCGCACCTTCTGCAGGATGGGGAGCAGGGTTTTGGCTTGATCCTGGGACAGGTGCGCACCAGACTGCAGGGCCTGTGCAGGCGGGGATATTGGCATTGTTCTATCCGTGTTTTTTTGACATACATGCTTTACAAACATCAAACAGAGTCCTCTTCTCACGCATGCTTGTGCTCCACAAAAAACAGCTGTAGTAAGTTGTATACCTGCAGCTCCTTCGCTTCCTTGTTTTTCGCTTCGATTTCCTTGCGGTTGTCCAAAGCCTGCCCCAGCTTCATTGCCAAATTTTCGCCCTCTTGGAACTTCTCGGATTTCAGAAACTGGGCGACAAATTCGTCGGATTTGTACTTTTCCAGGACGGATAGCTGTGGTTTTTAATGGTTGTCCATGGAGTTCAGGTTCTATTTCATGCCTGACAAAAACGCTTCATGTTGCGGATATCGGGTGAGCAGAAGTTCATCCTTGCGCAGAAACTACTTCTGAACATACTACTTATTATCCAAACCTGTTCCTGCAACGGCGAGTCTTGGACGTCCATCAACTTCTCAAACGCTTCCTCCGCCGTCTTTTGCTCCTCCACCACTTTCGTGTTCTGAAAGCGCTTCGCCATCAGGTCGTGCTGTTCCTGCGCCAATTGCATCGCCTTCTTCATCAGGTCGGATTTCAACCCCTCAACTTCCTGCTGCACATCCTTGGCGACCTTGTTCAGTTCCTTCAGTTGTTCCTCGCTCGAAAGCTTTTCCTTCCCCGCCGAGTTCTCCTTCTTGTTCTGTTCCAAAGCCGTGTCAATTTTCGTAATCACGACTTGCAAGTGCGGTTTTTGGTCCGCCAGGAGCTTCTGGTCGGTCATCGCCTTCAGCCGCTGCTTCAGCTCCTGCAACGACTTGATCCGCGAATTGACCTTCTGCTCCGGGTTGTTCAGCAGACGGAATATTACCATGAAAAATGCCCCCACCCCAAAAGTTCCAATAATTTGTGATGCGAAGTTTCCAAATGAAAACTTTTTGTCATGCATCAAAGGAATATGAATCTTTGTGATGCAGAGTCTAGGCGTATATAGCATTGCTTGCATGGCAAGCGCCGCTCTTGCTGGGATCTGTTGCAATACAAATATTCGCTATTCACGATTGGAAATCTGTGATGCTGCTAGATGCAAGAGGGCGAGTGTTTCTGTTGGAAAGGTTTGCAATGCAAATGCTCCCAAGTTCGGGGGTCGGGGCGTTTTTCATTGTGATACGGAAGGTAGTGGCTTTTTTACTGCTCGTCTTCGCGCCGGAGGTGACATCGGCAGCAAATGCGGTGGATGAAAATCCGCAAGCAGTCGCTGCGACGGCAGCGCGGAAAACGAAAGAACGAGTGCGGGGACCTACCATCTGGGATTGTACAAGTAGGTATTTCTAGGGGAAAAGAAAAGGTAAGGTGACGGTGAGCTGTGTTCTACGAGGAAGGTATAAAGGATGCCACAATGGAATTGCTGCATCAAGACCATCGGCATTTTTTCCTTCGCCGGTGCAGCAGGAAGGTCTCTCAGAGAACGGGCGACGGAGGTACGGATCTAGGGAGAACACGGCTTCTTTTCCACACACACCAAAGTAGAAACAGGACTAATATCTGCGGTGTGTTAATAGAAACTCACCTAACTTCCGTGGAAGTTTACAATGCTAACCGCCTAAATAATGCATCGCTAAAGATGCAGACGCGTCTATGCTCGAAAAATCATCGACAGCAGAACCAAATTCGGTATGATGTACTGGCATGAAACTGTTACGTAGGTGCTCCTTCTCGCAACTTTGTGAATTAGAAAAGCTCATGGGAAAGTGATGAAAAAATGTGGTCACTATTCAGAATTCGACGCACTTTTGCTTGAAATTTTGTTTTCGTATAAGTGTGCTTGCGTTAAAACTGCATGCTGGTACTAGAAATTCGACTTACTCCATGGCTCACGTATTCGATTTCACTTTACTTTAAAGCTATTTGATGCTGTTGGACTATCTATTATTATTATTATCGAAGCCACAGGTGATGCCGACCACTGTGCACAAACATCGCACGTACAAGGGGACGGATGGGTCTCAGTGCATTGTATGTGGGATCTGTCTCGCCAGGATCTCCCGCACCCGGAGTAGGTGCACTTTCGGTCCCTCTCTCCTACCCTTCCGAGTGCCCTCACGGCTCGGAGGCGCGTCGGACGTAGTGCCTCACGAACACCAACACCTCCCCACGACTGCCGTTGATTTTCGTCCGATTTGGTATTGCACTGCGTAGCTACAGCAAGCATTTGCATGTCTGGGGGCGCTCAACTCGTGGGCGGTTGTGCGCCGCCAATGTGTTGCTGTGTGGCCGCTTCAGTGGTGCCACAGGGCTCGCCTGTCGTGGCGCGCTCTTCATAGTACCGACCAACCGGGTGGCCGCGCACTATCAACGGTCGGCGCTATAATTCTCGGTATGGGCTTGGCCGAGCTCGGATAAGGGGCGGCATCCGGGAGGGTGGGGTGGCCAGCCATCTGGGTGGCTGCGCTCCCCTAACGGTAGCGCAGCTGCGCTCGTCGGTGGTGCCGCGCGGCTTGCTGCCCCGTCGCGTCCCGTGGACGCGCGAGGCGCAGCCGCGGCACCCGGGTGGCAGGCAACAAACAGCACAGCGGCGGCGTGCCTTTTTGTTGCGAACCTGCGCAGCAGCGCAAGCGCATGGGCCAAGGAGCTGCTTGCTGCTAGCTCTCCGTAGAACAACAAGGCCAACGCGTATATATGGTCTACGAGGTGGCATCATGAGAGGCGGCGGCCCTCATTCACTGGGGCCACTCTTTCAACCAGATCCACTAACCGCTTGCCCTGATAAGCATGCGGCCTGCTTCTCCCCACGTTACGACCGGGAGATCTCCTCAGGCGACGGCCTTCACAGGAGGTTTGTTGGACTATCTAGTGGACTGCAACTAAATTGTTCTTTGATCATGAATGTCATCTGTCAGATTGTCTTCTTGTCTTTCTGGAAGTATACAGACAGAAGAATCATACACAAGTGGTCACGACGCAAAAATTTACTTATCTTCGTCCGCTACGACTACCGGCTCAGCTCCTCGGCCCACCTAATTACTTCTTCTTGTCGTCCCCATCGCTTTCCAGGACAATCCTCTGCGCGTCAATTTCCTGGAGCATCTTGAATTTCTCGTCCGGACACTCCTCCATGATGAAATTGAACTTGTCTTTTGTCAGGTGCGCCAACACGACAAACGTCTTCGCCCGAACCCACGCGGACCGCAACGTGTCCATCAGGAGGGCGGCTTCGCCTGGAGATGAAAGAACGTTGTGGTGTTTATTCAGAGTAGAGGTGCTTGCGCTTGGTCTACTCGTTCGAACTACTGCATCAGTAGATCATAATATGCGAAGACGTCAATTCTATTTCAATATCGCAACATGAGCACAGAAATACTCAATCACGCAGGAACTACTAGTAGCCCACTTCTATACCGAAATACTCCCCCTGCGACTTTGTCGCGTACAGCGGGTACCCATCGGCACTGCCGCAAACTTCCACCCTGCCCTTCAAAATGAAGAACATCTCCCTGCCAACCGCCCCCTTCCGGATGATGATGTCCCCCGGACACACCACAATTTCGTCAAATCCGCTCACGACCGCGCCGACGGCGGAGCTTCGGAGCTCCTGGAAGAACGGCGCCGTCTCGATCAATTGTTTGTACAGGATCAATCTTTATCAAATGTAAAAATGTCTGGGTCTGGAAGATTCTGAGACTTGTCATTCATGTTTTGCATTGGCCATGATGTCTGTGATGCATGCCCTAGCATCACAGATTTTTTGAGGGCTTCGCGATGCCTATTCCGCATGACAAATGCCCTCTCCGCGTAGCAAAAATTGCACTCCCTTTGCTGCTCATGCAATACAGATTTTTTTGGAATCCAAATTCAGCATCACAAGCTGCATTCTTCCAGACCCAGACATTTTTACATTTGATAATCTTAGCTCCAGATCCAAGTTCGGGCTCAAATCGCGGAACAAAGCGTCGCGGGCGGTGGAGTTTCTTTCGATGGACAAAAACCTCTGGTAGCGGTTAATGCGGAACTGCAGAGACGGGGGTAAGTTCAGCTTTCCCATCGCGGAGGCGACTAACGCAGCGGACTCCCTCGTCGTGGATTCCAGCAGGGTCATGGTGCGGAAGAGTGCGAGGCAGCGGGCAAGAACCAAGTTCATGAAAATCACGGCAAAAGGGCAGGCGAGGGCGAGGTACCTGGAGTCAGGGATGAAAAACGTTTCTTCATTTATGGTTTTGGTGTAGTCGTGCAGCTGTTCTTACTTTTACCTTTACCTCTATGAATGACAAAAAAACAGCGTCCTTCTGGCAGCGAAATCTAGAATGGAGGCAAGTTGGGAGCTTACCATTGCTCCGCCACCGAGTACGGCCTGCCCTGCGGCTCCATGCTGGTAAGAATGATGATGGCGCGATTCAAAGCCCAGAGGTACACGTAGGGCAGAAAGGAAACTTCCTGGCACTGCTGGCCTAATGCCGCAACGTACAAATCCCGCCCGTCCATCGTGCCGGTCGGGAGGGTGGTGCCGTTTTCCTGATTTGATATGTTAATTTTTCAGAAAAATCATCTGGGCATGAAAATGCAAAACAAAGCGAAAAGCACAACTTCGTTCCTCTAATAATCAGCATCGAAATCAACATCAAACACGAAGATCGCCATCTTCATTGGTACCACAAGCGTGCTCTCGCTCAAATCCAGATACTTGTAGCTCTGAAAGTGCGAGAACGCGCGGGTTAAGAGCAGCGACTGTCGGTATCTTGCCGCGTGGGATACGTTGGCAACCGTGTTGGGCAACGAGTTTTCCAGCACTAGAAACCACACGCAGCCCATGATGTGCGCGATCAGGAAGAACCAGAGAATCAAGGTTCCAAACGCTCCCAGCGTGTTTTCCGCCATCGCCCCGACGGTTCGGAGGAATAAAATTCTGAAGGAGTCGCGAAGGAGTCTCGCCGGTTTTATAAAGAGTTTATGCGACGCGGTCTTCGCGAGGTCCTTCGCTTGCACAGATTTTTTCGCAGAAACGGATTTGATTCTGTGTCTCCAAGATGTGGTTGACGTGATCAAACGCGATATTCTGTCGGTTTTAGTTTCTTGGTGGTCATGTAGTTTGTTATTGTGTTCAACACCATGATCATCTCCGTCGCTTTCTTCACGTCGGTGGAAATTGTAACCGCGGTAAAGTCGTTCATCGTCGTCGTCATCTTCTTGATGTTTCCTGAAAGAACAAGCTGCAGCAGCTCCGTCCGATTTTATTGTTCTCAGCTGTTTTTTCCTATTTGTTTTGCGACGTAGTACACTCTCGTCATCCATCGCAAAGGACTTCAAAAGTGTGCTTGGCCAGAACCAGTGCGCTTTTCCGTCTGCTGGTGGTGTGCTTTTCTCTTTGACCGGCAGCTCCCCCTCCTCCTCTTCGTCGTCAATTTCGAGATCGATCGCGGTTGCGCTGGCCACGAGCGAGGACTTGCTTCCATTTAAGACACCGGCATCGCTCTTCACCTCCCCGCCTTCCGCTCCTACCGGGACCTCCGGACGGTGAGCTGTATCTTCACGAGCATTTTTACTAGGATTGTTGTAATTGCTCCTACTTGTACTATTTATCTTCCCGGGTTGGTCCCCCTCCCGGTGCAGTTCTCCAATGTTAAACTTGTTCGTCGTGGTCCCACCGCTTATCACTTTGCTTGTCGTACTTTCATTCAGTAGCAGTTGGACATTGGACGCCAACGTGGACGAGTCGTAGGTGAACAGACGGTAGCAACGCAGAAACCGCACCGCGAGAAGCAACTTCCACATCCAGTGATCCAGGACGCAGCTGTAGCCGTGGGCGAAAGGATTCGCCGTGTTGCAGTTCTCGTCTGGGTTCAAAACGAAAGACTTGTCTTCCGCGGGGCCACTGTAGAAGTAAACCGGGATTAGCAGATAGGGTAGTAACCCGCCGACGAAAAAGGAGGTTAAATCCAGGTAAAACCCGACGGACCTCCACGTGCGGAAGGCCACAGTCGCCCTGCTGTTCCACTCCTTGTTGAACCGGGCGTCCACGATGGACACGTAGAACCTGCACGGCCCGGCCAAAAAGAGAAACAAAATTTCGGCTAGTAAATCGAACCCCGGGAACAAAAATCCGCCGTGCCTTCCCATGGTGGAAATCGTGAACTTCTTCCCCGCGTCTGCTGTTTCGAGGAACAGCTGCACCGACCCGTCTTCGCAGCGGTGGGTGACGATGTCTTCCTCGTACAGTAGGCTCGCGAAACCTAGTAAGAAAAACACCCAAATGATCGTGAAAATGGTGTGTGAGTAGAGCAACGCGTCGCGGACATGAACTTCGATATCCTTGGAGGTGAGTGTGGTCTGGATGTTCCGCCGTTTCCGCAAGTTGTTCAATGTCTCCTGTGTCTGCTGCAACAGCTGCGATGCGCGCTTATTGAGAAACCGGGTTGTCGTAGAAGTTGTGGTGGTGCTACTGTTTTTAAACGCAGTAGACTTCCTCAGTTCAGACGCTTCCTTACTTGACAACCCAGTTAATATTGCTGCATTTTTACAACTACCGTCGTCAAAGGAGCTACAGGAATTGTTCCCGCTTCTTGGGGATAAGCATAGCAGCCTGGAGCTTTCCGTCGCCTCATCGGGGTCGATTTCGAATTCGTGCAGCGATTCCACAAAATCTCCCTTTGTACTCCGCACCGCGAATCCCTCAAAGCTGTGCCGCGCAAAATTGTAGTTGTCCCGCGGACTGCCCCTTGGTGTGTTCCCCGTAGGTTGCTCGTGCTGTAGTTGTTGTCCTGTGAGCTGCTTGTTTACGTTGCCTGATCCTATCACAGGGGTAAATGAATCACCTTGCAAATGAATCACCATACGGAAAAAAAAAACTTTCCAAGTACCGCAGTGCATGGCCCGGCTCGCACGCATAAGGAAGCGCCCAATATATACAACCAAATAACCTGAAACACAGCGACGCTCCTCAGGAAGGTCGCGCCTTTCTCGATAAGGTTTGCGCTATTTGGTTGGTGGCTACGGGGGACGAACGCAATGGCCATGAGTGGACGCTGGGGCCATCGCGCCTGAATAGCTTGCAAACAACTCGGGGGAAGCATTCGCAACCCAAAATACCAAGCACAAGCCCATTGCTAAAGATAGGAAAAGCGACACCATAAAAATGAAGTGATTACACCTCCATACCGTCGGGCGTAGCGTCCCGAGGGTGTCGGATTTTCTGAAAAAAGCTCAATTTTTGCCAAAAATTCATCTTTTTCGAAGCAAAAAAAGAGGTGTAATCACCTTGCGTTTTGTAGCTATCAATTAGCCCTATGATTCATTTGACTCCTCCCGCTTAGTATCTGCTTGAATCACCCCTGCAAAAAGCCGCGATTTTTGGCATCAAATTGATGCCCGAAACACGTCTTTTTCGCGTCAAATCACCCTAGCAGATATCAAGTGGGTTTGGCTTTTTTTTCGTCTGAAACAGGCTGCACATCTCAAGTGATTACACCTCCACTGTTCCATTTCTGCCACTTGGTAACAGTAGAGTAGGGCAAAAGTAAGAATAGTGCGCCAGTAGCACCATGCGGGGTAGCATTATGCACCACGGTATGATGATTTGGGGCTGGTCTTGGGGTATCTTCTATGGCATCTTCTGCGCACTACATCTCGCAGCCTTCTCCTTACCAAAATGCGACGCCTGGGGCTTTTGGTCGTAGCCTTCTCAAGCATTCGCCCACTGCAATCTACCGACCAGCTGTGTCTGGCGCGGGGAAAAAAGCTGCAGGCGCTACGGAAGTTGGGGACGCTCCGAATTTTTTTTTTTTCGACCCTATGACTCTTTTGAAAGTGATTCACTTGCTCCTTTGATAGATCCTGGCGAATTCCCGCCTGATGTACTGGTCGAGTTCGCGATGTGATTCATGTTCTCGTCGTCATTATCTCGTTCTGCATATCAAGTGCAAAAATGTCTGGGTCTGGAAACCTGTAATGCTAAAAATGAATGCTAGACGCACTGCAATACGCAGCTACGCATGACAAATTTTTTGGCTACCAATGTCTTACGTATTCCGCATGGCAAACTGCGTTTTTGCATGACAGACAAGAGGGCCTTTTCGTGCCTATGCAACACAGATTCTCGAGTCATCCCAGACAAGCATGACAAACTTGCATTCTTCCAGACCCAGACATTTTTACAATCCATACTGCATTCGCACTTGCAATTCCGCTGTTATTATTTCCGCCTAGAGCTAAAGTCCTCATCCTCCTCGCCACCCCCAGCAAATCTACCGTGTTAAATCTCGGTCGGTTTCGCGTTCGGGAAAGCAGATCCACGGTGTTTCCTCTCCGGAACTTCATCGAAGAGTTATTTACACCGCCGGTGGTGGTTGATTCTAAGGTGTTCAAATGCTGCACTGTGAATACCGGGTCGTGGTCTTCCGGGCGCGGGGTGGTCAAAGGTTTCCTTTCGCCACAATGGTGTTGCTGCTCATGCGAAGTACAGGAAGTCTTATTTTGTGCTGTCTCGTCTCCTCCACCTACTTGTATTACACGATCAGCTACAAAAATATTGTCGTCTCCATGAGCCGCCGCGGGGAGAGCTTCTTCATCATCTCCGCCCAGCTTTAATATCCTGAGTTCCTGCATCTTACTTTCGTTCACTTCCGAAGAAGAAACGCTGGCTCGTCGGAGCACAGTTCTGTCCTTGCTTTTCGTCTTCCCCTTTTTCGTCAGGATGTTCTTCGTAGAAAGCGTGGTGCCCGCCGTTGTTTTCATGTCCGTCGAGCAGGGTAGTTCTTCAATGGCTCTACTTTTGTCCACCTCCTTCGCTGCGCTAGTTTTTCTCACAACGTCTTCCGATTGGTCAAAAGTCTCCTCTACTTCGTCATCATCCTCGAGCCCGAAGTCCGCACTACGGTAGGACGTCGGACTCGGCGTTTTGCTTCGACTTTCCTCTAAATTCTCCACCTCTGCAGGGTCACCTTCAACATATTCCTCTCTTGCAGAAGAACTTCTACAGAACGAGGCATTTTTCGATTTCGAATCTTGTTTGAATGGCAGAGGAAGAGACTCCTGCACGACACTGCCCGCGCTCGTCAAAAACAAATTTTTGTCGTTCATCTCCCCCCGCCCGCTGCTGAAAGAAGAAGCTATGCGGTCGGTCGAAGAGCTGCTGCTCCTTCGACTCGAGCCCTTGTTTGTTTGGGGAAATAAGGGCGTTGGTTTGATTGTTGCGCCGCTAGTGGAGTTGTTCATACTATTGTTCGCACCGCTGGACGTACTCGAGGATTTCTTCATGCTGCTCTGCAGTAACGAACTCGAATTATTCGGTGGAGCAGCCTGATGTTCATCGGAGTTTTTGCTTGATGTTGTTTCTACTCTTTGATTCTGCTTATCTTCCTCCTCGCTAAGTACTACACTTGGGGGCACAATTTCCCCGATGGAGCTTAGACTGGCCCGCGTCGCCGTCATGCTAGTGCGTCTATTGCTCGCAAAATCCGCCTCCATCAGCCGGCGACTCGTGGAGTGGGTGTTTGTTGAGGTTGTGATCCACGCGCCGCCAGAGCCGGGCTCATCGATGCGGGCGGAACCGCGCTTTGCGTTGTACCTGGAATGCATATTCATACTCCATCAGAAATGTCGCAATCCGTTTTTCCTTTTTGAAGAGAAAAAATGTGAAAATAAATTTCATGCAACTACACCAATCTATCTCTATCAACAGCCACTTTATCAATATACCGTCGCATGGCCATCGATAGAGTGAGAGGAGAGCTGGCTTCGAAGCCAGTCGTGGCGCCCACAGTGTCCAAGTAGCGAGAGCTTCCGCTCTTGCGGCGCATATCCAGCTCCTCAGAGAAAGCAGCCATGGGTGCTGCGGGTGTTGCATAATGGTGCCAGGGCAAGCAGAAATGAACGACAGACGATATATCAACGGGAGCGGTAGAAGCTCTATCGCAATTTATTACGGCTTGTGTTGCGTTTTGTAAGCCGAAGCCCAAGCCCTTGTCAAAAACTACAAGTATGAATTACGAGAAGAAGAAGGCATTCCTGTAGCATGCTTGCCGACTACATAACTCTATGTGCGAAGTAAAAGCCTAAAAAAAGCCCACCTGCGACTGCCAGCCCCACCAAAGCAAAACCCTCGCTAGGCTCTTGCGATGATTATGATCATTGGATCGGTTATTTGCATCGACCGAACAAAGCTTATTTCCAGGTCCGACGAGAAATGAGACCATGAAGAAACACACAAACCAAGACCGAGCTGGACCGAAAAATTACTAGAGAGACAAAGTCAAAAAACACAAGCACACGGGGAATGAATCCGACCGACATGATCCATGTCCATCAAACGTCGACTGGCAGTATTATTCAATGCGTGGATACAGACACGCACCGGGAGCAAGAAAACGACTTACATCCAAGACAAATTCACTTGGCTTCTCAAAACATTTTTACACTGAAAACGCAAACGAACCAAGGATGGTCATTCTGCCACAGCGCATTGATTTCGGAATGCAAGCTCAGCCTTGTTCATTTTCAAAACGCGTGCGCTGCCGGTTCATTTCGTTAGATGTACTTTTCAGCAAGAAGGAGACGCGTGTCTATGTCTGTCGTTAGATTTGAAGTTCCGAAGTGCCAATGCTACACGCGACCAGCTATCTTATCCGCCCCGGCAAAGGGATCCTCAATCTCCTCCTCCATCGCGTCTTCGTTCAAAATTCGCATATCCGTAACAACCGACTGCAATCTGGTTGCCGTCGCTTCCGGTAACCGCTTTTTCGCAGCGTAGTCGCCGGCTTTGTCGAAAAGTCGTCCTTTCTTCAAACTGAGCAATTGTGCGGACAGCTGCTTTTCTTGTTCGTCCACATCCGAATTTCTTTTCCGACCTGAACTGGTACAACAATCTCCTAGTCTGCTGCTACTGTCAGCACCTAAAATGATCTCCCCGATTTCGCTTTGCCGCTGCTGGTTCACCAAATCCAAAACATCGGTCATTTCTGGGGACTGCAGAAAGTTCACATCTTCAGGGCTGAACATACCGTCTGGTCTGAGCAACTTCGTGTCGGATCTCGTCGTTTTCACTTTTTCCAGTTGAAGGTCTTCTTCTTTTTCTTTGGTTGCAAGTTCTTGTGCTGGAAAATCTTCAGTTCCACTTTCTTTTTCGTCGCCCGCAACAGGATCATAAAGGGCCTGAAGTTCACTGTCGTGGACCTGCAGCGCACTAGAAGATGAGAAGTGTGCCGACGAGGATCCGTCTACTTTTCTTTCGGACACCACCTCGTCAGTTGGATCATCTTCATCTGAGTTTCCTTCCGCAGCATTGTCCGCACAAGCTGGAAGATCTGCGGAGGACGCAATGGCCAGAGGTAGCTCAACAAATGGACCTTCTTCTTTCGCCTTCGCCGACGTCGACGAGAGGGTCTTACTATTCATCGTCTCTACTCCTGCTGGTGGCGCTGTTCTCACTTTCCTCAAAACCTCACCCCCACCAGTACTTTTCAGCACCTCCCGCCACAGAGACGCCGCATACAACAACTTTCGCTTTTTCGAGCTGCACTGCAACCACGTTTGCCAAGCGAGGTGGCGGACGTTGAAGCCCAAGACACTCAACAAGGAGTGTTTCAGCAAGGACCCGGGTAATCTCGTGTTCGTCTCGCGGAAAAAGTGGCTCGGCCCGTCGATCTCCAAAACGAACTGCTTTCCAATCACGATGTCCAACGCGTACGGCCCCAACTGCACCTCGGACCGGTGCGGCAGCCCGACCTGCTGCAGGTACGTGGACACGGTTCTGTGCATTTTGGAGGAGTTTGGAAGGTAATCATCCACGGTGAGTTGGACGTGCCGGGCTTTCCGCAGAAACTCCTTCGCCTCGAAGGTTAAATCGAATTTGTAGTGGTGTTCGTCGCAAAGGTACTTGAAAAACAGCTCGAAAATCTGCAGTTGGAAGATCGACTGGTACTTCAGCTTCTTCCGGTGCTCGATGGCTTTGTGCAGCAAGTTGTTGATCAGGATGATGTTCTCATTCGTGATCTGGATCCGGTTTTTCGCCACAAACGAAGCATTCTTGAGCAGATTGTTGACGTCTGTTCTGCTCGTGGTCCTTTGAGAACTACTGTGCCGCCCTCTTCTTTTACCCTCTTCGCTGTCGTGGTCAACTTCACGATCTGATGTTGCGCCGCTTTTGTAGTGTCTACTGCCACCACCTTCGCTTTTATCTACTACTTGCCACTGCGCACTGTGCGCTTCCAGATGTTGCACGTAAACTTGGTCGGAAATCAAATTCAACGCCAAGGCGTGCAACAAATTCACCGCTTCCTTTTCCGTGAGTTTCTCCAAATTTTCCTTCTCGTTCACGAAGGACAAGCAGGTCAAAAACCAGTCCGGGTGCCGCACCCGCAGGTTCGCGTACGCGCGGACACACGCGCAAATCATTCCCGGCGGGAAGGAATCTTTCCCCTGGTCCTGCATCTTCTTCAGAAAAGTCACCGCCAGCATCCGGAGAAACTTCGCCTCGCGGAATTGCAGCTCGGAAAACGCAGTCAACAACTGCATCAAATCAACCGCTTCGAAATCTAGCAGTCTGATCTGGCACATCTTGGAAATCTGCCGCATCAGAAACCGATCGTAATTGTTCGTTTTCGCGAGGGAGGAGTATGCAAGAAAAAAACTGTGTAAGTGTAAATCTGTGATGCAGAAAGTGCAAAACAGTTATTGATCGGCTCGCTTCTTATGTGTTTTCCCTTACTATCTGTGCATAACAAGTTTTTGTCATGGCAGGCGAACTTGTGATGCAGTTTTCCCAAAAGACTTACACTAACACAGTTTTTTTCTTGGATAAGGAGGCCAGGATGATTAAAGATTTCGACGACATTTGCGGGATCATCGGCTTGACCTCTTTCCGGAGCAGTTTAAACAGTGGCTTGTTCTTCGTTTTCAATTTCGCCAGTGCGGACCACAGCAATGCGAGTTGGTAGGACGTGTAATTGCCGTGCAGGTGCTTCAGCGGTTTCTGCATCCACCGGAGAAAAGTTTGCAGCGGCATGTTCGACTTGACAAACGAGAGTAAAAGAGAAGATACCGCTTCACCGGACAGGGTCGAGTTCTTGTTGTTTCTTGATGTTCTGGAGAAACCAGTATTCGCTGCGAATGTTGTAGCTCCTGTCGATAATTGCAACTGCTTCATCTGCTTGTCCACCTGCTGGGCAATGCGGTTCCGTTCTTGCTTCTTCTGTTCTGCCGTCGCGGGTTTATTTTGTCCAGCATAATTCTGTGGTCCTTTGTTGTTCGCAGCATCCATTTTCGCTTTCCTCAACTTCAAAACCGCGGCCTTTTCCAACTCTTTCCGGATTTTTTCCATCCTCTCCGTCTGCAATTTTTCCCGCGCATTTTTCAAACCCTCCACCTCGGATCTTAGTAAGGAAAACAGGACAAAAAACAAGCGCTGGTCATTGTATCCTAATTTCGCGTACGCTCTGGCGATGTGCTGCAAGGACCGGACAGAGAAGGTGAACAGCTCTTGCTGCGATCGGGACAACTTCCGCGCACTGTTCGGCCCCGTTCGTAGTTGCAGCGTATCCAACTTCGCTTCCCTCCGCGCTTCCAACGCGTAGTTCCGCTTGCCCTTCTCTCTCCCAACCGTTCCCCGGTAGATGATCTCGTCCCGGAGCTGGGAAAACAGCAAATCGTGCTTCACGTTGCTCTTCGCGAACCCGTAGCAAATGCAGGCGATGCCCTGCGGGGTGAGCTTATCGGAGATCCGCGTCGAGAATTGCGCAAGTTTCTCGAACAAAACAGGGTTGGGGATTTCCAACTTCGCGTAGCTGTAGCAGATCTGGGACACCCCTTGGGGCGAAAACTGCGTGACGTTCTCCGCGATGGGAATCGCGAGCACTTCGAAAATGTCCGGCTCGAAGATGTCGAGTTTCGCGCACGCGTTCAACAGCATGGGGATGGCCTGCTCCTCACCCTTCGTGAAGGGAAAAATTTCACATTTGGCATCCACATTCTGGCAGTAGTCGAGGGGCGAGAACGACGAGGACAGGTTGCGCGTAGAAGGATCGTTGTGTAGTTGAAGAGTTTCAACAGGAGTCCCGATCATTTTCTGCTCTTTCTCTTTTAAAAACCTTGTTAACTTCGGTTCCAGCGTTCCGTGCACATACAAAGGCATCGCGTACTCCGCTATCGCTCGCAAAATGGGCAAAGCCGCCATCCGCCGATTCACTTTGGCAAAGCTGTTACAGATCAGGCTCAGGTCTTTTGCGGTGGGCGGGGCGTCGCGATGAAGGTCTACTTGGAATTGACCTGTGCCTGATTCTCGTGTGCCAGAAGAGGCCGACGAAGATGCAGTGTTGCTGCCAGACGTTGGTACTGCGTGATTGCTCCCAGCAAGCAAAAGCGAAGGCTGCGCGAGCAGGAGATCCTCGAGCTTGACGAGTTTGTTGGTATCGCCGGAGGCGTCGCGGCTGAAATTGTCCATGTCGTCCGCTACTTCTCTCTCAGCGGCCTTCTCGTTTCCGCTCGCAGAAAATGCTGCTTCTTGCTTCCGTCGTTCTCTCCTCTGCCTTTCCATGACTTTCTCCTTCTCCTTTGGCGAGAGCAAGGCAAGCTTCGCCGCGATCACATTCCCGCACTTCTCGAACAGCCCCGTCAGCATCGTTTCGTATCCGCGAAACGCGAATGCATCAACCTTGGCGTATGCGTTCAAGACCACGGAAAACGTCTTGAGGTCCAACCCACTAGCAATCATCGGCAACCTTTCCGCCACGAGGTAAAACAAGTCCGCGACCGCACAGTAGTTGATGTCCGCCGGGTCCCGGCAGAGAAGCTTTCTCTGCTTCGAGAAATGGTTCTCCGGTAACTGGTTTTTCAGTTCAGGCGTCATGAACACATTCTTCTCCTCCGCCCAGTTCGTTATCCCCAGTTTCGGAAACGTCCCGATGAACGTGCGGATGTGCCGTCCCTTGACCTCGTTTTCCCGCCAGACGTCCGGGTCGCGGATGACGGAATTGAATTTCCGGGTGAGCAACAGCAAATTCGATTTGGTGCGTAGATTCAGCATGTTGTAGGCCCGCACCATCTCCGTGAGTTCGTCCAAGTCGAAATTGCAGTACAGCCGTTTCGTCTGCGCATGCAAGACCAGCAGCAACTCCGGAAAAGAGCGCGCGTGTTCCTGGGCGTCGAGCGCTCTGTCGAGTTTCGTTTTCCGATGATCATTTTCACCTTTCTTCATTCGGCTGGCAGGAGAACTACATTTTTGCCTGTTGCTGGCAGAAGGATCTACTTCTGCTTGACCAGCAGAACTGGCAGGATCTCCGTTCGCGCAGGCCAAAACGCGGAAAATCAACACCAGATCAGAAGGGACCAGACAGCGGTGCATCTCCCTTGTCTGTTCCGCGAGGTCGTGCCAATACGTGTTCAGTGCGAAATCCACGTCCGGATCGAGTGGCTGATGGGACGAATTGTGCCCGTTGACATTTACTCTTGAACTGCTGCTACTACTACTCGAAGTGGATGATGATGATGATGATGAATTTGCGAGGGAAGAGTTGTACACGCCTGTCCTCCCAAAACCCAGCTGGTCCACCTGCCGTGATGAAATGTTAGCTACATGGTCATCTTCAAAACTACCCCGCCCTCCGTCTACCTCTCCCGGCGCCGGTTTCAATCCGTACAGCCTTCCGAGCAGTCGCCACAAATGCAGCAGTTCCGGGCGGGACGCGTCATACACAGTTTTCGCAGCGTACAGAAACTCCGCCAACGGCCGGTTCGTCACCGCGGCGTGCTCCAAAACCGGGTGTGTTGTGAGATTTGATGTTGCGTCGTCTTCCGACGGTCGCTTCTTCGCAATGACGATGATAGACCTGTGTTGCTGTTGCTGGGAGAGGAAGAGGTTTGGGCAGAGGGCACTTGGAGCGACGCGTTCGCTTGCGGATGCGGACGAGCAGGGAAACGAGTTAATAACGGGGGCACCACCTGCACCGGCGCACCGATAAGGCCTGCTACGCATCTTTGCCGCGCTGCTGCGCGCAGGAGCGGGCGGAGGAGGCATGTTCAAAAAAATTCAAATTTCACATAGTGTACTTGTCTATGTTTATTGTAGTGCCATGACCAAAACGGAAATCAAACACGGCAAAGAGAAAGACAACAAAATGCGATCCAGGACGGAAAAGACCACAAGCCGCCAACCTCGAACGATAAAAGTTCATGTTGAGATGCAATTTTGCATTTGGGCGACACCCACCACGACGAGAACACTTTGTGTGTCAAATGCCTCTAGACGCGCAGTCGCTCTTTTTCTGCCTTGTGATGCAGTAAACTGCAGATATTTTTCAGTGTTGTCGTCATATGCGAGAATGTGTTGTGCTCCTACGTGTGAAAAGTACCACCTATGTCGGAGGTAAAAGTGTCGCCATGGGTCGTAAAGCTATATTCTTTTCGGACTTGCTAGCTTGTGTGTGCGTCCTTCCGACGGCGGTGCGCCCGAAAATTCCGTTATGCCGCGGTCCGGTTGCTGTTCCACCCTGGTGCTGTGCCTGGCACGATGTCGCCGCTGGGGTTGTTCCGATTCTAAAACAAGTGCACCACATCGTACACCATTATCCAGGTGAGCAAGAAGGTCTGTTTTAGATTTTGTGTCTTCATTAATACACTTCCATACTCACATGTTGACAAAAAATAGGCTCCCCTACGTACGGTACGCTTTTTAGATGTATGATTAGCAAATCAATTTTTCTACCCACATGAAAAAAGAACTCAGCCGAAAACTCCGAATACCATCAACCCTCCAAATGCTTGGCTCAGCAGCGGGTCGGTCTCCTTCAGAAAATATTTTTTCACTTGTCCGCCGACCTTCAAGTAGACAAACCCCGACGCCGCGAGACTGACAAGCAGGAATATTATTATCCCGAGTATGCCCCCGGCCCTGCAGAGGCCCGCGACCGACCCGGCCATGATCCCGCTGTACGTTCTCACGTAGCCCAGCGCCATGGTGTTTTTCTGCAGCATCAGTGTCAGGACGAGCTCCTCATCCTTCTGCTGCGCTTTTGCCTTGCCCTGCTCGCCACCTGGGTTGTACGTTTGTGCTTTGATGTGGCGTTCTTGCGAAACAAATTCTTGCTTCAAAGAAATAAAAAATGCACACCCTTTTAAATGTCGAGATTCTGTCGTAGAGGTGCAAGAAGAGCATCAAGTTAAAACTCTAAGTCATGCATGATCCAATTCCGAGCCTTACCATCTTTTGACGTGCCTCCTTCGCCCCCCTTTCGGAGCGGTTTCGGTGCCATGTTCTAAGTTGCGCTACTACCAAAAGAGTGCAAAGAGAAAATCGATCAGAAGGCCTCGGAGGGGGCTACGAGACGCATCCAGATACACTCAACATCTTCGGTAAAAGATAAAATACTTACGAAAGGCTACGTTACTCGTGGCGTTCTTTTTGCGTCGCTGTACTACCGGTGGTAAAAGTAAATGAAAAAGCGCCTTTAGGTTAACATGTAGACAGATCTACTTGCAAAAAATGTAGTCGCGGGAAGGTTACATACAAGGATGAATGGAAAGGTACTCTAACTGATCCAAAAATCTCCGAAGGACTATCGCTCCATCCTTTTTTTTGGGGCGGATCATCTTCATGCCGACCGATGGCAGGAACGTTCCAAAAAATGATCTTCTGTCGCAGATCGTGGAATATCTTCATTGACACATGACGGAGAGCGTGCTTCGTTGCCTACGACTTCGAAGAGGACAAGGCGAGTATCATCATTTTGTACATCAAACAGACTACTGAAAATGATCGTCCTAGAAAACACTTTGATGGAGGCCACAGCACTTCTTCAAGTTGCCAGTCCCAGTGCTGAGTCGGGCCAGCACTGGAGGAACTCCCATGGTTGATGAGTGCATGCTTTACGGGCTTGTTTTGCCTTCAGCTATAACTACAGACTTTATTTTCATTCTTGGAAGAAGTCAAAAAAATCGGTTGAAGCGTAAAAGAGCTGTATGTTTGCGCGACCTTGTTTCTTAACAGCAAAATGTAGCAGTGCAAAATCGAAATCCAGACCCATTCTACTTCTATCAAGTACTCATCAAAGCAAAGGCATCATCTTTCTTTACTACCCCACCAAATTCACCGCCGGCGACAAAAAGTCCCCCCAGAAGAATGCGTCCAGATAGCTCAACAGTTTGAACCTGTCCGTGCGAATCCGGCACACTGTGGTATGCTCGGAGATGGTAAACCGAAGGGCCAAATGGTACCGCGGTGGGATGAAGATCAAAACGCATTTAGTTTCCAAATTCAAATTCTTGCTGGAAAAGTTCTGGTCTTGCGGTGCACCGCGACCGCGACTGTTGAAATCATTTTTCTCGTCGTGAACAAGACCCTGATGTTCATGCCCGTCGTGCTGTCCATGAGGATGAGAAGTAGAACCACTATGCGCATTATTATGTTGTGCCCCGGGCGCCGCTGAGTGATGATGTCTACTCCCCTGTACTAAAGATTCCTTCTCCTTCTCTGCCTCTTCGTTCATCACAAAGTGCTGTTCTTGTTCGAAATCAAAGTCTTCCGGCACCAAGGTCTCCGCCACGTCGTCCGGCACCAGAAACGGCCAAAGCAAGGCGGAAAGTTTCTGGTGGATGTGGGCCCGCGGCTCGAACAGGATCTTCACCGATTGCACGAGATCAAAGTCTTTGTCATGAAAATCATCTGCCCCATAATTTTGATGTGATTTGTTCTGCTGCTCTCGTCCTTTTCCACCATGGCGCTCGTGTTCATCGTCCCCCCGCCCGTGTAGGTCTCCGCTCAACAACTCGTCCGCCGCCCAGAAGAGCTGGAAAATCTGCTTCAGGTCAAAGCAGCTCGGCACCGGCAGAAACAAATCTTGGAAGGACACCGCAAAGGACTCCAACGCGCCGAAGTACGTGTTCCCGGAACGGTCGGAAAACGTCAAGTTCACGTCCAGAATCTGCAGCACCGGTTCGCGGACCTCAATTTTCAAAACTAATTTGTAGCAGTGGGGAAACTCGTCGTCGGTGGTCTCTGGCTGTAGCTGTTCTTGTTCGCGTGATAATTGCACTGGATGAAGATTCTGCTCCTGAGAAGTAGAACCCATATTAATCGGACCTGCAGGGGTTGTTCTCCCTGCAGTTTTAATAGTATTCCTCTTGTCGACGTGGTTGTTTCTCACTTTACCATTCCCATTGCGACCACCCCCACCGCCTGCACTTTGTGCGTTCTTTCTCGCTCCCACGCTCCTCCGCGCCATATAGGGAACGTGCAGCTCGTCGAGCGGTACGAAGCTGTTGCCCCCAACGAATCGCAGCTCGAGGGAGTAGATTTCGTCCGGAAACAAGTGGTGATGTTGATGATCAGTAGTTTTTGTACTATTGTTGATCGAGCTGTTCACGTGCTCCAAAATCTGCAACCGAAACGGCAAGCGGATTTTCGTCGAGCGGCCCCCTAAGATTCTCCGGTACTCTTTCAGGGTCTTGATGTTGGTGAAAAGCGGTTCGGATTTTGGATTCTTGTGCTGTTGGTGTTGATCATCCTCATCGTCCTCTCCTCCATCCTCCCCCAATAAAACAGCTAGGTCCTGTGCGGCCGTAGAAATAAGGTTGGAATGGTTTTTTTGGCCGCCCTGAAGTTGTTGTAGATCAGGAGCATGAAGAGCTCCTGCAGTATTTGTACTATGTCGTTGTCCCTTGGTCCGAAAGATCGCGCACTGTCCGTCCAACAGCCCCAAGTGTCTCCTTTCACTCAGACTCTTGTAAAAGGACAGAAAGGGCACGGGACCGCCGGCGAGGGTTATGGTTTTCGGCAAAACCACGGAGTGCGTGTCCGAGAAATGACCGTTGATGTTGTAGTTGTGAAGGTGGTCCCCCGTGGTATTGATGTTTCTTCTCCCACCACCAGCTGCCTCGTGCAGATGCAATTGCAGGTCGGCGGATGTAGAAGTTGTAGATGCAACTCCAACTGCTGCGTGGTGGTGTCCTAGCGAAGTAGAAGAAGATGACCCTGTGAGTAGAACGTCGTGCTGTATAATACTATCCTGCTCCGCGCGGCTGTGCGGATGCGAGGACTTTTGAGAACTGTGAGAACCCGCTCCAGCTCCTGCTGTCACGACTAAATTCGCGCGAAAGTCCTCGATGTCCATCTGCGAAATCGTGTTGAAGTTGAACTCGTCCGCCATGTTGGCCGCGTGGTGTTCCTCGTAATTGTCCGGATTCTTTTCCAGCAGCTCCCGCATCCGCGCGGCGCCGACGTAGTAGAGAATTCGGAGGTAATACACCGCCCGGTCCCGCACGTCGACGCACGTGTGGAACTCGGACAAATAGTGCAGCAACGCGCCCAATTCCTCGTACAGCACGTTTTGCGGGTGGTGGATCATCAGCGCGCGGCAAATTCCGAGCACTTTCATCCCGAGCGCCCACGTGGTGGTGCACGTGTTGTTATGCTGGTTGTGCTGGGAGAAAGACACGGAGGGCGCTGTGGCGGCGGTTGATGTTGTTGTTCCCGTTCCGTGGCCGTTGTAATAAAGGCCTGTGCTGAGATTAGTGTGGTGAAAAGTCGCGGCGTTCTTTTTGTTTCTGCTCTTTTTCGTCCCATGGTAGTTCGCGGAACTGCGGTGGTAAATGCAGCCACTGCTGGCCGCGTCGTAGTACTCCGTCCCTTTCAACAATCGCGAGAGCGCTTTCAGCACATAGCTCGGGCTCAGTTCCTTCACCATAGCGAGAACGAGTAACAAACCCAAATAGTTCGCGATTTTATCAAGTGCAAATATCCCTGGAGGTCTGGAAGAGAGCAAACTTGTCACGCAGGTTCTCCATGACCCATGAGGTCTGGAATGCGGGGCCTAGCATGACAGACTCGGTGAAGTCTCTTGCATGCCTATCCTGCATGAGAAATCCCCTCCCAACTTGGTCGAAAGTGCACAGCTTTTGGCACTCATGCAACACAGATTTTTGCATGATTCAGATTTATTAGCATGACAAGTTGCAATCTTCCAGACATCCAGGGATATTTGCAATCCATAGATCTTCGCGGTGGGCAACAGCTCCGTCATCCACTGGCCAAGGGTTTCCAGCAGCTGAAGTTGGATTCTGGCGTGGGGGACGTACCGAATAACCGCCAGCACGCTCGGCATCAACTGCGGATGGCTGCGGAGCAAGTCACAGAAGTACTCCGGGATTTGGAGGTAACTGAGTTTCTCCGGAAAGCGGATCAAAACGCGGAGTAGAAACCGAAACACGACCTGGTGCGCCCCGACGGCGCGCGCGCAGAAGGGGTCGGACCATTCGAGGTGCATCCATTCCGATTTGAACTCAGACAGCGCGTCAAGTACGACCAGCAGGTTCTTCGGCACGGCGCCCCGCTTTTCCAGTGCGTGCAGGATAAACTGAAGCTTCAGCTCCTGCGTGTTTCAGATAGTGAAACTCAGTGTGAGATGAATTCAGAAACATTTCGTTGCCACAGGACTTCAATTAGATTCGGGAGGTCATGATGATGTTATAATTTCCTGCTATTTTTTTTGTGTACCGCACTACATGATTTGTCGGTGCTTTTGTCGCAACATCAAGCTACTTACTTCTCTTACCGTAAATTTATTGCATCAGTACAACAAAAAACACCACTACTTACCTTCAGCTCCAGCGGATCCTGCCACCTGGGCGCGATTTCGTAGTACCGCTCCAGGATCCTTGGGCACATGGGGCTGGAGTCACACAAGGAGATGAGCCACTGGATGCACAACCCGCGGAAAAAAGGGTCCAGGATCGTGTCTTGCACCAACGAAAATAGCCGGTCGAGGATCGCGACGCTGGTGCTGTCCGTCAGGCTCCACCACGATTTGGTGACGACCAACAAGGCATGCAGCAGCGCCGCGGAGCTGGAATGGAGCAAGGGTAGAAAGTGGTGGTAGATCACGGAGGTCGGGAGCTGGAGCTGGAGGGAGAAGAAAGGCAGGCGCTCCGCGAAGTAAATTTTCGTCCAGGAGGAAGAGAGTGGCATGGTTTCCAACACAAGCGAGACCGCGCGGGTGAGCAGCCGGATCAGCCGTCTCGGGAGTTGCTGTTGAAAATTTGTACTCATTTTCGACATGTTATCAAGACCACCACCTGCTGATGACACAAATTTTGTCGTGCCGAAATCATTCAACCAATCCTCGCTCTGGTCCTCCACATAAGTGCGGGTGTAGGAGGGAATCTTGTACGCAAATCGGCCGTACAGTGCGGATTGCACCAGATCGGTGATCGCCTGGCTTGAAGTCGCAGGTTGTTGTAGATTCCGGGACGAAGTGGAGTTGCTCGAACCGGAAGCAGAAAGAACTCCGTTGACCGAAGTTGTCGTGTGACCTCCTTTCTGGTGGTGCTGCTCCTGTTGCTGCAGCAAAGACGAAGTGCTGGATGCGGGCTTGCTCAAACCAGTGGTCTCTTTGCTTCTCCTTATGCGCGCTGCATTTTGCTGACTACCACCTTTCATGTCGCGATGTATGTTTAGCATAGTTGCAGACCCCGACGCCGACCCTCCCACCGTTCCATTCACTTTCGTCTCATGGTCTGATGAGCATTGCTGCTCCTGTTCGTCTTGTCCCATGGTCGATGAGGCCGTTCGAGCTCTGTTCAATCTTGTGCCACGATCATGATCCAGCGCTTGCTGCTGCTCCTCGCTGCTTGATGCCCCCGCGGGATAAAAATGTTCCTCAGGAGGAAGCACTCCGACTTCTGCCCGCAAATTAACATTGGTCCCACCGCCGCTTGTACGATGGTGTTGGCTGCGCAGAAGTTCCTCATTCGACGAAGAGCCCCGTCTTCTTCGCGGCTGGAGCTGCTCCGAGGTCGACAATCGTGACGAAGACCCCACTCGACGACGTCGTCCCACGTCCTCTGCGTCGGAAGCGTGTGATTCCGAGTGCAGTAGCCCGCCGGACAAAAAATCCTCATTTTCGTCCCCGCGTCGTATCCTATTCGATGATGATGATGATGTTCCTTGTTGAAAGTCAGTCCTCAGTCGCTGCTCGTCCTCAGACGAAGAACTAGTGTGACTGAAGTGTAGTTGCTCGTGTTCTTGCCTACCTCGACCGTGCTGCAGCTCTCCCACCTGTGCACTTTCTCTTGCCGCAGATTCATCAAATGGCGCCGTTCCGTCTGGAAGGAGCCCGGGCATAGTTGTGGTAGTAGTGCCATTCCCTGCTCGCTGGATTTGCCCATTCTTTCGCTGCAAAATTGGACCACCCGATTCTTCTTCCAGCTGCTGCAACCCCCCGGAAGATGAACCAGCACCAACAGGAGCTGCTGCTGTGTTGGTGAAGAAAAAGTCGTCTTTGTCCTGCGGCAAAATCCGTTGGTCTTCCTGAATGTACTGCCGAAAACTCGCGTCCATCGAAACGACACTTGAGGCGACAGAGGCAAGATCCGAGAACCGGGGTGGCTGATGCAATCCGTCTGCGTCACTGTATGATGTTTCATCGTGTTCTGCGTAGTGTGCCGACGCTGCCTCATGCTGGAGCGTTGCTGCTGTTGATCCGGGCGCCGCGTTATACTTTCTGTCATGGGACAAGGAGGACGATCCTCTTGCATTTGGTCCACCACCTACTTCATGTTCTACTGTCGTAGCGGTGCTATCAATGTAGTTCCTGTGCGTTTCATGTGAAGGGGCGGGTCCGACATTCGAGGTCGTAAAATGATTTTTGCCACTTACTTGAGAAGTTGTGGTCTGTCGGAACGAAGGCCGCCCGGTCTGCCAAGCATTATCCTGAGCCAAGTGTTGGGTCATGCCCTGATCACCGCCTCTATTGAACGACCCGCCTTCCCTCGGCGTTGGCGGCGCAGTGCTGGCCGCTTCGCTGTTGGTCGCTTTGCTGCCCGCTGAGCCTCGGTTCTTGTTCCGTTGGTGTTGCGAAGTCGACGGCAAGCAGTAATTCCTGAGGACTTCCGTGGTAAAGTGATAGAAGGTCAAGAAAAATAGTCGCGAGTAAGCCTCCGTTATGTGCAACCTTTCCTCATGGACAAACGCGGACAGAGTGGGTCGGTTCTGTTGTTGAAAAGCAGCCGCTGCTGTCTCGTTAATACCGCTCGTAGATGAACTACCGGCCTGGTGATGCTGCATGCCCTTTGTAAGAACTTCTCGAGTTTCGATATTTCTATCCGAAGATGTTGAACCAGGCCCTTGCTGCATGGTAGTTCCTGACGAGGCGACCGCATTAGAAGCATGCCGAGCTGCCGAATGTTCCTGGCACATCCCCACGTGGAAGGAGATCCACTCTTCCCCCAGAAACGGAAACAGCAGGCCCACGTACCAGCTCTCTAGCTCGTGCAAGGCCTCGCAGGCGTAGAGCCGGAGCATTCTACTTGGTCCGTGGTTTACATCGGCAATGATGTCGACAAGGAAAGAAACAAACTGCTCCACCCGGTGCGGATCATGGTGCAAGCGGTCGAACTGCAACAGCAAACTCGCATAGGTCGTCACCACGTGACATTTTAAATTGTACGACACTGCGCGCCGCCCATTATTGCCATTGTAATTACTCGTCGTCGGCTGCGCCTGTTGCTGCAATTGCGTCGCGGAGCTGCGACTGGTGTTGTGGACGCCCGAGGTGATGTTATCGTCCTCGTCCTCTTCCCCACAGGGGACCGAAAGCAAATTCTCCAGCACCGAGAAAACCTTCTGCAGCATCGCGTCTTGTTGGCCAGCACTGTTGCTTGCTGTTGGTGTGCTGGTTGGCGATGAAAGATCTCCGTGGATCATGTGGCCGCCGCCGCTGCGAGTAGAAGTAGTTCTGGCTGGATCGGATCTAATTCCTGGTCCTGCAACTCCGGTTCCATTGGTGGAGTTCGTGCTGGATATCAAACTGTAAGTATTTCCCGATGTAGTTCCAGTGCTGCTGCTCAACAGCGTTTGCGCGTGTTCTTCCAGGAAGATCAGGGCCAAAGTACGGTCCCCCTCGTCTTTCTCCGTGAGCAAGAAGAGCAACAGCGTGTCGCAGAGCTGCAGCCTGGCGCTGTTTCCCTTGCACTCGGCCACGTAGTACATCGCTTTCTGTCCGCCCTTATCAAATGCAAAAGTGTCTGGGTCTGGAAGATTCTGAGACCTGTCATGCATATTTTGGATGACCCAGGATGTCTGTAATGCACTACCTAGCATCACAGATTTTTAGAGGGCTTCCTGATGCCGACTCTGCATGACAAACGCCCTCCCCGCGTAGCACAAACCAGACTCGTCTTGCTCTTGCTGGTCATGCAATACAAATTTTTTTAGAGTCCAAAGTTAGCATCACAAGTTCCAACCTTCCAGACCCAGACATTTTTGCATTTGATAGCCCTCTTCGTTCCAGCTGAAGGCGTAGCGCAGCATCTCGTAGGTCCAGTCCATCTTGGGCGCAGCGTGGGCCGCCAGCGAGGCCGGGGAGATGCAGAAACAGATGATTTGTAAAAACTTATTGATGCGGCTTGTTAAACATGTGACCTGCAGTTCAGTTGTAAAAAAGTTCTCCAAAGTAAGTAATTCCGTTGTCGTCGTCCCACGACACGTAAGAGTCCGGCTTGTGGGAACGTAATATTCGTAAAAACCGAAGGCAATAAGAACACGAAATAAGGAGCAGCAAAAGCCCAGCACCGCGACCGATTCCTGAATCTGCATGATCGTAGTACGACAGAGAACGAAACTTTTTTTTTGTGCTCGATCAAAAACTGTGGCTGTGCACGATTGGTGACATAGAAAACAACAGAAACCATGCTGAATACCAAGAAAACAACAGAAACTTACTGTGATGTAGAATACGAGTAAAATTTGCTGACTACTCTCTACTTGTTGACCCGCATATTCGTGAGAAAGATGATCCTGTGCTGGATGAAATGCCACGACAGCGCACACACACACAAAGACGAACAAGCGGCCTTCGTCAATTTTCTCCCACACAATTAGCGGCACCAAATCGATTTCTTCTTGTTTTGCTCCTCACTTCTTGCGCCAAGAAGACGCACTCCACAACAGCCTGGCAATGTGCAGGAAGTTCGATCCATCTGTCGACCAAGATCTCGAAGATCTACAACCTCAACGCCTTTGATACACGACAACACGCCTCACCTGCTGCTACCTACCCATTCCTGCTGGGCGTTCGCTCTCTGGCTGCACGAACAGAAGTTCGTGCATACTACTCTTTTCCTTGCTCTGCTTGATGATTCGCACTCCGCGCACCCCGATCGGCACTTCACCACCCGATTGCAGCTGCTGCAAAGAGGAGTCCTCGTCCGAAGCCGCGGATTGCTCGGCTTCCTCCCCCTCCGTTGTGCTGGCTTCCGTTGCGGATTGACTCTCCTTGTCATGTTGATCCAGTGCGTTTATTCCCATAGAGGTGCTGCTACTGCTCGGGACAAGCACATCGACGGACGGTTCTTCTCTCGACAGCCGGGTTTTCAGGTACGCGTTCTTTCGCGGGCTCGGCTCCAGACGACCTGAAGACGCGTCTGCGGTTCCGTCAAACATCACGCCCAGGGCGGCGGCGGACTGGGAAATGCTTGGCTCCTGTTTTTTTGTAGAGCCATTGCCATGATGAAGATGAGTACGTATCGCACTGGGCTGGAGAATGGAACAACGAACAACCCGTTCCCAGGCCAGTGCCGCGACAGTTATCCGATGTTGACTTGTTTCTTTCCATGCAGTGCCGACAAGGAGTTAAGTACTTTCTCACACTTACCTTCTCCTTCCCAACTCCCGTTTCACTTTTCTTGTCCGTTGCACAGGCACTTGGATCATCGCCGTGCGAGCATTTCACTAGACAGTTCCCTTCACTATCCAATAAAGCCCTCCCGTCGTAGTTTCGTTTACTGCATCTCACGACGGTCGTCTGCTCGCCCGGGTTACAAAGGAAGAGCTTCCGCAGCCCCTTCTGGAGCACTGCTTCGACGTCGACTTCGTCACTGTTAGAGGGTGTGTCGCTAGCGATTTTTTCGGCCGAGTCTGGTGGTGCCTTACTGTCGGCAAGTGGATTTTCAGTTGCTGCTTTTCCATTCACTGTCTTCGCTTTTTTCAGCTTCAGCTCCGCAGCATCGACCTCCGTTTCGATCGACTGATCGTCCGCGAAACAGATGTCAAAACACTCGCTGTCGTCTACTGGGGACGGGGAGGAGCGCAGAATGACGGCTTCGAAACAGATCCCCTCCAATTCCCGGAGAACTAGGTCACCGGCACGAAACATCCTGGTGTTCTAAGGTTGTAGTTGTTCCGGATGATCCACAGACGTTGCGCGATCGTGAGAATAAAGTTCTCTGCAATGGCAAAAGTTTGTACTGATATATCTTTTGTCTACCAATCTAATGATAAGCCAGCGAGCTGGAGCAACCTTTGTTTCGGTGCTACGGTTTTTTTCTGGGATACCGCATCCAACGATCTTCCTCTCCGATACTTCACAACATTCTTCCTACTCTTGCGCATCATCAGGAGCGCCAAGGACCTCTTCTTTGTTGCGCTCAAGCTCTGCAGCAGCAAATGAAGTGCCACTCTCGAAGATTTCGCTCGGAACATTAGAGCAAGTGCAAGTGCACTCGAAAAAACGAAACTGACGATCGCTACTCAATGCATACATTTTCACGACAGCAGATGCGACAATATCTATCACCGGAATTCCACGAAATTTTTGCTGTGTCTTTATCGTTCTCCGCTTGTTCCAAACGGATTCTAGTGGTGCTTTTCAAAGGAATTGAACAACCCCCCAGCTTTGCGTTTTCGAACGTGCAATAAAATTGCGCTTCTCACCGCCTCGCGCACCTGCGTCGAAAACAGGGCGGCCGCAGTTGAGATTTTTTCTTTCTCGGGGTGTTGGTCGGGTACAGCGATAGAAATACATCAATTTTGCATTTGAAGCAAACTAAAACAAAATATAAAGATGCTAGCTAATCTTTAGTGGGTAGAGCTTTTAGATCGTAACTTCCTTGCTCATGAACAACAGTGGGGTTTTGTCGGGTACAGAAATAGATTGAATAGATTGGGCTATCTGCTTTTTCTCAGAGGTTAGCGAAGTAGTACAAACACTTATAGGCTCCTTTTGGTTAATTCTCTGGTGCTCTAGATCAACACCCGCCTCCCGTTCTCGGGCACGGATCTTCGCAACGGTAGGACTCATACGTCTGCTTCACCCGCAAAGACACCTCTTTTGAGGCAAATATAAAGATATCATCTGGGTCGTGGCCTCCCCCACCTCGCAGGAACGCTCACGACTATGTTTACGTTTAGAAAGAATAGGCATGAACATAAACACTGTTTTTCTTACTTACACCCCTACTACGAGTGAAGCGTAATTACAGCAGTCCAAAGACGGGAGACCTAGTAGTCCGGCGTTTTCCAATGAGATACCACCCTGGTTTCTCTTTTCTTCGTTCCATGGAACGTCTTGTTCGCACGTCGACCCGAAGGCACGGGCAGAAAATGTACACGCGCGTAGCTGGCAATCCGACGCCCACTTTGCACAATCATACAAGTCGGGAGTTGATATCATCTCCTTGCTCGCGCGGGCGTTAAGTTCCTCCGAGCATTTTGCCTCAGGAGGCTTACACCGTAACCCAACCTTCCCTGCATCCCTTTGCAAAAAGCTGCCGCTCAGTTCATTTCCCTCCCAGGAATGCGTCGACAAAGACTTATCTTCCTTCACCTTCGCTCCGCAGACGACCCCCCCCCCGAGGAGATGACGGTGGCGCCGAGCGCAATCTTCTTCATCTTCATGACCATCTTTGATGCAACAAAGGATATTGCCTCGCTTTTGTATTTCCTGAAAGAAACACACAAAGCTGCTTCTAGTTTCTCAAGCTCAACGTCACGCAACCACTGTGGGTTCGTTGGGAACTGTTGACGTATTTTGTAGTGACTGCAGTTCTTACACATGAGCTTGGTGATAAAAACATGAAATGTGAAACGACACGAAGTAAGGAAAAGAATTTCAGAACGATCGGACGACAGGGGCACAGCAGAGATTATTTCGATCTTCGCACGCTTGTAACGACAACGGCATAAATAGACGCCACACAGGACGACGAGGACGGGGACGACCACGTAAAATAGTTAGAGCACCAGGACGCTGTGGTCTTTGTGCTTGTTTTATTTATTTCAATCGTTGACTTATTGCCATCGCCGTGCAGCAACAAAAATGCTGAAAACTACGAGAGCCTTGTGGTCGTGTTGACGGGCTGCACGATGAAACGATGCCACAATGGTAAACAGGACAAGACGATGAAGCACCGGCTCTGCACAACGAGTATGCAGATCTTGGCCAGCAACACCAAGGATAGAAGAGGTACTTAGAAGAAAAATTCAGCGGAACGCCCCGAGATTGTTGCCATGTGCATCTTTCTCGCTCCTTGTTCCAAACGGATTCTCCGTGTGTGATTTTCGTTTTCAAAAAGATTACCCAAGTAGCAGTCATCTTCACCCTTGTTCATTCTGAGCATCGAGGATAAATCCTTTTCAGGCGTGCACAGAATTACTAGGAAACCAATGAATTAGGAAAGTAAACAAATTACGAAAAACTTAAAACTTCAGGTATTCCGGACCTACACTTGCTGCCCTGTTCACCCTCAGCAACCGCCCCCCGTGCTCGGGCAGGGATCTTCGCACAGGTAGTACTCATACGTCTGTTTCATCCGCTCACACTCCTCGTCGGAGGCGGAAAACGAGGTGATGGCGGCCAGATTTGTGCACATGAACCTGCAACAATTCCCCGCACGGTAGTTGTCCCAGGCCGGCCCGCAATCGTCTGGCACCCATCCCGCTTGGGGCTCGCCCGAGCTGTAGTCAAAGTCGTCGTCAGCCGACGATGAAGAAGAACTACCCAGCATGTAATTGTCGCCCCGGGTCGTGTTCCCCGCCGACGAGCCGCCCAGCATGTTCGTCATGTACTGGTTTTCGCTTTTCGTGCGCGGCCACCACGGCATTTGGTCGGACTCAACAGAGACTGGCTCTTCGTCAGACGTAGACGAAACCGACACTGAAGGCGCTGTAGCGTTCGCGCTTCTCGAAGAAGGAGCAGAGGAAGTATTAGATGCTGGTGAAGTTGACAACTCGTATAGAAGAAACTCTTCGCGCCTTCTTGTCTTCGCATAAGCCTCCCCTAAATCCAACAATGAGTCGGAGTTGGAGCTCGACTGGGGCACATCAGGTGGATGTCGGCCGCGACTCAACAGCACACCTCGGGTATTTCCTGCAACATCTTCAAGGTCGTCGAGCCTAGAAGTGCCAAATATAGCCGCCGGGGCGGAGGTAGTGAGGTCGTGGGCGTTTTCTTGCCGGCCGTCGCCTTGGCCGCTGCTTTGCTTTCTCTGGGCTCGCCGTACCGCCGTGAGTAACGTTAGGCCGCACGGTATGGCGGCCGCGTGATAAACGTCGCAAATTTTGGCAAATTCCCGATATTCCTTTCCGAAAGCCAGCCCCCATGCTATGAGGTCGATCCGGGTGCCACGGGGGGCGCCCAAAAAGCGAAGAAAAATCGGGCCCGTAGCATGCGGATTGGCTTTGCGCGTCTGGCGCGCTTTTGCTTTTTTGCGTTTTTATTTTTCTCGCCGGCGCTTTTTGCAAAGCTTCCCGGCCTCTGAAACCGGCGAAAATGCGGCCGCTTTCGCGGCCGCCCAAAATGCTCCGAAATCGCGGCCGTGCCATGCAGTTTCGCTGTTCTGATTTTGGGTGCGTTTTTCTCGGGCGCCCTTTTGGGCGCCCCAAACCGCCAGAAATCAAGCCGGTGGGCGCCTCAGAAGGGCGCCCCTTTTGCTGGCTTCTCTGCGTCGTTTTACCCAGCGGCGATCGATAGAATCCGCTGGCGATTCGGTGCCAGGTCAGCCAGGGCCGCTTGATAATTGAAAATTTTTTATGTCCAAAAACACTTTCGCCCGCTTGAAAACTGGCGGCCGTTTTGCTGTCTGGCTGGCAAAAAAACTCCCCGGTTAGAACCGTTCGGTGACCTCACTACATACGACCGCTATGTAGTTCTTGGCGTCGTGCGTCTTCTGTCATCAAGGTCGCATCTCGTTCACTAGAGGTCGTAGTGAACAATCCGGCGGCTGCGCGGAGGTCTTCATCTTTTTGGTTGTTGCTTTGACTCTGAAATCTGGCAGAAGCTTTCTCGTCCGGCGCGGTATTCGAAACATGTTGCTTCTGCCCGTGCCGCTGCTGTCTTCTTGCTCTTCCCGAGATTAGACTTTTCTTCACCACGGCAAAGGCATGACTTGTGGTGTTGTGGTCCAACGTCGTCGTAATAGCAAAGAATAATAGCGGCCTTAGAATAGAGGACATCTTTCGAATCACATCGAAGGTGAGGGAGATGCCCATTGTATGCTGCAAGAAGATAAAAAGAACGAACTCGTCTTCTATCCAGGCAGGTTGAATGAAGATATGCTGAAGCAAGAACTTTTTCCAAGAAACCGAGCCAATCGAAATGGTATCTGACTACAGCTCAAACGTTGTCATCCGCGGTGTGAGAGAAGTAAACTGCTGCACGTTTCCAACAAGTATGACTATCAGATTGCACCGTGTGTTTTTCAGGAAAGGACTTCTGTGTGAGAAAAAGCACGAATCGGACATAACGTGTCAAGGGAGAACCTGCTGGACGACAGAAGCGACGAGGATCAAGCACGACATTACAGTGATGGACGACGATATCAGTGGATGTCCGTGCACGAGACTGAAAGCGTAACGACAGGAAAAAACGAAAAGCCACGACCTTAGTCGGCAAGAACCAGAGTGGTCGGTATAGCCACGAGAGGGATAGAGATTTCGACGAAACACAACTAATCATGCGAACGACAGGAATTAGTACATCAGCCTTTTGCGAACAACCATATGCCATACACAATCTTTTTCTTGCGAACTTGCACATCCAAAAATCGGCGATAGCAAAAACTTGCGATCATTCCGTGGCTTCAGTCTCGAAGGAATAGATACTGTTGAACAAAGGAGCAAAAATGAATTTAATGCGGGTCAGAAATTCATTTTTTATCAATACGAAACCCATGCTGGTGATGCCGAGAAAACGACAACCACTGCTTCAAGTACAAGGCGCTGAACATATTTCTTGACTCCTCGAAAACAAGCAAAAGGTCGAAATTCCTGCCAGAAATAAATCAGAACCCTTTCGGTTTCTTCAGGCCCTTTATCCCGACACACTTCTTCTCCGACTTCTGAAAATGTAACTTCGCGTCCTTGGGGTCCTTTCCCTCAGACTTTGCGTGCCGAACGCACTCCTCCTGCTGAATGCGCAACCGTTTCATCTTGGCAAGCTGCTCTTCCCTCACGCGCTTGAAGTTCGCAGTTCGCTGTGCACCCCCGCTGCCGAAACAGAAACGAGTGACGAATTGGTGTTGGAAGGATGCTGGTGGTGATAGATTTTGTTTCTGCTGCAATGAACTCGGAGTCGACACCTTTGTTCCCGGTCGCGCGCCAGGGCGAACTGGCAAAAAATCGGTTTTTCCTGTCGTACCGAGCATTCCTCCAAACGCCGGTACTGGGACCGCTGCTGGCGCTCGTTTCTGGGTACTACTAGGAAAGAACCCAGTCTGCAGTGCGCAGGAAATGCTACGCAACGCCCCGTAGGCACTTCCAGACGCAGTTTTCGCCATCTGCTTCTGGTTACCGACCACTGCCTGGAGCGTTTTCGAACTTGCAGCCATCATTTCCTTCTTTTGCCAACACGTCAAAGGTACCGAGAGCGAAGCTCTTCTGATTCTGTACAACGGCTGCAACTACTTACTTATTCGAAGCAAGTGTGAGGAGAAATGTACCCCAAAACATATTTTGCTTCCTCCTTCTGTCATCCTCATCTCTCGCTTGAAGGATCCTACCTTCTTCACATCCACCTGTCCCTGTGACAGACTTCTATCGTTAAGTGCGTTATTAACAAGTGAAACCGGATGAACAGCCGACGCAGCAGGTGCAACGACATTTATTCTCACTCCTAGCACAACTTCTACTCGCTGTCTGTAGACGTGGAGACCGAGACCGTGGTTGAACAAAGAAGCGTGCCAAAAAGTCAGCTTTGTTTGAAGCCGCCAAATTTTGCAAAAGGAGATCAATTGGAAAAATCTTCAACCTCAACCTCTTGTCTATTGTTTTTTCGAAAGCAGCACAACCCTCGTCAACACACCCACACGACGACAGCAATGAGACAATGTGCCTACACTTTAGCTTCTCAACAACCCCCGCACCCGCAGCTCGCGCACGGGTTCCCGCAGCCGTGCTGTTCGAGTAAACGGTATTGAAACGGACAGCAAGTGATGGAGTGCTGCGTGGTTTTGCAACACCCGCTGCCTTCGTAGATTTTTTCTCGCTCCTCGCACGTACTTCCGAAACTGTCCTCCGTGTGCCCGAAGCAGGTGTTGGCGACGTCTTTGCGCTCCTGGGTTTTGGCACTATTTTCCTTATTTAGTTGTGATTCTGAATGCTGGGAAGCAGCAGAGTAATTCTCTTCTCGTCCCGACGACGTAGACTGCTCCTGCATGGACTTTTTCTCTTCCGTCCTTGCTCTTCTCGCCTCCGCAAGTGCTCGTCCTCCGGATTGTTGTTTTATCTCCCGTGAAGAAGTTGTAGAAGTAAACTGCTGTCTTGTTTCCAGCAATTTGCTGCCCTCCTCGTGGCTCTCTGCTATTGCAGCCTTTTGCAGCCTTTCTTGTTCTATTTCCATCTCTCGTGATGTAGTTCCGCTCATTGTACCTCTACTCCGCTTGTTGCTCTTCTTCACACCAATCTTTTCGTGTCGCGAAGTCATCTTCACCATGCCCTCCGCTTCCGTCTGTCGTTCGGACTTTTCCATCTTTCTATGGTCTATCTTGTTTCGCTGCAGTTGCCCCGATGTCGCAGCTTTCGTGATGTTTCTCTGCATCAAGAAGCGAAAAGCGGATATTTGGTGCACAAATGTGACGGAAGTGGAGAGGACGGCTATTAACAGCGCCTTGCTGAAGCCGACCGCTCTTGGCAATCGGGAGCACCGGGGCATGGCTTGTATTCTTTGCGTTACTTTCAACAAAAAGTCATCTAGTACACCTTGTTCCTTGCCGAGTGATCAAAATTTTTATGTTCAGCTAGTGCAGGTCGAATGCGGTCAAAGTTAGAGTATGTTCTAACCGTATTTAATCCGCTGGGGTTGTGAATCAGCTAATTCACTTGGGTCCTACTTTTCAGCCTGGTGGGTAATATGGGTACGTGCCCTAAATTTTACTTGTGCCGCTACAACAATGACTGTCAGCTGCGGACGATTTCAAAGAATGGAACTGCAGGTCCTTCTATCCTACGAAGAATAAAACTACGTACACCATAGGACGAACGAAACCGAGCTCCGCAGCCGGCATGGGGGATTGGACGCAAACAGTAAAGACGAGACGCAAGATTACGTTTCCATCGCACGAAGTACTTAGAGCATCACCGACATGGAATAAGCCGCAATTAAGAAGAGCAGAAAACGAACCAGTACCGAAGCCGAAATGATAGATCGTATGAGCTGCTGCCTTGCAAACAACTACAGTGTCAAAAACCGGGTCACTTGCCGACGGCGCGCTGCAAAAACGATGACGATAATGTCGAGTAAAGACATCTTCTTCACGACGATATGCTCAGAAAACAAGAATCATGAGCAGGCTGTAAACAATAACAAGCCGAGATTCAACACGAGAAACTCTTCCCGGTTGAGATTCGCCCCTCTTCCGGGACCAGCCTAGAATATTAGCGCATTCATCACTGTCTTTTCCACTTTACAAAAATTCAGTCTCACCTATGTACATGCCTGGGGTGGGGGGCACAGAGACAGAGACGGCTGGTCGGAGCTATCATACAAGAAGGTTCTTGACCTCACCAGTATTCGCTCTCTATCTCTTTTAGTCTTAGTACAAGCGGGAAGCAGCTGTTTTTGCAAAGCGAATCTACTGTAGCTGAAACTCTTTTTCATCTTGCAATGTTGGATATCATACAGGACGCATCGTTTTTAGCTCTGTAATATTTGTAGTTGAGTTTCGCAAAAAACTGATGAGTTAGTATTCTTGGAAAAGCAACTGTGCAACAAAAGTCGTGGTCTTCTTAACAACGGTCTTATCACTACTTTTTGGGTACTGCTGCAGTGAGTCGTCCGTCGAGGAGGCCGGAGACGAGTTTTCAGACCCTACAATGAAACGTATTTATTAAACTTTGATCATCAATTGCAATTCAATCGAGTCGTCGTCGTCCGTAGGAGGTACAGGAAAATAACTTAATACAAGTTCTTATTCTTTCACTTTTTCCGTACAAGTCAATGATGTTGCACATTCACAGGAAGCTCTTTTCCTAAGCGGCGGCAGCAGATTCCGAATCCGAACCGTCGTAACTGTCGTCGCCGCCGTGGCCGTCACCAACCACCTTCACGTTGCCTTTCCCGGTCCCGGTGATTTGGACATTTGGACTCCCACTGGTCACCGGAGACCTTTTGCCGGCTATAACCCGCTCAGGCGTTACAATCTCAAACGTCACAATAGAATATGGAAATCTGTGATGCAAGAGGTGCATGATCTAGCCAACTCTCATATGATTGCGCATGACAAGTTGCGGAGCCCTAAACCCCACTACAATCTGGCGATATTTGCAATGCAGAAATTGGAACGCTGTGCGGGTCTGTCATGCTCATCATGCAATACAAAAACCAGATTCTATTGTAACGTTTGAGATTGAAACATTTGAGCGGGTCATACCGGCGGTCAGCATTTTCTGCGTTGCGTCCATACCACCTGCACCATCTCCACCTATGGAAGCGTCAGGATCGAAATCCTCAAAGTTGAAATAATTTGTCATGCATAAAATGCAACACAGAAGTTGCCTCTATTGCAGAGGACGCATGGGATGCAGATTGTAAGCCTGTTGCGGGGTAGAGATAGAGCTGCTAAAGTAGCATGACAAAAGGCGTCTTCCTTACCCAAACAGCATTACAAACTGGATTTCGGTTCTACCTAAATTTGTCATGCGCCACTTGGAAACTAGGCGAATAGTGGTGTCCGTTTTATGCGTCACAGATTATTTCAACTTTGTGGATTTCAATTCTGACACTCCCATACCACCTCCGGTGACCGTGGTGACCTTCACGACGATCTGCTGCTCGTCGGAGGAACTGGCTTCCCCGTCCGAAGAGTCCGTGTCTTCCCACTCTTCCGACTCACTCCAGGTTTCTTCCGACTCCGTCTCTGGGTCGGTTCCCTCCGGGTCCGACGTTTCGACGGAACTTTCTATCCTGTGCAAAAACCACTTTGGTACTTCTCAGCCCGTATTGTTCGTCATGCAAATTATGGATGCGCATCATGCAAAGAAAATTTCTCGTGAACATGCGGTTGCTCACCATCAAAAGACCTTATTTTTTACTTCATCTGCTCGGGAGGTTCTCATGCCCTGATCAGGATAAGATGATATTCGATTCCTTTATTCTGATGCCCCTGGTGCACCTGCTCTACACTGCATCTCCAAAGAACTCGTCATGCAGGAGTCCCAGAAGAAGTTCTGGATTTGCATTTGTCTGACCCAGAAGTTAGGGTATGGGTATCGGTTTCTGCACATGATACTTGCCGAGGTTTCGGCACTCCCCGAATCACCGTCGTCCGGATCGGGATCCTTTTGCCGGTCCTGTTATGAGACTGCACAAGTTCCCCTCCCTGTTACTTCAATTTCAGTGGGTGCGTTCCTAGCAACAGGAGGATGAATTATGAAGTCTTTTTGCAAGACAAATCTTCCACGCTCGGCATGTATAGTGCTGTTTGGGCTAGTACTTCCAGAAGTCGTCATGCAAAGATCACGGTCAAAGAAACGGCCTAGACAGGATTTTTGCGCGTTTTGCATGCCAAACGAGGGACAGGGAGAGTTGCGTACTGGAATACTGGAAGCCCGTCGATATCTCCCCCTGACGGCGTGGTGGGGCTGATAATTTATTGCGGTGCAGTGAAATAGAATGCTGAATCTTAAAAGGCGATCATCATCATATTGACGTATGAAAATACAACTGAACGGAGCTGTAAGTAAGTATTAATATGAATTTCGTGTTTATCTGACAACATCAAATCTATCATACCTAGGCGATGGCGTTGACCTTGGACGGAGGCGTTCGGGTAAGGGTATGGAGGAAATAAAAGAGCCGCAGCTACCTGAATGATCATCTTGTTCCCGAGAGACAGCACAACAGCGAAGATGAACAAGAACAAATTTTTTCCATGCATAAAGTACGGGGTACTATACTTCATGGTTGCAAGGAGTATACTTCATACTGCACTTCTGTTGCAAGGAGTATACTTCATGGTCACAACTACTCACGATTCATTTAATCTGTTGACGCGACTTTTTTTCTATTTCCGGGGATAAAGGCCTCGGGGTCGGGAGGATTCGGGTTGGGGCCCACTTCGACGCACTGCAGGAGTAGCACGAAATTATAGAGTTATTCTTTTCATCCAACACGAGCAAGAAAGTTGTATCATCTTCGGTTCATCGAACATACATGCAAGAACCTCCCTACAAGAACCACGACAGGCATAGCAGGCGCTAGCATACTTCTTGTTCTTCCCTGCAACAAAACATCAAAAAAATTACTGTACTTAACTTACCTCCTCCAGTATCTTTGGCGGCAACTCCTTCCGAGCCCCACAACTCGCGTTCCTGGTGCCCGAGTGATTTTCGTAGCAGCACTTCTTGTCGATCTCCGCTTCGTAGTCTTCGAGATAGAATCTGTACTCGCACGTTATGTCCAAGGCCTCTTTCTTGTATACCAGTGAAAAAAAGCAACCCGGCGCTCCACATTTTTTGAAAAGGAAATTTCGTTTGAGTAAAGTATATCCGGAATTATTTATTGTTTTGCGCACAATTCAGCTCTGTCTTGCAAAAAGCGGCAGGATGCAACTAGAGAGAGGCCTTTATTGTGTGGACTTCTACGCGAATCCGCAAGACAAGCTATACCCTTTTCAGAATGGCAGCGGGGATTAATTCTTCCTCACGATACCTTGCACTTTTTATTCAGCTGCTCCCGTAATTTCTGCAGCCGTTCCTTTTCTGCGTCGTCGCCGATGCCGTACTTATGATCCAGAAAAAAAAGATTGTGGGTGTAACTTTCTTGGAGGATTAGCATGACAAATATCTCTCGCACGACAGCAGAAACCTGTCATGCGCAGATAGTACGGGAAAACGCCGCTAAATAGACCCTACAATGCAGGCACAGCATGACAGGCGCAATCAATTTGCATTTTGCGCATCACAAATTTACACTAACAACCTTTTTTTCTTGGATAGTACTTTATCCACCACCAATACGCTTCGTAGTCCGCCCTGTATTACAGTGAAAAGTGCCCCCCACCCCCAAACTTGCAAAAATTTATGTGATGCGAAGTTTCCAAATGAAAACTTTTTGTCATGCATGAAAGGAGTATGAATCTTTCTGATGCAGAGTCTAGTCGTGTTTCGCATCGCTTGCATGACAAACACAGCTCTTGCTGGGATCTTTTGCAATACAAATTTTTGCTATTCACGATCGGAAATCTGTGATGCTAATACATGCAAAAGGGCGAATGTTTCATTTGGAAAGGTTTGCAATACAAATGCTTTCAAGTTCGGGGGTGGGGGCATTTTTCATTGTAATACCCTGGCGTGGGGATTTATCCTTTTCATGCGGCATGTGGCTTCGTCAGCGTCGGAAATCTTCGGGTTCTGAACGCACTAATCAACTGCAAAAATTACGTCATAGGAGGTCCTCTGAAAACTTGTGCTGCGGGCACGAGCAGCACAAGAACAGACCTTTAACTCGCTCAGGGTCAGGGGGGATGAAGTGGGACAAATATAAAGTTTTGGAAGGCGGCTACGCGTCTGCAGAACAATGACAAACTGTAGCGTCTGCATGACAAACAATTTTGGGAGCTTTTCGTACGTTTGCGTGACGTACACGACAGACCTGACAGTCATGCTAACCGAATCGATACAAAACCATGCTCGCCTTGCGTCGCATAGAAGACCCAGACATAATCAATAATGCAGTGGATAGCATGTCTTCGAATTACCCTGTAGCTTGCAGCAGCTGTAGTCGGGGTCCTTCGGGTTCCGCTGCGGGAACGTCAGCTTGTATTCGCACGGAAGGTCCAGACGCTCCTTGGCACACCTGAGTTTAGTTGTAAGTAGTATTCTTTCAATGAGTCTTGCGTTCATGATGCCCGCTTGTTCTAGCAAACTTTCTGCGCACGACAGCTTGGGATTCCAAAAAGCATCCATGAAATTGAAAATGCTTCGTCAATGGCAACAAATTTACCAATGTCATCAATGTACGTATACAACATAGCAGTACCTCTGGCTTGTCTTCTTTCCGGTTCCCGACCCTGCTTTTCCCAGTGACTGCAGAGCAACTTGTTGCCGCTTCCTATCCTCTGCATTGTATCGCTGGGAAAATGAAACTTCTATTAACTTTCCCCCTGTCAAAGTCAAGGGCGAAGGAGGTCAACGCGGACGCAACAAGCTGGCACGGTGCTTCATGCATACATAGTTGAGATCTTTGCGATTGCAACGACCCAAGTTTGCAGCTATCATGATCAACATGTACTACAAGCCTCTCACAACTTACTACACAAGAACGCCTGATGTGTTCATCAGAGACTAGCTGTAAGAAGTAGTATTTCGCCTTTCAATAAAGTGATGCCGAGTAATTCGTGGCCGTAACAGCAGGACCCCGTGTCGTCGCCGGAAGTGAAACCGCTTTTCAGTACTGGCGTTTCCGCCGTTTTTTGCAGATGGCTCGATGCTGGGAGGTGTTCGACGTCTGCTGCGGATTTTTCTGCTTCATTTCTACTTTTTATTTCACTGGTATCGAGATGATTTCGTTCTTCCGATGTCTTGGCTATAATTTTCTCCTGCTCCTGTTGCTCCTGACTTGTGGCCTCTGCAGCAGCTGCAGCTCGAATATGTTCTTGTTCCTCTTGTTCTTTCTGCTCTTGGCTCATCTCGAGACCCAGTCCCGCTTTAGTCGAAGCTGCTGCCGCTGCTGCTTGTAGTTGTGTTTCCGAAGTAGTTTGCTCTTGTTCCAGCTTCTGCGCTACTTCTTCCTCTTGTACCCCCGTAAGCAAAAACGAGGACGCCGGATCGATGGCCGCCTCCGCGTCGAACAGAGTCGCATCTTCCGCTTCTACATCAGCTGCGCTTGATCTACTTTCCACCGCAGGTGTGGTCGTTTGCCGCCGCCCAGCACCCCGCAGGGAGGGATTAGGAGATGTTGAAGTTTGTGATATTGCTGGTGCTCCTTGTACTAGTTTCGCCTCATCTACGAAGTCAAAAGCGGTGGCAGACGAGCCTCCACCACTGTTCATACCGGTCGCTCCGTGGTCTTGTTGCGTGAAGGCGGCTGAGAGCTCATTTTCTGTTTGTGCAGCTGATTGCTCAGCACCAGAGATGACGCCATCCCCCATGATTGCCGGTATTGATGCACCCTCCCCTTTCGCGGCACTCCCACGGAGCCCGTATCTTTTCTGCTCGCCGAAAGCGGACCTTAGGGCGGCCAAAAGGAGCAGAGCCAGCAGGTGGCATGCTGGTGGTGTCGGTGGACGCTGTTGTGTGTTGTAGTGTTTAATGCTGCCCATGCGCGAAGACGAGGCGTAGTTCTTGAAAGTGGTTCTCTACTGCTCGGCAGCGGATGCATCTATTTAACGAATGTAGTTCTACATCTACTTGCCGCGGGGAAACGGCCATAGCGTTTTGCTGCCTTTGCTTTTCCCCTACTTAGCTGCACTATTCTGCTCTTGTGTCTGCTTCTGGTTCTCTGTGATGTATTTCGATCTCACAGGGCAGGATTTGGATTGTATCGTCTGCCTAAATTGCGACGTTCTGGCTCAATAACACTCCCGACTGAACTTCTGCACTTCTTACGGCATATTGAAACGACCGTCCCTCGTATCCTCAGTGTTAACGAGATCTCGAAACAAACCGAGGCCAATCCATTTCACTCAACAACTGCCACTCGTGTCGCTCAACAAGGAAAGCACCGGACACGACAAGACGAAATTTCAAAAGAGGCTGGACAAAAAAATGCTTGTTTCTTGCAGAAAACTTATCCAACGTGGAGTCCGCGGCGACCGTGCGCAGTGCCGGTCATCGGCAGAGTAACGTTCAGGCTTAAAATGTATGTCGCTATCAGTTCAGCATTGTGGCGTGCGGAGCAGCACGGTCGATGTAAGTAAGTTTAGTTCCCTCGTAAGCAAAAGCTGCTGTCTGCGATGTCTTGCAGCAACTACTTCTGGAGTTTACGGATTATCGTCAAAAATCCAGTCCAGAATTTGCATCGGGTCTACGAATTGGTATAGTAATCTTGGTCTTGGTTCTTGAAGAGATTGAGTTTGTCTTTGTGTTTGAGATTGGATTGTTACAATTTTGGTCTTGGTGAAGATAACTGTTGCCTAGCTTAGGGGTAAGAAACCTCGTTCTGATTTCTTCGCAAGCAGCACAAGTTCTAGTTCATTGCATACGTTTTGAGTACTAAACAAAGCACGGATGTTGATGAAACCGAAACATTATTGTACATACTTTTATTTAGCCTGTACGAGCATAGTAGTGGTAGTACCATCCCGTTAAGTACTTCTGTACCGACGGAGACCAGGTGGTCTACATTTACAGATACACACAAATAAGAAGTCCAGCACTTTTTCTCACGACCGCAAGTCAGCGAAGGAACAGCACTTCATGCTTTTCAGGTCCGCAGCTTGTTGCCCAAGAAATAGAGCTCCAGCATGTCCCTGGACCCGCACTCCGTTATTAACGACGTGTGCTGCTTCTGGATCACGTTTTTCGATCTCGCGTACTCCTCCAGATTGAAAATGAGGTCGCTGTGCAGCAGCTCCGCGGGCAGCGCTTCCACTTTCCCAAGGTAGGGTTCGCTGCTGCTCATGGTGCTTTGCGCCGGCGCGGGTGCGTTCTCGGAGGACGGGGCGAGTTTCCTGCGCCTCCGGAACCCGGGTTTGGGCGGGGGGGCGTCTTCGTCCTCGTCCTTTCTCTTCGGTTTTGGTACGGGAATTCCGGTCTGGATTCGTTTAAGCGTCTTGAAACCGCCCTGCACCGCTTCCTGCTCCGAAGCAGACCACGGCGCTTTCACCACCCGTTTCAGCAGATCCGCCTTGGCAAAACACCCGGCAAATTGTTTGCCTAGCGACTCGGCAATCATCTGCCGTGCGCGGTTGGTTTGACCTGAGCAGGTTTATTTAATGCAGTTATTCAGAGCTGCACAGTTTGAACTACCGGACTTCGCATTCTTTGCACACAACGAGGTTCGAAAACTTCCTATGTATAGTGCTGCCTGATTTTCTGTCATTCAAATAAGAAAAAACAACTTCCTTCAACTGTCGGCAAGTACCCTGTCTTTTCCTGCTACTACTGCTCTTTTCCGAGCCGCCCGGCGCCAGCTGCCGCTTGATGTGGAACGCGGTGAGAATTTCTCGCGCAAACACCTGCTCACTGTTGTCCACGTCCAGAAACAAAAAGCAAAGCTGGACCGCGCGCTTGTCGTAAATCCCACAGTTTTGGCACATATTCAAAAACTCCTCAAAGTTGAACGGTTTGTAGTACCAGGTGGCTAAATTCTGCAGGGTTTCACACAACAAATCGTTGTTCAGAAACTCCTCCAGGATTAACGACGGACACAAAGCTCCGAGGATCAAGTTGATGAAGCTCCACACGTCCAGACTCGCAAAGTCGTTTTGCACGAACGCCCGGAAAATGTTCGTGGCGTCCAACTGGGTCAGGGACAAGGACTCCAACAAGGATTCGAAGTCCGCTGCGGAGCACTGTTGGTCCCGGTTAGCGGACGCGTTCAGAAACGCCTTGCACAGCAAGGGGAAGTATCGAGTGTAAAAATGTAGTCTGGGTCTGGAAGATTCCGGAATTTGTGATGCATCTTTCGTATGATCCACGACGCATGTAATGCATGATCTAGCATCACAGATTTTTACAGGGCTTGCTGATGCCTATTCCGCATGAGAAATGCCCTCTCCGCGTAACACAAACTGGAGTCCTGTTGCTGGTCACGCAATACAGATTTTTTTGGAATCCAAAGACAGCATGACAAGTTGCAAGACATTTTTGCAATCCATAGGAAGAAGCTGTGACTCTTCGACCGGAGTTGATCGAAAACCGGGTTGGCGGACACGGCTTGCAGTGCGGTGTGCAGCTCCGCAAGTCGCAAGTACGGCCTGCCGCGGATGTTCACGGCGTTGAAACAGCGAAAGGCCTCATTTTATTCGATCTTAAAGATTGTGGTGTTTATGTTGCCCAAGAGCCGACGCGTCGAGCTCGCCCTGAAACCGAACACCGAGAACGAGAGACTCGGAGCCAACGCACCGCTTTCGCGGATTGTCGAGGCGCGAGAGACAGGTGAGTGTCACTAGCACCAACGGGCAGGGCGAGGGGACGTGACGGATCGATGAATTAGATTGCGTTGAAACATGAAGAAACGAAAGATAAACAACGAAAAGCGGCTTGCGCCGAATAGGTGCCCAAGCCGAGGTGCGGGAGGGCGGGAAAAAAGAAGAATAGAGTANAAGAATAGAGTACCGGGAGTAGAATAAGAGTAGGAATAATCGAATAAGACTAGAATAGGAATAGGAATAGCGATCGCGAATAGATTAGAATACGAATATTGTGGTCACGTGATTTATATACCGGATGCGTGGACCAGACCCCGGTGCGAACACGAACGAACACTCAAACAGAAACACCACAATCTAATTCACTTCTTAAAATTGGACTTCATACGCACCACTGCGCGCTGCTTCAAATCCATAATTTTATTCGATCTTAAAGATTGTGGTGTTTATGTTGCCCAAGAGCCGACGCGTCGAGCTCGCCCTGAAACCGAACACCGAGAACGAGAGACTCGGAGCCAACGCACCGCTTTCGCGGATTGTCGAGGCGCGAGAGACAGGCCAACCTAGGCAGGGTAAACTGAGCCGCAGCGATAGCTGCTTGTGCGTTCGCGAGAGTAATTTTTCAGAAGTGGTTGAAAAAAACACCGTGTGTTCGAGCGATCAATGTTACTGCTTGTTAGAGAGTGGCAATTGAAGCACAAGTCAGTGCTTTTTGGCTGGCAGATAAAAAGTGGTGATGATTCCGTGCGGGCGTGTTGCGCGCACGAAACGGTCGAGAATGCGTGCATACTCGTCAACTTTTCCACCGTTGTAGCCCGTTCCGATGTTCAACGGTATCGCGACAGATACCGGGGGGAGATTATTCGCGTGCTTGCTGGCCTGCAGAGGGATCAGGTGTTGCGCGAATTTTCCGAGCGCGGTGTCGAATCGTGCTCTGCGACCTTCGGATGAGTCGTTGTACTGGAATCCCTTGAACCAGACGGGCCCGGATGCAGGTCCTTTCTTGAACATCGAATAAATGTTGACTACACGGCCGATTATCTCGAAATCGCCGAATGGTTTGTTTTCGACTGGTTCTTTGTACCTTGATGCATGCGGGAAAGCGGCGTAGATGTCCGCAGCAACGCCTTTTGGAGTCTCGACGGGGGCGACGGGGCAGATGTGCACGAAGAAATCTTCCGATCCCGTGCCAAAGCCACCCGAGACGGGCTGGTCAAGTAGTCCGAGGGCTGCTTTCCACTTGGTCGATTTCCGGAGCCGCTCCACCTGCGGTGTGATGCTGATGCAACTGCGCGGCGCCGACCACAATGACAGTGGGACGGTGGAGTAGACGCAAAAGGTATCTTCGGCAGTGATTTTGGTGCCACCGTGCGTTTCAAAACATTGCGACCCTTTCTTGAAGGTCATGGTTAAAAACAGGGGGGCCAGCGTCCTTGAAAACCTGTCGCCCATCACTGGGGCGCAGATAGCGATGCGCGGCCTGGCCTCCAAGGGATGTGACGCGACAAGCTTAGACACGAACCTAAGCGTCGGGAAGATTATCGTGATGGGCGGGAACCACCATGATTTCTTGTCGCACCACTCGAGGTGATGGTGGAAGGGGGGGATTTTTTCGCAGTACTGTTGTTGCAGCCTGGTGAGTTCATCGCCGGCACCGGCGGTGAACGCCTCCACCGTCATCCCCGGGAATTTTGAGCAGATGGAACCCCAGGAGCGTGCGTTGAAGCGGCGCTCGACGTACGGGTCGAAGAAAGAAGACAGCTCGGCGTCGAATCTCGACAACACGTCGGCGACCGGGTTGGCTTCGCCGTCGATTTTCGCGCCAACGAGTTCGTTGCCATATTTGATCACCTCCTCGCGAACGTCGAGCGAGATCTCGGTGAGCTCGGGCGACTTGTTGTACGAACCCTTGTTTGCTACCTTCCGTGCTGTCATGTTGTCCGTGTAGTAGATGATTAGTTTGTCGGAAAGATGAATTCCCTTTGTGTTGGCGGCCCGCAGTGTGGCCAGGAGTGCGTAAGATTCTTTGACATTGATGTCTTTGTTCTTGAATTTGTCCGGGTACTCCCCTTGGAACTTCTCGGAAACACCACTGATCGTTGAGCCCCAGTTGTTTCGCCTCGAGGATGCGTCGCCATGTATGACGACGAAAAGGTCGGCGGGTAAGGACCGCAAAAACTGTGGGCCGGCGTCAAGCACTTCTACGCGCCAAAGAAAACAACTGCACTTTTCTCCGTTGTGATTTGCGGGGCGATTAGAGAAAATTTTGGCATACGGATTAGATTTCAGTATGCTGAGCCACCACCGCAACTGCTTTATCGCGGGGGCGGGAATCTTCACGTGTGGATTAAACTTCGAGTCGGTTTGCCATCTTTTGTAGACTTTGCTGTGCTTCAGCACGTCCTGTAAGAGGTGGAGTGGCCCGTTGTGCACCACGATTTTGACTGATTCCATTTTCCCGATGATCGCCGCGAGCTCTTTAGCCTTGCATGCTTCCGAGCCGGAGTCGAGGGCTTTTTGCGCTTGCTCGATGAATTCCGACAGCTCGATAATGTAGGTTTCCAACCGCTCTGGCTCGATGAAAACGCGCATCAGTAGCGTGTCGATGAGCAGCCCGAGCCATGGGCAGCTTCGAGTCGCTTCGATGTACTTGCCAGCCTTTGTGTGCAGCTTTGCACCCAGAGCCGAGTAGAAGTAGAACATTTTTTTCAGTTCCCGATTAGCGGTGACTTGGCAAAGCTGGTTCTCGAGTGCCAGGCAGCGCAAGTCGTCGACGTAGTCGTACGAGGCTGCTTTGACGCCCGAACGAAGCCCGAGATTAATCTTGACCTTGATGTTGGCATCATTCTTGCCTGGTGCAGGTTTGATGCCAAAAGGAGTAAAGAGATGCACACCGAACTTTCCTGTCAATGGCGTCTGCACTCCGAGGAAACGACGGCGCGCTGGACTGATTGCCCAGTGTGCAAAACAGTCAGCCCAGTCCAGGCCCGTGATCCAAGCGCCCGGCTGCATGTCCCACAGCAGCTTGTGAACGTCACTGTAGTCGACGGGCGGAGGGAAGAGCGCTTGATTAAGCATGGTGCCGCGGGCGGACCAATCCGTAACCAGTCGAAGCTTGGTGCCCCACTTCTGAATGAGCACCGTCGCTGGTGCGATCATGAGGTTGTCTGGATGTGGCTGGTCGTTCCTCGCGGCGTCGTAGATTAGTAGTTTTTTGTCGTGAAAGAAACGATACACCTCGGAGGTGAAGTCGTGCGGGTGGTCGTACGCGCCTGAGTAATTGTCTTGCCGAGTTATTTTTAAGTCGGGGTCGGTGATGTCGAAATCGTAGCCGCCGAACCACTCGAGGATGACTTCGGGCGGTACTCCCCACCTGATACACTGCTCGAGATTAAGTGAGTTTCCCTCGATCATTGCTTTGTCCTCCAGCGGTCGCCAGTGGTCATCTGGACCCGCCCGCGAGCTGACAAAGTCTGCGATTTCATCTGATGTCGTAGGGCAGCCGGCGTTAACGTAGTCTTGGAAAGAGAATTCCGGGTGCGGGCACAAGCCTAGTGACTTCTCCTCCTCGGTTTGTCCCGAGTGCACGCCAGGAATCGGAGCTCGATTCTTCGACCTGAACCTGGAGCCCGGGATTATTCGCCGTTTCTGCTGGTGTCTCACGATGTCGGATTTGCTGCGATTAGAAGAAGACTTCGCCAGCGGGGGCGAGGCAGAGCTGCCTGAGATGCTGGAACTATCAGAGCTCGAGCTGGACGATCTGGAGCCGGATTCCGAGCTAGGCGGGGCCGGCCTCTTTCGTGTCGAATTCCGAGGCGGGGTGCGCTTCTGTACTGCACCGGAGCTTCTGCTTCTCGAGGCATGCGAGCTTTGCGGAACCGCAAAACGCTCAGACGGCTGCAAGGCGCTTGCGCGACTTGGGGTGAGTATTTCGCGGGAGACGCCTCGGGGAGAACCTATAGCCGAATAGGCCAGGTAATCCCCAAGAGTCTCGGCACACGGCCATCAGGATCCTATTTGCATT